GATAGGGACGCATTATCCTTAGGGACGCATCACATTCTAAGGTTGTGATTGGCTAGAAATTTTGGTGACCCACAGGTACAAGTCGGCGAAGGCGGTGAGGCCAGCGTTGCTAACGCCCCACCTTTTCACAGCCATAAGAGGCCTGCCTCCGTTTCATAGACATAAAGCCGGCCCGCCCTACTAGCCTACGTTTCTTGGCTATTCCTCCCATTTGAGATTTGCAAAACCATCTAAACGACCGCTTTTGCAAATCTCAAATGGTAGGTCTTTTTCTTCCCTTCTAAGGAGGAATTGGGTTTTATCAAACTAAACTGAAACGGCTTTTATAAATCTCAATTGATTTCTACTTCTATTTCCTCTTATATAATAATAAAGAATGCCCCCCCTACCCTCAACGTTTGAGACTCTCATCACTACTACTAAGTAGTTCCCATTGACTCCTCGTCCTACGGATGCTTGCCTGTAATCTTCTTCCATTCGAACGAAGGCCAGTTGATCGGCCAGTACTAAGAGTACTTACTTGGCTTCGTGTCTGCCGCTGGGAAGAGGTTGGCGCCTGGCTACTGGCTGTCTCTTGTGTAAGCCTTGCTAAGGTGGTCCTATTACGGCTTCCTGGTGGTCTGCCACGCTTGCGCCCTGCTGCTAATTGGCTAGGTTGTTGACTTTGTAGTTGGCTGTGTGATTGTCTAGCTAGCTGGCTGCTTGATTGGGTGCTATCCCTTAATGATAGGGATGATGGGACTGGCTGCATTGAGTTCTTAGGTCTGCCACGGAGGTTTCCTGCAATCTTCGGATCAAGGATCCGTCGATATGGATCCTGGGAAGAAGACTCCCGCAGCCGCCATCGTGGGTGAACCTCATCCTTCATAAACTGTACCCCATCTACAAGTTTAGAGTAGATCTTATGGCAGCATGGGATACCATACTCTATAGAGACAGTACAGTCCTCTGTGCAGTCTCTAAGAGGCGCTGGAAATGGATTTCTACCTGTTGGTAGAGCCTTCTTTGCCAGACGGTATTGCTTCGTAATCAAACCAAGACACTGCGATGAGAGTATTGTTCGAAGCTCCCCAAGGTACTCAGATCTGTTCCCTATAAACTCACGGCTTGTGAGGATCTCATCCTGTGCACAAGCTTGCTTGAAGCGAACCTCTTGATCCTTAAGCATATCCTGCATCACATTAACTAAGTGATATAGGTGGCTAAGTCCATTAAGAAGATAGCCCTTGATGTTGTTGTTGCTTGATTCCGTCCCTGAGGTTACACGGATGCCGAAGTTTCGGTACTGGCGAATAGAATAACGTGCCCACTGCTCCCTTAGTGGTAGATATATTCCATGCAGGTAGTTCAGAATAGGCCGTTGGTCCTTAAACTCTTTGCAAAGGTTTGCCCATGCTTTCCTAAAGGCATCCTCTGTCTCAGCAAATAGAACCAACTTCCACATTATAAGAACCCCCCGGTAGCTATGTGGCGTAGCCCTATCTACTGAAGTATGGATATAGGCATGGTCCTCATCGCTAAGTTCGGTAACTGGTTGTGGAGCTAGATCGTCTTCTTCAGACCCACTACTACTAGAATAGCTCTGAAGCCACTTCTGCTTGGCTTTAAGCATAACGTTTGAGTTGATATGGTGAATACAAAGCTGTTGTTGCACATTCGGAAAGTATTCGTTAAGAGCTGCCTTCATCTGTCTGTCGTAGTCGGTGATAATAACATCTGGTTGGCGAATAGAGTTCTGATTAATGAGTTGTAAGATACTCTGCGATAAGAACTAGAACCCCTCTAGTCTCTCATTATCGATGAGACCAAATGCTGCATTGAATACCGATCCAAGACATGTTTGCCCTGTAGCTTGGAAGAGTGGAAGCTTGAAGCGATTGGTGTTATAGGTGTTGTTAAAGCTGATAACCTCGGGGAACCGCTTCCACATCCGGAGAGAGTATGGAAACGTCCAGACAAGCCCAACAAGCCGATTCGGCTCATCATCCGCCTACTTCACAATATAAGGGATCTCCCGCTCATCAAAAAGCTTGATTAGAGCTGCAGTTGGTGTATACCTATTAAGCTTTTCGCGATTGATTCGGGCTCTAGCATTATAGATATCCCGCTGGGTGAAAACAGATTCAGGAAACTGCTCCTGAATAATAGCACCTACGTCGCGTGCCCGAATACCAACCCGCCGACTAGTAGTCTTAACTGCATCCTTAATAGGCTCAGTCAACCTCCTATAGGCTGGGTGTGCAGATGATGCTAAGCTAGGGATATGATTATGCTGGCTGTGTATTGGGTTGGAATGCTGACGTAAAAGCCATTTCCCCTCCTCTATTGCTTCAGCAATAATTTGCCATTGGCAATCACACTTCCGAGATGCGCGGGCTCGGATGCTAGCACCTCTACCTCGCTTTGGTAGCCCAAATCGATCGCAACGAAGTATATAGCGAATTATACGTCCTTTACGATAGCATCTATTATACTTTGCAATCCCAAATCCATGCTCTTTTGCAAATTTATTAACTCGGTCGAGGAGGGTTTCAATTGTTGCTTCTGGTTCGCCAGGGATCGGTGGGTTTGGAATAGTTTCGGGGGTAGGTGATTTCGACCTTTCGCTTGTAGTAAGGAATAAAGTACTTGGAGAAGATGGTATCGCTATCACTTCTGGGCTTTGTCGGGGAGGTGAATAAGGTGGAGGAGGAGGAGACTCGCCGATTGAGGATATGTCTGAAGGGTGTGGTGAGTAGCCCCAAGCCTCACGATATCGACGAACGCGTTCACATTGTTGGAGGAGAGCACGCGTAAGACGTCGGTTTGTCCCAACAACCTCTTGAATGAGGCTTAGAACAGTAGAGAACTGATCTGAAGTGGGTTGTAAGGGTTGATTTTCAGGTTGTAATACTAATTGGCTTTCTTTTGGTTGACGTTCAGGTAAAATTGTACGCTGCATACGTATTGTCCCCTTTGGAAAGGAACATAGAAGATATAATTCATCTCCCTGGGGGTTGTAGCTTGTGTCGGAATCTTGCTGTAATTGTTCAGGTGGAATCTCAGAGATTAGGTCAGGTTGACCCTCACGATCGCCAGCCCCATAGAATTGACTGATAGTGGCATCACTACTAACTGAGATAGCACGGCGTTGGCGCTTGGGAGAAGGCAATTGATTGTATATACTAGAGCTGCTGGGTCGGCGACGCGATTGGGGCCTTGATTGACTTGTAGAGGTAGACATCTTGACGTTGTAAAGGAGAATAAATTGAATATGTCTAATGCGCTTTCGTAGTTATGAAGGGATGGGCTAAGAAGATAAGAAAGATACTTCATTAGATGATGGCAGAATTCGGATGCACTAACAATAAAATTTTGAGCCAATCACAACCTTAGAATGTGATGCGTCCCTAAGGATGATGCGTCCCTATCAATTCGTGATGCGTCCCTATCAATTCCCATTTTTTTTAGATAATATACTTTATTTATTAAAATATATAAGTAAATTTTCTTTTAACTTTTATACTTTTATTATATAAATATATATTATTATTTTAGAGTTTTTAATAAAAGTTAATTTAAATAATAATAAAGGATATATTTTAAGTAAAATAATTTTTAAGTTTATTAAAATAAAAACCTAAAACTAATATTTACTTTATATATTAATATTAACTATATATATATTATATATAGCAACTTAATAAGTATAATATAATAATTTTTTTAATATTTAAATAAATTTTATCTTTTTAAATTATTTATTTATTTTTAATAACTTATTATAAAATTACTTTAAAGCTTTTATTTTATTTTATCTTAATATTATTCTTATTATTAGTATTAGTTAATAATACTATAGCTAAAGATTATAAGTAAATTTATTAATTAATATAGTAATTATTTATAATTTAATATATAGTAAGTATAGTATCTAGCTAGATATTAACTATTAATATAAGATTATAAATTAATTTACTATAGTATTATTATTATTACTATTATCTTATACTTAACCCTGTATACTCGTAGTAACTAGATTGATTCGCTTAACTGAATAGCGGATGGAGGGTAAGCCTACACTGTACCCATTGCCTTTCGCCATTTCACGTCACGTTGCACTGCACTGCACCCAAATCGACCAATGTCTGGAGAGGAAGGAGCTAAGGCGTGCGCCCCTCAGGGACATTTACAGGCTTTGCCAGTTTCGGTCGATGTACTTACTAGGACAGATGTGTGACTTACCATACCCTATGTAAACCCATGTCCCTGCCTGGCTAGCAGCAAGCCAAATGAGAGGGGGAAAAAAATCGAACTTGTTACGTGCTTATTTGATAATTATATAGCGCAAACATCGCCGCTGACCCTTTGCCACTTCTCCCTCTGTAGCCCCTTCCCAATACCATAAGACAACTGCTCAGTTACTTAACGTGGAAAGCCATGCCTGCAACCCTTGCCCAAAAATTCAGCCGTCTTGTGTTGCACTGATGAGTCAATAAGCCATGAAATTTGCCCATGATTTTAAGGAGACGCTTAGGCGCGAAGGTATGTGTCTTTCTTCTCATATCACTACCCCTGCCTTCATCAAATTCACATACCTGCCACAACCTTATCGTTCGTCTCATCATATCGGTCTAGAAGAGACAAGATGACGCATCGAAACAAAGAATTTGTCACCTCTATCATGCAATCCAGTAATAGCAAAGATTTTGCTGACTTTTATCTCTGGTTACTCCCGGGCAGACTTCCCACCTCACTGGGTTGACCGCGCTGTCCCATATGGTCAACTAAAAAAGGTTCTGAAGCGCGTTGCTCGCGAACTGAATGATCTGGGACTTGATCCTGAGACTCTGCGTCAGCTTCTGGATCCCGCTGCTGATTCACCATTGGCCGCCAAATACCGCCTAAATGGTAAACTTCTCTTCCTTTCAACGGGCCACATTGTGTGTTCATGCCGGGCTTGGGCTGACGCCAATCTTTACTTCATTACAGCCGCAGGCAACTCCAAGCTGCTCAGGCCTAAGTTAACAGTCCTGGTTCACATGTGCGATGGCAATCCTATTGATGCATCGCTAACACCAGCATCACGCTCACTTCTCGAGCGGATCGCCGCCCTTCAATCCTCCAGTTCGGAGGCAGACATTGATCTAGATCGGGAAGAGGAGCAAATCCTTAGGGCACCTTCATCCCGTGAGACCGCGTGGGTTCCTTCACCTCCTTCCAACGAAACGCTTGCTGCTCTAGAGGCAAAATGGTCTGCCCAGGACCAGGCGGTATCCGTGGAGCTATATGAGCGTATCGAGGTACCTCTTGTCTTTGACAGCGAGTTTTTTGATATACTCCAGAGCGATGTGAATAACCTCGACGCCCTCCAGGCCGAGGAAGAAAAAGCCATGGTAACCGAAATTATTGCCCTGCGTCAAGATGTGTCCCACCTCACAAAACCAAGCCGGCTTTCTAAGAGCGACCTTGCAAGGTGGCGGGCCATCTTCGAACTGTACCTTGACGCCCAAGTCTTTTTCTCCACTAATGAACAAGACCATGGGTCGCGTACCAGCCAGACTGCTGCAAAGCAGTTACAGTGGTTTCAGGAGGAAATTACAAAACGGAACTTAGCCAAGGCATTCAAGATCGCCGAGAGCCGCGAGGCCCTTGTTCGCTTTTTGCGTCTCAATGCTGTTTTGCTTAAAAACCTACAGTTTCAAGAAATCAACCAGATGGCCATTTACAAGATATTAAAGAGTCAGTAGCTTTACATTATCCAAACTCTGCCTCTGTTGCTTGTCATGAGGCGTCGACAAGCAGATCAAAAAACCCGGTACTGACAAGAAGCCAGAGTTCGACAAGCGGACTTGTCTAGGAGTTTCGAAATCATTTCCCATGCAGGTTCATTCCGAAAAGTTGCTAGCCGGCTCCGTGGCCAAAGATATTTGTGCCCAGATGTCCACCGATTTGGTTTCCGTTGTGCCACAAATCAGTGACTATTTGTGCCCAATTTGCTTCGCTATCGCCTATCGTCCGGTTCGATTGGCTTGTCAACATGTCTTCTGTATTCGATGCATTGTCAAAATTCAGCGCCGAAATGAGAAGCATTGCCCCTTATGCAGGGCTGATACAGTCATGAAAGCCTCTGCAGGTAGGTGTCACGTAGTTCTCATGCGAATACAACAATATGTTGCATCCGAGCTATTTCTTCTAACAATGATTTTAGATAATCTTGATATTCAGTTGGAAAGGTATATGAGAAAATACTTTCCCAAGGAGGCCAAAGAGAAGCAACGGGCCAATGAAATCGAGCGGGGTATCGAGGACTACGGACCTGAGTACGTCCATTCCGAGTGTTCTGTCATGTAGAAGTGACAGATAAGGAGTGCGGCGAATTTTGTTTCCCTCTCTTTCAATGTTATATAGATTACCCCAGAGATACCCTTGTTAATTACAACACAAACGCTCAGCATTAACCCTTGAACATCAACCTTCTTCGCTGCCATCAAAAGTCATAGAAATCACGGAAGATATGGTGTTTCCACTTGATATTGCTCCGGTAAAAAAGACCGAGCAGACTAGTCTAAGCTATCCACACTCAAGCTACAATTTGAGTTTCGGCCGCCTCGAGGGCATGGCTGAAGACCTCACGCAACTCTTCCGTCTCCTCTAAGCCGACGCTGACTCTAATGAGATCAGGATCAACACCCAAGCCGGCTGCCCAGTCTAGCTCCTGGTAGTGCGCCAGCAGTACGTAAGGCGATGTCAAAGTAAAGTTGGTGCCTAGACTTGGACCCTTGGCCGTTTCAATGGCGTCGAAGAAGGCTATAGCGTGAGCCTTTTCGTGAAATGTGACCGACAGCAACCCGCCATAGCCAGCACCGGGTAGCTTGCAAAGGTCGTAATTGGACCTTGTTGGGTTAACTTTGGGATAGTAAACCTTTTTGACCAGCGGATGACCGGAGAGGATGTCACAGATGGCCTCGGAGTTCGTGTTGATGCGCTCGACGCGGGACCTAAAATCTCGACTGTTTCGCTCCATGAACACAACGTCCTCTGGCCAGTATGTATCCTCCAAATCCTGGGTCCATGCATTCTTCAGGGCTTGATAATACTTTCCACTGGGATTCAGAATCGCGCTACCGCCCATGACGTTGCAATCTCCCGAAAATATCTTGGTTAGACTACTAACGACGATGTCCGCGAATTGCAGCACGTCGACATTGACGAAGCTGCCAATAGTTTCGTCCACAACCACACCAAAGTCGTATTTATCTGCCAGGCAGCGGATGCGGGCTAAGTTAGGGCAGGTCAGAAGCGGATTGCCGGGGAACTCGCAAAATAGTGCTAAAAACCGCTCGCCGTTCTCTAGGCGCTGTTCAAGGTCATCCAAGTCCGCCTCTGACGCGTGGCCGTAAAATACACAGCCTGGGCCAAACTTTTGCAGAATCTTAAGTGTGTCGACGTAAGGGAAACCAAAATTGATCGACTTCATGTCGCCCCTAGCAAGAACCATGGCCCGGTGGGCATTGAAAATGGCATTCATACCACAGGGGAAGAGGTATACGTCACTTTCCTGTAGGTCTTCCTGGCCTCTAGTGTTGGTGCTTAAGGGAGGCAACGAGTTAATGCTCGTCTCCAAGTCGGCAGCCAAGGCACCGGCAATTCTGCGTTTGATGGCCGACCTTGCACGTTCGACAAGAGAAAGATCGAGGTTGCGCCCAAAACGCTCTTCCAGGAAGCGTAGACTCTCTTGGGTATCAAAAGTAGTCCGAAGGCCCGACTTAGACGGGTGGAGGTTAGCGGACTTGGTGTCGTCAATGGAAGATGGGCGATGGTATCTCCTGGGACCACGACATGCCTTACCCACGGGGGAGTGAGGTCTTTCGATGGGGGCCATGAGCCCCTCTTTGAGTAGGCCATGGCAAAACTCAGCCCGCCGACTCGATATTCCATCGCCGGTATGCTGCCAATATTGCTTCGCAATAGGAAAAACTTCTTGAGCATACACGACAGCCGAAAAAGCGGGTGCCAAAGAGCGTAATAGGGGCGAAATGTCCTGGGACGTGTTCAACCCGAAGTCAATGACTGCGATGTCAGACGCTCTGGATGTGCCGGCGTTCTTCTGAATGAACTCTAAGCAGCGTCTGGCCGCGCGGGGAGTAGGAAACAGCATAGTCTGTTGACCAGGACGGGCATATTGGGATGCAACATCTTCAGCAAGGGCGACAATGCTCTTATGAATGAAGAACCTACAAATGGTGATGAGCATAGCTTTAGGGATTGAATAAGAAGTAGATGGGCTTCGCAGCACCGCTCACCTGGGATACCCAGTTGTCATTTTACTCACAACCCATGACTGGCCCTCCTCGTACCCAACATTTGCCTGCCATGTCGGTAGCTGAACGCTTACTGCCTGAAATATATGTTAATCAGGATATCAGAGAAGGGAAGGCTAGCCGGTATGGAAAAGCAAGAAATGGCATAAAAATACATACGTGAGCAGTGTCGGGAGGGATGGATTGGCCCAGCTCAAAGACAGGCATGTTCTTTAATAGTTATTGTCCGTCTATCCTTAAACCAAACTTTAGCTGGTCAGAACACGATGATGCACCGCATTAAACCATTCAGCGGATGAACGAGAGAGCAACTCACTAAGTTGGCAGAGCCGGCTGTACTCTGGGTACCAAGAAAGTTGACCACTGTTTGATGGGATGAGTCAAGGTTGGTCGAGGCAAACGGACCGATGAAAAAAATATCCCCGCCCGAGACGGACAACAGCAAGGAAAGGTGTGCTAACCAAGCGAACAAAAACGGCGGACGTGACGGATTGAACGTGGGAGGGACACTGAACGGCAAATGTCAGTGCTCAAATTGCGAAGCAACGAGCTGTAGGCAAGGCTAAATTGCAAATTCATCCATCCAGTATGTCAGCACTTGACTCAAACTGGGCGAATTAAAGACTCCTAAATGGCTACCTTAGTGGAGCCCAAGGCATTGCAGTCCCATTTGGCCACACAGTTGGCCTCACCACTAGTAGGTGCGGGACGCCGAGAACCGGAGGAAGGATGAACGTTTTGTGTGTGCGGAACACGATATGGGCTCTAGCTCTACCCGTCTGCCTACGGCGACTGAGTCATCTACAATACTTATGCACTAAATATGTTCAATCCATATTGGGTAATCGCCACGAGAATGTGAATTGACGGTTTGCTTTCAAATACATGTATGTCGAAGTTGAAATTTGACTGCAACCAAGTATTGAGAACCAACTCATGCCATTGTTTTCTGAGCTTGGTGGGAAAACCACCAGCCCAACGACAGGCTCCGCATTTCCGACAGAAATACCATCCATTCAAATAAGATTTGCAACCCAGCCTCCCAAGTTTCCTTTACAGGAACACGTGCCGCTATCATTCTTCATCGAGTGAACGAATAAATCAACAGAGGAAAGTTCGTCATGTATTCGCCCTGGCCTTACTCAGCGTAAAAATACTAAGTAACGCAACTATGCAACCTCGTCATTCCCGTCGCAGCCCACGACTGTGACTGCGCAAAAGTATGTGTATTTAGTGCGTTCTCTCACAGCTTCCATCCTCGTACTGTTGGCCGAGTCACCTGTTAGTTGTGTATAGAAGCCGACCAAATCGTGCCAATCAAGCTGGTAAAGACACACACAAGACAAACTTTCTGGCTGCTTAGTGATAATGGCGCCTGCTCGTCTTACTGCCAATGCAGCTAATGCTATCACTTGGCGCTACACTGATGGCATCTTCTTCCCAATCGGCACGACTACTACTCCCAATGCCGCTTTTAGGCGCAGCAACGTTGCGCGCTGATATATAAGTCGGTGCTCGTGTGGCCGGCGGATAAGCGAAAACAGGGTTGGAATTGGGCACTCTGATGGCCGTGTGAGTTTTGCTGGGCGCCTTACTGGGAACGTAAGTCGGTGCATGACTGGGCGCCTTGGTGGGAGCCCGGCTCGGGGCGACAGTGGGGGCCCTGCTCGGCGCGTTCGTCGGTGCCCTGCTCGGAACCACACTGGGAGCCTTACTCCTGGCGCCTAATTCTGTCTGGGTAGTAGGTGGAGGCGGACGAATGGTTGACTGTGACTTAGCGCTTCGAGCCGAAACATAGGTTCTGGTCTCATCGAAATCCTGGGTAACTGAGCGAGGCACTGCCGACTTGCCAGCTATGCTAATTCTTGAGCCAACGTTGCTCCGATGTTCATAATCGGTGATCATGAGCGGTGCAGCTCTGGGAACGGCCGCCTGGCTCCGTGAGTGAACGCTGCTACCCCTTTCGAGTTGATAGCGAGATGAATGATGACTCCTAGTGTCATCGTACACGTCGACCTCACGAGTCTGGGAGCCAACCTGGCTGTACTTGGCCATATACTCAGGAGCAGGACCATTGTCAGGAAGAGTCGGATATGCCTCAGGGTATCGGATCTTTTCGACAGTCCTCTCAACCTCGACGTAGCGTCCAGGTGTGGCCTGCGGGTTCTGATATTGATCGGGGAAGGTGGCGCGGCGCTGGAAAGGCGGAGCGGGGTTGGTACCATCAAACTCGTGGAGCGGCGCAGGCGCACGTTCCTTCCGCATCATACCGTACGTTAGGGCGGCACCGGCGGCGGCACCGACAGCAGCGCCTAGCAGACTTCCCACAACGGTGCTGGTTTGCAACCCGCTGCTCGAATTTGGGGCAGCTGCCGGGCTGGGGATAGGAGCAGAGTCGAGGTCATTATTGGTAGAATGCGATTCGATTATGGAGGTAGTAACACTGCGGCGCAGTATCGTATAAGGCTCATTGCCAGGGAGCTGGCCGGTTCGGGAGGCCATGGCAAGGGCGAGGGTAGAGGGGGACGATTCAGAGGTTGCAACGTCGTGGTTCCAGTTGAGGATACGACTGACTTCCTCGTGGGTTGATTGTGTCCTTCGAACAGTAGAACCAGCGTGGGAAGGAGGGTAGTTAGGAGGGGGTTGATATACAACTTCCATCGTGTTACCGTCCATGTCGGTGACAGCGGCTCGGTGGATATCGCCACATTGAGTGATGGCGGTGGGGCGGGGAACGGCTAGAGGAGCAGGGTTGGCGCGCAGGGCAAAGAAGTGGAAGTCGGTGACAGCAGTGGGGGATGGGGCAGAGAAGACAACGCGAGACAGCTTTAGGGGTTCGAGGGAATTGCGGGCCTCGCGAATTTGGAAGACGGGGGTGGGCGGAGACGATGTACCATATGTGACGGTTGAAAGGCTTCTGGCGGTGTTGTTGGCAGTGTTGGGGTCTTTGTCGTCGTTGGCGGTCAGCGTGTTTGTGGATATATAGTGGATGCCGAGAGGTTGGAGGATAGCCGAGTAAAAAGAGGCCGAGGAAGGGAGGTGGGAGACGTCGAAATAAGGAGTCATTTGGGCGTTTGAATGCAAGAAGCCAGAGGGAACAGGCCAGCTGAATAAAGCGACGTAAGCGGTCGTAGGTAGGCAACAGACTGTTTGGTGCTGTGCCTCTTCAAACAGTACGATCTCAGGCTGAATTGAATTAGAATTGGCAGCTTGTTCAAGCTGGGGCAAGGGTAACTGTTCAACACGGTTCACAGAAATACAGTAGTGTTGATGGTTGCAGAGGCGAGGCAATAATGCTCAAGATGGTAAGAGCTTGGTTATAGTGGTTGTTATCGACAAGGCGAGATGTAGCTTCGTACTGGCTTGTTGAGCCAAAGTGGAGATGTCGAGATGGGGGACATATACTGTCAGGAGAGGCAAAGAGGGGTTAAGATAGCAGCACAAGTGGTTGCTGGGCAGAGTATCGGTTGTTTTGAGGTAGGTGAGGTGTTGTAATCCGGCCAGACATCGTCTCTCGTGTGAGGCAAAACACCTTACTAATGGCAATAGGAGCATACCCATTAGCTGGCAAGACTCAGCTACATACTATGCTTTGGTGGCTTTCTGCCCGTTTCTGCCAAGCTAACTTGATCGTAGCAACCTTGGAATTCCCTGATGCCCGTTCCTGTCGTGGAACCCAAACCGCATGTATTGGGCATTGGTCGTCCGTTTTTGAAGTTTGGCCCGTCATTCTAGTTCAGGACTACAACCTGGCCTGTTTCTGCCCAATACAGCGCAGCATGCGTCCCATGCCGCTACAGCGTAAGGTGGAAATGGATGGTGTGTTACAGCACAGCTACTAAAGAACTTGTAGATGCGGGCCACTTCATCAGCTACATGCGGCCAGAGGCCATCAAGGACTCTGGGGCCACCATCTCATCCCCGAGAGTGCAAAAGGGGTAGAGAATCACGTTGGTGAGCCTTTTCCCAGACAACAGGAGGATGAATCGTGTCTCCTCGTGGCTGGCTGTCCTTTGGCTCCCCGGCCCCGCCGCCCCGTTGCCATCCACGTCACAATTCCAGTTGGAAAGGCGCATGTCCAATAAGGAAAAAACCACAGCTTTTTGATGGCAGCCCAACGCGACATCCCGGATATTCCAGTCCAAGGGTGAAAAATTGCGACGCCGCTAGTTGCGCCCTGTGGCTGTTGACTGGCTGCCCTGGCTGACACCTGCATCTGCGTGGCCCCGATCCAGAGACCTAGATGCATAGCTTGTACCTACTATCACCCTCCTCAGTGCTGTGCCCGTCCTCTTCCGAGCCTACCGCCCCAGAATGTCTGGGACCCTCAGTCAAACTTTAGGATATCGACGCTCCTTTGGTGTACCGTATTGAGTACCTCTTTCTATTATTACACAGAGAGCAGCCAAACTCGGTGCCTAAGGTTACTCGATCTTCGTTGGCTCTGTATTTGTTACTGTTTCTGCAACTCACCGTAACCTCTTTTTCCCCAAGTCACGCTGCAGAACTCGAATCCAACCATGGCAAGGGAACCTGATGCGTCCGACTGAAGGTAGACTCTAGTGACGAGTCTTGTAAATTCCAGCCCTGGACTTGTCTCTGTCACCACTGGGTCGTATTGCTTTTCCACGACGAAAAGAACGCTCTCGTTGTTCGCTGCCCAACCTCCCATCCATCCGTATGTTTATTTGTCCTATCTTATCTCGGAATCACTCACCGCCACCATGAACGCGTCACTGAACAAGAGAAATCCGCATGCCATAACGGATGACATGGCTTATTTTTTAACCAGTCGGGTTCATTCCCTAAATGAACAACAGGCATCGCTGTCGCCATCTTGGTCGTGATCATCACGATATAGCAGCACCTGCGAGATACGAGCACAATGAGGTGACCTAGTGGTACTTAACAGTTTTCTTTACATGCACCATGCACCATGCACCACGCATACCGAAATAAGCACGTCTATCCTTTTACTGCACTCCGCTGTAACGTAAGAATTGGCCGTGAAACACAAGTACACCACTCAACCTCGTCGCTGACTGTTACAATCACCTTCTTCCGCTTAGGCACCATGGACTGACGATAGCCATTTCGATGCAGCTGAAAAATCCATTCCACCCGACATGGTCACTGCTTCAACGGGTCAGCTTGCACGCTCCTTCACTTGGTCCACCTCACTCCACAGTATCGCTTAGTATCGTCAGGCACATGCCCTTGCCTTGTGCCCGACCTCTGGATTCAACAGTCCAATCTTTTCCAACCAAACACGTTCTCTTCCCTTGGTTGACCAAGTCGTTCAGCCAACATCACTGCCTAAGTCACGATCGTTTTGGTGCAGGTCATCAAAGCCCAATGATGCAGTCTGATTATTCTAGGGCTATCAAGGCTTGCGATAGACTTATAGAATCCGCCAATACTTACACTACCAAAGCCCCCGTCTGCCTTCACAGTGCATGATTGCCACAGCGTTCTCTCCAATAATCCCTTCAAATCTTCAGTTAACCTCCCCAGGCTGCCAACTTTCCTTGATAACATTGGCGATGCTTCTTTGCCTCGACACTTGCCGTCCGCTTCGGAGCCTTCTAATGTCGACGATGACGGCAAGGGTCGTATAACGAACATGGCTGATGAATTGTATCGCACTTGAGAATGCGTCGGAGGCAAACATAACAAGAGAAACCGACGAGCCAAGTTTCCGAGGCCACAGCCGTCAAATACGATGTTGTGTCGCAACCTTTCAGCTGTACCCCTAGCTTTCCGTTGCACTGTTGCAGGCATGACTGCAGATCTTATAGCCAGGGAACCGCCACTTGCGTCGGTCACCCGGTGCGCTCATTGCCATGGCTTAATGCAAAAAAAAGAACCAACGTTAGATCTGTCATTGCAATGCCAAGCTGACTTCTACTGAATATCCCAGGAGTCTTCGGCAGCATGACAAAACTTGCTGCAAGCAACACTAGCAGACAAACTGTAATTGCTTATGGAAATCTTTTCGTCCACAAAGCCGTCGGCGAAGGTATCGGCACCCTTAGCCATGGCACCAACAAAGACGCAGACGCTCTCTTTGGGTCCCAAAGTGTCAATGTAGTCTCTCACCTTCACAAGGGGAGCCTCGAAGCTAAGCGTAACCTTGCGGCAGTTAGGGGGCAGGTGATCGGTGATAGGATTCTGAATGACACGTAGGAGTTTTTCCTGCGAGTTGGTTGAGCGGATAGACAAGCGATGCAGCAACTGAACCATCAATCCTGCGAAACGCTTAAAGGTTCGCGGAATGCGAACCGAGGGAGACACCTCAATCAAAACACCCTTAGCAGTGTGGATATAGATCTGGAGCTTGCCCGCCTTGTTGATGGGCGAGTCGAGTAGAGTAAGGAGGCACTAGTCAGTATAGTCAGCATGTTGGATGCAGACACGACGCGAAAGCGTGTTGAAGCGCTTGAAATGCAAAATAGTGTATTGGTAGTATCCAACCTGGTGAGTGATGTCGGGACGAGCATCACTAATGTCGCGGTTCATCTTGCGCATGACCCCAATGTGCTCGTCGCTGTTGAGTAGCGAATATTTCTCTTCCCGCTGAACCCCATTGCGGCCGGTACCGCCGTGAGAGGCTTTGTACGTCTCAAGACTAGCATTAGACAGAACAACGATAAGTCGCTGGGTGTCCTTGTCGGTGGGGGGGATTGGGGTGTGTTGTTCAGCAACTAGCTGAGGAAGAGCCGGGGGTGGAAGAGACTGGGTGCCTGTAGTGATAGCGGTGTCAGTAGACGCGTCCTACGGCAAGAGAGCTGTGGCCATGCCCTCAAATACTGGGCAGCCTTGACCGCATAGAAAACTCAGCATAAGATGGGTAGGAAAACAGGTTTGCTGCTCGGGTTTTAATACTAGCGACGAAAGAAGGCTTTTGGCGTCTTTCATAAGCCGACTGCGGCAACATGCAAGTATTGGGATGTAAGGCGGGAAAGAAGGGGAGAGGAAAGAGAAAGGCGCGAGCGGACAAAACTTGTTTAGTTAAAGTGAACTGCGAAGGCTTTTATACTTACGGGGTCGCTTTACTCCAGCACGGGCCTCTGGTGAAGACATTTTCGGGCAAGAGACACGATAGTCTAGGAAGAATTGGGAGGATGGGAAGAGAAGGTGAATTAATTGAAAAAAGAATGTTAATTTTTTTTAAAATTTTTTTTTTTGCGTGGTACAGTTGTCGCGTTGTGTGTAGATGGAGCGAGGCGCACTGTCACAGATGGTGTAATGCTGCGAGAGGTGAATGAGAAGTAGGTTATGGCAGGATTAAGTCGAGGAGGAATGTAGGCTTAATACTCGTAGCAGTATCTGGAAGAAAAGAGTTTGAGAGGTATAGTCCCCTTCCATGCAGTTAGGGAGGATGGAAGGAAGCACGAGGGCGGGGTGAGGAAGCCCGGACCAACCACCGATGCAGGGACTGTTCAGCCAATAGGATTGTGTGCGTCCGTCCCTTTCTGCTGGCAGAAACATTTTTTCCCCCTCCCTCTTCCGCACTGGAAAATTGAGCAACACAATAGCACAACAGTGGTTTTCGTCTTTCCTCACCAATCATGGCTCATCCAAGGTGGAGTTTCAATCCTTTTTGCATGCTCCTCTCTGCAAAAGGTCCATCCGGAGCGCTTGCTAATCTGTTCCTAGTCAATTTCATGCCTTGCCATGTAGTGTGGTAGTATTTGCTGCCTGTCTCTTCTTGAAAGAAATGATATCCTTGTAGCGCTTTGCAGACTTAGCACGTGTCGTAGAAAATCGTTCACTTGTATGGCAACCTGGCAGTGAGGATTCACCTGCCTTCCCTTACATGACACCTTGCCATCATCGGTTCGGCCGGTGGGGCCATCTGGTACTCCAGACAGCCATTTCAAGCACACCTGGTAAAGCACCAGCAGTGCGCCGTGACAGAGAAACCAAGTTGGACGGTGCGCTTAGGAAAACTATCCAATAGGAATCTCTCGAACAATGCTGCAACTCACATTCCTTCTACAGTGTCCTTTTCGTCTTAAGGTGCTCAGGCAATAACACGTATCCTTCCAACGGTTAACACTGCGCGCACTTCCCAATTTCCTGCGTGGCAGATATTGGAGGTCAAAGTGATTCCTATCTGGTTCCCTTCTACAAGCTGATGTTCTGAAGTGGCTTGTGCTTTCCTCATGACCAGTAGTTGAGGGTCTATGTGTTTTCCCTTATTTTTCTCTTTGCTATTGCGACTACTACTACGTAATGAACCGTCAATTAGCCCGACACTTGCCATTGATAATGTAGACTTTCTTAATCATCACACACCAGTTAAGATTGCCTCTATCCGAAACACACATTCATCATCATTTACAAGAGCGTCTATCCGTCGATTATATCCTCGTCCCCAAGACTCAACATTGCTGTCATTTTCGCCCTCTTTTTCTCCTGTGTGACTTGTTCCGCCACTTCTTTGGTGGCCCAGAAAGCAAAAGCCCCTTGTTGGACTGGCCACCTCTGCACTTAATAACGGCAGCAACTCCCCACTTGAATCTATTGTTTGTAGCGACTACAGCGTATTAACGTCTACAGACAAACACACGTAAAGCTGTCTTAGGCCATATCATTGCAGGCTTTTACCATATATATCCAAGATCTGGAATACAAGTTCAGCCTCATAATATTTTGATGGCTATAAACTTTGATGACAACTGGTAAGGATAACAAATCAATTCTCCCACCACCTCATTCCAATCTTCTAATGGACAAGAGGTTGGCTGTTGGCATGTGGACAACGACTCCGGTCTATTAAAAAGTCTACGTTCTCAGAAGGTACCATGGAAGGAACCTAAAGCCTCTTCTGTTACACTCCTGACAGAGACGAATTCCGACTTCGTATTACTTAGGTCTAATCACCGCTACCGACAGTCCGAGGCAACGTGGGGCCGAAAATTAGTGGCGAGATAAGCACTCTGCGGGAAAGAATGTTCAGTTGCTACTAGTATTTCTCACCACCCAAGGCGGACTTTTGTGTCAGACCACACGATCAGGAGGGCCAGGAGGCTCCTTTTTTTTTAAAATTTTTTTTTTAAAGTTATCTTAGCGTCGTTTCGTCCGCGTTATCGGGACCTCTGACTAGGGGCGAGACATGGATCAATCGCGGCTGACACATTTCTACTCCCGGAATTATCAATATTCCGGGAAACCAATCAGCATCAGTTGAGCTCCAGTTCGCGATTTTCAGAGCTGGGGCGACGTGACAGTAACGCTCTAAGAAACATCCTTGACTAAGGGCCGGAACCACTTCACCACATATAATTCAAGCTCTACACAAGAGAAGTAAACCAGGAATCAAAGGCATTTACTGCCTTCGAGCCAGCCACACTTCGGTTTCTGAGCTTTTTCCCGACCTCAATATGTCCAATCAAGTTACAACAGCGGTTCGCCAAGTCTTCCGAGAACTTCATGGCGTGGTCGTGAGTGCTGGGCTCATGCAGAAAACAGTAAAAGTGCGCGTGGGTGGTCAACAATGGAACCAGAAGGTTCAGAAGGTAATCGTGCCCCATATTGTCTCTTTGTTGTTGTGCCTCTGCAGCCAAAGCTGACAATCAACCGCCTTCCAGATGTTTACGAAACCTAAGAACTACCTCGTTCATGACCCAAACTCTTCCCTGAGGACAGGTGATGTAGTCTCGATTGTTCCTGGATGGAGAACCTCCCGCCACAAACGTCATGTTGTTAAAGGCATCATTGCGCCGCATGCCACGCCTATCGAAGAACGCCCGCCAATTCCAACCGAGGAGGAACGACTTGCAGCCCGCATGCAAAAGAGAGATGCAAAAGATACAAGGCGGGCGGCGAGGAGGCAAGAGGATGGCTTGGATAGAGCAAAGAAGGCGCCCGGGGCAGAGGATGAATAATTCAAATTATGCCTGGCCACAGGGGAACCGATTCCGCCTCTACTTGACGAAGCGCCGCACTGTACAACATCACGATGAGACTATACCAAAACCCTGATGGCGATGTCTCTTAACTTTATGACCTTAAAACCCCTTCCAAGTTATTGGCGGAAAGGGATAATGAAGGTGCAAGGATTGCTGATCGCTCGTTGTACATACCAATACTAGTGTAACATTATCAAGCTTGGCCCAGCTGCGTGGCCATTGATCCCAAAATGGCCAAATACCCGACGACTCGTCTTGTCTTTCCAACCACAGCAATCAATCTCTATATAAAGTATCACTTTGTCCCATTATCGCTTCGAAAGTTCTTAAATAGGACCCTCGAAGGCAGAAGACAGGTTCGACATTTTCTGGGTGACCCTTTCTGGGTGTTTTCATCCCCCTCGTTCTCCAAACTCTTTGGCCCAGTCTTCATACTCCTTTAACCCTGCCTTGTTGACGCTGGGTCGAATCGTTGTTAAACTTGCTTCGAAATCTGACAATGAAATCGGCCGAATCTCATCCATCGTCATCCTTAGAAGAGCCTCGCCGAGAGACCGAAGTGGGCCCATGGCCGCATCTTTAGCCAATGCTGTGATATCAGAACCAGAGAAACCTGCAAATTTGATTGTCAGCCTGGGACCGGGAAACAACTAGTCACGTCCCCATATGCCCGATTCACCTAGATATTACTAACCATCAGTAAGTGTGACGAGTCTCTCGATGTCTGAATCTGTAAGGCTATGCTTTTGCTGGCCAAGAAGTGTCCGAAGCTGCTTTGATCGAGTCCCTGGCTCAGGAAGTGGTATGTACTGACGTCTTACAAACCTGCGGCGGGCTGCTTCGTCGATAGCCCAGGGCAAGTTAGTTGCTGCCAAAACAAGAACTCTATTAGGGTCTCCCCGGCCCCTTTCTCTCTCATTGACAACCCTGCCAGCTGCTGCACGCTGGAGATCACTCCATTGGATAAGAAACTCGGTCTTGATCCGCCTTGTCGCCTCATGCTCCCCTGACCCAGATCGCTGTGACAACAGCGAGTCGATCTCGTCGACAAATATGATACTTGGAGCAAGCGCTTTTGCAAGAGAAAACAGTGCGCGTACAAGCTTCTCCGATTCGCCGAGGTACTTGCTTGTTAGACTGCTTGCTGATATTGAAAAAAAGGTTGAACGAGATTCGGTTGCCACAGCCCGAGCAAGCATTGTTTTCCCTGTTCCAGGAGGCCCAAAAAGTAACATGCCCCGTGCTGGTTCACGAAGGCCCATGAATAAATCTGGTCGTAGGAAGGGGTAGACTACAGTTTCTCTGAGGGCATTCTTGGCTATTTCGAGACCTGCAATATCGCTCCAATGGACTTCATCCCCGTGGACCACAATCTCATTGATAATCTGTTTCGCAGCTGTCCCATCCACTCCGGATGGCAAATTTTTCAAAATGCGTGCTTCCTTTATTTCCCAAGCTGATTTGCCTGAAGAACCCTGGTTGTCGTCTTCGAGAGATTCGTCCGATGAAGCTTCATCGGCATCCACTATCACAGCGTCTTCCATTCGTTTCACTTGACGTCTCTTTTCTGTTTCTTTTTTGATTGGTCTTGGGGCTTCCGAGAAACTAGACGAAGACGTCCTTTGTGGATGATAAGCATCTCGATGGGATTGTCCTAATACATCTTGCTCGGGGCCATTCGCCGTGCTACCGCCGTCTCGGCGGTAATTGGCCGCAACAGGCTTCCTTCGGACTTTCACGGTGTCTGACGAGCTTTTGCATCTTACAGCTGAATCGTTGGCGTCAGATCGAGTAGTTCGATCATGTAGAGGAGTGTTTGAACGAGAAGCTGAAAACTGCTGATTCTTCAACCTCCACGTCCTCTCTTGTTCCGGCGTGTGATGTCCAGCAGAAGTCGCATCCTGTATAGACATGGCATTCAAAGCACTTGATGCCGCGCTTACGGATAGCGCAGATGGCCGCGCATGGGAAAGATCGTTGGAGTTTCGTTCGCTATCTGCCGCATCTGAAATTGTCGAAGAAACCTCTCGAGGTGTCACAAGTCTTCTAGTATGAACATCCCATTGAGCATTGGAAGACACAAGCGGCTTGCGGAAGTGCTCAAGACCTGTAACAGAAGGCGATGTTGAAGATGAAGGGTCGACGATCGTTGGGGGTGTCCTGTTCAAACGCTCCTTAGAACCTAGAACACTCCAAGCCAGTGTTGCAGCTTTGCTAGCTCCAGGTTCATCATTTCTTGCTACTTTGCGACTGGGTCTGAATGGCTTCTCCCCTGATTTACCAGACCGAAGGGTCGTCCGCATGGTATACTTCTCGGGGCTGGGAGACCTCATGGTCTGCTCCTTCTTGGCAGACAGGCTGGGTGAGCTCAACGACCCAGCGAGTGACGTTGTATTGGCAGGGCTCTGATCACGTCCAATAACTGCCTTCTCTGATGATGTCCTGGAGACCAAAGATGGGCGGTTAGGTAAAGAAGGCCGGGGAAGCTCAGGGTATTTTATAGCCGGTATAGTGCCTTGGCCAATCCAACCTCGTTCTGGAGTTAGAACGCGGGGAGGGACAGGAGACGAAGATATCGTTTGCGAAGTAGGAACATTCGAATTTTGAGAAGTCATGGCGTCTTGTCGGGATATCCGTAACGCTTCCAGCAGGTCAATGCGCTCCTTACATTGGAGTTCAAGTTGGCGCAATGAACCTAGCAGGGCGTCCTCCGTCTCGGATCTCGCTTCGTAGTTAGGTAGCACTTTGGTAATGTGCTGATCGCATATTTGTTCAAGAGCATTTTTCCAGCATCGCATCGCCTCGTCTTCATCGCCCTAACAACCCAGAATGCGCCTCGTTAGCAAGCAAGCGTTAATGTTAAAGGATGGACTGGGCTGCATTTGTCCTGTAGCGTTAGATACCTGGCTCTCGTAGTAGACAGCAGTTGAGCACTTCAGATAGCTGTCATCATACGTCTTTTGAAGGATGGCGAGCGCCCGGGAGCGCGACATGGTGCTGGTGATGAGTGTGGCCAGACCATAGTCATGACAAGGCGGCTAATGGCCCAGAGCAACAGGTAGTGTCTGGTAAATTACTACCAGGAGAGGTATACTATGGTTCAACGCCGTTAAAGACTTGATATTGCGCAGTATATTGGTTAGCCGCGGTTAAAAGAATCCAATATGAAGGCGTTCAGCTGGCCAACACAGCCTTTGTTTTTCTCGCTGTGGGCATGCGGATGGATGATTGAGTGACTGACAGAATTGGATTGAATCATGGAGGAGTGGGGAGCAAGTGATAGCGCGCCAAAGTGACGTCGCTCGTTAAGGTAGGTACCTAGATTGAGCAAGGGTGGGGGAGAGGGGACAACAACAACAACCAGCCCTATGCCGCCCGCATGAGGAACCTGCTACCCATACATCTTTCTGGTTAAGTAACAGGTGAGTTCACTACATTCAAACAGCAACCACAATATTTAGATAGTCCGAAAAGTCGTTAGCCCGAATGAAGAGGCGCAATAAATGGCACTAGGTTATCAATGTATAAGCGCAGCAATAACTTGCCGTATCATGAATTATTTCCTACTTATTCTACTCACTCAGGCAGCTAGCGGAACAGTATACCGGGGAAGGATCGGAATCAGCAATTATGCCATGTGTATCCAATGAATTAGACAATTATAGTAGCTTGCTAAACTCGGAATGGAATAGAAAAAACATTGGTGCCTATTACAAACGGGGCTTTGCTAAGTTGGTAATTAGGATAGGAGAACACGAATCTCTCCTGTTGTCCTAGGGAACAAGACACGAAGGGGTTGAGATCCATCAATCCCATCGTGTGCATCTCTTTGTTTACCAACCATCTCATCCGCCAAGCGCAACAATGTTTCAACATGTTCAAAGTCATTACAGAACCTCGTAGCAGCTTTCTCCGTAATTTCCCGCGCAATACTGGAATCCTGGAGATGCCTCACGTTGTCCATGGCATCCATGAGTGCCGATGGCAGGAAGTCATCAAGTATTTGACTTGATCGGCTCAACAACTCAGGCTGCACAGCCTCAAGTGATACCACCTTCTCGACATCATTTGGTTCTGTTGTGAGCTTGCCCAAGGCATCGAGTAGCTGCCCAAGTCCTGAGCCTCGACGAAAGAATTGGTACTGTCCTTCAGTGAGCTTCTCACTCTCCTCTACCACCCTCTCTTGTAGTTGTGCTGTCCTCTTCTGTGCGAAGTCGAAGGGCTCCAAAGTATGCTTCGCCGCAAGTAGGCAGTTGGTCAGAAAAATCGCATCAGCTGGCGAACCCACACCCCGAGCCATGTTTTCACACCCGGACAGAAAAGGCTCGAAGGCTTCTGCAAGGATTGGGTGGAAGTCGCTCTCGCGATCTGAAGACGATGCTATGGAAATCTCGTAGGTTTTCATTACAGCAGTTAACTGTTTCAATGCATCGAGTAAAAAATCGGGCGGCCCAAGATCAGAAGGAGTCTGTTGAAATTCGCCCTGCAAAGTCGCGAGATGGTCCCTCATAAGTGAACGAAACTGCCTTAGAGCTCCTATTTCGAGACCAGACATAAGATCCAGCATTCCAGATTTACTTCCTAAAAGCTTCGCGAAAGTAAATCGGTAGAATCCAAGGATGTTGGAGAGCTTGTAGGCTAGTATGGTTTCCTCGTTGGATTGGATGACCTGCTCAACCCTTTGCCGTAGGATTCTCGTCGCTCCGGAGACATCTCGGTCCACTAGGTCATTGAGTGCCTTCAATGCATCAAAATCTTCTGTATCCTCATCCTCGCCATCTTCGAGAAGCTTCCAAAGCTCGTTGGCTCGACCGGATTGGAGACCTTTGGCAATTTCATCGCCTTCGGATACGAAAAGAATCTCAAGCGCTTCTCGTTCACTCACAGTTGCAGAATGTATCCATGCAAGCATGTCGCCTACATAGCGAAGTGGATCATGAGCAGCCATCTCGATTGGTTTGATAGAGTGGTCTTCTGCGCCAGAACTTGCAGTGCCTGTCAAGGCCAATTGGAAAGCATCCGACAGGATGCGTTCTCTGGCTTCAGCAAAGAAATCCAGGCAGTTCTGGAAAAGTGATGGGCGTTCTGCCAAAACCCTAATGGCGCGACGTATGGATGAGCTCATCTGGGGATTTTCCATATTCAGCGTTTTGAATTCGCGCTGCACCCATTTGTATAGCTTCTGGAATGCCAGGTTAATGTTCTTGGATGTTTGCTCCATGACTTCAAGGCCTAGAGTCTGCTTCTCGAACCCGAGCAGGATCTCGCAGTCATGGCTCACACGCTTGGCTTTAGCCAACGCAGCGAAAAAGCTGTCATCAACGGGCTCAGCAGTTGAGGTCAGAGATGCGATTTCGTCGTCTGACAAAATGAAATGACTGTGCAGCGCTCTGAGTATGTCCTGTTTAGCCTCTATCTCAGCCCGCTGCTCAATCAACGACGAAGCTTCTTCCAAGATTGGGCCTGTGTCCTTATGGGCCGCTGCAATGCGATTCCTCACATCTTGGTAATTATTGTTTAGCTTGTCCAAAGTTGAACCTATGCGGCGGAGTTGCTGGATAAGTTTGTTAAACTAGCAACATAATAACATGGGCAGGGTCTCAAACTTACGTCCGCTACTCGGCCAAATTGGGAGACGATATCACCATTGCTATCAATCACCTCCTTTTGCAAATCTAGTCGGAGCTGCCGGCGCGTTTCGGAAGTGTTACCGAGGCCTCTGCCGTCAAGCAACTGTAAAGCATCTCGGAATTCGGCATCTGCATATGAAGTTGAAAGAACCGCCGTCACTTTGGAGGACAGCGGGTTCGGATTTCTCAGTGCCGAGGGCGTGGATGGCGACTGTAATGAAGCATTACTTGAACTGGACACATCTCTGATTGGCAGTGATTTCAGAGGCGCAGGGGCTTTTGACGATGCCATTTTGTACGAGCAAAAAAGCAGCCAGACAAGCTCACGGGTGGCCGTGGTACAGCACTAAAGAATGAGAAAGAGACTTAGTCAGATTGGTGGTTGAGATGACATGTTGCGCTGATGACAGGGACTGTAAGTAGGCGTGGATTCCTGCAATCCTGTTGAGGTACTGACCAGTTGCACGGAGATGAATGATTTGGCTAAATAACCGCACTGTGGCGACCTAACACTACGTACCTGAAGGTACGAAGACAATTGTCAGTTGAATCGTGGGGGCGGCTTCCGATGGTATACTGATAAGATAGGAGTCAGAATTACAGTAAAAGAAGGCGGTGTGAAATAATACCGGCAATTTGATATTCACCGCCGCAGACGCCCACGTCATATCAAAGCACCCAACTATCGGGCATCTGGGAGGCACATGAGCTCGGATACCCGTCCATGTCTCCAACCTTCCCTACCCACCTTGCTTCACGTCACGCGCGCACTGCTTCACCAGGAACTTCGGAAGCCTTAGCGCACCTGAACAACTGAATAACTAACGTTTGTGATCGAAAGTTTGCCGTTTTCAACCCCCTTAATGTTATCTCACTAGCCTCCAGAGCGTCATCGGTGTATGTCACTCAACCCAACAGGCGCTGCAAACACACAACCTGTAGCCCATTATTATCTTGAGGCAAGTAGCCCCACACAAGCTTGTCAGTACCACCTTCGCCTTGCTCCATGGGTAAGTATTCCTACAAATGTCCCAAAGCCTATGTCTGTCACCTGTGCTTTTCTGAAGTTGGCCACATGACCACTGTGTCATCAAGTGATGGTATTATCTCACCTTCGTTTAGTTTACTTGTAGCCTGTCAGTAATCATTTTCCTGAGCTGACCCATGCCACCCTGCAGTTAAAGTACCGAACAGCCTCTTGTCCTGGATTCGGATCACTAATTTTACACTGGCCGCTCTCCGCCCTTCTCGAAATATGCTGAAGAAGAGATGAATAACGTGTAGACTTCGACAAGGAGCCACCAAAACAAGTCGATCGTTTTGGATTTGCCATGACTTCCAATATCTTTTCTAGGCTGGGTCAGCCAACAAGAGGCTCCAGATCCTCGTACGAAGCATTAAGAGGCGGGCGTGACAGCGACCCGGATATCGAAGAACAGGCTGGACTCGATGTCGACGAGGAAAATCTAAAAGAGCATTTTCAAGACTACGATCTGGATCAAGTACGAGGCATCGCCGCCGATGATAGTCATGCTACTCTCGAGAGCAATCCCAACCTTTTCAAAAGTCCCCGAGAGGCCAGCGGACAAGGTTCACAACGCACGAGAGCCCGACGGGATCCGGGGGCGAGGTGGCACCGCCAGGAAGATGATGCCGATAACGATGTTCCTGCTTCCCTTCTTGTTGAACCGCACGATGTGGAAGGCGATGTAAAGGCGGCAACCCGTAAAAAGCAGCTTCTTTACCCGGCGAGGCCAGCTGCCATTCCTGGCCCCTCCACTCGACGAACTTTTGCTCAGTGGGAGACGACGCAAGCACAACAAAGGTTACATCCGGCTGATAGCATCAAACCGATTAGGCCGCATACAAAACGACTCTCTCGAGGCCTTGTTGCAAACAACGAGAAAGAAAAGGCACTTTGGAGATGGGTTAACATCTCAAACTTAGACTTCTTCATCCAAGACGTTTATTACTACTACAGAGGTAGTGGATTTTGGTGCATAGTTTGTGCTCGAGCACTGCACCTGTTGTATGTTGCAGCCTTCCCACTATTTCTACTTTGCATGTTGGATAAATACTCACCAGCAATTAGGGAATCGGCCTTCTTTGCCGTATTTCTGACGTTCATGACACAGTGTGTTGACTACTCTCTGATCTCTGACAAGAACAAGAAGTCTCTGGGTGAAGTTGTGATTCCCCAGTGTACTAGAAAAATGTCCTTTATTTGGAATATGGGCCTGTGGTTATACGTCTTCTACTTCATCTGGAAGGCAGTTCAGTTCACCGTTGACCTACGGCGACTGTATAGTATGCGCAACTTTTACACGCATCTGCTTGAGATACCTGAAGAAGACATGCAGACAGTCTCTTGGCAGGACATCGTTGGCCAGGTTATGTCGCTCAGAGACGCAAATCCAAAGACCGCCATCAACATCACACCGTCGCAACGGAAATGGCTCCGTAATCAGTCAAAGGAGCGACTTGATGCACACGATATCGCCAATCGTCTCATGAGAAGGGAGAATTACCTCATAGCCATGATGAACAAGGACGTGGTCGATCTGACTCTGCCCATTCCATTCATGCGGAAGCACCTTTTTTTCTCGCGAAGCCTCGAGTGGAACTTACACTTTAGCATTCTGAGCTTTGTCTTTGATGAGAACAATCAAGTCAACCAGGAATTTCTCAAAGCAGACCGTCGAGGTCAGCTGAGCGCAATGCTAAAAACACGGCTTATGTTTGCCGGCATAATCAATTTGTTGATTGGGCCTTTTGTTGTTGCCTACCTTATACTTGTGCATGCTTTGACGTATTACAATGTAAGCTCCCTGCTTACGAGATGAGATATCATGAATAACATACTAATCGACGCGTGATTAGGAGTACCAAAAGGACCCCTCAACCTTCAGCCATAGGAGATACACGCCACTGGCCGAATGGAAATTCAGAGAGTTTAACGAGCTTCCGCATCTTTTTCAAGAGCGACTAAACATGTCTTACCCATTTGCCAGCTTATATATTGACCAGTTTCCGAAGAAGCTGACCGAGCAGTTTGCTCGGTCAGTTACATTTATTGCTGGAGCCGTCACATCTGTTTTGGCTGTCGCATCGTTCCTTGAACCCGAGCATTTCTTGGGATTTGATCTCCTGTTCGGCAAGTCAGCACTGTTTTATATAGGAATCTTTGCTGCGACCTGGGCAGCAGCCAGAGGCATGATTTCCGAAGAAACTACCGTTTTCAACCCAGAGTACGCCCTGCGTAGCGTTATCGATTACATACGTTACATGCCAGACCATTGGCAGGGCCGATTGCATACAGCTGAAGTAAAACGTGAATTCTCGGAATTGTATAAGCTCAAGATCTTAATTCTCGTGGAGGAGATAGTCGGCATTCTCACGGCCTCTCTCGTGCTCATCTTCTCGGCTCCAAAATGCAGCGACCAAATCATTGATTTCTTCAGAGAATTTACGATTCACGTGGATGGAGTTGGCTATGTCTGCTCCTTCGCCGTATTCGACTTCAAAAAGGGCGCAGGCAAGGCCAAGCAACAGGCAGCCAATGGAGACGTCCGCGAAGACTACTATACGACGAAGCATGGCAAAATGGCGGCATCTTATTACGGATTCCTGGACAACTATGTGGTCAACCCCAGAACAGGTATGCCAGGTCATCTACCCCCCGGAAGTCGACATACATTTCATCCACCGCCGGCATTCCCTGGGCTTAACTCGCCAGCCCTGGCGGCCGACATGCTGAGCTCCAGAGCTGGCCGGCATGACCTCGCGAGAAGTCGTGCCTTCGGAGGCGGGTTTGGGCAACAGACCCGAACGCCACGGTTCGGGCCCTCTATGACAGCTCCATCGCCGATGGCGTCGATGTTACTTGACCCACATCACCAACCGCCGGCAACAGGGTTCGGCGTCCGAAGCACTCATCGGAGCCGAGGGGGCCGGAGCGGACACCAAGGTGAGGGCATCATTGAGGAGTCGACGGAAGACGGGCTGAGAACGGCAGAGCGCTTAGGTTCGCAAGGACTGTTTGAAGATGAAGTATTTGAGGGATCAGGGCCTCTGGGAGAGTCCGTATGGGAGACGTCACCTCCCAAAGGGCTCAGTCGGGAGAGCAGTGCTACGGAAGACACAGGGGGACAGGATGCAGGGGTATTGGGGTTGATCTACCAGTTCCAACAAGCGCATCGCAATAACCGACAAGGCGGAGGAGTACTGTAAAAGAGGAACGGAGGGAGAAAATGGTAGAGCGAACTTGCAACACTATGTGCAACAATGACATAAGGATGGTTGGCTTCGTGATGTTTCCTATAGATTGACAGTCCCGATTATGAACTTGGGTATGGTCCGTGAATGGAGTTTCGGATGTTAGGACCTGTTTAATGAAGAAAGAGAGTTGGAGTCTAACTGCAACTAAATCAGACATCAGCTAAGGAGTAATTTCTAACGCGTCTAGGACATTTCCGAAGTGTGTTTGGCGGAATTTGCATCAACACCACCAATACACATACTGACAACAGTTGAAACTGGGACAGCACACTAGTTACGAGAAAAGACGATGACACAGCCTGTAAATAACGGTTGTCCAACAATAGGTGGCTTTTGGCCCCCCTAAAATCCCCAAAGAAGAGTTGGCACACCGGACCGAAAATGAAATGTCGTATCTCCGAAGGACCCGACATTGAAGTTGCGCGTCTCCGGCGGCGGTAGTGATCGGCGAAGTAGAAACCGAGATGCCTGGTAGGCTAGCCCAGCCATAGGAAGCATTCTGTCACAGAATTGAGCCAAGTTAGGCTGTATCTGTCAGATGGCACTGGGGGAGAATATGGATATCAAGAAGTGTCCACGTGGCACGGCCTGGAGGGCAAGAAAATTGGTGGCTGTACTTTAAGACGACTGGCAATAATTACTCATATGCTTCAGAGGGCATTGTTGGTTCATTTCTCTACGGGTAACTGCACCAGACATGTGGCCGAGGATGTGCGAGAATGAATGATACTAAGTGCTTCAGGGGAAGATAGCGGCAACACTAGTCATGTCCAGCCAATATATTATTCAGTGAGTCCAGGATAGGACATTGTCTTACAAGGGAGTAAACCCGACGTCGGAGCAAGGAGTCAGCTTCTAGAAGAACGAGGGAATGCCGTGAGAGGGAGGTGACAACAAAATGCAGCTAACCTTCCAACCCCGAGGATGCGGAGGAACGGTGGAGAAGGATCAATCTAGTGTACGATGCGAGTCGGATGATGCAGGTGTTCCCCCTCGGCTGTTTGGCGCCGTGGGCTTCTAGTGCTTGGTGAGTACAGACACAGAGCCGGAACACTCATAACACCTCATGTGTTGCTCCGAGGGTGCCACTGAAGTATTGCCTTTGGCCACTCGCTGCATCGCGCTTAATGAATGAGAGGAGCCACTAGACCTCTGAAGTTATTCCAGATGGGGCTCATCCATCCGCTAATCCCAGTTGAACTGAATGCACCCACCTCAGTTTTGTGTGGTCCACTTCGGCCCCCTTTGCTGCACCGCAGTCGGGCTTGAGTACGTGCCTTCCAGGCTTTACATCTGATTTTACCTTTTCAGATATGGATAGACCGGGCTCGCAATGATGAAGTGACAGCAGTAGTTTTTGTGCAAAGAGGGCAGCTTATAAACACCATAGCTGGCAACCAAGCTCCTGCAGTATGACTGATACGAAGTATGAATGGCAGATGGATGGGCCGTTTGTCGAGAAATCGTAACTATGATAATGCATGCAGCAACAATTTTGCACCGTGTAGCGTCTCAGCTACTAGGCACCTTAACACCGGTGGTGACTACTACTTTCTTAGTTGAGCTGAGTAGCTGCCTCTGAGGCCGAGGCATTTTATTACTTGATACGAAACCAAATAGGATAAAAAATCGTTGCCCTTTACCGTTTGATCTATCCACATATTGAGCCTCTTTGTCAAAAGCTTCCCTTACCTGTGGGCAAGCTTTTCTGCTTGATAATTAGCCCAACTTTGTCTGTTTTCCGCCAAGCCTGCCCATTGAAGATAAGCCATTTTATAGGCAGCCAATGCCGAACACTGGGCCTTGACAGCAACTGACGACACTTTGTCTAATACTGCTTGCCCACCTGCCGGAGCAAAAAGTCAATTGATACGTAGGTACCTCCGAAGCCCGAACCGACAGGTGAGAGGCCTCAGCTTGTATCCACTTGCCCTTAGGTACCGACTAACTGAGACTGTAATTTTTTTTCCCCTTCCCCATGCCAGCCTGACAGTCAAAGGTACCTTGCCTCGCTTCTGCTACCTCAACTTCGACTTTCTACCACTTCCACACGTGAACGTGCATCGCAACCCCCCAGCACCGCGCCGCTCGCCAACGAACTATCGGCAGTTTTGACTCCCTGTGCGATTGAACCCGCGCCGAACCCGCCTCGATCACGTCCGGCCGACTCGGTACTCATAGCAGCAACGCCTCTGCGCAAACTCTAGTCCAACCAGAGAAGGACATCAGCAGAATCAAAGCGCGATCTTTGGGTTCAGCTCAACAAGAGCTCCTCCCGCCACATCCATAGGCGTCTACGACTATCCCGTTGCCCCTCGCAAGCTGTCAACCTGGCGGCTCTTCAGCCCAAGCCCTACGGTGAAGCATCTGACGCTGCGGCCGCAATGGCCCAGCCCAATGCAGAGCCCGTCGAGGAATATGAGTGCGTACTTTCCTTCCCCATTCACCCACCCGCACCCATCTCCATGCTCGAAATCCCCGTCTCCAAGGCACCTGCCAATAACACCAATCAAAAGACAAAAGACAGGCTTGCTAACTGAGAGTCAAATTGCTACATAGCTATGAATCGCTACCTCCCAACTTCTCCCTGCTGCAGAACATGGCAGCTGGGGCTTTCGCAGGTATAGCTGTACGCTGTCCTGTCCTATTCGGCCGAGCTTTGCCTTGTACTGGCTTTGGTCGAGTTCTTAGGGGATCTCCGAAGCTGACTGTCTTTGCAGGAACATACTGTCATGTATCCCATTGACGCTATCAAGGTATGGCACAAACCCACTTTCATGGCTTCGGCGGTTGTTGTCCGCCTCACCATCTTCCGCTAACCCCGAGTTTTTAGACCCGAATGCAGGTCCTCAATCCCAACCCCTCAGCTGTCTACAAGGGAGTCATTCAGGGCACCTATCGCATAGCCAGCCGAGAGGGCGTTCTAAGCCTGTGGAGAGGCATGTCGAGCGTTGTGGCCGGAGCTGGTATGTTACCCGTGGCGAGCAGGAGCCTCGTTTGCTTCACATGAGTTGGGTTATTAACCTTATCAGGCCCTGCTCACGCTGTCTACTTTGCAACCTATGAGGCCGTCAAGCATGTCATGGGCGGTAACCAGGCCGGCGTCCACCATCCCCTTGCTGCTGGTGAGCTTTTCTCCGCCCTCCCGTTTTTGTAATGTACCACTGGCTAATCAATGTTTTCTCTGCCAGCAACTAGTGGTGCCTGCGCTACCATCGCTAGCGATGCACTGATGAACCCCTTCGATGGTATGTGTCTCATCGACGGTCGCAGTACTACCCCGCGAATAGCTAACAATTGTCCACGTCACCAGTCATCAAGCAGCGTATGCAGATCCAAGGCTCAGCCAAGATGTACCGATCTATGACTGATTGCGCCAAATACGTCTACAAAACTGAAGGGCTAGCGGCCTTCTATGTTTCCTACCCAACTACGCTGTCAATGACGGTGCCCTTCACTGCTCTTCAATTCCTCGCCTATGAATCTATTTCAACGGCCATGAACCCCAGTAAGAATTACGATCCAACGACGCATTGTTTGGCCGGCGCGGTTGCTGGTGGCTTCGCCGCTGCCCTGACCACACCTATGGATGTTATCAAGACTATGCTCCAGACTCGAGGAACTGCTACCGATCCCGAGCTTAGGAACGTTAACGGCTTCATGGCTGGGTGTCGTCTATTGTATGAGCGGGAGGGTTTCAGAGGATTCTTCAAGGGTGTACGCCCTCGTGTGGTCACTACTATGCCTAGCACGGCTATTTGCTGGTCTGCGTACGAGGCCTCCAAGTGAGTTGAGCCCCCGTTTCGAGACTTCAAAAGGGACAAAATACTAATGCTGGTATCCTTCAGGGCGTATTTCATCGCACGGAACGACTCACCTTGAAGCGGCTCGCCACTGTGCACAAAGCAAAAGACGTCTTTGACGATTTCGATCACCGATTAGAGCGGTAGTGTAAATTTTAGACGGCGGACCAGGCAGGAGTGGTTTCACCCGAGCGATAGCTGACCTTGGCCTGGGAACTCAGCAACGGGAAACAGAAGAGGCACGATACCACTCATAGCGAGGGTTTTTTTTTTTTAGTTTAAAAAAGAATACTGGCTGTGTTGCGATATGGGAGCTGTGCTGGAGGTCTCGCTAGTGGGCTGTATTTGGTATCAGAGAACTGGTGGTTTGGCAAAGTGCAATGTTGGAAAGGATATTGAATCTGTTGACGTCGAAAAACGACAACCGTTAGGAGTTGGTATACTCAGGGCTGGAGTTGCAGACATTAATCTGGAATACCGTCTCTCACTCTCCTCACACTACCACACTGTTACCACCATATTCTCAATGCATCGGATTTCAGATTAGGGCGATTAAATGCAACTGTAGACGCAGGTGATGAAAATGCCTACGTGATGCCCACATGGACAGTGTCACAGCGAGTATTGCACCGCAACTTGAGGTCTGGCAGATCGAAGCAGGCCATGAGTACTACGCCGGTCGTTAGGCAGCTGCCTTACCAGAACCTAGCGGCAGTTAGGAAGGGAGTTCATGAGATAATTGACTGTATTGAATATTCAACGACGCGTATGGGGACCAACCCGAAGAACAGACTTAGTCGAAAAACAAAATGTAACAGCGGCTTACTCAGGCTCTTTCTCCCTAAGACATCCATCTCGCAGCATGGCAGACGTGACCTATATAAAGCGCAGCAGAGAAATTGCACGTACAGGACCCTCTCCAAACAGATTTGATGAGTTGATTGTGTAGCGCTCGCTTTGGAAGGCTAAGACGTTCGTTTAACTTGAGGTTTGGTCAAGTTAGTGCAAAAATTGTATCTCTTGTCCTCAAGTGCAAGGAACTAAGGGGCTGTAAACTGTTATACGATTGGCTTGCTGGTCCTTGTCCGAATGGTTTTACAGCTCCTAGCTGTTACGAACAGAAAAACGATGATAATTGCCTCTGAAAGGCCCCAAGAACTCCAAGTTTGACCTGTAACTCCTTAAATTTATGCCAAGCCTTCCAGGAACCCGCGCGTTCAATCAGAAGGGGAAGCCACCGGGAAACGCCGCCGCCGCCGCCGCCGCCAAACTTGAAATGGAATTGCTGGCTTCCACCCCCGCCACCTTGCTGGAACATGAACGGATGACCATGACCAAAGGGGCTGCCTTGGAAAGGATTACCTTGCTGTTGGTTGTTGGGATCATCGCCACGGTCAAAGCGTTCGCGAAGCTCAGGGTTGCTCAACACCTCATATGCCTCGTTAATGCCCGCCATCTTTTTCTCGGCTTCCTCCTTAGTGAGTCCCTGCTTGACAGCCTTGTCTGGGTGGTGGATTTTGGAGAGCTTGCGGTAGGCCTTCTTGATATGACGTTCGTCGGCATCATGAGGAACTCCGAGGACCTTGTAGTAGTCTTTTGTCTGACTCCGCTTAAGAGCAATTTGAGCCTTCTGCATCAAGGGTTGGACCACATCGTTTTTGTCAGGTCTGACATTGCCAGCCTCCTCTAATGACCTGATGGCTGCCTCATATTCCTCCTTTTCCATCATCGTCTTGGCGCGGTACAGGAGGCCGTAGAATGATTTGCTGTCGAGTGCGATGACATCCTCACAGTATTGCTTCGCCTTCTTGCTGTTCATCTAGGACGGCTGTGAGTTTCCTGTTTAGGGAAATTCGGTGTGGTTTACTTACATCATAGTAGCCTTGGCAAGCCATCTCCATCACTCTGGTATACAAAGCCGATTGAGCAGTGGCAGGAACAGTACCGTCAGCGCGGAGCTCTTCCAGTTGATTCTTGATGTCGGTAATTAGACCCGTGTCATCGGCAGAATCAATCAACAACTTCACCCCAGTCATAGGCTGTGATTTGTCGAATGCCTTAGTTACCCTGGCAAGAGTTTTATCAATGGCTTTCTGCTGCTTGAGCAGCTTTTTGCATGGCTTCGAGTCAGGATCGGAGTGTAGACACTTCCTGGTCTGGGCCATGGCGTTCTGAAGGTCGCCAAGTCCATAGAAGGTGATAGCCGAGATCTTAATGTGCGGCGAAACATCGCCTGGTCTCATTTGGAGAACATGGTGCAGGTCACCCATTCCCTCTTCAACCTCGCCGCGCTGAAATCGACAGCGCGACCTCATTTCTCGTAGAGAAATGGCACGGTTTGCTGTGAGAATTGCCTCGCCAGCCTGGGTAACACATGCTTCCCAGTCGCCATTCTTCTCGGCAATCTCGGCAAGGCGGGCAGCACCCTGAGCCTCCTCAAGACTGATAAGTTCGGGGGAGGTAGCGTCCTTGTTGGCCAAAGTGTACTGTTCTCTTGCGCCATCCCAATCGGCGGTCTTGGACTTGATCTTGGCGAGTTGGACATGGGCACCCTCAAAACCGGGCTTCAGGGAAAGGACCTTGTTGAAATCTTCGGCTGCCTGATTCGTACGTCCGAGGGAGAGATAGGTCGTGGCACGCTTGAATAGTGTCAAGTAATTGGAAGGATCGCGAGCGATAGCAGCATCGTAGTAGACAAGGGCATCGGTCGTTTGGCCTCTGGACAGATGAGCTTGGGCGGAGGACAGCAGAGAAGAAACAGGTGTATCGGAGGGGATTTCATCGGCAGTAATAGCAATAGCTGGCGTAGAGAGCAGGGAGGCTGCGAAAGCCAGAGTGCAGAGGCGGATGTACATGGCTGACGCCGAGTAAGAGCAGGCCGACGTAGCGAGAGAAACGAAGGGGCCTTACAGAAAAAGAGACAGATAGACGAAGAAGGAGAAGAAGAGGACAGATATAAGAAATAAAAGAAAATGTCACCGGCTGCGGAGGGCGATGGGGGGATGGTAGTAGAGGGTAAAGTGGAAAAGTTGTCCTCAAAGACGGACTAGAAGGCGCCGTGATCTGATAGGCGGTACCGGATGGCACACCAGACATAGATGTGTGGAGCAAGTACTCTTTAACGGGTACCCATCGCGTATCCCTTGTCCCAAAGATATGACAGCCATGTGTAAATGCAGCCTTGTTGGACCAGATGGCTTTCGCTAGTTCTCCGGTACGTACCGCAACCGGACACGATCGCCTTCTACGTACTCCGTACATGTGCCACTAAATAAGGTAACCTAACTCTTCATTCACTCAATGGACTTGCGGCGCGGCGCCACGGAAAGTCCATGCCACTGAGATCGGCCCCACTTCGCTTTTTTTGCAAGGAAGCCTTCCGAAATCAACCCACGTCACCTCCAAGCCCATAGTTCTTGGTGTTTTGGACTCTTTCAAGCAAAGTACCCCTGATCATATCCTTCGGCTCATATCCCTAGCAAACACCGTGCATCTTGCACACTACAAGTATCCTTACAGTCTTCACATACAGGCAAGCAGATTGCTTTACAACTGGTACAGATCCTACGTTTGCACGCGACGAAGCCAACACAACGCACCAGTTGATTTTGGTCAAGGGTCAAATAAATTGTCTCTTGACTAACTAAACCAGGCACTCCTTAGAGGCTCGTCATGGCTCACCTTCCGTCGTCAACCGCCATATTTTCACCTTCAATAGCCCGCATCGCCGCTTCTACTGCCAAGGACTGGAATTATGTCGACGGTTGGCTTGCTTGTAAATTCCAAGGTCGTGCAGTACCACTTTTCGAAAGAAACCCTGAGACACTGAGAGTCCTCCTAGCCTTGGCCGCATTGAATGAGACTGCAGATGACGAGCGTGAACTCGTATCCAGGGCAGAGGCTGGAGCCCTTGAAAATCTAAATGCGGATCGTGACCTGCTCGATACTTCATCAGAACTTCCGATTCCCGTTACGGCCCGCGAGAGGATCCTTGCCGCCATTCAAGATCACCTCACGCGTGAGGGGAGTACCGCCCTCAATTCGATGGCTACGCTATCATGCCAGCTATCTGTTGCATATCCGGAGGCTAAGAGTCTTGGACGCTCCATGATAGAACTTCACGCCCAGGCCTCAGAGCTTGAGCAGACGAGGGTCCGCGTGCATATACTTTTGAAGTATATTGACCAAGAGTTCGCTACAGCAGACGAGCTATTGCGAAAATTACGCAGCGATGACTACAAACCTACCAATGACCTGGCTCGACAAAACTTGGATATGCAAAGGAGAATCAAAGCCATGGCAGCTCGCCTGCCTGAGCTGAAAGACCGCATGTCAAACTCAAGTCAGTTATCCGGTTTGCCTCGCGATACTATCGAACAAATCGTTCAAGAAGAGAGCGATTACATCGAACTCCTTGCTCAAAAGAAAAGCCTAGACGCTCAGGTTAGTCAGTTTTCTAGCCTTCCAGATGATGTCAAGAGGGCTCGACTTGAGCTTGATAACATTCGTGCCGAGCTCCGCACCATCATTCAGCGTCGGGACAATGTCTTTGAAGGGCTAGTTGAACGCGAAAGTCCGCGAAAGGGCCGCGGGTAAGTGCCTGTAAATACTCTAGCATACAGACACATGCTGCCGCTTGTGCCAATGGGTATTTCAACAGATGTGCACTCAAAAAATCGCCTTCCAGTGACTATCTATCTCCATCAGCCGGGTCTCTTTCCCCTGACTGCACCACCCAAGTTCCTAATCTGCCGCATGCCCAAACCAGCTCGCTTGACTACGGGCGGCGCAGCTGGAGGTGTCGGATCCTTTACCGGCACAGGAGGCCCGCTTGCATTGCGTGACTCCTTGGACCCTTTTGGGTCTATCCCCTCTCCTAGGCGCAATTCTGTCATACCGAGGCTGCCTCGGCCATCATCGACATCTCCAGAATGTCTCTGGGATCGCCGAGCTCTTTCTTGCACACTCCGAAATTTTTCGAGTAATTCATTCCAGCGGATGATGCCGTCTTCCCGGCCTTTAAGCCTATTTGGTCTGTCGTAGGTTGAGCTAGCGGCGGGACTGGGATTCCTGTAGGACTGTGGTCAGCTGCTGTTTATGGGTTTGCGTGCGGGTGATGTCAGTACCAGGCTCCGCATAGGCCGAGGCTTAAGCGGTTGCTGGGAACACTTACACTTTAGGCGCAATGTGCAGGTAGCCGATCGAGCTGACGCTGTTCAAACGATTCTTAAGAGCGGCAAAGGCTGAGGACTGCGGAAGAAGCATTAGGAGCCCATAGAGGCATTTGTACAAATGGGGGTATTTTTCTGGCTCTAGCAATTGCAATCGAAGGTCTGTAACCAATTTAGCGTTCACTGATGATATTGGTGCTGGCGGCAGAGAACCTACAAGTGAAAACAGGAGATTCTATCAACTGAACTAGCTTATCAATCTGGATGAGAATGTTCACTGTCATCTCCAGTTCAGCGCTAGATATGGTCAGTGTGATTGTAAGAGAGGTGGAGATAAAAAAGAGGGTTGGGCTCACAAAATCTGTAGGAGATTGTAAGCTTGCTCATAGGCTTGAGCCAGAAGGCAAAGAGAGAACGTAGCGACAGCATTATGGCACCAAGAGCGGAAGAGGGCGACGAAAAAGGTTTGACCATCCTGGTTTTGTGTAAGTAGTCTGGCGACAGTAAAGCAACCAAAGAATATGTGTTCATGATCTACCTTGGACTCTAAGTTGCGAAGTCTCTTGCGCAATTCAGATAGCTCCGGAGCTGTGATGAGGTTGTTGTTTAGGTTCTGGACCATGATGCTGGCGAACTCGACATCCTCCTCTTTTTCTATGCAATCTGCAAGAGTCCGGTAGATTCTTTCAGCACTAAGGCTAACGCAGAGCTGGCGTATAATCAGGTTTCCACGGGTCTCAAGAAGCTTTCTGTCAGTAGCAAAGAGTTGAAGCAGGTTGACCATGAAGTTGGAAAAGTAGTCGTCCTCACTATTGCGAGAAATCTGGGACAGTAACTGCAGATCTTTCGTGACGACAGCCTCTGCTGGGTCTGACAGTGTTTTAAGTAATGCAGGAAAAGTTCCATCGTTGAAGGCGAGCACTTTCCTTGGGGCCTTCCTGTGGAGCATTATCAACCATGTCAGCGCAGCTACGCGGGTTGCCTCATGATCGTTGAGGAATAACAATGTCAACGCATTAACTGCTGCGGCATAATCTAGATCCACTTGAGGGTGAACATTCGACGATGGTACGTTAGGTGTAGAGAGGGACCGGTTATGACCTTGAGCTGGAGTCGGACTTCTTACCTCAAGGTCCCGAGAACTGGAGAGAGACGCACGAGCACTTGAAGCTCCGTCCTGTCGGTCGCCAGAAACTGGAATGCGCGACATGGATTGAGAAGGGCCACCGATTTCCGGCTCGTCAGACAGTGAGACAACGTAATCCATCAGGCCAGCGTTGACGCGAGCGGCGGCCTGACGGATGGACTCGACACCGCTGGCCATAGCAGGCAGCATGTGAGCCAATATTTTGGGGGTAAATGGCAACACTTCTTCAGGGCAAATGTCCAGGAACTCGACGATCCAGCGGAGGGATTCCAAGAGGGAGTCTTCTTCTGTTAGAAACGTTAGTCATTGAAAATAGCAGGGCAAGAAATGGAGCCAAAGGACATACCGAGCGGGGAATCAAGCGTCGCCGTGAGTATTTCCAGAATTTTTCGGTAGTTGATTTGCACATCCTGGCCAGGGATCCAGTCCTCCTCGCCGCTCCCATCGTCATCATCGCTTTGTGAGTCAATTTCGTCGCCTTCTTCGGGTTCAATATGGACACTACCGGAGTCAACCGACTCCTCACGTTTGCGTTTGCCACCTTCACGGGACTTCTTGCTTTCGGCGATGCCCTTCTTTACTCTAGATATCCTCTTAATCTCGCTGAGAAATTTGTCCAGGCACGCCTGCGTGGCGACGTGAACATCTCGATTAGGGTCGCTCAGAAACTTGAGCAAACCTCCAAGGAAGTCCGGCAGAAATGTCACCAGTTCCAGATCAGGAATGGAGTCGAGTAGGGTGATCCAACCGACCAGGAATTGGCGAGTAAAGGGATTGATAACCCATATGCGCTCCTGGAGCAAGGGTATGAAGCGGCGCAAGGAGAAGGCGGTTGGAGGCGGAGGGCGGTCATCGAGCTCCTCCTTGTCGGTAATCTCCTGGCTTAGTTCACCTTCCAGAACCGATACATAAGAAGCGGCCGATTCCGAGACTATGTCTTTAATGAGGCGGTCGAGCAGTTCGGCACCGTTCTTGACGGACAGCTCAGAATCTGCTCCAAGCTGGAAGAAAAGAACCAAATAAGTATATTACAAAGCAGACTTAGGATAAGCAAAGAAAAATACAGAAAGAGGACCATGAGGTTAGTAGTGTGTACGGGGAAGATAAGAGGGAGAGCTAAGAGAGGTTTGAGGATGTAGATTTACTTTACCTTGCAAAGTGCGTCGAATATGTCGTTGAAATATATCAATATCTCCCCCTTAGCGACCTTGGCAATGTTGTACATGGCCTCACAGGCATAGTACCTAACTCTGGCATCTTGGTCAGTGAAACAGGCTAACACTGGTGGTACTATCTTCTCTAAGTAGCGAGGTAATTCCTGCTGTGGTGTCAGTCGAATGCATTTTAAGCAAAAGGCAACACAAAGACAGGGTTGAAAATAATGGGATGGGGACACGGGAGAAACGAGGACTTGGAAGTGGACGTACGGGACCAAGAGCAATAGCTGCTGCTGCCAGACCGATGAGGCCACCATTTCTAGCATGGGGTTGGTGTACAGCGTAGGCAAATTCGTTACATAGCTGCTCGAGGATGGCTTGAACTCTGGGGTAATCACGAGTGACTACCAGCTCACGAATCACCCGTTCGAGTCTATCAGAATTGAAAAGTCAGTGTTGTTGCGCTGAGACGGCGGTGAGGTTAAATTTGAAAGTGAACCACTGATGAGGAATGGACATACTCAAGCGCTCCAACCTTCCTCTTGTCATAAAGTTTGTCGTTCAGGGCTCGTTGAATCCCGACATCCATGGCTGTTGTGACAGATATAGGAACGGTGATAGCGTTAGACCAAGAGACGATGATGGTAGCAGTAGGATCATATCCTAATGCTGCGGCGTCGAGCGGGACTCAGTCGGGTGCCCTGCGTTGGGCCGGACTGGTTGGGCGTGATCGCTAGGCCGAGCTGGTTGAAGATGAGACAATTTTACCCCGGATGCAAGATGCGATGCCAGCTATTGAAAATATCGAGCAGAAAATATGGGAGATCAATCAAGGCGGGAATGACACATCCGGGGAGTGAAGCTATGCTCGCAAGATTGTGAGGCTATTGTGAGGCTGCAGCTGGGCAGAGGAGGTGAGGTAAGACCAAGGCAATAAAGGCACTTTGCTCTGGCAAGTCCAAAAGAGGCGTGTGCAGGTACAGCTGCAGGGAGGGCGGCAGATGGCGTGTGGCGCTGCAATTGGGGGCACCTGGCCAGACAGACCGCTTCAAGTTGGTACAAGGTACCTTTTGCGTGTATATGCACGCGAGGGGCACGACACCTCTCGATCGCATATGGCTCAACGCCAATCAGGCAAACCATACGCTGGCTACTTCTGCCAGCTACTTCCCTATCTTTCCGTAGGCATCTCATTCTTTCTCAAGTGCATTATTTCGCGCTGCAACTGCACCGTTTCTCTTTGCTACAAGCTGCCGATTAAATTTCCTATTATTCTATCCCCTTCTCCTCTCTTGTCAGAGTAACCTTGACCTGCCCTAGTTCAACCTTCCGAAAGCAAACACAAAAACGATACAGCCCCCCCCCAAAGTCTTCACCTTCACAGCAACACCCCTCACCGGCCTCCAAATCTCCCCAGCGGGCTCTGTGTATGCCTTTGGCGAATTAAGGACGATCAGTTTCCTCGACTTGCGAGATAACTTCTGCAGGTGCCCTTCGTGTTGAGATCCTTCTATCAATTTACATTTGTTCTTCTTTCCGCCATGCCTTGCAATGTAGCAAACCGGTCAAGGCAGCGCGCGTCTTCTTTCACCTGACGCCTGTACGAAACTATATACGCAAACGCAAACACATGCTCCCCATACTTTTTCATCTTGTCCAGCACGCCTCTTCCTATATTTGCATTGTCTTCGTGCTCCTGGTTCTTCGTATGTGCGCGATGGACGAAAAACCGCTTTCCATACTTCCTGCATCTATTGCTCGGGCACATTACCTAGAAACGATCCTAGGAATCCTGTAACGCACTCAACCAGTGGGCTAGACACCGTTTCCCCACGCCCCAAAATGCCCTTTTGGCCAGCTGGGATAGTTTGATGATCAAGTCATTCCTTCCACTCTATGTCACAAGCCCAAGAAGACCAGGTCACAGAGTTTACACAACTAATACCTATCTGTCTCTTTTCTCCTTGGCCGCCCTCGCCTCTACCGAGCAAACCGGGCCAGTTCCATGGTAATAAAAGACATCAATCGGCCGGGATGATACAACTATCACAACCTCAGCACTCCATGCTTTATTCTGGCTTGCAATATTCTACTCCAGTGCTCGTTCACCCTCCCGCAGGATTCCTCGTGACTCGGCTAATAATAGCTTCTTCCAGTTGATGGAGCCCGGCATCCCGGCGCTTTTTTATTGTATTTTACTTTAAACAGCGCTGATCCTGGCCACACGCTTTTGATTCGGTTCTCCGAAATTCCAACTATTTGGGTCGGCCTGGCCATTTTCAAACACCCCTGCTCTAACCTTGTCCTTGTGCCATCCCCTTCCTGACCATCACCATTAAGGATATGTCAGCCTTTTTATGGCTTTTCTTTCTGTATGTTGTTGGTCCTGGTCCTTCTGGCTTCCTCTCCCAGTCTAGGAGCCGGCTAGCATATATTTTTCGCGGACACACTTGTAAATCAAGTTCTCATCTTTCTTTTGCCATGATCTCTTGTGCCTCTTCCCTCATTTTGCCCTGCCTAGTTGAGCCAGCAGTTTACATTCACGAAGGACCTGAAGCTGGCAAGTGCCATTTAATCTTTACTCTTCGGTAATTATGCGCCATGCACTGTTCTTCCTTCACAAGCACGGAGTACCTCATACTACTTCAGTTTTGCCCCTTCCTGCTTGCCTCCACTACATAGGTGGGTCCCCTGCCAGTCCTTACTGGATATCTCCACGTCCCAGTTTGTCTGTGCTACCATGGTGGCTCGTTTTGCAAACTTATCCTGCCTCCTCTAGCCAACTACCTTGGGTGGGGGAAGCTCACTGCCAGCGGGTCAATGATCCTAACACCTACCTCGCCTCCACGAGCTTTGAGAATGCGAACTGCTGCTGCATCATTCATCCTGCTCTTTCCCATTTCCAGAGGCCAACTTTTATCGCTGATGTTGATCGAAGTTGACTAGACAAAGTTATAGAGCAAACAGACTTGACACGGAGGAGCTGGTCTCGGTTGTAAACTGTGATGTGATATTCCGAGGCCGCCGACTTTTTCAGAGCCTGTCTACGTAAGAAACAAGGCAAGGTGAATGGTTAAGGGAATGCGTGCATGCTTGTTCGTGTGTCTGGATTACTGGGATATCAACTTCAAGTTCGGCATGCGTTGGGATACCTGACGACTTTATACTTTTGGGCACTAGACAGGTGCAGCTCCCTGAGATGGGCCAGGCTGCCCGCTAAACAGGACAGACTCTTTTCATTTACGGGTATTGCAATTAACAACTTCTACTGGTTTAACATCCCTCGGGGGGCGGTTGTTTTATCTGAGGCTCGACAAATGGTACTCCCCAGCGGCGTGGGCTTTCGGTAGACGAGGTTGAGGCGGTCGGACCAGACAAAGCACTTGATGTTTTCTACAACCCCAGAGCGAGGCAGGGTGATACCGACTCGTGGAGTTGGTCCTTAATGAGCGGGTCCCTGGGCGGTGGTACCCTCAGGCAAATGTTACTTTTCGTTCCTTTTTCCTTCTCTCTTTTTCTTATGAAAGACGGCCATGACCTGCCAGCCAAGACTCTAGGGACACTCAATGGCGGACTCTACATAGCGTCTCAGTTTTGTGATATACAAATAGACTTTCTGGGGTATCAGATTCTACTTCGAAAACTTTACTCGGTCATATTGGGCTGTTCTATCTACCGCGCAATTGTCAGCCCAGATACGTCAATATGTCACGCCCAGTATTGATATATGCCGAGCCACTGCTGAGGCGATAAAGCGAGGGCTGTTGGACAGTAGGTACGGCCAAACATTTAACTCGGTTCCATCCATCGTCGTCTCTCGCAGTCTCTGGTACCGCAGTGGGATGCCGGAGAAGGCGAACTGGGGGCAGGGCCTCTTGCTGGGGATCACTGTGGACGCCCTTGTCTTTACCATCGGATGTGATGGGCCACAACTCGCACTAGTGTGGGAAGGGGGGTGAAGGATGTATATAGGGCTACATACGGCACTAGGTCTACCAAAAAGGCAAGAAAGAATGTAGTGACCAGGCAACATGGATCAGTAACGCTGCTATGTCCTGACTTTCCCGTCTCAAATGTTTGCAATTGGCCCATAGAATTGAAAAGGCGCATCTGCATTGCCGACTGCAGTTGGGCCCCTATGTTTGCCCTACCTCTCTTTCTGTCATTGAAGATGAGCGCGATGATCACACATGTGCTCTGGCTGAAGATGATGGTCGCTTCAAGCTGTAGGCGCAGCAGAGTCCGAAACTGTCTGACCAACAAATCGACCACAGACTGCATGAAATGTCACGCCATAGACATATACATGTCGATACACTCCATGTCAATGCTGTTCCGAACGTCACAGTTAATCTGGGTCAGTAATACGACTGTTAGATTCGAGCTGCTCCTTTGATATTTTTCGCTCAACACCAGCTACTTCGCCTCCTCCAATATATGTACAGCTGCGAGATGGGAAGTCATCAGCCACTATCAATGATGCCCGTGAAGGATATCACCACTCTTGATCGCAGCTTTTTGACATTGAGACAGGATGGTAGCTTGTCGAGACACCTCAGTTAACCGGCTGATAACATCCTTGTTGCCCTCAACGAAGCCGTACAGAGCATAAGGAATGCCCACGTCGTTACAAAAGTCTTGGACCAGCTTCTGCGTCTTGCGGAGGTTGTGACGTGGAATACGCGGGTACATGTGATGGATGACCTGGAACTGCAGCCCACCATGGAAGAAATCGAGCCAGGTGGGACAGTCAATATCCATAGTCGTCCGCAGCATCTTCTGAGGGAACGACTCGTGAGGGCCCAGATCGGCTGTGCTCATAGCAAAATGGGACAGGGTGATCTGGCAATGTAAGGGTGACTGCAGGACATGGCTTACGATGACAAAGACGAATCGATCCCAGTTGTTAGGGATAGACCTGTACAAGATACCGTAGCCGAACCAGAACCAGAAGAAAACCTGTCCGACGACTTCAAGCCAGTGATGCCACCAGGCAATACCCTTTTTAGGGCCGCGCCTGAAGATGATATGGTCCCAAGAAAGTCTATACAAGTTGAAGCGGCCAAAACACAGGATCGGATAGTATAGATAGGATTGCAATGACAGGAAGAATTTGGCTGCAGCGTCATATGCCATGATGCGCTCGTAGTAAGACGAGGTGAGGCTGCCGAGAAAGCGATGAGAAACAGCGAAGAAGGGCAGATGCTCAATATCTGGATCGTGTTCCGGCGAGTTGGTGACAATATGGTGGACGTTATGGTTCCTTTTCCACCAACAGACAGAGAGCCCGCCTATGAAATCAGCAATAAAGATTCCAATACACGTATCGATATGAAACTTGTGTGTAATGCCCATATGCCCCGCGTCATGGACGGTAAAGACCAACTGATGCCAAAGGCATCCCAAACAGACAGCGCTTGGGACATACCAGCCCCAGCGTAGAAAAGTGAGCATGCCGAGAAACAGAATCGTGTATCGTATCAACTCAATGCCGTATGCGCTGTAGTTGCAGTCGTAGAGGCCCTCGGCTTTGATACGCTCGTCAAGCAGCCTGTATTTGCGCACGATCTCGGCCTGAGTAGTATCGTCGAGGGAAGGATACTTATCGAGATCAAGACGGATTTTTTTCCGTGTTTCCGAATCCAGAAAGGTGGTGCCATCCATCTCTTCGTTGTCTGCACAGTCCGTTGTCGCTGAAGAAATTGAGGCCAAGCTTGGGCTTTGGGCCGCACCATGCCGACGCCGGATACTGCTCTCGTTGTTATCGAAGACAGGGGAAGCTTCGCGAGAACTGACATCGCTGAGCGAAGGAGGCCCGAAGAAGCGCAACGCATCATCCTCCTCTGCATCATTTATCTCGGGGCCTCCTTCCTCTGCCGTTCTAAACTTGCCTCCCTGAATAGGCGGCACGAAATTCCTCCAATATCCCTCGATCCTCCCAATTCGGTACCGGCTCATCTGTGCCTTTGTTTCGGCGGAATGCAGTCTGCAACATCACCACAGCATGTTAGAGGATGGCTTCTCCCGAACGTGGCCGGCCTGAGGGGTAGGCCAAAACTTAAGGCTAGAAACATACACAGAGACCTCATCGGTGGCATCGCGACCGACCATGTGGTGTATGGCCTTGTCACCGCCTGGGTGGTAGGCTAGCCATCCATCAAGCTTGAGAACAAATTGGTCAACGATCGTGATGACGCGCCCTTGGGCGATTAGTCCCTCGATCTGGCGTCGTGACATGAGCGGGTATTCCCTTTCATTCTTGACCTTTCCGCGGGTTCCCGAGCCGATAGCAGCGGCGTTGGCAGTAATGGCGGCAGCCATTACGGCCGCCCGTGGAGCAATTGAGTCGCCGGAATTGGTGAACTGGGCGGGGGATGGTCGACAGAAGGTCGCTCAAGCGAATTATCGTATCCAATTGAAAGGATGCCGTTACGGGGGTAGCTCCGAATGAGCGAAAGTAAAAAGAGAAGAAGGGTTACCTTTAAAGGCAAAAAAATAATAAGACGGGACAGGAAAGGGATAGGCGGGTATCCGGGCTTTGCTTTGGCGCCGTGGCTCACCGCATGTTGTTGATCTAGATAAAGATGAAGTACTTGTCAGGTTCAGTAACAGGAGTACCTGTACTCCAGACAGTGTCCCTCGGCCTCACATTCGCATCCACACAGCCAGGTGGGACAAGTGTAGTCGACAAGTAGATTGACAATGGAGTGATAGAAGCTCCAACGGGGATCTCGGTAGCTTGTTGGGTGATTGGGGCCGGCTGGAGTCCATGTCGTTCCAGGGTTGCTGTCACTGCCACGATCCAATAGCACAAATCATGCGAGAAACAATGCTGAAGGGGTCCACAATAGCGTGTTTCTCTCGTCCCATCCGTCTTTTTCCCGTAATCTTGCCGCACGGTGTCGAGGAACACAGTTGTACCTCTGTATTATACTGTGTTTATCTTCCTTTCGTTCCCTTCCATCCATTATTGTGACTAAGGACAGTGGGATTTTGCTCGAGGTTTGTGTACTGTTGATCAACTATCAAATCTCGCGCGTGCCAGTTTCGCGTCAACCTGTCTGCCAGCTTAACAATAGATCAGTACAAATGACCTCGCATCACAGAACTATTCAAGGTGTGCCGCACACTATGCTGAGCAGAGGGGAATTGGTACAATAGACACAAAGTAAAGGTTCGTAAGACAGCCATAAGGAAGGGAAAGACGGCAAAGACATATCTCACAGATCAAACCCTCAACAATTACTCACCGACCTGAGTGCATTGTTTTCGGGCTCACATTCGACATCTCAAAGGCAGTTATATAGGTAACAAGAGAGCTTTCTTAACAAGTTAACGACCAAGGTTGGTATGAAATTAGGTTGCAAACAACTAGTAAATCTAATGTCGTCTTGTTTTCCATGGCTTACCCGCAGCCTGACAAAAACAAGCTAGCAAGATATTCCGATCAGCCCCAAGGCTTACTTGCCAGAGTCCGAGTAGAGCCCCCCAATACCCCAATACTGCTCTGCATGGAAAGTGCTCGCCTCTGAGTGCTTCCAAAGGTCATTGAACGCTGAAAAGAGAATCACATCACCCGGATGGCTCGCATACGCCTTCTTGATCGAGTCAACCGCAAGCCGTTGTTCGTCAATACCAGGCACCGCCGCACCGTTGCTGTCCCCCTGCCATGGCCAGCCCGTCTCTGTACATACAACTCGTTTGCCGCGGTCCAAAAGTTTTGCCTGTACCTTATTCACCACACTAGCCACAAACGACCCAGCATCTTTCGCCGCTGTGCTAGCGTCGAAGAAAGGGTGGATATTCACGGCGCAGTAATCTGATAGATCGCACAGCGAAGGGTTGGCCAGTACTGCCACAAAAGTGTCGACAGTGACAACGGGTCCCTTATAGCCAGCAGCCCGCAACAGCTGCCGTGCCTGGCCCATAGCAGTGATTACTTCCTGTGCCGTGGCCTTCCCATTGTTTACCAGCTCGTTGCCAACGCTGATAGTATCAATGGAAGACCAGTCACCTTTGACAGCCGACATGATAGTCTGGACTTGTTGCTCGATGGAGCCAATGTCAAACAAGCCCAGAAAAAGCTTTAGGTCGGTATTTCTGGCCGCAGACAACACTTTCGCAACCTGGTCGCAATCGGTACCGTATGTGCGAACAATGGAGTACTTCCCTTTAAGTTCAGCAAAGTCGACCTCAACCTGTGCGGCTGACTTGCAATCACCTGTCGCGGTATAGGGCGCATAAGCAACGCCGTGTAGACTCGATGACGCTGACGCCGACGGTGACGAGGAAGAGGATGATGAGGATGATGATTGAGACGACAGTGAAGCAGAAGCTGATGTCGTCGAAACAGGCAAGGCGGACGGAGAACCGAGATCCGGGTTAGAGTTCAATGCTCGGGAAGAAGCAGCCTCGGACCTTGACTCGAGGTCCGGAGCAATCGGCGCGCGGCTGATCGCCCTTGACATAAGTTCTAACCTGACCGCCTCGGTAGTCGTCGTCAATAGTGTCCCTTCTTCGTTAACGTAAACCACAACTTGCGGCACCTCGTTGGCTTCTTTCCTTGAGTCGTCAGTGGCAACAACGTCGTCAGGCCGGATGACTCTCTTGAGATCTCTAGTGCCTAACCAATTGAATTCAGCAATGCACAAGTACAGGGCTGCTTAAGATATTCTATACCTTGAGGAAGTGCGGCCGACAGCCCCAGCATGGCCAGGAGTGCCACCGATGAAAGCACGTTGGTCTTCATCTCTCGTTTTGCTTCGGCAGTGTTTCTGGTCAAGTTGTACGGGGGGCTTTGCTTATATCCGGTATATCGTGGCAAAGAACAAGACGTATTCAGAGTTCGAACGGAACGAAATTGATCAAATTGACCTAGTTTTAATGAAGTCGAGTCGACTTGAATGAAGGTAAAGAATGATATTGTATTGAAGAACGAGCGTCTGCAACTCAAAGTAACAACATGGATCGAAATGAACGGACCGCTGTCGTGACAGCTTGGTGTTACAAGAGGCCAAATGTGGTGAACAGCGGTAAAAATGACAAGAAAAAATGAAGCATAGGTAAGAGGATGAAGAACAACCTCCAAGCCCGGCGAGAAAGTGGAGGCATGGTGTAGTCAAGTATCCGCCGATATTGCTGAGTTACACGGCGCCTGTTAAGTCACTTGCAGCTCGTATTATCGGTGGATGTTGCCCTGTTATCTTGGCAAATGCCAGGATGAGCAGGAACGGCCATACATGAGGCCTACATGTATCGAGAGGAATGGAGGGAGAACCGATCAGCTCGGAGTGAGGAATGTGGACCTTCCTACAAATTGTGATTTGGGAGGGCAAGAAGAAGAAGTGAGGGTTTTTGAGTGTAGGCTTTCGGTATATCTGCAGTTGGTTAGAGAATATAAGCACTCCGTATCTATATAGTCCTAGCCAATTGGAGCAAGAATGTCTCTGGATTAATGGGGCTCATTTTATTCAATGTCGTTCTTCCTCCTCCGTGCAAGATTGAGATGCTTCAAGCGAATGCCCCCTCAGGAATGAGAGTCTTGGTGGTTTCCGTGCCGCCATCTGGCCAGCAAATGGTAATCATCAAAACAGTAAGCTTGAGACGTCACTCATAAGAGCAAAACTATGAAATGATCAAAAAAGACGATCAGACGCTTACAATACTTGGTAACGTCTACTAGCATCCACAGGTCCACTTTGTCTGTGTATTATAGGTATGGCGAGGTCGCACAAGAAGAAGAATTGACGGCTTTAATAACTTTGAGCACATCGTGTGACGATGACGGCGAGGAAAAGAGTATATCCCCCTTCAGAATCTCCGACTAAATGGGTAAAACAGGATGTAGCAGACCAGGTGGGAAGAACCTTGAGGCAGTACTCGCTGAGGCACCTCACATGTTTCAAGCCTCAAGAAAGCCGAGATAATCTGCCCTTGCCTCGCTTATAACCAAAGAAGAAGAAGAAAAAGAAGAAGTAGAAAAGAGAATAAGCCATGTACCGGGTCCTAGTCCAAAAAGGTGTCGCAGGGGAGGCCGTGGCTGCGATAGGAGCTGATGAGCAGTGGGCAAACAAAAGCAACTCACTCAAGCCATAACCAAACCAGCATCTGCAACTTGATGTAACGCCGACGTACATACCACAACGGAGACGTTTTGCTTTTTACGACATTGTAATGCGCTTTTGTACTCAGCTTAGCCCCTGACTGGTATGTCGAGCGCTATGGTTTATCACTCCGTACTTCCAAAGTAGTGCGAAAAATAGCACCAACCTCTTATATATTACTAGCCTCGCTATTCTTTATCTTATATTAATAGATGTATCCTTAGTTTTACATTTAAAGAATAACCCGCCGCATGGTTCACAGAATCTCGACTGCCTCCAAAAGACTTTCGGCCTTGACGGGAACATGAGAGAAACACATAAACGCTGCTCGAGCGGTGTTTCTAGCCGATCCAAGCCAAGCACATACACACGTGATAACAAACGCCCCACAGAACAATACCTTCCCTCACTCATCACAGCATGATCCATTTCCTGGCGACTTTCGATACTTCCGCCGGAGGAGTTGTCCGTCTCTCACGATGACTTTGTGCTTGACTTTCGCGTCATCACTTTTGTGATGGCATGTCGGATGGTGACACCTGCCTTTTCAATGTCTTTCTTTGGCAAACCAGATGTAATGCAGACCTTGAGTGCCGGCTGGATCTTCCAGCTGTCATCCTTGGGATCAAGGTCATTGGCAATAGCCATACTCTTCAGACGGGTAATCAAAACCCCATTTGCGAGTGCCTTCAGTCGCACAGGCCAAGATTAGCAAAACGTCTAGTAACCGAATGGGTTGCAGGCGAATACAGCTTACCTCGTCAACGCATTCTTGCAGCAGACGCTCTTGGTCTTCTCTCGTAAGTTTTCGTGCCGCAACAACCTCGGGCTTCAGCACAAGGAGCATGATTGGGTTCTCGGGTGAGCTGGTGCATACAACCCAGTCACTGCGGGGGTCCAGCTGTGTCTTCATAGCCTTGATGTTTTCACGACACTGCGTCAAGATATCTGGATTGGACTGCAAGACGCTAAGGGTTTCACTAGCCGTAACAGCCAGCATAGCAGGAAGGGCGGCCGAAAAGGTGTATGACGCTGCAGTAAGTCGCTGATGCTCAACAACATCTTTGGCTCCGGCGCAGAACCCACCGCCAGCACAAAGAGGACCGGCAAGAGAGCCTGCAATCATGTCTACCTGCGACGGGTCGACGTTCTGTGCCTCAGTGAGGCCACGGCCGGTACGGCCGAGAACACCAAAAGACCAAGTCTCGTCAAGAATGATGCGGAACTTGTACTTCTCCTTCAGTGTAACCTGTAACCACTTCGTTAGTCCACTCATCTGGGCAAGATGGTATACCTACGTCCTCACGGAGGAACTTACGAGTCTGGGGAGATCAGCATGGTCACCGGTGGTTTCGAATAGACCCTCTGTAACAATGAACCTGCGTGTCAACTTTTTGCCTCTTTGGTCCTTAACCACCTTTTGCATAACACGTTCCAGGTCATCCATGTCTCCATGAGCATACCACTTAATGGTGCTCCGGGAAGCCTCCAGTCCCTTGCGAATGGAGTAGTTAACGGCGCGATCCGCCACGATGATGTCTCCGCGTTTGCAGAAAGCCGGAATGACGCTGGAAATGGTAGAGAATGCTTGAGCGTAGACAATGCATGCCTCTGTGCCAAGGTAAGCCGCAATGTCTGCCTCAGTCTTCATGTGCACATCCTGAGTGCCGTAGAACTGGGGAGGACCGCAGGGGCCTACACCATAGGTGCGCAGCGTCTGAATGGCCTTGTCCTTGATTTGCTCGTTCGCGTTGAAGTTATAAAAGTTGTAGGACGCGAGGTTCGTCACGGTGCGGCCGCTTGCAAGTTTGGTTTTGGGTCCAGTAGGTCTGAGGCAGATTAGACACGTCGGCTTTCTTCAGGAATCAAGCGAAGCGAAAGGGGGAAGGGAGACAAGTTTCTTACCCAACGATTACAGGCAGTCGCTCGCTCTCCATTTCCTCGAGCGAGTTCTGAGGAGGCACAAGCGGCTCGGGAGTCCAATCTTCGACAAGCTCGTCGATTTCCTGTAATCAGGTCAGTTCCGGTTCCGAAAAGCGAACAAAAGAAGACGAGGAACAGACATCGTCACGTAGTTTAATAAAGTTCTGCTTCTGAGTCGAGTAGGATGGCGAGAGTAGGTAGCGGACGAAGAAGATGAAAAGAACCAGCTCGATACCAGAGCGAATAGGGTCATTTTGGTAACTCGACTGAACATATCGGATGAGTACGGCGGATCCAGGGACCTTCTGGAAGGCAGCGACAGCATCGCGCAGCCAGGCGGCCACCATAGTCTGGGCTTCGCTTGCGTCCATGGCGGGTTTGGCTTTTGGTAACTGACTGAGATTCGAAGTGGCGGGGTGCGATTAGCGGGAGTCGGATCTAGAGTATGCGCAAGTATTTGCGCAGCCAACGTAAACGCGCCCGAAATCGAGTAGAAGCGCAGACGTGGCAAGGCAAATTGGGTAGACAGGAGCCGGGGAGTCCGGGTTCGAGAGGAAATGAAGTTGGCGACGAGGGTCGGTGAGCGCTGAAGGACCCATTAAATGTCGGGTAGTAAAAGTAGCTGGGGATGCAAGCCCGTGTTCGAAACCTAGGTGCCGATGCCCGGCGGCTTAGTCTTCAAAGTAAACTGTATGGTTCGGCCCCTAGCGAAACATACGCCTGAAGATGCCCCAACTTGCTTGTACTTGACACCCCATGCCTGTTTAAACTGGTCTCAAGGCAATTGCAACCAAGGTGTTACAAATGGTGGACAGTAAAGCATCTGGTAGGCGTACCAGTTGAGGACCAGCAATTACGTACTCCGTACATCGAGGACCGTGAGCACTGCTTGGAGGCTGAAATGGGCAACCCTTTGACGCGTTTTTCTACCAACCGCCCCTAGCAAAACATTCCTACTTTTTTCATTGGATCGCCCCGCATTTTCATCTCAGGGGCAGAGAATCGTAAAACTGAAAAAACATTACCACGGTCGGGGCCCCTATTCAGAGCACCTTGCCAACTCCTGGCCAACAATTGAATCAAGGTTATCCACGCTAGTAGCATTGTGCCAAAACACCGCCACGACTGAATTGGTCCAATTAACGCCCTATTGCGTCTTACACGTCTTTTCCTGGGATGTTGTGTTCTGCATCACTCCTACCCATTCATCATCACGATCGGCACCTAGCTATAAGTCACCGCACCAAGCGCAACGCTATTACATCGGCAAGACATGTACGGTCAGAGAGATTTACCGAACTCAACGTAGTCTGATTATACGCCCGCTCAGTCTTCCTGTGGGCAATTGACAATATACGTAACCTGCAGGTCTAAGAGCCGCGAATTCCATGCTAGCCATATTCCTTGCCCGGAACAACAAAGAAAAAAAAGAATAGAAAAAGAGGGAGAAATGAAAAGCTAGCTACTAATGACTGTAAAACACGCCTGACAATGGACATTAAAAACACGTCGCCGCGGCGAGGACTGCGGATATCTCGTCACTAGCCCCGTGCCTCTATGTGATGGCGACATCTCCTCTTTTCGGCCAACTATTCGTCTGATGTTACAATCGGTATTAAAACAGACGGACTCTGTTGGAGCCGCCAGTGCTCGTTGCCCGAGCAGTACCCGTCGATGATTTGCCCGGCCCAGAATAGTCTTTCCTTCCTGTGCCAGTCTGGGTATCATTCTGCGTGTTGTCGTGGTTCAAATTAGGTTGGAGCAGCCTTAAGTCCTTCGAGTTCAGTTCCTTGAAGATGTTGGTAGGAATCTTGTCACCCGCAACCGCAGGGCCAATCATGAGAGCCATGAAAACAACGAACAGGGTGAAGTAGAGGATGGCATATCTGAAGACACGCTTGCGCCTCAGCTTAGACTGCTTCATTGAGTAGATTGGTGGGCGAATTTGACGACTACAAAACAGAGTTAGTCACCATCTCATAGAGCTGGAAGAGGATGTAAACCAAGAACTTACCCAGGGCGAAGCCAGAAGAGCATCATTGAGTGCAGCATGTCAATCTTGGGAACAAGAATAACCGGCAGCATGATGAAAAGGAGGAAATGACCCAACACGAAGTCGGCCGCAAACATGCCCAACTCTGTTATCTTGCAAAGGAACTCACGAGCAGGCTGTGAAACTGAGTGCCATCCCATAGAGTACCATTTACCCGTCCAGAAGGCAATGTTGGACTGGTCCGTCTTAATTTCACGCGTCAAAGTGAGTGAAATGATCAGCTTGAAAATGAAGCGCTGAATGGCAACAACAGCAATCATGCCAAGCAAGGTTCTCGCAAAGACAAACCCTTCCAGGAGGAACATAACCTCGAAGAAAACCAGGAGAACAACTACGGCTATGCCATGAGCAATTGCCGCAAGCACGCTGCCAAACTTCTTGCAGCACATGCTTAGGAGGGGACCCATAAAGCACGCCATGAAGAAGAATACCATCAGGGCACCAGCGTTAATAGCGATGGGGGCGAGTGCCACGAGACCAACCCTGATCAGCGAGTTGGTAGCCATGATCAACTCGTTAGTGTCTCGGTTGTTTTCCTCGGTTACACCAGTCTGCGCATTGATATACAGGTATGGAATGACGGTAACAACCACCAACAGGAGAGGGGTCAAGATCTCACCCCAGAACAAGTTCGTGATGGCGGCACGGGGAACGTCGGATGACATCTTCGCAGAAGGGTCACCAAGAGCCTTGCGCTTGTAACCTGTAATACGGGTACGAGACAGACGGCAGAAGGCGATCCATGAGGAGGCATGAGAGCGAGAGTTACCACGCGAGAGCCATCGAAGGAAATCGCGGTAGTCAATGAAGAAATCGCTCCAAGCAAACTGGTGAGGGTTGTAGAGGAATGGTGAGATGACCAAGGCGAGCAGGGAGATCCAGAAGTAGACAAGCGCTGATTGCCAGATGGTAACAGTGGCAAAAAGCAACATCATCAAGAGACGGGCTCCGAAGTAGATGGACGGGCCCGCGAAACGCGAGTATAGAACGCCGAAGGGGATGCGGGCAGTCGCGAAACCACGGCCGGTACCAATGTATCGTGCGCCGCCAAAAGAGAGATCCTGTTGTACTGAATTGGCATAAATTTGGCAAACGAAGACTTCGAAGAAAGGTGAAAGCGAAAGGAACTGCTTGGCGAGACGCTTGCTGGCTCGCAAGAAACCCCTCTCGGACAACTCCTGGAAGATCAAAGGGACGAAAGCCAAAAGCAAGACGAAGATAATCGACAAGATGCAACGGTAAACCCAGTCCATAAGAGCGTCAGTGTTTTGACAGCCAGTCGGCATGAGAGGGTCGGTGATGGGAACATCGCGGTTGTAGTCGCACTTGATAGTCTCGTGTCGGAGAGCTCCCAAGCTGAGGAGACAAATCATGAACAGCTGAACAGAGAGCATGATAAACATGTTGTTCAGATGGAAACCGGGATGGGCGTAGTAAAAAGAGAGGAACCGATCCAAGGGCAGCTGGGTTCCTAGATAGTAGTATTCGCGAGAGAGCATCTGCTCACCCATACCAGTACCAATCTTCGTGGTGAAATTCAGAATTGAGCCGAAGCCCAAATCACGACCCTTGCCACACTGGTAGTATTCGCAGTGCTTGATTCTGCCACCACGCAAAATGGCGTTCATACCAGCGTAAATATCCTCGTTGAGATGAAGGCCTTTCTGAGCTTTCGAGACGCCGCCGCGAGTTGTCATGAAGATACCGTTGAGGAAATCAGGATGGCCGTAGTGCAGCTTACCGCCGATCTGAGCCAAAGTACGGGCAAAGAGAGTACCAAACGTCTGTTCCTTTCCAGCTGCGACGTCACCAAGGATACCAATGTTCTCAGAGAAGATGTACTCGCGGGCACCAAGAATGGCTACGGGAGCAGTCACCTTGTTCTTCACACCAGGGGTATAAGGGCTGATATCATCAGTCTTCATCTCCTCGAACTCGGCCAGAACACTCCGAATCTTGAGGCACTCCTCCAAGTAATTGTCCTGGTTGGCATCGATGAGCTGAATGTATTCGCCCCGGTAAAAGATGAGCGCGTGGTTTTGGTTGTCGGATTTACCATCTCCCAAAATAGGATTGCCAGAGAGCTGGATGCGGAATTTGGGCTTGCGCATTCCGTTCTCCATGATTTCGGAGTGTCCATCAATCAGGGCAGAGTACAGACGTGGCTCCTCTCCCTCCGCAGCAGGAGGCTCCTCGTCGAGATAAGCAATCTGAAGGTCGGGATAGGCACGAAGCAGAAATTCAGCATTTTCCATCTCCTCCTTCTTGAACTTGGCAAAACGCTGCATCGACACACAAATCTTGAACTTGCGGCGAGCCATACGCTCAAGTTCTCGTTCCAGCTTGTCTGAATTGCCTCCAAACATCTGAACAACCTCGGGATTCTCCACACGATATAAAAGCTTGATGGCTCTGCTATAGTTCATGAAGCCGGAAATAGTGCGGTACAAGGTCTGGAAGCGAAGGGAGGCCCAGATACGGGTTCGTAGGGTGTACTCGGGCGCAGAAGACTTGAAACCAATGCAGTAGAATGGCAGATCATCAATCTTGCTCTTTGCCGTATCCTTTTCGTTCTTCTCGTTGTCGCCGTTGTATTGAGACGTCTCGTCAGCCAGGATCTTGGTGTCTTTTACAAAGCAATCCCACTCATGAGGGTGCAACTGCTTCAGATACTCTAGCAATGTGACGCGCGAATAAGGCTCATCCTCACGAATGATCTCGCGAAGGGAAAGTAAGATCTTTTCGCTATAGTGAGGAATCATGACAGTGAAAGTTGGCATGTTATCGACAGGGAGAGGTTCAGGAATTGGCGTTGACAGCGACTGGGCGAAGAAGGAAAAGCGCCGTTCGGCCTCACTGTTAGCGGGGAAGAATTCTGTCTTGAAGGAGTGATCCTCCTGAGAAACGAAGAATGTAGGTGCTCTCAAGGTCCTCTTGCCCTCTTGCTCGGAAGGAACCTGGTGGTACAGAAGCTTCTGAACATGATCGATGGCCAACAAGTGCTCTCGGTACATGGAGATGACAATGGCGTTCCAAACCTGAGAGATGAGAACCTTCGGCTTGTACTTAATCTCCATGTCTGTTGTTGCGAGGATCTTGGAATAGATACGCTTCGGCAGCCGGGAGAAGATGTTTCTCCAAGGCGTCAAGATCGAGGATCCGATGTAGAAAGATCTGGCAATGGAGAAGAAAGAGTTGACCAACACGTACCACAGGTACGTATCAAGGAAGAAGAAGATCAAGTCCGTGAAGGCCATTAGTGCCAATAGGATATAGGGCTGCTTCTTGCAAAGAACGTCCCCAAAGATTTTGTCTCCGAGACACTCAATCTTCATGATGGACAGAAATCTGATGGGATCCCTGAATGAAAGAGTCAGGTAGGCGTAGGATGCGCCGAATTTCGCACCAAAAACGCAGACCCAGAGGCCATACGACATTGCCATGTCATTACCAGTCAAGCGCGGGTAGCTGGCAGTAAACGTCTGACTTGCAACATATTTGCGGGAGTTCTTGGTCAAATAACTTCCAAACAGCCCGCCAAGAGGCATGACTGAGTAGAAAAGGAATGTGAGAAGCGCGATGACGAACTGCACTATTGCCAAAATTTTGGCAATCTGGTCGTTGACGCCGGGGATGATCTTGAAGACAAACAAGAAAGGGGCAACGTTGATGACCAAGATGAGAATCAAGAATAGAAGACGTTTAGTCAAGTGCTGTGCGCCAGCCCAACGACGAGGGACGTAGGCCCATTCAGCCAAAGTTGCCAAAACCTGGATAAGTGCTGCAATGGAGCCGCCAAGACCCATGACAGAGAATAGCTGAGCAGTTGATGGCTGCTGATTAACCTGCTGCTCGTATGCGGATCCCACAATCAAACTGGGAGCGTTGGCAGAGGTGTAGAACCAGAACATAGTCAAGTGGATGATCCAGATGCGGTTGAAATTAACAAGCAAGTGGAACCAAGAACGAGTCTCCTTGTACGTCTTGAAGAAACATTTTTTCCAGTTGATGTCTTGGAATTTGAGGTATCGCTCAGCCGGAGGAATGTCAACAAGACGAGTCTTATCGCCAAGCACGATCTTTTCAATACCCTCCGGGTACCAGAAAAGCTGATTGCAGTCGTCATATCCAATGATTTGGTCGTGGTCGCGCTCGCGACGAACGTAGACGCCGTCAGAGATCTCATAACCCTGGTCTCTACAGTACTGGTAGAGAGGAGTAATGACATTGTTGAGAAATGTAAACTCTTCAACGGGCTCAACCAAGTTTTGACACGCGGGGGAGTTGAGGTAATCGTCAGCGCACTTGAAGATAAAGCAAAGACATTCGGGCATGAAGCGAACTTGGTTGGCCTCGCCCCAGCACAGCAGATAGAGTGCAAGCTGGCGCACGCGGTCATGTTGGGACATTCGGTTCATGCGGGTCTTCCAACGGTACTCAGCGGCCTCGAGGCTGTTGTCACCTTCGAGGTCTTCCAAAGCTTCAGCTTCGTTTTCGGGGTCGCCCTTCTTCTTGTTCTTCTTCGCCTTCCTCTTCAGGCCTTTGCCCTTCTTCATGTTGGCGAAACCAACAGCGTCATCCAGGTCCAGGTGGGCTGCGAAGTACCACTTGCGGTAGTTGGCGTTGTCACCACCGATATAATCCGCATGCAGCGACAGGAGAGCTTGGTTGGGTGTCATGCGCGAAGCTCTTGAATCAAGCAGAGTCATCAGATGATCGTACATGTTGCGCATGCTGTCGCGCTGGAAACCAAACTTGGATGTGAGGTCAAGGAAAATGTCCTCAACCTCTTCTTTGGACAAGGGGATTTGGGCATCCGAGGTCCAGGCAGGGTACGGCTCCCGAGAAGCGGCCGACATCATGTTGGCATAGTCCATGCCGTAGTTGGGGGTCGAAGCACCAGATGAGCGATTGCCACCGTATGAGATCTGGGAAGAGGGAGGTCGAAAGCCTCGAGCACCGCCTTGGTCGTAGCTGTTGTAACGCTCGTCACCTCTTCCATAGTAGTCCATGTCAGCGGCCCTAGCCATGTCTGACCTCATTGTAAAGTCGCTGAATGTCTCCGAGTCCTCTTCAGAACCGTGCCGACGAGCGCCGGAACCGTATCCCTGATTATAGTCTTGATCATAATACCCTCCGCCGCCTCCGTTGTTATTGTTGTTATTGTAATAGTCGTCTTGGTACTGGTCTTGGCCGTCGTAATAGCCACCTTCTTGGTGATAAGGGTTGTTCGGGTCGGCGTTGTAGTAGCCCCTGTGCATTTTGGAGTTAGATAAGGCATCGTAAGGAAATGGAGATGGATGAACTTACGACTCGTCGTAGTAACCATCATTGCCTTGATGATGACCACGGTCATCGTAACCATGCTGATCATAGTACTGGTCATCCTGATAGTACGAATCCGTCTGCTGATTTCCGTTATTTCCATGGCCGCGGCCCTGTTGGCCGTAGCCGTCGTCGTAGTCATGGTGGCCGCCACCACCACCACTACCACCACCACCACCGGCGGCTGGGTATCCAGACATATTTGTGGAATTAGTTATCTAAATCAGTCTGTTAGTCTTCATGATTTGATGGACAATAGTCAAGTTGCAGGCAGGGCGTCGAGTGTGAAGTGATCTGCGATCGTGTACAGAAGGTGTGAAGGGAACAGGGAGGGATTTTCAACTGACCGTTCAGATCTCTCATGAGGTTTAATTGAGTTCGAGATAACGAACCAGCAAGATACTGGTGATTGTGAGCCTAGACTGATGTGGCCGGCACAACGAGAGATAGCGACAGTCGTTCTGTTGTGAAGCCGGGCGCGTCCAGTGGCTCAGCGCGTGGAATGGCCGACTCTTTCAGAAAAGTGAGGATGGGTAAGCAGGAAAACGGAGCGATTGGCGTAGTTGGCTTGGTGATGGGTTTCGGTCAAGTCAAGTGCCAAAGGGGGTTGGGAGCCGGGAGCGGTGCATCTACCCAGTCGAAAACGAGCAGCACGTCAATGAAGCAAAAAAGCTTGACCAACTCTGCCCCGAGAGAAGAGAAGAAGCGCAAGGGTTTGACCGGATGGGTGAAAGAATATTTCTGTGTTCGTGACTGCCTCTACAGGCCGTCTCAGAAACGAGCGTGGTGAATTAAGGTAAGTGTCGGGAGGAAAGAAAGGGGTGACGGAACGCGGGTTGTGGTGGAAGTGCAAACACTGGTGGAGGTGTGGGTGTTGGAAGATGAGGCGAGGTACCTTACACAAGCACACCCACGCCACAATGCCATAAAAAGGGGAACCGCGTAGTAGTAAGGAAAGTAGGTGCGGGTGGCTACTAGTGTATAGTTAGGGAGGGCCCCAGGGGGTTTGAAAGATGGGTGCGAAATGTACAGGAGGGAAACAGAAAAGGGCAAGCAGAGGGTTACCACTTTTCACCAATGACGATGCAAGAGAAACCGGTCCAGAATATGTGTGCTACGGAGGGATAGGACAAATTGAACTAGGAGAGCAGGAGGTTCACGTCTCCTTTTCCCCTCCTTGCTACGTGCAGTGCCCTGAAGGTCTAAGGCAACCGAAGGGGAATGGGCAAGGGGAACGGGAGGAGCGAGGGAAAAAAAAAAAAAAAAAAAAAAAGGAGAGACAGAGGCAGGGGATGGAAGAGGAGAAGAGAACAGGAACGCAGAAACACCAGGCACCTGCTGTCCCGATCCAAGTTTGGGGACGAATTGTAGATGGACGATCCCGTACAGGGAAGCGTCCAGGAGAAAGGGTACAAGATACAAGCGGGGCGCGCCCGAAAAAATGGAGCCTTTGGACGTTTTGCTGATGGAAAGGTGGCTGTGCGGCACAATCTCGAGCGCTAACTGGCCAGCACTTGCAGATTGGGGCCGTCTGGGCAAGGAACCGGGCTGACAGCGTGTCGTGTCTGCGGGCGAGGACTTTGAGAGACCTCAGGTCATCGATGGTGTGTGGTCGCAAGGCCAGGCACTGTATACAAGGTATCCACCATGCGCCCAGCTACGATGTAATGGTCACCTCTTTCCGGCCTCTCAGCGAATAGGACTCGATTGGTTTCATTGCTTGTGGTTGAGATCCAGTATCAGAAGGACAGCATCAATGAAAGTAGGCGAAGGTACATTGCATCGAAACCTGTTCGCATGCGCTAGACGTGGATGAAGACCATTTGAGTACAGTCTTTTGCATAAGAGCTTAATAAAATCCGTAGTGTGCAACAAGTTCCACACCCACATATTCTGTTAGGGGCAATCTTGGAAGAGCCATTGGGTTTGAACTAGCAGTGGCCGTGCTAAATCAAGAAACGGGATGCCTCGGACCTGGACAGGGGGATTGACAGGGCATGGAAGGACGGATGGAAAGTTCATCGGCGACGTTTGGGGGAGGGGTGTTTTCCGACCCCACCGGGCGGGAACACCATTCCAGAGTTAGTCCAGTCTCAAATCATACGCACTTTGCTTTGCCTGGCAAGCAAGGCCTTTCACCATTGCCACAGGGAGCAACGGTCTCGACTGGGCACTCTCCAACAACCAGTACTAGCAATTCAAGCATCTCCTCCGCAAGCAGAGCACGAGTTCTGCTTCCCGAAGCTGTTTAGCAACTCGAAACTGTGCTGTTGATCTAAGCCCCCATTTGCTTTCTTTATATTCTTTCTTCATTTTTCTTGATTCCGTCTTTGGTGTCTGGGTACCAACCATGTGAGATAGTGGTCTTCACTCCATTTACTCCCTAGTCCCATCCTCCGTTGTTTTGTATGGCAATTGACTCACAACTTCCAACTTGGTAGTCCTCTCTTTGTTCTGCTTCCTCAGACGAGTTACCCTCGTCATGGCTTTGACCATGGCACGATTGAATCTTGGATACCTTGTTGACTTTAGTGCGAAGTGGGAGATCAGACTTATGGCACAATGATGGGTCGGCTATGGGCGTCCTATAAGCAATCATGAACAGAATGAACTTCATTGCGGCCTGGCACTTCCAGTCCTCGATATGACCAAGACCTTCATTAAATGAGCGCAGCGTTGGTACTCCCAAATGTAGGTGTACCGTGCGTAATATCAGATTCTGCTCCTTTCACAGTAAATGGTATGGCGACCCGAAATATCACTTCACAAGAGGGCTGCAGCGGGCGGAAAACAGTCACAGTTCCTCATGCTGGCCAAGGAGAAAGTGTCTTTTTTCTTTTCTTTTTTATTGTCGCTCGGGTGGCATAAATATCCTACATGTAGTTAGAATGGGCTTCAGGGGGATGGACGCCTAGGATTGTTGAACAGAGGCCGGGCGTTCCGGGACTTGCTTGACCAGGATTATTTCAAGGTCATCTCCAAGTCAGACCAGATCGGCCGCTTATTGGTTTAGCTATGGAAGTTGAGTGTTCGTCTCGTTGCGAATGCGTCTGGTGTTTGAGCCTTGTCCCATTATCACTAGTCTTCTCACGGTACGTACTTCTGTCTCCTCTGCTCCCCTGATATCTTTGGCGAGAGCGAGAAACAGAGAGCAAATAATGACAGGCATAGGCACATACTGTACTGTCCAACTTCTCTTCAGCGTGTCTGCCTTCCCATCTTTCGCTGAATGCCCTTTCCCATTTGTACTGGTAGCACAGCACTCAGGCCCACTCATCCACCGCCATTACGATTATTACTTCAGGCTACTACGTATGAACCAAGGGTTACTCCTGAGCTACAGGCCAAAAAGAAAGGGAAAAAGGGTGTGGTAACTGCATCATACATGAAGAAGCAATCAAAGGTTGAGACTCCCCTTCGTCTCGACAGCTGCTTCGCCTTGCTTCATCTCCTCACCTCGACCCTCATTTCAAACCTCACGTGCATTTGACCGACGGGGAGAGACGTCGGCCTTGCCTTGCTGTTGACGACGCGGTCCAAACTTGCGCTTATTTGGGTCTTCTCTGACAATACCCACTCTTTTCAACGGGCTCTTGGGCCATCCTTCCACTATGCCTTGTCACAGCATCGCCTCGGGATGCATCCACGTCTCGGCATTTCCAGCCCTTCCCCCTTCTCTGCAGGATCGTTAACTCAGCTTCAGCAAAGTTCGTTCGACTCATTCATTATCTTATTCGAAGGACGCGCAAAGCAATGTGCAACACAGACATTTGCTTATGAACGTGGGTCGCCAGCGTCTATTGTCTCATCGTGCCAAGGAGTGAATGCACTATAGCACTAGCTGCATCTCGGGAGATTTCGCCCTGTTACATAGCACATCCAGTCCAAGATTTGGAAGAAAAAAATCCGGCTTTTGGTCTTGTGCATCCAATTGAGTTGCATCTTTACGTTTGGATCATCAGTCTGAGCAAGCTGTCAGCTGCGACTTGCAAGCAGATTATTTGTTGCATTCAGCCTAGCTCAGTTCCGTAAATGCAAACAAGGCCAGATTAAATGGTCAAACGAGGTCGGTCGACTAAGAGCCGGATGCTTCGTGAGCGGAAAAAGCAGGTTTTATCAATTGGCGACATTGATTATCAATTAATCTATCATCATCATCATCCGGCAAAACAATTCACGGAACGAGCTGGCGAAAGCTGGGCAGCGACTACTAATACGTGTCTGATGTGGCGCAGGCTCAAGACTTCTTTCAACCAAGAATAGACACGAGCTTCGTTAATGTCCTTCGTATCGCAATCCATACTACTACTGCGGGCTGCAGCTATTGCAATGGATGGATGCATTTGGCTTGCCACCAGGCAGAGCTTTACTAATTACGGATACCTGGCGCCTAATCATACTAGGCAGTACAGATTGCAGCGCAGTGATCGAGACAGTCCAACAATGACAACCCACTCACCTGGTCTGCCTGTGAAAAATAACGTCCACATGCGCTGGCGACACAGGCGAAGCACGAAATGTTAACATTAGAATATCAGAAGACGACGGACCGGGTTCATACACTACTTTTTTTTTTATTAAAAAAATAAATAAAAAAAAAACCCTTGATTTACCAACAGTAATCAAGATGATGAGAAGAATTGCAAATGTTGACACACGCACACATGTATCACTACGGGTTGTAACATTTCAGGTGCTTGAACCCCAACTTGCTGTGTTAGATAGAGGTGATTCGCCTTCGTATTCAATTAGCCATGATTTCTATGTAAAACAAGAGCGTGTGGTTCTCAAGGCGATTTAACACTTCTCAATTTGTTTCTTTCTCGAATCTGCAATTTGCTAGAAACTGGTTCAAGTTCTCGTCGTCGGCCTTCTATGTCGGTCCATTGTTGTCCTAGAATCAACAGAGTTCTCACGCTGGAGGTGGATCATGGACACAGTATACAGTGTGAGGGAGCTGCCACCGAGGCGAAGCCTCAGCTGGGGTGTTGCTGCACAGGCTTGGGGCAAACTGAGGAAGGGTGGGTGGGGTATAGGAGCTCCAGTCTCCTCCCATTGACAACAGCAGCAGGGCAGAACTGGGAACCGGAGCTAATAAAAGATGAGCCCACTAAAAACCCTTGGTGTGGATGCGTTGTTAGATGCAGGTACCGGCCTGGAACGAGTCAACCACCCACAGCGCAGAGTGCAGAGCTGCCTTAGCGTTAGCCCCTAGTAGTGTCTGTCATTTCGTTTTGGCTAGTAGTGCTTCCAACCGTGAGACGGTGGGGGCTCTCGCAGGCGACGGGAGAGGTCGGTCCATGACAATGCCGTCATATACACGTCCACCAATCCACTTTGTCAGCAGAAAAGTACCACGCTGGCTAGGTCCAACCCAAAATGCCGGCGCCTCGGTCTTTCTCTCTCTCTAAAGTGTTAACCGTACTATGTACAGCAGCGTGCCATACCGGTGGCAGTTGCTTGCTCATCCACTTTGTTGTACCTAAAGAATTCGCCCTGATCTCGATCTTCCGCGGGTCATTCTGGCTCTCTTGCCGGCCGTTACGGAGTACGTGTATGCATTGCTCTTTTGTCCAATGGCCGTCAGTGAGGTAGCGTTGTCCCCCTGCCACTCCGGAATGGCTACTTTTTAGATGCCTTGACTTTCCCAGTGGTCGTATTCATACGTAGCCGTCATTCTCTCGAAAGACTGAATTCACTGTGGGCGGGGCTGTGGATTCACTATCAACAACCAACTCAAATCAAGTCAATGTTTCCATAGCATTGCCTTTTGCGGTCAGACGAGCTGACATCATCAACTACAAGTCAATTCAAAAGCGGTGGGCCACCGCCACATTCACCTGTTTCATCCCTCTTTTCCCTCTTGTTAATCCAACATTTCACAGTCCCAGTAACAACCATAACAGCGTCGGGCTAAAAAAGCGATGAACCCGCAGATCGACGCCCCGAAGCCGTGGTCTCATTCTAGCTGGCATCACAAAACCGCCGAAAAGAAAAGATGGTCTAGGCCATCGGTTAGTGGCTTCTTGGACAACGGTTGGCAACGACCCTCTACTTCACTTCAGTTTACAAAGAGACGCCCAGGGAGGGCTAGATCTCTTTGTCTTTCTCGATGCAAGACAACTGGTCGTGCAACTTCCATTGCCTGTTCATTGCTTGTCCGTCCTTTGTTCCAATGAAGCCGCGCCATGTTAATTTCGATCTAGTTGCAAGTGTGGTCGAGGTTGTTTACCCCTACTGCCATATCGCAGATGATAGAGTCTGCGGAATGACTGATTGCTTTTGGTTCCCTTTCTGTGCCTTTTCTACGCAACTGTGCCTTTTTCAGTCAGGCGGCCTGCGAATGACCCAGTCTGCTCCGTTGCAACCGATAGAGTTAGTGGCGTGGTGGAGTCCTCATTTCAATTTCTCCTAAAGCCTGTGTATCTTTCAATGCGCATTTTAGTACACCCTGATGTAAATTTTCACCTACCCAAAACCGCACAAGATGATGTAGCTCCTCGAACGAACTGCAAATTTCCGTGCGTGCCGATTGTCATAGTGCCTGTAGAGGTGTATGCCTTCCTAACCCTTTCAGTCGGACAATTGGCCCACGGCACTGTAATTTGAGCAATTCCCTTGGAGGCGTTTGGACCTGGTACATCAAATTGCTTCAGAACCGGGCTGTGCAGTTACACATCGAGCTTTGCAAAAATGTTATTATCGGCACTGCAGCCGCCGTCAATCGAGGACTCTCTAACATCTTGGATGAATATGGCCACTCCTGATCTACACCGTTATCGTACATTACATTTCAATTGCCGTTGGTGTGTTACTCTGACCAGATCAATGCTTCTTGGCCATGGTGGAAGTGTAAGATGATGGGCCCAGGAATGAGCCCAGCCTGGTCGTTGTCCATAGCCGTAAGCTTAGCTCCTCAAGTACTTCTACGACAACCCAATCATCATACTCAAAAGTGTACTCAAGTCCTGGCCCTGATAATCAATCCTCATGTCCGACATCACGTGTTAATTGCCCTTTTTCGAAATGCGTATTCTGCACAGTTCCAGTAACGAACTCAATTGGATGACTGTTGTTGGGAGTGGAGTATTACAGGACCGGTTGCCCCTCGCAACGACCACATGCAGCGATCAACTCTAATGCGGCTCTAGTGCAACGGTTTCGCACACGGCTACGCCAACCAACAACGACTTCAAGTGGCATGTAAAGTCTTGCAAAATACCCTGCGAAAGCACTCTATAAAATGAACGGAAAAGTTGATTTTGCTTCAACCAGTGAAGACGAGTTCCCTGACTTGGACGTCATCTTTCAGAGAAGCAAAACAATCGGACGTCGCGAGAAGTCTTCCGCACAGCGCACTACAACCAACAAATGCGAGTCGACAGATGGCATTGATGAGAAGGCAAATGGCTTGGGAAAAAGAAGGGATGGCGATTTGGACGTGAGGAAGCAGGAACCTTCTACAGCACCACCAACTGTACGACGTCGAAAACTTGGACGGCAATTAGACAACCCATTGTTGAGACCTCTGGGAGGACTCGAGAATAACGATGAACAGAACCTGCTGAAAGTTACTGTCGAGACCAGGACTTCGCCGAGCGCTAGTGTTCGTGTGCTACGCAATTCAGATCGAGTTGAGCAACCTGTTAACCCTCGGTCTCGAAGCGTAGGCGAGGACTCAGAAGACAGCACAAACGAGACGACAGAAATTACCGAAGCCGACATCTCAGAGTTCTTTGGGGACTCAGCCTCTGAATCCGAGGATGACGACACCTCAATGCCGTTTGGCCCCGAAAAGCCTGTTTTGAAAGGTCGCCGCCATCCCCCTCGGAGTCACCAGGAGGGCATCGTCAACGCAAAACATCGGCCGTCAACTTTGAGGCACACGCTGGATCCTGCATTGAGCAACTCAAAGTTAACTAGAAGACAAGAGCCCCTACAGGGCAGTACAAATAAGAACCACCGGGGGGAGAAGACCCTTGATCAAAACATCATGCATTCAAAGTCAACGGTTGTTGATTTGACGGACCAGGTGACTGACACTCTTCGCCTAATGGATCTGTAAGCTGTACCGTGGTATATACGCCTTGGCTTTACTAATATGCAACAGGACAATCAACAACCAAAGAGAGCAAGAAAAGCAGAATCAAGGCAGCGACAGCGTGACGCCGCCATCAACACCACCAAGGCTTTCCAACAAAGTCCTGACGTCTCCAAAGAAGCTTTGTGGCATTCCAAAAACTCCGCATAGACCTAGCATGGACCTGTTCTGGAACCAAGAGTTTGTAGATGAGTGGAACGAGGAGCATTCCCCCAAGAAGTTGGCTCTACCTTCCGCGCAGAAAAGCTCAGCGAAAAGTCCGGTGAAAGCCAGAACCAGCAGGGCGGAAAGTACTAAACGGAGAGAGACGAAAAAGTCGTTTGAAAAGAGGAAACACGATGTAGCACTTGCATTTCTCCGGGAACTTGACGACAACATCACCCAGGGTAGGCTACAATTGTTGGCAGAGTCTACCGGAGGGATCAAGATAAACTGGTCGAGCAAGCTCAACACAACCGCTGGCAGGGCCAACTGGAGGCGAGAGACAGTCCGGAGCAAATTGAGTGATGGCACGGACAATTCCGTTACGCACCGCCATCACGCCTCCATCGAGCTCGCGGAGAAAGTGATCGACGATGAGAACCGCCTTCTTAATGTTGTTGCACATGAGTTTTGCCACCTAGCTAACTTCATGATCAATGGTATTACTGGTAATCCCCATGGGAAAGAGTTCAAGGTATGGGCCGCCAAGTGTTCGCAAACTTTTGGCGACCGAGGTATCGAGGTCACCACGAAGCACTCGTACGAGATCGACTTCAAGTACGTCTGGGAGTGCACTGAATGCGGTCTTGAGTATAAGCGGCATTCAAAGAGCATCAATCCTGAGCGCCATCGTTGTGGCTCCTGTAAGGCTCAGCTCAAGCAGACGAAGCCTGTGCCACGCGCAGCTGCCAAGCCATCCGAGTACCAGATGTTTTTCAAGGAGCAGATGAAACTTGTCAAGGGGCAATATCCCAAGAGTCCTCAGAAGGAGGTAATGAGAATCATTGCCGACAGGTGGGCAAAGCGAAGTGTTAGCAACCGCGCTACTCCTGAGTTAGATCAGAGCGCCCCTATTCCGGAGACGGGCGTTGACAAGATTGGTGCTCGACTAGGTAACATAACGTTGTAATCTCGTAAATGAAAGAGAGCCCCTCAAGGCTAAAAGACCATCCCTAATGTCACTGTGTGTACGACAAACTAGACATGCATCACTGTTGACCCTTATCAAAGTCGTTAAGAGAAAGGAAGTGCTAATCTCCCATACTCCCATGCCTGAACCCCGTCGTCTTTTGCATGCGAATTGTCAGCCTCCCAAATAACGCCCGTTGACAATTACCAGGGAAGGAGTACCCAGCCCATTCGTGCATTCGTTCAGATATCCCGTGCAGTTTCCTCATAAACACCCGCAACCCAGGCCGTTAAGCCTTAGTTCTCACACATATCCCAGAAACGCAAGCCTGCCTTTAAACCTCCACGAACAATGTCCAATCCTTGACCTTAAATGTCTCCCAAATGCGCGCGGCGTACTCGACCGCATCGCCGATCAATTTACCCTGCTTTCCCAGCTCCAGGTCGACATCGTCTTCGTTGTACTCGCCCTTGATATGAGGCACGTTGATGGTGATTAATATGTCAGTCGACTCTTTTTCAAGACGCAGCAATGTGAGAATGATGGCGGTGAAGTCAGGCGCTGCTGAGCCTGACTTGGAGCGTGGCGTCTGCGTAGCGATGAGAGTGTAGGCGGGGATGTCGGTCCTGCAGATACAATCCCAAATGTTAGTTGGGGGTTTCTTTGTTTCTTAACAGACACTAAAGAGGCCATCGTGGGGAATGAGAAACAACTAGGTCGCTACGCACCCCAGACGCGAAAAGGACGTTTCCGTTGTGTTCCAGACCTTGACGGTATCGATATCTTCTCCGACGAGTTCCTCCAAGTGCGTAGTCATGGCGCGGCCGTCAATCTCAGGGCTGCTTCCAGCGGGCCCGACGCGCTCCGTAATGTCGAAGATGATGCTTGTGAAGCCATCCTGGTCGATCCAGACCTCCTGGGTGTCGGGCACCTCCCGCAGTTTGCTGTTGACCGTCAAGGCCATCTAATCAGCTTCAATTATGGCGCGGAGGGTGCGACGGGGAAAGAAGCGAACCTGACGTCGGCAAATTTCTCGGGAAGGTCACAGACCAAGGCGCCGCCGTAGAGAGGGGTGCTCTTGTATCGGGTCATGGTATCTCTCAATAGAATGACAAGTTTGGTTGGTCTTGTCTGTTGCGAATAGCTCCGTTCGAGTATTTCGGGAAACAAGAGGGGGCAGGAAACAAAAATAATTCTCTAGGCAGAAGAGTCGAAGTTTTGATAGCCGTAAGGACTTAGACGAGGCGACCGGCCCTGTGCAAACAATAGGCTGACAGAAGTTAAGTATCGCAAAAGCGATCAAGAAGAAGGCGCTTTAGGAAAAAGGATGCCAAGAGAGCGGCATATTCTGGGCTAAATGGCTGCCTTACCAGTACACGTACACTAGGTGGTTGCAAGTAATGGATGAGCTCCATCCAAGTTTACCCAAGGTCATCCGATGTGGGGGGGCTGAAAAATGGAGGGGATGGAGGGGTATGACGACGATGCTGTCAGGGATCATGGCGCTACTTAGGGAACAGCGCACATGTGCTGCACAGCGCTTGGAGTCGCAGCGCTGCATCCACGAATTATGGTCAGCATTTAGAAGGCTAATACATCGCCAAATGTGCCGTAACAACCTTGAAAATAATAGGGCTGTAATCGTGCAGATGGAGGCAATCCCAAAAAGGATGAAAAAGGGGATCAAAAATATATTCGAACCTGGAAGCTCCAGATGAGTAGGATCCAAAGATTGGTGGAATGGAGTCTGTTGGGCCATCCAACGGTCACATCTGGTAAAAGGCAAGAGGTGAGTTCGATAGGAGGTCCCACTCCAGCATTCCCTGTCTGTTTTACTCTTTAAGTACCCTCACAATGCTCAGCAGCCCCACACCTTTCCCTCGGGCTGTTGATCCCCGCTCACGGTGGTGCCTATACCTGGGTATCTCAATTCCTCCCTCTCTTGTTAAGCAAATCAACTTTTGCTGTCTACATCCTTCCTTTATTCCAAGTGTTCGACCACCTTTCTTGCAGCTCTTCGACCCCTTCTTCGCATTGAAAAAAGCCCAGGGTTCATCATGTCTTCCAGCTTGGCCTCATGCATCTTTTGCAAGATCATCAAGGGTCAGTCCATCTGCATCATACCTAATCCCTAGACATCTCCGAACCCCCGCAGTTCCAGGTTCTCATCGTGATGTTGACCCGGCTTACAGGAGAAATTCCTTGCTTCAAGCTCTTCGAGAGCGACAAGACTCTGGCATTTCTTGACATTAATCCTCTGAGCCGTGGCCACGCAGTAAGTCGTCCATTTGAGTATCGTAGTGATATCTAGGGTGCACTCTGACTTACATATGTTTGTTAGCTCGTCATCCCCAAGTTCCACGGTGCCAAGTTGGCTGACATTCCCGATGAGCATCTTGGAGAGATTCTTGTACGTTCCGATTAGCGTATTTTCGTAGCTACTCAATCTCTTACACCATGACATTAGCCAGTCGTCAAAAAGCTCGTCGCCGCAAGCGGAGCTGAAGATTACAATGTCCTTCAGAACAACGGCCGCATCGCCCACCAGGTGGTTGACCACGTAAGAAAGCGCTGCCCCGGTCGACTAATATGTTATTCCCTTACTGACGCTAGACAGGTTCACTTTCACATGGTAATGGTTTTTTCCAACGTTTCGCATTGTTTTACTGACACAGTCCATCATAGATCCCCAAGCCCAACGAGACCGAGGGTCTTGGTGTTGGCTGGCCCCAACAGGCGACCGACATGGATAAGCTTAAGGCCCTTTTTGAGGAGATCAAGTCCAAAATGTAAATAAAGTCTGAAAGTGGTATATTATAGCCTTACTGCTGTTTACCTAGTAGGAAGCATTTCTAGGTTCAGTAACATCAATGGCCTCAAAGGTAATTTCAACTTGATTTCTTTCGGTGTTGTATATTCCCCTCATGATTCTCATCTCAGCCGCATCGAATTCTAGTCTACATCGTCGGCCGAGGTCTCAACTTTGGGCGCACCGTTTGTCTGCCCCGCAGCAACTGTCTTTGGGTAGAAGTCGATCTTGCCGCCTTCGTTGATGACACCTGTCCGGTCCAACACGCACTTGGCACGCAGGTAAGGGTCCAGCTTCCAGTAGTCGTCCCTTAGCTTTTGTGCAAGTTCTTCTCTCTGCTTCTTAATGGACGCCTCGTTGTCTGTTCCAGCTTCCTTAATCCATTGCAGGGTGGCCTCTTCATACTGTTGAATGAGGTCTTCTCTCCCGGCCAGAAGAGCATCCCGTGCGGCTGTATCCTTCATCTTGTCGTTCTCACCAGCGACCGGTTCAACATATTTGTAATCCCAATCTTCCTGGCCATCAAGCTCTTTCAGTATATGGCTCGGAGGAATGAACTCCTCCATTTCTTTTACGTTGTTGGTGAAGTGCACCTTGCTGGCTACTACTGGGTCCAGCCAGCCCTTGATGATCTTCCAGATACCTGTCATCTGTCAGTTATGCCCAATTCATACCATAATCAGAAAAGGCGAACCTTGAAACACCCAGGGAGCCCGGTGCACCAGAACAGCACCAAGGGACTCCGGATAGTTGGCCTCAAAACATTTGATCATGAATTTGACTGGGGTATAGTCCTGCAACAACAGTCAGAAACGGATGCTCAAACTACATAGTGATACGATTGCTCACCATATTGGCCATTGAGAAACTGGTCATGTCAAACACAATCGTCTAGGGTCCAATCAGTTAGGATCGCGAGATACAGCCACCACAATGGAGCATTACTTACAGCAGTGTCCACAGGAGGAGCCAGGACCATTCGTGCAGTCTCAATCAAGAAGACGGTGTACTTCTCGAGACTTTCTTCGCACTGCTCCCCTTGCCTGTGCATCCGGACTCTCACCATACAAATCGGCCGTCCTACCTTGTCAACGCCGTGTATAAAGGTCTTTCCCGACCGCGCTTGGGCCATGAAATCCTGCCCAAGTTTCTTTATGTTGGCGTCTGCGCTCTTTGAAGCTTCCAACGCACCCTCTTCACCAGTCCTCATAATTTCTTCATCAACTTTCATCTCGGTTAATCTCCAGTTCATAGTAGAGATCATCATGACAAAAGCCTTGTCGACGTCCCACTTCCGCGCCCTCAAGAAACGAAGAGCCAGAGCATCCGGATGGTCGTGTTTAACCATGGACCAGATAGTGGCACGCAGAGCCTCAGGACTCTGGCTAGCTAGAGCTTCTAGGAATTGCTTGGTTTGTCCATACTTGTCTTCTCCGTCGTCTTTAATGTGAGCGCCGCCAACATTGGTAGAAGAACCGGAGGCTTCAGCGTCCGAAACTTTCTTGTCTTTGCGGTTGAAAAGAGAAACACGTTTCTTCTTGGGTTTCTCACCCTTCCCGGCTGCCGACGCCTCGCTTGGGGCTGTACTTGCAGCCGTACTGTCGGCCGCTGTGCTGGTCACATCCTCTCCAAGAGACAGGATAAGATTCCAAAGCTTGCGCAACTTTTCTTCCTGATCGGGGGTCAGGTTTCCCGGTCTTCCGGGAGGGATTTCCGACGCCATTAGTTCTGATAATTGGGGCTTTACACCTAAAGCTCCGGTTTCTGGAGGCGGATTAGACTCTGATCGCCGATATTGTAGGCTGAACCCGAGGCAAACGAAGATTATAGCAACAGAGAGTGCGACAAGGTCAACACGAGATTGAAGCGGGGCGCGAGGAGACTTGGGCTTGGAGGGGTCTGAATGTCGTCCTACTCCGTAGGTGTGAACTCCTCTGTAAGCTGATAATATGGAGGGGTAATCTAGTCTCCCAACACTTGAGTTGACAAGGGCGATCTGTTTAAACTTTGCAGATAAGGGCGTTAAACGGTCCCTCGAGGTTGCAAAAAGGAACCTTGGTGGGAACGCGAGAATTCGAGGCAGAGCCGAGTTTTGTGGTTTCAAACTGACCGGCATCAGTCGACGACGTCAGGTATTGCCCCAGCTTATTTTGGCGCAGCTGATGCGGGTTCTTGAAAGGTCAGCAGGGGAGTCCCAATTTGTAAAGACGCTGCAAAAAGCCACTGAAATTGCGATGAAAATAATGATGGGTGCAGAGGCGACAGTAGCTGAGGTTACCAAGATAAACGGATCGTGTATGGCAGAAAAGAGATGGCTTACCCCAGCGAATAAGGAAGGCAGGGACTGCGGTGGTGAGGAGCTATATACGGGGCAATGAGAGTCGGAGATGCACTTACGCGGACAGAGGAAGAAACCGAATTATTAGGGTTGGAGTCCGTGAGATGGCTGGCGCTGACCAAGGAATGACACCTCAGACACAAGAGCAATGTTGAACCTAAAGTGGGTTCGGACGAGAGCAAAAAGGCAGATTTAGCAAGAATTGTGAGGCACCGTCTGACGGACAGAGAGAGAAAAGCCTTGACAATGTAGGTACCGGGAGATGGTGGATGGATGACAACAGCAGCCAGATATGTGGGAAATGGAGACCAAGCGAGCGTCGAGGGCCTAAAGAGCTTAAGCCTCGAATCGTTGGGGTACCGCCACGGACGGGGAGCTGAGATGTGTGGGCGGAACAGAGAGCGGAAGCAACAAGAGGGGGAAACTGAAGGGAGTGGAGGGGAGGGAGGCTTAGACAGCGACCAGCACAATGACACCGTCGCAAGGATCGCGCGCTTTAGTTGGTACCAGAGGTGCTGCTGCGTCTATTGTACAATTTCCGGGCGTTCCGGATGTTGAGACTGCTAAGACGTCGGTAAAACGTCTTCTAATGGCACTGGGCGCCGATTATGGACTAGGGAGGAGAACAGTAGTTGCAAAAAACCAGCGGGAGGTGTCGTGGGTGCAAGGACAACGTAGACTCGATGAGGGTAAATGGGTTAAAGAGGGAGAGTGTGCGAGTTGAGTTGGTGGGAGGGGCGAGGGGTATTGAGGAGGGCCCTGAAGGTGGGAAACGCGGAGAGATGCCAAGGTAGACAGGGTGTATGTCCAGGCCTATGCGATATTTGGAACGTAACGAATGCATAGGGCATGACAAGCAAGTGATATTGTTTAATCGTGTTTTTTCCTGAGATTTTCCCCTTCTGGATGACATAGTAATCCGGAAACATGAACAGATACGACGTATTCGGACTGCACTGGCATGGATGGTATCTTCGCTCTCTGCCTTCTTTGGCGCAGGTAAGTAGGTGCTGTATCGAATGTGCAGCCTACGCGACCTCAAAAAGCGAACCTGGTTAGCACTATATTCGGAGATCTAAGCGTCAAGGGCACCTAGTGCACGACCTAAGCGGCCTGGGGGGCACGACTTTGCGTCATTCCGCCTGATTACCTGCTGACCTGCTGTTTATCAAGGGTTTTAGTGACAGTTGCTTACATTGACAGTGAGCTTGAGGGGCCATTGGGACGTCCTGACCCATGGCAACACGTGCTGCACTGCAGTTTTGGGGCCCTGTTGAGGCAACCTACCGGATTTGAACGAGCATCCGAGCTGAAGCATCCCTGAGGCAGCTGCTTTGACAGCGAAGGTGGCCTTAGGCAGGGCGGCTTTGGGCCTTTACCTCCCGACTTGCAGAGTGCGGGACCACACGCTGAACCCCGCCAAAAGATGGGAAGAGCAGCCATGCGCTGCCACGTCCAGTAAGGCGGTTTGTTGATGTTGACTTTCACTTCAGTCGAAGCGAAATTCAACAGACCAGCATTACAGCATTGTCCATCACGGCCATCCGCAATTGATCAACAACCCCCCTCCTCCGCGACTCTGTGCAGATTGAAGTAACCAAAAAAAGAACTCATATCATCAACTATTCACTGCTCATAGACGACGTTGCAACCCCTAGCTTACGGTGCCATAATGGCAGACGCCCTGGAGTCTAGCGGAAAGCGATCGACATCTCGTTCACGAACGTCGCGTCCCACGACGCCCCTGCGCCCGTCATCGCGGTCGTCTTTTAGAGAATCAGCCAGGGACAGCGTTCATGGCGGCGAGCCCTTCCCTCTCAACACCTTCGAGCCAGCCTTTGCAGAGCTATCCGATGCCATGGCCGACCTTGAAGCTAACATGATGCACTTTCAATTGATGCATGAGAGCCTGGCTCGCTTCAGCGAATCCTTTGCCAGCTTCCTCTACGGTCTCAATATGAATGCCTTCTGCGTTGACTTCCCCGAAGTATGTCTAGTTGTTCGGTACTCTAGTTGTTCGGTACCCGGCTGCCAAACGATGCTGACTCCAATGGTAGGGTCCTATTGCGGAATCCTTTCGACGTGCAAAGCAACAAGAGGAGTCGGCTACAAGTTTAGGTATGGTTATCAAACAGGCGCAATGCTCAATCGATGTCAGGACGAGCTAACAGAGGTTTTGTGCAGTACCAGCCCGAGCGGAGAAAGCTGGGCCGGAGAATGACGGCGAAACGACCTTTATGTATTTCCAGTTCATTCCTCCCAGAGCCTTGGACAGCTATAGCTAAGTAAACAACAGGACTACGGATATATCGTTTGTCGAAAACCCCCCTGCGTCTGCCAAACCAACGCCGAGGTTGAAGACCCCCGAGGCAAGAACATCACGAGTCCCAGGCCCGAGCACTCGTGGTACTTCGACCCGGGGCAGAGGAGCGCGCCGTGGTGGCGCCGAGTCACAAAGAGGCCGGCCTAGTGGACTGGCCCGGGCCCGAGGCCGTGGTATCCGTTGAATATCCCCAAACAGTGGTCTGATACCGTAACATCCTCAGGAAAGCCGCCGCTTTTTCACGTCCTGACGCCCAGCGCAGTCGCTATTAGGACACTCCAATAACAGAATACGGCTAGAGGATTATACAAGAGCCGCTTTTAGCGCCGTCGCAGAAGGGTATCATCAAGTATCTACTTTCCAGTCGCAGGTGAACACCTGGGCGGAAACAAGATTCATGTCTCCATCTCGATTTCGTGGTCGAAAGTCCTCTCTGGACCGTTCTTATTGAGACCTTTGTTGTCAGTCCTAAGACCGACAGCAGCCTCCGCGTCTTTCTGGGTGTAGGGCTCCTCTTTCAGCTGCTTGACTCTAGAAGGAAGGAACCAAGGGTTAGCAGTATCCCAACACTCTAGATGAAAATAAAACCACGGCATATAGCGAATGAAAGTATAATACACACCTGCGCTTATGGGGTTTTCCTCTCTTATGACCACCAAGGCTGACCTCGGTTTCAAACCATTTGGCGCATTCAACACAGTAGTGTTGACCCATGCCCGGAAGGTCCTCCGACGCTTTGGTCTCCTTGAATTGACGGAGGTGGCGAGGGGAGAGCATATCGGCCTTGATCTGGTCAACATCCCTAGGTAACATGTTAGATTATCGACGCTGTGAATCAATGGCTATCCCTGGCGTACCTTGTCTTTCTCCGCGTCTTGGTCAAAGTCCGCTTGTTTCCGACACCCATATTTTCTGAATAACTTGATTTTACAAAAGCAAAAGTTTCGATTGGGAAGCGAAGATTACGGTATCGGTTCCGGGGAGAGTGGGTGTCAGAATTCCAGAAAGTGTGCTTCTAGATGGTGATGGCGGGGCAGAATTATGGTGGTGACCGCAAAAAAGTTCCTTCACCGCTCAAGGGCGAATCGGGGGTTAGTTGCAGCCCCATATAAAAAGCCTGCAACTTGCGGCACATGAACAGACAGTTAAGAACACAGTGCTGGCTAGTAAATCGCGCTGTGTTACAGACAGGCATTGCAGGCAAGCATCACTGAGGAGTACAGGAACTTGAAAAGAGCCGCAGGTCTGACCGAGAACTGGCTCGGTGAAATCATGATGCAATAGACGTTCATGGCCTCGGCCAATTCAATGTAATTATGAGTATAATGCCAGGCCCGTTGATGAGTAATGTTCGGAAAGGTAGCGTGGCGGCGTTTTCGGCCGCACTCAATCAACTGGTATTCGCATACTTGCTCTGGGATGGGATGGCCGAGGCACATGGGAAAGGAAAATCGCCATGCCGGACGATGCCCGTAGCAGCAAAAACGGCCTTCCGGTTTAGTTGGCAGCCGGGGGGGCCTCTTTTTGTAACAGAGCAATCAGCATCGTTATGATAATAAGCGACGAGCTCGGACGTCGCCTCGGGCGAAGGTGAGTATCTCCTATCATAACTCCCCCTTCTGGCCGAGGGAAAATCCGGATCTACGAGCTTTGAGCTTGCGACCGAAGGCTTCCCGAGGCAGTTGAAGCTCCACTGCGACGGACGGAAGCACAACAGACAAGGATCTAAGGTCCGCAGAGGAGGCTCGTCTCCAGGCTCCAGGAAGTGGCCCCGCCCGGGGCCTGCAGACGCGCGAGGGCGAAAAAAAAACGAGTCTCCAGACCAGAAAAAAAAAAAAAGGCTGATAGTGTAATTGTCCCTGATGATTGGGTGCGACCTTGAGCGCATGCATGTTCAGGTAGAGTACGTTAGTGCAAGGAGATACTTGTAGCGCAATGTACCCCATTTATGCTATTACTTGTTGGCATATCCGAAGCCAGGAGACTAACAGGAGAGACTGCAGGCATCGTCGAGCCTGACGTCTACAACGCTGTGCAGCAAGTCAATTCTTCACTTCTAAGGAATGCTTCTTCTGCGTCGTGAGGTATTGGATGTGGTGGGAGGTGGGATCGTGGGGTCGATAGTCTAGTTTGAAAGCGTGTGGTTCCAAACAGATGTGATGTACAGTAGCTAGTTACCCAAGGCATCCTACTAAGGTAACCGACAGAAACCGAGTCGGTCAGATGGGAGCTTCCAGATACATCTGCTCAAGCATACTGGCGTGGACGATGGGGAGATACCTTTAGTGGCTACAGCTTTAACACTGTAACTCTAGTCTTTGTGAGCAGAGACGTATTTTCGCAGCCTTTAAGACACGATCTCTGAGGCTCAACTGAAGTGGCAGTGATTTCAAAGGACAATGCCGTCGAGTTTTGCATAATGTCCAGCTTCGTTGGTTGCTGTGTACATTGGATGATACCGTTCGGCAACGTGGGGAATACCAGGCTGTCGCAGTAAGAAAAGGCCGGAGGGACCCAGTACTAATCAGTACTGCATGGAAGGTACCTTTCTTACCAAGGGACCAGGTACTTGTCTTCACATGATACCGCACTACAGTGCAGCAACCCACATATCAAGTGGCAGCACAGCGGTGGTTCCGGGGTCTTTGGACAGAAACGCCCCTCGCCCTTTATGGGGATAAGCCTAGTTTCCAAGTGGAGACCCGACGAAGGCGGAGTGTCCAGTCTGTTCTCTATGCATTTTCTTCTTCTTTCAACCTTCTGAATTGGCCGTGTTCATAAGGCATGGCGCGGTGGCCAGACGTGCAAATGCCTATCATCTACGCTAATTATCATGTCAATTGAGTAGTGCAGGACACTATGAGACCTAATTAAGAGCTTACGGATGAGCGGGATACTGCTTCATTCCAGCGAGGTCCAGATTGGGGCAAGCGCCGCAAGGAGCATAGGGTGACGGCATTCAGCGCAGAAATATGTCATGAGCACGTCTATCTTTGACATCCTCTAGCACCCTGTCTCCCGTTTACCCTCCTGCGATTCGCTGCATACGGAATACAGACATATTTGTACACTCCTATTATCCGCATGTAAATGTAGACAACTTCATCAAGATGGCCAGCCACCACAACTCGACACAGAACGTTGTTGCTTGGGGGAACGAACAATCTGGTGGGCCTCCGACCTCGACGGAACTTGAAGCGACGTATCCGAATCACGACTTGGTGTCTCTCCGCCCTCGGCGACCCGCAAAATTTTCTCCGTGTCAAAAGTATTAGAGAGGTTAGGTTATGCATGGGGAGGTGGCATGGCGGGCAAGCGGGCAAGCGGGCGGACAAGAGGGGACCATATCAGCGAACAATGGCAGAGTGGAAGGGACACAACAACAATATTACGCAGTGGGAAGGGGCAGAGAGTCAGTGACATGGTCTATACGGTGAACCTCAGGGCAGAAAGTACCGCAGGCCCATGGAACACACTTCTGGTTGTCGCAAGGGACAGGGGTTGCGACCAGGAAGGAGCTGCTGCGGTTCCATTGAAAGCAGTTCTCCACCATGCCACAGGTTCTACAGAAGCCCCACCCCAGTCTTCCTGCTGCTTTTTGCTGCTGAGTGAAAATAATCCAATCTTTCTGATTCGTCCGTTGGCCCGCGGTCGCCTTCGTCATAGCCGAGCAAACCCACTCTGGACTGCCCTGTTACTCTCCACAGTCCACACAGCAGCGCGGCAACCACCCACGTCCAGCCCAATTTGAGCCGAACACGCACCGTGAAGCAGATGAAGCGTGTGAGAGCGAGGGTGGGAGGTGCGACTTTTTTTTTACTGCCACCCCCAGCCGAAGACGTTGCTTTGCCGCCTTCTTCTACTACTTCCCATCTTCGCCGGACATCCTCTCCACCTTCTTATTTTCTTCCTCTTAATATTCTTTTTCTTTCCTCATCCCATCCTCTCACCAACAAAGTCCCCCTTCTTCAAGGCCAGGGCACTTGAGATACCCGTCCTCGAGCTTTATCACAGCTCTGACACTCTCCACTCATCTCAATTGAACAGTGTGGCAATTGCTCGCTGTTTCAACACCAACCATGTTGGCCTCACGACAGCTCCTGGGCTCTGTTGCCCGGGGCCGCACCGCCGCCAGTGCCTGCCTAGGACTGCGTCGGATGGCTACCGTTTCTGACTCTCCCCTTGATCGCAAGGTAAGACTATTCCGCCTCTTTGGCTGCTTGGCCACATCGTCGCGTCCGCAGGAGAGAGCACCATCGGCTCCTGCACGCTCAAACGTGTTCTTCCGCGGCAGAGCCTGTTGCTGACTCGTCAAAAACAGGTCAAGCAGAACATCCACGAGGAGGGCAACTTCATCAACTACAAGAAGATGTCTGAGAACCTTGCCGTTGTGCGCCAGCGTCTTAACCGCCCCCTCACTTACGCCGAGAAGATTCTCTACTCCCATCTCGACAACCCCCATGAGCAAGAAATTGAGCGTGGTGTGTCTTACCTAAAGCTTCGCCCTGACCGCGTTGCTTGCCAGGATGCCACCGCCCAGATGGCTATCTTGCAGTTCATGTCTGCTGGCATGCCCTCTGTTGCTAACCCCACCACTGTCCACTGTGATCACTTGATCGAGGCCCAAGTCGGTGGTGAGAAGGATCTTGCTCGTGCTGTCGGTATCAACAAGGAGGTTTACGACTTCCTGTCCTCTGCCTGCGCCAAGTACAACATCGGTTTCTGGAAGCCCGGTTCTGGTATCATCCACCAGATTGTTCTTGAGAACTATGCTTTCCCCGGTGGTCTGCTAATTGGAACTGACTCTCACACTCCCAATGCTGGTGGTCTCGGCATGTGCGCCATTGGTGTCGGTGGTGCTGATGCTGTCGATGTCATGGCCAACCTCCCTTGGGAGCTGAAGGCCCCCAAGGTCATTGGTGTTAAGCTCACTGGCGAGATGTCTGGCTGGACTACTCCCAAGGGTAAGTTCATTTCGCTCATTGTGGGTCGATGTTTGATGTGCTAACAAGCTCTAGATATCATTCTCAAGGTGGCTGGTATCTTGACTGTCAAGGGTGGTACCGGTGCCATTGTTGAGTACCACGGTCCTGGTGTTGACCAAATCTCCGCCACTGGTATGGGTACCATCTGCAACATGGGTGCTGAGATTGGTGCCACCACCTCCCTGTTTCCCTTCAACGGCCGCATGCACGACTACCTTGCTGCTACCAAGCGTAAGGACATCGGCGACTTTGCTAAGACCTACGCCAAGGAGCTCCGTGAGGACGAGGGCGCCGAATATGACCAGCTTATCGAGATCAACCTTTCCGAACTCGAGCCCCACATCAACGGTCCCTTCACCCCCGATCTGGCCACCCCTATCTCCAAGTTCAGCGAGGCTGTCAAGGCTAACAACTGGCCTGAGGAGCTCAAGGTCGGTCTGATCGGTTCCTGCACGAACTCTTCTTACGAGGACATGTCTCGCGCCGCCTCCATCGCTCGCGACGCCCTCGACCACGGCCTCAAGTCTAAGGCCATTTTCACCATCACCCCCGGCTCTGAGCAGATTCGCGCCACCATTGCCCGTGACGGTCAACTCCAGACCTTTGAGGAGTACGGTGGCATTGTCCTTGCTAACGCCTGCGGTCCCTGCATTGGTCAGTGGGATCGCCAGGACGTTAAGAAGGGCACCCCCAACTCCATCATCTCTTCCTACAACCGTAACTTCACGGGCCGTAATGACGGTAACCCTGCAACCCACTCTTTCGTCACCTCCCCCGATCTGGTCGTCGCCATGACTGTTGCCGGCAGTCTCCACTTCAACCCCCTCACCGACAAGCTTAAGGACAAGGACGGAAACGAGTTCATGCTGAAGCCTCCCTCTGGTGACGGTCTCCCCGTTCACGGATATGACCCTGGCCAGAACACCTACCAGGCCCCTCCCGCCGACCGTGGCTCCGTCAACGTTCAGGTTTCTCCCACCTCTGACCGTCTCCAGCTTCTCTCCCCCTTCGAGCCCTGGGATGGCAAGGATGTCAAGGACATTCCTATCCTCATCAAGGCCAAGGGCAAGACTACCACTGACCACATTTCCATGGCTGGTCCTTGGTTGAAGTACCGTGGCCACTTGGACAACATTTCCAACAACATGCTTATCGGTGCCATCAACGAGGCTAACGGTGAGGCCAACAAGGTCCTGAACTTCACCACTGGTGAGTGGGACGCCGTTCCTGCTGTTGCCCGTGACTACAAGGCCAAGGGCATCAAGTGGGTCGTTATTGGAGACTGGAACTACGGAGAGGGCTCTTCCCGTGAGCACGCTGCTCTTGAACCCCGTCACCTGGGTGGTCTTGCCATCATCACACGTTCCTTCGCTCGTATCCACGAGACCAACTTGAAGAAGCAGGGTATGCTTCCTCTCACCTTCTCTGACCCTGCCGACTACGACAAGATCAGGCCTGAAGACAAGGTCGACATCCTTGCTACTGAGCTCGAGGTCGGCAAGCCCTTGACCATGGTTGTCCACCCCAAGGATGGCAAGCCCTTCGAGGTTAAGCTTTCTCACACCTTCAACGCTCCCCAGATTGAGTGGTTCAAGAACGGCAGTGCTCTGAACACCATGGCCAAGGCCGCCGCCAAGTCATAAATGGAAATTGTTGCTCGTGCGATGAATGGGTTATGTGAATTGGATGGTGTAGGCGTACTTAATCTTTATTGCATGTTCTGGGGTGTCGGTCGGTATAACTAAAGTCAATGGCCGCGTCATGCCCTGTTTTTCTGGTTGGGCAATCATACCTCTGGGACTTTGTTTCTTTTACGTTATGTAGGCCAATGATTTTCTAGTCTGTACAAATTACAAAAGTTCAAAACAACCTCAATTCTAGCCCATCGTGATGACCCTACTAAACCTCCAGAAGACTTTTCGTTGCTGTATGCCAAGGCTTGATAATCGTGTATGCAGTGAATATTCCTAGTCACGTGACGATAAGCATCTGGCTGCGAAAGATATAATCCTTATCTGTTATTTTTGGCGTATTGCCCGAACAGGTCCGAGTGGTCAGAGGGCATGCGACAGTCTGTCTTCAATTTCCCAGTCGTCGCCAAATACGAGCGTGCTTGGTATTCAGGCCTCCTCTGTTGGCCGATCCTGCACGACGAAACTGCCGATCGAAGGACCGTACGATACCAGAGCGTAGCAATTGACTTTTGCAGAACCAAGCCCAAGTACTGCGCACAACTCTTTACAAAGTCAGACCCGGAGCAGTCGGCACCATGGCCTCAAACGTGACGTCCTTCAGCACGCTGCGGGCGCGGTCTTATATCCTTCGGCTGCCACTCTTCACACGCATCGTTCTCCTCATCATTGTGGCCGCCTGGCTTGCCAGTATACAGTCTGTCTGGGACGTTAAGCAATGGGGCGCGTTAATACCCGACCAACTGTCCTTTACATCCTGTCAGTCTGTCCTAAAATCCTCTTTTTGGTTTCATTTTAAGCTCAACTTCTGACGCGAGCGTAACGGCTCTAGCTTATCGAATGAATACTTATCCCTTCGTCCATACGAACTTCATCCATGTGGTCCTTAATTTGGTGGCCCTTACGCCGTTAATGGAACGATTCGAGGCGGAATTCGGGACACTGACTTCAATAGCGCTTTTCATCGGCCGTACGAGACCCCTATATACCACATGGAATATCGCTCAAAACTAAATACTGGCAGCACTATCGACAATCCCAGCCGTTACCTATGTTCTGATTGAGCGATTTCTCTTCAAAGGCAATGTTGCTGTTTTAGGTGCCAGGTAAAGATGAATCAGACACTGTGGTAAAAGTACTTGACAAAACTGACGCTGGACGTAATACAGCATATGGGTGTTCCTACTTCTCGGCATGGAGGCGATTCGCACCTATAAGACGAACCCCCATTTGACGATCGCTACGCATTCGATTCCTACATGGACGACTCCTTTGATTCTTATCCTAGTTGTCACGGCTCTTGTTCCTGGTACAAGTTTGCTGGGCCATCTGTGCGGCGTTCTGGTTGGGTATTTATGTAAGGCGGTCATAATATGAGTTTGGTGCCCCAGGACTAATACATGTTTTCAGTCGGCCTCGGATATTTAAAATTTCTGAGTCCGCCCGAGAAAGCTCTCCGCTGGGTCGAGTCGAAGTTGAATCTGTTAGGACGTCTCCCGCATTATGTGAGCGTGGACCAGAAGACATACGGCCGCTTCGGCGTATTGCCTTCCAATAACCACGCTCCCGGCGGCAGTGCGCCCATCGCTCTTGTGGGCAGTACACAGAGACTTGGCCCCTAATGGCCTAGGATGTACGGATGTATTATATGACTAGGCTATTAACCATCACAGGTAGGTTGCATCTCGGCTGGAGTCTGGAGTTCATCGTGGTCAAAGCAAATGAACATAGTCGGGTTGGTAAAGACTGGACATTGCCGTGTATTATTCTCTATTCTCGGGTGTCTGTTGTCGGACACAATCTTGCATTTGTTGCAGGCAGCATGTGCGAAGACTGGTGGCACTTGTAGCAATGCATAGACAGGCCAGTAAGGTCACTGGCCACGCCAAAAGATTCAAGTGATGGATTGATAGTACAAGCTATAGAGCTGAAGCCTCAAATTCCAAGCTGGCCAGTTATATGCGGTTTTATGTATAATTCTTACTTCCTGGTGGGATAGCTCCTTAACATCCTTTTTTGGACCTAGGCTATTTGATTGGAAGTGGTGAGTTGAACGTCTTAGAGGAGACGACACTGTAGGGCAGATTGCGTGGATGTTCCTATGGCCTTGAGGCCCTTACATTGGTGAATAAGCTTCGGCAGGTAGGCGCCCGGTTAACTGAATATCTGGACCCTCACTGCTGGGGTACAGGTACCTCTTCCGCCCCTCCCTACCTCAGGTACCTTGTTCAGCTACCAACAGCCCTGGAAGATGACGGTTGTCCTTCAACGAAACCAACGCGCCTGTACGCCGACCTGATTGTGCGATTGCGCAGCTTGCTGAAGCTGCCGCAGAAAAGCTTTCGCCATGTCGCGTTTGATAGGTTAGTGCAAAAATCCATTGATTCCATTCACTACGCATTTCTGACTGGAACCTTGCAGCTTCGGCTCTCTCTTTGCGACGCGATCCACGCATCCTCAAGCTCCCGCCCTACCTTTCCCTGGCCTGTATCCTCGGCGGTATTGCATGGCTTTTCCTGCTGCCACTGAATGACTACTCCAGACGGACCTACATCTCTGAAAATGCGTTGCTTCCTGGCCAAGTACACACTTACTTCGGTGGAAGCGATCAGAACGTCTTGCGGGCCTACAAGCATGAGGTGAATTCGGTCAAGGACAAGTCTAACTATGAGTAGGTCCACCAGCAGCTCCCGCACTACCTGGACGCAAGCTGATACATAGTCACACTAGGATCAACGACAAACTAGAAGAAATATTAAAGAATGTTGGCCTGAAGGTTGGCCGCCAGAACTACACATACGAGTCGGCCGGCGACATCTACTCAGGGGAGAATATATACGCCATTCTCCAAGCCCCACGTGGCGATGCGACAGAAGCAATCGTGTTGGTGGCAGCCTGGAAGACAGTCGATGGCCACTTCAACCAAAATGGCATCCCGCTAGCTTTGACCTTGGCACGGTATTTCAAGAGGTGGTCGCTATGGTCCAAGGATATCATACTAGTTATCCCTCCCGACAGTAGGACGGGTACCCAGGCTTGGGTAGACGCTTATCACGACTCTCACGACTCATCTCGCGTGAACTCTTTGCCTCTCAAGTCCGGTGCTTTGCAGGGTGCTATTGCCATCGACTATCCGCAGGAGCACCGCTTCGAATCCATTCACATCATTTATGACGGTATCAACGGACAGCTTCCAAACCTTGATCTCATCAACTCCGTCGTCAACATTGCCGGAGGACAAATGGGAATGGGAACCGCCATTCAGGAGATGTGGTCACATTCGGACAAGTATCAGGATCGACTGCGCACCATGCTTCGCGGCATGTTGAACCAAGGCCTTGGTCATGCCTCTGGTCCGCACAGTAGCTTCATTCCCTATCATGTGGACGCCGTCACTCTACAACCTTTTGGCGATGGTTGGCATGATGAAATGGGCATGGGCCGTACTGTTGAGGGTACGTTTCGTAGTCTGAACAACCTTCTCGAGCACCTTCACCAGAGCTTCTTCTTCTATCTTCTCATGCATAAGGAGAGATTCGTCAGCATTGGTACATATCTTCCAAGCGCTATGATCCTTGCTGCCAGCTTTACAATCACCGCAATTTCGTTGTGGGTGAAAAGCGGCCACCAGGAACAGGCACCGGCTGCTAAGGCTCTCGCCAACATCGGCTTATCCACAAAATCGCCGAAAGACACCGCAGGCGAGGATACACAAACGCCATCTGTTCCGGCAGTGGAGCGCGATCTGTTTCTGCCCCTTGGCGTCGTGGCCATCTGTCAGTTTCTGGGCGTTGTGCCGTTGTACATCTTCAACCACATGCCTGCAAACGTAAGTCTCGAGCATCTCCGATCCTCTATATGCTCTACTAATAGGTATCGCAGATGCTGTCAGGCGCATATACAACCTTTGCACTCACCAATTGCGCCTTGCCCTTTATGATTTCATCGCTGTTGACGTCTGTCTATAACCCCACTGTCCAGCAATATCAGCTGATCAAATCCTTCTCTCTTCTGTTGTTGGGAATGTTTCTATCTGCTCTAGCGACCCTCAACTTCTCTCTGGCCTTTCTCGTTGGCGTCATGGCGAGCCCGCTATCCTTCATGCAGCCTTGGCCGCGTCGTTCCGCCGTCCGTTGGGCTTGCGCCGCTTTTCTCCAACTTGCATCCCCAACGGCAGCCTTGTATTCAGTTTCTACATACTTCAGCATCAGCATTGGTGAGGTTCTGAAGGAGGCAGCGTTCGGTTGGGATGTTTGGGGCATGTACACTCCAGTCATTATCTGGGGTGTATGGTGGCCAGCGTGGCTCATGGGATCCGTCATTGTACTCGGGCAGCCCTCTTCGCAGGTCAGACGGTTGTAGATGGGTAGTTCGGTGTGCTACTAAGCATTACTTCAGAGGAGTTTTGGGGAAAATGGAATGATTAACAGTTAAACTTGGAACTAGCATATCGTGGAACGGGAGCCATAGCATTTGTCATCAAGATCATTTCGGCCCAGCGCAAAGGCCAGTTCTTCTTCCTCTCTAAGTCTAGTGGTGTACACTGCTCATCATTACCGAGCAATATGATGGACGCCATGGTATCTGTCCATAACCTCCCTTATTCCTTAAGCAGCCCAAACGTCGCCTCCTGCAGTCTCAATCCAGTTCCCAAGCTGGTTAACGCTCGAGTCCCAATCGAGCAGGCGCTGGCGCATGTTGGCAATCTGCTTCATGTCCAGTACCTTGGGCTGGACCCAGGTGATATGCGCCACCTCATCCACCTGGTCAATGTTTCCACGCAGAAGGCCTAAGCTCAACGCCTTCATGATCAGGTGTTCAATCTCGTCTGGTCGAACCTTGGTCTCCTGAGCGATGGTACTGAAGGACATGGCGCGATCGTGAGGGGGGCGACGAAAGACAGCCTCCGTCAGGGCAGCGAGATAGATTTTCTGTCGCAGGTGACCAGCATTCTCGTTTAGGAGCTCCTTGGAACGCATACGGCTGGAGAGTGCCTCAAAACCCTGGAGATCGCCTCGGTTGAAGGCGAAAAGCAGGTCGCGGAACCATGAGTCTTGGGTGTCCTTAAGGGCATCGAGAATGGGGTGCAGAAGCAGCTCGCCAAAATTGTAAATGGTATCAGACACCAATGCGGCGATGCTGAGGTGAAGTGCCCGTCTGTGGCGCTCCTGGGCTGTGAGAGAGTTGATATCGATGCAGGCAAGATAGAGAAGAGCGTTGCGATAGTAAGCTGCAAAATCCATTTTGCGCTACATTTACAGACCGATTAGCAACTTCTCTGAGCTCTCAAGTCCCGTGGTAAGTCTCACCTGGTAATAGTTGGCATTCGCGTCATAGAAGGCAGCATGGACAATAGTCTCGACCGAGTCGAAATTGTCCAGTATTCTCTCGGCCGAGTCGAGATCCTTCCTGGCGCCATCCATATCCTCGAGGTTCAGCTTTACTCTAGCAACAGCAACAGATGCATATACCAAGGCATCTTGTGAGTTCTCGTTATCGACCTTCTTCGCAACACCTTGGAGGAACGTAAGGCGTTCTTCGTCATCTGCCAGGTCCAAGTCAGTCAAACTGTGCTGCCTGTTCACGTCTCAAAGCCACTTACCTTTGCATTCTGTAGCAGCCTTCAAGGCCAGGTCGACAAGCTTCAGCTGGTTGATTTTGTCCGCGAACTTAAGAATGAAGACCTTGTAGAAGGAGAGCCGCTGCGGCTTGCTGCCTGGGTGGCTAAAGAACTGGCCAAGGGCATCGGTAAGCTGGTGCCAAAGTTTTCGCTCCCAGTAATTCTCAAACTCCAGAACAAGGTGCTGAAGCTCTTCGGGTGCCTCATCGCGCTGCTCCGCAAGGAAATCAGGAATTGTGTCGACGTTCATTTTGGTAGAGGTTGAGGTTGAGGCTCGATTGGTGGGGGGAGGCAGGAGCTTCAAGGTACCCGGAATGACGACACAATCGTGGGCAGACGATATAAATCGCAGCTATCTCGTAAATTTTGAGTTCCACAAGCTGATTTACAAACGTTTAAAGAGCGTTTGCTTCTCGTCGGTGTTATGAAGCCGGAAGGTTCGTCTTTGTAGATATGTGGATGTGTTGATGAATGCAAGCTCCGGAGCGGAGGGACGATGCACACAACGCGGCTAGCTAGCAGCCTGGTCAGTCAGCCACTACGTACCTACCTTAGCACGCATTGACGTCTGGGGGTGTTCCCTTACCTAAGCTGGATAATGGGGTCCTCGGGATGTTGCAGCCAATGATTGTTTTTCCGATCCTATGACCATGGAAGGTCCGTGCTTTCCACGTGACCCTCTTCCCTTCTCTCCGGGATTCTGGATCAAGCTCGCTGCTTTGGAGCTTTTGGCTTGTGTTGAAGCATTCAATTGCCAGTCAATTGGGAGGCCACCGCACTATTTCGTTGCTGTCTCGATATCTGACAATGGCCTCCTTTCCGACCGCCGTGCGGTCAACCCAGAAGGTTGCGCACAATGTCCTGAGAAGGCAGCCTATCTCTGATGTCGCCATCACCAGGACTGGCAAGCCTATCCTGCGAACCCAGGGCGGAAGGTGAGCAAACCGATCAATTGTGACGTACAAGAACGATGCTGACCAACTATCCTTCTCAGACACTCCCTCGGTGGTATGCGTAATCCTATTCGATCACGGAAAGGCTCATCTAAGAACGATTTACAGGACACACTGCGACGGTATTTGGCGCAACGGGCCAGGTTGGACGATATATCGTGAACAGACTTGGTAGGAGCTAAGTATCTCCGCATGCGGCGACTCATCTAACCGTATGTGACAGCCCGTCAAGGATGCACCGTTGTAATTCCCTTCCGTGAGGAAATGGCCAAGCGCCATCTTAAGGTCGCTGGTGACCTTGGCCGAGTTGTCTTCATTGTACGATCTTTCTGTAATATCAAGCTTTGATGGGGAGCAACAACTAAAGTTGACGGCAGGAATACGACCTTCGAAACACCCAGTCTATTGAAGAAAGTGTTAGACACTCGGATGTGGTTTACAACTTGGTTGGCCGAAACTACCCTACTAAGTAGGTTATCCTGACAATCCAGAGTTGGTAGTAGTGGCTAAGATTGCGCATAGGAACTTTTCTTTGGAGGATGTCCACGTTGAGGGAACTGAGCGCATAGCCGAGGCTGTGGCCAAGTATGACGTGGATCGGTTCATTCATGTCTCCAGCTATAACGCCAGCTTGGACTCACCCTCTGAGTTCTATCGTACCAAGGTCGAGCAACTCGCAGCGATGCACCATTGATACTGAGCTAATCACCTGTATAGGCCCGCGGAGAGCAGGTTGCCCGCAGCATTTACCCCGAGACCACCATCGTCAGACCGGCGCCGGTCTTCGGCTTTGAGGACAACCTCCTCCTTAAGCTTGCTAGTGTCATGAACCTCTTCACCGCCAACAACATGCAAGAGAGATTCTGGCCCGTCCACGTGCGTCCTCATGAATGACTTTCATTTTCACTTGAAATCTAACAACCGCAGTCCATCGACATCGGTCAGGCTCTAGAGCTGATGCTCTACGATGACAGCACGGCAGGCCAGACTTTTGAGCTCTACGGTCCTAAGAATTACTCGATGGCCGAGATTGCCGAGTATGTTGACCGTGAAATCTTCAAGAAGCGCCGCCACATCAATGTCCCCAAGAAGATTCTCCAGCCTGCTGCCGCACTCCTGAACAAATACCTTTGGTGGCCCACCATGTCCGCCGACGAAATCGAGCGTGAGTTTATTGATCAGGAGATCGATGAGACGGCCAAGACCTTCAAGGACCTTGGCATGGAGCCTGGTGACATTGCCAAGTTCACATACCACTACCTGGTAAGATTAATTAGGAGTTTTTTCCGGGGATATCAAATGCTAACTATGTTGTAGCAAGGATTCCGCAGCGGTAACTTCTACGACCTTCCCCCAGCGACTGAGAAGGAGAAGAGAGAGGAGCGCAAGTACTTGCACGTTCTCGACGACCAGTAAGCCTGGATTCTATTTGTTTAAGGGGGTTGATTCTGGGCCAGCCAATCGTTTAGAGTGTAAATAGTAGTCAGCTAGACAGTTGCAAAAGTCGAGGAATCCATGTACAGTTTTGAATGTATCTTGTACGAAAATTTTGTCTTAAATGTGACGAATGGGTTGCTACTGTAGTTGTTTGCTATAGCCTACAAAGGAGGAAAGTTAATTCGTGCTAGCTGATTCGTTGAGGGTCACCTAGACTCATAAGCCTCAAACTGGGTCCTCCACACACACTCATCAACGCCCTATCTCATCCTGCAATTGTTCCACCGTGTTCGCCAGCAGTCGTACTGCTACAACTGATAACCGCCCATTTTTGTATCACTTTACATACAGCCTAGGGAAAAATTCAACATGACGAACTCTGACAGCGACGATGAGCCCCTGTGAGTTGTTCCTCCACAGCATCCGAAATTTTCGCAGCAGGAGCACCAACCCCACCAAGCAACAAGCCAGCGCGAGCCGTCGCAGAAAGGAACTAACACATGACACAGCACACTCTCCTCGCACGCCCTTGCGGCACTAGCCGAGTTCAATGCCGAAAAAGATGCTCACCAAGAGAAGTTTGAGAAACTCAAGGCCCAAGCCGAGGCCAATGCCGCGGGCGGAGCCCCTCTATCAATGGAGGCTTTCACTGAAGACTGGAACGAGTCGCAGTTCTGGGTATGACTGACCTTACCACGAGAATGACCAAGAGCCAATACTCATTGAGAGATCCTTTAGTATTCCGATGAAACAGCAAAATCAATTGCTGGTCAGCTTCTTGAGGGAGCTGATGAGGGAACCACCATTGGCGTTGTCTCTGCGCCGAGTGTGTTTGTTGCTCTGCGAAACTTGTTGGTACGTTTATAAATGCCGTGGCTGCCTATTATATTCCATAACATCATCCCCTTGGCAGGCGTGGACTAATCTGGGACAGAACGCGCGCGGCCAGGCACAAGGACGGCCGAAGGTAGTTCTCCTGGAGCACGACATGCGCTTCAATGTTTTCCCCGAATTTGTCTTCTACGATTTCCAACAACCTTTCAAGCTCCCAGGTAAGACTGTTCCCCAGACACATAAACCCGTACCTTGAATTAAACAGTCCGCTGACTGCAACGACTGCTCAGCCGAGCTCAAGAGCGCCGTCGACCGTATTGTATGCGACCCGCCCTTCCTCAGCGAGGACTGCCAGACCAAGGGTAAGAGAGCCACCAGTTGTATAAGCCCTTGCCGGAAATCATGCCTGCTAACAACTCTGCAGCCGCCATGACAGTGCGGTGGATGATGAAGCCCGACGTAGCCTCGAAGGGACGGGTAATTGTGTGCACCGGTGAAAGGATGGAGAACCTAGTTACCAAAGTATACAAGGCCTTCGGTGTCAAGACCACGACCTTTGAACCGAAGCATGCCAGGGGTCTGAGCAATGAGTTTTACTGCTATGCCAATTTCGAGTGCAAAGACTGGAAATGGCGGATGGAAGCGAGTTGATGAAGACGCAATATCCCTTCTCAGATATCCAAGTACTGAAGCATCGAGGGCAACACCTAGATGAACTAATAGTACATTCGCTGATTTCTCGCTTTTCTACACAAAGACGGTTTCCTGATCGCCAGGTATATGATGCTAATGCCTACCATCCAATGCGGTTCTGTCTGCCGGACCCAAGCCCCAAATTGATGTGAGACCACGATTCTTTCCAACGCCGACATAATGCTAGTCCACATACTCTCCCTTTCGACCGCCACTATCAGTCTGGGCCATTGCCTCTCCTTGTCGGTATCATTCATAAAATGCTCAGCATAAGGCGCGCCGTTCGTTCATCTTCTTACGAAAGAGAACGAATAATATAAAAGAGTAGGTAAGGCTGCGTACTGAGGACATCTGACTTGGATGCCATCTCGACTTTGTGATCGTTGAATTTAAACCACTATGGTAGAGTCAGCCGACGTGTTCAAGACATTCGCAGCTTGGTACTTGCCTGGTCGCCTACTCGGCAGTAAGATACGTAATGGCCTGTTTGTCGGACTCAGTTTTCATCACCTATACTCTTTTTTTTCCGTAGTTGACTTACCGGTATCAATCTCACCAACATGAACAACAACACTGAGCAGGTCGTACGTGCAAGATCTACCTAGCTCGACCGCATCCTTTGCTTCGGCACCCCTGCCTCTACTCGTATATGGCAACATGTTGAGCTGCAAAGGGAAATTAACCACCGTATCGATCTTTGATGGCGCTCTGTCGTGGCGACCCTGCTTGTACTCGAAGCGCTTTTCAAAATTGTAAGTACCATCCATTTTCTGAGGCCCAGGGTCTATCACAAACCTTCAGCTGAATAGCAAGCACGTTAGGCAGACGCTTAATGCTGGTGTTTCTTCGTGCTTGCTGCATCCCGTTGCAGTTGTGGCAACGATACTCGCACTTATCATACTTAACGTATTCTTCATCTAGGCATTCTTGTAGCGTCAAGCTTGGAATCTTCTGGCCGCCCTTTTTTCTCTTGTGGGCCATATTCTCAAGCCCCAAGCTCAGATCAAGGAACGACTGCACAGTATTTGTTACCCCGCTGCAGTTTTGGCATGTCGTGGAGCTTTGCAGCTTGCCATAAAATGTCTGGTGAATGATGCAGTTGCAACTGTGCTCACTACCGGTCTCTGGTTTTTTGCCATCTCCGTTACGTTCATGTAGCTCCTCGGCGAGGAACTGAAAGAACTCGTGGGCGTCTTGCTCCTTTGTGGTTACGAGGTTTTCAAACGCCTTCTTCTCCGAGATCCAGAATCCAGAGAGAATACTTGCCGCCGTGAAACCGTTAGTATTTTCAACGGCATAGAAGTCTTGGAACATGTCATCCATTGCGCAGCTCAAGCAGTTAGGTACGCCGCAGTCGTTGCTTTGGTGTCCATCACTGAGGTAAAAATTACGCAGCAGCGGATTATGAAGAAAGCTCTGCAGCACCACGTTCTGGTAGCAAGTGGCGCCAGCGTTATAAATGCCCCGCAAACCGTTAGCCTTGCAAGAGGCTGTTGTTGTGTTTGTAGAGATGTAGAGGGGGTTGTCCTTGATGCTGTCAGAGAACATTTCATCATGCTTTCTCTTACGGCCTGTGACAATCGTTAATGTAAGTCTGGCAAACAAGGACCAGATGAGATGATGACAACTAAGTCAGAGGATTCGTATATCATATCTAACTTACTTGAAAAAGTTCCAGTGCCCATCTTCCGCACACGTAGTTCCTCGAGTGTAGGATCCCAGACTAAGTCATCACATATCTGGCAATAGAGGGCGCCACTGCGAGAATCAACATCTAGAAAAGTTAGCGATTGCCATAGCTGGGGGTTGAGAGTTTTTTGAGCGGTGTGTGCATACAAAAGCGATGTTGTTTTTTTGTGCCGTGCTTCAGACGGTCCTCTTCAGTCACTATCGTCGAGCACTGGAGGCAAAGATAGTTGGAGGTGAGGGAAGTCATAACCAGGCCGTCCGCGTTCTTGGATGTCTGTGGTACAATGGGGGTCTGCTCAAAGATGTTTTTCAGAATCATCTTATAATGATATACAGACAAGTTCATGGCATCCTGGGACTGCGAAAACATCCTTTGGACATGCTCTACGATCAGTTAGCGTTGTCCATACAGTCGCATAAAAGGCCGCAAGTTGAAGGGCCTACGAACCACAACCAAATACTGGTGTACCAGGGACTGGTGACTTGACCCTGGCCGTCTTTGGAGACATTGGTGTTGTTGGTCGCGCCGACATCTTGACGTGTGGATATCCGACTGGCCCGTCGTCGATCGATTTATGCTTCTATTCTAGCGAGGCCTCTTTCGTTGTTTAGGGGCAGTATCGGTGGTATTTCCTTTGGGCTGTAGGGTTGAGACGGCTGGAAAACAGTTGATCGCGATGCAAAGGATACTGAGGCCGTTGACGATGGGCAGGAGGGTGGTCGCAGAACTGCAACGGCTGCAGGTGGAACTACACAGTAGAACCTGGGGCAATGGCAAGAACTATCAGCTTTAATGATTCTTGTTCAACTGAAACTCGGAAAATTCAGCGGAGTATTCACCTCTACTAAAAGCCAATATAGTGAAGCTAAGGTTCGTTGCGTTATGGGCCAGGGTTTGTTTTGTCGCGCTGATTGATGGTGTTCAAGCCGCTCAATGGCGCAAGTCAGGAGTTGAAAGGTGCCGCTGCTCACGAGATAACAATCCAAGGGTCTCAAGGCGACGAGATGAGGAGAAAATCCGACTCGGAGTGCAGCAATCGAATGACACTTGGAGATCAACGGGCAAGAGCGATTCGCGGGTTGGACAATCCCTGGAAGATGGAAATGTTGGAGCTGACGCCGTGTGCACAGACAAGAATAGCCTTTGGTCGTACCAGAGCAAGAGCGGCCAACAGCAATAATTCCAGCTTATCGGCACCTGATCGGGGGATACTCTTATCGATAAGGACATGCCTTATCCGCGTGCCGCAATGCCCCTGAATTCCTACTCACAACACTGGCTTTCAGGGCTCAAGAGGGAACTTTTTAGTGGAGATGGCCGGGATCAAGGCGGGCCAGGAAAGGTGAGGTCACTGGTATCGCAACCAATGGATTCACTGCTCGAGTTACACCGGATGGTTCCGTTCGCTCGCCTATCTTCCCATTAATCAACAGCACTGTTTGCTTAAGTAAGCCATCCCATTTCCCCATTCCCAGCTACTCATAATCAACCTCGGCATCTTGGCTGCGACCCCTCGATTGCGTTATAGTGTACCACAGCTTGGTTTACTCGTATCCTGATACTCCAATTCCGTATCCCCACTCCTTCTTCTTCATTGTGACATTAACAAAAACGTGTGTATGAGATGAGCTGGGGTACGTTTCGAAGCGTATTTTCAACTTGTTACTTAAAAACAGCTGGTCTGTGACTAAGACGACCATACTGCTACCCAACAAACGGTCACATATATATCAACTCTATCACCCACACAAGCAACGTCAAAATGGCCACTCAGCTCGCTTCACTGCCCGAGGTCGAGCGCCTCAGTCCGGTCTGCATTCGTATCTTGGGCGGCAACCCGGGTAAATTCACACTACAAGGTACAAACACATATCTGCTTGGCCGGGGCAATCGTCGCATATTGATTGATACCGGCGAGGGCATGCCGTCCTGGATAACAGCTCTCAAATCCACCCTGGAAAAGGAGCAGGCCACCATTGAGACTGTTCTGATCACACATTGGCACCGAGACCATCAGGGTGGCATTCGACATCTGCTGGACCTTTACCCGGATTCTAAAATATTCAAGAACCAGCCCGACGAGAGCCAATTGGACATCGAGGATGGTCAAAAGTTCGTCGTCGACGGAGTCAGCCTCACGGCTGTCTTCACTCCGGGACACACGGTGGACCATATGGTCTTTGTATTGGAGGAGGAGGACGCCATGTTTACAGCAGACAATGTGCTGGGCCAAGGAACAGCGGTGTTCGAAGACCTAGCGACATACCTCAACAGCCTGGAGAAAATGCGGCATCTGTTCAAGGGCAGAGCGTACCCAGGTCACGGGCCGGTAATTGATAGTGGCCCAGCTAAGATTTCCGAGTATATCAACCACAGAAAAACAAGAGAGGAGCAGGTTATCCGTACGCTACGGACTCAAAGAGATGTTGATGCCGCAGAGGGCCGGCCAGACGCATGGACACCCATGGAGCTGGTTAAGATTATATATCACGACGTCCCAGAGGAATTGCATGTTCCAGCATGTAGCGGAGTTATACAAATTCTCAACAAGCTTGAGAAGGAAGAAAGAGTCTCACAAAGCGATGAAAGATGGATATGGAAGGATAGATCATCTCTGTAGTTTGGGTTGAGAAATGCTGGGACGGGTAGTGGGTTATGTGCGAGCCTTGGACGGGGACGGGAGCCCGCGATCGCGATATGGTATGTCTTGAAGGGGTCACACGTACGAAGCTGAAGCATCAGGCGGGGTAATCGTACGCTCTCAGGCTGTCAATCGTATCATGATAGCACCAGGCAGGCTCCACGACGAGGAACGGAAGACGATGTTAAAGTCGTGCGGTTTTATTTTTATTTTATTTTTAATACCTTTGAAAAATTCGTGCAGGCGTGGGTCGCGGCTTTCTGTTGTTTTGGCAAGGCTGGCACGGCTGGCACTTGGCCAAGGGTTGATGAGGCAAGACCAGCGAGCAGGGCACCCGGAAGGTTCGGACAAGCCACGCTGTAATGGAGCGGAAGTGCGGGATGACGTTGAACGTGTGACAGAACAGGGTAACAGTGGGTCAGGACTTTAATGCAATGGAGCTTTTATCGGATTTTGTACGGAGCAGTCAGGACTTTGCCTTATTATTACTTCTCACTAGATGGCAACTAAACAGGAGGTAACTGCATGGATACTTTAACCATCCATCAGTCCTGCTGTGAGTGCGCTATAAAGAACAATGAGCACCGGGGGGAACAGATTCGTGCGTAAGGTAGATACCTACTTTGTTGAGATGGAGCCGATGTGGTAATGTCAACATGAGGCTCTCAAATGAGGCGAGTAGGATATGAAGCATAGGTTTCTCGTGTTGGGGGGACATCCCAAGGGTCTTTAACAATATCGAAACATCGGCGCTGGCCGCTTTACTTTCATGGAAGTTTTTTTTTTTTTTTTTTTTTTTTTCAGTTTTTGAACCCATGCGCTCTCTATTAGGTAGTGTAAGGTGGGATCTATTATCTGGGTTCCGTGTAGGCGTCCTTCAACCTGGGCCCGACAAGACTGTTGAGACATGGGTTCGATATTGAGGTGGCTGCAGATTGCGATCCCGTGACCGATGCGGGTCGGACTCCGTGGTGACTCCGGTGTCCACGGGAGCGAAGAAGGAAAAAAGAAAGGAGCCCACAACGTGGTGTGGAGCAGCCATGGGATGGCGGGATCACGATTTTGATGGACGGATCGGAGGCAAGGATTCGGGCTGGTGGATATTAAAGTGGTTTAGCGGGTGGTGGGAACAGTGAGGTTAATCACTAAGTAGCCATTATTGCTTTCCTCTTTGTCTACTCTACACTTCTTTTTTTTTTTTTCTCGTCCCCCTCCGTTTATCCATCACATGTCTCAGTCATACCAAGAGACGATTTGCTCCTTGCATTAGTAATGTGGCTCTTCAATGAGTATTGCGTGAGGCAGGCTCGCTTATTTGCTGGTGCCGTGTAAGCGGTTGTTGGTGTGGCAGTTGTTTGTACAACTGCCAGTAAGTACCATGTGGAGGTGGTTGTGGTGGTGGTGGTGTAAGACGGACACCACAAACTGCCGTCAGCTGGTACTTGGTTGGTATTACAAGCAGCGACGTCTGCATTGGTTTTGCCAACACCAGCTCTCGCCCGTAATCGCTGTTTCTGCATCGCTTTTGAACACCATGATCTGGCTATTGATGGTTCTTGGCTGCGTGGACAGCCTTGAGATTTCTATACATAATTATCTACATACGGTGTCATCACATGCTGCATTCAACGAGCAAAGTCCGAGGCACTGCAGGTGCCGTTCAGACGATATGTGTCTGATGAGCATATCCAACGTCTGAGGTTGATGTTTGCAGATACACACGCATCCCTACAAATGGGCTGACCGGCTCCAATCTTGTAGAGCGCCTCGTGGTCACGATGCTTCTTTTTATTTGGCTCATTCTGGATCTGATGTGGAACTGATTACATACGTATGAGTAGGTCGAGAATGCAACGAATGCATGCATTGGTCGTTCGAATTCTTCGCGGCCCACGGCGGAGCTTCGGACAACCGACCAACAACTAGCGTCGCCGTCCAGTGTCGTTACTTTCGCGTTTCCCGCGTCGGCCGGCACTTCTGATGAATAAAGACCGACCGCCCTTTGAGCCTGGTTTGCAAGCGTTGTTGGCATTGCCTTGTCGTCTCCACCTTCCTGGCGCCATGTACACGACGCAGTACGGGATACCTCGCAAGTACAACTTCCTTTCCACATGTAAGGTATGGATGACATCCATGACACTGCATTAGCGCGCGTCTCCCGTGTGACTCAAATGCATATCTGATGCGAGTAGTATAGCCCAACCGACAGAAGAGGCGCCACGGTGACAAAGCTAGAATCTTACGTGGAATGGGGGCGGGGGCCGGCTGTTGTCGGACATTGATTTTATCACCGCCGGGATTTGACAACCGAACATTATCGAAGTCAAGAAGGAGCAAGTCAACAGACCTTGGGAAGCGGTAGGCGGCTCTCAAAACTTGGCGGACCCAAGGCTACCTTTAATGCTCACGCAATCAGTCAATGTAAACTCCCCGCTGGTCCCGACAGAGTCACAAACGGTCTGCATGCCCATGCATGCCCATGCATGTGGTCCAGGCCCAAGACGCGTGTTCCCATTTCTCATTCTTTTTTGCTTTTTCCTTTTCCTTCCTGGGCACGGTTCATGATGGACCGCCGTTGCGTCGATTTTGTCCTTTTCCCCTCCCATCTCCCCAGACCCCAATGACAAAAGCCAAAAGCGAAGGACTTGCGGTGGATGAGAGAAACATATATGGAAGCATCAAGTGCTGCTTCAGGAAAATACAACTGGTCCAAGTTACTCCATGTCTTGCGTCATTTTGTGCAAACACCAAAGTACCATGCAATGTGGTGGTAATACTTTAGTAAACAGGCCGGTGATGGTGGGTGACGATACCTTGATGCGGTAGTAGTATGGCAAACGGTGGTATGAATTAGTAAGTGTGTAAGGCGACTGGATGCGTAGGTACAAGCGGCCGATTTGGCAGTGCCGACTCATCAGGTCTTAAACGGCCATTGCGAATGCCCTCTTTTACTGCTCGAATCCGACGGAAATTACAATCTGCAGTGGCTCTTCGTCCCTTCTCATTGGGCATTTGGAGCTTTCTTCCAGGGTCTAATGTCGTCACCAATGCGAATCCCGAAGCCATTACGGATAGCACAGGGCGGCACACAGCCCAACCGGCAAGCGGCTCGCAAAGATGCAGGGCACCCTGCCATGGTTTCTCCGACTAACTCGTTCTAGCGCCCTGCTACCACTACACACACACACCGACACATACTAATTAGTAGTACTCACACCTATTGAGCTACCACCATTCAGCAACTCCAGCACCAAAGCTGCAATATTAGCTAGCCGTACTAGGTGCTCCAGTACCAGAGCTCTTCCCTGATCACCCCCACCGGCTCTTTCAGCCCACTTAAACAAGGCTAAGAAGGATGTAAACAAGAGCCACACAAAAAAAAAAAAAGAGAGAGAGAGAGAGAGAATCTCATAGAATGGAGTTCTTGTTCCCCGACAGAGTCACAGCTGTACCTCCTGCCTCCACCACATCCACGGCTTGCCAGTAAGCGTAGCTTAAAGTTACTGGGCCGGTACTTGTCGTTTGTGGTACCGCCACGGCGTCGTTTTGCCCGACTCTTTGCTGGTCGCTGGGCTCACGCGTGGATGCCTCCGGAACTCTCGGAGTCGGCCTTTGCAGTTTTAGCCCTTGACTTACACGCGACCCTACCCTGCCCGGTCTGGCCTCGTCTTGATCGCGATGATTATTCGCCTTGCCTCGTTCGTTGTTCGCCAGGCCCATTGAACACGCCATGGGCCTTTTCGATCCGTCCGAAGCACCGGAGGGAAGCCCATGGACGGCATGACCGCCCAGAGGACTCGTCATGCCCCTTGACGTACCATACCCGTCGCGAGTACCATTCACGTACCTTACCAAGAATCTTGTCGCAGAGGAATAGATTTCTCTCGGCCTCCGCTCCGATGTTGCTCTTACTCTTCCATCTGCTGGATGCCTCCACTCGCTGCGAAGTACTTGTAATCCGTCTTCGCTCTTCCAGAACATCATGAAAAGCCCCCCCCCCCCTCCTTGTTTCTCTTTTTCCATACACGGAGAGCAACAGCCTGTGAAGTGTTCTTTTTGGCTTCCTTCCAAATTTCTGCTTTTTGCATAGACGATATAGAAGCCTGAAACTCTGTTTGCGCGCTGCTGAGACCATCGGCAGCTTCTCTCTCCTCCACGGCGTTGATATCTCACTAAAAGTCTTGTCATTCGCCAAGGGCCCTTAATGAGATCGATATTGAGACAGCTCACCACCATCGTGGGACTGGGCCTCGTCCCTTTAATTCTCGCTCACGGCACCCATGAGGACGGCACGGACGCCATGAATATGGATATGGACCAGTCGTCTCACAGCAGCGGCCCAGAAGAGCCGAAGCCCGACAGCAGCTATCCCCCCACATACTTCGCGCTCGCCGACCATGCGGGTGTCATGTATGCGCATATTGGAGCCATGGTTCTGGCCTGGGTTTTCGTACTGCCAGTCGGTGAGTCTGCCAAGGTAACGCCGAGAATGCTGCGCCAACTACTAACGTGCGCCGTGTAGCTGTCATGCTCTCGATTGCCCGCTCCAGGTACACGCTTGCACTACAATTCACCTTCCTTGCTGTGAATGCGCTCGGCGTGCTTCTGGGGGGAATCTACAATGCTAGTACCCCCGATTTGTATCCCAACAACGCGCACCACAAGCTTGGTTGGTTTGTGACCTGGGTTGTGTCAGCACAGGTCCTGATCGGCCTGGTTGGAAGAGTTGCGGGAGCTCTAAAAAGCGGGAGTGGAGAGAATTACAGCAGGAACGAGTACCAGTCTTTCATCCCTGTTTCCACCGCTGCCATGGCCGAGCACCACCGCATCAACGAATCCCCATTCGCCCCCCATCCGTACCGCCTCTCCAACGACAGTGGACAGGGTACCGAACCCTGCACCGAGTCTCTCCGAAGCCATTCTCGCTCATCCTCCTCGAACGAGATCTCCCCACGAGTTTCTGACGCCCATCACAAAGAGTATGTTGAGGACGATGATGATTTAGAAGATGGTCTGCCCATGCCCATGCCCATGTCTAGGGCTGGCAGCAGCGACAGGGCCAACAAGATTCTCGCCAAGATTGCCGGCAAGATTTCGTCGCGTGTTTGGAAGGGATTGTTGTTTGTCTACAATCTAGTTGACAGGACTATTTTGCCTTTGGGTTCCGTTGCGCTATGTTTGGGGATTGTGGCGTACGGGCGGTTCTTTGTAAGTGACTGCGAGAAAACAATGCACATGTGGTGTCTGGCGAGAATGCTAATTTTGCACAGGAGGGCAATGGAATCTTCAGCGGACTAGCGCATTGGATCAAGGGTGGAATTTTTTTCTGGCTAGGTTTGTTGACCCTCGGTCGATGGACCGGCAGTTTCGGTGAACTCGGATGGGTAAGTTGCGGCCCCGTCGCTGGCAGTTTCCGGCCCGCTTTGCTGACTGTTGTTCCGGTAGGCGTGGAATGTCCGCCCGAAGCGAGCTGACGGCAAATGGCGGCCCTCGGCGGAGTTCGTTGAAAGCGCCCTCATCTTTGTATACGGCTCCACCAATATTTTCCTCGAGCATCTCGGTAACTGGGGAGGGGCATACAGCGCCCAGGACTTAGAGCATATCTCCATCACCGTTCTTTTCATTGGTGGTGGGCTGGTAAGTTCTTGGCCGAGTTTTCGTCTCCTGCGTAAATACAGTCTCACTAACACGGCGTGTAAGTTTGGCATGCTCATCGAGTCTAGCCGCATCCGCGATCTCCTGAACACGTCTGTCATCGACTCCGCTGCACTCAACTCAGAGCGAACATACGACGAAGAAGGGCGTGAGATACTCCAGCCTCCTAAACAATATGAATTTTCCATCAACCCGATTCCGGCCCTTGTCATTCTCCTCCTGGGAATCATGATGAGCTCGCATACCCAGCATTCGATGATTTCTAGCATGGTCCATAAGCAATGGGGCAACCTTTTGACCGGTGCCTCCTTCGCGCGTGGCTTCACGTACGTGATCATGTACCTGAAGCCTCCCAAATCGGTTCTACCTTCTCGGCCTCCCACCGAGCTCCTTTCTGCGTTTGGTCTGATTTCCGGTGGTATCATATTCATGGCGAGTGTAAGTTGATTGGCAAGCTCTCCGTTCAGAGTCAAATGAGCTAATAGTCAAACAGGCTAGCGATACCGTCGATGGCATGATCCACTACAAGCTGGATGCTATGTTCATGTACACCGTGACCATGGGCCTTGTGGGAGTTTTGATGGCTTGGGAAGTCATAGTTCTAGCCATCAAGGGCTGGGCAGTGCGTAAAGAGGCTGGACGGCAACCATATAGACTTGCTTGAGCGATACGATGGGATTGAGCCCGGGGCTCTCGTATGATAATGATGTTGATGGCGGTAAAGCATTGCGACGGCAAAACCATCAGACATGGTGGCGATAGATCACTTGAGTGCTACATTCTGGGGCGCCGCTGTGTTATTGGTTCCTAATACCCAAAGATACCCTTATGACTAATTAGCTAAGGCGGAAGGACGTTTTAATCATAAATTTTGTTCTAGAAAACGCTTCGTGGCAACCCGAGCTGTGTCTGTCCAAGTACTGCGACAGTCACGAGCAAGTAGGCATTGGCATATGGGGGTGGCTCCTGGCGTCGTACATAACGGTTAAATTCCACGCGCAACTTGAACTAGACATTCCTACTTCCAGCCATATCTCCTGAGCTACAATAAAACCAGGTTAAATGCTCACGATTTAGGCCAATTCGGGACAAAAGTGGCCTAAACAGTCAATCGAATTTCCAGAGGCAGCTCTACTCGGGCGGGATTTGTACACTATTTTCCCTTTGGTTTGGCGAATATTACATGCATAAAAGAAACATGCTCAAGCCACCACCTTCAAAATAGCATCCAACTGAGGCTCTTCGGTATTTGGATGAGTTTAGAACTCGATGGGGACCCCGACGGAGTTGCAGGTCTGGGTGGCCCAGTTGAGGGCAGCAAGACTGTTTGCACAAATGGTGTTAGCTTCACAAGGCTCTCTGGCATGGTGGTCGCGCAGGGCGAAGTCCAAAGCACTTACACGTCGGCACTCTGGCAGGCGCCAAGGACGCAGCCGGTGACGGCCTGGTTGTAGGCAGACGAGCTACAAAGTATCAGTAATAGAATCTATGCTGACATCAATCAGCCTTTGTTTTAAGTGAGACTACTCACGCGCAGGCGCAGGCAAAGTCAGTCTGCGAGGCGCATCCGGACACGGGGAAGTTGTCCACAAAGCAAGGACGCTGTAAGTCATGACTGTATTAGTTTTCTTCGGTAATAGGGACGGCTGGCAGGAGAGTGTCGTACAGCGCAGTCAGGGAGGAGGGACAAGTCCTGGGAAGCAGCAAGGGTTGCGAAGAAGGCAACGGCGACGGTCTTGAACTGCATGTTGGCGTCTTTAGAGGTTCTTATTCTGGCTGTTGAATCAGGGCTGATCTGAGATGTAGGATGTTGTGCAATCGTGAGGACGGATCACGACATTCCCAGGCCAGGTTGCTGGGGCTTTATATAGGCCTCCCTCCACAACCGTCGCCCTCTCCATCTTCTTCCTCCTCGCATTGTCGATCTTTCAAATACATTATGGCACATCTGGTCAACGAATGATCTGGGATATCCGACCCCGCAGCTCGTTGCCCTACCCTTTCTGACCACGAGCTTCCCCATGAGTAACGCCAACAAGTTTTCACATGAAGCCGACAGTGGAAGAAGATGAGGCGGGGTCGAGAGGATGAGGAGGTTGCCAAGCTGGTCACCAGGGACTGAAGCGACCCCAAGCGGATGTGACGTTTCAGGGACAAGGCGTACGTCGGTCACATTTCCGCATGGAGAATCGGTAGCTTGTGGCGAAGGGAACCTGTGTGGCAGCAATTTCGAAGGCATGGAGGCAGTCGTGGCATGACGAAGCGCAGATATAACTGTCATGTTGTAAGGAACCAGCTTGGAACGATACAAATCCGCGGGCATCTCAACAGTGAAACCAGACCCAACTGTATCCAAGACAGTCTCAACGGGTTGATTGTACGGGAGAGGAATTTGAACAACCCACTGCTGGGACATGAGAGCCCTCGATAACCAGGCAATGCCAGGATAATTAGCTTTACAACAGTGTCCCTGCTTGTCCCTGCTAGGCTAGATCTTGTCCGATCATTAGGCCATATATAGTGCCAGGCTGCTTTTCCGACATGATCTTATGGAAAGTTGCGAGGGAATATCTCAAGGTTACAGGGGAGTGGTCCATTCGAGGTAGCCTCATCACCAGGCCATTGCCCCCTCGCAGAACCCGCATCTCCAAGGACAGACCAAAAAGTTACCACGAAAAAGAAGGTTATACATCATTCAGGCACAATGACAATGAATGGGATCTGCCCTGCTGAGTTGAACCTGAACAGGGAGGTGGTCAAAACCCCGCCGCTTAGGGCACGAAATCCGGGGATTGCGGGGGCAGAATGTAACGCGACGACGTTAGTCGGGGTTGCACTCGGACGGTAATGGCCAAGAACGAGTTCCTGCATCGGGGGAGAGCACCGGAGCGGACAACATACGGGAGGCTGCTGGTCTTATGTGGTTCACAAGTTGTCGCCTGCCGAGGTGACTGCCATGGAGAAAGCATCTGATGATGAAGTAGCAGCCCGCACATCTATATCGCTTCCGTTATTCATGGCCACGCAACCGCCAGGCGGCCGGTTTCGCTAGAGAAATGTGAGCCCTTCTGTGGTCAGAATGATATTAAATATGTCTCCCCTCTCGGATAAGCAGTCAAGGGTTGGGAAATTGGGCTCAGGTTCCCCGCGCCGGCAGTTAAATGCCGTCTTTGGAACTGGGGGCCGCGCTTGGTGGGCAATCCCAGCGTAAAAAAAAAGCGCATTGGCCTTGCCTATCGAGTGGTCAAGTCAGTAGGTGTATCTAATGAAATTTGTATTATAGTCTAACATTGTGTTGTCTCCTCTTCCTTATGGTCATTTTGGACCACAGGCCCGCATGACTTGGGAAAGATAGATCGCAGGGTGTGATGAGCAGATAAAAGGTGATTCATACACACCGAGTAGCTCCATGTCGAGACAGTTATGGTGATTCGTTTCCAATCAATTGCTGGTTGTTTGAAAAGAAAACCAGACAATTTGATAATTAATCAATCCAGTCTAGAGAGAAAACCACTTAGATTCTTAGTACATCCGGGGTCTGGACCACCATGAGATCCAGGTGTGGATTTCTTTTTAACACTGTGCAGCTTTCACTGTCCTCAAATCTTTCACCGACGGTAATGCCTGGAGGATTTCAAAGTTCATCTCATTCAAAAAAAAAAAAAAAAAAAAACAACAAACGTCTGACTTTCACAGTTCAGCTGACGTCGCGTCTTTTTCAATTCACTTTCGAAGGTAAAGGCATAGACTTTTCCCCAAAAAGATAAAAAAGACAAGCAAGGAAGGAAGGAAAACGAAAACTTTTTTATCAGCCCAAAATCCTACAAGCACTATGGCCGCCTCTCAGGAATTCACCACCTTCTACCTGCAGCGGACCACCCAAGAGTTTGCTGAGGACCTCGACAAGGTCCGTGAGGCGGACGACTTCAAAGCCGAATCGTTGCCGTTCCTCATCCATGCTCTGAAGCAAGGCACCGCTCTCTACTCCAGCGCGGACCAGGCGCGTGTCGTACGTCCTGCTGCTACCGCAACAACAGCCGCTGAAGATGAGGACGGGGATGTAGACATGGAGGAGCCGCAACCGGAAAAAGAAACCATCAGTCGCAAGAAGGAGAAGAGCAAGCGGAAGAAGTCCTCGACTTGAGCTTTGAGCCTACTTTGTGTTTCCAGCCTGAGATGCTGGAGATGGTGACCTGAGGCGCGGTGAAGAGTTTCCTCATGTCGTCTCGCAAGCGCGTGATGGAGTGGGCGCCAACATAAGTCAGATTGGTGGATCTTAAGCCCAACATGTTGCGTTGATAAGACCTGGGAACATGTCCGGCAACAGTCGGCTCATGGAGATGAGGCTTCCGCCACACAGAACCTGCTTCTTGGTTGTATCAAAATAACTGCAGGGGCCCTTTGCGTCAGAACTACGCGGGGCAGAGACATCGCGGGGGAAGGCGTATTATAGGTAGTCAAAGATGTTTGAAGCTGCCTTGTTCTGCAACTACGCATCGAACCGGATTGGGCGGAGTACGGCTTGCGGCCGACGCCAAGGGGGTTAGAGAATAAGAAACAGGCGACAACAGAGAGTAGCACATTCACAGAATGCTGCTGCAATTACAAAAAACTTGCTTGTTGTGTTATTCCACGACGCAAACCTTTATCGAGTCATATGTGAAATTGCAGAAAACCCATCCAAAAACGCGACAGCTCTGTCCAAATAGCGACTTGTGGTACCCCCTTTGCCCTTTTTTCCCTGGATAGTTTCTGAATCACGATTTCCCAAAATATTTACGTTTGATGTTTCCCATGTCCGAGTATAGTTTCCTCCTCTTCTCTAGTTTGCCAATATCGGAATATGACATAAAAGAGCCAATGAGTCGACCCCCAGCCCTCCCGCAATTCTAATTGTGACGTCAAATGCCGTCACTTGTACGTTGAGATATGGCATCCCTCCAAGTGTAGCCAGCAAAAAGGCAAGAAAGAATGCAATAACGTCTTTAACGGCTCCTTTTTCTTTGCTTTGATGCTTTTGCTTTTTCCCATCTCTTCCGTTCTAGCTACGGTACACCCCAAAGAACGTCGAAACCGACACCCCACAACGATGCCGGCTGATATTAGTGACAAGGAGGGGAAGCCCGTCAAAGAGGGTGATGAGGTCTTCACGCCCATCCGGGGCGGTCGGCACGAGGGGACCGTCGAAAAAATTGTAATATCAGAGGAAGAAGCCGAAAGTGAAGGCGTCAAGCATCCACCAAAGGTACACATTATCTCAAACAGAGACGTCCACCCTGGCTAGTGTAGGTTGACAAGAATGGATTGACGCAGGTTCTTTTTACGGACCAGCATGGCCACGATGTCTCCCATAATCCTGGCACTTTGCGACATACAGAGAAGGATTGACGGCGGCATCCTACGTATGTGGTTCTCGCGTGAGGCTCACAGGATACGGCCTTCTCGCATTGCTTCTCGTCACATCTAGGGGATGGAAAGCGACAGCATGCACACACGTCAAAAGAATTCCCCTGCACTCCAAACAGGGTTCTTGGCATAAAATATACAGTCTTTTGAAATATCACGAACCCAGACCAGGCATAAGAACTTAGACTCTGTATTGGCGAAAGATATGCGACCAAATCGCTGAACCAATCTTCTTGTACTTAAGATAGAGTACTTAATACCAAGTACTTACACCAAGTGACAAAGGGGTTCATCTCATGTATCAATCGTGCGTAGTATCTGAACGGCATGGTGAGCCAATCGCATATCACATGTGTCAGCGAATAGACCTTGATATTCTTCGTAGTTTGGGATCAACTGTAAACTCCGATCGTCTAACCAAAAGCATAAACTTCAGCTAAATCATGCTCCTGTCAAGTGGCCCTTAAACGCCAGTCATAAACTCCCGTCAATAGCAGCCGTTACTAATCACCATCTAGCTAATTTATTCTCAAGTCACTCCGTCACCGACGCAGGTCGAGGCTTGCCCGTGATGAATCGAGGCTTGGCCGGACGGAGCTGCTTGAGCTCCTACGGCGTCGAGCCCTCTGCTCACCGGGGTCTGATGGCCGCAGACCGGACGACTTTGCAAACATGTTCAGGATATCGGTCAAAGAGATAACGCCTGTGAGGCGCCCCGAGAGATGAGCACCAGGCATCGCTGCAGCGGGCACTGCGTTGTGTACTTGTGGCGGGAGCGGGGACTGTGGTGCGGAGCCCGAGCCCGGTACCATGACCGTGGTCGGAGCTAGCAAGGGGGTCGCAGGCGCGGACGGGGACGGGGACGCCGACTCTACAACCCACATGCGATGAGATTGCGTGGCAACCAGCTTCGCAACGGTGTGTGCCAAGGTCGAATAAGGGTTGACGTAGAAAACCGGAAAGGAATCACGACCGTGCTCGACGCCACGCTCACTCAAAATAACGGAGATGAAGTGCATACACGACGACTGGAGGAGAGGCGCATCGGCGGCGTTTGTAAGGTGCTTTACATCCACGGTGGAAATGTTGCCCACGACGTTGTGTCCGTTATCAATGACGGCAACGCTTGTGAGTCCTTCGGTGTTCATCAAAGCAAGCGCGTCCCCCAATGGGCTATCTGAGCTACGAGCTGGTCAGTGTTGTTTGCAAGAGGGCGAGAGAGAATCCTTACTTGACGGCGATGATTTGCTGGGTACCGATGCCAAGATCTCGCAAGATCACGGGGTAGAGCTTGTCTATGGCAGGGAAGTTGATGCCTTCATTCCAGAAGAACTCAACCAGCTTGAGCTGACTGAGAATACCGATCACATCGCCCCCAGGGCTGGTCACCAATACACGGTGAATGCCACTGCCGAAGACTTCGATGGCTTTGTCAAGCGTTTCGTCAAAGGGAAGGGTGACAAGGGACTCTTTTCTGAAGAGAGGCTGGATATCGCGCAAGGCTATGCTAGTTCCTTCGCGAGCCTTCGTTGCAATGTCGTCGTAAATGGCGATCTGTTCCTCGTCGGGCTTCGCTAATCCCACGACTATCAAAAGATATGTGTTGAGATCATTATAGTCAAAGGTCGAAACGGCGGTCTTGGACGAGGCATCTTCTCGAATAAGGACAACATTGGAAGGGCTGTGCTTGACGAGGATCTGCAATGTCATTAGTACAAGTTCCCTGGCAAGTGGAGACTGGAGTAAGGGAACAGACCATAGAGGCTTCCTCGATGCTGGAGTCCAAGTTGACCCATTTCACATCATCTTGGTTGACTAGTTCGTTGACTGAGATATCGCGCCAGTCGCGACCAGCGAATCGTGGGTTCGAGTGTTTGACGGCAGCCGGGGGATGGTTCAGCAGCTCTTGGACGGCGGCCTGGGTAAAAGAAGGATGACGTTGGGCACGAGGTGAGCCTGGGGCATTTCTCAGATTCTCGGCGAAGCTCTGGCGATGCGTGGAAACGTGGGTGGCCTTGTGCAGACTCGTCTGAGAGGGGGTTCGCTGCGGGATGGCAGGAGGTGAAGTTGCGACAGAGGCCAAGCTCTCATCAGTGTGCGGGCCAGGCGGCGCTGCTCCGTCCATTGCTTTGCTCGGCGGGTGTCTTTCGGACACTACTCGGTTCCGTTGTATTCTAGGTGCGTGCTGCAGAGAAAGGTGAGCTTCCACGAGCTTGCAATGCAAGTTGCGCTATATCTGATAGTATGCTATCGAGTCTGGGCTAAAGAATTGACGAAGCTCGGAGTAAGCGGATACTGGCTGGTGCTTTTCCAATTGTGACCTCAGCTGTGACTGGACAGAAAGAGATAGAGAGAGAGACAGAACGGGTAGTATGAGTGGTAGTAATTGAGTGGATTACTGGCCAAGCACCGAGAGGCGAAGAGGTCGATGGTCGGCTGATTGCGAACAAGAACCACTTGCTGCCGAGATTCGGTTGGTTACCTCAGAGGGAGCTGCTGGTGCACGTCCTTACGTAGAGCTATGGATCGCAATTGAGGGGCCACGGTTATGACAAAAGCAACCTATGGCGAAAGAGATGATGGGCCTGACAGAGACTGGGGATGTAACATGAGGCTCCGAAACACCGTCACCATTGGCCGCAACTACTCGTGACTGCAATCGAAGTCGTTAAGGGCTTGACGTTTAATGGTGTCGAGCGAGAGAACAATCTACGATACCAACGACGACTGCCAACCACTACACCGACATTCGAAGGTGAGGGGTTGGAAGCTCGCTAAAACTAGGTATGCTGTATGAGCACCCTGTATAGGAGGACAGCATCCTCACGGGTGCTGCGACCAGTAAATTGGCATTATTTCTTCACAAGGGAGAATTGTGCCGGGCCAGTACAGGTGCTGACGTCTTGAGAGAGTGGAGGGTACTCAGAATGACGGGCAGCTGGGGTTGCTGGAAGGGAGATGCCCGGGGGAGGAAAGGCTACCTACCCCTCCTTTTGACACACCGAGACGTGACTGGCTACAGTGGCAGCCCCATCAACTGTTCCCACTCTCTAGATCAAGAACGATACCTGCAGACGGCCCGGTGCCCCTCTTCCCCCACTCGCTGCATTCGTTCCTTTTGTTGCATATATCGTATGCAGCTTGAGTAGATACATCCCTGAGCGAATCGCCTAGGCAAAACATGGCACTGATAAAGAATGAACGCTGATCGACGCCACGCCGTCAAATGACAGCAGCCACCAGCATGGTTTAATTTTCTCAGCATGTACCATGGATGGGACGCCCGGCACCCAACAGAGAACTTCTCAGAAGCCTGAACTGCAAAGTTGATCAAGTATTCTATAGGGCAGCAGTATCTTGCTTTTAGCAGTAAGTAAAATGAACCGGCATAAACAAAAGAAGTTTGTCACATATTTTATACCTTGCATGCTTCGCGTAGGTTGCTGCCATTCACCCTCCTTTACAGCCTGGCCTCTCCCTTCATCAGCCGGAACATTGAGACCAAGGGAGTGCGTCCGAGCTTAGAGCCTAGACAAAGAAGGGGACCAAGTGGAGGAAGGAGAGGATGGCAAGGAAAAAAAGGTGGATAAAAATATGAGTGAGGACCTTACGCCAACTTGAGCCTATACCATCAGTGTCCAGGGCAGGAGCTTGGGCGGCAAGCGCATTGGATGAGACCAGAGAAGGATGCCCTGGCATGGTATTGTTCCTGCTGCTTCTCGTTAGGACCTTTGCATGAAAGACACTGCCAATTTTTTCATTTCATTTTTTTTTTTTTTAGTCTCTTTCACCTTTTTTTTGATTTTTATTTTTTCGTCATTCATTTTGGTTGGAGAGAGAGAGGGAGAGAGAGAGCAAAGGGCTCCTACTGGCAGAGGGGCTGCCACGCCCATCATTGTGTTTGTTTGGCATGTCGTGGCATACCAACTGCTGGTTGACCCTAGACGAGGGTGGAAGCGAAAAGCGCCAGGCCAGGGCCAAGCCGGTATAGACCAAAGACATCACGTATACACGTAATCAAAAGAGCGAGAAGATGGGCTGCCAGCAGTGCCTGAAGGAAAAGGGAAAATAACAATAACAACAACAATATGATGGTGGGGTGGGTAAGGCTGACATTGGAGATTCTGGGTAGTGAACGAAAACAAACCGTGGGTACGGCAAAGTTAATTGAAGACACCTTGGCTGGCTCTGCTGCTGCTCTGCTGCTACTGTCCTGCCTAATTAACCAACATTGGACTTTCGGTGGAGAGTAATGTTCACATGCAACACCAGCCAGTAAAAGATCAACATCACTAACAATTTCAGACACTTTCGCAGGACAACCAAACCCACCTGCCCGCCCAGTCTGTGCAGAAGCGCAGCAGCAAGAGGGGCAAAAGGCCAACAGCCTGAAAAGTGTCGGGTGGTGGTCACTTGTGGTGCTGCGTGGTGTGTGTGTGAGCGGAGCCCAGCAAGAGCCCCGCCAAAAAACCTACCAAAATTATTGACATTTTTTGCTTCCCCCTCCACGACAGAACCCCAGTTCCTTCACCATCGTGGGCTTGCTGCCTCACTTCCTGACAAGTTCCTTTGTTTTTTTACTCCCTTACTCTCTCCCACTGCTACTCGAAGAATATCATGCTCATTCTCTCCAGTCTTCATACCCATTAGTAGACTGTATCTAACCCGCACTTTGCTTTTGTCACTCTTCTTTAATCCCCCACCCGCCTGCTCGCTTACCTTGGAGCACCGAGATTCGAGAAGAGCGGAAGACAGAGACAGGCCTGGCAACCGAAAAGAGTAGAAAAGTACCCCTCAGAACAAAACACGCCAACTCTTATCCGCCTCTCCCCACGTCACCCTTCTCGCGGTCCGACACCATCCCACCGCCCCGACTGTCTTGGTCTTGGGGCTGGTACTCGCAACCTCATTAAAAAAAATTAAACCTTTTCGTTTCGATTACGGACACCATTTTCTCGGTCGCAACCATGTCCATGCTACCGCCAGACGTCCACGCAGAGCTGTCTCAGCTCCTGCAAGCTCTGCAGTCCCCCGAGAACGCCGTTCGAACACAGGCTGAGGAGCATCTCCAGAACAACTGGACTGCCAACCGACCGGAGGTCCTGTTGATGGGTTTGGCTGAGCAAATTCAAATCGGTACTGATGCTTCGGTATGTTTGTTTCTCGCTGCTGCCCCTCTTCTGCCCCTCGCGACACGATCTTTGACTGACCGCACCACTTTTTTTTAGACACGTTCTTTTGCCGCTGTCATTTTCCGAAGAATTGCTTCCAAGAGCCGCAAGAATGAGCGCGGCGAGCTTGTCGACATGTTTCTGTCCTTGTCCAAGGACCAAGCTGCTGTCATTCGTCAGAAGCTTCTTGAAAGTCTTGGAGGCGACTTTCAACGTGCCGTGCGGAACAAAATCAGCGACGCCGTTGCCGAAGTTGCGAGGCAATACACCGAAAACAGTACGTCGTCAATATGTCTCTCCTGCTCCAGGGGCTTCTGAGAAGCCTAGCTGAGCTCCCTGAGCTTGCGCCTAACACTCCGGTAGATGAATCCTGGCCTGAACTCCTTGGAGGTCTCTTCCAGCTTAGCATAGCGCCTGACGCCGAGAAGCGCGAGACTGCTTTCCGTGTTTTCGCTACCACTCCCGGTGTTATTGAAAAGCAACACGAGGAGAACGTTATCCAAGCCTTCCAGAAGGGTTTCAAGGATGATTCCGTTCAGGTAAGCCGGCCGGACTCTTCCTACGATGGCTTCAACTAATGCGTGACAAGGTGCGCCTGGCCGCTATGGAGGCATTCGCCGCCTTCTTCAGAAGTCTGGGAAAGAAGGCACAGCCCAAATTTTACCCTCTTATCCCCGAAGTACTGAACATCTTGCCCCCCATCAGAGACAGCCACGATTCCGAAGACCTTAGCTCTGCTCTCGTCGCCCTCATCGACATGGCCGAAACAGCGCCCAAGATGTTCAAGCCCCTTTTCCACAACCTCGTGCAGTTTAGTGTGTCTGTCATTCAAGATAAGGAACTCGACAACCTCTGCCGCCAGAACGCACTTGAGTTGATGGCTACATTTGCCGACTACGCCCCGTCGTTATGCCGCAAGGACGCTACCTATACCAATGATATGATTACGCAGTGTCTCAGTCTCATGACGGATCTTGGAGAAGATGACGATGACGCTGCTGAATGGCTAGCCTCCGATGATGTGAGTAGTTTCCACCTTGCGAAGCCCATCTATGAAAGCTAATGCAACGTAAGCTTGATCAAGAAGAGAGCGACCAAAACCACGTTGCGGGAGAGCAATGCATGGACCGACTTGCCAACAAGCTTGGTGGGCAGACCATCTTGGCCCCTACCTTCAACTGGCTTCCCCGCATGATGACCTCGATGGCTTGGAGGGACAGGCATGCGGCCCTCATGGCTATTTCGGCTATCTCTGAGGGTTGCCGGGAGTTGATGATTGGCGAGCTCAGCCAGGTCCTCGACCTCGTTGTTCCTGCTCTTAAGGACCCCCACCCTCGTGTGCGCTGGGCTGGCTGCAACGCTCTGGGCCAAATGAGCACGGATTTCGCCCCTAAGATGCAAACCGACTATTATGATCGTGTCCTCAAGGCCATCATCCCGGTCCTCGACTCCCCCGAGGCCCGAGTCAAGTCGCATGCTGCTGCCGCTCTGGTCAACTTCTGTGAAGAGGCTGAGAAATCCATCCTTGAGCCTTACCTTGACGATTTACTATCTCATCTGTTCCAGCTGCTCCAAAACGAAAAGCGCTATGTTCAGGAGCAAGCTCTGTCAACCATTGCAACCATTGCGGATGCCGCCGAAGCGGCTTTCTCCAAGTACTATGACACTCTCATGCCCCTATTGGTTAACGTCCTTCAGAGAGAGAATGAAAAGGAGTTCCGTCTCCTCCGCGCCAAGGCGATGGAATGTGCTACCTTGATTGCTCTGGCCGTCGGAAAGGAGAGACTTGGACAGGATGCTATGACATTGGTCCAATTGCTCGCGAATATTCAACAGAATATTACGGATCCCGATGACCCGCAAGCCCAATACCTCATGCACTGCTGGGGTCGTATGTGCAGGGTCCTTGGCCAGGAATTCTTACCTTTCCTACCCAATGTCATGCCCCCTCTTCTTGAGTTGGCCAGCGCCAAGGCCGACATTCAGCTTCTTGACGATGATGAACAGGTCGAGCAGATCCAGCAAGAGGAAGGATGGGAGCTCGTCCCCCTTAAGGGCAAGATGATTGGTATTCGCACCAGCACTATGGAGGACAAGAACATGGCAATCGAGCTCCTCGTTGTATACGCTCAGGTCCTCGAAGGTAGCTTTGCCCCTTATGTCGCAGAGATCATGGAGAAGATCGCCCTGCCAGGTCTGGCCTTTTTCTTCCACGACCCTGTCAGATTCATATCGGCCAAGTTGGTGCCACAGCTCCTCAGCTCTTACAAGAAAACATATGGAAGCCCGTCTAATGAGCTCAGCGGACTGTGGGCTGCCACCGTTGACAAGCTTCTTGAGGTCCTTACAGCGGAGCCTGCTATTGACACCCTGGCTGAAATGTACCAATGCTTTTACGAGTCTGTCGAGGTAGTTGGCAAGGGCTGTCTCACCGGAGACCACCTCGCCCGCTTCATCGACTCCGTTCACTCGGCCATCGAGGACTACAAGGACCGCGTTGCTCAGCGTGCTGAAGACAGGGAAGGTACGACTGCTGAGGACGCGGAAGACGAAGCCGAGGATGTCCTGCTAGCCATCGAGGACGACCAGACCCTGTTGTCGGATATGAACAAGGCCCTCCACGCCATCTTCAAGAACCACGGTGCTGCTTTCCTTCCTGCCTGGGAACGCTTGATGAGCACCTACGAGGGTTTCCTCAAGTCAGACGACCCGACACAACGCCAGTGGGGTCTCTGCATTATGGATGATGTGTTGGAGTACTGCGGACCAGAGAGCCAGCGATATGCCAACTACATCACCCAGCCCCTCATTGACGGTTGCCAGGATTCTTCACCGGCCATCCGACAAGCTGCTGCGTATGGAATTGGTGTGGCTGCGCACCGTGGCGGGGCTCCCTGGGCTCAGTTCCTGGGCAATGCCATGCCATACCTTTTCCAGGTAACGCAAGTTCCCGAGGCCCGAAGCGAAGATAATGTATACGCCACAGAGAACGCATGTGCTGCCATTGCCAAGATCCTTCACTACAACGCCACGTCGGTTCAGGATCCCAACGGCATCGTCGCACAATGGGTTGAGACACTGCCGGTAACGAACGACGAAGAAGCGGCACCATATGCTTATGCTTACTTGGCTGAACTGATTGACCAGTAAGTGATGAACAGAACAAAGGGCTTTGCGCTTTGGTTTAAGATGTAGGACTAACAACTTGTTGTAGGCAACACCCAGCAGTCTTGGGTCAAGCTGGCAAGGTTTTTGTTTTCACCGCTCAAGCTCTGGAGGCGGATACGCTTCAAGGACAGACAGCAAGCCGCGTAGTGGCCGCCATCAAGGCTCTCCTTTCCTCTGCGAACGTTGACCCTACGCCCTTGCTGCAGCAGTTCTCGCCTGATGCTCAGCGAACAATTATGGCGTACTTCTCCTAGGTCGTTTAGAGGACCGAATCAGATCTGAAGTGCCACAAACGAGGCTCAGTTGAAGGGGGGGAAGGAGTAGTGAGGTGTCGTGTTAAATGGAACCAGTTGAGATGATACCACAGGCACGAAATGAGGAAACGGTCCCCCTAACGCCCCGCCGAGCGTCATGGACAAAGCAACATGCTTTGGACTTTGAATATTCTCCGAGCCAAACAAAAGTTAGCATGGATAAGATGGGCGACGAGAGGTGGAAAATTCTGGCAAGCGAACGTCTACGCAAGAGGGCTGGTTTGGCTCCTCCTATGTTCTTCTTGCCGCCACCCTCTGGTGACGCAATATGATGCCGATACGATGATATAAAGGAGAGGTTATTTGCAGATAGAAATTCAAGCAGATATGACTATGAACACGCGAGTATAGATGATGGGAAAGCTTTGACGGAGAACTCCACGAAGGAAGGGGCAAGGGCCCTCCAAAAGACGGAGCCGTAGCTTCGGATCCGGCCCTGCCTCGAGTAAACGTGGAATGTAGCTCTGTGGCGGAAGTCATAATATCTAGTTTTGGACAAACAGGTAGGCAGGCAAATAACGCCCCTCCACCCCCCTCCCTAACGAACGTGAAGTTTGTCCTCGCGACAGAAGGAGGAATGATTGTGATACTGGTCAGCTGCTCAGCCGAGGTGTTCGCCCCCAGCCAACCGCAAACACTCGCTTACGAGCTACGCTGTTGCTCGGTAGATGACTTATGGGGAAGGAAGAGGGAGAAGTAGGAATAGAACGGGCTCAAGCACGCGAATACGACGTTGGGAAATTGAGGGGGAGGTTCAGAGTGAGACGCTTGCTGGGTTGGCTGAGAGGCTAGGCTAGTGGTTTGTTGATCGATCGGTTGTCATTGGGTGGTCGAGAGTTGTGGGAAACAATCGCGCCGACGAGGAGGACGGAAAAACCAGGTCAATAAAAGATGGGCAAATGGAAATTGCCATGTTGCGGATGCGGTTCCAGAGGGAGGGGAACATGGGGGGAAAGGGGGGTGTTTGGTGGTGGTGGAGGGGTTCACTTCCCAGCCGTCAGTTTGTCGTACCAGTCGATGTCGCATCCAGTAGCGCCCGCCAGATGAGCAATGTCACACACCAGTATTTTCTTTCTTGCTTGTTCCTTTAAATAATGGTTCTTGCATTTCTTCTCCTGTCTGCCTTTCGCTCTCGACCTCCCCGGCCCAGTTGCCCGTTCTGACATGTTGATAATAGGTCTAATCGCCACCGCGCCCTGGGCCTAGTTGGGGGGCTGCCTGACTCTGTAGCCCACTTTCGTCTTGGGCTCTTTTGCTTCGCATGACCGATCTATATATGAAGAAAGGAGAAATTTCGTTTGTGCAACGCGAATCTTGCATCGATCAGAGGAATGCGAATTCAAGAATGGAGATCTGGTGTGACGGTGGTCCACCATCGATTAAATGGTCAAGCATGTAGGCACCATCGCGACGCTCTCGGACCATGTCACCGCGGCAGGGAGTGATGGGTAGATAGCTCTCAAGCTTGGCAGGCGCATACCAGGAAGACGGTATCTAACCTAACCGTGCCATCAGGGCACCTTTTTTTTTTTTTTTTTTCTCTTCAATCCATCCTTCTCACCTCTTGTGGCTCTAGTTGCTGCCGGATGCCCGTGGGCAACCCGCTAGCTGGGTTCTTGAAGCAAGGTGCAGACAGGTCAAGGACTACTGATGCAGGTCTGTTTATGTGCCGCGTGGCGCAATCCAGAACTGGCAAAGCCTTTTTCCTAACCGCACACATGTCACTAGTGATAATGAGAGATGGCGACTGAGATCAATGCAAGGAGCTAAGTGAACTGCCTGAAGAAAAAGGTAGACAACTGCCATTCGCCTATGATGATAGTCTGGCAAGAAAGGGATCAGGAAAGGGGTGGGATCGTTGGACATGAAAGCTGTATCTCTGTGTATGTCGTAGAGACAAAATCTCGATGAAGAGAGACGTTGCAGGGTATCTATGGTAGACAAAACATACACACACACACACACACACACACACACACACCCTCGGCGGTTTATGGCTTGTTGATCCTTGCTTATCTTGGAGAGACGCCTTCTGGCTTGGCCAGCGCATGGAAAGGCGCAGGGCCATACACCGCAGGGCAGTTTATCTTTCGTCTCTTTGCCGGATGGTGTATTTATTTGTGTTCTTTACGTGGTGTTGGACTTGTGTTGCGTCCCTGTCACTCAGAATTTACCTGCCTGTGGCTGCTATTGGTTGCAGTAAGATGGGTAGGAACCAGAAACCTAAAGCTTTTGTATGGGGATGGGGTGGGGAGCAAGGAAGCAATGGCATGCGGCAAGCGACTAAGACGAAAGGCGTTGAGGCCGAGTGAGTCAAGTGGTGACTGATCAGTCCAACAGTTGGAGGACGGGCAGATCGTGGCATTTTCATAATGAAAACGGGGAAATCTGAGATAATGACACAAATATGGGTCTCAGTAGCAAAGTGGCTGCGAAATGAGAAGTATCAAACGGGTTGTAAATAAAGGCAACTGAGGACGGCGTCATGGCTAGATATAAAGCAGAGGTCCGGACCGCTTGGATATCCGTGCTATTGCCCATCGAGGGCGGCGGAAAGGCTGCAGCTTGCAGGTGAAAGGGGGGGGGTGGCATGGCGACAGAATGCGACTCATTGGTGAGGATCGAAATGAGGGAGTGAGGGTATTCTTATCCAGAACTCTCACTTGTAGGGGTGCACAAATGGATGGACTAAAGCTAAGAGACAAAGGGAGAAGGGACAATCTCGAGTGGTAGAGGGGCAATGGAATTGGCCATATTGGAACGGCGAATGAGCGAAGCAGGATGTTAGGAAGACTAGCGGCCCAACCAACAGGAAACCTAGGGAAGTTTAGGGGAATTTTGCATGTTCCGTGTGCAGCGCAGCCAGCTCAAATGCCGTTATTTCTTAGCGTTGACGCTGGAAGTGGGTGGTGTGCGAGGGGAGGATGGGGGCCAACCGTTCTTTCGTTGTTCAGACTCAGAGGTCTATTTCTAGGCTGTTATGGTGCGTGCGTGCGTGCTTGTTTGGTCTGGTCTGGTGTCGGGTGTCGGGTGTCTGAAGATAGGGAGAGATGACGACATTGATTTTTATCTTGTGGTGCGCCTGTTCTTGAGGTTTAGCTAAGCACAGCCAACCCAGGCAAATTAGTTGAGGCTGAGAGATAGAAAAGAGTGAGAGAAATGATGGGCGAGGAGCAAGCAAGAAGGAGCAACAATAGCTCTCATGGGTAATCCCTACAAACAGCGGTTTCGGCTAGTTGACAAGTCGCTTCCATGATAAAAGCCAATTATTTCCAAGGCTATGTATCTCATAATACCATGTAAATACATTTTATTAAATCTTTAGTGGCACTGCACAGAGCCAGCCACCAGGGCAGAGCTTTAGTTGGGTGAGTTTTCTGGACGCCGACCTGGCTGCTCGGCTTGACCGTTCTGAATACCAGACATTTGTGATGTGATGCTATATAGTGCGCGCGGACTTGCTAGACTCGTCAAATCCCGGACCAGGTCCGCCGTCGTGGAGACGAACTGGATGTGTTTGGAATACTTTTGTGCTACTTCAGTTAGCGGCCTAAGTAGCACATACTGTGGGTTGATCACTACTGTAGTAGCTTTGGCCCGGCAAAGACAAGCCTCAGGCACGGTGCTATCGACAAACTCTGGCCATGACTTGGGAGCCTGGGGGGGTTTCTTCTTCTTACTCCTGCATTCCTCACGCATTGCTGGTGTGTACTAGTACGTGTAGGAAATGGTTGCTACTGGGTTTGGATAGGTGGACGGGGGTGGGCTGCTGGCTGGCCCAAAAAGAGCGGCCAAAGGGTCTCCACCCAAATACTGTCAGATGGATTTGGTCGCACCCACATCCACTTTTGATTTGTGATTCACACGTGTCTGACGTCATCGACTTCGAACCTTAGGTAATGCAACTGGACGACGGCCGCACGAGACAAGACTCGAACTCTAGTACATGCCTACCCGTTTCTTGCACACTGCCATACACTATGTACTGCCCCAGTCCTGCCTCAACTACGGATACACTCCAGCCCATATGCTTCATCGCACCGCCATTCCACTGCTGCTAGGTCTGATTTGTTGTTCACATTCTTCAGAAACACACTTGTATGTCCGCACCTTGCAGCGTGGAGCCTGTGCCTCATGCCACATCCTGCTGCACAAAACCGGAGTTGTTCTGGTGTATCTCCCTCCCCATATTCTAGGGCATTCGATACATTGCTGTACCGGTCAACGCACACATCCCAGTGCATGCTAAGCTGACGACCAAAGAGCCTTGAAAGTAAGGAACCTTCAACATTCCAAACCTTCCCCCTCCCCCAAGAGAAAATAAAGCTGGTCGAATGTCTTCACCTCAAGAAGAGACCCGATACCGCATTGCTCGGTGTGTCATGCCTCACGGCGCCTTGACCGGACCATGGCCCAGACAATTTCACCCGAGGCCATCCAAATCACTGGAACGGCACGACAATTCAACCCAACCCCCACCCCACCCCAGTCAACCAGCCAGCCCTGGCAGTCACTCCCACTCTTCCCGTTCGCGACGCATACACACAGGGCCATTGACAGTATACATTACCGTGCCTTAGTCGCCTCGAGCCCACTATGGCGATAGAATGGTACCCGCAGCCTCGTGTGGACCATGGCCGGATGGAGAGGTCGAATGGAGGCTAGACACCGAGTATTTTGTACATGTTCCAACTTTTTGGGCCCCAACATGGTGTGCCTTGGTCCCAGTATCCGCGATGCCGCAACCTTGTACCAAAAAAGACAAGGCTAGCTAAGCAAACGCGACACCGCCAAGAAAGAGAGTAGAGACTACATAGTAAGCCCTTGTTATTCCTTACACCTGTCTATCGTGCCAAAGAACTGGGAGAGATACTCCCGCCATGTATCTGTCCCTGAATGATTGTTGATCACCCGTGTGGAAAGACACACAGACAGGGGGGATGGAAGCAAGGGACTCTCTCTCTCACACACACACACACATCGGCAATACAGCACATTGCTTGCTTCTTGACCTTCCTTGTCCTGTCATGCCTTAGCATAAGGGCCCCCCAGTTGGGTTTAGCCAAACAAATGTAGAGAAAAGACACAGGCGGGGCCCTTGACCTTCAGTACTGGCAAGTTGTGTCTGCGCCTGATGAATAGTTTCCCTGCGTCGCGGTATCTGATCCAACGTATGTTTCCTCAACAACAGTTCAAGAAGTAAAGGCCAGTGACTGTTCAGTGACAAGATCAAAGACTGGCAACACGCATGCCTTGTTTTTAAGGCCTCAAAAGTCTTTACTTGCCTGCACGGCACGGCACCGCGCCTTACTGCCCAAGGCCTCAAGCTCTCGAACACCCCAATGCCAACCGGAGGTACCCTATACTTGCCAGCCCACCAGGGACACCTCGCCACTACAGCGGTAATACGACAGCCCATTAACTTTCGTGCCGCCCCCAAAATCTCCCCCCTCTTTCTACGACTACAACCACCACCAGCAACTCTATGTCCTCTCCCCGCAACTTCCCAATTCTGAATTCTCCACGACCTTACAACCACCTTTGCTTCCGAAGTTTGAGAGTCGGTCCATTCATCGCGTATCAGGCCACCGCCGCTGCCACCAAACTTTTACACTCGTCACCGCTATACCTGCTTTTCACACTTATTATCGGTCGACCGTCGCTGTTAACATCTCGCGACACTTTGCCTATAACCTATGTGAACTTTTGCCGACCGCCGCCGCCTTCATTTTTCCCCCCTTCGCCGGCGATTTTTTCCCTCCCTCGGACCGAACGACGCTGCCCTTTGCCCACCCGGTTCGCCCAGGTATCAACTTCGACGACCCTGCTGTTTTGACGCGATACCGATTTTGCGGCCGTATGCACGGGTGGCATCATTGGAGCCGGCGCCTCGGGAGAGAAGAATACAAGTTGAACGGCTGAAAACACCGGAGACGACTTGGCTACTTTTGGACACCACATCGCGACCGTTCAGCATACATCTACCCCATACCGATATTGCATTCCAGGTTTGTGGAGACAGATGCGCTCGCCATGGAGGCCTTCTATCCCCAGCTCACCCCACAGGAGCTGCAGCGGCAGATGTCGCAACAGTCTCAGCAGCGTCAGATGCAACAACCAGGCCAGCCCGGCGGTCATGGCTTCCGGCAGATGAGCCAGGGTCATGGCATGAACATGATGAACGGCGGAGACTCTTTGGACGATATCATTCAATCTAACCACCACGAACTTCAACGTCGTCGGAGCATACACCAGTCGCACCAACCTTTTATTCCCCAAAACCAATCCGGGCAAAACGACGGTGGCGCAGGCAGAAGAATGTCTATGATGGAGTTTGGTGCAGGTGATAACCAGCTCGCCAATTACCCTTTCCAAAATCCGACCATGGCTGGCGAATTTGCCAATATGGCTGGCCGAATGGCAAATGGCATGGATCATGGTATGGATAATGGCATGGCAAGCAATGTTGGAGCTCTGGGCAACAGTGTACCTGGCAGCATCTCAATACCCGGTCCGATGGATGGATTCTCCGGCCAGGATGGACTCCAGATGTCCCCTACAAATGCCTTCACCTCATTCTCGCCGGATATGATGGATTCAATAATACCGCCCAACTCCTTTAACATGCAGGTTCCTGCGATGCCTACAACCACGAGTATGGGCATGTACTCACAGACGTCGATGGCTAATGCCTTTTCAAACCCTCTTACTACAGAGACTTCCGATATCCCGATGGAAATGGCGGGATCTGACACGCCAATCACGGCACCACAAAGCACCCTTGGTACACCGCTAGATATTGGGACTGGCGACAACGACGCCATGGCTATGGGCCAGCAATTTCAGTCACAGGCGGACAGCAACGCCCGCGCGAACCCACAAGCTGTGAACTTTGGACCTAGTCCTACGGGTGCCGCACAGACAACACCATCTTCCATTTCACGGGAAATGTCAACCCATTCGACCAACAACTCTTCTCAGTCCCCTAACAATAGATCCTCATCCATGTCGACGGGCCAAGCTGCTACTTCCCAACAAACCACAACAACCACACCTGCCATGGGGCCTCTTACACCTCGGGCAGAGGCCAAGGAGAAGAACGTCTACTCCAAGAGCGGTTTCGACATGCTGCGAGCGCTTTGGTATGTTGCGACACGGAAAAGCCCCGAGATTCACCTCGGCGCCGTGGACATGTCTTGTGCTTTTGTTGTCTGCGATGTTTCACTAAATGACTGCCCTATTATCTATGTATCCGACAATTTCCAAAACCTGACGGGGTATAGCCGCCATGAAATTGTCGGTCAAAATTGCCGCTTTTTACAGGCTCCTGACGGCAAGGTCGAGGCTGGCTCCAAACGTGAGTTTGTCGATGACGCCTCTGTCTATAACTTGAAGAAAAAGATTGCGGAGGGACGCGAGGTACAGCAAAGCTTGATCAACTACCGCAAAGGCGGGAAGCCGTTCCTTAACCTTTTAACCATGATACCGATTCCATGGGACGATCCCAACGAAATACGATTCTTCGTCGGTTTCCAGATCGACCTCGTAGAATGCCCGGATGCCATCGCTCAAGGTCAGGATACCGGCGGTGTCAAGGTTAACTACAAACACAGCGATATCGGTCAATACATCTGGACACCGCCTACGGCGAACGCTGTCGAGCCCGAGAATGGGCAGACGCTCGGGGTCGACGACGTATCGACTCTGTTACAACAATTCAGCCCCAAGGGCGCTGTGTCCGATTGGCACAAGCAGTCGTGGGACAAGATGCTCCTAGAGAACACGGACGATGTGGTTCACGTTCTCTCTTTGAAAGGACTCTTTCTATATCTATCTCCGTCCAGCAAACGAGTTTTGGAGTATGACGCTACAGAGCTGGTTGGTAATTCCTTATCTACTGTCTGCCATCCCTCCGACATTGTCCCCGTTACACGAGAGCTCAAGGATGCCACCGCTGGCAATTCCGTCAACATTGTTTTTCGCATTAGGCGGAAGCAGAGTGGTTACACTTGGTTTGAGAGCCACGGTTCGCTCTTCTTCGAACATGGCAAGGGAAGGAAATGCATCATCTTGGTAGGAAGGAAACGACCCGTCTTCGCATTGAGCCGACGAGACCTGGAGGCCCATGGCGGCATTGGTGACAGCGAGTTATGGACCAAGATTTCCGTGTCTGGCATGTTTTTGTTTGTGTCATCCAACATTCGGTCCCTACTTGACCTTCAGCCAGACAGCTTGGTAGGCACAAGCATGCAGGAGCTCATGCGCCGGGAGAGCCGTGCTGAGTTTGGTCGCGCCATTGAAAAGGCCAGAAGGGGTAAGATTGTTACTTGCAAGCACGAAGTTCACAATAGAAGGGGACAGGTCTTGCAGGCGCAGACAACACTGTATCCCGGAGACGCATCGGAAGGCCAAAAACCAACGTTTTTGTTGGCGCAAACAAAACTCTTGAAAGCTTCCTCGAGGGCGATCGCACCGGCAGCCACGCCCCCGGGAAGTGTCAAATCGGCCTCCCACGCGCAAGCCACGCAGCCGACCATATCTACGGACTTGCAAAAGACTGGTCCAATATCCACCTCGGGCAGCAACACTGTCCCGGGCAACCAGGATGCGGCGCTGGCAGCAGATGACAACATTTTCAACGAGCTGAGGACAACCAAGTGCTCTAGTTGGCAATTTGAGTTGCGACAGATGGAGAAGGTCAACAGGATTCTTGCAGAAGAACTCGGGGGCCTATTATCGAACAAGAAGAAAAGAAAACGAAGAAAGGGTGTCGGTAATGTCGTACGTGACTGTGCGAACTGCCACACCCGCAACACGCCCGAATGGCGGCGGGGACCAAGCGGCCAACGAGATCTGTGTAACAGTTGCGGTCTACGCTGGGCAAAGCAGGTAAGAAGTGCCGAGCCCACTGTGGCCGATCATCGATCGGAGGATTACGATGTTAATGAAGACTAGGTTGGTCGTGTTTCTCCACGCAATTCCTCCCGAGGAGGCGCAAACACCAATGTCGACGCACTGAGCAAGAAGTCGAACTCTCCAATACATTCATCTCAATTGCAGAACGAGGTAAAGGCTAGTAGCAGTACGCCTGCTCGACATAACGATGGTTCCTCCGGCAACATCACGCCTGCGACGACTGTATCCAAATCCCACAGCACGATGCCTCCTCCAAGTCAGCCGCTTTTAACAGGCGCTAGCGGAGGCGGAATGACACTGATACGGGAGTAGCGTGGCTCCTTTCCGGGTTGCTGTTGAATCTTCCTCTCAAAAAATGTTTCCGGAGACAAACAGCCGCCTGTTCCTACCAAATGAAGTTAATTTAGATCGCATATTCCCTCTAGATACCACTACTCGCTCTTTCGTTTCGATGAAAATTTCTTAGTTGATGGCGTGGAACAGCCCAAATCAATGATGCTTGGAACCGGCGCCGGTAGGAAGGTTGGAAGTTTTTGGTGCTGGTCGGATGTTTTGGAGTGCCTTCAAGGTTATTTGAATTCGCAACATACCACATACACGAGGCGTTCCATAAGACGGGCTGTGGGAGACGGAATTTGTCCTTATGTTTTGAAATTTTGTTTAGCCCCTTCTGCTTTTTCACGTTTTACTCATATCCAACCTTTGACGACTGGAATTTGCCATCTACGATACCAAAATCGACATCAATTTGGGTGGAACGACATTCTTCTTCATACCCCTCTCTCATTCGAATAAGGAAGATGGGGTCAAAGTACTGATACTTTTTGGTGAAGGAGACGCTTTCTATGGAGAACTTGGTTATGGTTTTCGTTGTTTCCCCCTTCCTAACGAGGTGGGAAATGGGGCTTAGAAAAAGAAGTTAGGGAGTATTATGAAACGCTGGTACCGAAGCGGTGTATTTCCCTGTTCTCACCTCTCTCTTCCGCTCTGCGTTTTTGACAAAAGTATGAAGTCGTTGACGCAAGATTTCTATATCTGATGGTTGGTTGGATGGACGAGATAGGCACGACCATGCCACCAACGAGAGTAGCTGAATGATATGTACTTCTTTTTATCCTCCCACTCTTTCCTCCTACTCTTGTATTGTTTGCAGGTCCATCGGCGTTTGTGCACTGCAACTTGTCTTGTGGTAGTGAGACACTCGGACACATGATCGAATGGCATAGGTTCCAACAGAACGACCTTTTCGAGGGGGGGGGGGGGGGGGCGGAGTTGACGTTTACCTCTCGGGGTGTACTTGAAACCTAGGTGTAGGTGGCTTTGGAAAATTACCCAAGTAGTAAATAATGCCATCTGGCGTTCGCTTCAGTTTGTCATGGGTGTGGATATCGTCGCATAGGAAAGGGTTGCCTAGGGTGGTTACGAAGAGGGTGTGTGTGTGTGTGTGTGTGGGCATGGACGCCGGAATCGTGTGCTTCACGAAAGCGCCACAGAGAGTGCGATTTTGTGCCTCGTGCCCCGAGACAAATGCATGCGTCTTCAAATCCAGGCTGTTGAGCGTTTGAATCCGCAACTCGTTCTTTGGCGAGTTCTCGTGCCGTCATGCCGTTGTGTGTGACGGAGCGTCTTCTCACAATCGCAACACTACACGTCAATGGGGGCAATTTTGGGCCCTAGGAGAGGCACTGGCTGTCTTATCCAGAACGGGAAAGCGTCATTAGAGATAAAAGGGTGTATCAAAGGTATGTACTATATTCAACTGAACCTTAGCCCTACTATCGTGGGCAGTGTGGCTGCCCGAGTGCATACGAGTATGCACGCATGCTCCATGACATGCCAGGCGAGAGGAAAACCAGGAGGGGGTATCTCTAAACCGTTCCAAAGTCGTCATCAAGACTTGCTCTCATGAACATTCATTTCCCCAAACGAGAAAACCAGCGTGCTGTGCGTGCCCAACAGAACCAACAAAGAAAAGTAGGAGATGCGAGGGAACCTCAAAAGCCATCGTAAACAAATCAACTCGTCGTATGAAAAGTGAAAAAGCAATAAAAAGAAAAACCGAGACGAAGGAAGAAAAAAACACGCCAACGAAAATCCACCACTGATACACCAATATATGCCGTGACCAGGAGAAAACTCAAAAATCAGATAATGTACTGTTTGTCTTTGTACTGTATGTTGCCTATGCAAATCGAACGTCACCTAGTGGTTGTGGAATGCATCACAGACTCTCAGGGCCGTATTTCATGCCCAAGACGTAAGTGAGTAGATGGAAAGTCCAAATGCGATGAGGCAAAAGCTGGCCAGGTTCCCGTATCAAGCCTTCTTGCAGGCCTGACACTTGACTTCATATCCCAATCCTATTGACACACAGGGTCAACAGGCTACCTGAAAGGCATGACAACCGCTACTACCTTTCGGCGAGTACGTGGTTGACAAAAAAAAAAAAGTTCAAATGTGTATGGCGGCAGTCAATGCCGACTGCGATTTGAAGTTCGCAAATGAACCACCTGGCAAGGTACCAAAAGTGCTTGCGGTTAGCAAATGCTGCTGGTAACTTGAGGCGGCGAACGCATCGTGCGATGATGCTGGAAGGTACCCAGAGATTGACTCGGAGAGTTCTGCCTTCTTCGGCGAGGGGATTCTCCGACTATTCTTAATCAGCTGGGTTTGGGAGACGAAAGTTTGTCTCTGAACTTTGACCACAGGAGTGCGGTGCAAAGACTCTGCTACAAATGATGCTGGGAGGTGTGCCTTGCGCTTAGAGGAGCTCTTGCAATTCCTGAAGGAAATATCAGCGAGCTGCTGGTCGTAAGCGGGGTTGCACATGTCCTGTGCATATCTGTCCAGATGGTGGTGGCTGAGGCGACCTGCCCATCTGTCATCATTGAGGAAGTGCGGGTTGGTCCAAATTTCAGCGCAAGTCTCCTTGAACGAATAGACCTCGACAACCCAGCCCTTCTTCAGAGCCCTTTCGACATGTTTTGGGAAACCGTCAGAGAAGCCAGATTCGTTTGGATTGCCGTCTCCAGTGACAACGACCATGATGCCTGGCTCGTTATCGAGAACACAGTCAGACATTCTGAACTGAAGCATCTCATCGACGCACTGCTCCTGTTCAGGCACGCGATTCTTGAATCGCAAAGCATCGTCCGAATCGGAGGAAGTGGTATCATAAATCTTCTTCTGCCACTTATTGCCATCGCTCCGGGGGCTCTCCTTCTTTTCATCTTTCGGAACCCGAGTCGTAATTATCGGGGTGTATTGGCAGTTAATGGCATCCTCAAAATACTTTGGTGCTTCTTTAGTGGAGCTCTTAGAGCCGGCGATGTAGCGCTCAGAAGTCTTCCTGTCTCGCTCCAAGATCTGTTGAAGCCTGCTAAACATAATGCAAGGGGGCAGCTTATCGAGCTTGTCCATATGGAGCTTTCTCTTCAAGTGATCGTAGAAGCCGATGCTAATATTGGAAGCATCAACGAAAACAGATACACCCTCATCGCAGTGTTTCGGGAAGTTGTCCCGAAGCCGCTGATCATGTACTCTAAAATCATTCATCAGACGAGTGGAAAATGGCTGCTCGGAGGAGAGAGGAGCTCTTTTAGCGGTTTCACGCTGAAAGATGCGTTCGCCAGCGGACAAAGTGATTGTCTGGGCCAAAGGAGTGGTCGGCGGCGTAGTGACGTCCGACAGGCCAGCACCTCCGTTCAGTTCCAGATCGACATCCACAGGATCAAAGTCTCCGCGAGATGAAACCGAATCCAGCTGGTCTTCGGAATCACTGGTGGTTGCAGATACTGAAGGCGAAGGCGGAAATACAATGGGTTGAACGGCGACCTTGGGTGCAACAATTGATGTTGGCTGAGGCAGGGGCTTGGTGGTGAAGTTGGCCTTTGGCTGACTTTTCTTTCCAGTCATAATGTCTCTGAACAAAGAATCCGGGATGTCAAGGAGGCGAGGGCCCTGATGGGTGCTCTGAGTAATGGGCTGTGAGTCGTTGGGAAGTTCTTCGGTCAGCTGCAAAGAATCGCGATGAGAATCAACCATTGCAAAGACTCTGGAGAAGTCTCCAAGGTTGGGAGATGCTGCTGAAGTAGATATCTTGAAAAGACCCTGAGATGAAGGGTTCGCTATACCTGCGCTAGGTGACCGTTGTCTCTGACGAGACTTTCTCCGGCTGTTTGAGGGCGTCATCTTGCTGGTATATGACTAAAGACATTAAAGTTCGGAAAATGGCTTAATGACGAATCTGGATGGCCTTCGTCTTCGCTAACCTTGGGTTGTCCGGTTGGCTTACCCAAGGATGTGGTGAAGAAACCGCCAAGTGCAAAGCTGAAGCGCCAGGTAGGGGAGCGGCGAAATGTACCGTAGGTAGCCCGAGGTGATGCTTTTTTTGACGGGTGCCGAAATCCGAAGAAAGAATGAAGGAAAGGGCAATCAATCGAAGAGTAGGAAAGAAAAAAAAAATGACCGAATGGTTGCTGAACCAGTAGCTCGAAGATACCAAAAGAACGGCAGTTGTGGAGGTCAAGACGAAAGACGGAAAATCAAGCGCAAAGATGGAATCAAGATTCCGAGAAGAGAGTCGGTTTAATCGGGATCGGAAAGAAGGGTTTTTGAGGGGAACGCGGTGGTTTTTGAGAGCAGTGGGAGGCGAAAGTGAGGTACTAGAGGAAGAGGAGAAGAAGAAAAGGTGGGAGGTGTGAGGTTCGGAAAGTCGACAACGTCAGCAGTTCGTGGATAGTCCGCGCTTGAGGCTCAGTTAGCGTCTATGAGTGCGGGAAGTTTGGCCTAAATTCCCACTTTGGGCCCCCAGAAAGGCCCAGCAACAGCAGTGAGTCAATGGGGAAGGGGAAGGTTCCCAGTGGCTCGGCCTTCGCGAAGGGGGCGAATCAAAGAGACGCTAGCCCCTCTTTGGGTTGGCCCGTTGGGCGTCCCCCGGCCTCTTTCAGCTCAAGCAGCTCAAAGAGACAAGCAGCAATATGTGGAGCAAGGTCCTTTAGGAGGCAAAAACGTCCCTTCACTTCCCGCTCGTTGTTTTACACCCGTCCCTCACCCCTACTCGCTCTTATTCCTTTTTTTGTAAAGAGGCCGTAGTACTATTCCGGCCAGGAGGTAACAAGAGCCATTGTTCAAATCGCGGAGGAATGAGCATGCTCAATCCCTTTAGGGGAGCTTCCTCTCTTCTTTGAACAGAGACAAAAAGGCTCACGTTTATGCGCCTCCAATCGTTCACCCGGTAGAGCTAGTCTGGCGTCAGCCACACATTTCCAACTGTCACATATACGTCGTCAGAAGTTATGCCTTTTCCGTCTTCAATTTTGAGTATTATGATGTACAATGAACCATGGATCAATCCCTTCCTTTGATGATAATACTGATACAGTGGGCCGAGCCATTGGTTCCCATGAACTCCAAACCAAAAGGTATCACAACAATCCGAACCTGCCGAAACTCCTCTACCTTGAGCGCTGATGATGATGGCTCTGGTCACTCAATCCTTTCAGACACCGCGAGGCTTAGATGAGCGCAGGCTGGTGTGTGCGTGATAAATGTCTTCGAGGTAGCTGGCCTTCTTGGCCTCTTCGGCCTTCTCAGCCTCTTCTTCACGCTCCCTCCTAGACTTAACTCGGGATGCACGCTGCTCCTTGAGGAGTCGTTGACTGTCATCCAAATCGTCGTCGCCTAACATGAGTGCCGTCTCTTGAGCGTGAGCCTTCCAGTACAGAGCCCAGGCATCGCTTGCCCAATCGCGCAATTCTTCCTGCGTCTTGCCCTTGGTGATTTCATCAATGGCCATCTTGGTCCTCAACTCCTTCTGCTTGGCAACAGAAAAGGCCTTTGCGCGGCTGGTGCGCTCCGACAGCCATTCGGGGTTGCTCTTAGCAAGGTAGGCGAGGCTGTGGCCCGTGTTGGCGTTGTCCGGGGCGAGGCCATGCTCGGGTCGGGAGATGGGCGGTGTGGTGAAGAAAATGATTCTGCCGTTCTCGTCCCTGTTGTACTGACTGCGCACTTCCTCCGGGATCTGGTCGTTGACGTGGTCGGGCAGCACAAAAACCTCGGGGGGTCGAGGCGGGTTGTATGCGTTGTTTGGCGGCATCGCATTGGAGGCGGGCGCCATGGGGGTACGGGCTGCGGCTGGGTGAGGCTGCATTTGATGGTGATTGAACGTCTGACCCAAAGGATTTGCTGGCATCATTTGTGGATGCATCTGGTGGTGCTGGTGGTGCTGGTGCTGGTGCTGTGGGACGGGCGCTTGGGCCTGCTGGTACTGGGGCGCTGGAGGCTGGTGCTGCGGGAGGTGGTGGTGCTGCTGGTGGTGCTGTTGCTGCTGCTGAAACTGGTGGGGAAGATGCTGGGGGTGCTGTGGGTGTGGGTGCTGAGGGTGCTGTTGGTGTTGCTGGTAGGGACTTGGCACGAATCCCTGCTGCTGGTACATGGGACGGATGGGCTGTTGCGGAGAGTGAGACGCCTGGTGAGGAATTTGGGGCAACGGCACCGGCGTCTGGTGAGGTACGGCGACAGGAGACGCAGACGCGTGTTGAGGCGTATACTGCTGAGCGTACATGGCCGGTGACGGCGACGGCGCCGCTCCCATGCCGCCGTGTCCGTACGGTGTGGGCGCGTTATTGATTGACATGTCGCTGGGGGTTTGCCGCATGGCTTGCAGCACCGAAGGCCGTCGCGCCGGTTCTTGACTCATGTCAAGCGCAGCCGGTGGTGGAGGCGACGGTGTTGGCTCAGGCGGAGGAGACTCCTGCATCAGAATATCTTGCGTCAGCAGGCGATCTTCATACAGATCAGGTGGGAAGATGGCTGGGCTTGAAGCCCAAATGAGAATAAATCAAAGGTGTGAGGGTGAAGGTGAGAGAGAGCGAGGGGGAGGCGCAATTTTTTTGCTGGGGGTTGGAGATGAGATGCAGGGTGTCTGTGTTGTTATCCCCTACGCGCTGCTCCCTTTATCTACCTGTACTGGATAAGGCAAAAGAGAAAAGGACGCATGTGAGGTGTTTGAGGGCGCATTAAGACTCATCAATCAAGAGGTGCCAGGGTCATGCTGCGCGTGGGAGTAACATCAAAAACAGCGGTAAGAGATTAGACAAGCCTCCTTGGGGCAGTATCAAGAGGCCTGGATCCCCGTGGAGGAGATAAAAACAGCAAGAAAAATCCGTGACAACTTACGTTTGCTTCTCGAGGTCGCCGATGTACAGCACCGATGATGGGTGGTGCGTTTGAGGCACCCCAGGTCGGCTTTGGGAGCTCATCCGTCTCCTTTGCATCCGCTTGCAGCAGGTGTTTGATCGGGCTGGGTACTTTCCTCAGCCGCCGCGGCTGCTCAAACAGATCCATCTCGTAGTCCCTCTCTCGCACTTCATCCGGCACACAGCTGGCCCACGTCTTGATCTTGTTGAAGCGGCACGTCGCTTCATTATAGCGAGACTCGCAAATGTAAACTTCTTTGTCCCTTGGAAGCCCCCGCGGCCTTCCCTTGTTGAAGCGCGTCACAAACATGACGAAGCATCGGTCAAGGACCTCTTCGATCTGGTGGTCACGGTACTGGCCCGTCTTGGCCACCTCATTCTCAAAAAAGTGCTTCTCGTACCGGTGTACCGTTTGCTCAGGGCGGTAGTACCAACAGGCGTTGATCCACCGTTGGCCGGCGCGGTCTTGCCAGGTGCGGAATATCTGAGCGACGATGGGCTTGGCCATGTCGTTCACGTTGCGAATATGCACCCAGTCACCTATGAGTAGTTGTTAACCCAAGTTCCAGTCCATTATTTTACCAGTAGGCACATTCGCAACTTACCAACTTTCCACGACTGGCCGTTGTACTGAATATCGGCCAACGGAAGTTTGCCATCCTCGTCTCGGAATTCGTCGTCGGGCCTGGCCTTTTCTTGGGCCACCAACTCATATGCATGTCTCTTCAGTTCCACGGCAGCTTGGTAAATATCACTGCCTTCTTCGTTGTAGTGCATGGCATTGTTGAACATGGTGTCCATATCCTTGAGGACGCTTTCGACGGTCGAGTACTTCTTCCTCTTGGCCTTTTTCTTAATGTTATCCAATGCAATCGGTTCAGCAATGACCTGATAGTAGTCCGGGTTCATCATCTTGTCAGGCAGCCTCTCGAAAGGACTGATGAGCAACTCGCCATCGTCTGATTTGAACTTGCGAAGACCCTTGATCACGTTGTCAATGCGGGCCTCAAGGGGTGTTAGGACTTTAGGAGGGCGGCCGCGCTTCTTATGCTCGTCCTCCTCTCTGGCTTCATCGACATAACGCCTGCCGAAAGAAGCTCGGCCCCGTCTCCTGCTGCGTCGGCGTTTTCCATCGTCATCAGAGTCGTCATTGTCTTCCTCTTCCTCCTCCTCCTCTTCTTCCTCCTCTTCTTCATCTTCTTCTTCAGACTCGGGCTCGGGAGAGGATTCATCAGCAGGTGGGAGCTCGCCCAGATCCGGCAGCTCAGCCTCCTCAGGCTTGATGGTGCCTTTTGAGACAAGCTTTTGCAGCTCTGCCTTGAGCAGGTCCCTGATTATAGTGGCACCTTTAAAAATGGCAGACGAGGGACGGTTGTACACTTGGGCATTGTGGCAGATCTGAGCAACGTCACGAACAAATTCGGGGAAATCGCTGTACTGCTTTTTGCTGATCTTGCCCTGCGGGGGGTTAGCTCTTTAGGTCCCATGGCCATGTAGTTTCTTGAACAGTGAAACCTACGCGAATAGTACTGAAGGCGATGGGGTTCTCAATGATCTCGAAATAATCAGGCAACTGGCGTTTGTTCGGAATGCGCTGGAAGCTTGCAGCCCACCACTCCCCACTACGACACACCAGAATTAGCAAAACAATGCGTGGGGCGTACGTCGGTGCGGCACGTACTCATCGTCCTTATAGTTGCTGAGGTATGTGTTGAGGGTCTGTATAACGTCCAAGAGATCGCCAGGCTCGGAGTCGGCCGGGGACGCAGCGCCGTCGTCGAGGTCTCCGTCAGCATCAATGTCCGCGTCCGCGTCCGCATCGGCATCGGCGTCGGCATCGACATCGGCTTCCCCTGGCGCATCTGCTTCTTCGTCTGCTTCGCCATCGGCATCAGCATCTGCGTCGGCGTCCACATCCATTTTCTCGGGAGCACCTGGATTGGCGACAACGGTGGTTGTTTCGTCAGTCTTTGGGGCGGCCTCTACCGAGGTGGGCGCGGGGGCGTCGATCATGTCGACATCGCCAGTGACCTTGGCCTCGATAGACTCTCGCACTTCAGGCGCGTCGCTGCGCGTCGAAGACATGGTTTCCACCACCACTTCGGGTCGCAAACACCAGGGCTGAAGGTCGCTTCCGGGGGGCTAATTAGCGGCGCAAGGGGTCAGTCAAGTAATTGGACCCTCTGCATTGACGATCCGGAGTGGTAAACGAGGTTGAGAGCCTGTGTCGCAAAGGTCAAAATTTGGAAGAGGAAACCGTTTAGAGGAAGGAATTGAAGGTTCGCGAAAGCGGCGAGGCGGGAGCTGGCTGGGGTACAACGGGTACAAGTGGTGCGACGAGGGTGTTAGCAAGCAAGCCGCCCTGGACTCAGTGTTGCTCTGTGCCGGGTCCACTTCGGCTAACTGGTCTGCTGTGTTCGGCCGATTGGACGACTAGGAATCTAGACCAACCCTTCCGTAAGCCTTATAGATAGATGCCCTGAAGCTTCTGGGCCTTTGACACGACAGGGTTCATATAGAAGAGATGGCAACTGGTTCCTGGGAAGCGGTTCTTCCTACATTATTTTGAGACAGACAAAGCACTTTGGAGAACGAGGGTTCCCTGAACATCAACCAATACAGGAAGGCTGTCAGCAATGATATCTGTTCTAGCATCGTCCTTTATATATTACCCATGGTTTCTGGAAAGATGACTGCCGGAAATGCATCCCCCCCGTGCCAACGGCTGCAACGTCAAGTATTTACTAATGATCCTCAGTTGCTTCACATTGGCACTTTTGAGTCAATGATACGCTCCGACTGGGGTTTCGTCATCAATTCTATCCATATTGTAGGCACGAAATCAATCGTTTCTTTGGCTTTGCATTGGAAGGAAAGCAGAGCAAGAAAAGCAAACCAAAGAAATCATAAATGCAGTGCAACCGCGACCAATCAACAAGAGCCAAGTAGACGTGGAATGGTGGTGATGAGCAGAGCAGAATCGACTTCAATGAAACTTTACTGTCACTGGAGCTTCGGGACTGGCCCTGGTATGAGGTAGTGTCGGGCCTTGGCTGGAGCAATTCTCCACCTGCACCAACGACAATGGGAGTTCAATGAGGAGTAGCACAGCCCAACCACAACGCCAACACGGCTTGGTTTCTTTCAGCTGTACCTCATGTTGGGCGATTCGACCTGACCTCAGACACAAGCCCAAAGCCTCCATCATCGTCCTCTCTCGACGCTCAGGCCCTCGTTTGTTTCTCTTCTCATCCTAGCTTTGCCAACGCTAGTGACGCCGACGCCGCCTTCCAGAAGTACTTAATAAGCGGAGAACCTTCTAGTTCGTCCTAGGATCGCATCTCCATCTCCATGCCACTCACTCCACTACCGAGTCTCCATCCTGCCCATCTCACATGCTCGTACACTAGCTTGTTGATTTGACCAAGTCCTTGCTACCGACCGAAATCAGTCGTTCCGGACAAAGTCTCTACAAAGCATCACCTTCGATACAACGTTGTTGAGCCATTAGCGCTCTTTGCTTGATCAAACGAGCGGTTATCAACCCCATTCATTCCCACCCTACTGAGGGACCCTGGTGTTCACTCTGATAAGATTGACCCCTCCGCGACCCCGCCGTCCCAGCCACAGCCTCTCGGCTGCTCGCCGACTGCTTCCGGGATCCGCCTCCGGCCGTGGCACAGCTCCTTCCCTTCATTTTACTCCGTTAAGACACAGGCTTCACCACCGCATACCACATCATCATGAGAGCCAGGTACAAGGGCCCTGGAGGTACGGGAGTAGTTTCCCTTGGGGATGATGCCACCGTTGGCCAACTTTTCGACGAGATCAAGACTCAGACCGGCATCAACGACTTTACGCTCAAATTTGGCTGGCCTCTTCAAACCTTGAGCCTCGAACAGAAGGATGCCAACGCCAAGGAGCTCGGTCTTAATGGTCAATCATTTACCATCGAGCCCGCCCCATCACAGAGGCAAACGCCTGCAACTTCAGCCGCGTCTCAAACCAGGCCCTCCGATGCGAGCGTTCCGATATCCAAGAAGCCTCGACTCGACTCAGCGAGCGACCCTAGCCCGTCCGATATCAGTATCCCGTGGCCTGAACGCGAGTCAACCCTCTGTAAGTATCCGAACCCCTCACTCATACCTGCTTCCTCTCACACATGTCAGTGCTGCGGGTCATGCCCGATGACAACAGCTGTCTATTCACCGCCTTCGGCGGCGCCATCCCGGGCAAGCAGATGGAAGCCAAGGAGCTCCGCAAGATGATCGCGGATTACATTCGCCAACATCCCGACGAGTACTCCGAGGCCGTCCTCAACATGCCCCCGGATAAGTACTGCCGTACAATCCAGGACCCTGACCGCTGGGGCGGTGCAATCGAACTCGGCATTTTCTCAGACCTCTTTGACCTCGAGATCCTCGCTTTCGATGTCAAGAGCCAGAATCCACTCAAGTTCGGTGAGAACAAGGACTCGCGCTGCATCCTCGTCTACTCGGGCATTCACTACGACCGCGTCGCCTGCAGCCCCTCGGAGCCGCCCTTCACTCACTCAGACCTCCCTCCCGAGCTTGACCGCACCAACTGGAGCACCTCGGATGACGAGATCCTGGCAAAAACCAGGGAACTCATCCGGAAGCTGCACGAGATGCATTACTTCACTGACACGGTCGATTTTCTGCTTCGCTGCACTATTCCCGGCTGCGACTGGATCGGCAACGGTGAGAAAGAGGCCAATAAGCACGCCGCCCAGACCGGCCATATGGGTTTTGATGAAATCAAGGACGAACCCCATGGCGGCGCCGGCACTGCTGCTGCCGTTGGCGACACCACTCTGCGGAAGTGCAATGCACCTGGTTGTGAGTGGCTTGGCACCGGCACGATCGAGTCCCGTATGCACACAAGCGAGACGGGCCATACGTCCTTGACCGAAATTCCCGACTTTTAGAACGAGTGCCTGCGGAGGTTGCGTTAGAGGACGGAATTAGTGGTGGTGGCTGTTGAAATCTTTGAGGGGGGGGGCGGGCGTCTTTCATAGGGCATCTTAGGGGAGTCAGACAGCCGCAACAGGCTCGGTGAGGGCCGGGAACAAGCAAGGATTTTGGGTCTTTCTTTTCCACGGCATTATCTCCGTATAAGAACATGATGAATATGACTAAAGAATACCACCCACGCCTTGTGATGATCAACACGCATGCCTCGCATGCCCTTCCAAACATGGCCTTACCTCATATGCCGCAGCGAGCTTCATTTGTACGTCAAGCCACCGCCGAAGCTATGCTCACTGTTCTGTCCGCCCTTTTCGATCTTCCCCTCCGTCACCCCCGTCGCGAACGCGCAGCCGCCCATGTCCCGCTTCTCGACCTTGCCGGCAGCCGGCGAGATGTCAAAGTCGAAAATATCCATCGGCAACCCGATGGTAGTGCAAGCATTGGGGATGTCGACGATGCCTGCCACATGGCCTTGTATGGGCGCACACGACATGAGGAGGTAGATCTGGTAGTCGCTGTAACCGAAACGGCGGAGGTACTCAATGACGCCTGTCAGTGGTCAGTTAAGCTACAACTCCTTTACGTTGTCGCTCTTCTCCGTATGCCTCGGTAGTAAGTATGATCACGGGTCGAGGAAGAAGGGGGGAAAGAAGGAAGAAAAAAAAAAAGAAAAAAAAAATACATACGGAGACATGTCTGACGATACGCAACAGTGACGTCCATGTAATGCTGCTTCCCATGCTCATCGACGGAGAACCCCTCGAAGTAGATGTGCCTTCCGGGGCCGAATTGCGGCTCGACAGGACCTGGGATGTAGATGGGCGACTTGAGGTCCAGGTCCGCTACACCGTTCTTAATAACCTTGAAGTTGATTGTGATGACGCCGGCCATCTCAATGGCGCCACAAAAGGAGATTTCTCCGTCGCCCTCTTTTCGTTCGCGTCAGGATACATCTTTTATAGAGGCGCCCGGGGAAGGGGTTTGTCGCTGTGGACACGGCATTTACTTACGAGAAAAGTGCAAGTCTCCTACGCTGAACTTGGCGCCGGGGACGTGAACTGGTAGGTAGACCTTGCTGCCTCTGCTCAGATTTTTGATGCTATTCCGCGTCAGCACTGGGCGATGCTCACCCCCCACACTCGGTATCACATTGTGCAGAGGGAAAGACGGGTTTAACCCCAGGAACGAACCGACTCACTCGCAGTTCCCGCCATGCTCGGGACGTCCCGGAATAGTTCTCGCCCCTTCCATCCCAACAGTCTTCTTGAGCGCCTCATCAGCAGCGCCGGCATGGACGTTGATCGGTTCGGGGGGCTTCGCAACGTCGCGGTCCAGTTTGTTGGCCGCGATGAGCTCCGCTTCGCGCTTGTTCCACGTGTCCAGCACCTCTGAGGATGGCGCACAGCCCAGAATACCCGGGTGAATGAGTCCCGCGAACTTGACGTGTGGGATGTGGCGCGACGTGCAGTAGATTCCCTCAAAATCCCAGATGGCCTTGGCGCTGTATCCAAATCAGTACGTCAGTTTTCTGGTGTTTCACGGATATGGTGGGAAGAAGAAGAGAAGAAAGAAAAAAAAAGAAAACTCACGCTGTGGGATAAATCTCGTCCAGGAAACCTCCTCCGTTGTTCTTATCGAAAACGCCAGTGAACCCCCAGGGCTGGTCCTCAAAGGGCTGCACGTCCATGATTTCGACTAGCAGCAGATCGCCTGGCTGGGCGTCCTCGACTTCGAATGGTCCGCTGAGATAGTGAATCTTGGTCAAATCGACGTTGAGCATGTCGTCTGCCGAGTCGTTGTTGCCAATCTGGCCCCCAGTCCTGGTGTCGAATAAGTAGATGGACATGATGAAGGGCGGAGAGTGAATTACCAGTCAACACACTCAATCTTGACCGTTTCGCCATTCTTGATGGTTCCAGCGAACGGAACTAAGCAGGTTAGTAAATGGATTGTGGTATAAACTCGTCTTCCGTGTACGTATGTGTGGGCGAGGTGCTCATGGATAAGATGGAAGGCAAAGATGGAGGAACATCAAAGTGGCAAACGGTTTATATCACTCACTGTCTGGATGCCATCTGTTCTGTTGAGCGTCAATATTTTTCACCACCATTGTACGCAGATATACTCACGTGTAGACCTGGCTGCTCAGAGGCCGGCTTATCAAGGCTGACCTTGTTAGCCGTTCGAATGCCAGTCTTGCCCATACTTTGATTTGAAAACGTGAAAGTTGAGCAGTATTAAAAAAGTTTATATCGATTGCAGTATTTAGGACGGAAATATTGCTACACTTTTAACCATGAGTATGGCGGGCTAAGTTACCCCTAGATATACATGTCATCCGAGCTGGACCAGTGCTTCCAAGTTACCCCGCCTTCAGGTCCTCGGAACTGGTCATTTCATGCACGCAGCCATGCTTCACCTGCCATAGCTGACTGTCAATTGGAGGATGAGACGATGCCGCAGATGACCTGTAGGCAAGATGGTACCAGTGCCGAGAGTGCGGAGCTTGATGCAGCTTGGTCTGATAAGAGCTTCTTCTAACGCCGTATCAGGCTTCTATCTGACAATCCCCGCATTAACCGAGTGGGTTCCGCCGCCGGCCGACTCCAAGCGTAAGTGGCACACCAATCGATAAGACGGAATAGTGATCTCATGCCACATGTAGACTTTATCATGAAACGTAATGAATTCGGAGACCTGGGGTTGTTTATCTCGGCATCTGAGTTGCGGATCGTACTGCCTGTGCCTCATGGTTGCAGCAGCATTTGGGATTTGTACAGTCCACAAACCTGGTGAGACTACATATGATGTTGCTGCTATTTACGTGCGGGGACTCTGCCATGATTGGTGACGAGTGACATGGCCATTTGGCATTACATTTACATGAGCTCTTACAGCTGTTTCTGTGTGTCCCTTGTCGGCTGCGCCTGGTGTGGCTTCTGGTGGATGGAATCCAGATTGCTGAGGGACAGATTGAGAAATTCGTGCTTGTTTGTCCATTCCTGCTGGCTCTCGGCAAAAGCGGCCTTCTCGCTGGGGGGCGGGGGAGGGTCGGTGATCTTGGTAATCAAATATGCAGTTGATGCTTCTGCAATACCGTATATCAGGACACCGACCAAGGGGATCTTGATCATAGTGTAAAACCCAATGGCGAAGCCGAACAGGAGGCCTTCACGGCTGCGGAACCAGTTCCGCTTCTGCTCTTTAGTGAAGTGCACTCGAGAAAAGTACGGCTCTAGCAGTTCTCTCATCAAACTCCTCGAGGCAAAATAGCTCTGCAGGAAGATAACCAAGTAACGCTTGGGCAGGAAAATGCCGGTCCCAAAAATGACTGAAGCTGGGCCTAAGCCGACGGCTTTGTTAAAAGTGTAAAAACTGGCAGCAGGCAGCACAAATCGGCCGACAACGGGTAGGTAAGAAAGAGCGAAAACAGCGAGGGAGATGGCGCCCTTGCGAGCAAAACGGTACAAGAACATGCTGATGGCCTCCGCAGTACTCGTTGAGTGGGTGCTGCCGTCGCTGACCTTGTACAGTCTGAGATTGGGATAATACATGTCTCGCAGCTTGTCCGGGTCGTCGTACTTGTGCTTCTGAACGTATGTCTTGTCAACCCAATTGAGTGAGTCCATGAACCTGGGCGAGTGTCAGCGAGTGATATATGGAGCTCCAGACCAAAAGTTCAACTTGCATGTTGTCAAGAGTGGGAGTGACGTAGCGCATCAGAGCCATCAGGAAGAAAGGAACTTGAAGGACATATTCCTCAACGAAGTTGAGGCCTCCCACGATGTTGTCGTCCCAGGTGACATGGTCTAGGCTGAAAATCAAGGATAGGAACCAGAGCAGAACCTTGACTCCAATAATCTACAAACAAGTAAATATTTTGTCTCGAACGATAATAGCATAGCATCGTTGGCATGAGCGATGGCAGATGTGCTTACGGGAATGGATATAATAAGGCGGATAGCTAGGCCGGTCAAGACGGCGACGCCAGCTTGTCGGTAATGATCCGAGGTGAATATAGCGGGATTCTGGAGAGCTCGATGAGCTTGTTTGGGTTAGAAGACGCATTTCGAACCATGCAAGTCTGGTGATAGTTGTCATTGTGGCTCACCTCCAACCAGCGTCAGCTGGGCACCTCGAATGACTGAGTTGATATCGAAGTGGGACAGGTCGAACTCCTGCTTGAGCTTCTCCTTGTCAAAGGGGAGCTTCTCGCTCTTTTCGTGCTTCTCGGCGGTAGCCATGGCTTCCAAGTTTGCTGTGTTGGTAGTGCAGATCAACGAAAAGTTGGAGGGGGGTACGCGAGCTCACAGTTGAGCTGAGCAAGAGCTGAATTTGGGGGGGTAGAGGTGATGACGACACTGGCCGGGAATAACGGATAGTCCTTGGAGGGGACAGAGTACGTCTCTTTTACGCGTCCACTCGGGTGGCCTGAGCTTCTTCGTGTTCTGCCTGTTAATGATGACAGGTGGTAGGGAGAGTTTAGCTCTCTTATCTTATCGCATGCGGCAGCGCCAGCTGCAATCGGATTTTTGTGACCTCTTCACTGGCTGACAGGCACTAGTTTTGCAGTATGTGCATACCCCCCTCTATTCAAGCGATTTTCAAAGGAGACCAATACAAGTCTTAAAGCCCTTGATGGCTTTCTAGATAGATTCTGCCCAGTACCAACCAATGTCCGATGAGCACACCAATCGACAACTTGAGGTGGCTCCCAACGACATGTATCATGGGTCCAACGATGGTTCATTGACATATTTGAACTATGTAGCTCAGATACAATTTTTGTGACCATCTGGAGGTAACCGAATCAGCACTTGACAAATGCAAGGACATAGGTTACAGGAGAGGTGGATGGGGGCCTTGGGTGGATAGCCAATTAATTAACTTGAGCGGTGGCACCGGTTCCTGTCGAGAGCTGCGGCTGCAATGCGCACGCGTCGAACTTGCATCCTAGAACGAGTTCGCTGGCTGCAGCTGCAACCCCTGCTGCAATGGTGGGATCTGAGAGCACGTAGTTTTAATGCAGTCCAGTTAAGGCGGGAGTTGTCATGGGAGACCCGGGACTCTCGAAGGTTTCGTTCGACTCGCGGAGCTGCTGAAGTGGGCACCCCACCGAGTTTAAGAATGCAATGGGTACAACAGGTTGGGAAAAAATCAAAAAAAAAAAAAAAAAAAAAAAATCAAGAAAGACATGCTGATAATGCATACGTTGCCATAACTGAAGCCGAACACCGACTGATTACGAAGTGCACGTTGAGGACACCCCATGCTGTCACTCCCTAAGCGGACACTACAGAGCCCTGGTTTCCCCATACCTCCCCCCCCTTCATAGTAGGGGTGCAACTGGCTGGGATGCTCGGTTGTCCCCGCTACAACCCCAACGGGTTTTTTCCTAATCGCGTGCAATCTTTAATCCAGACGCCAAATGAGAGGGGGGCGGTGGAGGGGAGAAGGGCCCGGGCACGATCACGAGGGCGCGTTTGTTAGTCTCTAGTTAGTAGTTGTGCTAATATGGCTTGTCCAGTGGATTAGGTATGTATATATGTATGTCGACTGATAATAGGGGAAGGGGGAGGCACAAATTGATGGTGGTGGAGAGGGGCGTTGGCCAAATCCAGGGGACCATAAGAAAAGAAAAAAAAAAGAACAACTGCATTTATATTCACTCGTAGCGAGGAGACAAGAAACAAAGTGCAACATATGAATGGTCACTCATTCCTGCATCGTACGTCTTTGGACCCCCTCCCGTTCGGTTGGAATCGAGTGTTTCTTGTATAATTGTCCAATGACGGTTCATATTGCTGCACTCATCTGCTCTGTGTCAGTTGTCAATGATGCCAATCTGCTACCGAGTGAAGTGACTAGGCAAGGGGTACACTACTGGGGCTCCATCGCTATCAAACAGACGCGCTTGGTAGGGCATTAGAGGAAACCGAGAGCGTCAGAACCCCCCCGTCGGCGCGTGGTGCGTCGAACGAGTCCCCAAGAAGCCGTGACATCGTTACCCCCTGGTCGAACCATGAGCAAATCCGTCCAAGCTCCCTTTCGTACCCTGGCCTGACCTTGCTTCTTTCCCCAATGTGCCCTCTTTCAATCTCAATCTTGTCCATCATCCCAAAAACCTTTTTTTTCGTAACTCTCTCTTCCGTTCGACTTTTCATACCATCTCCTTATTGGGGTTTCTTCCCGATTACATTTTGCCGCAGCGGTGGTTTCTTCTTCGTCTGAAGGTTTTTTTTACTGAGACCCCTTCAAGACACGGCATAACTATCGTTTTGCTCAGCTCAAAAGGGGGGTCTTGTTCCTCGTCTGCCACCCACGCCCTCCCACATTCATCCTCCACCTAAACCACGCCCATACTCCGCGCCCGCTACCTTGGGAGCCCCCGTCTGCCGATCGGATCCTGAGAATTCCTCCGCTTCCCAACTATCCCTTGCTATCCCCCTCCTCCGCGGATTCTGGCGGGCGCGCCGACGAACGTAACGGAAATTGTCAGATACGACCCCAGCGCAAGGGGAAAAGGCTAAGCCTCTCTCGACAATATTCAGAGCCTGCCATGTCCCCAAATTCGAGCTCGACATGACCCAAGTCCAACTTCTCGCCACAAAACATCATTGAACCTATTCTACCTTCACGAGACGGAAAGCAATAACTACAACTGACGTCTCTCCTTTTTCCTCTTTCCCTCTTTAGGGACGGCCACTATGGAGTCCCTTCGTACCAACTACCCGGCCCCTCGCCGTGTCGCGACAGCCCCGGTAGGAACACCCGTACCGGCACCCCGATCTACTTCAGCAGGTGGTCTCGTCGAGACGCTTTATAACCATCCCAATGTCAAGATTGTAGCATTCACTGCCGCGTCTAGAGGCCGAGCCCGGAGTCCCGGACGTGGCCCCGCCGACGAGCCCGGCACCTTGTCCGCCTACTCGCAGTTGGAGAGAACAATCGCAATAGGTGTGTTTTCTTCGTTCTCATCTCCTCAAACTTGACTTACACATTCGCCATCAGGACCCTTTCGGATATATCGCACCGGGTCTGTAGCCTTTCTGAACTGCGGTTCCGCCCTACAACCCATGCTTCCCAAAAGCCAATGCTGGGCTCTAGAGGAAGATTCGAGCAAGTTTGTCTTGCAGATACGTCGGCCTAATTACTGGAGGATAGAAATCCCAGTCACCAATCCCACCGAGCAGGAGCTTGCGGCCGCTTTCAAGGGCGTTCTGGACCAGATACTTCAGTTTGAGAAAACGGAATGCCCCTTCCAGAGATCATTCACTGTTATCCTCCCCGAAAAACCGACAACCCCCATGAAGAAGCGTCCATGGACCCCTCCCGTCAAGCGTGCGCTGCCTGTTCTTTCCACCCCGGCCCATGAAGTGTCACCGACTCCAAAGGTCCTCAACCCCAACTCCAACAGGAGGGCGTCGACGTCCCTCGCCATCAGAGGCCGAACCGAGCAACGGCGATTCTCCGTCACCGGAACCGAGTTCCAGTCAAGCTCTGAATCGCGAGGGACCAGCACTGAGACGTCACAATCAACCGACCTGTTGCGGGACCAGGAACCGTCAAGCGAGACACGCTCTATCGCAGAGGAGAAAACTGAATCGGAGCCGCTTAGTACCGAGACGATTCCCCAAGTGCTAGTTGAAAAGACCGAGTCAGATGGTGCTGCCAACACTGAAACCGCGAAGCCTGAGGAAGATTTCATGGAAACAAACTTCGGTATCACGAAGGAGCCGGATGCTAAAGGGCCTGAGGAGGCTGCTCCGGCAACCGCTGCCGAGGAACATTCCTCCAAGCCTTTCAAAGTTCATGACGTGCATGACGACCCTTTTTTGAGCAAAAATTCTGATGATGAAGTACTTGCGAGCAGACACGTTGAAGATTCAGCTGCACTGAGAGATGTCACCGAGCCTGGAGAGACAATTCGCCCCACGGCCGCCGTTGCTGTTCCATCCGCCAAGTCAGCTCGGCCCTCAGAGGAAATTGATATCGTAAAGCCATCGAATGAAACCAAGCAAGTGCCGCTAGAAGCCAAGGAGGGGCAGCTGTCGTCCGCGTCCAACCAGGGCAAAATGGAAACTTGCTCAAGCAAGGTGACAATCTTAGAACAGCCGAAGCCGTCGATAAGCTCACCCCTACAGATCAAGGAGCAACTGGTTACTATCGAGGCAGCCCCCAGGACCCCTTCATCCTTTGAAGCTGATACACCTACACCTACAAATATTTACGATGTGATTCGTAACTATGAGCAGAAGTTGGCCGATGCTGCTCCGACGTCGACGCCTGCTGACGAGGTCAACCCCACTGACAGTGAGCCTCAAGCAGAGGCAAGTGATACTAGTGACTGTGGATCAAGCCAGGAGTCTCACTCTGGAACTGACGGAGAGGTGCTTGAGGGCAGCGGCGTGGTGGGCGGTAGGCGTAAAAAGCTGCGAGGTTTCAGGAAAGGCCGCGCTCTCGTCCCTCCACAGCTGACACTTGTCACCTCAACACCGCCAAAGTCAGCAGCAAGACAGACTGCGATTCTGGATGACACGGAAAACACCAAAGAGTCGGTATCGCCGACGGGCTCAGCCGACTCGTTTCATAGTGTGCAATCGTGGCACTCGCCCGTCACCCCTGTTCCGCGATCTCCTGCTTCAGAAGCATCGCCAACAAGGTTCCCGTACCCTCATGACAACATCTTGATTCCCAAGAAGCCGTGGCACTATCGTGACATATCTGATTTGACTGTTACTCCCGAGACGCGACGTACCTGGGATGCGACTTCGTCTCTTACAGATGATAGCTCGCTGGAGAGCGCTGCAACCGCACCAGATATGGTGTCCGAAGTGGTGGAGCAGCCAGACAAGTCTGCCTTATCTGAAGATGAAGCGGCCACGACCGCAGTCGCGCGTCGCCCCTACCTGCGTCATCGGGCAACGACGAACAGCATATCGGTTGGTCGCAGGGCCCTGTCGCCTTTGCCGCCGCCAGCCAACCTCTTTGCTCCTACAGCGACCACAACCAGACGGCAGCCGTTCCTCCGCAGCCGACTGGAGATTGTTCGCAGGATTCCCATGGCCATTGTTTCCAAAACCTGCGAGGTTCTCCTGGGCCCGCCCAGCCATCTCATCACGTTGATGCTTCAGGTGGCTGCCAAGATTGCTGCTGGAGAGTGGCGCGGCATGATGTTTGGTTATGGTGAAAGCGGAGAGACTATACCTGTCCAATGGGACTACTCAGATGATGAGTACAGCAGCTGGGGAGATGATGATGACTACTACCTCAGCCAGGTCGAGTCGTCGCGCGCAAACAGCGTAATCGGTAATGAAGACTGTGACAAGACATTGGCAGACGACAACGCGGACGGGACGGGCCGCGGCTGGGAAGTTGACTGAAGCCGTGGAGGCGACGGTCTATAATGAATTCATGTATGACCATTGTATGTTTTACCACCAGGAAATGCATCTAGGATGGAAACTTTTTTTTTGGGCGTTTGAGCAGCAAGACACTGCGTGGGCGGGCCTTGGATGTTTGGGGGGGGACCTCAGAACTTCATATCTGGGAGTCGACAATGTATGCTCGGTGGCGGCCGGCATGTTTGGGTCTGTTTGGCTGGTTTTTTTCCACTTTTAATGTACAAGTACTTCGCACAGGGACATGGTGGGATGGCTTTTTTTCTTTCTGGTCTTGTTTCTTCTACTTTGACATTACGAGGCATTTAGTCGGGACGTTGATCCCCAACCAGTACCATTCGAGATTACAATTCACGTTTACAAGAATCTGACAGATACAGCGCGGACAGGCAACGTATTGAACCGGGCGGATACGCCGACGTGATAGCCATGTGTATTTATTGACTCATCCGTGTCACATCCTTAATTAACAATGGAAGCGTTGCGAATAGAGTTAATACCCAAGGTTCAGCACACCCTAAATGTCCCGTACGTATGTATGCCTTGCGCCCAGGAACACCAACGCGAGATACGACGACGGCAAATCACCTTGGTCTGCTTCCCCGAGTGGTGACAATCAAGCTGTGCGGGCAGGAATTATTGGCATTTCGCAGTCTGCAACGGGACAAGACGGCGCCATCTCTCTGCCCTAGCGAATCAGATGAGCGCAAAAAAAAAAAAAAAAAAAGAACTCTAGCGCTTGTTTTTGCTTGTCTGTGAATCGGGTCATCACTGTCGCCGGTTTCTGTCGTCGTATTTGAGCGAGTTATGCGATTGGTCGGCTGGGTTTTGAGAGACGATTTTTGGCGTATCGCATTCTTCGGGTCTGTTTTGTTGCGCATTCGAGGTGAAGCAAGTGACGAAATCGCAGGAGACAAGGCTTTTTTTTTTTTCTTCCTGCGGGACCGACTCGAAAGGGATTTATTTGCTTCGCGATGAGATTATGTTTGTTTAAATAGAAGTATATATATATATATATTTGCTTGCCATTCGTGATTCTGTAAAAACTCCATCGCTTTGACATCCTTTACCACTACAGCGAAGAACCAATAGAGACCTGTTTTACATTCTAATCAGCTTCGCGTCCCTGAAGACAAACATGACAGACGGAAACTACGGTATGCTCAGAGTAGCCTTGGCGGACTGTCGCAGGATAAACCATGTCTAACAGCTATCATAGTCGACGGAAGCTTCTACTTCTATGCTCCGAACAAAGGGGCGCCGATTTTCTTCGCCATTGCTTTCTTTGCGTCGGGTGCTTTTCATTTCTGGCAGAGCTCGGCGCACGAGTTGCGCGTTTCTGCAACATAGGGGAGTGTGGTAACTGATGAGTTCTTGCGGAACCAGTCACTACAAATTCTTCAAGGTCACCGGCCTCTTTTCGTTCTGCTGCCTGCTCTTCACAGCAGGTTTCGCACTAAGGATATACGGGTCATATCATTATGATGACCTGAACCCGTTCATCGCGAGCGTGTGTCTCATCTATGCGGCACCGTGAGTATCCCTAACTTCGTTTGCTTGAATCCAAGGGAAAACGGGCGTCTGTGGGTTGGCAGACTGCTGACTTTACCTCGACAGACCACTTCTAGAGCTGGCAAACTACCATATCCTCGGCCGCGTTCTCTACTACGTCCCCTACTGCTCACCACTCCATCCCGGTCGCGTGCTGAGCACCTTTGCCTTCTTCTCAGCCATCGTCGAGTCACTAAACGGATGGGGCGCCAGCTACTCTGCAAACCAGTCCCTCACGGAGCAGCAGATGAAGACGGGTCATGCACTCATTAAGACCAGTCTCCTGCTCCAGATCTTCGTCATCGCGTGCTTCGTCGTCCTGACGGTGACCTTCCAGCTTCGATGCATGAGGCTCAACATTGCTTGCCATCGCGGCATCATAGGCCCACTGATTACGTTGTACATCAGCGTCATACTCATCGTAACTAGAACTGTGTTTCGGATCGTCGAGTATTTTGGCGTCGCGAGCATGCGTTGGGGGTCGGACATGAAAGTTGCTGATATTTCCCCCGCGATCCGGTACGAGTGGTTCTTCTACCTCTTCGAGGCGACTCTGATGTTGGTGAACGTCGTCATGTTCAACGTCCGGCATCCGAGGAGGTATCTCCCGGAGAAGTATACGGTGTATCTTGCCCAGGACGGCGTGACAGAGGTGGACGGACCGGGTTGGAAAGACCCGCGGCCGTTTTGGCTCACGGTGGTGGATCCGTTCAATCTTTTCGGATCGTGTGGGAGAGGTGACCGAAGCCAGGACCGGTTCTGGGAGAACGATTTTAGCTCTGGGGACGGAAGCAATGGGAGGAAGAAGAGCGACGGCGCCAATGCTGTGTAACCAGCTGCAGTATGTCGAGGGCTTGCACTTTTCTTTGACTTTTTTTTTGTTAGACTGGAATGACCATAGATGGGCGGGCGTAGTGGTTTCGTTGCGCTTAGAGTTTGTTCTTGTATGCCTAGATTGAGTGTAGTTTTAGCACATTATGGAAGCCGAATTTGGCTATATCAGTACTGAGATAAAGATATTGCATGCCCCCAAGGTTCGGCTTGTTGTGATATGTGCAGACACTGCATTGACGGCAATGCCTTCATTGCGCAAAAGAATGCAATGCTGGCCGAGGGCAACATAACCAAAGTGCGGTCGAATATGGTGACAGTTCCATAGCTATCGAAGCCGCTGCAGCAGTCGTGCCGGAATCCAAGCTACGTGAAAGGGGCTGAGCAACACGTCGTAAGTTGCCGGCAAGATCATGCTTCAATGTTCTCTCATTCTCAATCTGACCAAATTTGGAATAACGGACCATGCCGGCAAAAGTACAATAATAGCGCCAGAAGTCTTTGGACGAAGAGCCATTCTGATGTGCCCGGCTCAAAAGACTCAGGTAGGAGCACCTGGTTGAAGGCAACCACGATGCTAATTCCGGTCGGGGCTGAGAACGGTATTATCGACAAGGCAACATGCGACTAGGTGCGGAAATTTGCGTTAAGTTCCCGGACAAGATTGTTGTAAACTGCGGTGGGATACGGGCCTCGAAATAGGGAAGCGAAGAGGCGGTGCTGGCTCATCCTCTGGGACCCTAGACCGCGCTTATAGCGTCTATTAGGGGAGCCACTAAGCGCCAATGTTAGCCGCAGTCCGTAATTTGGGAAAGCATTGTTTTTAGTGTGAAGGATTTCGGGCCCCACGGAACTGAAGGACGATGGGTATTAGTGCCGAGGGGCATGGAATGATTTGATGTTGTTCAGGATCGATGCCAGGGAATTTCGCGGGTGAGGCGGAGGATGTGGAGTTTGTGATGGGAATGAGTTCATCCGAATCAGGAAGGGACGAAAATAGCACAGACCAAGCCACTCTACACTACAATTGGTCTAGAGCAGTGTGGCTTGACTTCCTCGACGAATCCTTACATAAGTCAAGAGCAAGCCTTTACGGCTTTGAAGGAGGAAAGCGAATACGGCGACCTGGGATGTGATGGGGATCAAACAGCGTCACCGATTCGGTGCTGGAGGTCATCTAATGAGCTCCCTTTCTGTTTTCGCTTGTGTCCTTGGCCTTGTAATGAAGCAAGCATGTTGAATCCTCTCCGCGCATTAGCCGCAGCCAGGTTGGCAGGGTGCCTCGCCGATTCTCACCTAGTCATTTTTCCCATTGCCTATCTAAACCTTCTATCTGGAGCTACGGATGCTGTGCAGGTGCAGTAACACGATGGCACGGGTTTTTTAGGGTGCTGACCTGTCCACTCGATGGAAGCCATGTTGGAATATTCCTTCTTGTGCGGAAGAGAAACGTAGCGACGCATCCAAGTCGATTACGCAACGGTGCACTCCCATCATCCTATCCTGCGTGCGATGGCCACACAACTGCGCAATCTTATGCGCTAATTACTGCGACGAGCCTGGATCCTGAAAACGAACCATGGTGTCATGAAGAGGAATGGTGATGCCTACGATAATCCAACAACCTCGGCAGACGATGAGCAGCTTGGCTGCAGCTGAGAAAAGCACTTGCAATTACCATTAGCACACTAGTTTGTCCGTCCTTCTGTCACGGTCCTATGGGGCTCGGACACGGGAGGCCTGAAGGATCACTACAGCAGATCTAACTGCGTTTCTCGGAAGATTTTTATTTTATTTTATATGGCTGCCTGATTGATGGACGAGATGCGGTTCCACGCAGGGCAACAACACCGCAGATGTGTTGGATTGGAGGTTTCACTAGCTGCACAAACTTGGCTAGAGATCAATTCCCCTGGTCCAATTGGAACCGTTTGTATGGTCACGGCGGGGGCAAGGAACATTTCCACAATGCCTTGATTGGTGGTTGATCCACGGGCTCTTTCGACATCCATGAAGCGATTCAAACGGGCAGACAGACGGGCGGGCAGGCGGGGGTAAAGGGGGGGGGGCAAAATGTCACCATCGGCGACCACCGACAAGTGGGGCCACACGGCCGAAACGACTTTCAATTGCTTCTAGCGTATGTATGTGAGTATGTGTGTTTTGCCGGAATGGTACGCTGCTTTGAACCCATCACATTGCCATGCAGATCCCCCGATCTGGTGTCGCTCGATAGGGTCGACAAGAGGCGAGATCAACCGCACATCATCAGCTGGTACCCGAGAATTGACAGCTGAGCGGAGGCTGAGCAGCGGCAACCCTATTAACGCACCTTATATTGTCTTCACTAACAGGAGCTATCCCGAATGGCCGGCCTGGTTCTCCGGTCAAGTCGTTTGCGGTAGATTGAGGGACTGCCATTGCTGGTCTCGCCTCCGAACTATTCCACCACTACGTACACATCGATGGGTGATGCTCGTCTAATGATATAAATAAAGTGGCGAGATGAGATCAAATACACTATACGAATGTCAACGCGACATATTATACACGGTCAGACAGCCATGTACGAAACACGGCAACCCAGAGCAAAACAAAGTGCATTGCTTAACAGGTTTCTCTTTATTGTCGGAATATGAAGCAATATATGCAGAGTGTGTAAGGACCATGGTCGCCGACCTCAAGAAATGAGGTAGTGATTGGGCCACCAAAACGGGTCTGGGGGATGCGTTTGCTACGTAGTATCCGTTAACTTCCTCTTCCAGGGGTGCTTCAGGGGGCCTGTACCCTGTTTTGACTCCCTACTAGTACTAGTACGTGATTTTGCCCATTTCCTTCACCCATCGCCGCCGCAATCCGCAAAACCCACATTTGTATTCTAAAAGCAGCAAAAATCAAAGTACCATGAAGCCTATTCTTGCTGCAAGAGATACAACTTCAGGTAATCCTGGGTCGCACTGGAAGATTGCCCAATGGTTTGCTGTGGGATTTCGGCAGGCGCCCCCCACTCTCACTGATCTGGTATGAGAAACAACCACTGACAGACGCAAAAGGTACGTACCTCCACCGACTTACAGACTTCGCCGCCCAGGTTTCTCATCCTTCCACCAAACCTATCCTGGGCCAAGCCTCCCTCACCATTCCGCTCCTTTTCTTTCCCAACGCACTGCTGTCACGCAAATGGCCCTCCCGCAAATTTCACCCATTGGAGGGGAGGCCATCCCCCATCGACCTGTGAGGGAAATCCGCCTGTCCCCTTCCGTCAACCCGCTGAGGACGTTTGCCTTGTTCCTCACAAGTCATCTGCGCGCCCATATTAGGTGAAAGAAAGAACAACGAGTTCGATAGAGACAAACTCCGTTTCTAGAACGCGACAGCCCACGACCATCCCGGCCTCCGTGTCGTCCCCCTAGCCGCCGTTTTCTTGAAGGCGTCTTCGGCCGTATTCGAGATTGGTCCGGCCCTATCCCGGATTCCATTTCGTACACAACACGACTCGAGCCATCGTCATTTCCCCCTGGAGCCCATGCTGATGGATGCTTGTTGTTGTTTTGTTTGCTTCGCTCGTTCGTTCGTCTGCTTCGCTCACAACGGTTCGTCTAAAACCTTTAACCAGTCCAAGGAGGCGCCGAGGGGCTGTACTTGCTTCTTGTTTGCGCCCCTACATTCTCTCTGCCAAACTCGCAGATGGGCGACTTGGCTCATCTACAGTATAAGTCCCGGCATCCAGGGACGTGCTGTGCGTCAAACTACCATACAAGCCACTACCCGACCTCAACCTTACCGCTTGCGACTTGTCATTTACCCACAGATACGGGCCACTCGCGCGGGACGGGGTTTTATTCTGCTGCCTCAGCTGCCCTCCACAACTCAGGGAACGTACCTTGTTCTTGGCCTGCTCGCCTCTCTTCACACCTCTCCTAGTCTCACGCCGCACGCCTCCGCGCCTCACCCACCACACCAGCATTGCACCAAGCACCTGCACCGCCAATCCGTCCCCCTGGAGGGGCCCTGTTTGGCTGTCCTTGCCCCATTCCATCGGACATCCTTCGCCGGCTTTGCTTGTTATTACCCCTACTGACTGGACCTCTGCCGGGGCGGTGTCTTGCTCGTCCCGCCACAAACTTCCCCTCCTTCCGCTAAATTCCACTTCGAGCCATCTTTGGCTCACTCTCCCTCTCTCTTAGTTCGCCTAGAGATAACTCATGCGAATGAAATTCTGGGCTCTTCCACCTTTGACTCTTTTCTATCGCACTCTCCCGCTTCTGTCACAAGGGCCGATCTGCACCATCTGACCTTTACGTTTCCTTTCAACCTGCGTTACCCGTTGCCTGATGCTTCGACACACACACGCCTTGTACCACACTAGCGCCCAAGCCCAAAAGAAGCTCGGCCCCGACGTGGTACAGACCGTAGACAGCGAGTATCCCCCGTACCGCACCGCACCGTGTCTCGCCATACCAAGCATTCCTGGCCTTGCGGTACTACTCATCCGACTGCATCTCCGCTTTGTCCCCATATCGAAGCTAGCCCAGACCACCGTCGAGTCTAGGGTATCCACTCCTTGGCCGCCTCCCTCATCTTCATATCAACCGCTCACGTCCCCTTTCCCACCACCATGGGCACCCGTTGGAGGACAGAGCCTATTCCACCTCATCTACTGATGGATCACGAAATGGCGCAAAATACGAGCCGCCGGCCCCAGATCTTTGTCCATTTCGAGTTTGGAGTCTCATTCTCACCCAGGCATGCCCCCAATCCACACTCAGTTACCTATGTTTCGAGGGGGATGCGCGATCGCGCCCAAAACTTCCCTCGACAAGTCCCGCCTCCAACTACAAATTACCTGGATACACCCACATACCAGGCTTACCAGCCTACACGACCATCACCACCTGCCCCTCAGCAAAGCATTCCACAGTATCCCCCGATGCTGTCCCATCTCGAGCCTAGAAGGCAATCTCGACAGGAGAGTCGATCCTCGGGCTCATCACACGAACGAGGAAGCTCGGCTCCTCCGCCTTGGAACGACAGTCCCTGGGATGCCGAACCAGATGCTTTGGGCAGTTCGGCATTGCCGCGTCAACGCCCGCGGGCACCCACGACGAACGCCCCGGATTACTGGAAAGCCCTACCAGAGGTGCCATCACGGTTCCGACTAGGAGAGGATGAGCTGCCATGGTCAGCTTCGTCATGGCCTGGGGAGTTTGGCATGCCCGATGATGCGGAAGCCGCCGAAGACTATTCTTCTGAGGTGTCGATGAAATTCCGTGATATTGCTACGCCTGACCCTAATCCAACCTCCCGAGAAAGAGAGGACCCTGGGAGGAGACAGGAGCTGGAGGCACTTTCTGCAGCCATGATGACGATCGACAATGGCTTCGAGGACCAATGGTGGTACCAGGGAGAGAGACAGCAGACTGCAAACCCAGCAGGAGATCTGTTCACTTCATCGGCGTATGCAACTGCGACTGCAACAGCGGAAGCAGTACCACAAACACCAACACAACGTAGTGACGGCAGAGAGTCGTTAGGGTGGGCTGTTGCCCAAGATGATTCTCACATGAGTCTGGCGGGCGCCACGGCATACAATCCGAGCCTATTGGTATCACCCATGTCGGAGTACGCAAGCCCTCGGCTTCACCGGTCATTGACTACGAGGTCTGAAGAGCTTTTTCTATTCAATTGAAGGTTGAGGTAAAGATGGTGCGGAAAAAACAAAAGCATGGCGTACAGGTATCATTCAATAGGTCGGGATCGTGGGACTCCCGAAGCGGAATATTTTGGTCATGGTTCAGATTGATGGAATCTGGCCGTTGGAACTATCGTTTGGATATTGAATACTTTGATCGAGGAGGATATATCCCATAAAGCGGAGGCGTTTGCAACCGCGCTCTTAGTGGTGGTGAAACAAGCAGAAATGCCAGAGTCAAATAATTACTGTATGAAAGGTTCAAAAACAAGACATGATGTATTTGGCGTGGTTCCTTCCTGGAGCTGAATTCCACACTAACGCTTCACAACGCTTGTTGGAATCATCAATATGGATGGACGATTGGATACTGCTAACAAACAGAGGCAGACCGACTTCACCGAAGACACCGGGAACACCTTATGTCCAAGAATGGCAATTATTACTTCGGCGGAATAGCCAAATCCAGGAAGAAGACCTGGACAGCCCCTGCCCGTCCAATGAAAAATTGGCCGAAGATTGGCATGAAATGGACCCGCGATCGACTGTGCAGACGGTCAACAGGAAACAAATTCCAAACAGCAACGACTGATGACGGGCCTGAAGGGGGTTTTCAGACTCTCCGTGTTGACTCATGATGGCTCTAGAACTGGACACACGACTAGTCAGCTCGCCATATCACTTAGTGCGTAATCTGATCGACTTTGTTTGCTGACCGCTATAGTGCAGTATGACGCGCTCCTCAGCAGCTAGTGGTGTCGTGCCCTTGGATCCTCAGCTGAGGGAGAAGGGGGTCAACATCCCGGAAATTAGCACGCCACCAGGACATCATGAGAAGCCGAACCTGTGTTAAACTGCGGTTTTCCGCTCCAGCTTGACACGTTTACCCATCTTCTGTTCGTCAGCGACGCCGTTTGTCTTCACCACTGTCACAGATTCATGGGGTATTCGGCCGCTCTCTTAGTGACCCATGCTCGGTTTACGGCAAAGCCATCCCACTTTTTCCGACGTTTTCACCGTTGGATGGAGACGATGACTATTACATAGTAATGGTTTCCACAAGGGCTTACCGCCACCAACCTCGTCATCGTTCGGTGCGATGAACTTTATTGCCGCCGCTATTGACCGTTCTTCTAGCAACATCATCATGGGCAAAGTCCGGCTAGTACTGTCTAAGTTTGAGCCCCGGTCACAATATGGAGCATGCGCCGAAGAAGGATTCCGTCGCCGCCAAAGCCTCCGAGCCCAGCCGGCGCCAATTGTGATCAAGTTTGGTGATGGGTGGCCGCTTGGCGGTTATGATGTCCCTTCAATTTCGTTTCTATTGATCCAAGGCAACCGACTATGTTGGAGCCGCGAGCATTGCGAATTGGTATTTGAAAAGTGCGACGAGAGGCCCCATCACAGCTCATATCGCCATGCCTCGTCCGTTACGGCCCCATGAACGACCTGCCCCTGCGGAGCCCCGGGCGGGCGGCCTTGGCCGGACTTCTTAGTTTGGGTATGTTGCATGTGCATGATCCGCCCGTCGAATGCAACCCCCCGCCCACCCCCTTCGGAGTTCAACCAGCCTGAACCCTGGTCGCAATGCTGGGCCAGCGTTTCTGACTTTCTCCCTGGTTCTTTGTTGCGAAATCTTCCACAAGAGGGTAATAGTTTTTGAACTATTTGGAGCAGGTTGACTTTTTACGAGACGCTAAAACCCCCACGCTGGGAGCACGGCAGCTTGGATGACCCGTCATTGTTTCGTCCCATGAAATATGCAGAGGAAGAACGGGATGACAGCCGTCAAACTTACCACCCTAGTTTCTATTCTAGGCCCTTGATCTGCACAAGGCCATCTAGGCCCAACATGCCGAGTCTATTGCTACTTTTTGACGGGGAACTCCCTATTCCACGAGTCCTATCTTTCGTGGTGGAGTAGCGTCTCGGGTAACGAGAGGCCGGTGCATGACTGACAGTGGTTTCCGGAATTATCGCGATGAGGGTTGACCCTTGTTTGCGCAACGTTACCTCGTCGTCTAAACGCTGCGGGCTTGACTGACTTCAGTGCCTCTAAGCTTGCGGGTTTGCTGATATTTTGCTGACGAAGTCAATGGCAGGCAAGGATGCAAGACAGTTGATGAGTCGTACACCACAGCGCGCGTCACACACTGCGTGACCGAGATGGACACTAATAAAGGCTTCGTTTCAATATCTCATCTATCGGTTGCTTATTAACTTCTCCAACATGGTGGCTGGCATGTACCGACAAAACCTTGCTTTTTCCAAGCATGAGCGCTACGGGTTGTTGTTGTTGTTGTCAGAGACTCGGTACGTTTATTGCCATGGATGCAAGAACAAGCCTATATCCTAACTAGACATGGACGGTGACGATAAAACAGTAGCTAGTGATGCCAACTTATGCGGTACCTTCTCCACAAACGAGGACAGTCAGATGGATGTTCGACCAGCTTTCAAGTGCTGGGAAACGGAGTCCAGAATATTCTATACTGGAAAAGGAATAGAGAAGCTTAATGCTCCTCTTGGATTTCCGCAACCAAGATCTCGATCACTGGCATCCTGCACTGGGCTCCGCCTTGCGGAATGCGAAAGGTCAGACAAGTGGCTAGTTGGTGCTCGACGATGGAAGTCCGCCGCGTCTGGATGGGGTCGAACCCCGCTGTTGGTGCGGGTGTCAGGGGGCTATTACTCAGACACCGTTGAGGAAGCAGTTGTCAATATCAAATATGGTGAACTACCGAAGCATCTCGGCATTTCTTGTGCGCGCAAACTTGATAGAAGGTATAAGAGTTGCTGGAGGAGCTCCGTTCCCTATTTTTGGCAACATTCCACACCGGCACTGGTGGGCTGAAAAATTATGGAGGGGGCGGAGAAGACCAAGAGGCGACATGACATATTGGCTTGGCCTGGTTTTGGCTCCAAACGACGTGTACAGACCTTTGCGTGGTTGGACCACATACGAATGCCCTCGGACATGGTCGAAAGGCCCTGCAAACGCAATATTTTTTCCGTCTTTGGGAGGACTCTAGTCGGATAAGAGATCCACTTCCCCATCCCGTCCAGTTCAATTCGTTTACACCGACGTAACTCCAGACTGCGAGGAGAACTTGGCGTATCCGACACGAAAGTCATTGTCAAGCCGAGGTTGCTGCCATGTTTAGGTAAACGACGGAGATTTCGCGCCATCCTCCTGTCCGGATGAAGCCCACATTGGCCAACAGGCGAAGAGTTGTGAAGAGCCTGGTGCAGCACCCCCGGAACTGTGGCGTTCCAAGCGATACAGACAAAGTATCGTGATTCGCTAGCGGTCCAGCTGGTCCGCTCAAGCGTGGCCAGTAGTAGTCGTGTGGGCTGCTGCATGGATAGAAATTCTGCTGCCTAGTCACTCTGAGATGCCACAACGAACAGGTGGACACTGATGCATGCCGAAAGGAGTCGGGCCGCAGATCTGATGTGTTATGAAGCATTGATTTTAGCGTTCGCTTGCTTTGAATAAGGGGGAGAACATCGTCCGTCTTTTCGTCCCTTTCAGCGATCTTAGGCATCTTTTCGCAAGATTGCTGGACAGACACCCATAGGAAGGATTCTCTACCTTTGCATTCCGTGGTAGAGGTCGAATTGTGTGCCGTTTGGGCAAAACTCTTACTTCATATCACCCTAAGTACTTGTTTAATTTGGAGCTTCTGTCCATTTAGTCGTTTTGTATATTCACTCTGGGGATCGATTAATGTGTACTTCCAGAAACGACAGCAAGGAAGCCATGCTCCAGAGCACCTGGAGATGGAAACGGGGCACAACATCCAGATTGACATGAGTGATATCAAGTGCCATACCATGTTTCTAAATCAGAAGGCAGGTCGCATGTACAAATCCTGCAGTTGACGAGTCTTCCGGTTCCTGACACCCCCCCCCCCCTTCACGACCATCCTGGAAGGGTGGATAAGCCTCCTGCAGCGCACTTAGATGAGGGAAGCTGACCACGTCTGCACTAAATAGCAGTTAAACGTCTCGAAATATAACAGTTGGCGCCGAGATGGAGATGGGCGGAAAATCTCAACAGCCCAGTTGGCACGCGGAAACGAAGCCGCTGAGGGGCGTGCTCCCATGTTCCTGTCCGCGACCCCGATACCGAGATGATACCCAGGTGCCAATTGTGGTCTATCGACGATTCTGGTTGGAACTCCCGTGGACCTAATTTTGCTGCCTTGGATGGGACAATAGGTTAATTATGCCCTGGACAAGTTGTGGCGACATGCTCAGCAGTACCCCTCCTCTCCCTAGCCTGTAAGGCCCCCATGGGCATGTCATCGAAGGATTATATCTGCCGAGTTACCGCCAGACTCTCCGCGATTCTGATGGTCCTCTACCCCTTGAATTATTTCACCAAGGAATCTCACACCATTGGCCAATGGTTGCATGTTCGAGGCCTGCGAGTTTCCCACAACGAACGACGTGGCCCGCCCGCCTCCGCTTCACCTTCTTATTAAGTCTGCTTGGTCCGAAGGTGATGTTCGGTGCAATTCGGCCTTTTGCAGAAGGAGGGTTCCGTGGTATTGATAGAATTGGACTCTTGGCACTCATGTAGCAGAGAATAAGGCTGTCGTCAAGTCTCGTTAGCTCACGGGTTGATGTCGCTGCCCCTCTTTCCGTCCATGTTTGAGCTGCTGGGCGCAGGCGGGGATTAGGCAGCTACTAAACTCCAAGCCACAAGATTTTGTTCATTTATTATCTCATGTAAAGACCGACTGCCTGGGTCTTTGTTAATGTTGATGATGTCTTAACCTTAGCTAGCCAGCCTTTGCTGCTCAAGTGAGATAGATAGCAGTGTGGCCTACAGGGCTGGGGCACGAGCAGAGAGAAACCCACAGACTAGCACAACGAGGAACATCGGTTTCTCTAGATACTGGTGATTGTAGAGCTTCTGAAAGCAGTGATGTGTCATCTTCTGGCTGCCGGTCTTATGGAAGGTGAAGGTGAGGGTAAGGGAGCATACTAGGTCACGCGCTTCCTGTCAATCTCATCCGAGAAATGATCATCATGCAACGTGATACCAATACAGCATTCTATGCAGGCCATTCTAGACACACTATCTGCAAGGCTTTATGCTGCTGCCTGAAGCTGTTGGGTGTCTTTTGAACCCTACCGTGGTCTGGGAAAAGCCCGCATGTGACCAAATGATTGACCTTGTTAGTTGCATCAAGGTTACCAAATTGGCTGCCGGTGCTATCTATATACGCTAGGTATCATCTTACCTTTCTTTTTCAGTTTATCACATCGGTTAGAGTGAGATGTGTACCGGCTTAATCCCGCAAATCCTGTCCTTCTGATCATTCTCATGTCAAGGATGCCGATACAAACTGGCTACGTGGGTGTATATTTTGTATAGCTCTCAACCTTAATAGATTAGTGCTTGCCAAAGCAATTATTTGCTGGTGGAAAGCGGGAGATTCATGTATGTACTCATAGCTATTGATTCTGTCGTAATTCAGGCTTTGGGAGGTTGCAGCTTCCCATCAGGTCACTTCTCCAATCCCTAACCTTTCCTTTGTTTACCTTGATCACTTGTGCAGCATCATTTCCAACTGTCAATTTGTAAAGACTCTTGATTCAACATATTTAATGTGTAATATTCAATCAAAACCCAAATTCTCTTAATTGCAAGCTGAAACACATCATCAACCGAGTGCCTTCTCCATGGCTTCCACGTCTAAATCAACCTTTGGTTCACTCTGTAACGGTACTACCATGCCGCCCGCACACAACGAGCCACTGCTAGCCGCTGGTGCTACGGCCTTAATCATGTTACCACAATCGCCAACCGCATAGACGCCTGGTAAGCTTGTCTCCCCAAACGGCTGCGACGTCTTGATGTCGCCATTTTCCGCCATCTCTAGCCCAAGCTGCTCAGCAAAGGGACCATTAGCTTTCGTGTAAGGTGCGTGGGCGAAGAATCCTTCTGTGACTTCTTCTCCGCCCTCAAAAGTGACGATAACTTTTGTTCCCTCGCCCATGCGCATCTTGATAATCTTGCGTGAATCGACCTTCCAAGGTGCGTCGGAAGATGCTGATAACTCCGAGGCGAATTCTTCATTTCCGTTGGTGTAGATGGTGACCTGCTTGGCGAGCGGTCGAGCCATGTATGAAACATGTCTCGCCATCTTCATATTCCCAAGCATCCCGTAGCCGAGCACGCCCACGCTCTCGGCCCCGCGTTCCTCGAAGCCGTGGCAGAAGAGGCAGTGATAGATACCCCGTCCCCAGCAGTCATCGTAGCCTTGGATTTCTTGAGGCATGATGTCGGTGACACCCGTAGCGAGCACGAGCTTCCTTCCGAACCAAACCTTTCCGGTCGCGTCCTGCGCCTTGAAAAGTCCGTCTTTGACCTTTGTCGTCTTGGTCACCGCGACGTCGGCAAAGGTCACGGTGGCAGAGTACCGCGCTTCAATATCGGCTCGGGCCTTGGCGCGGAATACAGGCGGAGGAACGTGATCGAAGCCGAGGACGTTGTGCATATTTGTTGCGCGGGCGTTGCGATAGACGCCCGAGTCGAACACGACAGTAGTGTAAAGCTGGCGGGAGAGTGCAGTCGCCGTGGCCAGGCCGGAGGGACCGGCGCCGATGATAAGAGCGTCGTGAAGCATTTTGGATGTGGCGTTTGATGTTACTTGGTGCACGAGTGCCGTCGACGCAAATGTTTCGTAGACAGTCTTTAAGAGGGAGGTCATGTAGGTGTATTTGGAATGAATCTGTTCGCCTTGTGTGACTTGTGATATTGAGCAAGAGAAAGATCATGTTTCAGCAGAGATCGGCTCTTCAACTTATATAGAAGCCCGTTTTGCCAGACATACTTGACTACCGGCGGGCGATGCGGTGGCATATGTCTCCGAGATATCGGCGGGGGCTCACGGCAGAAAGTCGCCGAGGCCGGGCGGATGTGGGGCGCCCGCCCGGCCCTCAAAATGTCTCCGAGAAGAATAGCCCCGAGAAGTCAGCGGCAAACATTAAAGTCTTGGCGAACCTTGATAGTTCCCAACTGAGCAAAAATGAGTCGAAAGATTTGTAATCGTGTGCTACCTGATTGAATGCGCAAATCCGTCATGAGGCCTGGTATACGTTATCATATTGAGTGACATTCGCCTACAACCAATCCATTTCATGTTTGCTTACGCACCCAACATTACAATAGAGGGTCTCTTAATTTGAGAGAAATCCAAAATGACTACAATGCAGATGGAGCTAGTGTCTAAGTCTTATTTTACACAAGGGGTAGACTGGGTGATGTAATCCTAGCCCATCGAAGGTCTCGCCAAATCTGGCTGGGTAATTCATAATCTATTCGAAAAGCAACTCCTAGCACATACGACCATACCCACTGGAAAACTCGGGATCCCGTCCGCTCTCCCATAGATAAGCCAGTGAGGGCCGGATTAGTAGTTGGGTCGGTGACGACCAGCGAATACCTGGTGTTGTATGTTTTTCTTTTGATTTTGCCGACGTGAGCGTAGCGCAATACTTCTTTCACTTGCTCATGAGAAACACACTCCCTCTCATGACAATGAACTTTATCGAGTCTCATCTGCCTATTCATCTTCATCCTCCACCATACCCGAGACTCGTCAATGTGGCGAGTACCTAGCTCAGCCAGCGCATAAGGCTTTGGCGAAGTGCGATTGACCTCTGTGGGGTACCACTAAAGCGAAGATGCTCGCTATAAAGGACGTTGCAATTTCAAACGTGCTAGCGCTAGGGGTTGAGGCGGGGAGATTGAAGCTTTCCTTTTGGATAATCCTCTCAACAACTTCCACTTTTGGGTCGCCCAGAAGACTCTACTGGCATTGGAAGTGATGTTCTCGGAAACAAAGAAGCTCAAGGTAGCGGGCTGATCTGCCGGTAAACCACTGATATTGACACTGACTGTTTGGTTTCCGCAGCCCGCCAAGTTTCGCCTGCGCGTTTAGAATGACAAGCTGTGCCAGTTCCTCATTTCGCCACGTCTCATGTGTCGTGAAAGTTGGATTAGTGGTCGAAAAGTTTGACAACATATGCATTGCCAGATTTCCCTATGTTAATAATCCGAAAAGCGTGGTAGAACGGGCAAGATATGTGGATGGGTACTGTTAAGTCCATGGTCACACTCGCTTATGGGTGAAGTCGTTGGAAATCTGAACCTCGCGGCGTGATGAAAATAACAGCGTCCTGCCCTTCGGATATGACCACCAAGAAAGGGTTGTGGGTGGTTTCAAGTCTCCAGCAAGTCGTGCCCATAGGTTGGTGATGATAGGTAAGGTGGTCAAGTGAAAAATGTACCAAGCCATTGGAGGCTGATCTTTTGGCCTTTGTAGCCCGAGAAACTCATGCTCGGCGACTTCATTGAGGAGTCGAGATCATCGAAGTCGACTTTCTTCCCGTCACCGATACCTGCGATTTGGCCGTTGGCGATTCATGCCAAATCCAGGGCGCGCAACAGACGCGAACGAAAACCACCTAAACATCTAATTAGAATAAGCTTGTAGAAGTTAAATTTGAATCGATCTGTAATAAGCATAAATAGCCGTTAAGTGAATTTCCTTTCTTTCGACTGCCTTCTTTGCTCCACGATATCGTGATTCATCCTGCAGCCTGTTTCCCCAGTGGAGAGGTCATGTATCACCATACTATCAGCATCCATTTGTCCCCAGCGCTCATGTAACCCAAAATCCTTATCCACTTGCCCCCAAGACTCAGATCATCGACTTGCAGAAGTCGTTCTTCATCCCTGTCTCAAGCCCAAGAGCCCCCGTTGTCTACGAGTGACCCTCCCCATGGCTGTCTCGTACCACACGGGGCAGAGTAATTCCACTCGTTCGCTATTGCGTCTTGCGTCCCAGACCATAACTAACCTCTGCGGACCCTGACGAGATGCACAGATGACTGGCAGTATGGTGCCGTTGAGATCCGATGCCTCCCACCCATGGATGAAGGATGCATACTCACATCCCAAGTCCAAGCGATAGTGATGGATGACGGGCTCAGACATAACCATGAGCAGCTATTGACGTGATATCAGCGGAACTTCCGCCAACAGTGTGCTGGAAAATCATCATTGCCCGTCGAGTGATTTACCTATCCGACTCTGCCAGTGCTGTTGTACCAGGTCTCGACGCGCAGCTGGAGCGGGTCTTGATTTCGGCCATGCTAGTTGGCGAATGTAGCAGGAACCAAGATTGGAAAGTAGAAAACAGAAGAAGCGAGGAAAAAGGTGAAGTGATTGCACGAGAAGCGTAGCCCGGAGTGACACTCATGACACTCATCGCAGCACTGTTCCCTCCCGCAATAGTGAAGCAATATGAAACAACGCGCCAAAACAGAAACTGAAGGAAAGAAGAAAAGACTGGAACGAGGTGCTGTTTACCTACCTCATGCATCGGGTCCCTTATACTTGGATTCGGATCAACGTCATCTGGGTGTGATTCCCACCCCGGGCACCGAAAGACGGGCGATAGTAACGCTGATATAGATATCCTTTGGTTCATGTAAATGGCGGTGGTGGGGGGAGTTTTCTAAATTAAAACAGTTTTAGATGCAAGAAGGTTGTGTAAACAGAAAGGCAGAAAGGTAGGGAGGTTGCCTGGTTGTTCGGAAATAGCCCAAGGGTACGTCCCACTTGCCTCATAGGGAGGTCCACGGGTTGGTCCTTCCACTCTTTTTTTGAACCATCCCATTATTTTGAGTTCTCATGATAATTGAAGAGCTCCAGAGGGCCGAGAGAAACGCAAGCTCCGTGACAACCAAGCAGCTTAACCGGCAGCCTCCCGAGAGGAAGAGTGTATGATAAGGATAAGAGTCGCAGCCAAACGAACGGAGAATCGAACTTGAGGCGAAAAGAACGCAGCTCGGTGCAGATATGGGGAGTCGCAGCATGGATTGAACGAACTTGCGACAGGTTGAGAGAGCTGGACAAGGAGACCCAACAACAACTCGCAGATTGATTAAAAATCAGCGGAGAGCTTTTCCAACCGAACAGGAAGTATGACCCCCTGCTGAACTCGTTGAGGAGATTCAAACATTTTTCACATAGGCTTACATTTGGTCTTGTAGTTGCTGATCAGCCTCCGTGGGATCGAGCTCTCTTCCTATTTCAAGCACAAGTACTAGCTGCACTATGCGCTGGCGGCCTCGCCAAATGCATGTTGCCCTGGGACGAGCAAAACCAAAAGGAATCATCGCTACCGAATTTTTTATCTCAAAGGGCGTATTTATCGAAATTTTCGTGGCGTCATAGCTAATATTCGTTGTTCTCATGTTCGTCTCCAGCATGAAGTGTAGTTGCTTATCAGCAACTCTAACTCCAAATACTGTCACATACGACCATACCCATTGGAAAACTCGGGATCCCGTCCGCTCTCCCATAGATAAGCCAATGAGGGCCGGATTAGTAGTTGGGTCGGTGACGACCAGCGAATACCTCGTGTTGTATGTTTTGCATTTTTGATCCAGTTGCGCGAGCGCAGTGCATGGATCGATAACCCTGGGTTTTTCTATCAAACCTGTTTGACGAAAGACAAAGCTGATATTGGAAGTGCACACCGATTCCCTGCGGATCGATTTGGCTTTTTTTTTTTTTTTTTTGGGGCAGAGCCTTGTCCAAATGCTTCTGTAGAGCCAATTGTTGCTCAAGTCTGGGTAATCTACCAGTCAACCATTCTTGGCATTCAACACGATTAAGCATCCTAGCAAGCGCCAGTTTTGGCTGTGTACATACACACAAGCCAATAACCCCAACCCTCTCTCTTCACGAGACAAAGAGGATTGGGAGAGATTCATTATCAGGCTGCAAGGGGTGTTATTACTGTACTGTTCCATTACTCGTAATCACCTCAAAGCCATTGTTGGCTCACGACACTGGATCCCTACATTTGTCGCTTTACTCGTCGTGATCTAAGAGCCACTGTTGGTTCCAAACGCAGTATCCTTGCAGAGAACCTTGTTGCTGTATTCGTGATCAGTTAGAGCAGTTGTTGGCTCACAAAGCTGGATCCCTGCATGGAGCCACTATTGGCTTTAGTTCACATCTTGAAGTAGTGTATTTGGCCAGACTTGGAAAATCCTAAAGTATAAGAATCAAGCATGGGAAACGTTGTAGAGACATCAAAGGAAGCATCATTACATTTCATCACTACCGCAAGGTTTACAGTTATTGACGCTTTCCACGCCTGCATCGAAACTACTGGGTTGGGCAGAACCACAACAGCTATGGCTACTTCATTTACTCAGTTTCCCCACTTACCACTTGAGATACGCCTAATGATATGGAAAGAGACCTTCCCTGGACCAAGAGTTTTCGAAATTGCTTCCCGCGAAACTACAGCAAAGTCAAATGGCAGATATAGAACGTTTCCTTTGCTGTACCCAGTAGGTGGAAAGTCTGCATGGCTAGAATGCGACTACAACAGCCGAGACGAAGACAGCAAACCACTCGATAAATGTACTAGTCCTGCCGCGCTGTGGGTCAACCAAGAATCTCGAGCATGCTGTCTAAAGTCCTTTGTTCGCATCGAGAACACGAGACTGGATAGTTCAGGGTTCTTTATCAACCTTCGCGACGACACTCTGCGACTTGGTCAAGACGACGGCCGAAAAACCATAACTAAGCTCAAAACATGCTATGGAGACCAGCTGCGTCAGATCCAGAATATGATACTTTGCGAGGATGACTTCGAGAAACAGTTGAAGTATTTGGTCGCTTTCAGCGGTCTTAAGCTGCTCCAGGTTATGCTTGAAAATTACGAGAACATCAACGAGCCAACAACTGTTGCAGAGTATCACGAGGCCGCAAAAAGGTTGAGAACGGAAATCGACGCTACAGTCGAGGAATAGATAGAGGTTATTCAGTATATGGACAAGTTCGGCAACTTTTACTGATAAGTTTGTGCTGTTGTTTAACTGGTTGAAGACTGGGGCAAGTTATCCAACATAGCTTCCGAGACAAGAGCGTGAAGGCGGATTTCAACCATCACCTGGTTCTAAATTTTTTTTTTTCCTCTCAGCCTTGGGACTGAAAGTAGACGCAATATTTCCGATTTCAATGTTAGTATCGTTGTTTTACAAAACATTGTGTGATTTGAGAATGGTGCTTTTCACTCTCCGGCAAAATTTACCGGTAGCCCGAAAGAAGCAAGTCTTAAAATTTCCTGAAAGACCGAGCGAGAAATAATGTTTAGTCAAAGTCGAGGTGTGTAATAGATGAGAGGAGGGATGAAGACTAATAGTGTAACGCTATTACGGTTGGAGTGATCATAACACAGCCGTCATCCAAAGATGGGGGTGAGCTTGGACCGTTGATATTCGGCTTCTGCAAGGTTACCCCAAATCACAGGGCTCTCAGGGATCCGCCCCCCCTCTTACGTCAGACGAGATAGACGCGAAATTGGGGGCCTCTCGGGTATTTTCCAGTCAGTAACAAAACAATTTTAGCCAGAATCAGGCGACGAAGACGTCTCTCCAAAGAATCCACATTCCATTCGCGTCACGTTACCAGTTAGCGTTTCTTTTTTCACACCTTTCAACTTCGAGTTCGACTTGCCTTTGAGCCCAATTGAGTTCTCCAGCCGCAGATCAACCAAGCGCTCCCCCCGTAGCATTTTCACGTGCTCGAATCCGCATCTTTCCCTAACAGTGGATCCAGATCTCGGCCCCGGCAACTTTCCTCAAGTCGGTCTCAAAGGTAGCGAACAACCACCAAAAATGTCAGAGCATCCGCCTCGCCCCTCCCCCGGGACTTCATCGACCCCGCTCCGCCCTCCTTCTGCCCGCTCTATCTGGGTCGCCGATAACTGGACCTCTATCCTCGGAGGCACTGTCTTTGCACATCTCCTCCACTACCAGTACCTCACCCGCGTCCGCAAGCCGAACTCGAACCCCCTGAATAATGCCCGCTTTTGGGCCCTAGCTGGTGGTGGATGGATGGTCTCTTACCTCGGCATCATTACCTTCATCGCCGTCGCCCAGGCCCGCGTCAACCACTACCGCGACCCTGATACCCGCGGCCTGTACCGGCATTCGTGATTTGAAACCAAGCAAACTCGACAATTGCACAAGGACGTTGTCCAGATACCAATATACGAATTGAACAAAATGTCCGCCGATTTCTGGGCTGGCTACGTCAGCGGTGCCGTAGGCATCATCATCGGCAATCCTCTTGATCTCCTCAAAGTCCGTCTTCAAGCCCCTCCTACCGCTCCTCCTCCCGGCCAGATCCCCGCAGCCGCCGCATCCTCCTACGTCCGTCACTTCGAAACCCCTGCCTCTCTAGTATCCGGCTCAGCTGCCCCGATCCTCGGCTACGGCGCTCTCAATGCTCTACTCTTCGTCTCCTACAACCGCACCGAGGCGGCCCTTAATTCAGCCCTCAACGTGAAGTCCAGTTTGTGGACCACGTGGATCGCCGGTGCAGTCGGTGGCCTGGCCACTTGGGTAGTCAGTACGCCTACGGAGCTGATTAAATGTCGAGCTCAACTTTCTTCCCCGCCAGCATCGAGCTGGGCTATAACCAAGGATGTCTGGCGCGCTGAGGGCCTAAGGGGATTGTACTTTGGTGGCGTGGTAACAGCGCTGCGGGACAGCGTCGGCTATGGCTTCTACTTCTGGTCGTACGAGCTCAGCACCCGCTGGATGGGCGTTGCTACAGCCGACTCTGGGCCGGAGACAAACCTTCGTGAGGAGGCGGCCAAGGTTCTCTTCTGCGGTGGGCTCGCCGGTATCGTGACGTGGGTGAGCATCTTTCCCCTAGATGTCATCAAAACACGCGTGCAGACCCAGGCGTTCCAAAGGTCGCCGGAAACGACGCCGCTCCTTGCTACACAGGGGTCAGAGGCCCCGAGACGGGCCGGCGCAATACAGGTCGCTCGAGAGGCGTACCGAGAAGGTGGTATGAAGGTTTTCTTCAGGGGCTTGACTATTTGCAGCGTCAGAGCCTTCGTCGTTAACGCGGTTCAGTGGGCCGTGTACGAATGGGTCATGTATGAAATGGGCCAAGGCCGCAGAAGGCCTGCTGCCATGATAGAGTCTGAGTCTGGACAGCCATTATAGGTGCAATGGTCCGGTCCGGCGGATTGTAAGACATGCGCTAGGTGCCGCGCTAATTAGGGAAGTCGCCTTACGCCTACCCTGATGGTCGTTTACATGTCCCCCGCATGTTTGCCATGCTGCGATACTGGGAAAAAAGTTGCCGAATACTCTCCGCCCACGCGGAGACTTTGATTTTAGGTGCGGAGCGTTCTTATCATATGGATTTACAAATGAGAGATATAAAATAGATGAATAGTCCAGGCTCAATGGTATGTATTCCAGCACAATAAACAAAACTTTGAAAGGGTTCATTCCAGCCACCACACGCGATTATGGCTTCTGCAGGTGATCTCAAGACTACGTCCCTTGTGGAATCCAACCGTGTCTTCTGGGAGTATGTCATCCTACATGAGCTTGGGTTGCATAAAAAAACTGACGAGCTTCAGCACAAACGCCAGCACATTCTTTGAGCAAGACTGGCTCAAGGTCTTGACCGAACAACTAGCCCAGTTCCTTCGCACCCAAGCCCCGAACTTGGGCCTCCGTCCTCGTGATGCCTCAAACCCAGTCAGACTGCTGGACTATGCTTGCGCATCCGGAGGCGCTTCCTGGGTACCTACTCATCTACTCGACTTCTCCCTGTTATTCGACTAAAATAAGTATCCTAGGCTCTGGCACCCTTCGTCGACGAGATTTTAGGCATAGACGTCGCCCCAGCAATTGTAGTCCGCTTCAACGAATGCGCATCCCGCCTGGGCTACGAGCCCTCCCAGGCTCACGCCATCGTAGGCGATCTCACCACCGACGCATCCCTCGCGGCTCCCGAGTCATTCGATGCCGCAATCATCTCCCTGGCACTCCACCATCTCGATGACCCGCCCGACATGCTGGTTCGCCTCACGGAGCGTCTCAAGCCCGGTGGCGTTCTCATCGCTGTCGAAGGCGTGGATGTCAATGAACAGCCAGCGGCATGGGACGTCCAGGGAGCGGAGCATTCCCATGCACATGGAGCTCACCACGACACGCACGCTGGTCATCAGCATGATGTGCTAAAGACCACCAATCATCATGTGTTTGGTGAAGCGATTTTCCGGAAATGGTTTGCGGATGCCGGATGTGACGATGGCAAATTTGTGTACATCGTCAATAATGAAGTCAGTCATGTACCCGAGAAAGTCACTGGACGGCCTGGCGGGTTGAAAAGGAAGCTGGTAATTGCGGCTGCGACGAAGAGCATTAGACTAGCGGACTTGTAGATTCATGGGTAGTTGTAATTGTGTTACCATTTACAAACGCAAACAGTTCGAGATCCATCCATTTCTGACTGATGCTCCGAGTCCCAATCTAAGTCCTCGGATGAAGCTAACAAAAAATCAATCAAAAAACATATTGTGCTTATGCTAGCATCTCGCTCAATGATGTAGCTGTAAACCAAACAACGCATCTTCATACAATGAAGAAACCAACGTGTTCACCTGATACAAATGTCCTCCCATAGCACTCCTTCGACAACGGCCTCCCCGTGCATGATACCATGAACATAGGTCTCACCTACTATTCTGTGGTAAACGAGACTCGAAGGAGACGCCACTGGTATCTGACGGAGAGCCAGAGGCGAAGGGCATCCTGCCACTATCCAAACCGAGTCGCCGACCTGTAGAGACTGGCTTCCAAGACCAAGATATCCGGTGTCAGTGAGAAAAGGACGTCGTTCCCAAAGAGTCTCAAAGGCCAAATTGACGTACGCCTGGCATCGGTGCCTGAAACCCTCAAACAGAACGCTCACCTCCTCTTTCTTGTCACAATCTTGCAGCTTTTTCAAGTATTTTTCGATAACCCCACAGTCCGGTACCGTTTTGCTAACATCTGAGTCTGCGAGCTTTTGCATGCTGTCCAAGTTTGCCAAGTACTCCATCAAATCAGCCCCCTTCTTCAAAGCACAATAGACTTCCCATACTATGTGATCTGCGATCCAGTGGTGAAAGGCCTTTTGAAGCCTAGACGGAGCAGGATGGTTGAAGGGATCTCGGTCGACTATCAACGTCCGCCAGAATGCTTCGACGCGGCATTGCCCTGTTGGTTTGTAAACGGGGTCGCATTGCATCAAGAAGTCGGCCCACTGGGCAAAGCTTCCATTCACGGCCAGTTCTGAGTATATCTCTCCGGACAACGTCACGCTTCCGATGCAAAAGGCCTTGATATGCAACATGCTGTCATTCTCAATGCGCCAGAGGGCTGGCGATGAGCGGCAAGCGTCAAAGTACCTTTCGTGGTCTGGCCATCTCATACCTAGGAATGCCGAGGGACCGTTTGCTGCGAAGTCAGGAACCCATGATGGAAGATCGGGGACTTTTTTCACCGCATCATCGGGGACGGCGGTGAGCAAGGTGAGATTTTTGCATTCTTCCATGATGAAGATGGCCGCGTCGGTAAAAACGTTGACTGCCGTTGAGCATTCGCGGTAATCTGGCTCCAATTCTGCTCTTTCACGGCCACTGACATCTAGAAGAAGATTGAGGATGCCAATGAGGCCAAAGACCTGGTCTCTAGGATCGCTCGCCTCAACACCGATAGTCAGGCCAAGCATGAGAAGTAGGAGAGCGCCGCCGCTTTTACTTCTATTGCTGCGGTCACCACTGATAACACATGGAAAGCCGATGATGTGATCAAGTGTCATGCTTTCCCAACCGGTCAGGATATCGTGCCTGCATCGTTGGATTGCGACGATGCCTGATGCGTTACTGCCGATGTGGACGCGTTTCACAGTTGGGTTATTATCAAAAAGCATCTCGGACAGCTGTTCATAGAGGTGGCTATCGTAGAGAAAGTCGCAGCAGTTCGCAACCGTCTCCCAGGGAATGAATCCATCGTCCCAAATCACACAGGCGTCTTTACTCAATGCCACTTCTTGCACGACCCAGACTCGGTTGAACCATTTACGATCGAAGAACGCAATGAAAGCGTACCAGACGCACTCCGACACGGCTATCAGTCCGTATCTCTTCAAGGCGTCGTTGTCGAGGAATGCTCTCTCTCTGATGTATGCAGAACTAGCCCGCTTATTGTCGGCCATTGTGTGAATCAATTTGGAGACTTCTGCAGGAAAGTGCCCCTCTGTCACGGGCCCCAGCCAGATATCAACTCGGTGCGCTGACTTGTATATGCAATCCATGATGCCCACTTGGATGCCTCGCTCCATGGTGTCTTTCTGGTTGATGCAGATGGCGTCGACCCAGTATAGGTCGCAAGAGTTGTGAGCTCTGATCCAGAGTAGCGCATTGTGCAAGTTGGGAAAAATGTCGAATTCACAGCCATTGACAAGGATCGTCACCAAATTGTCTTCTGACGAGGGCTCTTCGTCTGCAAATGGCGAACCCCAGGTGTAAGACAGGGCATGGTATTGCGGAAGACTTGTGAGAGGATGTTCTTCAATAACAAGGTCAAGCTTTTCAGACCCAGAAAGACCGCAGCCCACAATGCGGATAAGGCGAAGCCTGTCGTTGCCGATAGGATGATCGTACTGAAACTTGGCTCGAGAACACATATTTCTGCACCGGAGAACAGGACTTGTGCTACAGATACACATTCAAACTCCACAACTCAAGGAGAAAGTCTGGTTTAAGTCCCGCGATTGAATCCTCAATTAAAGAAAAGCGATACATCACGAGTTGGTCAGCCACGTATGACCTTCGAGAAGCGTTAGTTGCATGTTTAGGGAGGAGACTAAAGCAACGCCAGTACCCTGGCTCTCAACACTGCGCATCCTTCCATTACTTGGCCAATTAGGGGTATTGAGGGTTGAGATTTGACTCGAATGACTGTGTGCTGCCCATGGGACCTTTGAAAAGATGATGAGATTAGCGCTAATAGAAATTCTACGTGTGTGGTTAGATAGTATGAAGTCTAAAGTGTCAGTGAAAGTGATAAAGCGAATAGCTTCGACACGATGTTTATGATTAGATAATCACAAGCTAAGTGGGGAGCGGCTGCCTAATGCGATCATGTGACTATCCATGTGACAGCGTGTTTGAGTGGCGACGCGGGTCAAGTCGCGCTTTCTTTAGATCAACAACCAGGACTGGGACTCTTTCTCCCCCTCCATCTTCATCCGCCACCCCTGCTCTGTGCTACTATTCGTTTTGCAGTCGTACATTTCTGTATTTGCAGACGTGCAGTCTTGCCAATCGCGTCTCAAAATGTTCGTCGATCGGTTTTCCTATCATTTTCTCTTGTTTTCTAGGATTAATTGCTAACCATTTTAAAAGGACTGTCGACGTCACCGCCACCCCAGGCGCCAACAAGGAGAATGTTCCATCTAAGAGGTGGCCAACTCCCCAGTCCATTGACAAGCTACACAAACCATTCAAATGCCCTGGATCGGCGACACGAACCGTATCGACTGACCGACCTGCGCGGAAGAGGAGAAAGGTCGATTATAAAGGTGCCGATGGCGAGGCGGACGCGGACAAGCCTTGGACCAATGCCGACAGACTTGCCCTAGCCAATCGAGACGCGAACAAGTTCCCAGTCTTCCAGGCGAAGGACAAGTCAACCGTGTTCCGGAAGGCATTTTCAATTCCTCTCATCAACAAGAACTCTGCCGCATACAACCCCAATCGACCCCCGCCTACTCTTGGTCTGCGCACCGGAGCTGTCTTTGTAGCGAAGCCTTTACATGACCCAAGTGGCGAATTTGCGATTGTGCTCCATGACCCAACGGTGGACGATAAACCAAAAGAGCTGGAAAAAAAGGATGAAAAGAAGGATGCCGAACCAGAAAAGATTGACGCGCCTCTTGTTCACAAGAGCCTGGCAGAAATCCTTGGCATAAAGAAAAAGGTCGAGGGAGAGCACCCACGAGTTCCCGTTGTCATCGACCCAAGACTAGCCAAAGTCCTCCGACCGCATCAAGTTGAGGGTGTCAAATTCATGTACAAGTGTGTTACTGGCATGATCGAGGAGAAGGCGAATGGCTGCATCATGGCCGACGAGATGGGTCTCGGCAAAACACTGCAATGCATCACGCTTCTGTGGACTCTCTTGAAACAGTCGCCTGATGCAGGAAAGACCACAATTCAGAAAGCAATTGTCGCTTGTCCGTCCAGTTTGGTTCGAAACTGGGCCAACGAGCTGGTGAAGTGGCTGGGCGCTGATGCCATTACCCCTTTTGCGATTGACGGAAAGGCATCGAAGGAGGAGTTGACACGACAACTTCGTCAGTGGGCCATCGCTAGTGGCAGATCCGTCACGCGGCCAGTTATCATCGTGTCTTACGAAACGCTTCGTCTGAATGTCGAGGAATTGAAGCATACCAAGATCGGTTTGATGCTTTGCGATGAGGGTCACCGACTCAAGAACGGCGACAGTCAGACTTTCAGCGCTCTCAACAATCTCAACGTCACCAGACGTGTCATTCTGTCTGGCACGCCCATTCAAAATGATTTGTCCGAGTACTTTTCTCTGATCAGCTTTGCCAACCCTGATCTGCTTGGTACCCGATTGGAGTTCCGCAAGAGATTCGAGCTTCCTATTTTACGCGGACGAGATGCCGATGCCAGCGAGGCCGAGAGGTTGAAGGGAGACGAGTGTTTATCCGAGCTTCTTGGTATCGTCAACAAATTCATCATTCGCCGCACGAACGACATTTTGTCCAAGTATCTCCCCGTCAAGTACGAACATGTGGTGTTCTGCAATCTGGCACCTTTCCAACTCGACCTCTACAACTACTTTATTACCAGTCCGGATATCCAGGCCCTTCTTCGTGGCAAGGGAAGCCAGCCGCTGAAGGCCATCAATATCCTCAAGAAGCTCTGTAATCATCCGGATCTGCTTAATCTTGCAGAGGACCTGCCCGGATCAGAAAATTGCTACCCTGAAGACTATGTTCCCAAAGAAGCGCGTGGCCGCGACAGAGACATCAAGCCTTGGTACTCGGGCAAGATGCAAGTCCTTGATCGCATGCTGGCCCGCATTCGCCAGGACACCAACGACAAAATTGTTCTCATCAGCAACTACACTCAAACACTTGACCTGTTCGAGAAGCTGTGCCGTTCGCGAGCGTACGGATGTCTTCGTCTGGATGGTACTATGAACGTTAATAAGCGCCAGAAGCTTGTTGACAAGTTTAACAACCCTGACGGTGATGAGTTCGTCTTTCTCCTCAGTTCTAAGGCTGGTGGCTGTGGTCTCAACCTAATTGGCGCCAACCGCCTTGTCCTCTTCGATCCTGACTGGAACCCTGCTGCAGACCAGCAGGCTCTTGCTCGTGTATGGCGTGATGGGCAAAAGAAGGATTGTTTCGTATACCGCTTCATCGCCACAGGTACTATCGAGGAGAAGATTTTCCAGCGACAGTCACACAAGCAGTCGCTCTCCTCTTGCGTTGTTGACTCCGCCGAAGACGTTGAGCGCCACTTTTCGCTAGACAGTTTACGCGAACTGTTCCAGTATCGGCCAGGTACAAACTCCGATACTCACGACACTTTCAAGTGTAAGCGGTGTAAGCCTGATGGCAGGCAATATATCAAATCGCCTGCCATGCTATACGGTGACACGAGTACTTGGAATCACTTTATTAATGAGGGCCTGAAGCCCATTCAAGATTTGTTGTTGAGGCAGGAATGTGGCGAGCCTGAGGTGTCGGCTGTTTTCCAGTACATCTCCCACTAGACGGATTGATGCATGATTTCATAATGAGGCGATAAGGATGGGGGATGTGACTTTGGAGTTTGTGTTTTCGATGAAGGTTGGCGACGGCGTTTTTGGAGGCGTATGCCGTACTTTGCTTGTTGGGCACTGGCGATCATTCCAAACGGGGTTTAAATAGACCATTTGCTGTTCATGTCGTACATGTTTTCCTGGTCACTAGGCGTCACTTGCTCAATCAGATAAAGCGATGAATATTTTGCAATGCAACTTTGGCTCTGCTTTCTATTGCTGCGTATATAATGCTTAAGCTGAAGCTTCTTCCACAGTCTACAGCTCGTCTATCACATGCGTCTTCTCCGCAGGCGGCTCCTCCCAGTTCCTGCTCTTGGTGTTCTTCTCCTCTACGACGTCAGGCACCGTCTCCTTCTTGGGTGCCTCGGCAGGCAGGCCCTTGCGCTTACGGTCCAGGGCAGCAATCTCGTCGTCGTAGACGGTCCACTCGGGAACCTGTCTGCGAGCGCGGTCGAGCTTGGGCTCCTTGGTTTGCGGGTTGTTGCACAAATCAATCGTCTTGGCCTCGCGCTGACTCTCGTCGGAGCACCAAGTCTCACACCACAGCCACTCTTGGGGTAGGCTGTGGATGGGGATCTGGAACTGCATGTGGTTTGGCAGATCCTGGTCCAGGTTTGCCAACGAGTTGGGGTCGGCGCTGAGAGAGTGGTAGGTTTGACGCAGGCGGTCTCCGGCGGCGAGTTCGCGGAACCGACGGAGATCGACGACGTACAGGGCCGAGATGTGGTAGGGCTGACCTCGGAGGTAATTTGCCCAGTAACCCTGCTTCCAGAAGCGGAAGCCCTCCATTTCGGTGCGGGAGTCGCACATGGGGGTGAAGCCGTACGGCTTGCCCTCAAGGTCGTGGTTGACGAGGTTGATCATGTCGGTGCGAACAATCTGATCGGCGTCGACGAAGATGACCTTGTCGAGGGAGAGAGGGAAGAGCACATCGAGGAAAAGAATCTTGTAGCCCCAGATCTCGCGCTGCTTCTCCTTTTGTTGGCGCAGCCAGTGAGGCCACTTGAACGTTACCATCTCGTACTTGAAGCCGTACTCTTTCGCCATGTGCTGGATGAAATCCTTGAATGAGGGCGAGAGGAATTGTTCGATGAACCAAAACTTAACCGTATGCTTGGTGTTCTTCATTACGCTGACCATCATGATGTTGAGCATACGCTCGTAGAGGTGGCCGCTAGCGACGGAAAAGATGTTGATTTCGGCATGCTCCTCATCCGAGGCCGATTTCCTCTTTCCAAGGATGCCTTCAGCGAACTTGAGGCCGCGGCCGACAATGCTGTTGTCGTCAGTCGATTCCGCGAGGACGTCAGCTTCTTCCTGGCCAGGCTTGCGGGAGAGGCGCGGATACAAGGTTGTGCCCTGGAAGTCCATCAGCACCACCTCAGTGCCCTCATCACCGGGCACAGGCGTCCATCCCTTCGCGCCGATACTGTCAATGGTGTAGATATCGGAGGTCTTTCCTTTCTTGAGCTGGATGTTATAGAAGCCTGGGTTGGCCTTGAATTGGAAATAGCCAAGGTTGGCCATGATGATTGTATCAGCGAAATGAGGTTCTTTCTCAGTGCCCAGGACGAGCTGTGCGCCACGCGGGGGTTGTGTGGTCTTGCCCTCACGAGAGTGCCCTTCGATGAGAATACTTTCTAGCTCATACGAAGCATAGACATTTGTCTTAATGGAACTCAACTTGATGTTGTCGGGGTCGTGAACGGAAACCTTAGGCGCAACGAGCCAAGAAGGAGGGACATCCATGCCGGCGTTGAGGAGAGCTTCTGAAGGCAAGCTTTTGAACGAGGCGCCGAGTGCGCGCACCTTGCCAACTTCATCGAAGCTGGGCTCAGACTCAAGGACATAACGGAAGAACCTCTTTACAGGTAGCTCATCAAGCTTGTCCCTCGGGTTGAGGAAAAGCTTCAAGTACACTCCATCCAACTCGGACACAACCTTCAAGATGGGCGCCCATCGTTGAGCTTGCTCACTTGCAGGGTTTAGAACGCCGACGAGATGGATACTTGAAGTTTCTGGGTTGCCAATCTCAATGGCAGTATAAGTTGAGTTCCAGGTGTCATAGGCGCTGATGCGCATCGAGGGTGCGGACTCAAAGATGCCCTCAGGCAAATCGGATATGGTCGAGAGAGCTGTGACTGATGTAATCTTGGCCGCTGCCAGAGGTCCTGAGATTTTGTCGGTCAAGCCAAGCTCCTCGACGGCGGCATAGACAGGAAGGATGCGAGCATTTTGTTCAAACTCGAGAAGGTACTGGAAGTCGTCGCTCTCGAAAGGTTCCTCTACAGTAAAGGGCCCAACGACGCGTCCATTCAAAACGAGCACGTTGGAACCGGGCTTGATCGCTGCGAAAGAAAGGAACTCGCTAAGAGCTGCAGCATGGATGCCGTCTGAATCGCCGGTAGCTGCGTCAGTAATCGCCTTAATGTCGGCCAAAGTTTCGGCCTCGGCGAGCTTTTCACCGCTGTTTTTCAGAGCTGCGTTCACGGAAGAAGCTGTGGCAGGGAGTTCGGGGTTGTGTACAACATCAAGACGAACGCCAGGGTTGTTACGACGGAACGCCACGGCCGCATGGAGAAGGGCCGCTCCCACGTCAGAGGTGACATCGGCAACGACGGTGAGCACAGCCCAGTTCTCCTTCGTAGATTCGGCGTAAGCTTCAATAACCGGAATCTTACTGAATAGACTGTCATGATCGGTGTAGATCTTGTTCACATCCAAGATCCTCAAAGACTTGTTGTCTTCGGGGTAGATATAAGTATTACGTCGCTTGACAGCCTTCTCGAGGAAGAAGTCTGGAACCCACATCTCCTCATCAATCATACCCAGATAGACGGCTTTTTGAACTGATTGCAGATCGCTGGTCGCTTTCATGCTCATGGCCTGAAGCCAGTTGTTTTCCCGTGGAACGGGAATACCGTTGATGAAGACAGGAGGAACAGGTGTGTTCACGTTCAGTCGCTTGGCCCACTGCTGAGCAAGTCTGACCACTTTCTCAGCGCCCTCAGACTGCAGTACACCCTCAAAAGCCACAGCCTTGGCATCTGGGAGCAACTCCTTATCCTTGATCGCCTTTTCAAAGCTGCTGGCATCCGCCTTATCCGACTTGGAAGCTTGCATGGCAGCATCCAAGTAATCAATAAATGCTTCGAGGCCGTAGGTATCAACAAGATAGTAAAGAATCTTGGCAATGCCGACTGCGTCATCGGTGGGTGTCAGAGGGACCAGACCAAAACGAATAGGAATCTTTCGCTTGACAAAGGAGTTGAGCTGGGCGAGAACGTTGAGATCTTCAATGTTTGAGAAATCGAGAGGAACGATGAGGTTAAAGATGTCTCGGCGGATAGGCGGAAGCTGACCGGGATAAACGCGCTGGAGGAGCTGCGGACGAGTTAGATTCAAACAAGGGCTTGACGGGGAGCTTGTGTTGCACGTACAGACATAAGAGCTGTGGGAAACTCGGCGTATTGCTCATCCTTCTCAAGGTCGTTGAGGAAGATGATGACCTTACCCTCTTCGATGTCATCCGTCCAGTCAAAACGAGGGGGTTCATCATCAGCTTTAGATTCGGCTACCTTGGGATGGCCAAGCAGCGATACGGCCTGTCCCCCTGAAAAGCCCAATTCACGAACACCGTTAATCAACTTGCGTTCACGTCGGAGTAGGTCAATCAATGTGAAGGCCTCAATCTGTCGTTCGATGAGCTGAACACCATTCATCCAAAGAACGTTCATCCCGCTTGGTACTAGTTGTTGACGGTTCTGTTGGTGTTCGGCGAGAAAGTCCTTTGAGACATTGTGGGAAGCAATTGAGGCAGAGAATTTGGGAAAATCCTGAGTAAGCTTGAGCAATGCCTCAAAGGGATTCTGATTTTGCATGATGAAGGAAGCAGCCTTTAAGCCGAGTTGCTCCAGCTCTGATTTTGCCAACGGCTTAAGGTCTGTCACTTCCTCCTCAGTATCCAACACTTCTTCAGATGTGATTTTCTTCTGGGAATCGTCGGTGTTGGCCTCTCGATCGTCAATGACAATGTAATCAGTTCTCTTCAATGCCAGCTCAACTCCGTAGCCGCTAACGGGCAATGCCTCATCGTAGCTATTTGCGGGCTTAGTGTAGCGCAGTCGGTATTCGACCTCGCCGTTACGAGCTTTATGCGCCAACGCGCTGTGGAATGCGCCAAAGGCTGAAGAGGTGGGGTCTGCATAGAGAACAGCTTCTTTGCCTGATCCCAATGTCCTGTCAAACGGCAGGGCTTTCGCCTCATTCAACTTTGTGTCTTTGGGACTGTCCAAAGACGGATTGCAGTATTGCTTCCCTCCCAACTCGGCCCATACCTCACAGCCATCCTGAACCTCGGATTCGAGTTTCGGTTCGACAGACGTTCGATAGTATTGATAATGAGCTTCAATTCGCGGGGCTGCTGTCCTCAAGGACAGGGCCAGCTTGAAGGTCGAGAGAGCTTCAGGAGTTGTGATGTGTCCATCTTCACTGAGGACTTGGAGGAACTTGTCGTAGACTTCCTTGTCGGTCTTGGATTCGCTGAAATGCCCACCGGCAACGCGGTCGAGAAGAGGGAAATATGACGTTGCGTTTTCACCCGCGGCAGTTTCGCTATGGTATAAGGTTAATTCTGCAGTGGTGCCGAGACAGACACAGAGACGGCTTACAGCAGCTCGATGAGATAAGGGCCAGATGGAAAGGCCGCCTTCATGTCCACAGTGACCGAAGGAACTGCTGCGACATTGACGGCTGCTAGCAGCGTCAGGGCCATGCCCATTGGCAGCTGATACGGGCGCACCATAGTGTAGGAGGAAAGGCGACGACCGGCGCAAGGCTGTCCTCCGTGGTAACTGTTGTTTGCAGTCGCCGGTTGCTAGAAGTTCTATCCGGTCTTGCAGGAAACAATTTGGGATCGTATCTGGAATTCTTTTTCTTTTTCTTCACAGACGAGTAGAAAAGGCAAGGGTGCCTGATGATTAATGTGTTTATCACCTCTGTCGCATGGCTGTCTGTTGCAAGAATGCTTGGAGGGGCTCCAGAAATATGCCCGCTTAGGTGTATTGTACTAAAGGTAAGATATGTATTGTGAGATAGTGTACAGTGTCCAAGGTGTAAGTGATTGCGGCTTCTGAACACATTGACAAAAGAGCTCCCCAAAAACGGACTAGCGCAAGGTCCTCCAGGGGTCTTAGGTCCACGGAACATGTGGCAGAAAACGGACCTACTGGCGGGGCAGCAGTTTTGGCACCATTAGGCACTTTTTGGAGTGCACAGCAGAGCCACAGTGTGCGGGCGGTGAGCCACCGGAACCCGGCGGAACTCTGATGCGGCAGCTCCTGTCAATCGGCGCCATTGGACCCACAGCAACCCACACTTTACAGATGGCCACGAAGCGGAATTGTTACTAGGGGCCTGAGACGAGGAAGTGGCCTTTACGTATCTTGCCTACCTCTGCGTATCCAACCACTTCTCACCGCGCCTCAACTCTCCGTGACCCGTGAATGTCACTATCCTCCCCCGTCTCCAGCTGCACCTGATTCTGGTCGGTAAGCTGGCCTGCACCTGATTATCTCTCTTTGAGGTGCCGCCTGTTTCTCCTGCTGGTTGCTAGAAGCTCCGGCTTCACCTCCCCGCCAAAATGCAGGCCTCCTCGGGCATGTTGACCAAGGTATGGCCCGCCCCTGGCGCATTGAGTCGAGAATCTCTAGGGATGGACTCGATTGCTCACTTAGATTGTAGTTCGAGTCCAAGTCCTCGCGCGCGAAGGGCATCGCCTTCCACCCTAAGAGGTGAGCCTCCTAGCTTTCCGCATCGAGATGCCCCCCCTTGCTGATGTATAGCTTCCAGACCATGGATTCTCGTCGCCCTTCACTCCTCCACCATCCAACTTTGGGACTACCGTATGGGAACATTGATCGACCGATTCGAAGAACACGATGGTCCCGTTCGAGGAATTGACTTCCACAAGACGCAGCCCCTCTTCGTGTCGGGAGGTGACGATTACAAGATCAAGGTTTGGTCCTACCAGACCCGGCGGTGCCTGTTCACTTTGAACGGCCATCTCGACTACGTCAGAACCGTCTTTTTCCATCACGAACTGCCATGGATTCTGTCGGCTTCCGACGACCAGACCATTAGGATATGGAACTGGCAAAATCGCTCTCTGAGTGCGCTCAACCCCTAGGATCCCTTGACTGCGGAAGGATAAGGCTAACCTACCATGACATGCAGTCTGCACAATGACAGGACACAACCACTATGCCATGTGCGCTCAATTTCATCCGAAGGAAGATCTCGTCGTTTCTGCATCCCTCGACCAGTCTGTCCGAGTCTGGGACATTTCCGGCCTCCGCAAGAAGCACTCGGCCCCGACGTCGATGACTTTCGAAGACCAGGTCGCGCGCGCGAACCAGAACCAGACCGACATGTTCGGCAACACCGATGCTGTCGTTAAGTTCGTCTTGGAAGGCCACGATCGTGGTGTCAACTGGGTTGCTTTCCACCCTACCATGCCGCTAATTGTGTCTGCTGGCGACGATCGTCTTGTTAAGTTGTGGCGCATGAGCGAAACTAAGGCGTGGGAGGTTGATACTTGCAGAGGACACTTCCAGAATGCCTCTGGCTGTCTTTTCCACCCGCATCAGGACCTCATTCTTTCCGTTGGCGAAGACAAGACGATTCGTGTCTGGGATCTGAACAAGCGTACCGCAGTGCAATCCTTCAAGCGCGAGAACGACCGTTTCTGGGTTATTGCCGCTCATCCTGAGATCAACCTGTTCGCTGCTGGCCACGACAACGGTGTCATGGTCTTCAAGCTCGAGAGGGAAAGACCAGCCTCTGCAGTATACCAGAACAACCTTTTCTACATCACCAAGGAGAAGCACGTCAGGTCTTATGATTTCCCAAAGAATATCGAGAGCCCGACTCTGCTGTCGCTGAAGAAACTTGGCAGCCCGTGGACCCCTCCCAGAACCCTCTCTTACAACCCCGCTGAGCGCTCAGTTCTTGTTACTTCTCCCTCTGATGGCGGATCCTACGAGTTGATCAACCTTCCCCGCGATGGATCTGGTGCGATCGAGCCGACCGAGTCGAAGCGTGGTCAGGGTAACTCTGCTATCTTTGTCGCTCGCAACCGCTTCGCCGTCTTGAACTCTTCTAGCCAGACAATCGATATCAAGGACCTGTCCAACAACACCACTCGCTCCTTCAAGCCCCCCGTCGGAACCAGCGACATCTACTTTGGTGGCACCGGCAACCTCCTGATCATCACGCCAACCGCCGTCCATCTCTACGATATCCAGCAGAAGAAGAGTGTCGCTGAGTTGGCTGTCAACGGTGTCAAGTATGTTGTCTGGTCCAACGACGGCCTCTATGCCGCCCTTTTGAGCAAGCACAACGTCACTATTGTTACGAAGACTCTCGAGCAGGTCAGCACTCTGCATGAGACCATTCGGATCAAGAGCGCAACCTGGGATGACGCTGGTGTCTTGCTGTACTCGACTCTTAACCACATCAAATACACGCTCCTCAACGGTGACAATGGTATTGTGCGTACTCTTGACCAGACTGTCTACTTGGTTCGTGTCAAGGGTCGCAACGTCTACTGCCTTGATAGAGCGGCGAAGCCCAAGGTTCTTCAAGTTGACCCTACTGAGTACCGCTTCAAGCTTGCTCTCGTCAAGAGAAACTATGAGGAGATGCTTCACATCATCCAAAACTCTAGTCTCGTTGGCCAGTCCATCATTTCCTACCTCCAGAAGAAGGGCTACCCTGAAATTGCCCTGCAGTTCGTCCAGGATCCTACTACCCGGTTCGAGTTGGCCATTGAGTGTGGAAACCTCGATGTCGCTGTTGAGATGGCTAAGGAGCTGGACCGCCCTAAGCTTTGGCAGAGATTGAGCTCCGAGGCCCTGGCCCACGGCAACCACCAGATTGTCGAGATGGCCTACCAGAAGCTCAAGCAGTTCGACAAGCTGTCGTTCTTGTACCTATCCACTGGTGACCACTCTAAGCTTGCCCGTATGGCCAAGATTGCCGAACACCGTGGCGACTTCACTGCTCGATTCCAGAACGCCTTGTACCTTGGCGATATTGAAGACAGAATTCAGATGTTCAAGGAAATTGATCTTTGTAAGTCAGAGTTGACGGCAAAACACAATATATATACTAACATGTCCTAGACCCTCTTGCATACATGACAGCTAAGTCTCACGGCCTGGAGGAAGAGTGCCAAGCTATTCTTGAGGCGACCGGTCTCACCGAAGATCAGCTGGAGACTCCCACTATTGGAGAGGCTTTGACTCCCCCCAAGCCGGTCGTTCCTACCTTCAAGGCCAACTGGCCCACCAAGGCGACGTCGGTGTCTGTATTTGAGAAGGCTCTCCTCGGCCAGGTCGAGGGTCTGTCGCTGGAGGACCAGCCTGCAGCTGCCAACGGTTTCGATGAAGCCGCTGACGACGAGGGTGCTGCCAAGAATGGCAACCTTATTGATGCCGATGACGATGAGGATGCCGCAGGCTGGGACTTGGGTGAAGACATTGTTCCCGAGGTTGACAGCGACTTTGTGAATGTGGATAGCGCAGAGGCTGGTGGTGCTGGTAGCAGCGAAGCCGACCTCTGGGCTCGCAACTCTCCCCTGGCAGTAGATCACGTCGCAGGTGGCTCGTTCGAGTCAGCTATGCAGCTTCTCAACAGACAAGTTGGAGCTGTCAACTTCGCGCCGCTCAAGCCTCGATTCCTGGAGGTTTACCAGGCATCAAGGACATATCTGCCGGCTTCTGCTGGTCTTCCTCCACTGATCAACTATGTCCGACGCACGGTTGAGGAGACAGACCCGAGAAAGGTGTTGCCTATTGTGCCTCGTGACCTCGAGTTCCTTGCCACCAACGACCTCCAACAGGGCTACAACTCTATGAAGACGAATAAGCTCGACGAAGGCCTGCTGGTTTTCAAGGGTATTCTTCATGCTATCCTTATCAACGCTGTATCCAGCGAGAGCGAGGTCGCCGAGGCGAAGAAACTCATTACTTCGGCTAGCGAGTATGCTGTGGCCATGGACATTGAGATTAGCCGCCGCCAGCTTGGCACAAGCCCCGATCAGCTCAAGCGCAGCCTGGAGCTGTCCGCTTACTTCACTATCCCGAAGATTGAGGTTCCTCATCGTCAACTTGCTCTGCACAACGCAATGCAGCTTGCGATGAGGAACAAGAACTATAACTCGGCTCTGAGCTTTGCCAACCGCATTATCGCTAACGGCGGCTCCAGCAAGCTGACTGAAAACGTGAGTAACACTTCACCTCTGCCACCAAAATTTGCCCAACTGACAATTGTACAGGCCAAGAAGGCAAAGGCCCAGTGTGAGCGCAACCCTTCAGACGCGATCGAGATTGAATTCGATCAGTTCGCCGAGTTTGAGATTTGCGCAGCAAGCCATACTCCTATTTACAGCGGCACTGCGTTTGAGGAGTGCGCCTTTGACGGCTCCAAATACCACACCAAGTACAAGGGAACCGTTTGCAAGGTCTGTGAGGTGTGCGAGGTTGGTAAGCATGGCAGTGGCCTGAAGCTCTTTGCGTAAGAAGGCAGTATAATGGGGTTTCAAACAAAAAGCTGCCGGAGGGTGCAGCGTTCTCGGCCTGAAGTTGGTGGTCTTGGGAAAAAGTTACTGTAGACAGGGCCGAAGGTCTGAATGAAGTCCCAGACTTTTGATTGTTAGCAATAGTTTGCGGGAGACGAATATATGTCATCATTTGATCATTACACGACGCGGGTTATGTTTTTCTCATTATTGGGCAGCAGTGATAATGTTGTGTAAATGTTTCGTCTATTTCATCATATTCATGACGTGGACAGCTACGCAACAGGCGATTGCAGAAAGGTGCGCTTTGCGCCCCAGACATGGTCACTGTTCATCGGACGTGCCAATCGCTGCTGAGATCGTCAAACGCCGAAAGCCTGGATTCCAGTGGCCATGCACTCCCCCATTTCATGGTCTATCGCGTGATATTAGTAGTACAGTAAAAGCAACCGCCTCACTTTCCTCCCCTGTGTGTCCTTTTACACGATGGTCTCCAGCTCTCTGGCGTAGCCCAGTGTGTTCTCTATCACCATCTGGCTCATCTCTTTCTCTTGAGTACCGTCCTCGGCGGCCTCGGCGGAGTCAGGGAAGAAGATTTGTCCGTCCTTGAGAATCCAGCCGCGCTGCTGGGCGAAGGAGATGACATCGCCCTCGGAGTCAAGGAAGAGAAGGGACTTGGCGGAGCTGATGGGCAAGCTGGGGTAGGCGCGCTCGCTGCTCGAGGCGATTTCAGAACGGACCTGGAAAGTGAGAATCTGTGTGTATGAGTGTTAGCTTGTAGTCCCGCTACAGTATCAACTATGACTGAACAAAAGCTTACCTCTGAGAAGACTCCGTATTCCTCGCACGGCACCTCGCGGCTCTTCATAGCGTTCCACACACGGTCATAGCTTCCCTCCATCAACCATCTTTCCAGGCGAATGGGGTATCCGAGGTATTTGTCACTCTCAACGGCACCGCTGTCGCCACCACCCTCACGGTTGGCCAGACTCTCAAGCTCGGAATGGAACTCGGCATAGCGGCCCTGGGTGAGGAGCAGCAGCAGGTAGAGGCCGGTGACCTTGTTGCGTTCGGCGACGTTGGGAGGCAAGACATTTGACGGGAGTTCGTAGAAAGGCTGCAACTGCTGGACGTAGCGAGTGAAGGCATCCGGGTTCTTGGCGCGGATAGAGGCGAGGGCGCCCAGCTCGTAGGTTTCGCGAGCGAGGGCGAGGAGGTCTGACGAGGTTTGGGGATTCGGGGTCAGGGCGTTGAGCTGGAGAAGGTGAAGCTTTGCCTTGGAGAGAAGAGAAGAGGACTCGGCAAAGGGGAGCGAGGAGCCGCGAGAGCGGAGCTGGGAGATGATCTGTTGGAGGTTGCGGTCGGCCATTTTGGCTGCGGCGGGGTGTTTGCTCTTGTATATATGTGCGTGTACGGTACAGAACCGAGTTTGTAGTTTGTTGGCTTTTGTGAATTCGGATTGAATGCTTAGACGGGTAGAGTGTAGTGGTGGGGTTGGTTGAAAGGGTAGCTGTAGCTGTGGTTGTGATGATGATGTTCTGTCCAGATGCTGTGTGATCGGACCGCTATGGTGTTTGGCCCAGCAGGCTGAGAGAGGCTGACGAAAGGTGCCGTCAAGCTGGAAAGAGCCGTCCTGGGGTCTGCCTGTAGTAGCGCTAAGCCTGATTGGGACTAGAAAGGCGGGTTGAAGCTCCAGGTGCTTTGCTGAGGTGAGTTCACGTGCCACGGAAGTTTGGCTCTCCGATATCCGCCATGGTGGGGCAGCGTCTTTTACCTTACTACTATGTACGTAGTAGGTAGCTTCCTTGCCGTTCCCATTCGGTGGCGGTCGAAAGGCTTTCCTTCTGTAGGCGGTGGTCTGAAATGCAGACGCTCAACTGCGACTTGCAGCCGGAACCTTCCTAGGGTATCCTGCTTGCATTCGTGTAGTGGCTTACCACGCAGTAATTTTCATCAGCTGCATACTGCTACTCAGTAGTTGTGAGTGGCACTCCCTGGTAGACTTGGCACTTTGATGCAGTCTACCGCAGCCATCAAAAGCCACACTTTGCGCCGATTTCTCGTGATGAACTTCAGGTGCAATTCGATGTGTTAATAGCACAGCTGGACGGCGCCGGCGTGGCAGCTATTCAGCCTTACGAGTTGCACCATTTGCTAGCCTTCCTCCATCAATGGCTCAATTCATACAAATCGATTGCAGTCATGGCGATCCGGACATAAAGGGAACTGAAGTGCACAGCAAGAATTATTTGAGTGATGGTGCACGTAGTAAACAAGCCATACTCTGAGCAAAAATTTCAGAGCAAAACAAGCTCTGGTCAGGGTCTATCAGTCCTGAAATGCAGCAAAGTCGCGCACGACATGGTTGCGGCTATGGGAGAGCTGAGAGCGTTGATGATTTCACACAATGTTTCAGCCGTTTGCTTCTTTAAGCTACATAGTAGTGTGCCACGGTAGTGTCCGCAATACGCCTTGGGGAGTGCCAGGCTTTCCTAGTATAGTAGCACAGCAGCTAACAGAGCAGTAAGGCACAGCCCAGGAGACAGACTATTACAGTTGGGGAGATGAGATGGGCTAGGATCGGATGATGGTCGTGGGGCCTTCTGTCAAAGACGTGGAGTTCAGGGGGCCCGGGATGTTGGACAGAAACTCATGGAAAATGACCCATGCTATGCGAATTCGTCGGAGTTTCGGCTCAGCTCAAGGCTTGGGGTTTTTCTGAGTCCATGCTGGAGACGAGAGGGGACATCGAGTCTAGCCCTCAGGCTCGCTCGCTCTCTCTGTCTTTACCATTTGTGTGATGCTGGCACGTCCGCCTAAAGGACCAGACAAAGCAGTCAAATCTGGCCTCGACACCCACTGCTGAAGGGCTCGAAATAGCCCCAAATATGCAGCCCTTCTTATTGAGTGCCGTGATAGGTTCCCGCATCTGCCCCTCTCTCTCCAACCAGGTTCAAACCAGGTCCCCTGCGTTAGCGGGAGTTTTGGGTTATAAAGAAAGCCCTCGGCATATTGGTATAGAAGAGAGAAGTTTACGAAATGCACGGTTCCGATTGCGAAGGGTTGGCCCCCAAGCAGACCAAGGTCCAAGGGTAGAACAAATAGCGGCGGGATCCAATTGCTTACCCTTTTTGGTTTGCTGAACAGCGACAGTGTTTCCAAACATAGCAACAGGATCTGGTACTACTAATGTTGTGGCTGAGCAGCGGGCGCCGGAAGGGAAACAGGAGGACCCGAAGTGGAGGGACTGAGAGTGCATTTTGCATTTCGACTTGTCGGAAGTATCTGACTTGTACCTATTGCGATGGGGGGTAGAAGGCCTCAAAGCGCCGATCAAAAGTAATATCACGACCCCTGGCATTGGTTGTCAATGTCGTTTGAGGAGGGCGACGAAATATCAAGAAAAGAAGGAAAAAGAAAGATGCCTTGGTTTTATCTGCAAAGGGTAAGAATATGTAGAGGCGGGACTTGGGCCGCATGGCGGAGGATCTGTCACTATACTAATGTACACTTTGCTCTATGAGGATAGTAAATTGGATGAACATGGGCTCATTGACCAACTGAGGGGCTTCTGGAGGGGGAAAGAGGGCGCCTAGAAGCGTCGTTGTTGGGCCCAATGCAGCTGCCTGAACTGCAGCGCACCCCGCGGCTTACTTTTAACTATCTTTAGGGGGGGGCGGGTGATTTTACACTGGTACGCGTATGGCTGGTTCGGATCCCTTTTGGAGAATATCTCACACTGTACTCTCTGCACCATGGGAGGAAGGAAGTTGCTCTCCATGGGTTAGGTAAGGGCTTTGTGTAGCTGAGAGTTGCTGGTTGGGCTGTTTGTTTCTTTCCTTATTTGGGAGTTTACTACTGTAGTGAAGGAAGACACCATTCAAAGTCACAGAATCATTTTCTTTCACAGCTCCAAAGCTTAAGTTTGTCTACGTCCCAACATTTCAAGTGCTTCTTCAATTTTTATTTTTATTTTCTTTCCCCGTCTTTCTCTCGAGGAATTCTTCTATGCAAGCCACGTGCATAGTCTTTTGACGCTTACGAGTACAGGCCACCCACCGCACTGAGCTCCTCCCATCTCGTCTACCTCCATAACTTATTTCAGTAGATGACCCTTGTCCTTCTTCGCCACGATAATATAAAACATGACGAACTATTTTACGGCGCCATACGCGCGGCTCGTTCAGGGACACGAGCCGGCAGCCGGTCGGGTTCCACAGAGCGCCGGCAGAAACAGTTACGGTGGAGATACCGCTGCGCCTGAACAGTATTCCATCTCCGGCCATCGAATTAATGAGGAGCAACTCGGTAAGTGAAGAGCTGTAATGTCCCATTTCCACCCCCATGCTTCAAGCTTCCGGCTGCAATCTATTGAGGTACCTCAATTTGTCTAGTTGATGGAGCTTCTGAGGCTGCTTTTTTCAATCTGCTGGTGATACTGCTCTACTGGGGTCTCTCTCTTCTCTTTGTCTTTCTCCGTCCTCTCTGGGCTCCCTGGCACCTCGACACCTCCCACCAATCAATTTCAACAATCTAAAAGGCATCGTGCCATGTGGCAAGCAAAATACTTACAAACGACCAAGCACCTTTATGCACAGGGGGTGGTCTCTTGAGGCATGCTATATGTCATCTGTGTGCACATGCCAAACGCGAAAGGGATCATGGCTGCTCTCCGCTACAATAATTTACCAATCCATCGCTCCCCTCTCGTTCTTTGGCCGGCTCACTGGGCGTCCACAAACTGTCTTGCCAGCTGTTCATGCTTGCCAGATACGCCATCCTAACCATGGGCCGGATGAATAACCGTCAAATGATGAAAGAGGTCTCCAATGCAATCGCCCATCTTACATGCCTCATCCTTGGAAAACTCTCGATTACCTTTCGGTACCTGATCACCAAGACTGGCCACCCCCCTGCTGCGCCCACTTTGAAAGTACAGACGAAGTACCATTCCAACTTTCAGGTTGCTGCACCCTGTCGCAGCGCACACCCAAAAGCCAATGGGCGGCTTGTCAGCACACTACAGCGTCCTAGCGGCTGCCATTTGGGTGCTGTGCTGCTGCGGTCTGGGCGGTGGAGAAGCCATCTTGATGAACCCCTCCATCTCTATAACTTCCCTGGTCAGTCCCGCTCCTGGCCAGATTGGGGGGACAGATACATTTCCGCCCCTCCTCTGACCTAAAGAAGAGGGATGCGACTCCAGCACCTCGCACACCCGTTCGACAGAGCTCCAATGTTTCACTAGCCAGACTGGGCACAAAAGAGAAAAAGGGGACGTGGACAACAACTCTGCACGCTAAAAAGACAAGGCCCGCCGTCGCGAATTCTGGTGCTCTGAGCTTTCGTCCCTCTCCACCCCGCTTCCGGACGCCCTCAGTGTCACTGCCTCAAGACCAAGTCCCTGACCATTCAGAAAGTGAGCGCAGAGCGAGAGCGAAGCTAGAGATTCAGCTGAGAACAAGAGGAAGAAGGAGAAGAAGAAAACGAGAACGAGAACGCAAGAGCACACATAGACTGCACTTTGGATTCCCATCACTTGTTTTTCCCACACCCTATCGCCATCAACACAACTACTGCAGACAGCCACAATTTGGTCAGCCTGACTACTTATTCCTTTTTATTTATTTTCGCCTATCCCCTCCCTTCCCCCCCGGCCAATTCTCGCCCCTGCCTGACCCTTGCTAGGTGTGGTTCAGAGAATAAGAGACTCTCAGAAGACAACCCAGCACAAAAAAAGCAGCTCGGAGGCTCCAGAAGGCGGACGGCCACAGCAGTGTCAGCAAAGCAAAAGCAGCCTAACAGGCAAAGTGACCGAAAAAAAAAAAATAAAGCTGACGGTGGCTCCAACCTAAACGTCATTCGAGTCAAACCCCCCGCTGACTGTTAACCTCCTATTTATGCAGCTGCATCTCAGCCCAAAAGCACAACTGACGAGATGTCAAACTTCGGCGCAACATTCGTTCCTGGAGGGTTCGACGACTACTATATGCCGGAGGTCGTTGCACCTTCGCCTCAGCGGTACGCGTATTCTTTCATTTTAATCTAGGGCGGATCAACCATGGGTCCTTCTGTCCGCTTGTTGGAACTGGCGATGGGGCTCCCACCGTCCTGTGCCGCCCAGTCTTTGTTCCCTTTTTCTCAGCCTGTTGCTGACTGCGCTCTTTCTCCAGTGTAACGCCTCAGGTCCCCCAGAACATGCAAAACGACCTCCAACGCATGGAACTTGAAGCCCGCGAAGTCGATCCGAACCGCAGAGACCCCAATATTGTCAACCGACACGGCCGCGAGCCGTCCCTGTCCTCCGTCCTCAAGCCCACCGACCCTGGTGCGCCTGCTCTACCACCGAAAGGGTACACCAACCAGTCCGGTGCAGCACCCTCGTCCGACAGCTACAAGCCCTTCCACGAGGACAGTGCAAGCGGCAACCCCCATACCATGCGGCCCAGCGCAGCACCTTCCTTTTCTCCTTTCCCCAAGGTGAAGGGCGACAACATACCCCCCACCGATGAGGAGAAGGAGGAGATTCTGTGGAACGCCCGTGAGCATGTCCTGCACTCCAACAACGTGTCTATGCAGCTTTCCTGGGCTCGCGACACCTTAGCCTGGACCGAGATAGTCTCAGAAGCGAGGTCTAGAGACCCTGAGAGCGGTCGCCAGACACCAAAAGTTGAGCACGAGCTGCGAACCGATGCAATCAACATCGTGGAGTACCTGGTGGGCCAAGAACACCCCGAGGCGCTCTTTATGAGAGCAAAGTGGCTCGAGTTTGGCAAGTTTGGCTGCCGTCCCGACAAGAGAGATGCATACGCAAAGTACACGCGCGCCGCAGAGCTCGGCTATGCCCGTGCCGAATACCGCCTGGGCATGTTGTTCGAGAACTCAAACGACTACAGCAAGGCAGTAGAGCACTACTACCTTGGGCTGCGGCTCAAGGACTCGGCGGCTATGTACCGTTTGGGTATGATGAGTTTGCTCGGCCAGCATAACCATCCGAAGGACTATCAGCGCGGCTTGGACCTTATTAGGGAAGCCGCAGACCTATCGGACGAGGATGCGCCACAAGGCTCCTATGTCTACGGCATGCTCCTCGCGAAGGACTTGCCCGATATCGAAGTCCCCGACGCATTGCTCCCCGCCGATCTGCCGCTCGCCAAGATGTACATCGAGAAGGCGGCATACCTCGGGTTTGCCAAGGCCCAGCTGAAGATGGGCCAGGCTTACGAGCTCTGCCAGTTGAGTTGCGACTTCAACCCCGCATATTCTCTTCACTACTATGGCCTTGCGGCTCAGCAAGGTCAGCCAGAGGCTGCGCTTGGTGTTAGTCGTTGGTTCTTGTTCGGCTATGAGGGTATCTTCAACAAGAACGAGCAGCTCGCATTTAAGTATGCTCAGGACGCTGCCAACGCCAAGCTGCCCACAGGCGAGTTCGCCATGGGATACTACTACGAAATCGGTGTTCATGTGCCTAAAGATCTCCGTCAGGCAAGATTCTGGTACGAAGCCGCAGCGGACCACGGCAACAAGGACGCCGTTGGTAGACTCGATGCTCTAGATCATTCCAAGAGTTTGACCAAGAGCGATCACGAAACGACAACACTTACAAGAATCAAATCGCAGCATGGGTCCCAACGCGGTAAACGACCCGACCGCTTCAAGCAGCCGCAGGCAATGCCAACGGTCTCGGAGAGTGCTCCTGCTACCCCTACTGACGCCCACCCCGGATATCCGACGAACACTTCTGCTAAGACGTCACCCCACCCCTCTCCGAGAGTTCAGCCAACTATTGCTCAAGACAACGTTGATTTCCCTGATCCCTCAAGGCCAAGCAGCATGGGCAACAGACCGAATGCATTCAACGTCAACCTCGATGCCAACTTGGCAATTCGACCCAAGTCGGCGGCACCCTACCCCGAAGATGACCGGCCAGCACCGCTCAATCTTAGCCGGCCAAAGTCAACAGCCCCATACCCCGAAGACGATCGGCCAGGCCGCGGACCCGGAGCTGGACCACAGCTCTCTCCTCATTACAACACTGGCGGCCGTCCTCCTGCCGGCCCGCACTCTGACCGCCCAGGCAGCGCTTTCGGTATCCGTACTGGACCAGGTGGCCCGCCTCAGGGAATCGCTGGCAACGTGCGTCCTTCGCAGCCGATGGGGAACATGATTCCTCCTGCTGGATCTGATCCTCGGGGTCGTCCCATGACTGGTGGATGGGACCAATCTGCATACAGGCAACCAAGCCCGGGTCCCGGAGCTCGGCCCGCCACCACACAGCCATACCCCGTTTCTCCCGGACTTCCTGCCAACCCGGCTGCGAACAAGCTTACCAAGCAGAACCCTCAATACGCCAAGCCACACCCATCGCCCCCATTCCAGCAAGGAAGTTATGGACCAAGCGATTACGGTCAGCCCGCACAACCATCACAACCTGGCCGAGACTACGGCCCAAGAACATCGTCAATCCCCCCTGCGGAGCAATACGGCTATGGCAGACAGCCCGGCGGACCACCAGGCCCTGCTCCGCGTGTTGACTCATTGCCGCTCAGTCCCTCTGGCAACCCCCGTCCCCAGCCTGGACCGGGTGGAGCTCCCAGACCCTACGCCAACCGGCCAGACCTTGCTGAACAAGGCCAGCCCGGCCGCGTAGGCAGTGCGCCGCCCTCGTCACAACCGCGACCCCAGCAGAAGCCTAGCCCGGCACCTAGCGCCGCAACCATGCCTCCTCCAAAGAAACAGACGACAGGCCAGGGACCTGCGACCTTTGAGGCGATGGGCATTCCCAAGGGCAAGGATGAATCGGACTGCGTAAGTGTTGTCATTCTTACTACCGTAACGACTGTTTACTAACCAAACAAATAGATTGTGATGTAAAAATTCTCTCAGATACCATAGCCACTTTGATGACATGATGCTTTCCACTTCGATACTGGGCTAGCTGTAGCGTTCCATGTAGATAGGGTTCCTGTATGACCACGGATAGCCAGCGGGAGTACAACAACAACACCCGATAGACAATCGAAAGAATTTCGACCATGTCCCTCGTCTTCCATGTTGTCTCTTTCATCGTCGTATGAATCCTTGCTCTCACCCTTATCCCTAATCGTCTCATTGTTTCCTGGAGTGTGACGGAGTTAAGAAACATCGAATAGCTAGAAAGCGTGCAGTACTAAGATATATCTCCAAGAGTGCCGTGCATATAGACCTGTCGCTACTTCTCTGGCACAGCCTCAGCGAAGGCGTACTGCTCGGCCAACGGTGTGATACAGTCTTTCAAGGTGGTCCAAGTCCTCCCTCCGAGCATGCGCTCCATCAACTCGGTTGCCCTTCTATTGTCGATCTTGCCCTTGTCGGAGGCAAGATCAGGCAGATCAGCAGGGACGTTGCGGCCGGGCTGAGCCTCTCGGAAGACGGCAAGGATATCATTAATGTTGAAGCGGCCCGCGTAAGCGATGAGACGTTCGGATTTGACGTCCGGAAAAAGCAGAGCGGCAATGTGGATGCGGGCGATATCGACTACGTCGCAGTACCACTCTGTAAAGAAACATATCAGCGCACGTCCAAGGTTGAGGGAATGAAAGACGCTGCATGTTGAGGGTGGAACAATTTGAAAGTGGTGCGGGTCGGACTTACGAGCTGGAAACATGGCAACGAACTCCGGGGAGAGGTGGCCTTGCCAGAGGCTCTTGAGCACTCCGACAGCTGTTGGGAAGCCTTGGTGTTCTGGAATGAGCACTTTACCGAGGGCGGCGTTGGGTACGACTAAAGCTCAACAAAGGTTAACAAGACCCAACTACTTTTCCCTCCTTTTCACGGCGGCACTGGATCACAACTCACCCGAATTCAAAACAAACGCGGGCTTTTCTTCAGAGTACCACTTCCACAGCGCTTGCTCGGCCTTGGTCTTGGCGGCCGAGTAGGCAATGTAGCCTCCCGCCATGCCCTTGGGGCCTTTTCCGGAATAGGCGATGGCGACTGCCTCCTCGTTGTAAGTGTCTGGGTTGACCTCGTACGGCACGCCGGGCTTCGGCATCGCGGCAGCGCCCGAGGAAGAAGTGTAGACGAAACGCTTGATCGAGGGAGAAGAGGCGGCGCTCCGGGCTATGGATAGGGTTGCCGCGATGTTTGGAGGCACCACGTTTTCAGGGTCCGGGTCCATGTTTGTTATCGCTATTGTGTGGATCACGCCGTCGGCGCCTGCATGCGTTTTGTTAGCCCGTTAAAATGGTAAATCGTCAACGGAGTGAGGGTGACGGGAAGCCTGGACAGGTCAAGGCGGATGGATGGGTGGTTGGCTGGCTGGCTTACCCTTCAAAGCCTCGTCAAAGACTCCATCCTTGGTTACCTCGGGCACGGCGTGGAGGGTGAAGCGGTCTTTCCCGTAAGTCTTGTCGAAATAGTCGAGCAGCCAACGCGTGTTTGACGGATTGCGAACCGTGCCACGTACGAGGTATCCTTGGGCGAGAAGCTGGTCGGCGATGTGGCTTGCTATGAAGCCGTTCGCGCCCGAAACGACGATCGTGCTGCCCTTTGGAAGGACGGGGTTTTCAATGTTCAGCGGTGCGGAAGACATTTTGCTCTGGATGTGCTGTTGTTGTGTCGTATGAGAGCAATTCTGGTCTTCATGGCGGGGAAGTTCTGGAGTTATATTCTCGACGTCGGACTTTGTTGTACGTTGATTGTCCGCCGAATTAAGCCAAGAAGTTGCCTTTTGAAAGTTTGACTTGGGTGAAGAGGCAGTTGGTTGGACGTGGGAAGGGGAGGGCATCCCACCGGCGCCGGCGGTTGGATTATGTGAGCTGCGACCGAAGGGCTGCGAAGCCGGTGGGATTACACGCTGTGACATGGTGGGATGAACATGCTTAGAATGGTTTGGATGTCATTTGAAGAAGTGGAACGGTAGTGGGATGGCTTAATGCGGCCGGATGATGGTATTGGTGGATGGCGGTGTATTCAATGTATGTGCTAATGACGGCAGGCGGCAATATCTTGGAGTCGATATCCGGTACATTACCGTGGAACAGCACTGCGCGCATAAGCCTTCTTCTACGTAAAATCTCTTGACTGGGTTTACTCTCTTGCCCATTTGATGGCTTCGTGGGATGTGGGGACGAGGAGACTGGGGTTGAGGTGATGCAGCTACCCGTGAAACCGCGCCATCATCATGTTTTGCTGCCATTCTTACCGTCTTCGATTGCATGGCTAGGGGAGATATCTTTCTGAGAAATGATTTGATATTCATAGTTCAAGGAGCTAAAGATGATGTCGAGTCACCTACATGCTACATGGCCCGGATGTTAGAATAGGGCACGACGTCATGAGGTGGCCGATGTAGATAACAATGACCTCGCTTGAAAAAACATCTGCCTACTTCGTCTTATTGAAAATCATTGCAATGAGAACAGAAAGATCTCCCTTGGTTAGTAAAAGCATGGGGTGGTGGGAGATCGCAGACACTTCTCTCTCCTATTGGCCCTTCAATTTAAAGCAAACAACTTGTGCAGAGTCGATAAGCTGTCATAAAGGGAAAGCATCTATAACTAGATAATCGTTGATTGTAATTCTGCAACTAACCGTCTTGATTCATGGCTGAAGTCTTATAAATCGTTTGCTACTTTGTGGTGTTGGCGAGACGTAGAGATCATCATGTCGATTTATTTTTCGGGTATAAATTTGTTGGCGTCTATGCTACTTTTTAATTCCTCTTGAGTGGCTTTCGTGTACTGCATATAATAGCATCTTTCTAGCCGAATTGACTCGATGAAAGGGGCAGGTGTCAGACAATAGTGTGTTTCCTTGCCATTGAGGTCAGTTGCATTCAAACCGAGAAGGAGGGCCGTGGCTAGACCTGCAGAAGCACTTTCCTCACCTTCAGATCACTCCTTCCGTTGTTCAACAAAACACTTTACTAATCAAAACAGGCAATCACCACAAACTAAAATACGCGTTTACTGAACTGTCGTGTCTCTGTTTTGATCTTCTCTTTTTCAACCTCGCTATTCTCGTCATCTTTCTTTTTCTCATACGCGTCTACCCCGTCACAACGACATCTCTTTTTCTGATTGTACCCTTGCCTCAACCAACCAAAGTCGTCATAAAACCCCGCAAGGAGTGAGTATCTTTTGTATCTTCCTCTGGACTCTTTTTGCTGCGCTCTTTTCCCTTACCTTCCTGCATCCCATGTTCTTTCATCTTCTCCTCACAGCGCTTGCTTGCATGCCTTGTCTTCTACAATACCTCAATAGTGTCAGCCTGATTGACTTCGAACTTGGACAGACTAGAAGAGATATCATGGCCCAAGTTACTTTTGGTTCGAGCCGGGGGCCAACATCGCAGGTTTCCTCAAAGAGAGTTCGCAGCATTTTCAGTGATAGTGACGACGATGCAGATGATATCACCAACGAAAACATCGTGAAAAGGCAGAAGATTACTTCGTCGAAGTTGAAACTCAACTACCCCGAGGATGAAGCCAGAAGAGCCATGCGTGGAGAACTAATGTCCACACCATCTCTTAAATATCTCCTTGATGAACTTGTCGAGGAAATTGCCAAGTGCAAACAGGAAGAAAGACGCAGCCTGTGCAACAACAGGTTCCATCAAACTACCAAGGGCGCTCTGAAGAATGTACAAGAGTCTCTTGTCAGTCTGAAACGATATCTTCAGGCCGAGGCTTTCATTCGAATGGACAACTGGACCAAGAATCCTTTGCGGGAATGGTTCGATCTTGTTCATCAACATAATCTCGAGAGAGAGTTTCGCAATAGCTATTGGGAAGAGAACCAGCGTGTATATGCAATTCAAATCGCCAAACTGGCCAGCCATGTCACCTCTCCCAAGGTTGGTCGTGGCCGCGAACTTTCACTTCAGTTGTCTGATCAGTATGGTAAGGATGCCAAAGACATTGTCGCTCGTTCCGTCTTTGTCTCGGGTCCAGGCCATCCCATCGTTCGCAGTGCCGTCGCCATCATGGTATTAGCCGAGCAAGCGAGCCCTGAACACAGCGTTAAGCGACAAGAGAACACCGCTAGGACGACACAAATCTGGGCTGCCTGGTGCATTGCTAAACAACAGGACAATGACAGAGAAAAGAAATTTCTTGCCGCTACCATCGTGAATCGCATGCACAAAAATGAAGCAATCAAGGCATGCTTCTTGCATATACACGATGAACTGCGACGATGGTCAAAGGAAATCAATGAGGAGGAGTTTACTAGGTGGCAGAGAATGCATTGGAGATGCCATGTCATTACCACGGGTGAAATTCAAAGCAGGCCCAGGGCCCTTCATAGCGGCCACGACAATGGCTCCTCCAAAAGCACTATCAAGTCACGACGCGACACTGACAACACTCCGAACTCGGAAACCAAAGATGTCAAGCTGTACAAGATGCGGAGGTCTACCCAACCCACTCACCCAAAGTCTGTACTAGCAATCAAGCATCTCCAGGCTTCCAACCTATCAAGTGAGAAAGTCAATCAGACAGAGGAACATCAGGTATCAGCTTCACGGAAAGTATCCGAAGGGCCCGCTCAACGCCAGGCACAGGTCCAAGAACTTCCCCAACCCCTGCAGGCTCAGAAGATAGAACAGCCTCAACAGCTGCAGCAAGTTCTCACTTCACCAGCTTCTCTCATGCCGTCGATTACCAAGCCATCGCCACCTCAAGGCATTGCGCCTACGGATCTCGACAATATGATCGCCCTCTTGAAGAACCTTCGCAACGCGTCCGACAATGACGTGCAGGCGAAGAAAAAAGAGACACAAGGCGTACAGCTCTACGAAGAATTCTCTGACAAGCTCAGACGTGAGCTTGAAGGGAATCTGGAGCTGATTAATCATAAGGTTGAAAGTTGTGAAACCTTGATGCGGAATGCACAAGAGCTAACTCAGGAGCTGAGAGACATGGCTGCCTTTGTGAAGCAGCAACACGAGTCTTTCGAAAAAAAGCAAGAGTCTCTAAACATGATCACGAAACAGAAACACCAGGCTCAGGAGGACAGAATCAAGTCGCAAGATAGCATGATTCGAAATCTTCGCCAAGAGATTAACGCCCTGAGAGAACGTCTCAACCAACTCCCCATACAACAGGGCGGTTCTGACCACAAAGACCAAGACTCCATTGTTTGTGCACCTACGATTCAGACGACTAGGATAAAAACAGATCCTTATGAGAAGACCCCGAGAAAAGCCGACAAATCTCGAGGCAGAAAATAACACAGTTTCAGCGACAGTTTCGATGGCTGACAAAACGATGAGTTAAGAATGCAAGATGCTGTGTACGGAATACGATACAGCTGATGGACCATTGTTATTATCAAGGAAATAGCTTGGTGAGTATGCTCGTATAAAGTGGCCGTTAGCGAAGACGACTGGTAGGATGATGGCAGTTACGGAAGGGTTATACAAACATGAGAATGTTGCCAGGAGTTAACTGCTTTGTGTAAATGGAAGATCAACTTTTAGTGCTAAAAGATTCATCAATGGCAGGCCTTCGTCTGTGAGGACGTCACGAGCGTTGTTTTCTGTTTTCGTAACCCATGACTGCTTCAGTGGTCGAAAGTACCTTGAAAGAGTGTAATAATCAACTATTGTCTGTTCAGGTTCACAGACAGTTACAAAGCATGACCCCGCATCGGGAATTCGCTGCGGTTGCATTTTGCTGTTAGCCACATATGACCACCTAGGTGGGTATGCTAGTGTATGACCCCCTCTCCCGTCAATCTTTGGAGGCGTGCAGTTGACCTCGACACGTTTAATCCAAAAATCACAAGTAGCTGCATCAGCAAGCATCTCCTTGTCGATGACGAAGAAGATGCTGCATAGCTCCCAGTTCACATCCCGGAGAGCCTTTCCCGTGCTGATATTATCCGCATGGATCCGGCGCAAGTGGTCAAAACTTGCGTCCTCAAGTTCAGGATCATCGGGGTCGGAACGTAGATTAAGACGGGAAAGTGATATTAGCTTCTTTGCTGAATCGACTTCAACTTTGTCATCGTATCGATTTTCGATCTGGGTGCACATTTGGGACCGGATATTGTCAACGAGGGCCTGCCCGGCTCTTTCGGACTCGGGGCCGCCATACGCAGTGCGGTAGATGTTGAAACCCCAATTCTTGTGGAAGGGACTGATGTTTTCATCGGTCAAGTAGGGCAGTCCTCAGGAACCTCAAGTAGGGAGTTGGCCAGCCGGGGCATTATTGGGTCCTCCCGCATGGTTGATGATACCGACAGACGAATTGCTTGATATTACAAGTTGGGAGAAGATATGGCGATTTTGCCACGGTTGAAGTGCGGGGAAAGTCCGTTTTTTGTGGTTTTCGTCACATATCTCTATGTTGGATTACTGCGGCTGCACACAGGACTTCTGTGCCTCAGCCAACGGCTATTATTAGCCCTGAACTTACTTTGCCAGCAGTGCTGTATCCCGGCATTTGGATGCTGCAGTCGCAACGGAGGGGTTCGAGAGGGATGAATGGTCGGTGTTTTCTCTTCTGGAGCTTTGCTTATCTTCATGATCTACTACCTCAGATTCTATGAGGAGCTCGCTGGCTGTTTACCTATACCTATTGCGTTTCGTGAACTTGAATCATGACAAGAGCATTGTGGCTTTTAGTCTTAAGCACATGGTGCGAAATGAGCGCTTGAATGAGTCGGGATGGTGTATTGAATGTGATTTTCATAGAGTGATTGCCTTTCCATGCATATCAGTTGACACGATGAGACAAAGTCCGTAGTTGATCAGAGGTTATCAGCTTGAATATCACTACCCACCTCACCCAAGGCAGTTTGCAAAGCCCCGACCGCAGCTGAAAGCAGCAAGTTCACTCCAGCGGTAATGCTTACAATAACCATCCAACTATCGTATCTTCTGCGAACACAATCTTAGGATTCATATCCACCCTACATATCTTCTTCCAGGATTTGTGGTTATCTTTTGACTTGTCTCACAAGGAAGGAAAGAGGTCCACTTTGCAAAAAGGCGTCTGTCTTGAAGCTTTGTCTACATTGCGCATTATGAGATATTTATTCAACAGCTTATGAGTCTGAACCAAAATGCTCCCGATAACGACTGTTAGACTCATGTAGTAGTATTACGTCTGTTATTATTTGTGATATATAGCTTGTAAGGAGCAAGTATTGTTGTGATAATGTACCGCTACGGTGACTGAATCAGCAGTCAAACTTCCACCTCAGGTGACAACAAAAATATGAAACAACAAGGGTTGTGACATAAAACGTGCTTGTTTCCTCTAGACCTTTGTCCATAATAAGTTCCCAGATTTCTTTGCTCTGGCCATCCTGGCAGCGATAAGGAAGCACATGCCGGCAAGCATGCAAACTCCTGCGAATACCTGCGCGCCGACGTAACTGCCACTCTGAGCTGAGATAATCGCACCAGCGATAGGTTGGCCAATCAGCACCGCGAAGCTGATGATGGTGAAAGTCATGCCCATTCTGGTACCCTGTTTTCTCGGGTCCGCCGTCAGCGTGCCAATGCCTGACGGCATAAGGCTCTGGATTGCACCTGTGAAGAATCCGTAGAACGTGGTCCACACGTACAGACCAGTTATGGAAGATACGGCAGGCCAGCATAGCATCATGAGACCAGAAATGAAAGACATGGGGATATACATGTTGACAGTGCCTACGTAGTAGGAGGCGAAGTAGGCTGGTATGAGTCTTCCTGGAACGCCGGTGCCGTTTAGCAGTAGGAGAAGGTTGAGCGATGAAGTGTAGCTTAGCCCGATGATGTCGCGGGAGTAGGAAGCTATGTAATATGATGCAAAGAACACACCCAAGTAATTCTATAGCAACCCGTTAGTGAGAGTTAAATTGTCAAAGTAACGAGGGTCAACCGAAAGCCCATACCAGAAACGAACCGACGGCGTAGAAAGTGTATTCCAGCTCTTTGAAAGCCGCCCATTCAACCAGACTTCCTGCCTTTCTCGGCTTGATCCTGGGCTTCAGGACGAGCGCCGTAACGAGCAGTGTCACCAACTGCACAAGAGCAATGGCCCGAATAGTCCATCCGAAGCCGATTTTGGGAAGCAGCTGCCTCACCATGCTAGGATAAATCATCCCTCCTGTTGAGCTTCCGATTGATACGAAGCCCAGTGCCAGCGCTTTTTTCCTGTCAAAGTAGGTCGAAGCGGTGGAGAGACTTGGGCAGAAAAGGAAGCCATTGCCAAGGCCCATGCAGATGCCTTGAGCGAGGAAGAACTGCCAGTACTGTGTACAGAACGAGGTGGCTACCATGCCTAGCACAACCAGAAGGAAGCCAGCGAAGAACAGAGACCGAAAATAGCCCGCATCAGTGAGCCGACCAGTGAAGGTGCCGACAAAGAAGAGCAGAAAGACCTCGAAAGAGCCAATCCAGGCGATGTCGGATGGCGGGCGTGAGAGGGTAGTTGTGTAGTAAGGTTGGAACACGCCGTACGAGTTGACAATACCCCTGTGAGCTATGAGGATAAGACAGCTTGTGACTGAGTCTGATTCAGGCTTACCAGGTGTTCATGATAACTAGATGTGTCCCAAAGACTAGGGTTATTGCGTGAGCCAGGTCAAGTTGCTCTGAAAGACACCAAGGGGAACTAACTTGCTAGCCATGCTTTGACGCCTCCATCGGGAGGTGGGCCTGGTCCAATGCTGGATCGCGTTGTTACTCGACTTAGGACCCGGTCCACGAGGTTTTCGGGTTCCTGGTCGGCTCTCGAATCTGTGCCGTCAGGTGATGTGTCGGGGTCGCCGCCGTTGCCCGCCGATGGCGAGACGGTGGCAGGGCTCTCTGCATATTTTCCCGGATACTTTTCCTCGTCGTTTTCATTCTTTTCAAAACTGACTTTATCTTGGTCGGCGACGCCATTCGCCCTTTGCGACATCTGCTTCTCAGCATCGTCGCTTGGTTCAGAGGATGGCGGTGAGGGTGTGGTCATGGCCTTTTTGGTGGAAAAGAGTGTGTAATGGACGTTGTGATGTGACCAAACAAATCTCAATGCAAAAAGCTTCGAGGATTCATGTTCCACTGATATTAAACAATTCAAATAGGCTCGAGTCACTGGATCATTACGCTGTTACCAGAACAATTCTCGTTGCTGCTCCTAGTGCTCACTGAATATTGCGATACATTTCTGGCCGCAGGTGCGCAGCAAAGGCCGAGAAAATGCGGCTACTAGGTAGTTACTTAAGGCTATCTGAGTCATGACTTTTCCATGTTTACTGCACTAACCATCGGCGAACTTGGTTTTGGCCGGGTTGGTCAGCTCCGCTCTGAGGTGAATGACCCGGGGTTTGAGTGGATTAGAACGCCGATGCAACGCAATAGCGACGCTCCGTGTAATTTTGCGTCTCTGTAATTTTGATTTTTCGCCGATTACGCTACAGTCAAAGCGTGAAGGTGCCTTGGCCCGGGGTTGGCGAGCTGGCTGTCCCGCAGTTTTCAATAGCCGGTGGTGACGTGCATCATTTTTGGCTTCTGCAATTGGATGACATGTCTTAGTGGGTGTCGATCGGCCGGGTCCGGTTCCACATCCCGGAGGGCGGCCCGCACGGCACACAGGCCAAGCCAAGCCAATCACCATCGAGGTAGCCAATAGGTGATAGCTTCTATGCTGAAAAGACACAGATGATTGAGACGTAAACTGAAATACACGCATTGTTCTGTGACTTTCCAACCATGTGACAAAGTTTCAAACAGTCATTGACTGACGTGGAGGCGAAGAGTATCTATAAACTAAGGTAGTGCACATCAGCAAGAACATTCTGGAAACAAAATGAACGAAAGATACCAGGAGATCGAACGAGTGAACAGAATGAATGGAAAGAAAGAGCTTCCCCAACCCTCAAGTATGAAAGTAGACGGAGTTGGAAATTAAGAGCGGACCCTTCGCTGTTCAGCCCAAAACTCACAAGCAGAAGGAGCTGTAGTATGTGCAAAAGCCGGAGATGTCATATATGATCACAGAAGCTCTGCAATGACTGGTCTACAGTATGGAAGACAAGTGATAAAGAGATACTCTCTTCGTAACAAAAGATAACCCAGGCACATGAAGCCTCTTGGAATGTCCAATATTCGGAACTTGAATAATCGTTCAAGGCTCTGGCGCAGATCCTGGTTTTTGTCCATAGACAACATGGCTGGTAAACCGGTTAGCTTCTTGTCTTTGAGCCTTTCAAGGACACTTACAAATCAAACATTGAGTGATAGACGCCGGACTTGAGTTCCTTGCGAAGCTCTGCGAGAAACACCAGAACGTCATCTCGCGACCAACCGAGAACCCCACAGAATATCCTCATTGTGAAACCCTCAAGCCCATCTAGCAACTGGACTAGATTGTGCATGCCAATATCACGGTGCAAGGGATCCTTTGCCCACGGCCCAACCGGAATCTTGTACTTCCTGTGGAAAATGTTTTCGAAGCCAGTGTCCTCTGCCCAACCCTTGAGTCCCCTGCCAGAACAGCAATCGCGACCAAGGATCCCAGCTGCTTTATGTAAGTCCGCAACCCATCTTGTCACAATGTGGTCTCCAGTCAAAGTGCCGTCTTCCGAGTAATAGTCAATGCAGATATCTTGGAATTCGGCCCAGCAACCAGGGTTTATGTGGCTGCGGTCTTTTAACTTATGTCATTTCGAATTACTCTAGTGGTAACCACTCACTCGTATACGTTCTGGAAAAGCCTTGGCCAATCTTTGATTGAAGACACCATGCAACGGCACATTATGTAGTCGTAGTTATCGCCGTCAACCCAAGGGCTCTCGACATCATCGACTATGAACTTGACGTTGGGCGGCACCCTGCTTCTGGTCAGCATCAATTGACAGGCCCAGAAAAAAAAGGCAAGACACGCTTACCAGGATGGCTGTATTGCGCTGAGATCGTTCCCGATAATCTGACTTTTAGTTAACTTTGGTCTTCCTTGCAAGATCAGGCAAATTCAACCTCAGCATGAGGAAATTTATCACCCATGTCGATTGACCCTGGGATTTCACTGTTAGCGTGTCGAAACAGACCAACGGCCATTCGCGTAGAAGCTTACATATGCCGGTTCCTGTTCCAATGTCTAGGATCCTACGGGTCTTTTCTGCCTCAAGCGGCGCCTGAAAGAGCTTGCCACCGAGAATCTTTTTCATCAATGCATGGGACAAGTCCAGACGGTCCATCTCGGCCTACACATAATAAGCGCATAATGTAAGAATTTGCCTGACTCTTATCTCTAGGTAATTACCACCATACCTCGTCATTTGGGTAAGGGTACGCTTCATTAAGCTACATTAGCCAAAAGTTTCAAGGTTTTCTCATATAGACGGAAAGGGTTGATGTAACTCTGTGACTTACCGCCCTCTCGGAATGCGTGGTAACGTCGGCCATTCTCAATCGGGTAGTCAACAATGCTAGATGCTATGGATTCGGTGTACGTCGAACTACAGTTTGGTTCAGTACAAGCCTCTTCAACTCCATTGCCATCTCACATTCTGTCATCCGTTACAGAGCTATTGTACTGTTTTGATAATCAGCCAAGGGCTTTCTGACAAGAACAGGCATGTAATGGAACGCTAACCTCAGAATGGTCTGAAGCTTCGATCAAATCCTGGGCATCCGGGGCGGCTGTATCTGCTACTATCGGCAACTGGGCAGTGCTGTCTAGGGTTACGGCGGATTGTGGGAGCGACATTTTTGATGTTCTGCCGTTCCTAGAAGCAATAGAAGCCATTCAGGTTAAGATTTGGTGGCGGGGAGAGGAGTAAAATGTTTCCCGCGATGCTATGTGTTGGAACATTATTACTTCAAAAATGGAACGAGGAAGCCAGATGAGGGAAGTTATATACAGCAACATGCCCAGCCGTGTCATTTTTTCAATGTTTGCTCCCGCTGAAAACGGTAACGCAGACGACTAAACGGCCTGTTGTTGGTGCAAGGCAAGGGCGCAGATGCAGAAATGTGGACTCAGAGCCAGTTGGAGACGGCCCATACGCGAGCACAAACCTTGTCACGCCAATCGCGTCTCCCAGCTTTTTTGTTCAAGCATCAGGGGGGATGCGTTCAAGGATACTGCGAGCAGAAATCAGCTCAGATATGGTTGCCCCTCATCGCCAAGCTGGCCAAACGTTACGCAACTAGCTAGGGCCATGGAGCAGGCCACACAGGAGGTTGACAGATCCAGGAGAACATTGACAGGAAGACCGAGTTAGGGAGGGATGAAAAGCAATGCTTCCTGGAGTATTTCAAGATTTCTCTTTGGAAACCAAAGAACCCCCTAGATCCATCCCAAGAAAAAGTTGTTGAGATCTGTTGAAAAACAAAGCGACAGTTTTCATGAAAATGACGGTCAAATACCTAGATAATGTACCCGACTTCAAAGCTAGTCATGTTCATTCTTCTTGAGGTAATGGGAATTGGTTATTGCCGACATTGCTGCGAACACATTACACACCGAAGGGAGAGAAAACCATCAAGTGGGACCTCCAAAACAATTCATTTGAAATACTCGTGCTAGAATACATAGGTGCAATTGGCCCATTTCCCCCATTCTCATCTACTCATTACAACTTTCCACCTTGCTGTGAGTCTCCCAAGAAATCGTCGGTCCAGATGGCGAGCCGGCTAAAATGCATTGCCATTAGCTCCTGCTAACGAAGTACCCTTTGCCATGCAATTCACATCAGCTGAATAAGACTCAAAAGTGCTTGTGGATTCGGGAGGGCTTGAGAACCCTGATACCCAGAGGTGTCCAATACCAAACAGGGTCATTGTCGGTGGTGACGATACTTTGGCCAGGCTGCTGACGACACGTAGCTGAGTTGCAGTCATTGTCACTCCAGCCGACCTGGAGATCATCACTCCACCACACCTGAGGGCGACCGTCAACACGAAGAGTGACCAGAATAGAGCTGAGGCCAACGAAACCAGTGGCCGTGAAAGGAGTGAGAGGGCAATCGTTCATTCGAGGGCAAGACGGCACCCAGACATTTTGGCTCACAAACTCCAATTCTTTGCCTTGGACCGCATCCCAGCGGTATCCTGTGAAGGTGAAATCACACAGTTGGTCTGGCTTACGAGCATCACAGCCAAGATCCATGCCGTAAAAGTTGAATCGGAAGCAAGGCAAAGACGCAAGCTTACCCATGCCGATCTGAGCAGTGTCTTTGGAGAACATCCCGGTGTTGTTGGACAGCATTGGAGGAACGTATTCCAATACACGGCCACCAGAAGAGGGTAGATACGGCATCGAAGGAGGAGGGCCGACGATGAAGCCCTTGGAGAACCAGAAGCGATGATAAGGGTTGTACACAGACCCATAAGGCAGGTCATCAAACTGTGAGACTGGAGTCAGCAATTTGTGATCAAAAAGAGTGAATAAGAAGGAGTCAGATGCGTGACTTACGTCCAAAGTGAGGGTTCCAACCTCTGTTGTTCCAGTACACATGGGTGTTGCGACGGGGATGGGAGCCGTAGAAGTAAGAGTGAAGTTGCCCTGGCGTTTCTCGATATTGCGTCGCTCAATGAGTGTAGGAACAGGACCGGTGGTGATGAGAGTGCTTTGGATCAATGTGCTTTGAACCCAGGTGCTCAAAACCAAAGAGCTCAAGGCGGTAACGATGGTGGCATCGCTGACTGTGGATGCACTGACGGTACCTCCGTTAATGAGAGTCTCACCACCAATTACGCCTCCAGTGACTGTGGCTGTTCCGACAGAGGTAACCAAAGACTCAAAGGGGAATGTGTAAGTGGTTGTTGCCTCGGCGACGACGTTCACAAGTGTGCTGGTCAGCACAGATGTGGAACTGACTGTTGTGGACACCTTTAGGAGAGTCGATGTGCAAGAAGAAGATCCAGTTCCTGTCAAAGGAAGAGCTGCATTGGTCTCACTGGCACCAGCACCTGGAAGGGTGTTTTGAAGGGTACTGGGAGCGGTGGGCCAGAGAGTAATGACGGAAAACGAAGCAACAGATCCAGGCATGGCAATAGAAGCAGAAGAGACAGCCAGGTCGCCGTACCCGCCGGGAATCCCGCTAGCAGAGACAAGAGGGGCAGAAACGGCAGGTCCTGAGGGAGGAGCGCCGGGGGCACCGGGAGCAGGCGCTGGGGTTGCTGCAACAACAGATGAAGGGAAGCCAGGAAGTGGAGCTGAGTCGCCATACCCACCAGGAATAGGGTCGTTCTGGATGACAGTTTGTGTGACCACGCTGACAGGCACTCCTGGTATACTTCCGACAGGGGGAACACCGGAAGTGAAGATGACAGTAACCACTGACGCTGGTGGGGATGGCGGAGGAGCTTGGGTAACGGTAACGACCGTGAAAGGGGCAGCCGGGAGAAGGGGTGTTGACAATTGTGAGGCAATGGTTGAGGTCAGTGGTTGAGGGAAAGTGAGGGTGAGGGTGGCGACGACAGGTACAACGGATGTGGGGTTTTGAACCGCTGAGCCAGGGCCAGGGAGCGTGTAGGTGGTCGTCACGACTGGGGCCGAAGGGATAACAGTACCAGGCGTGATAGACGAAACCAGAGTCTGGAGAGAGTAGGACAAGATTCCATCAGGGCCAGGGACCATTGTGGGAACGATGACAGTGCTGACGGAGGCGGGACCAGCTCCATTGGGGAGACCGGCAGGGTTGGTGCCGGTGGCAGAAGGAAAAGTGACAGTGAAGCACGTCACCAGCGTGTCGACAGTTGGCGTGCCAGACCCAGGCCGAGCACGATAGAGCGTGGTGGTGAAAATGACAATACCATTGGTGTTCACGCCAGGTCCCGAGGGGTTCCAGGGAAGAGCAGGTGTTGTTTGTCCAGCAGTGACAGTGACGACAGTCGGTGTGCTTTGGTCATTATCCCCAGGAGAAGCTGGAGGGGCTTGGCCGCCTTGAATGGTAGAAACAGAAGGGTTGCCGCCGGCGTTTCCAGGATCACTGACAACGGAGGCAGCAGAAGCTGTAACAATGACGGTAGAAGTGACAACAGGAGTTTCCCAGGGTTTGGGGCCAGTGTATTGAGAACCACCGAGAGGGGGACCATAGGAATCGATTGTAACCGTTAGGACAGGAGTGGGACGGGGAAGCGATGCTTGGGACTGCTCGAATGAGGGCCAAACAGTTGCAGTGATGGTCTGAACAGCAACAGGGGGAAATGGGTTGATACCAGAGCCAACTGTGACAAAGACTGTCTGGGTGGCAACTGCAGGACAGGTAAAGGGAGCACCATTGCCAGGCTCAGGGCTGGACTGATTAGTTCACCGAGGCTCCCATAAACATCGAGAGTGCAGAGGAAGACTCACAATGGAAGAGGATTCGGACCAGCTTTGGCGAGGCCTGCGAGACCTAAGGCCGTCAGAGCGGCGAGGGATTGGACTTGCATGTTGTGCAAACGAGTGGAAGTAGAGAGCGTGAAAACGTACGATACGTAGGAGACGTCGGTGGGTTTTGATGATCGAAACAACGAAGTCAAAGAGAGATGAGAGGAGACGAAGAGTTGAGGAGTTGAGGAATGTTGTGAGGTAGAAAAGGCATTGGGAGAAGAGGGGGGGATTGGAGGATTAAATAGGGCGAGGGAGAGAGAGGAGGTTTATGGCACGGCAAGAAGGAGCTTGACCCCCTTCCTTGGTGTTGCATTGGAGCAACAACGATGTCAAGAAAGGCAGCTATGCAGCTTCCGCCTCAGTTCATGGGGGAAGGCACCACGCCGTTGCAAGCGGGGATGGCAACAGCTATCTTGGCGAGAGGATTACTGAAATGGTAGGCACACATATCTTCGACGGACCGGAAGGTGGTACAGGTGGGCGATGCTAGTAGATATCAGACGAACATTACCATATCTTGGTTCAACTCTACGAGAGGTGGAGGCTGACCAGGTGCGAAATTACACAAAAACGATTGGTTCCATCAAGATGAGTGGATGAAAGCAGTAACTATTGCACGATTCCCGCAGAATCATGAATGGTCGCGACTGAGCTGCTAAAGATGTTCAAACTGCCAGTCCAAGACTGAAGGATCAATGTAGCATGAGTTGAAACTCTCCACAGCCACTGATTGCCTTGCGTTACGTCAAGACCGGAAAGCGCGAGTGAGAAAGTACAAGAACAACATCTGCTTGAGGTACCTTCCAAGTACACTTTACTGAGTGCTTGCCATTGCGTGATAACTGCAAGAAAAGGGAAAGTGAGAGCATGTCGGAACACGGACATACGGCAGCTACCCGCCTTCCTTGAGGCTGTCGTCCTTCACCTGCCTTACTAACAGAGTTGCAGAAGGAAGGAAAGTGAAGAGTAAGTGCCTGGGCTTTAATATGGTAAGATAAGGAAATAGCCGGTCATATCGTGCAATCTTTATGCCGATAGCGATTAGGCACGTACCTGTGTCCCTCAAAGCGGTAATGTTCAGGCAGGATGATGGGTGAAATGGAGGTTCAATAAGACATTGAATTGCTTGCTTGCTTGACGAGGTAGACAAAAGTTATAAACTGACACGAGAAGATCTAAACAGGATCATCCTCGTAAGGGGGCGGAGGCGGCAAAGGATCTCCCACCAAGTCTTGCACTGCTTGCCTTCGCTTGTCCTCCTCAATCCTTGCGGCCCAGAGGGCTGCTCCAGCCGATGTAGTTAGCAAGAAGAAAAAGGATAGCACAGGTATCAGCTCGAGGGTCATCGCCACCGTGCCGAACCAGACATATTCCCATGTCCTTGCCTTGATCTCCTTCTTGGACTCCTGCTTATTCAGACCCCGCAACTGAAACCACCTGTAATGGGCGAGCTTGCCCAGTCTTGTACCAGTGATGATGATAAACGCTGGTGTGCCGACCACCGGGATGAAGTTGAGGGGCAGGAAAATAATGAGCTCAATGATCTGAACCATACTCCAGGGGGTATAGACTGCGGAAGTCGTCGGCTTGCCGAGCATCTTGACGGCGGTCGGGGCATCGTGGAAGAGGATTCGATGAGGGGCAACGAGCTCGGTTTGCGATTGCTTGATGAGGGTGGCCTATGGTACTTGTCAGCTGTGCAATTGACTTTTGGTAAGACGATACCGGGAATTCCTACATCGAAAACATCCACCCTACATTCGTCCACGAAAAACCCCTCGAAGAGGCCTTGGATCACTACCAACCCCTCTCCAAGCACCAGCACCACTGCGTTGAGCCACGCGCCCCATCCATGGAAGATCGCCAAGAACGCAAACTGGGGCAAAAAGGCGAAGGTAAAAAGGATAAAGTATACAAGGAAAGAGATGATGGATAGAGGCAGTAGCCTGCTCAGGAAGAGCGGGTAAAACTCCTTGTTGCGCAAGAAGTACCAGATGCCACGGAGGGGGTAAGATGCTGCGATGCCGGCGCGCGTCAGGTAGCTGACGGGTCGCTCGACAGGGCGTAGGAGGAGGTCAACGCGGGATGACCGCGCTGAGGGCTGTGATTCGGACATGTTGATGCGACCGTTGACGATGAAGAGAAAGAGTTCATGCCAGACGAAGGCGTCGTCGGTTTAGTGTTTGCGATCGTCATTCTCGCCGTGGGCACAATGTGGTCAAGAGCCACCGCAGGAAAACATCTGCCTACGTCATCAAACGCGGCGAATTCTGATTGGCGGAGGGCACCGCTAGCCAACTAAATTGCAGGGGCTTCCACATGTGGTGCGCGGCGCCCACTCAACTCCTCAGGGAACAACGCTTCTTTGCTAGTATAGTTCAGTAAGGTAAGCGCCCCACGGCCCCGACCGCCCTCTGAACAGTGCCAAACCAGCACATCAGAGGATGTATTGCTGTTGAAACCCCCGTTACAGTCTCTACCCTGTCCTCAAGTGATTGGTCAGCTCTACTGGAGGTCCTGCTGAACCTTTAGTTGAGAAAACGATCCGGGAACGCAAGTAATGATCATCCTCTGCAAAGATTAATCCCCCATACAAGGATCGACACCAAGATAATGAATGAAGCCGAACAAACTTTATCACGCTGATCGTCGCAGGGTTCAAAACAGATCGACAGTCCCGATATTGAAGGTAATTGGACGACTTCTCCAAGTGACTAACAAGTAAGTTGAGTGGTCGGATGATCCTTGAAGGATGTATTCCGTCTTCTCGTTCAGACCTGGCGAAATCTGATGGGAAAACTAGTATGGTGATTTGTGTGTGAATTTCCAAGCGTAACTGGAATCGGGAGATCTGTTAAGGACTCCCTGAAGACCAGTTTTAGGCACGCCTTTCTTTAATTTTAGACAAATGCTGTACTACTTGCGTTAACAGTTCGAAAAGTCGACATATAGTACCGTCAAACTCCTTCGTAAGCTCAGTCTTACCACTTGATTGCGTCAGACAACCCAAAACAAAAACTAGTTTAATAGTACCGCTACCGGATAACTATCAATTTCTATATAGCAGTGTAAGTTCTCACTTCTTCGTCTCTGCGGATGTGATCAAGTGCGCGGCCTTTTCCAGTAACCAGCCACCCGGATACTCAGAGATTGCTGTTCACCTTCAGCCGGCTTTCCCATGAAGCTGATTCCCGCTCCCACATTTCCGTTTACCTCGGTTGCGTCTCGCAAGTCGCACCTTAACGATCATTAACCGAAATCAATCTGTGAGGAAAGCCACCCATTGATTGGTGGGCACTCTAGACACTAAAATCAAGGAGCCGTCTGTCGATACCCACGCGCGGAACATCAGCTCCCTCTATACGCGGAACTGACCCATGACTCTCTTAGGCCGGCAAGTTGCGACTTGCTTTACTTGCAAATTTAACACCAACAAGCAAGTACTAAAATCAGCTCCAAAGACAAGCTCCTAAACCCATTCCCCATACTGCCACGCGGCAGTATCAAGTCGGGCAACGCGCCAAAGGTGGGCCCCGCCCAGAAGCAAGTCCACTGACTCATTTCCGAGAAGCCAGAGACAAGGTCCAACGGAGGACCAAAATGTAAAAGGTCACAAGCATTTGAAACGCACTGGTTTTCCCGATGGAAAGGAATTCGAACCTCTCAATTATTGGATGGTCAAGTCCTGCTCCCCCGGAAAATGTGGAGTGTAGGGATTTTGAATCCGACAGCAAGGAAGCTGACGGAGAAATCATCGATTTCGCAACCTACCTTACCTTACTAGTACTTATCGAACCGGACCACCTCTAGGGAACTATCCACCGCGGGACCAAGCTACTCCATTCTTGGAAAATGCTGATTTCATGTGTCTTTCTCCTACCGACTGCCGGTGCAAATGCCAGTTTGTCGTTATGGCTGGAAGAAACCCCCCTACCGTTATTCTCAGTTTCCATAGCAGTGCGGGTTGACTGCGGAATATATGGCTACAAGAAAGAGGGTGTTTAAACCAAATGCAATTGCATTAGGTTTGTAGATCTGCCGTGAAACCTGGCTCATTAGAGCCGCCCCAGTAGAAGCGGGAGAAAATCATCTAGAAACATGCATTAGGGGCGAGCTCCTTACAGGTGGAAATTCGATACTCGCGACTTTGCCACTATCCGGTCAACCTTTTTCATTTGTGACTATTCTCTACTACTATGGCCAAGCTGCAATATGTACCATCATCTATCCACCTATCGCGATGTCATTTCATACTCCATTATATTCATGCATCCATGCGCTTTGTCTTTCTTACTCCTCCTATAGCCAGTTCTGTCTTATCTTAATTTGGACTGTTATTATGCTTGTTTACCCTTGGCGTTGACGCTAACGTAAGTAAGCATAAATACTCGTATAGGCCTCTAACATTAATGCTCACCGGCAGTGTAATGCTTCGTATGTTCCCTTCAATCACTGACGTTTACGCCTATCGATGAAACACGAGGAATTCTGCAGAATGCGTTATCTGAGGCAATAAAAATCTAAATATTAGGCCTACCTTAGCACTTGCTACACGGTATACTGTGAGTTCATAAATTTCGTAGTAAAGTACAGATACTATGTAGTTGTTATCGAACGACCTTAGTGTTACGACCCGTAAACAAGGATAACAGCTGAACGACCCACTTGGGCGTCGGGCGGCTAGAACAGGACATTTGTACTGCAGGATCACGGGAACAACAGGGACTCACTCGGGAACGGAAGAACTATGGTGCAAGTCACGTGACGATAAGATAAGAGATTAGATCCGTACGCCAAGAATACGGAGTCCGTCCTTGGCACATACGGGATCCGTATGAACGAGGAACGGACCCCGTCAGGATCAGGAACGGTAAAACAAACAAAGGGTACTGTTCGGACTTGTATATAGTATGACCTGAGCTCGACTCATAGTCAGACTTCCATAGCTCTTCAGCAATCAACTTTGTATTCATCCTCAGGATACTTTCAGCTTACCTTCACTGCGAATACTTATTAAGCCTAAGATTGATCACCTTAGCCTCTGACTACCGATCTACGACACAGCCTACGACCTACGAACCAGACTTACGACACGACAATACTGTTTACTAGCGTCAATCCCCAACTTCTGTTAGCAGACCCTACTGTCGGATAGCTGACCGTAACACTTTGATTACTCCTGTTCAGTAAGTTGACTATTGATACCTACTAAACAGTACAGAATGTCTTCCCGCGCCTCTGTCAAGTCTCCTACCCCCGGATCCTCATCCACCTCTGGAGGAAAAGCTCCTCAGAGCCTAGCCCAGGAAGTCGAGGACCAGAAAATGAAGGACGACTCAGACAGCGAGGACGACACCGAAGAACTCAAACGACAGCTCGACAAAACCACTAAGGACTTCAAGGAGATGCGCGACATGTTCAACCAAAACGCTACTGCTCTCAAGGAACTTCAGGAGCAAGCGTGCAAGACTTAGGAACTTGAGAAGGAAGTCAACACCCTTCGAGCTGCTGCTAACGTGATTTCCGCCCCAGTCGAAGGACGCGAACGCCTCAAGCTCAACACCCCCTCTACCTTCGACGGGACCCCAGGACAACTTAAAGGACACTTGGTTCAGGTACGGACCTACCAAGCCTTCCACATCAATACTTTCCAGAACGACACCGAACGCGTGGTGCACGCAGCCACTTTCCTACGAGGAAGAGCCCTCGCCTGGTTCGAGCCCCTGCAACAAGAATGGCTCGACAACCCGGTCGAAAAATACAGCGAAGAGGTGAAGAGCATCTTCTTCAGCTTCGCAGGCTATGTTAAAGCCCTGGAATCCCTCTTCCTCGACCCCGATGAGCGAAGGCAGGCCGAGCGAGACCTATTACACCTGCGACAAACCAAGTCAGCCACGCTCTACGCCGCCGAGTTCAGACGATTAGCTGCAAGACTCCATATGACCGACGAAAGCAAGGTCTTCGCCTTCTACCAAGGACTCAAAGATGACGTTAAGGACGAAATGGCCAAGTTAGAGACACCCCCCAGTTTCCTTGCCTACGTCGAACATGCTATCAAGATCGACAACCGCCTCTACGAACGACGAAAGGAACGAGGAGAGAAAAGACAAAACCCGAACTCAGGACGCAAGTACCAATAGCAGCCTCAGCACAAGTTCAACAACCAGCGGAACGACAACAGACCCCGCAACAACTAGAACAACACCCGACAAAGCACTTCCTATAGACAACACAGCAGACCCATGGACCTCAGTGCCGCTACCAAGAGCAACGACAAGAAACCTTGGAACCCCAAGTGCTACAATTGCGAAAAAATAGGACACATCGCCAGAGACTGCGGACAACCCAAGAAGCCCAACTGGAAGCCAGTACCCGAGCGAACCAAGCAAGCTAGTATGGCAACTAAGACACCCCACGCATCCCTATCGTGGACAGGATGCTACGACGACAAATGCCCTGTACACCTCAGCGACAAAGAAATGACAGGACACTAGCCCACCAGCAAAACCCTTGCAATGGCCTCCCGGGCCAACAGCAAGATGATCAGAAAAACCACCGAACAACTTAACGGGAGGCTACAAGTACAACAACTTGAACCCGCAGGCTCGTCAGCCCCACGCATCACCTCAAGGCAAGCCACCTACGACAATCCCATAGGTTACGATAAAGAAACCCGACAAAGGATTAGAGACTCCGAAGCACAAGTTCAACGCGAAATGAATCGAATCAGGGAATTCGAGAACGAAGAAGATTTGGATAAGGAACCTGAATATCAGCACGACCCCCTGACTAAACAACAAATCCTCAGTCTCACCAGCAACTGGACGTTTGGAGAAGGAGAAGATTCACCCTACGACTCGGACGAACCTCGTGACGTTGCCCGCCAACGTGCTCAGACGGAGATCGCCTATGGGCTCACCCCCAGTGTAGACGACACCAGCTCTAAAGAGGAACCCGAGAAGGACAACACCCCCGAACGCATTGCACACAAGCAAGTAAATCAGCACAATGATAAGCAATTCATCGAACTTTATGGCGTGCTAAACATGGGACCCAGGACGTACTACACCCCGCAACTCAGGATCGAAGATCACCCCTACCTCAGAATCACGGACCCAAGCCATCGCTACCTCTTTTGGGCCCAGTGCTTCTTCGACCACTGCGAGACGCACATGGGAGAAAAATACGAACACCACTTCCAACCCAGGAAATACGACAACACCCCCCTACGAAACGTCTACACCGCCCACACTCTCACAGGGTGGGAACTCAGGAAGTTCGACGGCAACATCGCCACGTTCACCCCCAGCCGACAATACCCCATGAGGTGCACCCACGACAAAAACATGAAGTGGGAAGAATGTCGAACAGACGAATGCCTCATCCACGCAACCCAAAAGGCAAAAGCCTACAGACTCCTACAAGAAGGATCGAGCCCCCCGAGGCTCCGATTCCAGGAAAATCGCCTCACGAAGGCACGACGAGAAGGGAAGCATATCACCTACCCAAGACAACTAAAGCAGTCAAAAAACTAGACTCGCCTACCGATGAAGGACCGAGACAGGCAACAACGACAAGGTCCATCTGTCTAGCATTCCTAGACCAGAAAGTACACCTGCAACTCGCAGTTACCATCAACGACACGACAACCATCGCGCTCATCGACAGCAGAGCCGAAATGAATTTTGTGTCACCCCAAGCGGTGAACCGACTACGACTACCATAGCAGAAGAAGGAACACACGTACCAGCTCAGCAACATAGAAGGAGAACAAGTCCAGTACGAAGGAGGAACTATCAAAAACGAGACTACGCCCCTCGAGATAAGTTACCTAGATCGAAACGAACAACTCCAATTCGACATTGCCGAACTCGGTGCATACGACATTGTGTTAGGAATACCATGGCTGGAAAAGAACAACCCACGGATAGATTAGAGAACAGGCCAACTCCATTGGGACAACGACGATCTAGTCCCTGAGCAGCCCTGCAGAACCTAGGCCTCAAACAGATCCACCCACCAAAGAACAGCAAAACGATACATCTGCTACCTCAAGGCGAAAGAAGCCGCATCACGACTATTAAAGCAAACGGATCTCGAACAAAAAGACGATCCACTTCTGTCTATCCTAGAAGAATACAGAGTCTACGAAAAACTCTTCGCAGCCGAACTGGAAACCGGACTGCCCGAACACACGAATTTCGATCACGAAATCCCCATTAAGGAGGGGAAGGAACCCAAGTTCAACAAAATTTACAGACTTAACCTAACAGAAATAGAAGCCCTCGACAAATACCTCGACGAAAACCTCGAGAAAGGCTATATCAGAGAATCAACATCACTAGCAGGAAGCCTAATCCTGTTCGTACTAAAAAAGAACGGAAAACTACGACTTTGTGTCGACTACCGAATGCTTAACGAAATGACGATTAAAAATCGGTACCCGCTACCATTAATCGAAGAACTACAACGACTCCTCCACGGAGCCAACTACTTCACGGCACTAGACCTCAAGGGTGCCTACAACCTCATCAGAATAAAGCAAGGAGAAGAATAGAAGACCGCCTTCAGAACACGCAGAGGACATTTCGAGTACCTCGTCATGCCTTTCGGTCTCACCAATGCCCCAGCCACTTTCTAGAACATGATCAACCAAGTTCTCAGGAAATACGTGGACATCTTCGTAGTCGTCTACCTTGACGACATCCTCATCTTCTCACCAACGATGGAACAACACAAGGAGCACGTACACCTCGTACTTCAAGCCCTCCAAGACGCCAAACTCCTGGTTAAACCCGAGAAAAGCACATTTCACACCCAAGAAGTAGAATACCTCGGATTCACCATTACTCCCGGACACATCAGCATGTCTAAAAAGAAAGTTCAAGCCGTTAAAGAATGGCCGACACCGACGAACCTCAAAGAAGTCCAAGGATTCCTCGGATTCGTCAATTTTTACCGAAAGTTCATCGGACTCTACGGAAAAATCAACGCACCCCTCACAGACCTCAGCAAGAAAGACCAACCATTCGAGTAGAAAGAAAAACAGGAAACCGCCTTTCAAACAATCAAGGACCGCATCACCAGCGAACCAGTCCTGATGATTCCCAACCCACTAGAACAATTCGAAGTAGAAACAGACGCCTCAGATTTCGCGCTAGGAGCACAATTATCTCAACGAGATTCAGAAGGACGCCTACACCCCTGTAGCTTCTTCTCACGCAAGCTCCGCGGATCAGAACTCAACTACCAGATCCACGACAAAGAACTCATGGCAATCATCGAAGCATTCAAGGAATGGCGACCCCAACTCTCAGGAACCATCCACCAAGTACTTGTGTATACAGACCACAAGAACCTAGCCCACTTCACCACTTCGAAGGAACTCAACAAACGACAAATCAGATGGTCAGAATTCCTCTCAGAATTCAATTTCCGAATCATCTATCGGAAAGGATCAGAGAACGGCAGGGCCGACGCCCTCAGCCGACGACCGGACTACAATGTCCCGGTACCAAACGAGACCCAGGTGATTCTCAAACACAACGAGAATGGAGACCTCGTGCCCGCCACAAAACTCTTGATGATGGCCAGACGATCTAGTGCTAGCTCGACTAGCGGACTGGACGATGAAGCAATCATGGAGTTCCACGCTCGGCCAGCACACGGTCACCAAGGAATCACAAAAACCTAGAAACGACTACGACAACAATATAGAGAAAAGGTCACTAGAGAACGTGTCGCAATAGCAATTAAGGATTGCAAGGTTTGCCTCAAAAGCAAACCAGCCCGACACCAACCTTATGGATTGTTACAACCTTTGCCTGTGCCGCAAACCGCCTAGCACTCTATATCACTCGACTTTATTGTCAAACTACCGAAGTCTCGAGAACCCCTTACGGGAGTCTACTTTGACAGCGTTCTCGTCATCGTCAACAGACTCACGAAGTACGCCTACTTTATCCCGTACAAGGAAGCAAGCAACGCCGAAGAATTCGCCTACACATTCCTCAAGTATATCATCGCCAATCACGGAACACCTAAGGAAATTGTGTCAGACAGAGACAAGATCTTCACTTCCAAATTTTGGAAATCAATTACATCGCAACTCGGCATCAAGCAAGCAATGTCCACTGCATTTCACCCGCAGACCGACGGACAAACAGAACGAATCAATCAGATCCTCGAAACCTACCTCCGCGCCTACGTCAACTACAACCAAGACAATTAGGTAGTACTACTACCAATGGCCCAATTCGCCTACAACAGCGCAGTAGGAGAAAGCACCAAGGAATCCCCTTTCTACCTCAACTACGGATTCGAGCCAACCGCATACGGAGAACCACGATCAGGCACGTCTGCAGCAATCAAGGCCGTCGCCACAGCCAACCAAATCAAGGAAATCCAAGACAACGCACGAAAAGAACTCGAATTTGTACAACAACGAATGACACGATTCAGCAACAAACGAAGGATTGAGGGACTAACCTTGAAGGAGGGAGATAGCGCCTATCTCATACGGCGAAACATCAAAACGAAACGACCAAACGACAAGTTAGATTTCAAGAAACTCGGACCTTTCAAGATCCTCCGAAAAGTTTCACCAGTCAATTACGAACTCGACCTACCCGACACGATGAAGTGTTTTCCAACATTCTACATTTCGCTACTCGAACCAGCACCACAAGGATCACAGACAAACGACCTCATCATTATGGAAGACAACGAACCAGAGTACGAAGTCGAACGAATCATCGACCACCTTGAAGAACCAGAAGGATACCAATACCTCATCAAGTGGAAAGGATATGGTCACGAAGACAACACATGGGAACCAGCCAAGAACATCACCAATGCGAAGGACGAACTCGCGACCTACTGGCAACAACACCAAGAACGAGAAACGACGCCAGCAGCGCCAGCGACACCAACCCCGACAGACAACACTGGTTACCAACGCATCAAACACCCACACAGACATGTCAGACCACCAGCAGAGGCAGACAGACCGCGACAAGGAAAACCATTTATTCGCCTAGGAACACCCGAACCCAACTAAGACTCCCCCGATAAGAAGTTTGGAGTACCCGGATTCCAATCACCGAAGACGGCATCCAGGTCTACCGCACCAAAAGCACCCACCGACTATGCCTCAAGAACCAAGGAAGACTCGGCAAGAGAAGGCTCCGCTACCCCCTCTTCAGCCACCACCGAGGTCTCCTTGCGACCTTTTTTGAACACTATTCGCTTAGCCTTGCGAACACGATCCAACTTCGCAAGTGTCTCATTCACTTCGGCCTGCGCCTTTTGCAGCGCCTCCATCCTTTTTCGAAACAATTCCTCGGTTTCTTCCTCCTCATCGTCCAAACGCCGAGATTCAACCATCAGACGTTCCACTATATACGAATTAGCACGAGCAAAAAACAAACAGACCCAAAACCACACGAACGTTGACAGATCGCATCATCGGAAGCGTTACACGAACGACGAGTGCCGCCCACCGCGACACACTCTCCACAAACCAAGGAACCGGGCAGCATTTTACAGCGCAATCCCTTAGACCGACAGCGACGACAAGGCATGACCTCAAACCCGTTCTCCGCAATGTTAAGGGAACGACGATAACGACGAAGAGTGGAAATCGCAGGATTTTCAGAAACGCGACCTGACATGGTGTCAGCATCATAGGTAAATCGGGAAGCACGATTGACGGATCCCCAACCTGGGACCAACGACCTACTTATGTTGGGTCTTAAGGACAAGACCTTTGGAGAGAGGACCTGATGTTACGACCCGTAAACAAGGATAACAGCTGAACGACCCACTTGGGCGTCGGGCGGCTAGAACATTGATTGATTGATTGATTCCTACACGGTTATGAAGCCGCTCTTATGCTAGCAGCTATGCCCGGAAAGCGGGGTTTGGCAGACAGCCGAAGCATCGACGATAAACCGCGACGCCCCACTTCGCCCTGTTGTTGGATCAGGACCAGCTGTCCCCAAGCTCCCACTATGCTATCTATTCTTGTGTGTTTATGCCCTCTGTTGAAGATTGTTGTCCTCCTGCCTGCTCTCTCGCTTGGTGTTGCCTTCTAGAATCCTTCTTTCGCGTCCTCCTACTTCGGTTCTGTTAGTGCTAGGCACCATGTCTGGTTCTGTATACCTATAGTCTCCCCCCAGCCCTCAGCTTCGTCTCTTTATCTTGTCCGCATCCTCTCAGACTCGCATGTGCTATATCTCAGTTGAATCTGTAAATCTTTTTGTTGCCTCATGCTGGGTTCCTATGTGGCTCTATGTTTCCATCTTTCGACCACCACCTCCATCCACCGCCTGGAGTCGGACTCAATCCGCAAAACACAATGCTCCAACCGCTTCGATTCGTCCGATTACTAAGTATGAGAGCTCGTACACAGATTCCGCAGACATTGTCATACGTTGAAGGGGCGACAATCCTTCTTCGCGGAGGGGGCGACAGGGGACCAATCTGTCTGCAAACTGTAGTATTTTGTGGCATCGATCGTAGCATGCCTGGTGTCTGGTGCTTTCTCTATGCAGGAGGTGATACCGTTCTGTCGGGCTTGTCGTCGTTATTGTCGCGGGACGTTGCAAACTTTGTCGGGGGTGATAGGCGACCCATAACCTATCGGTGGCTGTGGTGTTGATGTTTGTTTGGGCTTGGTCGTTGTGCTCACGTGATAGCCCGTGACTCAACCGCGGTGGTGTCGATGGTGTTGTCTATTGACGTGTCATACTTTGTGGCTTGCTCTCGAATTTTTCGTGGTCAGAGCCCGCCCGCGGCCACGAGCAGGCTCTTTGGGAGCAGAATCAATGCCGAGGATGACATTATGCCCAAAGTGACCTCTGAGAGCGCGAGCGGGCGTGGTTTGATCAATTTGATGCTGTTTTCAAAAATTTCGTTCTCGCTGTTGTTGATGTTTTTTGCTCCGGGCGGCTAGAACAGGACATTTGTACTGCAGGATCACGGGAACAACAGGGACTCACTCGGGAACGGAAGAACTATGGTGCAAGTCACGTGACGATAAGATAAGAGATTAGATCCGTACGCCAAGAATACGGAGTCCGTCCTTGGCACATACGGGATCCGTATGAACGAGGAACGGACCCCGTCAGGATCAGGAACGGTAAAACAAACAAAGGGTACTGTTCGGACTTGTATATAGTATGACCTGAGCTCGACTCATAGTCAGACTTCCATAGCTCTTCAGCAATCAACTTTGTATTCATCCTCAGGATACTTTCAGCTTACCTTTACTGCGAATACTTGTTGAGCCTAAGATTGATCACCTTAGCCTCTGACTACCGATCTACGACACAGCCTACGACCTACGAACCAGACTTACGACACGACAATACTGTTTACTAGCGTCAATCCCCAACTTCTGTTAGCAGACCCTACTGTCGGATAGCTGACCGTAACACTTAGCTTAGCTCACAAATGCCGGAGTGGTTGCAGCATCCGTGGTAACGTCCCACACCCACTTCTGGGCACCCCCCACATTTGGGCACCCCATTTACACCAAAAACGCCGTTTTTCGAAATTCTATATTAAACTAAATACTTTACTTATTAAAGAGAATAAATATATGTTAAATAGATTAAGACTTAATTATAATACTTAAGTAGCTATATACTAGTATTATTGATAATAAGTATTATAAATTCAAGGTTTAACATTTATAATACTAATTTACCTAGCCTATATCTTAATATATAAAATAGGTAGAGATATTTAACTAATATGATTAGAATTTTTAAGTAAGATATAGTAGATTTATATATTCTTATACTTAGTAAAAAATTCTTTAAGCTTAGAATAATATTTTAAAATTTCCCTTAAGAAAAGTTTCTATTATAGAATTTTAACCCTTAATTATACTATATTTACTAAAGTAATACTTTTAAATCTCTTTTAGATATAATTATATACTTTTAATAAGTATAAATATTAATTTCCTAGATTTTTTAAATAAGTATATATAAGCGAAAATATATTTTTCTAATGTTAAGGAATACTAGTAAGTTACTAGTATCTACTAACATTTTAAAGCTTTTAGTTTTAAACTTCTATATTATAACTATTATTATATTTAAACCTTTATAAAAAATTAGATGGCTATAATTATACTTAACATAGTTTATATATATTTTCTTTTCTTAGTAAGTATAGTAGTTAGTTTAATATAGAATTTCGAAAAACGGCGTTTTTGGTGTAAATGGGGTGCCCAAATGTGGGGGGTGCCCAGAAGTGGGTGTGGGACGTTAGTGGTTCAATGCCCGGCATATGCGGCTAGTACGGGGTAATTGGCTGCCGTCGTAACCGTAGTTGGAGGTGGGCCTAGGATACGAAAAGAGGCAAAATATGCGGCCCTGTAAGACTAGTCAATAGGGCTGACGTTTAACAGAGCGAATAGTGATTAAGTATGGTCAAGGCGACCGGAATTATTAGTCCAACTCTTGAGATGTTCTCGCTTCCAGTTTCCCCTTAATCTATACTGGACGTCTCCCCCATACCATCCTACGCTACGGGATGAGGCCATGTACTATTCGGGTCATTCTGAACCGGAACCACCTTGGCTGTCTGCCGAGCAATCTCCTTCAGGGGTCAATGTAACCATGTGTCAATGACGCGTTTCGGCAGCCACCAAGCGGAACGAGGGTCCCCGACTTTGGCAATTATTCCGTGGGGCGCTTGGAGACAACATGGCCGCGCCTATCGCGTATGGTGATCACGGGGAAGAAATAAGAAACCCCGGAAAAAGGGAGATATAAGAGTAGTAGAAAGTTCAGACGATTCTGCTAACTTCTGATTAGTATATCTAAGGCATTACTTCACTTCCTCTTCGACCTTTGGATACACCCATTTATACGGCAGGGTCCGACTTAGAAACAGCAGCCGCATATCGCTTTTTCCTGCATACGACCGAATTCCCATCTCTGCTGAAGATGGCTCCCATGTGGAAAACGCTTCTCGGCGGCGCCGTTGCCGCCATGTCCTTGGTTTCCGGCGTCAACGCTGCATACCCTAACCCGGGCCCGGTCTCGGGCAGCACCGTTACCCACGATCCGACCATCGTCAAGACCTCGAGTGGCCAGTACATCTTGGCATCCACGGGAGACAACATCGCCTTGAAGACGTCTTCCGACCGCACCGTGTGGCGCGATGCCGGCGCCGCATTCCCCAACGGAGCGCCATGGACAACGCCCTACACCAATGGCAATCTCAACCTCTGGGCACCAGACATTTCCTTCCGCAACGGAAAGTTCTACATGTACTACTCCGCTTCGACATTCGGATCTCAGAAGTCGGCCATCTTCCTGGCTACGAGTTCCACTGGTGCTTCTGGATCCTGGACCAACCAGGGCTTGGTCATCGAGTCATCGGGTGCCAATGACTATAACGCCATCGACCCCAACCTCTTCGTCGATACTGACGGCAAGTGGTGGCTCTCGTTCGGTTCTTTCTGGTCGGGCATCAAGATCATCTCCATCAACCCAAGCACCGGCAAGCGCTCCGGCACCAGCATGACCTCGCTCGCCAAGCGCGGAGGCGACAATTCCATCGAAGCCCCCTTCATCACTCGTCGCGGAAACTACTATTACCTGTGGGTGTCTTTCGACAGATGCTGCGCCGGTGCTTCCAGCACCTACCGCACCATGGTTGGCCGCTCCACCAGCATCACCGGCCCGTACGTCGACCGTGCCGGACAGCAGATGCTGTCTGGCGGTGGCACCGAGGTCATGGCCAGCCACGGATCCATTTACGGACCTGGCCACCCATCTGTCTTCACGGACGCTGATGCTGATGTGTTCGTGTACCACTACTACACCGCCAGCAACGACCACCGTCTCGGCATCAACCTCATCCGCTGGGACTCGTCGGCCTGGCCCGTCATTTACTGATCCAGTCCACCTGGTTCTGGACGCTGTGAAAGGGGCGCTTATACGGCCTCGGATAAACCGGGGCTGCATTTGCTGTTAATTATTTCCCCGCACAGAAATGGTCCATTCTAGTACAAAGCTTATTTTATGGAGGCGCGCTTCCTGGTACAATCCTTCACTGTATTTAGTTTAAATTTCATCACTGAATTTATGTCGCAAAGCTGCCACGCGACCCTTCAGACCATGCTTGTCCTGAGCCTCAACGTGGTGCCGTTTATGTTGTTTCAATGAGTAAAACGGCCGGAATAACGACACATCCATGTATACATGCGTTTACACACACATGAGATAAAGCTTGCAGCACGTACGCAGGCATTACATTTATATAAGAGCATAAGTTTGCAGGAATAGTGTTCTGTGTCAGCCGTCTTCAGCTGTGCGAAGAGATACCTTCGGCCATCAGCTCAACGGGGCAGCCGACGCTGCAAGAGTAGCATAGAACAGCTTCGTACGGCCCATAATGATCATGCGTCCCTCGCCCGCAAATTGAAAGTTGGCTGCGACAATGCCGGTGTAGATCTTTCCGATAAGCTTGCCTGAAGGGTTCCAGACATGCACACCTTCTCCACAGCCCGCATACACGTTACCCTTCGAATCACAGTGAATTCCTGTGATATACCAGTTAGCGACGAACTTCAGCGGATAAAACTGTCGACGGCCTAAGTGCTTACCGTCAGGGGCACGGGAATTGACATAAGCGAACGTCTTGCGGTTCTCCCAGGTGCCGTCGGGCTTAACATCGAATCGGTAGCTGAAGCCGAGAAGTTAGACATGTTGACAAAGAAGGTCACAAAACAATGAGACATTCGGGCGGCTTACATCGATGCAGGTCGGGTGAAGTTCATGCCAAACAGCGCACGGCTAATTCCGGTGTCCGTTACATAGGCATAGCTACCATCGGGAGAGAAAGTGAGACCTAAATAACGGGACTCGTCAGATCTCGGCCACATTTCGGCGATTCCAAAAGGCTGAGCAGTTAATGGCGGCATTCTTACCATTGGGCAGCGTGAAGTCGTCTGCGACGACAGTGAGAGCACCGGTAGTGGGGTTCAACCGATAAACCTGGTTCCGCAGACCAGGCTCCGGGCGGAAGTACTGGTAGAATCCATACAATGTATCGGTGAAGTAGATGTCGCCATTGCGGGGGTTAACAGCAACATCATTGAGTGAGTTGAACTGCCTTCCGAAGAAATTGTTGACAAGCACTTGAAATGTTCGTTAGTTGTGGTCCAATTTCCCATGGCATGCAGTACCCTGCGCGGGAGGAGTTACTGACCAGTAGTGTTGTAAGGTTCAACAGGGTTCATGAGATAGAGTGCGGAAGCAATCCGATCACCCTGTCCCTCGCCGGCGAAAATGATGTTGCCTTTGTAATTTGTACCTCCTGTAATTTCACACTAATGAGCAACCGTGAGAACGTAGCGATTAGAGAGGGCAAGTTTACCGTTGGGGTTGATGACCTGCGGGTTTGACGGCACGGCTGTCACCGTCACTTGCTCGGCTGTATGCGACCCAGTTCGCAGTGCCTCCGCATCCGCGAGGGATATCTTTTGGACGATTGAAGACTTGTTCAAGCCCGTTCCAGCCGCAGGTGCTCCGGCATTCTGAACGAAGAACATTTCATCCGTTGGGGGGTACCTAATTCTGTTAGCTTCTGCAGTCATGAACTATATCATTTTTTTTTAGACTTTTATATACCATGTGACGGCCTCGTGAAAGAGAACATCGGACTCATTAGAGGCAATCAGAGTAAGCGAAGGGTCGCTGCCAATGATATCGTAAAACTCCGGGTCATAGACATGGAAGGGCTTCTCCGTGAGAGACTCGTGAGTCACACCGGGCCAGAGGAACTCCTAAGGTTCGTTAGTCGTTGTTACACCCCGACCTAAGACCATTGGTCTCTGAGTTAAAATCCATACCGTGGTGGCATTAGCTTCAGCTGGAGGCAAGACCACCTCAAGATTGTTGAAGCTCTTCTGATCGATGATCTGGGCCTTCTCCGGCAGAGGTCGCTCTGCAGGACCCAGTGCCTGAACACCGGCAAGAAGGCCGAGGCCTTCCAGCAGAGCAAGCCTAGAAGCAAATCTAGTGAAAACCATTCTGTCCACGGGGTTCCCAGTCTCGGAGCCTAGCTTCTCAGAAACCAAGTCAAAATCCGATCGATCCGACTCAACCCTTATATCCTAGTGCCAAGCTCCTAGGTCCCCGTTTCCCAGCCATCGCAAGCTAGGATGAGGGGGTGCCAGGGCCGCATTTTGTTTACAACACAAATCCTTGCCCAGGCCACCGGATATGGATGGGGGCAAAATGAAATGCATAGTGTTCGTAACACAATGCCGAGCACAGAGCTTGCCCGAACAGCCCTGCGGCAGTTGCTCCCTCGCTCGCATCGGAGTTATTACGTAGGCATTTTGGTGCATATCCGCTGCTCAATCTTCCAGAGCAGGGGTTACTCAAAATCACATGACCCTTAGTGGATGGAAAAACATTGCGGGGTGCGGGGTAAAACAGAACGAAGGTTGAGGCCGTGATGATCAACCAGGTAGCTTAATTTCATGGATAACCTAATTGACGATGCTTGTATTTGTAGGATGATCACAACTCTTGAGAAAGCCTCACACAGCTGAGCATGTCAAAGATATATATCGATAGAAGGCCTGCATAAGATAAAATTTTGTTGATTTGCCAAGCTCGGCTGGCTGCAAAAACCTGAGTCGTACCTATCTCAGGTGGGCACCGGCGGAGTGAGGGCGGAGTGCAGGTTAAGCGGGGCTGGTCCTAATACCATGATTCTAGATGATCACTCTAATCTGTACCACTCCTATGCAAGTTTCAACATATGCACATATATGATACCGATATTTTCAGTCAGAATCTTCTACTGTTGACGCTGATTTACGGGCACTCGATTTGTCTCGATTTGTTTGGTTCAAGCAACGATATCTGCCGAGGTGGAGGCGATACCCTTGGCACAATTCCCCGAGACCTTGCATAACACCCTCGCGCGGAAAAGACCGACAGACTCCATAGGACGAATGATATACCGGATAAGCAACCGTGTCGGAAAACAGTGATATGATTGAGCTTCAAGGGTTGAAGCGGGGCTATAATTTAGACTTAATTCAACAAATAAACAATAGCATCATATAGAAATGGCGACACCTCATTCATTATAATAGGGAGGGAAAAGGCTTTTTTTTTTTCACTAAATATGATCTGGCCATAAGGCACCAAGTAGCAAACGAAATGAACTATCTTGTTAGAAGAATCGATTGTTGTTGGCTTTCTGACTTGCACGGGCTTTCACTAGTCAAAGCTGAACAACAGCGAGAACGAAATTTTTGAAAACAGCATCAAATTGATCAAACCACGCCCGCTCGCGCTCTCAGAGGTCACTTTGGGCATAATGTCATCCTCGGCATTGATTCTGCTCCCAAAGAGCCTGCTCGTGGCCGCGGGCGGGCTCTGACCACGAAAAATTCGAGAGCAAGCCACAAAGTATGACACGTCAATAGACAACACCATCGACACCACCGCGGTTGAGTCACGGGCTATCACGTGAGCACAACGACCAAGCCCAAACAAACATCAACACCACAGCCACCGATAGGTTATGGGTCGCCTATCACCCCCGACAAAGTTTGCAACGTCCCGCGACAACAACGACGACAAGCCCGACAGAACGGTATCACCTCCTGCATAGAGAAAGCACCAGACACCAGGCATGCTACGATCGATGCCACAAAATACTACAGTTTGCAGACAGATTGGTCCCCTGTCGCCCCCTCCGCGAAGAAGGATTGTCGCCCCTTCAACGTATGACAATGTCTGCGGAATCTGTGTACGAGCTCTCATACTTAGTAATCGGACGAATCGAAGCGGTTGGAGCATTGTGTTTTGCGGATTGAGTCCGACTCCAGGCGGTGGATGGAGGTGGTGGTCGAAAGATGGAAACATAGAGCCACATAGGAACCCAGCATGAGGCAACAAAAAGATTTACAGATTCAACTGAGATATAGCACATGCGAGTCTGAGAGGATGCGGACAAGATAAAGAGACGAAGCTGAGGGCTGGGGGGAGACTATAGGTATACAGAACCAGACATGGTGCCTAGCACCAACAGAACCGAAGTAGGAGGACGCGAAAGAAGGATTCTAGAAGGCAACACCAAGCGAGAGAGCAGGCAGGAGGACAACAATCTTCAACAGAGGGCATAAACACACAAGAATAGATAGCATAGTGGGAGCTTGGGGACAGCTGGTCCTGATCCAACAACAGGGCGAAGTGGGGCGTCGCGGTTTATCGTCGATGCTTCGGCTGTCTGCCAAACCCCGCTTTCCGGGCATAGCTGCTAGCATAAGAGCGGCTTCATAACCGTGTAGGAATCAATCAATCAATCAATCAATCAATCACTAGTCAAAGCTGATGTCAAACGCTGGGGAGCAATGCCAGTAATGCCGCATGTGAAGCGCTGAAGCGCAGGTAGATCGTTAGATAGATGGATTCAGATAGAGAGATGACATCAAAGTACTTAGACAAATTCCTAAGTTTAATCATAGTACTTATAAGAATAATATCGAATGAAGGCTACTGCGAGGTGAGAGGAGCTGTTGATAAGGTTAGTGGTAAGTTGTCGTGATATACTTTTTCCAATGAGCCGATCTATGATTAACTCCTCATTCGACTTTGTCCCGATTGGCTGGTCACCACGTGTTCATCCTTGGTCCCATTTCGAGATGACCAATGCTTCTGGAATGGTGCAGCGATGAATTGATTCTCAATGCCGCGTTGTGCATGATTGTGGCGTCGCACTTCATTGTTATCCACGAAGATTGCGTCGAACAGCCAAGACATAAGTCTCACTTCTGACACCCTACCATCAGGGGGCCGTTACCACTCATAAAATTATCTGCATCGTTTCTGGTCTTGAAAGCCTTGGCATGCATACTTCTTTCATGCCGCTGATAGTAGAAATGTTCTGCGTATATTGTCTCTACTTCGCCAAGGCAGAATCCTAATGGGACACAACAGTTCTCTTCTGTTTCCCGCTAATTGGGTGACTTCAATCTCTAATCACAGATTTGCGTATCGTAGTCTTTATATTTTAATATTAAGGGGGGGTTTAAGTCTTCGAAAGGCAGTCAGGAAGCCTACTTAGTTGATCAAAATGAGATATTTACAGTTATACGATCCGTCTCTACTGCTCAAGCCCAATGTATAGCGATCTACTCCTTAGCAGACGGTTTTGCCTGAAGCCTGAAAGAATGTGTGAGAATTTCTCTCCTGGGCCGAGCCTCACAAGGGGTTCCAGGAAGGGCGTGCGGCCGATGTTGCCGGCTGAGGCGTTCACTCACGAGTTCACTGTTTTCAAACAGAGTATTTGGATACATTTTCGTCTGATAATATGCATAGAAAAAGGCCAGTAGACATGTCGACTTGACATACTTCCAACATGATCAGATGAACCGCAGGATAACTTCAGATGTTCATGGATCTATGCTAAGCTTATAACATGCGTAGATTAGTGAGTCAGAGATACTGTCAGTTTTATACTGCAATAATATATCACTGTTATACATTGGCTAGATTGAGTTATTTGCATTGATAACGGTAGAATCTTAACGACTAATTGACGCGGCGGAGACTCTAGTTTGGCAGGTAGAAGGCTCAGCATCAAGTAAACTAGAAAATGCACCAGGAAGACTTGTGAATTGAAAGCAATTTGAGAGCTGAGCCATCTTTTAATTTCTTTAGCCTTTTCTTATACATATTTTATCATTCAATTAGTATAACACGTTTCCGTGCTGTGCGCCCCAAGCCAAGGATTAGCCCAGTTCATACTGCTCAGTTTATGACGACAGTATCAGTGACCCATGAGTAGACCGCGCTTTTGCGTTAATGGTGTACATTCTATTCAAGTTGAATTACCCAAACACCCCGTGTTAGAATTCCTGTGATCTGTGTCCAATCTGAGCTATTGAGAGTGCAATTTCGGCCACCGGCTTCGCAAAATGCTGACTTTGAAGTACGTAAGCAGCGATTAAGTCGTTTCCGTTCGCCATTCCCCCTGCACATAAATCATTAGTTTTACGCTGATATCGATTTCATCGACTCATGGTGAGATGGGTGAAAAACATACCACTTGACCAAAGATTACCGTCCTGAGTCCATCGAGATTTGTCACCTACTAAACGGACATCTTTGAATCCACAGTTAAGAGTGTTTCGAAAACCTTGTGGTTCAGCTATCGTTCTCCCTTTTAATAATCCAGCATCTCTGCAAAGGGCAATACCGCCTGAGATTATGAGAATATCTGTTGAATCATCTTCGGCATGCCCACGTAGGAACTCCATGACCTCCTTGTCATAGGTACCTTCAGTTCTGGACCCAAGCACCACAAGAATGTCTAGTCTTCCTGGTTGAACTTCATGGTCGCTGATGCAATGTGTTGTTATGAGACGAGCATTTGCCGAAGCAGGAATCGCCGTGCCAGCTGGCGAGGGGGAAATATGAAAGATTTCGACGTTAGGTGCCATGTCAATGATAGGTTCAGAAAGATCTATAGCTCCGAGGTAAGGTTTCCCCATCATTTCGAAAACATCTATGCATGCAAGATCCAGAAGCTGAATGTGGCTGGTGACGAAGACTCCTATCTTGACAGTCTCCATATTCCTGCAAACTAGAATCGAATTATCGCCGACTCTGCGTATTTCGAATGGTTGAGTAGTGTGCGACATTAGAAATTGTAAACAAATGTTGTCTTTTTGGTGCTTGTTGTGACTATCATGCCTAATGATCTAAGTTTATTCACTTATTATAGAGCAAGACTAAGCCAGCACTGTCATGCCACCAGAGATAACTGCGCTATATCTCTAACCTCTACAACGTGAGCTATTCCGGAATCTCACGAGAAATGCGAGCTGCCTAGAATGGTAACTTCGACGAAACCCCAGTAGCTAGGGTGTGATCTGGCAGGTCAACTTGGGGATTGATACGGCAGTTGCCCCTTCCTTTGCCGGAATGAACCGGGGAGCTGGTCGTCTGACTTCGCGGCTAAGACGTTAGACCGAAGACCGAACAGCGAATTTACGTGCGTATATGCCATTAGTTGTGTATGTTCATGTACCCATCAGCCCACGCAAATGGCGTGACTTTCTGAAAGCCGAACACGAATGCGAGCGAGCCCCTCTTTGTATCCTCAAAACTAGACTTTCTGTGCAGTAGTGTGTCGCTCTAAAAGGAAAGTTTTGAAAAAGCCTACGGTTTCTCGACTTTTCACTTATTAGCATTGAGAGAGATTTGCGATGCAATTTTGGCCTAGTTTGATTGTAATGATCGCGACATCGTGTCTTTATCAGATCAAACTTGCGTCACTTTCAATGATGTGGATTTCACGCTCACTTTAGCCAGTAAGCTACGGTGTATAGAATGGCCATAATGGATCTAGCGCTGTCGATATGTAGAAATCTACCGCTTGCCTTGAATATGCCTCGCATCCTTCTACAGTTGACAGAACACTTTGAGAAGTGATTATCGATTACATATGTTCCAACCATTTTTAAAAGAGTTTCATCAGATAATCGCCCAAAATGAGGTGCGGACGTTTTAAGCTCAAGGCAATGGCAAACGTTTCTGGTTGTGAGGCAGAAGCACTTCACCAAGTCGTGGGAAGTCGGCACAAATCAAAGTTGATTCTTGCCTACCTTGTGTACCCATATCTTTATAAGATGAGCTAGGCAAGATCGTTGAAGCCTAGTTCACTGTTACGAACGAGTATTTCTGGGGAAACCGTGGGTATGCTTAGACAGCAACCTTCCTTTATCCGCGAAATTTTGTTCATACCACAAGTCGTTGACATGTGAACTACAACATGATAATGCGGACATGTTTCCAATCAATAAAATAAAAACAGCAGCATTTTCTCATTCCATAATTGTTGCTCATTGAAACTGGAGACAACAGGAACACAGCAAATGTGCATGACACTGCAATATACGAAAAAGCCTGGAGATGGCAGCTCGACTGTCAGCGAGCCGTGGGAGCTGAATGGTGGAGAAGAAGGCGTGGACCCATGCAGTCTTGCGAGCAACACCAGCTGAAAGAAAAATAAACGCGTCACTTAGTTTGTAAGCAACTCTTGAAAACGGACGGAGTTTAGTCCGGTGATTCGGCCGACGGTAGGCCGGATTTACAGCAAGTGTCAGCCAGCTTTTTAATTTAAGTTTGGATGCAAGCAGACAGGGTATGAGCCTGGTAAAATTTGGCATAGCTTGTACTAGCGTACGGAATCCAGGCGAGTAGAATATGAGGATCGGCGTGGGTGGAGAAGTTGTAGTGGACTTTGTAGTTACAACGTCGCTTGTAGTAGACAAGCTATGCGACGAAGCTAGGCACGCGAACATATGCTATATCGCTATCAAATCTGAAATAGCGACATATACACATACCTAGTTTTACCCACCTTTGACCTTTGAAGTAAACTATTTGGTTGGCCAGAAAGGGCTTGGCTAGCTCTTGGCTGGCTAGGTGCCCTTACCAGAACCTACCAGCAGCCATCTGGCATTTCATGGATACACTATGTCAAAGTATTGTATCCTAGGAGGTATGAACCATACACTGTACCAAAGCCCAAGGGAGATGAGGTATTTGAGCGTTTGCTAGTACGATTAGTTTGGGACGGGTTGTGAGGCTAAGGAGATGATCAAATGGTAAAGGCAGTGAGAAAATGATATGGTCTGATAGCAATCCTTCAAGTGAAACGGAATCTATTCCAGTGCCAATTGACGAAGGTAATTGCAATTGAAACGAACCCTTCGTGTAGTCCTGAAATGTTAATTATGGGCATCAAGCTTGTTCGCCGATCGGGTGTCACATGGGATGGAGCAGGGGATATTTCAGCTCACAACTGCATCTGACTTTCTTCCTTGGCGAACCTCCCAGCTTTGAGGAAGAAACCATACTCGAAAGATTGATGTGGTCCCGAATTTGTTGCATCGGAGATCGTGTCATGACGACAGCGATACTTTAGGTGGGCTTCTCTGCCAGCAAGGGCCATCCATTCATGCCCATCACGGCCAAGAGCGTATGCGTATATAAGAACATTGAAACCTCGCTCATACTACACAGTGCTCCAATTAACCATCAAAAACCAAAGATTTGCACCATAATCAACAATCCAAAGAACTTTTATAATGGAAACTGCAATGTCTCTCTACGAGGAAGCCCATGCCAACCCCGCCGGACCCGGTGATTCTCGCCCAACCGCACTGCAAATTGTCAAAGACCAAGAGCTGGAAGGCAAACTGAAAGGGAAAGTTTTCGTTATCACAGGTACTTCATCGGGCATCGGAATAGAGACGGCGCGGGCCCTCTCAGTCACGGGAGCTACTCTCTATCTGACGGCGAGAAACGTTTCCAAAGCCAGGTCAAACCTCGTCGACGTCCTCAATACGAATCGAGTAGAGATTGTTGAGATGAACCAAGAGTCTCTTCAGTCTGTTCGGGACGCTGCGAAGGAAATTCTAGCAAAGACTGATCGAGTCAATGTACTCATCAACAACGCCGGGATTATGGGTATTCAGACACGTCAGCTTACTCAGGATGGGAACGAGATGCACTTTGGAGTAAACCATCTGTCGCACTTCTTGCTTTTTCAACTGTTGAAGCCAGCTCTCCTGGCTGCTGCTACCCCGGAGTTCCCGTCTCGCGTCGTCAATGTTTCCTCTTCAGTACACAGAATACGGGGACTCAATGGGAGTGGCAACTACAACTTTTCGGTAGAGAATTACGACCCCACGGCTGCATACGCGCAGTCCAAGACAGCGAACATCTACATGACGAACGAGATTGAGCGCCGCTATGGACCCAGCGGAATCCACGCGACGAGTTTGCATCCTGGGGTCGTTGACACGTCCATATCGAAAAATTTACCAAAGGCTCAGGTGGACGCTATACTAGGCATGGAGAAAATCCAGAAAATGTTGAAAAGCCCGGAACAGGGGGCCGCGACAACGGTTTGGGCTGCTGTTGGCAAAGAGTGGGCTACTCGTGGAGGAATCTACCTTTCCGATTGCGCCGAAACGAGCCCTGAGATGGAGGGAAGCGATTTAAACGATACGAGATATCATGCTCGCCATGTGTTTAATCCCGAGAGCGAGGGAAAGCTTTGGAAGGACTCACTGAAGCTTGTAGGTTTTGAAGAGGACCCGTAGAAAGGCTTCCTTCCACAAATGTACCAAAGACGGGAAATGATTGGCCTCCAATCTATGTTTTGGAGGAATACACAGCGCTGAGTATAATTGGGATAGGTTTTACATTACTTACATTGTTACCTAATTGCCTATGTAGATAAAATACGACCAACTGAACTTTTCAACGTGCAACTAATGTGGTGTCGTTATCAAATGCAAGAAATCTTCTGCCATCCAGAAACAGGTCTTGGTGGAACTAACCTCGAGACTGAACAAGTTCAGTTGCCTAATTAGGCATGTGGGCAACTTGGCCGAGCGGTCTAAGGCGCCAGACTCAAGATAAGAGGTTCCCACCTTCGCATCTTCCCCAGAACGGGGCGTATTCTGGTCTCGAAAGAGGCGTGAGTTCGAATCTCACAGTTGTCAATGCATTTTTGCTGGTTGGATCGAGATAAACTTGTCCATCCACACAAGTGTTTTTTATTAGCTCTTGAAGCGTTTTCTTACCTGATGGATACTCAAATACGTCGTGCAAGAGGTCCTAGCAGCGCCCTAGGTAGGCAGTAAAATGGACTTTAACCAACATGGTTCAATTGCGTATTATTTTAAATTCTAGGACAAGCGCTTTTTGGGAACGTGATTTCGCCTTTTCATTGCCCTAACGAGGGCCATTATGGTGTTGATTCCTTCAACAAGCACTCAATTACTTCACATGAGTCAAGAGTCGAAGCTTCGGAGAGTTTTTTTTGAATGTCGGCGCCGAATATCACCAGCAATTGCTTGGTTTACAAATCTACCTAAGGGAATGACCTCCTTATTGTCTTCTGCAAGTTTTCCAGTTCTATAAAGTACCCTTTCCCATATCGCAAAAAAATAAAAAATAAAATAAAGACATAACCCGGAAGAATTACTCAGCAGTCAGGAACACTGACTGGGATGTTAAAAGGCACACTTGTTGCCAGGCCACTCAGACTCGTCTCCTTGAACTCATTCCTCATTCCCTTGGCCGTCAGACGCATCGCCCGGATTGCGTCGTCCAACCGCACCTTCTGCGTGCCCGTCTCGCTGCTCAGGGCCAAGTTAGCGCTGGAGATGGCCTTGATGGCACCCAGAGCGTTGCGCTCGATACACGGCGCCTGCACGAGGCCGCCAATCGGGTCGCACGTAAGGCCGAGGTTGTGCTCGATGCCGATCTCCGCGGCCTGCTCAATCGCCTCAGGGCTGGCCCCCATGCACGCCGCAAAAGCACCAGCCGCCATAGAGCAGGCCACACCGACCTCAGCCATGCAGCCGCCCTCTGCTGCAGAGATGGTTGCGCCACGCTTGTAGAGCATGCCGATGGCGGCGGCTGTGAGAAGGAAGGTCGGGATGTCACGCTCTGGATCATCGCTGATGAATTCGATGGTGTACTTGAGCACAGCGGGGATGATACCGGCGGCGCCGTTAGTGGGTGCCGTTACGATGCGCCCGCCTGCGGCATTGGTCTCGTTGACCGCGATGGCGTAAACTGTGAGATAGTCCATCGTGGGGAACGTGGTGCGGCGAGACGGAGACGGGGTGATGGGGTGGTCGAGGGAGCCGAGTACCCTTGGCGGAGTTCGTCGGCCCGGGCCGAGACCGAGACTTGTCTTGTTCTTATTGACTGTTGCAGGGGACAACGTCGCTGCCAACCCTGCTGATCCGATGAGCTGGGCGTTCTCAGTGGTGCTCTTTGAGGCGGCGCCGTTTGATGCATGCCCAGCCGTTGAATACAACCCTCGGGTCAGCCTCCGATATAGTGCGGGTGCTCTCCGGTGGAGCTTGAGGGATCCCGGGAGCTTGGTGTCCAATGGCGCTTGCACACTTTCCAGGATGCTGGTGTCCATGACCTGCCAAATCTTGAAAAGCTTGTGGTAAATCTCGTCGTCCGTGTAGCCATGGCTCTTTTCGTTTTCGTAGACAAGCTGAGCTATGGTGAGATTGTGCTTTCGGCACAGCGACAGCAAGCTTGCCGCGTCTCGGAACGGGTACCGAGGGCCCTTGTCACCACCCTCATTCTCCTTTTGAGCATTCTCCGAGACATCAACGCCGTTAGTTTGGGATGCGACAGGGGAAAGGCCCGCTTGTGAGTTTTCCAGAAGTTTAGTGTCGTCTGAGGAGTCCTGGAGGGGCTTGACTTCAGCGCCAGTCCGGCGGTCTCCAGCAGCGTCAGATCGTCGAATTTCTTTGTAGAACATGTTCTCTGCCAAGTCGACCGGATGTCTCCCTGTATTTTCATCTGATTGTGAGTCGGGGGCTTCCACTTGGGTGACGGACGACGATGACGACGAGACATCAGGGTTGATAGATAAGGCGCCGTTCACGACGAAGCCACCACCGACGCTAAACATGTCGTTGGTAGCGAGTACGTAGCCTTCTTCGTCAAAAACGGTGAAGCGCATGCCATTGCTGTGCATTGGTAGTTTCCGTCCCCATTCCCAGACGAAATCACGCTCGTAGTCGAAGGCAACCTCCTTGCCCTTCCCCTCAGGCAGCCCATGGCCCAGGTAAAGCTTCTTTGTGTTTTTGATTTCGGTAAACCTCTCCGGAACGTACGCAGTATCGACTGTCTCAACGTCTGCGCTCTCCAGGCCGAGTAAGAGGGCGGAAGGTGTCATGTGGCCCTCGCCTGTGAGGGCTAGACTCCCGTAGATGGAGACTCTGATTTTGTGGACCTTGTGCAAAAGATTTGCCTCTGCCAGATCAGCGACAAAGATATTTCCGGCACGCATTGGGCCGACAGTGTGAGAAGATGACGGGCCAATGCCGATGGAGAAGAGGTCAAAGGTTGAGATGACGGCATGCTCATTGGCGGCTTCGCTGTAGCTGCCCGTCTCCTCTTCATCTTCGGCAGCATTACGCCTCCGCGATGTGGTGCTCAGCAGCCGCCGGGACTGGATGCCCGGCAGAGCTGAAGACTTTACTAGACCCAGAGCATATCGTGATGTCGCGGTGTCGAGAGTACGAGGCAAACGACTTCCAGTGATCAAGGTACTCACTCCGACCCGCGTTAAAGCGCGTTGAGCCGATGCCCCACGTTGCAGGGCCAGCTGCCGGATCGCCGAGCAGCTCATCGCACTCCCAAAAGTCCACGGCGATTGAGGAAATATTTATCAATTGAAAAGACTTATGTCATGAACGAAAGAAGGTTTAAATGGAGGGATGAGAAGAAAGACTTTATTCTGACGGGAAGCGGTCTGGGGTAGGCCGAGAGATAAGACCCCAAAGCTCTCCCTGTATCTGGGGTAAGACAAACATAAGCCCCAGAAATCCTAAATCTGACCAATCATTGGGGCGGAATTGACAACCCCAGTGAGGGGAGTTCTTGATATGGAGCTATGGTACGTAATAGTCTGTCCTTTTTAAATGGCAGTAAAAAAACCTTGATCGTCTCATGGCATATATTTTGTGGTTGTTAAAGCCGAGAACCTACGGGTGGCATCCGAGTCAGTGTTGTCGATTAAAAAAAAAAACACAAAACATATGCACCAACGGGAGTAGGAGGATGACGTTGGTTCGCCATTACATGGTTCTTCATCGCAATTGGACCAAGAAAAAGGATGCCATAAGCGGCGTTAAACCCTTTCGGGGAGGCCGTCATCAAGGAGAGTCATCGCTGTCCAGATAACAACAGCCAGATAACACAGCATTTCATCTCATTTAGGCTTCCTCTGAATCATCGAGGCTTGATTTACTGCCATCTCATCTGACTAAATGCCAAATCATTTTATATTTTTTCTTATCTGAAAGCTATGGCGACCGAAGAAGCTCACCCAGAAGAACATCCATCAGACGTGGCCGGACCCACGGATTGCAATGCCGAGCCCGGCTCCTCTTCCGTGCCCAGCCAAGCGCATCCACAACAGCAATCCGGCTTCTTCTCCGCTCTGCCGTTGGAAATACGTCAGGACATATACCGACATCTGTGGGCGGCCGCCGGATTGACCCAGCACGTTTACAAGTCTAGTCCTTCCGTCCTGGCCCCTCTGTCTCATTGTGCTTGTATCACGGACCCCAACGCCGAGGATGTCCGGGAGATCGAGCTTGCCCGCATTCTCGATGCCCCGCCCGCGGACCTGGCGCCGGACGGCCCCATGACCGAGGAGGCGGCGATACAACGTGATGAAATCAATGATTGGCGCCTGCGCAATGCCTCGCAATGGTGTAACCATTGGGAATGCGAAGAAGCCCCTCCGATCCTACGTCCCTTGGACGAACGAACCAGTGACCACAAGGACGACTCCAAGTCGAAGAAACAGCCGGTGCTAGTAAAGGAGTTTAGCCCCTTTTTGGCCGTCCTCCTTTCTTGCAAGCGCATGCACCAGGAGGCTGTCAATTCCATCTACGACAACACCACCTTCTCATTCATCGGCACCGACGCCCTAACGCGCTTCTTGGAAACAACGACGGCCGAGTCGCTTGCCCGGATCAAGGCCCTCCACATGATCTGGCCTGCATCAATAGAGTCTTACATGGATCCTGCTGACCCGGAGGCCGAGGCAGCCAGAATAAAATGGAATGAGTTATGGATGAGCCTCTCGCTCAAGACTCCTCGTTTGAGAGAGCTGCGTGTATGGATGTATCCCCAATATGCACGATACCCTATGCCCCATGAAGAATGGTTCAAACCACTTCATCAGTTTAAGCATGTTCCAAAGTATGAGATCTCATTGAGATGGTTCATGGATCCTTCACAGCCTTTACAGCCAGAAACTGGCCCCCTGGATTTTCTAGAAGAAGCCCCCTTTGAGTATGATCGGGTACCGCCGCTCCTGGATAATCCTCTGCAATCCCACTGGCGTCGGTTGATTGCGTTGTATTTGGACGAGCCGCGCTCAATGCCTGCTCGCCGACAAAAGAAGAAGAAGAGATATCTCGGTCGGTCGTGAGATAAGAAGTTTAGTGTATGCATTCAGGCGGGGGTGGAAATGTTTTTAACGGCGCTGTAGCTGTTCTTTTGGATTCGCAAAGCGGTTTGTTATTATTTTCTCGCTACATTTGATACATACTTCGACACCCAGATTTCAGTGTGATCAGGTATCCTAGCCTCATTTTCAAAATGAAAATGGAGAAGTGAGAGACTTGAAAAGGAACCTGTTGTATTTATGTCGAAGCTCTCATGTGTAAAAGTGGCTAGAGAACATTCTACCACCACGCCAACCGCAATTTATTTAGGTTGTTGAACAAACGCGTGCTAAGTAGTAACGGCCCAACATTACCCGTGCTAACAAATCATGACACGCCCCCTTTCAATATATAGGCACGTGCCTCTGACAACATATCGCTTATTTTTTTTGAGAGCCAAATTTCTTAGCGCCAGAGGAGATATAGCTCAAATGTTAAACCAGGAACGTGCCGCTAAGCGAAGAGTTAAGCTTTCTTCACAGCGACACGCCGGCAGTTGCCTTGACTCGTTTCACTAATGCGGGGACTCCCTCAAATGTATCAATGTTTGACTTTTCCCTCTACGTGCGATTTAGGAAATTCAGCTCCTTTTTGAGACCAGTTTCAACCTTGGACAATTCATATCCCCGGGCACCCGGGCTAAACCATGAAATTTGGGTCGGTTCCCACGGTTCCCACGGTGCCCGGTGTGGATGCCGGGCAAAATGCAATCAAATAGAAGCACATGGTCCGAACCAGGCTCAAATCATATATTAACTTAACGTATCTGGGGCCTTTGTCGAGGAGAACATTCCCAGGTGGCTGACCCTCATCTCCTCAGTTGAATTTCAAGCGGTAAAAATGGCAGAAAGCATTTTGTTTCGGGTTTGCTCCGGCTTCTCGACGCAGTTGGGCTTTGCCATATTTGCAGTTTGTGCTAGCTTTCTGTTGCTGCGGATGATTCGACAAAAGAGCCAACTTTCAAGTATACCTGCAGTAGGAATTGCTAAGACACGAGAGGATAGACGAAAAGAGTTTCTTTCTGGAAAAGCAAGGAATCTCTACATTGAGGGTTATAGGAAGGTACGTGATATGGTGAAAATGACTTGGAATATGAAGCCATACTGACTATCTGAGTTGCAAAGTTCAAAGATGGAGCCTTTCGAATAATGACAGCAAGAGGTAATTGTGATGCATTCAATCAGTTGTGTTCAAGGCTAACTTTGGTGCCAGAGTCTGAGTGTATCGTTGTCTCGCCAAATTTCCTGAGGCAGTTGAAGAAACTGCCGGATACTGTTTTGAGTTTCAATGAGGCTGTTGAAGAGGTAGGAACAATTACAAGCAGACACAACATCCGCTAAGTCTTTCGATGCAGGCCTTACAGACGCGATATACAAAGATCTCGAGCAACATCCCCACGATACCTCACACTTTGAAGACTTCACTGAACCCTGCATTGTGTGAGTATTGGAGGGGAACTTGTTGTGTTGTAAAATGTATAGCGGCCTAACGATTCTAGTTCGTTTGAATCCTGTAATCTTGGACGAGGTCACGACGGGCATTCGAGACGAATTTCCGCAATCTTCCGAATGGACCACAGTTTCTATCAACAAGAAGCTTATGCGCGTAGTTGCGAAAACGTCTGGGCGCATTTTTGTCGGCCCCGGACTTTGCAGAGATGAGGTTTACCTCGAAGCTGCTGTAGGTTACACATTCGACATGACCGCAGCAATTCAGGCTGTGGGGTTTATATCTCCATGGCTACGGCCCATCATGGCGTCACGGCTTCCGCAGGTAAAGAAGCTACATACGCGATTTCAGCAAGCTGATGCCTTTTTGCGGCCCATCGTGACGGCGCGCAGAGAAGCAGCCAAAAGCCGGCTCGCCGGCGAGGCTAAGCCAGATGATATGCTTCAGTGGCTTTTGGACTCGCAGGATAAATTCGGTCAGCAAAGTGACAGAGAAATCTCGAAATACCAGCTGAGCTTGACATTTGCTGCCATCCACACCACGACAGTCGCTTTGACTCATTCGTGAGTTAGAAAGCCTTTTCCCTTCAGCATTGTACTAACACTGGAAGCTTCTATAATCTTGTGGCAATGCCGGAACTGGTTCAGATTCTACGTGATGAAATAGTGGAGGCTGTGGCTGACACAAAAGGAGAAATCACCGCCACCGCGATACAGAGGATGCTTAAGTTGGACAGCTTCATCAAGGAGATAATGAGATTTTACCCGCAGACCGCAAGTAAGCAAGCTGTCCATTCATATTCTTTCCATGTTTAATCGTTTTGTTAGCCGCATTTCAGCGCAAGGTGATGAAAACGTTTACTCTACCCAACGGTCAACTTGTCCCCGCGGGAACCATCATCGAAGTTCCCTCTCACGCCATCAATTACGATGAAACCATTTACGCTGAACCGGAGAAATTCGACGCTTTACGGTTCTACAACATTCGAAAACAGAAGGAGGCCGCACTGAGTATGACAATGTCGGCGAACGATGCCACCACCGAAGCAGCAGCGAACAATCAGTTCACGAGCGTTAGTGAGACGAGCTTAGCTTTTGGCTACGGAAGGAACGCGTGTCCAGGGCGGTTTTTTGCCGCAAATGAGATCAAGATGATCTTGGCAACTACGATCTTAAACTATGACTTGAAGATGCCGGACGGTTGCACTGCAAGATATGATAATTTGACAGTCGGGTCCCAGGTATGTACGAGAACTGGTTTTCCCAAGTCTTGACTAACCTTCCCAAAGTTGGTTCCTGATCCTTCTAAGAGCATCATGATGAAGCTGAGAAACAGAGAAGGTTGAGTTTCCGAGGCGATGGCTGTTCACATATGAACACCATGGCACCAGGCCCTGCCGGTAGCAAACATCCTACTTCAATATTTGAGATTTTGGAGAAGCTTTAATAGAGCATTTTGTCCATCTTCATTCAAGGAATGATTACTGTCTATGCTGCCCTTCACAGGTGCCTACATCTCTCATCCTACATAGACGGCAGTTCTTAGACGGAAGGAATATGTATGCAAAGGAGCATGTTACATTTAGTTATTCCAATGGATGCTTGAGCTATGCTTTATTCTTTCACTTATATAGTGGATCCTGGTTTACAGGTAGCCTTTTCCTAAATCTCTTTAGACTACTGAGCAACTTTATTTCTTCCAGTATTCAAACTTGTCTTCCTATAAGCCAATTTTGGGCTAATAACACAATAAAGCGGACTCATATTAATGTCCAACCTGCGTCTACAGCAAACCTAGAATGGATGTGTTGTTCTAAATTTGGACCCATTGTAAGCAACTCGATACATCAAATCGGAAGGACGTAATTGGTGCCACAATAACTTGTTGAACAGGGCTTTTGCTACACGGTCATAGCAAATGCCTCAGCCAGAAGACTCAGATCTGACATGAGCAAGACGTTTTGCTGTCGTATTGTCCGTGCACACGTCTCTGGACAGCATCACGACATCAGACGGGAGGAGCTGAGGCATGTAGAATGACGAGGTTTGAGGGTTTGTGCGCAGAAGCCATTTAAAGGGGTTTGATTATTCCCGCCAATGTGCTCGGATGATTAACACCCTCTGTCAACTCGACAACCCTACAACTTAAATCATCATTACTTTCAAGAGCTTGGGACCAGAGAAGGGTTAAGCCTTGGCACCTATCAGTCGATTAAACTTTACTTGTATAAGCATGAGAGCCTTTCATGCCTTTTTCTTCCTCGTGGGAGTCAGCGGCAACGCTCTTGCGGCATCAGTGTCTGACGTCGAAGATAGTACATCACTCCGAACTTCTACGGTTGAAGGTGGTATCGTCTGGACCGGTGACGTTAATGTGAGTGTCTCAGTGTTTTCAGTTGGACTATTGCAAAAGGGTTGTAATGGCCGATCTAACTAATTGTCACATAGCTGCCACTCCAGAAGCGAGGTAGAGTAACTGGAGAGCCTTGCACATCTGGAAGGGGGGAGTGTAATAGAGGTCTTGGTTGCTACGGCTGCCAGGGCCACAAAACCGTTTGCCAGATCGGTCCGGGCTCTAACCAATGCTGCTTTAACGAAGACAGCAGAGGACCTATCTGCCAGCCCATGAGACGATAATGGAAGACTGTTGCGATAGTTGGAATACGGAGTCGTGTGGCACTTCCAGCCACACGCCCGCCAGGCTGAGAGGCCCAAGCCTCCCAGACCCACGTGACAGGCCAAGGGGGAATATCCCCACCTTCTAGTCAACAACACCACTTTCAACTATCATCATGAACCATCGATTAGAACCAATTTACTGTTATTTGTTATTGACGAACGGAATTCCGTTTCACCCCCTGTTTCACCCCCTGTGAAACCTACACTGATCAGTGGTAAACCTCACAGTTGCCATTAATTTGGTTAACTTCACAATTACCACTCTGCTACGGACAAACCGCAGATCAGCAAGGTCAACACCAGAAGAGACGACTTCTTGAACTGGATACCCAAGCCCAGGTAAAAGTAGGGATTTCGTGCTAACGAGAGAAGAAGCGAGAGTAACTGGGATCTACGGAAACCAGCAGAAGAAAGCTTCTTTTCCTCGAATCTACCAGCAATCCGATTATTCGAGTAACCTAGGGACTGCTACGCTCACCCTAGGCGGGATAAGGTTAATCGCAGCCAATTATCGCTGGCAAGAGCGTTCCATCACGCGTTTTCAATCACCAGAAGAAGAGACCTACCGAATCGACGGTCCTCCAACCTCTTCACGCCACAAGGGCGAAGATTCACGAATCCCACAAGGGATAACAACTTCCCCAACTACAACTATCCCCCACGCGCGGTGCCAATCACGAGGCGCCCGCTAGTTTCTCAATAAATCCCCAGACGAGGTGCCAACCGCGAGGCGCCTGCCACAAGAGACCTCCCCACTAGAAGAAGAACACGCCGAAAGGCGAGCGGAGACTACCGGCGGTAATCCGCCTATACAGCTATACGTATACGCCTCCGAGGCTGCGGCTTAGGAGAAACGCACGTGGTTGTGGGCGTCATAAGGCCAACTGTCCGCTAGATTCTAAACTTCCCAACAGTGAGGAGCGAAGCCCGAAGCGAGAAAGAGAGATTCACGAGAGAATCTACGGTAGAACTCTCTCCCTACCAATTCGAGACCTGTGTATACCCTCACACCCCTCGAGAACATCAGCGAGAACGGCGCCGACGGAAACAAACGACGAACCGACGAAAATCCCCGATTTCACGATTCTTTCCCCTTAGAATCGTAATATCCCGAATCGTCTTTTGACTCCCACTTCCAGGCCTGCATCTTGCACCAATCGCAGCTGACGCTGTTGAGGATTAGAATTCAAGATTCTAAACAGAAGTAATCCTTTTATACTGTCAGAATGGAGCGAAATTCACGAGAAGGATCGCCCGCGAGCGGCGTCACTGCCAAAAGCCAATCAACAGTCCCCATCCCACAGAGAATCGAAAGTATGATCGATCCAGCAGTATGGGGCAACTGGGCAATCGACCTTACAAACGCTAGCCCACAGCAACTGGGTTCCTATATGGGTTTCCTACTTGAGACCTATGAGAAGAGGAATCTCACGGGCCTCGAGCTATGGAACGAAGTTTCTCCCGATTTCGCCGACTGGTCAGAAGAAGACTTCCAGAACGTACCTCCCCCAATCCTACGATTCTTCAGAGACTATTTAATCGGTAACGGCGTCTACGTCGAAATGGATGGCAAGAAAATCTCGAAAAACGTGGCATTAGCCCTCAAAAAGGAAGAATTCCACTACTGGTCACCCCAAGAACTCGAACAAGGCGTCAAGAGATATCGCAACCTGAAGGCTCTGATAAAAGACCCCGAATTCCACGAAGAGATCACGAGACCGGCAACAGTAGCCAACAGCACAGGAGGAAGAGTCGAACCAACCCTACAGCCACCTCCTCCACAAGAACAACAACAGTGGCAACTACCGTACCGACCGCCACATCCCACGGTCTCTCCGTTAACAGACTTCCAACCATACGAGTCAACAGACCGTATCGGAAAGCAATTAACAGAATTCGCGAAACTATACCCCGACGATATGAAATACAGCGGCGATATGTACGATGTACGCGAAAAGAAGGGCTGGACCGGACCGTTTACTTTAGCAGCCATAAACGGCGAAACCTGTACTGTCGATACGCCACGTGGTCCGAAGACCTTCCGGTCTACCGTAGTCAAACCATACTACGAAGATCCCGATCAACCACCTAATTCCATCGCCGCGCCAGAAGAAGAAGAACCCGAAGCTAAGATACCGCAGCAGGAAGTAGTACGCGACGAAATTATCGTCGCCGGCGGAGGCAGTGAACCGGACGAACCGCAAGAGGCACCGGAGCCACCGAGAAGACGCCCGGGCAGACCCCGGAAGAGACCACTGCCAATCGCCCACTTCACAGAGGAATTCAACGATGACCCGGATTATCAACAAATATTCCTATCGATTAAGGAGCAAGCAGACGAAGAATTAGCAATCAAACTACGACGAGAAGGTGTTATTACTACACCAGGCGAACCGTTCGAACAGTCAACTAAACAAGAGATCAACAGCCTCATCGCTAGAGGAGTGTTCAAATTCACCCAGTTCAATAAGAGAAGGCACCAGAACGTACGAATCTTCCGATCTCGTATCGTCAACGAAGTCAAGGGTAAAACAACCGAACCCTACGAGAAATCGAGACTTGTAATACAGGGTTACGCCGACGATGGCAAGAAGGCTATATTGACCCAATCGCCAACGATTCAGCGGGCGAGTCAACGGCTAATTCTGTCAATTACCCCGTCACTCCTACGAGAAGGGAAACAACTATGGCTTCGAGATATCACACAAGCCTACGTTCAATCCTCCACAAGGCTCAATCGTACTATTCTCGCCTACCCACCGAAGCAAATTCAAGACCAGTACCCAAAAGGGACCATTATGGAGGTTGTGAAGCCTCTGTACGGAATCGCAGAAGCTGGAACCCACTGGTGGGCAACGTATCACAAGCATCACAGAGAGAATCTCCAGATGGTTACTTCTTCGTACGATCCATGCCTATTGATCTCATCTACCGAAAATCCACACTTTGGCTGTATCGGCATGCAAACCGACGATACCCTCGGTTTGTCAGACAAGGCGTTCTCACAATTAGAAGACGAACAGTTAGAAAAAGCGGCTTTTACGGCAAAAGCGAAGAATATCCTCACAATTGACGAACCCCTCCAATTCAACGGAGGGATAATCGCGCTGTCAACCGACAATTCGATCAATTTGAGGCAAAAGGGACAAGCTAAGAAGTTACGATGTATTGAGACTACTAAACCCAACCCAAAACAGCAATATGTCGAACAACGCGCCAGAGGGGCGTACATCGCGTCAATTTGCCAACCCGAGGCCTGTTTCGATTTATCCACTGCTGCCCAACACCAAGACCCCTCGCCAGAAGCGATAAAAGCACTGAATCAACGGATTCGATGGCAAATAGAATCGCCTAACCGAGGAATAACGTTTATCCCACTCGACCTTACAACAGCCAAGCTATTCGTTTTCGTTGACGGGTCGTTCGCTAATAACCACGACCTCTCCTCCCAATTAGGGTTTCTGATCATCCTAGCCAACGACACTTCCTCTGACAGCAACAACGGAGAATTCACGATTCACGGTAACCTCGTTCATTACAGCTCTACGAAGAGTAAACGAGTCACCCGCAGCGTATTAGCGTCAGAGATCTACGGGATGGTCGCTGGCGTCGATATGGCCTACGCCCTCGCCACAACCCTGGCGACAATCACTGACCACCTCAACCTACCAACGATTCAGACAGTTGTCTGTACCGATTCTTATTCGCTGTACGAGTGTCTCGTGAAGCTGGGCACTACCAAAGAAAAGCGACTCATGATCGATATCATGGCGTTGAGACAATCGTACGAAAGACGAGAACTACAAGAAATTCGTTGGATTAACGGCGAAGACAACCCTGCTGATGCCCTCACGAAGAGCAAACCAAATCGAGCCCTCGAGAGATTCGTTGATAGCAACACGATAACGATACGTATGGAGGGATGGGTAACAAGACCGTAACTACGGGAGAAAGTAGGGATAGGAGGCCGAATTGACGAGGAGACGGAACTGTATAGGGACAACGTATTCCAACCGCTTCAACACCATAAAAAGAGAGTTTCCAGTGTTGCGATAGTTGGAATACGGAGTCGTGTGGCACTTCCAGCCACACGCCCGCCAGGCTGAGAGGCCCAAGCCTCCCAGACCCACGTGACAGGCCAAGGGGGAATATCCCCACCTTCTAGTCAACAACACCACTTTCAACTATCATCATGAACCATCGATTAGAACCAATTTACTGTTATTTGTTATTGACGAACGGAATTCCGTTTCACCCCCTGTTTCACCCCCTGTGAAACCTACAAAGACAGTATAATTTGGCTATAGAAAAGCAAGACAATATAGCTAAACTAATACCAAAAAACCTCCACTTACTGGGGATCGAAGCCATACTGCTCTAAATCTCCTTCCAAGCCCAGACTCCAAATCGACGAAGTGAGAGGTTTCCCTTCAATAAGCCCATTTACATCCCTAACTCCCCTGTCCTTGAATCCCAGTCTACGGAACATCTTTTTCGCATTCTCATTGTCCAGATCGGTGACACCTAGAAAGCCCTTCTGACCTCTTTCTTCTTCAAAGTATTTCATCAACCTCTGGGCAGCTTCAGTCGCGTATCCTTTTCCTTGGTAACGGTCAAGGAAAGAGAAGCCAATATCCGGAACTGTCGGCCCGCCTGGAAAACGAGCAAGTTGCATAGTGACGCAGCCGACTGGTTCGAAACGGCGCTCCGAAAATGGCTTGTCTACATCATTTTCGTCGGTTGAAGGAGGTTTAAGGGACACAAGATATCTTCCCCAACCCGATGCTTCCATCCGCGCCATGCGTGGCTCAATCTGCAACTTGGCAATCGCCTCTCGCTTTGACATGCTTCGTGACATGTCTTCCAGTTTAGAGTCCAATTCCCGGTTTTTCATGTACTCGATCAAGAAATCGCAGTGCACATCGTTGGAAGGGTTGAGATGGGAAATGTAGAGGCGTGGGGTGCCGATGTGCCAATCGAAGTCGAGCATATTGAGTGATTTGAATGTGGAGTTGAAGCTTTTGATGGTTTTGGATTTGTGAAGTTGAGTGAGGTTTGAAAGGGTTAATTTTAAAGATAGTCTTGGTCTCGAAAAGCCACGCAATATTAATCGGGGTTATGTCGCGTGATGCAAGCGCTACGGAAGAGATGGCAGGCAAATCTACCTTTCGGGAAGGTACTAATATTAGGCAGACGGAAACCCACATTCACGGAGAAAGTCTGCGATGGTTGGCTTAACGATGCCTTGAGATCCTAGCTCTGGCGGTCCACCCTTACAAAAGTCCCAAGACACAGGGCTTTCTTTGTGTGGCGTTTCAAATTGTAGGATCCAAATAAGGAGGTAAACAAATGTTAGGCACAATTGAGAAGGATTTTTTAATTTAGAAGTTCGTATTCTCCATCCTTTGTTTTGATTATGTTATGTAACCATACAACAGCATCGAGTAAGAAAATACTGTGGCGTGAATCTTAGGACCGTTACGGTAGTGGGCCTTAGCACAATCAATTGGCTAAGGGTGGCTTGGGAGTATTAACTGCCTTGACAACTCCAGAGATTGTCCTGTCTGCAAACCAAGATGTCCCAACATAAGTGGCTGCCGGGCCAAGGGCAATGCTGCTGGCGAGAACGGCGGTAAAACATGCAATCAGTTGTGCGGTTGATATATATCCCCGACGGCGCAGCTGGAACATGCTATAAAGCGAGTAGACAACAGCTGACATAGCAATAATGGCCAAGTGCGCATGGGAGGCAGAAGCATCCAGAATGCCAGACAAGCCTGGGAGGCGTACTACCGGAAGGATCAAGAGGTGTGCGGCCGCGAGAAGGGACACCATCAGCCCATAAATAGCATCTGGCTCATTGGCAATCGTTATTGGCTTCTCCTTGTGGCTGTTCACAACTTTAGAGTGCGCTGAACTGCCTCGCCGGAGCCCAGCGGATCTCGTATTCCAGAAGCGAATTCCAAAAAGGGCGATAGGTACAAGTATAGGGGCGAGAAACCACAGGGGCCAGGCGATGGGGGATATAAGCGTAAGAGCTGTCGGCAACACGAACCCTATCCCCAAGGCCTCTGGCACATCTCGCCAGGTGTTCGATGGTAGCTCGCGGCCGGTCGTGGTCCAATACGTCGGCATCAGAATGGACAAGGCGAAATACGTGGGGACGGCAATTTCGGGGCCGCACAATTGAGAAGCGAGTAAGAACAGGAAAGGCCTTTGGGAGCAGGTTAGCATAGGGTTCTGAATAATTAAGTCGAGTGATAAGCATGGCAAACACCTACCATTGAGATACACTGCTTCCATTGCCGGCGCGTTGGCCATCCAATGTCCACATGAAGAAAATGGGCACATAAACCAAGACATGGTAGACTAGTGTCTGTGCCTGATCTGATATCACTTCCGTGGAGATCCATGGAGATGAAGGAATATGTGTCAGACCGGACCATATGCGCCAGTCCCTCGCTTGAGCTAGATAAACCGGCATGGCGAGTAGGAATGTAGCCGTCAGAACCGCAACTGTTCTCGACACTGTAGTTTTGAGCGGTTTGGAAGGCAACTCATTGGAAAATGGGACTAGTCTTGGCCTGAATGGAATAGGGAGATTCTCAAGTGTAACGCCATCCACAAAGTCGCTCATGAATCCGTTGAGGCTCGTCTGTGCGTCAAGATTCGGCATGATGTGGCGAACGGTAAACTCTCCCATGGCCGTTGTGAAGGTTTCTGCTCTGGCAGCCTCCGTCGCCCTTTTTACGAGGGCCTTGACGTGGTCGAACCGCTGTTCCTGCACTCGAGCAAAGCTAGCAGAGATGTCATCGTCAGTCGGTTTGTCTGTCCTTGCCAGCAATCGGGATATCTCATTCGCAATCGCTGCGGCTGTTTCGATTGCCGAGTTAGCACCCTGCCCCGTCTCAGGGTTGAACTAAAGAGCCTCTCAGTTAGCCTGGTTACAGTTCGCCCTTTGAAGACTAGGTCAGATCCACGCTACCTTATGTGCCGCGTCCCCTAGTGTTATAATCCTCTGAAAGTGCCATCTCTTGAAAACGTGCTCTTGCAGACATGTCATGACGGTAACCTCGGCGGTGGAGTATAGATCACCTAATCTCAGCCCCGGCATCACAGGGTCTTCAATATGCTCCTTAACGACGCGAGCTTCGTCATCTTTGGTGAACTTGGGAGCATCATCCCCATACGCGGGTTCATCCAGGTTGAGGAAAAAGAACCAATACAGCCGATTGTCTGCTCCGGGAAGGACGGAGTGCAAGAAACCGTTGTTATAAGTCATGACTGACTCATAGGTCTTGAAATTCGGGTGCGGGCGGCTAATACCGAAGATGGCCTTCTGATAGCATGGTACGGCTAGCGAATTGTCAACACCTATTTAGGGCCAAGTACTATGTTCACTCTTCTGAACTTACTTGACCACTCGTCTTTGGGAAAGTATCCGGGAGCTAGTTCTGCACCCAGTCGCCACATCTCCTTCCTGACGGTGCTGTGAATGCCATCGCCGCCGGCAAGGATGTCTCCTGTGTATACGGTTCCGTCTTCGGTAATGAGTTCTACTCCAGAAGTAGCCTTGATAACCTTAGTGATACGCTTGTTTACCAGAATTCTGTCTTTGTGTTTAATGCTTTTGTATAAGATTTCGAGGCAGGAACGCCGAGAGAGGAAAATCATCGGATACCCAATCCTAAACATATTTATCAACGACTGATGTAGTTAAAGATATGATTGTATCTGTTCATACCAACGGACCATGTCATGCATATTGATGCTCGCCAACACTTGTCCTTCCGGTGAAAAGAACTTGGCATCAGTCATGGGTTTTAAGTCGTACTGCTTCTTGAAAGAGTCATATACTCCCAGCTGATCGAGGATCCTGAGCCCGTTTGGCAAAAGGCCGACGGCTGCACCAACATTGGCAGTGACTTCAGGGTACGCTTCGAGCACCAAGTAATCGATCCCGAGCCTCTCAAGCATTAGAGCCAGGCTCAGGCCGGACACACTGGCGCCGCAGATGATGACTTTGAAAGATTTTGTCATGGTCGGAAGAGTTGAAATGTCTGAGTAGGATATGCCTCGCTGAGTAAAGAATAGCAGTTGTAAGCAGGATTGATGTCTCGCAACAGTAACCAAACAGGCGTTTCTGTTCTTCATCTTTATTCTCCATTCTGAACTTCTTAGTATTTATATATGCCTAAACTTCGGTATCGTTACTTTGTGCACATTGTCTTATTTCTCTGAACGCTCAATGACCTACCTTTGACTCGCGAAGCATCTTGGCAAACCCCGATGCCGCTCATGCAACGGTCTTGGAGCCCGCAAAATAGCCAGTAGCATGTCCTCAAATTTAGTCCAAGGTCTTTAGAGGCTGCACGATGCCCCTCAGAGGTACGACCCGACCGTCGATCGCGTCCGTAACGCACGGCAGATGGACTTTGATTTGACGTGGTTGATGGAGCGATTTAGTGCCTGCCCGTGGTTCGGCGCCCAACGTCTTCGGAGATCGGGAATGTCGGCCGCGAGCCGCCAAGACCCTGTGGCTGCGGGAGATGCAACTGCGGGCGTGGAGTCTTGGAATTGTCCGAGGGAAACTTCTAGCCTAGAGCTTAGAGATTAGAGCTAAGGGCTCACATACTGTACCTTGCGTTACGAAATATCGTTCTGGGGCGCGATTCAAGGGTACCGTGGCTCATGCCTTCTTTTTATGCGGCACCAGGTCGGAAGCATAGGCCAAGGTGCACAAACCATCAGGTATACCATATCAAAGCTGGCGACCTTTGTTTTTGTGGCTTTCACAGGCCCACCTATTCATATTAGCACCTTTTCCCTCTTTTCAGGTCTATCTAGCAAGCGCGAGCGAGTTGACAACATTATGTTTCCCTAGCGACACGTGATACTAGAAAGTTATAACTCTCATTTTTTGTCAGTTACTTTCTTGGCTGAGATCACATGAAATTGCGGAGAGCCAATGGAGCCAAAGTAAAAGATGTTAAGTGCTCGCCAAATCAATCCTTGCGCAACACTCCAGCCAGAATATTAACATTCCTCCACTTCGTGCAGTAACGAATCAGTAAGCCGGTAAATCAACGGCGTTATAACCTGCGGTGAGTTATCTATATTGAGCTGATCTGCTGCTTGTCCAGGAGAAAGAAGAAACAAACCGGAAAGAACATTTACATTGAATAAAAAAGTCAAACCTTAGTTGGGTGATAAGCACCTAGGTGGATCAGGATATTCGTTGACGATAAAGCTGATGAGCTGAAAAATTCTAGACACTACCACCATGCTGGAAATAAAGATTACATATGGCCGTAGGCTTACAACACACAACATTGCACAAGCCGAAGAGCGTTGCTATGAAGCGTTACATAAGAAAATATGTTCATGAGAAGTTGCCGTTTGTAGGGGATGAAGAATTAGTAGTACCTATTTCCATGCCTTGATGGAGCAAGCTTGGCACAAGAGAGAGATATATCGCTGTACGTGCCCTCCTCGTCCAACCTAAAAGAGATTGGCTCAACTCACACGGAGCTTTTACCAAAGTTGGTGGTCTAAATGCTCCACTCCCTCGCCTCCTTTGATTTACTCGGCATTGATCCGATTCACATCTCAATGTCCGGCCCGCTCACCACCTACTGTTGTCGTTGTTGACAAAACCATACCTGGACCCAGCCCCGCTGCTGCCCCATCCCCAGAACGCCCTGGTAGGAATGAGCAATCGGCGTCAACAAGTACCATACACAGGCAACAACCAGCCGTGTCACATTCCTGCGTATAAATAATTACTTAAAAAAAGGGCATTTGTCTTTTCTCGGTTTCCAAAGTGGATCAACTGAAGCAAACAGCCAGAAGTTATTTGGATTCGCTATCTAAACAAGCTAACCCTCTTGGCCTTTTCGAGCAATGTCAGAAAGACTTTGAACGTTCTCGTCGTACCATATTGTCCACTCAAAACGTCAGCTTCCCTGTCACCCGCGTTGTTTTAATCGCTAACCGCATCTGAACGCACTACTAGGTGTTGTTCCCAGTCGAGTAGAGCTTTTATAACCAGAAAAACAACACTTCAGTTGCAGACTATGTTATCTGCTCAGTACCTTAGGTCAACGCTTTCAATCGGTTGGACTTCAAAGGTGACTTGATATTTATTTAGGGGGCCTTCGCCTAGGAGGGCGACGAGCAGGGGGCCGAGCAACAGGAACGGCGAGAGGAAGTGCTGCAGGAAGAGCAGCTGGTTGTCGAACTGGTTGCCTAGCTGGTGGTCTAGCCGCATTCCTCGCAGGTGGCCGCCTCGCGGGTGGACGCCGCGGAGGTTTTCCGCGAGCCTCTAGACTTTCCCCTAGGGCCTGTAGAGTAGAGAAGGATTAGACATGATGTGCCAAATAATTAGACATGCTTACCGTAATGGATTCAAGGTTACCGATGTCCTAAAATGTGTCTGTTAGGAAAATCTCTCACTTTCTCGAACACTGGAACCATTGAAATATCAACGTAGGAACCTGTCGATCATTGTTGTACTCACAACTCTTTCCGCTCTCTGCAATGTAAAAGCGAACATCAGCTGACTGCCCTTGTAGTTGGTAAGTAAGGAAGGTAGGAACTTACGCTATCTATGTGTCTTACTGCGGCACCAGGCTGGACATTGGGCATAGCCGTGATGATTGTCGAGCAGAAGATTAGACCAACAGTAATCACGGACTCAAAGGAAGAGACAAGCATTTTGATGACTGTAAAGTAGGTAAAGCCTTGGAGTAATGTGCGATAGTCACTAAAGGGTGATATGCTTAGTAGAGGGAGGTGGGAGACTCTCACAGTATTTATCTGCGAGCAGGTTTATGTGTTCTCCAAACTCACTGCAATACATGCTGCTCTTCTGCCGATCTTGTTGATGTGTCTTGACGCAAAAGCCTTCGCCAAAATGGCTGGAGATCTAACTTTCTAAGTCTAGAATTTCTTAGCCTTTCAACCTAAAGATTTTGATACAAATCAACAACAGCCAAGGATGAGAAAGAAGAGGGGATTTTGGTTTGAACATGGGCTAATCTAAAGTGTGCTGAACATGAACCAGTCCACCCAATCTGAAGTTTTCTGCGCGCAAATAACACCATTGGCACTGCAAGGATGTCCCAAAAAACCCAATGATCTTCGTCTCAAACTTCAATATGAGAGGCTATGAATTTGCTGGTATATTGGATGAAGCGAACTGTAAAGGCTATCTATCGGCTATCTCATTTTAGAAAAACTCTGCCGAGTATATCTCGTTTCGTTAGGACTCAAAAATGAGGCTCAAGACGGAAATTTTTCATTTATTGGGAAAGACAAGGCGATTTGAAGTCTCAGGGTTGAGATGAAACTTGCCATCAAGAAAGGAAATTGGGTGGGGTTTAGCCCAAGCATGTTGACGGAAGATCACACTTGAGCCTAACGTGGAAGTCAAAGTAAGCCGCGGAATCATTGCAGGGCTGAGATAGAGGAGAAAGTTTAGCAAGACAGCATACGAGACCGCGAAATGTTCCCATTGTACAAAACACATTCGCTTAAACCTTCTTCAGGGACAACTTTCGAGCGCAGAATGTTGCAACTACCAGTATGATCTGCCGAGGTGGCTCATTGAAGAATAGGGCGGGGTATTGGGCAGTCAGCGGTCATCTCGAGCATGAGCGCAAGCACGACCGAACATGTGTAGTCTGGATGGAATTCCCAATAAACAGCCTCGAACTCCACAATCTCAGATGAGTTCAGCGCTATTGGCCATGTATGGTATGAGAAATCTCAAGTGATTGGACGTTTTTGGAGTCCAACCTCGATGTAGGTAGCCGGTTTAACCGCCTTTCATTAATGTCAGGCTTGGCGAATATTTCCCTAGTTGATCAGGTAGGAATCGCAGAATTCATTGCAATTTCATCTGAGTTAGTGCTCAAAACAAAACATCGCCGTTCCGGTGTGTAAGGTAGAACCTAAATGATTGAAAGTTGTGCAATTAGTGCTTCGTATGCCGACCTCTTCGGGTTTTTTGTCCCAGTAGCTGTTTGAGAGAATCATAATGTGCAAGCACCAATTCATATTATTTCTCCCGAGTCTACTTGTAGAATTTCCCTGATCAGTTGCCGTGTGGCCAGTCGGATGAGCCCTAGGGCCTTGGTGTTACATGCTGTTTTGATGTTGGTGTTTGTAGGTTTACTGCCTGTGATAAGCTCTAGCTTTTTTCGAGGGTTTGACCGCTGCCGAAGGTCCTTCAAAAACTTGAAAATAGCTGCAGCATGTAAAATAGAGACATAAATTTGCTAATAAGTTGTGTGATGGTACTCCCACCTCGTCATTCTAGACGAATTTGGTGTGAGAAGCGATTGATTCAAGGTGGCCCTCAATGTGAACCCTGGTATCATACTCGATAATAGGTTCAGTCATGCAAGCCGACAGCTTGGTGAGACCCACTCGGAAAATCGAATCGAAAACAAATGCGTATAGAGACTTTATGCCTGCTTGTCCGGAAAATGCGCCCGTTGATGTTCGCAATTTCGACGTGCAAGAAGCTTGAAAATGATTCGGTTTCCATCCCAGTTGCCGTTGATCTCGTCGTGCACCTGTGTCGCATTCGTCAAGGGCGTCCACTGCGAAGACTAGTTTATGGTTAAGCGACCCTTCCGATATCATTTTCTTCTTAGGCTAAAAAGAAGGTCGTTTAACTGTGTATGAAAGGCTTGACAGCGGGGACCCTTCGCCCAAGTTGCTTGGCAATTGTTGTAGCAAGCAACCTGGCACTATTGCCTCCATTCTGGGTTCTATTGAAAGAAGCTTGCAGCTAGTTGTTTTCTCTTGGCGAAGATAAGTGCAACAGTTCATGAGGTAGTATACTGTCCTGTTCCTGCACGACCTTACAACTAAAAACTCGATTTGCTTTCGGGATTATTAATCTAATTAGTGAACTGGCTGAGTAATTCTCTTTTTAATCTTAAGACTGTGAGACTAGAGTTCGTTCTCATAGTGATCGAGGGCTGTTCCCTGAGCAGCGGGAAGACTCGATACATCCTTCACATCTTCCATTTATTAAGCAACATTGCTACTCAAGTTAGTTTACAACTTAAACGGATACAGTGATAGTAGTCTAGATGGTGACAGGGTGATTCAGTTAATGGCAGAAAGTTTTATGCTAGCCATTTTATTGGCCATGAAGTCATATGTATCTTGTTACATAGGTCCAAATACACAGGCTTCAAGTCTCTAAGAGCTTCGGCGACCATACGGCTCAAATGGAAATAGGGCGGAGACGCCTGCCATGACTCCAAAAAGTGCTGCGCATACATAAAGCGGTACCACGGTTGTGGTATCACCCGCAGTGGCAACAAATGCAGAAACAATTCCCATGAGTCGATTGCACGCGACTGCGATCCCGTTACCTGTTGCCCGATGGGCAGAGGGAAAAACTTCAACAGTGTACGCGTAAAGAGTCCCGTAGTAAATGTTGATGCCGCACGCTTCAAGTTGGGTCAGTTTTTGTATTCCCTGAATGTCATCAAGCTGTCATGACTTACCGATTGCGCAACTTATGCCAACGTTTTGATCAGCTGTGCTAACCGCAGTGTATCCGAAGAAAAGAGCCATCGAGATGATCGCTCCGATGACCATGGTATATTTCCGACCAACCCGAGGGAGGTTAGCCAAATAGCCCGCGATAATCGGGCCTGGTACACCAGATATGTTTGTTAGAGTAAAGTTTCTCCAGGTCTCGTAAGGGGTTTCTTCGGCGTCCGGCACTCTGGTTGAAAGATATGATCTAATATCCGTCAGCACACTGAGCTCTCCTGGACTGGGGGAAAAGAAAGGTTCTCACGGCAGAAAAACGTAGAACAGCGGATATGCCAATCCAATCAAAGTCCAGGACATCCAAACCATGGAGGTACTAAGGGACATTCTCTTGGTGACGAAGAGACCCTTGACGTGGTTGACCAGCTCTCGAAGGACAAATTTGAAGCTATTCCGCTTCTGCCCGGCATTTTTGATCTGGCCACATGCCTCGAGCTTTTCAAGAGTAAGCGAACATTCCCTACCGTACTTTTGCGCAAGCTTCTGATAGTTCCGAACAAGATCCGCATCGCGGCCCACACTGAGAAGGTACTTCGGAGTCTCTTGTAGGCGCATGATAGTTACTCGCAAGACGGAGGTGAGGAAAACGAAGGCCCCAGCGGTGAAGGAGACGTATCTCCAGCCAGCATTGTTGGACCAATTGCAAGTCTGGCCCTCGGTACAGTTCCATCGCTCCTGAGCTGTTGTCATGTTAGCACAAGTGTCGAATCCAAGGGGTTGAAACTATTCCTACTCAAAAACCCCCATGCGATGAAGCCAGTGATGGCTTGTCCTAGTCCCCACCAGAGAGCAAGCGCAGTGACCGTCCACTGCTTGTTGCTGGGCAGAAACTCGAGAAAGACGGTCGGATCAAGAACGAGGTTTCCACCCGCCCCAAAAGCCGAGAGAGCAATGAAGAAGCCCCATGCTGGCAGATTGGGGCTTGCGCCGGATACGATTGTCGCAATGGATGTGATCAGCAGGGTGACGTTGAATGCGATTCTCCTGCCGATTATATCGGCACCGAAACCCCAGAAAATAGCCCCAATCAGCAACCCTACATAGAGCGAAATGGTACCGGTATTACGGTACGATGAGGGCGACGCCAGCTCAAGAAATGCGCCGGTATTGGTGACTGATTGAACGAGGGCGATGAGTGAATCGACGGCATAGCCGAAGCCATTGAGGACGAAGAGCTTCCAGTGAAATGGCGTCCACCCGATTTGATCATTGGCCTGAAGAGGTCAGTATCATGCTGTTCTCAGTTGGCAACCCGTGCGAGTCTCCAGGCGTAATAGCGATAATCTGGGTACGAGTTGGGAAAAATCACGAGTTTGCAAAGTTTTGTATCATACGTCATTGACAAGGTGCATTTTCCTAGCCAGCACAGGGTCTTCGCCCTCATTTTCCAATATGTCCTTCGCTGAGCTGATGGAGCTGTCTTCGGGGTCGTATGCCGCTGCTGGGGCGTCGTAGTCGACGGCATTTTTCTGAGCCACGGGGTCCTTCATTGTTGCCGTTTCCACTGTCCCATACATTGCGATGATCTTGAAAGGTTGAGAAGCCGCGAATCAAGCGATCGATGATGACGAAGGGAGATTCAGACGAAAGGTCCAAGCAACCGTTCTCTCTGCGGGGGGTGACGGTAGGGTATTGACATTCAGCCAAGGTCTCGTCTCGCACAAATGTTGGTGCATAGGTACCCCACTATTGTACTTGAGCGTGGGCTTCTCTTTTGAGGCCATCTCGTTCGTTAGAAGTGGCGTCACGTTGGCTGCAGGTCTGTAGATAAACCATAGAAGGGATGTTACCTGAATGGCTACAGTTGAGGGATAAAGGGCAAATATTTAGAGGCCCCGCTGCCCTCAAAAAACGAGTCATATATGTTGCTTGCTATTGGTTAATTAGGTAGAGATAAAAAACACCGGTACCATCTTCAATGGAACGTTTACTTCGGCGGTGCGTCGGCCTGGAGCTGGCACACCAATGACATGTGCGAAAAACACCCCACGTGGGTGGGAGAGTGCGTGAAGTTTGGGGGATCGACAGACTTTCGCGCCGACTTGGTTTGGGTGCACTGGGCGCTATAGCGCTGCGCGTCAACTATGCATGTTCTGCGTAGTGAGTAATCCTACGGCCGGCATTTGCAGAAACGAAACGATTCGTAGTGCTGCCCATTTAAGGGGCATATGCTTCCCTACATTTGCTGAAGTTTTTTGGAGCTTGATCCCTTCTTCTTTTTCCTCCTCTTCTTCTCCTGGCGGTTCGGTCTCCACCCGGACCGAGCCGGACTGCTTCCGGCCGTGGCCTGTCGCCTCGATGCTGAGGTTGATCTACTAGAAACTGCACTGCTTCAATACCTGTGATTTCTACATACTCGATCTTCTTCCGTATCCAGGCTCCATCGAGCAGCTGCTCCTGGCTGCCATGGAATCCTATGACCAATCCCGCTCATCACCATGGCATACGGCTTGTAAAATTCAACAATAGCATCTTAACCCACCTGTGCCCTTCATTCGAAAGGATGCCTGGCCTTGCACCGAGACGGCTTTCCAGGAGATCTTCTGCATGCCACGGTCGAAGCTGGGCACACGAAGAGAAAGTTATCGGCATGCGCCTCGTATTATACCTGCACAAACATCCAAAGTCTAGCATTGCAACTTCGTGGCCTCGAGATTCTCCACCGACAGTAAGTTAGCTGCTAAGAATGAATTTGGAAATGGAAGGCTCCTGAGCGGATTTCGGAGGGGGTATCGGACATGATGTCCTGTCCGTTCCGCCTTGGATATGTGGCCGGGAAGATAGGGGTAGAAGTGAGCTTAGTAACCATCGGAAGCAAACAGCCCGACTTTTAACGGAGACGGTGCGAATGAGGTGCTGGTGGCTTGCACTCTGCCTAGGGTCACTTTGCATTATCACTACATCGATCCTCACCAGCGGCAATCACGCCTGATTGGTAATACTGCGGCCCTCAAACTTTGCAAGGACGCTGCGAGCCGGTCATTCTTACAGATGTTGAGCTTCTGTGCCAAATTCTTTGGCGAAGACATGGCCATTGTATCAATAGTTCGAGCAGGTTGTCCATCGGTGTTATGAAGCCAAAAGGACAACCTCCCACGTAGGCACTAGGTCGTGGATCGGCGGCCTATCTCTGTGCCACTACAGTCATCTATGGCGAACGTTGGCAATTCAGCAAAAAGTGATACCCAAAGTAAGTCCGAAACATGAAGTCAGGGACACTCCATTTCCCAACACCTTACTCAAGCTTGGGCTTACAATTATGATTCAGTCCAAGATTGGCTGATTAATTCATTCGGTCGACGGCTCAACAGTAGGGCTCCGGGAGATACCAGTACGTCAATCGGTAGGGCTGTGCAAAAATTGCTGCAAGGAAGAATCAGCAAATCTCGAATGTGGGTGGGTTCCTGAGATGAGAGACCTTGTCCCGCCCTACTCAATAAAAATAGATCATTTGACGTTGCATAACTTCTTAGCTATTAAGTCACTCTTCCTTGCGCCTTCAGAACCACAACATCACGAACTGACTTCATCGCTATCCATCCTGTGTCTTGAGCAGGCGCTGAGTGAATTGCTTTCCTAGACTACCTCTCTGGGATGTGACGGGTTGCCATGGGTAAGCATCACACCCATGGTCACAACCCATGGGCATGGGGTTTGGTGAACCAACTTGTGGATAACTGCAGTATCCATTAAAACGCGAATCCGAGGCCCGGGAACCCACGGCCACTCAAAGTCCGTTGATGGGTAGCCTTGTCTCATACCATGTAGGCGCTAACATCTTTACCAGGACACAAGGTCGACAGTTGTCGCCTCATAACTCCTTCGCTTAAGCATGAAATACTCCTACGAAGATGAAGGGGCTTATTCGTGAGGCCAACCCCCAATCGCAATTCTTTATAGCCAGAGCCTTCAAACTGATTGGCCGATCGCACATTGGATGAATATGTTCCCATTGGAAGACGGGATTGGAAAGGAGAGATGGAATTTACTATGAAGCGGGTCTTTATGACGTGTTGCGATGATCGGAACTGATGAGGCAAAAGAGTGGCTGAAGGACAATTACCAAACACTCTTTCAGCCTAGAATGGGGTGGCTTAGATATGGCGTCCGGGAACACTTCTTGTCTTCGCCTCCTCCGCATTCAGTATGGGATACCTATTGAGGGCCCACCAAACAATATTTAAGTAGTGCGGCGAAGCTGTACGGATGCGTTTTGAGATGGCAGTGTATTTCAAATAATCTCAAATATGCCGCTACGACCACAGGTGACAGTACGATTGCCCGTCCCACAGTCTACCGGACGGCTAAAGATTATGAACCACCCGCAATGGGCAGGCGGGCCGCGGACTTCCATCTCATTCACACAACAAATAGATGAGGAGCGAAGTAATGCAAGGGGGCTTTGACAAGCTTCAAGGACAGCACTGCTGTAATGGGCAGGACAAGGCACCTAATTTTCAGTGCAGATCATCGTTGTACGAAGTGCCATCCGCCAATTAGGCGCCAGGGGCCGTTGTTCAGTGCGCGCGCCCTACTCTTACCCTTGACAGGCGATGCTACCTCAGCCCTGATTGTAGAGTGCCTCAAGGATCGAGTCACCCAACGGGGTTTAGACAAGGTCGTACGCTCTTTCGGGGAACTGGCGGCGTGCGGAGACGGGCGGAGACAGAGCAAAGGCCGTCGTCGATGAGACAAGAATCAATCTGTCATCAACCCTGCCGCGACCAAAAGGCCTAGGCTGGGAACAAAGTGCCTGGACCCGGCTCAGACCTGCCATCTGATGGGGCGACGGGAATGGCGAGGGACGCTAGGATATATCAGAGTCTAGGGGGATTAAGGTCTGAGACGCAACTGACAAGCGCGCAAGCCAACCTCCCGGGGTTATTGACTTTAGTCTGAAGTTTATGACTAGCGAAGGATCAGAGGTGTGAGTGGCGCGGAAGTGACAGGAAGCTCGCTTGAGATTTATTGTCGGGAAGCCGTTTTGCACCGTTGAACAGAGTATTTTTTGCATCCAAATCCACAATAGTTACCAGACTGCTGGGTCTCGAACATCCATCCAAACCATCCCGAGAAGTGAGACATGCGAGTTTAAGAGGTGGGAGCGAAGTCGCAAAGACAACAGAAGTCATCAACTTGATCACCGCCATCCAAAACCATCAACGCAAACCTAATGCTGCTAAGGTGAGGAACCCTTTGGCACACGACACAAGCAAGGCACAACATACGACCCCGAAAAAAAATCTTCATCACAACATTCGTCCTTCTGTTACGAGAGATCACTATGAATGGTGCTTGGCGCCATGGGTCTCCCCGTTCGTCCCCATGCGGGGAAATTGGACTATACTACGTATTAGACCTGCTTACGGCCCCGACAACCCGAGAGGAGCTCGCAGCCAAGGCGATTAGGCTTTACCGTCCCCCCGGGCCATTCATTGTGCAAATCGTAAATCAGAAGTGCCACACGGTGACCACAGTCCTGGCTCAACCATCAACGGGCCTTATCAAACTTTGGCTACATGTACTTGGCAACCATCACTGAATCAATGGTCTCAAGTTCAGCTCAGGTGAAGTGCTGATGTGAATACATACACGCTCTCATCATCTTCCTCGATCTTGGTTCTAATAAAGCTGAACTGAATAGCAAGACTACTGCTAGTAAAGCCTGCCCTTTCATCCTCGTCTTATTTCGCGCGCCCTGCGTTCTCCCGCCCCTCTCGCTCACCCCGCGCGCGATGGCCTTGAACACGGCATGGGACTAGATTGAAAGCGGCTTGGCGAATGGCTGGGGGGGTGTTGGTAGTGCAAACCACCCATTAGTGCTCCCTCCTTCGCTTTCTTCCGCCCTTTCGTCCAACTGGTAGTGTCCTTCTTTTTTTAAAATCCAGTTGTTGCCTGTCCCTTTGGTCTCATTTTGTATCTCCCTTGATTTTCCCTTCCCCACCCCCCGACGTCAACACGACCCAACGTCGCAACACAGAGACGACTCATTTCAAGCGGCGATTCCTATAGATCGCCGTTTCCGTCCAAGGCAGCGCCGTATTTCAAAGACCTTCGAGATTTATTCTTCTCTAGGTCCCTTAAAAGGTCCGGCGCACGCCTGAGCCGGAAAAAAAGAAGAAGGGTTGATTTCAAGAGCACAATGTTTAACGCGGCATAATACGCCATGGTCGCCTTCGCCGCCGCTCAGCAACAGCAGCGAACATTATCTCCTTCACCGGCAACAACGATCACGAAGTGACTACGAAAATGGGGGTGAACGTGACCTTCGACATTGTCACAGCCAGCATCTGCGTTGCTCTCATTCTCGTCCGGTGTAGCTATCGCCTCTTTTCGCGATGTAGGATCCATGAATCGTGCCATCGGACATGGCACGCCGACGATGCTTACATGGCCTTCGCCATTGTACCTCTGGTCGGCCGCACCACCTGTATCGCCCTTTCCTTCATTCTCAACCCAACGCATACCTACAAAAACCCAACACCTGAGGATGCGGCTGCAAACAACCTTACCGTCGCGCAGCTTGGGGAGAACTATATCATCTCACACAAACTGCTCATCCCGTCACGGATATTCTACGCTTTATTGTAAGTTGATTAAATGCCTCACTGACGAGCCTTGGTTTCCTTGCATGGCATTATAGCCGTGAGAAGCAAAACTACACCACGGAACATGTCTGACTCATCTTCTTTTTATGCAGCTTATGGTCCCTGAAGTTGTGCTTACTGAACTTTTACTCCCGCTTCGTCGACGTTTTCCACTGGGGCAAAGTCGCTACCACAGCACTTTGGTGGTTCATTGTTGTTACCTTTTTTATTGTTTTGATACCCACTGTAGCGGAATGTCGGCCATTATCTTTGTAAGTTGGACAGGTATTTTTTATAGGTTGCTTGAACTAATTCGCCTTCAGAATGTGGTTACCAGATCCAACCGGCCAGAATACCTGCCACCGAGCTGTCGGGAACCTTGTTACTATGGCCGTGTTCAACATTATTACCGACATCGCGCTTATTATATTCCCTTTCCCTATTCTCCGTCATGTCAAACTTGATGGCAAAATGTAAGTTTTCCATCGTTCCCGCTGGCGATCGTAGACACTAACACTGCAACAGAAAGGTCCAACTCATACTTCTTTTCAGCATTGCAGGCCTTGTTGTTGTTATTACCATCATGCGACTGCCCATGATACTGAACCAGTCAGTGTCGCAGAGGTCTCGCTCTATGGTACGTCCTTTTTTTTTTTTTTTTTTTTTTTTTTTGGTAAAACACGTATTAGTACAGTTGGCTAATTTGATCTGTTCTAGTGGGCATCTATTGAGATACTTTGCGCTTGTATTGTTGCAAACACGGCGTTCTTCTACGCCCTTTTGAAAGATTACCAACGAGGCCACAACTCCCGAACGACCGGCTCGAGTTACGCACAGCAGCCTGATTATTACATGCAGACAATCCCTTCGCCCGAAATGAGGCGGGATTCGGAGCCGTCCCCACAACTGGACGTGCCAGAGTGTTGGAAACGAGATAGCAGGTCGAGTAGATCGAGTAGCATACCGATCATACCATAAGAGACGATACCATGTAAATGAATTGTATTTTTACCGGAAATGGAAAGTGAGATGACTATTGAAATAACAAGCTTTTTTTTTCTTTCTATTTTGCTGCGCCAATGCGCCCTGTATGTTTGCATTGCACCCTTGCCTGCCTTAGTGAGGCGTAGTAGTGCCGGCATGAATGTCAGCAGCCAGATGCGTGAAGGGTGATTGGAATGCCGTGCCGCACTACCACTGTTCGCCAAGAGCTGACAATGGGTGCAGGCTTGGCTTCTTCCCATAATAAGCGGGTAATGATCTAATGTGACAGTATCATTTTTTTTTTTTAATTTCTAAGTTCTTGTTTAATGATTCAACAAATGCGGAAGTAATACGTATTTCTGGGGGATTCGGTGGTATCTCAATTGATGGCTGATCTGCGCAGGTTGTGTTCGGGGCAATGAGTATTTTCGCCATGCTTTCCCTTTCCAGGTAAACGCTCTTGCCAGCTGACGCGCTTCCGGCCATCACGGCAGGGAAAGGAAGTTGGCTCCGGATCACCTTCGGGGCCGATTGGACCCCACCCGGGCCGGACACGCCGATATTTAGTTACGGTTCATCATTAGCAAGGCAACTTTCAATGATCGTAGACAGGGGCAGTTGCCTTTGTTACAGAATAAGGATATCTATGAGGGATGCGATAGGTATACACGCGCATTGGAGTGTTGATATCAGTTACATAACGTCTTTTGCTTTGTCGACGGCGACTGATTGGGAATTCAACTTTTTTCCAGTTTAGAATCCCCATTATGAAGTTTACCTTGGTGATCTCTTATATGTTAGCTTATAGATGAGTGTTGAAAAAAATCAGTTTAATAATCAGTTTGAAATAGTTGTAATACAGTCTCATATTTATATTAAGGTCTAGATGCTTTCTTACTTACCTATGTGATAATATTACTAGTTTGCTCTAAACGACTGCTATATTACGAATCGGAAATCCGTATTGATTTACTGTGAATTTCTCTTACGACACCATCTTGCAAGGCTTACTATTGTTGACACCCATCAAGAATCCTTAGTCATATATAGCTCTCCGTACAACATGTTAAGGGGCACATGTTGACAAGATCTCAAACCTTCTGCTCAAATTCTCGTTTACCGCAGAAGCATGAAGAATATAAAGAGCACATACATAATATCTCTTAAGGCTTGCGCGTCCCGGCTCCCGGATACTCACAGTATCGAGGACAACTTTAGGGGCTTTGACAAAGGCGGAAAAGGCGGCCGAGTAGTATGACGGCCGGGTACGGGCCAGGTGGTCTAGGCACCACCAGCAGCTTAACGGCAGGAACTGTAATGGCTTGGGCCCCAGGGAGCAAATACGGCAACAATCGTAACTGCTCATTCGGCCATCTGTCCAATTTTAACCGCAAAATGTACGTAACAAAAAGCCGCCTGCTTGTTGTTTTGCTGCAATGAGTAAGACATGAAGTTTAGGCATACCCCGGAGCAGTACCTATCATAGTTTAATCAGGGCTTGGAGGAGAAACTAGCAGAGGGATGGGAAAGGGTTGACTCAGGTGAAAATATACTGGAACCCTACGTGCAGTTTCATCAACACTATCACTCTGTACGGCAAACGAATCTCATAGACTTCAGGTAATATTTCCGGACTTAGACACACATAAAAGATCCCTCACCAAAAACTCAACATATGGCAGGTTTCAATCACGAGATCAGCAAATTAACCCATAGTTTGATGTATAGAAACATTCTAAAGCATGGTGAAGCCTTCCATGCGATGCTCTTTTCTTCCGGACTATTCAAATCAATAAATATTTGATGGTCAAGGTTCTTGATACCAGTAACGCCGACAGTCGATGATTGTCTTATACCACGTAGCGAAGAAGAAGAGTTGAGAAGAGAGAAAAGAAAAGAAAGGGGTCGGCGCCAACTTCATACGAACCAAGGTCAGCATAAATGAGCAGCAGCGAAGTATCCGACCAAAGTTTGCTCTGAGTCTCCTAGTGCGTGCCTGACTGAGGATTGGCAAGGACATAGATGGGTTTTGATCTCTCTGTAGAACGCTTAAACGCTGGTAACATGGTAGCGAGCCACTATGATATGGTTTAGATAGAGTGTGCGCTACGTGGTAGGGTGTACTTACGTTGTTTGATCTTCATACATAATTCTAAACCTTCTCTCTCAAACCGGCCAAGATCCAATAGATCAAATGAGGCCACACAAGGGTGTGCCTGTCATATGTCTACTGCTGACCGCTGACCGCCATTATACGAAACCTAAGGAAGCCTTATTGTTAGGCTTTACGAGTCATTACTAATCTATCACACGTGGTTGCTGGTGAATAGAACTATGATAGTTATACAAGGACTAGGATTTTGAGAGCTACTTAAAAGTTTAATCGCTACACATCTTGTAACTACTCTGACTATACCACTTTATTCCTAAGTGCCTTCGAGTGCTATTTAGTATCTGCAACTATATAAGTCTCCAGGCAAACCCTTGGCACCTTTACTTCCCTACTGTTCGCTGCCGCTAGCGTTCATGCTGCCTGCAGCACCGAGAGCCCCGGCACTCCAATCTGTAGCCAGCTTCACAAGCTGCAAAGGCGGTTTGAAGTTCTGCGGCGCAGCCCCCACTGGTGGTTATGGAATTAAATGCTGTAACACAGCAAATTGGGAATAACGGTGCTTACCTCTGATAACAGAGGGGGAAACACATGGTGTAAGACATTTATGAGCTAGAATAAGCCACAAAGGTTGCTGACGATATGATGTCACGGTCTGTCAGGTATAATCAATATAGGAACCCCCTAGGCCTAGCAGCTATAACGGAACATGTATAGCCATGGCATGATACGGACCTCTCTCTTAAGGGAATAACTAGCTTATCCGCCTTAAGAAGATAGGATGAAGGGGTAAGCGCTTTAGAGATTTATGATTGGTTTGCAAGACGAAGACAGGGTTCATCCCTAGGATATTTTCTACTACAGCTCATTCGTCATCAACTCGCTGCACATTTCAATACAACGATTAAGCTAAATCATACTTTTACTAGTCATTTCCCTTCAAAGTATACTGAATTGCTCGTGAGCTAGACAACTCGACACTAGATTTTGATCAACTAAAATCAATCAAGTTGTATTCATCTAAAAAGTTTATTTCTTTTTCTGCTATACACAAATTTCTTTGGCACTTGATCATAATCGTGTAATCAGTTACACTAGGCTTCAGTATAAGATGGTTCGTCTCCTACCCCGAATACGCCCAAAATAATACTTCACGCACTCATCCTATTTTACACCCATTATATCAACAAGATGCATTTTCTAACTCTCTTAACCTATCTTACTACCTACTGCCTTGCTTCTGAGACCACAAAAGACAGTCTCTTATGCCCCACTGGCTCCAAGCTATATAAAAATACATGTAGCTGTCAACCGCTGCCCGGAAATCCTGTGAAATACTCCTGCGAAAACACCCCTGCATTCGGAGATGTTGCTACGATGCTTTGCGATGATGGAAAAACCCAAGAACCTCTGAAAATTGGCCAGTGCTCTAGTTGCCAGCATTTTGCGTCAAACGCATTTTGCTGCGCGGGAACTCCAGGCGATTGTCTCGTTCTTATGTAGTACTGTTGGGGGAAAGTAGCCCTTGTGATCGGGTTACAGTAGTAAGTTTCTCTGTCCGATCCTCTTTCATCCCACTAATACGAGTATAGGTTATCTGGGTTGACACCAATTCAATTAAGGGCTTCATCGTTCGTTGGAACTGATCGGAAGATATTCCCGATTGATACTTGAGCGAGGCGGGAATATTTGCCTTTATAGCATGTCAGTGTCTTGTGATGATAGTAAAGGGAGCAATAGATTGTGAAGTTCCACATATAGCAAGCTTACCACTGCCCCAGCGGTGAGGCGAGATCAAACAGATCCAAGGTGATAAGTTTTAGTGTCAAGCACAACAAGACTCTTGGGAGGCAGGATCATCGTAAGTTAGTCTGGATGAATTAAAGATGTGGGGAAAATTATTACTTCTGGCGGCGGATCCAACCGACACGGCTGGCAGCATATAGGCTGAGTGACTATCAGAGGCTGTCAGTCAAAAGAAGGCAGTTAGCAGTGGACAGTGGCGCAGGAGTTGCCAAAGTACCACAATGCATAGCGGCCGATCTCTTAGGATACGAAAAGGATCAGGCTATTGTAAATTATCTAGGCATAAAACCCTTCATGTCAATTCGACAATTAGACGTATTTCTGTGGGATGTTGTAGTTCATGAGGCGGGTCCTAAACCGGCATCTGGGGTAGTACTAATGCTACCTTATACTAGAATATAAGCAAAAACTAGCTTTTCGTGAATTCGTGCTTCAAAGCATCCCAACATAGCAAGATGATTCTATGCTGACTCACAGGTCTTAACTATTAGGCTTGTCACAGTAGTTTATATAAGGATTGTTTATCTTGTCAATTTTTAAGCAACTCTCTATTAGGTATAGGGATGCTTACCTTAGGCATGATTAAAAGTCAGCCTCCTTTTTCTATGTAGATCTCTAGTCTTGATTAATTTAGTTTTATGGGTAAAATAGAGGTGTGTATGATGTACTTGGCTAAAAATTCATAGTAAGTCACTAAATCCTTGCACGGATTTAGTAAGGTTTAATAAGATCCGCTAAATATTAAGTATATATCAAACTTCAAAAATTGTTACAATGTGCTTCTGGCTTATCTCGTCGGACTTATGGGCGTCGTAAGACCTTCCATTACATAAATAAGCCACCAAATAACTTCGCTGCTCTCTCTCTCACTATTCTCATTCACTACTACTTTCCACGAGATCTCTTTACATCCACATATTCAACGCATTCATTATCAATCCCACTAGTTGATCAACGATTCCAAATCACGACGCTCATCATGAAGTTGATCCTCCTTGTTCTCTCCGTTGCCGCCGTACGAGCCACAAGCGTTGTCTGTTACGGCACTATAGGTGCAATCGATTACTTGCCTCAGGGAGATGTAGAGTGGGCAATCAACAACAGGCGCAACGAACTCAAAATTGCGCCTGGCAACTTGGCACTACGCAGACAGGGGTGCAGACGAGAAGCAGGCAACCCTGTTGCCGGCATACCAACAGTTACCTTTTGTCAGACCGAACCTTATGATCAAGTTCAAGAAACGAGGCTTGCAAACGGAGTTGTTCGATGCGCTCGCTCGGGGTTGCCATTTGTTAACGGCTATACCTGGCCCGTGTGTGATCAGCCCTGTTAGTTGTGTGTTACAACGGCGAATCGAAGTCAACTAGAATCCCTCAAAAGTTATGAAACTTTAGAGCACTCGGTTGTATCTACTCTATGTCTCCATAGTAAGATCTAGAGAGGATATATCTTATCTGCCGGGTATATAATGAAGTATGCGATGCTAGAAACTAGGCAATTGAGTCGGGGGAGTGAGCACGGAGCATAAAATAAATGCAGGGAGCTTACATGTAAACTAGTCAGAAGTTATTAGATACAGCCGGAATCTATTTTCAAAGTTGCGGTAGCATTTTTGGCAGGAACAAATATTTAGATCTTAAAGGCGTCTAACGGCCAAGATTTCTTTCATAGCCACAGAGACAGTGTAGCTAACAACTTGTTTCTTGTTTTCTTTTTCTTTCGCAATCTGCCGCATATTGATTTCGCCTCCTTGACGCACAGAACAATTTGGAGAGAAAGTCCGCCCGTTTCAACGTTAGCAAGACAGAAAAATCGTCAGATGGCTACGAAATTTTTGGTAGTTCAAGGCCCGAGGTCGGCTGACAGGTCTTTAGAGGCGTATGCGACTGCTCAGCCTCGGGACTAAGCCCTCGTTGGGCAACCCCTCAGGTGGTAGCTCCGTCTCCTTCGTCAGACGACTGTGCCAAATTCCCCTGCCGCATTGTCTGGTCAGATTGATTTGTGCAGTTTCGAACTTGGATTTTTTCTTCTTCGACACTTGAATTATATTCAATATCATGCTCGCCGCCATCAGATGACGTTGATCGATGAATGCGAGAACGCATGATCCCACTAGCATATCAGCTTCGACGTTTCACTGAGGAAGTGAAGAGTCAGCAGAAGGTACGAAAATATTCTTGCCACCTATCTCGATTGTGACTCGCTACCGGAATCATCATGGGTGGTAGGAAATCCATACCCAAACCGCCCATATATTTTTCTCTTTTTGGTTTGAGCTATGCTGCGTAAGCTCGCATCACACCTCCATAGTTTCCCTATCCATCTGTCATACTCATTAGCGCGTCCCTGCACTACTGTATTGATTTCCTACTTAGGGTCTGTTTTCTTTAATATATATGTATACAGGCTTTTCTTTGAAGGTATTCTATAGTCTACCGTAAATCAGACTAGTTAATACTACTTAAGTACATCTTGCACGCAACTGCCAGAGTTTAAGAAAGCTATTTTAATCACAGATGATCCATAACGTAACTTATGTCTTACTCCATAGTTCTTCCGCTTCCAAGAGGTGTCCTGCTGTTCTCTTATCGCCTGCAAATCTGGTCGTAACCGCCGTAACTGGGTAGGGCGGTTATCCTGCTGGTTATACCTAATGGGTCGTAACAAGGATATATGCAGCCTGATTTAAGGCCCTCTATAAAGATGATTAGCATAGATAATAGTTAATGAACAGTCGGACTTATAAAGCATACCCTTGGTCACAGCACCAAACACGCACGTTGCCTACTAAGGGTCCATAATGGCACCTCCCGCGGCGCTCCGAGGGCAAATTAAATATAGTAGAGCCGCTCAGACAGTTCCACTGGAAACGATTCCCTGGTTCTTCAGTGCAGTCAGGGTCGTTGCCAGCTTTCCAGCATTGGTCATTTTGTGCTTGACTACTAGAGACGATAGCGAAGAGGATAATAGCCGTGGTAGTAGCTTTCATTGTGAGGACGAGTATGTTGTAAAAATAGGGATCAAGTAACTGATTGAAGAGGGGATGTATGCACAGAGAAGAAATAGAAGAGCTGAGGAACATGTATCTTTATAGAGTAAAGAAGCAATAGAGGTTCCCCCCAAACTCTTAACTAGAGTCATAAAGCAGTTTTAAAAGAAGAGGTATAATATACTTCTATTACTACTATTTAGAAGTTGTATATAGGTAATAGTTACTTACGAATTAAGTGACGTTGTTAATTTAATTTATTCGCTGACGCCAAGATTAGATTATCCTGTCTCTATTAGGCCAAGAGTAGAGCATCCCAGCTTTCTAGGTCTAGGTTACCTCTATAAACTCTAACTCTTTCTAGCCACATAGCTATCTTGCAGGCTATTCCATCGACTGGCAGATTTTTACCAAGGCCTCAAATTCCCACTTGAGAGCCTTTTTACTCCGCATTACACTAGTATTTATGAAATATACTATCATCTACTAAGTATCTAGTCTCTCGAGTGTCTCTAGTACACTGGATTTTGCTGGAGGAAGTTTATATTAAAGTTTTCATTAGATGAATTAATAAATGTGGTGGCTGTGTGAAGCCTGATTAGATTTACCCTGCCCTTGGCGAAAGCGGGGTGATCTACCAGTCAATATGATAGAATGATTTCTGACTTGCAGAATATTCGAGTAACCTTTATAGATTTTATAAGATCTAGTAGTCTCTCTTTAACCTAATCATTTATTTTTCAAGTATGTAGTGTAAATACTACGACTCGGCCAGTTGGGGTACTGGCCGAGGTAGCTATATAGTGCCGAACGGGGGATCTTATTACCGAAGCTTTTTGCTTTATGTCGCAAATGGTTGTCCTGACCTGGTCATGATATATCTCTTCAAATACTCCAAGTATGGTAAAAATAAAATGAATATATTTAAGTTATATTTAAAATTACTAGTAGGAGCCTAAGCCACCTGTGAAAAAAGTCTCCTTATATTAGAGTTCTAATATGTATCAACCCCAGATGCGTAAGTCTACCCTATTAGGTGCGGCATGACCTCAAAAATGTCAAGGGTGAAGTAGAGCCAATCTGTGCGCATGTGCCTATTTTCTCAACAGATCATATGCTGAGACTTTGTGTATATCTATTTACTATAGATTCAGGGTGTGCCATAGGTAGCAGCAATCTCTATCGAAACGTAACGCTACATCGCAACCTAAGGATGCTTCCCTAGATTTGCGTCGCTTTTGCAGATGACTATTACTAGATAGAAAATTAGAAGAAGACAGTCTGTGGCTGAAGCGAAGCCAATTAGGACTTGACATCGCCATTTGACAAGATTCCCTTCAAAAGAGTGGTGAGACGCGGAAATGCTGGCAATGCTAACGGTACCCACGTTATTCGTTCCCCGTAACCAGCCGAATAGACTCTAGATTTTCTTGTTTCCAGAGGGTAGTATCCTGCAGGCCCTAGAAGTGGTTGTGGCACGCAAGTTCCCCTAGACCAGTTGGGGATTAAGTTGGTGGCTTTTGGTGATTGAGAAACTAGACACCGCAAATAGTGGTTGACTTACTCAAGCGACCGGATTGCATCATTCGCACAATTTCTGAGCACAGCCTGCAGTTCTGCTACAAGATCTTGGACGTCTTCTGTCTCGCCACCGTAAAGGACATACTTCTCGTTTGCCATGCGCATGTTAGTGACATGTTGATTGATATGGTATTCAGAGCAGACTTTTGATATTTCAAGTGTGACGAAGGAGGTCCTTGCTTCCAGCTACTTCGAGATGATGCCCAAGCATTTCCACAATTTCGTGCTTAAACGTATGCATTGAGATTGATCGGTAAAGACACGCCACATCGCTTCCCGCGCCATGAACGTCTTCCTAGACGAATAAATTGGTAACAGACCTTGGGAATAAACTCACACAGCAGTCATTTAGGCGCTCATGAAGCACTAACATTGGCCCTCAAATCAAAACGGCAGGGACGCCGCCTGTATGTTTGCTTCATTTGATGGAAGGTGCATGCGATGCTAGAATATCACGCGCAGGTCAGGGCAACCAACTGTGGCATGAAGCAAACGCTTCGGTAATGTTGCGCTGCATCATTGACCCCTATTCTGCACTCTATCGTTGCGCCAGCTAGCACCCCACTGGTTGGGTCGTAACACAGGATCATAACCAACGAACCTACCAAAGTTGCTTGGCAGTGGGTCACTGTTCCTAAGCTCATTGTCACGCAGTCAATTTGCCCACCACTTATGGGGTAAAAAAAGATGCTTCCATTCATTAGAGACTGTCTAGGGGTTATTGGGTTGATTATATAACCGTCTATTCGGTAATTACCGATTTGAAGGTTTTCATGCACAAAATGACATCCCCGTTAGTTTTATATGGGAAACAATAGCCGGGTGCATGGGTTGAATGCATGCCCCGATATATGCAGTGGTCCGTGTGACACTCATCCCTTCTACCAACACATTAAGCTTCCTTACTCAAAAATATCCAACAAGATGGTATGCGAGACGCAAGATGGGAGGATTGAAGTTTCGTCCCATTAGAAAACTATGCATCCTCTAGTACATTAGGCGGTCAAAAAGTCAACGGCATATATAGTAGGCCGGCATGGTGAACAATAAGGCAAGGCGAATACCCATCACGATCAAGACGAGGCTATACCGGGCACAGTAGGGGTTGAATATGAGTACAGGGCTAAAACCGCAGAGGCCAGTATGATTGTATGTGGTAGTTTTGTCGCGTAGGTAGAAACCATCAACTGCCAAGGTGTTTGTAAGGGAGTTGCTGCACATGGGGGGAATAATACTGTTCCGGCTAGCAGGAGCCTTGATAAACACTGGTCTGGTTGTTAATCAGTGTAAGGGAACGGGTGCTGGCGGCGTCTGAAGACGGCAGTCGACGCTTGGCTTGGGGCCCTACCCTAGGCTAGCGAGTAACGCAGATGTGACAATCCAAAATACGCTATTATGAGGAAGAAAGAGGTGGGAAGAAGTGTCGAAAAGGAATGTTGGGAGACTTTGGGTCTTACCTCTTTCGTGTAGGGCTTCTCTGTTTTTAAACTTGTCGATCTTGATTCCATTGGGGGTACATCGATATCAAATTTACCTGGCCAACATCAAAGCAATGTTTCTTCAGTTAACCTCTCTCACTAGTTACAATGGATTATCACACTGAGAGAGTTCCGAGCTCATGTAGAGAAATGATCAATTGTCCTATCGCCGCACAGTCTAGCTTATTTCAAGCACGTGTATTAGTTTATCGAAGTCGTCCGTTACTTTGCAATTTGCAACTTCCAGTTTGTGTGAGTGAGGAACAACTAACTGTCCCTTGTGCCAGAAGTGATCAGAATCTCACGCCTCCGTCTTTTTCCGAGAGTCCTTCGATGCCGACCTTGAGAAAATGCTCATCTTCCCGAAGTCGCTTGCCAACCACACCAGTTCCCAACTCTTGCACGTCCCAGTTAGCCCACACAAAGCGGCCGTGTAAGAAAGCGGCTTCGGGGCTTGCTGCCCATACGGCAAAATGGCCCGGCAATTTTTCTAAAAAGGCAAATGTGTCAGCTTGACCAAGAAAAAGGGCAGGATTGACTTGTTAAGCTGTTGCGCTCACATACCATCGTCAAAGTTGAATCCCCTATCGGCGTAACCCTCCTTCCGTGCCGACTCAGTCAAGACGCCACCAGGATGGTAGCTCACGACTTGCATGTCGTCCGGGCTGGTGTCTTTGGCGATTTGCTGAAACAGGGCGGTCCCGGCGTTCTTCGTCAGGCCATATGTAGGACGGTCTGGTCCCATCGTTGTCCACATGTACGTCGCGATGGTGGAGACATTGACCAGATACTTGGAAGACCACTTTTGTCAGCTTTCATCTCATACAGTTCAAGAGGCCTGTGTCTCCAAGATTTACCTTTTTGCCTTTCCCAGTGCTCTGTTTAGAAAAGCCAAGAGTCATGGCCAGAGGCGATCGCACATTGGCCTCGAAGTCGCTCCAGGTCTCTTCTAGCGTGCTCTGGAGAATGGGAGACTTCCTCCCCCAGGTGGCCGCGCTCAGGACTAACACGTCAATGTAAATTCCTTCGGCCGCAAGACTAGACCAGAGGGACTCGACATCCGACGTGCTATGCGCATCGAGAACCATGGCCTTGGCCGCCTCGCGTCCTGATTCATTGTTGAGAGTGGCTGCTGCAGCCTCAGCAACATCGCGGCGGCGACCAAGGATGATGACACGGTTGGCACCTGCGAGTATGAAGGCGCGGGCAATGGCGAGGCCAATGCCCGAGCTTCCGCCGGACACTACCACATTCTTGTTGGCCTGGCTGAGCTCGGGACGAGTAGGAGAAATACCAGGGTAAGGCTCCTTGTGGTATTTTTCAAGTGCGGGAAGGCTCATGTTGAAGTTTGGATGAGAAAGGGTCAAATATGGAGTAGTGTAGTGTTGTAGTGTTTGTTGTAGTGTAGAGAAGATGCTGTGTGAAACGAGAGGATAATTGAAATCTCATCGACATCCTCACTACTTATATATAGAGCTTTCGATGTTGCCGGATCTTTATGATTTCCTTTATTACCAAGCTAAGCGGGAACTTCACGAAATCTCACGGAGACTATTGCGGGTGTCTCCCGCACAATAGGGCTGATGTTTCGGTGGAGGCCCGCACGCTATGTGCGGATAACACCCGCCCTTTCCGCACCCGCACCCGCACCCCGCGCCCCCGCCCCGCCCATTCCTCCTTTAACATCTTACATGCTATCGTCATCCATCCAAAAACATCAGCATTGCAAATGCGGGAGAAAGTAACAGTGCGGGATTTTCCCACCATCTCCCTCCATACTATATCATTTTGTCGGGGCCACACGCCAATCAAAGCAGAATGAGTGCGGAGGGCGTCATACTATCCGATGGCATAACTCATCGGGGGGCTTTGCCGAGGCACCCTGCTTGTGTCGCTTGCAGCAGATCGAAGCGCAAGTGTAGCAGGCAGGTTCCCGTCTGCCGGCGATGTCGCGTCCAGAACATTCAGTGCGCATACCCAGTTACCGTTGCCAGGGTCATGCTGCCCGAGTCACCCAGGTCTTCCACGCAGTCCGCAAGCGCGGCAGAGTCACCTGTGTACTCATCACCAAGGGCACATCTGCGGAACGTTCCTGGCGGTCGTCTACCGCTACCCGCCAATGCTGACGCGGCTGCTGGTCTACATCAAACCAAGGGAAGCATCGCCGATCCGTGGTTCCTGGAACCATCATCTTGGGAGATCGACTTCAAGGCAGTCGGGGAGGATGATCGCATCTGCTACCCTGACTCGGGGCTTGACAATTTTATCGCCCAAATGAGGTCGTGGCTCGACCAGTGGACGAGCGAAAATCGATGCCCATTCATTCACTCAAGGCTGTACGGCTCCAACATCCCAAGCTCGCTGCAGCACGGGCTTGCAGCCTGGCAGGTGTATCGGGCGGCGACAACCCCGACGAGTGAGAGGATAGCGCTGCGCATGGCAGAGAGCTGGTCACAGAATATCGTCCAGGAAAAAGCCTTATCGGACAATCTTCACAACGCTGGCGAGCTGCCCGACCTTTTGGAACAGCTCGGCCGCACGCAGGCGCTACTAATTTTTCAGGTGATTGGGCTCTTTGACGGCGATGTGAGAGCCCGCGCCAAGGCAGAAGGCTTGCTTTCCATAGTCTCCCGGTGGGCTAACGAGCTCTTGGGGATCGCAGGGGCCCAAGTCTCCTCTGACCATCTCGAGAACCCCGATGAGCTATTGAACAGTCCTCAGATCGATCGGCTGCGCTCCTGCGGCACGCCCGCCTCGACCTGGAAGGCGTGGATTTTGTCCGAGTCAATTCGTCGACTCTGGATTGTTGCCACGCTGACGGAGGCTGCGTTTCTCATCCACCAGCAGGGCTTTGCGACCTGTCCAGGGAGTATCAGCTTCACGGCGAGAAGTGGACTGTGGGATGCGCCGTCACACCACGCGTGGCTCGCAGGCTTGACGAAGAGCAACACCGTCAAAATTCCCGTCTTTTGCCGACGTCTGGACACGCTGCTGGATGAAGCAAGGGCTTTGGATGTCGACGAGTTCACCCAAACTGTCCTCGCCTACGGACGTGGGCGCGAGGCAGTGGAGGATTGGGTGGCCGGGTAACAGTACGAAGGATACTAGTATCTCAAAGTTTTTTCTAATCGACTGCTCAGAATGTTGACTTGTGCATCAGCCAAATATCCAGGAGAACAAAGAGGTTATGGAATTAAATAGGCGATGTCATGAAGCTGGTATTCGAACAAGGGTGCCTAGAGAAGCGATTGCTGATTTTGGCGGTGTTTGTTGTTTTAGTGAGGTATGAACTTGGCCAATTCTCAATATTACCATTCGGAATACCTGTCGCAGTGAAATCAGTGTCTTTCTATGTTCACTAATCAGCAAGTGAGAATAAGTCAAGTAATGATGCAGTTTGCGCACATGATGGCATTAGGAAGATTAAGCCTCTAAAATCGACTCCAAGCCAAGGGATTTATCAGGTTAGATGTAGTGATATTATGCGCGCATGGCTAGCAGTGTGACTTCTGTGGATTTTGGGGGCAGGAGCAAATGTCATTTCAATCTAAACCTGATATGAACCATTCAGAATGTCCAAAACAGCAGCCTGGTATAGAATGTCGGTTTTCATTCTGGATGATCTGATTTACCGGATATGTCGGTTCCTTGGGCACGTGTAGACCAGCTCGGCGAGTTTTGAGGAAACACGCCGCCATGCTGACATAAAAGCGTTGTCCAATGATACATTGAATACTGTTTACAAAAGATCCCTGAGCTCAAACAGGTTTTGTACTTTCAAAACTTGTGCATTTATGGTCGTCTTATTTCGTCGCAAGTCAACTACCAGCATCTTAATCTTCATCAATCGTACAAACGAAACCTCTTCATGCAGTTCTCGAAATGGGTTCTACAGGGGATTCAAAGACATCGCCTGCAACTGCCAAAAACACCACTGCAGTAGGCTTCAAGCTCCAAGATCCGCCTCGCGCAATTTATGGATGGAGGCTTCACTTTTGCATGCTTGGGTAAAGTCAGCCGCCCAGGCTGGTCCAGAAAGCCACTAACACCTTATATCTATAGCCTGTCTCTAGCCCTTTTGCTGTCCGCTATGGAGACAACAATAATCGCCACAACGTTGACTACCATAGGTGCGGACTTCAATGAATACAGCAATGTTGGATGGGTAGTTACGGCGTATCTTGTTACCAACAGCGGTAAATACGAACACTCTGCACCCATGGATAATATTGCTCCCGTATAAACACTGACGAAAACCGTCGAGCAGGGTTCATCTTGACTTATGCCAAGTTGACGGACATAGTTGGCCAGCGAAACGTTCTCGTTTTCGCACTCCTCTGGTTTACCGTCTTTTCAGGGCTCTGTGCCGCAGCTCAGTCCATGAGCTTGACTCATCTGTAAGAACTGAAGCACCGTAAGAGACACCCGAATCAGCGCATGACTGACAATCTCTCAGAATCATATTCAGAGCACTTCAAGGAGTAGGCGGCTCTGGAATTTTCTCCATTGTCTTCGTGTGCTTGATTGACATCTGTCCCGCACGGTTCCTTGGGCCGTACTCGGCCGTGGTCAGCTCGGTGTTTGCTCTAGCCAGCATTCTTGGACCTATCCTTGGGGGCGTCATTAGCGATACCGGGGACTGGAAATGGGTCTTTCTCCTAAAGTAGGCTTCTCTGTCGTAAGACTATCATTGATGTTGACTTGCTGACAATCACGGCAGCGTTCCCGGCTCCGCTGTTGCTGGTGCAATCATTATAGCATCCTTCCCGGCGGACGAAACCATTGTGTGGGATAAGTCGATCTGGAGAAGAATTGACGTTCTTGGTTCTCTTCTCTCCATAGGCTCTGCTGTCATGCTGCTCTATGGCCTTCAGACCGGAGGTACTGAACATCCATGGAACGACGCCCGCATAATTGGCACCATCGTAGCAGGCGCCTTCACAGTGGTTCTCTTCTTCCTTTACGAATGGGTTCTCCAACGCAGCCCGCAAGCGATCATTGAGCCGGTTCTGCCACTGCGCTTACTTAAAAACCCTCGGATAGCTTGCTTGCTTCTGTGAGTCGTCTTTTCCCCAGATCATTTTGCAAAGCCGTACTGACACAGTCCTCAGCACCGCGTTCTTTCAGGGTTGCGTGTTCTTCCCTGCCATTGTCAACCTCCCACAGCTCAATCAGATCGTCCATCTCAACTCAGCCGCAATATCCGGTGTTCGTATTTTACCATTACTATTGCTATCCTCGCTTGGTTCTATGTTGTCGGGAATTCTGCTGTCCAAGACCATTCGTTTCGGTTGGCAAACAATTTTATTGGGTGCTATCATCGCATCTCTTGGTATGGGGCTGTTCATTGAGTTACCCTTTAGCGAGGGCTTGCTGGCTAGAAGTTATGGTTACCAAGTCATTCTTGGTGCCGGCCTTGGTATTATGATGCCAGCATTCATGATTCTTGGGAGAGCCGAGGTTGAGGATAGAGACAATGGTAAGTTTGCTGAGCAAGCCGGCGTCATCGAGGGACATGTCACTAACAATTTCAAACAGCCGTTATCATGGGTGCGCTGAACACTGTTCGAACAATGGGAGGTTGCATTGCTCTTTCAGTCTGCTCTGCAATCCTCCACAACGAGGTGCCGAAGCGACTCCACGACTTGCCGGAGAACGTGGTAGGCTCGCTCCTTAGTTCACCAACAAGCGCCTTGGGACAAATGGACCGTGAAACCGCCAACGTGGTACGTCGGACTTACAATGATGTGTACCGACTTCAGTGGAGTGCCGTTACTGTGTTGGCAGCCATCCAGCTGCTCTTTGCCGTACCACCTCTTTTCCTTGCTGGGAAGCCAACCACCCCAGACCCAGATGGAAGAACCACCACCTCAAGCGCAAACGAACGTTCCGCCGAGCAAAGTGTTTCCAAGAGCGACATTTGATCAATTGTTCATAGTCAAACGGATAAACTGCGAAGACCGACGTCAGTCAAAAGAGGTTTCCCAGTTCCTCAACTGTATTACAAAGGAATACTCCATTCACTTTACGTTCTCCATGCTTAGCTCATTGTAGTGTTGTTTTAATACAAAGGGTCTTCCTTAGCTGACTCAAATATTGTTCATATGAGAAGTGTTATTTTGTGGTCTTGGTAAAAGCCTTGATCAAGAGCATCTATCCGCAAATGTATCAAAATTTCCCTTTTCGGCCTCATTCGGCAGAGGTCGGCTATGTGGAACTCCGCATCGTCCCGAGTGCCGGACCCCTTTTGACATCATGTGAGCCGCATCCCGCTAGAACTGTTTCGACAAAAGAGCCAAGTTATCTTAAGCAAAACTCCCGTCGGGATGTGGGGCTTTTGCTAGTGATTTGCATGAGCCGGGGCAGCAGGAGGAGGGATGTTGATGCATGCGTCCGGACCCTTGGTCTAGCAAAAGTCCCGGTGAATCGGTACAGCAATGGCCGGGGCACCAGGCGTCGGGAGCGGGACAAGGTTGTAAATCGGCAACTCAGGTGTCGAGAAATGTACGAAGGGTTCGTATATAGCCGAGTTCAGTCATGGTTGACTTCGTCACAGGTATGACATGAATTGATCATGTGCGCACATATGCCCTGCCAAAGGGAGGCTCAGATCTAGTAGAGCGCGCCGTTATTACCCAAAGCTAGGTCTTTCAAACTTCCTATTTCTCTACATCCAACTGAGGTGTCATTTCCTCTACACGTGGCAACTTAGGCTCCCCACGATGGAGGGTTGGCGCCCATGTGGCTGACTAGGTTCGAAGGAGGGTGTGGTCAAGGCGACCATTGGGGGGGGGGGATAACCTGACCAATTACCCACTTATTTTGTGATTTGTGGGGCTACCCTGAGATCAGCTGACCATGGTCAGCTAGTTAGCTATGGTCAGGTTGAAATTCCTTAGCGCGGTTTGAAACCTCACCCTTGACATACTTTTTGTAAGAACATACGACATTTAAACGCTTCCAAATCCGTTCCGAATCGATTTACAATGGCTCTTCAATCGATTGAAAATCTCTTCCCTCGCCTAGAGGGAATAAGTCCTCTATTAGAACCTACTAGTCTTGATGCAGAAGCTGAAGAAGACTTAAATCTTTACTATCAACTACCAGCCCAGGCCCAGTCTGGCTTACCAGTAAATGAGGAGGTAGGGATATATGAGAACGACTTTGGAATTAGTTCTAAATCGATTCAGGATCAACTCGAAACCGATTCAGAAATACCTCCAACACTTGTTTCATCAGAGGCAACCCGTTCTGGGCATAATAGCCTCAGGGATGTTCATGTACTTGCTCAAAAAGTAATCTTTCTACCTACATTTATAGAATATCCAGAAACAAGTGAGAATGGAGTCCTTTATGTTATTGATATAAGGACTTTAAATGAGGAGGATATTAAATCGCCTTGGAGAATGGTAAACGAACTACTTTTGAATCGATCCGGGATCGATCCCGAACTACTTCAGAACTAATTACATCACAGATTCAGTACAACCATGCCCGGCAATTCCCACAATTCTATATCGCTTCCGAATCGCTTCAGAATCACTTGGGAACTAATTTACTTAGCTGAACCTCAAATAAAAGCATGGGCTCAACATAAAGCCCGAAAAACAATTGCAGCTGGACTTAATCAGAACTGCTCTAAAATCCCCTTATCAGATTGGAGTCAATTCATACCTAATACAAATACTGTTGAGGTTTTACATGAAGCCTCATATACTTGGAGTAATCGGTATTTACCATTACTTACATGTATCCAGAAGTAAGTTTGGAATCCCTTCTGAATTGATTCGGAATTGGTTTGGAATGCGTTGAGAACTAATTCAAAAGTACTTAGATGTGCAGAATACGATCGCCATCTTTTAGAGCAGGATACAGTGTTTACAACACTAGGAATCCGGCTTTCCTGGAAAGATGTTTCTATTATTAGCCGTTATAATACAGCTGCAAGCCGTTTACGTAAGTTAAAAATACTTTAATATTTATTAATAATTATTTCTAAATTATTTTAGAACTTAAACGCCAACGCCAGAGGGAATCCCGTGAGCAACTAGATAATGAACGTGTTGAAAGGCTTTTATCAACCCGACTCTTTACGTCTAGTCCCTCAAGGGGTACTAATTCAAGAAGTCCATCCTCAATTCCGAATCGATCCCGAAGTCTTTCAGAAGCGATTCGGAATCGATCCCCTCGTCTTTCCCATGCTTCATCTTCTGGGGTTATTAGGTCAAATACTCTCCAAAGAACATCTATTTCTAACTTAAGAAACGAAATCAGACAGGGACAACAAGATGACTTTGACTTACAGAAGCAAAGTCTAGAATTAGAAGAAAAGCGATTAGAATTAGAAGCAAGAAAACTTCTAGTTGAAAAACAGAAGCTTGAACTACAAGAAAAGGAACTAGAGTTAGCAGAGCGGCGGAGAAGGTTAGGACTTTGATAGCATATAGGATAGGTAGAGAATCGATTCTAAATCATTTCTATATTGATTTAGAAATGCTTTTTTAAAAAAAAGCTTAAAAACCGAACGCCCCGGGTATCTATAAAGAATTGATTCTAAAGCGGTTCCAAATCGGTCCCGAAAGAAGTCCCAAACTGGTTCCAAACCGATCCTGAATTGATTCAGGCCTCATCTTCTTCATCATCCTCAAAGCGGGCCCAGACCTCACATTCCTGATCGCGAAGGGCGGGAGGACATTCTGAATCGATTCGTAATTAGTTCTGAACTGCTTCAAGACTGATTCTAAACTTACTGGCATTGCGGGCAGTGGTGCAGTGGGTGCACTTGCCCTTGGCAGGGAAGCCGGCGGCGCGACGCATTTCGGCGAAGTTGATCTGTTGCAGAATCGATTCGGAATGGGTTCCAAAAGGATTCCGGATCGATTGAGAATCACTTACCACAGTTTGGTTGCCCCGCTTGCGCGTGGGCACGGCAAGAAGGGGGGGAGGGGTCTGCGCCTTCCGTTTCTTGGAAGGAGTCTGCAGCTCGCTGTCATCGCGAGCGCCGATGGCGATGCCGTGGATGCGGTCGTAGAATTCTATTCATAATCAGTTTAGAACTAGTTCAGAATCGGTACAGAATCAGTTCAGAATCACTTACCAGCTGCATCATCGTTCTCCTCGACGGAGTTCGCGCCGGACTTGCGGCTCTTAACCTTGGCCGGGACCCCGTCGAGCTTGTGCTTCTTGATGTGGTTCTTGAGGTTCGACTCGCTCGAGAACCGCTCCGTCTAATCGATTCGACATTAGTTCTGAACTGATCCGGAACTGATTCTGAATTACCTTGGTGCACGTGATGCTGCTGGATCTACCACCCCAGCGGCAGTAGAGTTCGCCAGGGGCGAGCTTGACTTCGCCAGCCTGAATCGATTCAGAACTGTTTCTGAATCGTTGTGGAATCGCTTCTGAATCACTTACCTCGTTGAACTCGAAGGGAGGAAGATCCTCCATGCGGTGGTTCTTGCCGCCCTGGAGAAGACCTTCTTTGTAGGTCTTGTAATCGTCCTGATTCTGAATCAGTTCTGAATCGATCCTAAACCGATTCCATTGTACTTACAGAATCCTTGTATGAAGGCATGATGTCGGATTTCTGAACTGATTCGGAAGTAATTAGGAATCGGTGCGCCAGGGGGGGGGGGGGGCGCATACGATTTGAAAGGGTTACGGAGGGAAAAGGAAGAGAATCAGAATGGAATAGGGATTTAAATATTAATATGGGGTATGCACCCCAATCAGTAGTGGGACGCAATCAGTAACTGGTCCGTGCACCTGACCGATTAAAAATTCCATGGTCAGGTGGACCCACTTCACCTCAATACAGCCAATCATAAAATTGGTCAGATAGACCCATAATTCATTTAAATAAGTGGGTAATTGGTCAGGTTATCCCCCCCCCCCAATGGTCGCCTTGACCACACCCTCGTTCGAAGCTGTGAAGGAACCACCAACATAAAAACCCCCGGATGCAGCATCTCGGACGCACGCTGCAATGCAAGTACGGGATCTCCAGCCAGGTTGTTGATCACACGTAAACAAGGGCTTGACTAGGATGAGTATGCAAGGGAAGGTAAGGCTGTCGAAGGTGGCCGTCATTTGGCGGCAGGGAAGTCGATCATGCCCATATCCTAACTATTTGAGGGCCGGCAAATAAGACCGAAGTCCATAATAAACATTGTGAGATTCAGGGCTAGACCGTTTCCTTATTGGGTCGCTCTGCTCAAGGAGTCTCTGGTCTGCAAAGCCTTCATGTGTCGTGTATTGCCCTATTCGGCATCGGTCCCAGCAGACGGTCGTCAGGCGGGCCGCAATTCCGCATATCAACTGCAAGCTTCAAACGCTATTGGTCAGGTGTTTGGACTTATGGACCCGTAAATACTTATCAATGACGACTCATGTTCAAGAATATCTCATTTCTTCGTTTGTGGCACATTACAGGGTGCTCGAAAGGTAAGCTGTTCTTTGCCACAGTAGAAGACGGAAGGATGCCGGCCATCCAACTTCATATAAAGCTTCTTACACGCCTTGGTGTCTCCACGCTCCGGCGGCATTCAGGCATCGGTGTGTTATCGGTCCATGTCGACACTCCAAGAGTCCGGACAAGGTCTCGGGCACGCTTTCGGGACCATGAACGGGGAGACACAAGCGGGCGGAACGCTACGCTCAAACAAGGTTCACATGGCCGACCAAGGGTCCCGCTCAAACCGTCACAACCTAAGTGGAGTATGGCAGAAAACTTGGAGGATGAGGAGAAGTGGGTTCGCGGGTCGAGATTTCGAACGTCTGTTCTCGTGCTCGGTCAGAGTCCGATATCGTCGACGCTAGTATAGTTGTGAGGGGAGACGCGGGACACAAAGGTGGAGGAGGGAACTAGCTACGCCTACTCCAGAACCCCCCTTAAGCTTGCCCCCAACATTTGTTTGTGGAATTGCGGGATATGAAAACGCGGGGAGCTTGATGCCTGATGACTTGGATTCCGAGACTTTTTCGTGTTTCCTTGCCGAAGGAGATTGCTTGGACTTGCTGTGGGCGGCGCGAAATTTGATGTATCCTTCGCAGTACCTACGTGACTTTAGTCCTGTTTGTTTTCTATTTTTCTTAACTAACTCAACTCCACAGCTAATTTTCTTTTACGTTGGAGAAATTTCCCCAATTCCTGACTCCCCTAGACTCGTTGACGTTACCCCAATTTTGAAAAATCATTATCCCTAGATGGCTTCAAATGGTGAATGGGTAAATCCACCTCCGCCCACAATGAGTAAAAGCACTTTGATTCGTTCTGAGCAAATGGGGATATTATGTGAATTATGAATCTGATGATTCAGTGTCTTTATTGCCGTGATTCTTGCTTTTGAGTCTGATGATATTCTGGACTCTTGTATGTGCAATAGGGCTTCTATTTTACAGGTATAATACGCTTTTTATCATGGGTATCAAATGACCATTATCTTCTTTAATCTTATCTCTCAGCAACTGCGGCTTAGACAAGGTATCTGAAGCCCTTGCCCAACTTGCGCGACGCCTCGATTTCTTCAGACTGGACGGCGTCGGGCCCATCACCCTGAGCCTCCCAGGCACGCTCGCCCTCCTCAAGCTGCTTGTTGAGTCTGTCAAGGACAACCTTGAAGATGTAGCAACCAACAATGGTGATACCGAACATGGCAGTAACGATACCGTAACTCTTGCGGAAACCGTTCTCCTTCAAGTTCCAAACGTAGGAGCCGGCAACGTTACCGAGCTGAGAGAAGGCGTTGATCATGGCGATGGCGACAGCACGCTTCGCGGGAGGACGGGGGAAGGAGGAAGAAATCCAAGAGTAGAAGACGATGAATCTGTTAAGGGGCTGGTTAGCAAAAATGTGCCTTTCTTAAACATATTACAGCAAGAACTTACCCAGCATAGGAGCTAGCCTGGAGGAAGAGGGCGACGTAGCGAGCAGCAACGTTCAGGGTCGACATGGAGATGACGAAACCAACGAGACCGACGCAAATGGGTCCGACAATGTGCCAGAATCTCTCCTGGGTACGATCGGCGTGCCAAGCGTTGATGAGGGAAACAATGCAGGAGAAAGCCCAAGGAGGGGAGCTCATCAGCAGAGTAGGGACGTATTCAAAGCCGAGAGTGCCGGTGAGGGTGGGGAAGAAGGCGTTGAAGGAAAGGCCAACGACGTAAGCGGTGAAGGTCAACATCATGATGTAAATCTTGACGTCCTTGACAGCCATGATCAAACCGTCCATGGGTCCCATGTCGTCAGTGTCTGCGTCGGCCTCACCGACATCCTCAGTCATGCGCAGCTGAGCAACGTACAGCTCCTCCTCAGTGAAACCCCTCGAGTTGGTGGGAAGATCAGGGAGGATGAAGGCAGCAGAAATGGCAACACCCATGGTGATGGCGCCTTCAATCCAGAAGAGCCAGCGCCAGGCAGCGTGACCGAGGACGCCTTGCATGTTGGAAAGGACACCGGCGCCGATGAGAGCCGAGAAGGCGTTGGAGATGAGGTTACCGCAAAACAGGATGGCGTTGCGGGTAGTCAGCTCGCGGCGGGTGTACCACTTGGACAAGATAAGCAGGGCTCCGGGGAGGAAAGCAGCCTCGATGAAACCCAGGAAGAAACGGGTGGCGACCATGCCGCCGAAGTTGTGCACAACGCCAGAAAGAGTCGAGATAAGACCCCAGACGAGCATAGCGGCAGCGATGTACCAGGATGGGCGCGAGATCTTGTTGATGATCATGTTGGAGGGGACCTGCATGAGAATGTAGCCGACGTAGAGAATACTCAAGCAGGTAGCGTATTCGGTGTTGTTGAGCTTCAGGTCATCTTGCAGACCACGAAGACGGGCAGCAGCGATGTTGTTTCTGTCGAGGTAGTCTAGGGTTCATGATGTGAGTTACTGGATCACACGTAAAAGCCAGTTGGTGAAGACATACTCATGATGTAAATCAGCACGAACAGAGAGCATCGGAGATCAAGCTTGCGCTTCATGCTCTTCTCAACGGCAGCACGGCGAGCCGGATCCATGACACGAGGTGCATTGGGGTCGTGAGTCATCTGGTCCTCGAGGTTGTCGGCGTGAACGCCTCTGGCGACCTCCGCCTTGTCAATCTTGTCGTCCATCTTTGTGATGTGTTGTCGGATCTCAGAACTTGACTCTTCACAACAGGGTGTCGCAAGGGGGTCTTGTAGGTTGAGACGATGGTAGAGTCGGGAGAGGGAGGACGTCTGGACTGAGTTGAGACAGTTTCCGAGTTTTCTCAAGATGGGATGCTTAATGTTTATAAAGGTATGCCAGCCTTCGGTCAAGTGCCGCGGGGGAACAAATAGCCACCCCTCAATAACATTTTTTAATGTGGGGTGGAACGAGTTCCGAACATGCGTCCCATCGTGCAAGTTCGTGGCGCGTGGGAAGTCAGAATTTGACGGCCAGCCGGGATCTGTTCAAACCACTGTGCCCCTGATTTGACCATGGTTTACTAACGTTTTCTGGAGATGCAGCTACAATGGGGCTTCTTCGGCCGCATCAAGATGACGTGGGGATAAACCTACCCACGGGGAAGTACATACGGGTTGGACGAGGAGAGATGGGAGTGGTTGAGAGACCACGGATACTGCTCGCCGCTTCGCTTTCGTACCTCCGGGGAACGTCACCTTGCATCCCGGGGGAATGAGCGAGGGGGGATGAGCGGTTCCATCTACTCTATTGCTCCATTGCCCCGTTGCTCCATTCCCCAACATCCGGACCTGAGCGGTCACCTGGAGTAGTGTAGTCAATCCCCAGTTTCCAAGACTCCCCGAGGGGATCCCGCAATTCATTCTAGTTGAATAAAGGGCAGTAGTGTGAGAAGAAAAAAAACTAAAAACTAGCATGACTGGGGAACATGTTCATTGCAGGATAGGACCGAATTTACACGGACGCGGCCCACTAACTAGACGCCAATTCGCCTCAAGTGCCGGACGAGATCCGTAAGTCCGCGTTTAGTCTGCAGCGTTACTGCGTGAATCTGGACCCGTGTATAGGAAAAATGTCAGCCATCCAAGCATCCATCCCTACCACACATTCTCCGCAAATTGGTGGGACTCGACGGGGAGACGGCATGGAGAAAGTCGTCCAATAAGGTGCTCACCGCTCAAGCAGGCTTATCCTTTTGGGGATAAGATTGCCGGTGCTGAGCACCCGATGAGGGATTAGAATCCGACAAGAGTTGCTCCAACCCAACACCACGACGCGGAGTCTTGCGGAGTTTAAGCTGTCGTGACGTGAGCTTGTTGTTTCGAAGTTCCCTACCTTTTCCGTGCCGATTTTGAACCCAAAACTCTTGCAGTTCCCATAAGCAGCCCGCCTCACGTGGCCATTTCTTCATGGTAGCTATGACGTTTGTGTACCATTTTCCGTGACACCACACAACGTGGCTAAGCCTAGGATACGGCCCAAACTATGGAATCAATCCCACCGCATCGAGGCAATTTGGTACTTGCAGTTAAACAGGTGTTTGTCAAGTTTATGCAACACTGAACATGGTGGCCCAGAATGTTGGGACAGAAAAAAAGGATACTCTGTTCCCAGCAATTTCCGATTTCCACACCACTGCAAGATTTTTATCAGCTTGGCGGGCTTGGCTTGTTATACCTGGCCATCAGATTAGAAATCTGATTCCTTCCTTCTAGAACATCACTGTCTAGGTTAGGCCTGCTTGTCGCCGCATGTCTGGGGGTCCTTAGTGGCTCCAGCAGCAATTGCCTCCGACTTTCAATCAAGTCTCGTCGGTCGTTCGCAAGACCGACTAGCTCTGGCCAAGAGTTCTAAGACCGTTGCCATGCCGGGCACAACTCCTAGCTACCGGAAAGAAGACCGTCAAAAATCTATCGAAAGGTCTGCTCTCCTCTTTACCCCGAATTCCTAAGATGGCTCTCCCCGTGGAGGGCAGTGAAGAAGGCGGGGTTCCCCGAGAGGCCTTCTACTGAACCAAGCGCAGGGGGACTGAATTAGCGCAGTTTTCTTCGGATGGCTTGGGAGCTTGACAAGCCCGCTAGTTTGTTGGAGACACGATTATAAAGTCGCGGTCCAACAGAGATGGGCATGCGTAGGGGACGGTACAGCAAAGCGTACTAATGTGTAGTGAGTCGCAGCCATTGCCTCTTGAAATTGTATAAGCGAGCATTGTGAAAGCACGAAAGCATCATTGCGTCAGGTGGACTGAAGCAACCTGTTTGTGTAAGAGGGGGAAAAAATGAAAAAAGACCAAAAGGCATAAGTTAGGACAGAAATGATTGTCACCCTCATTGTGTATTTCTGAGGGGCAGTTTGTTAATTGTTTGGGTCCCCGAGGTTGCCGACGGTATGGAGCCGGATTTCAACCCCATCTAACTGAACTCACTTCTTTCTGGATCGATTTTACACAATCGGGATATTCTGTATTTCTTGAATACTACAGGGATTCCGCTGTATACATCGATGGCTTGCTGATTCGGCTTGGTGGTTCAGTGCGTCGCATCGGAGGGCTTTTTGCCATGGCTTGCCAAACAATATCCTCCCTAGTCTAACGAACGCGCTTACCATCTTGGGCGAGAAGCTAGGCGGCCGAAGATGAAGTGTGTCGGCAGGTGCTCGGAAAAGGTGGGACCCGGAGAATACCTTAATAATGTTCCGCAACTCAGGGAACCATAAATCTTTCAGACTAGCCATAACTCAAATAAGAAGACCACTTGTTGCCCTTGACAAACTAAACAAGCCATAAAAGACCAATCTGGTTTTGAAGGCCTTGTCTTACTGGTAGAAACCAGTTTCATGAATGGTTAACAAGATTCAGATAGGATGATCGATGAAATGGCCAACCGACCAACCTCGCTAAGGTAGGTTTTGATGTATGGCGGACTTTATTTTTAGCGATCGAGTTGGAACATAGCTTCGGATAGCTAATTCCAGAGCCAATATCGCTCTTCAAGGAGACAGAATCAGAAACTTGAGCTTGTTGGGTTCTTTTCATGTAGAGAAACACTCCGACGCTGATCTCCAGAGTAACGATTTACAATACCTCTCGAAAAGCGATGCCAAAAATTGAACGCCCTGCAACTGTTAATGACAGTTCCAGCCCAATGTTACATTATTGACGTCGTTGTAAGGTAAGAGGGGATGACATTGGTTTTGCAGGACCTCCGTCATCTTTCTTTGACATATGGTAGGCTTTGAAAGGTACTCATAGGCAGGCGGGGAAGCCCGGTTACGTCCGTCCTAGCTTGCTACTTAATTTCACGATTACCAGGTCAAAAGCATGACAGCCAAACTGGTCTTGTCCAAGGTGTACCGAAAAATTTCTGAACGAATGGCTATGATCATCTTTAGCCCTTCCTCCTTGGTATTTCCGGCAGATCCGACGAAGGCGACAGTTACTCTGGGCGAATTAAGCCCATCCAGAACTGTTCATATTGCGTTGGCTTCCGTCTCTATCAGTGTATTGTTGGGCTGGATCTTCACTTTTCTGCCTGACGGTACCGCGTGCTTGCCTCAATTTGAAGGTTGTCCCCCAGAGGTGGCGCGTACACTGTACCAATATTACAGTTTCTATGATTACCCGTGCAAAGCTAAGATGGGAAGCACATATGTGAGAAATCATTACTGTTTTGAATTTTTTGAAAAGGCAAAGGACTACTTGGCCTGCACAGTGATGCAAGAAGGGTCCTAAGCAGCGTCGGGCTTGTCGATCCGGATGATTGTTCCGGTTATGATTGGACTACGCCGCACGGAAAGGAGGGTTGAATAAATTAAGTCACGACCTACAACAGGTGGATTCCCTTCAGTCAGCGTCATTCAGGTGGCGCATATTACGCCAGGCCCGAGGTCAGGCTTGTCTTTGTTTGAGGCGGTGCGTATAGTGGTGATCAACCTCAGCGATGATGGCGGTGTTTGGATCATCAGTCAGCTGGCTATTGGAACCAAATAACGAGTTTCGAATATAGGAAAAGATTTTCTTGAATGTGTTGTTGTGATGGATGCAAATGACGTGGATGGTTTTGGAGGGAAATAGCATAACAGGCAAAAAAAATATTTAAAGCTCTGCTAGATCCGTTTGAGGTTGAAAAGATAACAGTACTTCATCGCAACGAAAAGCAAATATCAAACAAAGCTCAAAGCATTCCAGAAATCCTAAAAATCCCAACCATCAGAGACACAATAGTCAAATCAGAAACTCCAACAAAATGGCACCAAGGTAGGTCCATGTTAACATCCATACAACCCCGAGCCTCTGTCAAAGAGTACGTCGCTAACATGCGCCAATAAAGTTCCAACAGACGCTTCTCATTCTCATTCTCTCCTGCTGCCAAAGCTTCAAAGCGTGTGATGGCTGAGCGCAATGACAATCGTCGCTCGTTCGACTCCCAAGCGAGCTCTTCTACCCTTGGAGCCATGCCGGTCGTCGAGGTTGAGAGCTATCTGACGGCTCCTGCCGCCCGATGGACAACTGCGAATAGAATCTAAGCCGTCGTGGTTTTGGGTTTTATTTTGAGAAGACGGATATTGGTAGTTTGCAGGATTGGTTCGTGCTGCAGAAGTTCTTGGTTATATGTTAGCGAGTCTTTTGCTGATACCCAATCATCAAAATTGATGGCTTTGCAATTTGTTTAGCCGTTTTAAAGAAATACAGACATCTCTTTTTTTTTTTAAAAAAAAAAAAAAGAAAAATGGCTGTGGCACTGTGCAAATCTTGGATGAGAATCACTCTGGTTTTCATAAGGGCCCTCGACTTCATAATAGGAACTAGTTTAAACCTGGAGTTCGTCACACCGATAGAACGGGTGCCTGCTTAATTCTCAGTCACTGCGACCCAGTCTTGGGGAATATGAGGCTCAACCTTTATGCGCTTTACGTCTGACCATTCGGCATGTTTCCTTCTCAAGCAACCGGAAAGGATGACCTTGAAAGCCTTCTTGGTTTCAAAGACTCTGCTTACCTAGGTACCCCGAAATTCCGGATTTGCATGGGCTTTCATCACTGTCTATTTAATGTGACCATTGATGAGAGATATAAAAGTTATTATGCAATATCGAATCTTCTAATTTATTATCTATTAAGCTGTAAATCCCCCTCTATAACGGTAAATCCAGAACTTTTCAAGACGTTGATCATGCTGATTTTGTCTTGAATTGACTTTCCTTCTCTAACCAATCCTCAAAGGTAAGCAAACCGGAGTGCTCTCTTCTCACGAGGGGGATGTCGACACGGAATCCATCCGTGTAAAACCACCTATACATCGCTCCAAAATCGGCAATCATCCAGTGAAGAAACTTCACAAAGAATTGGAATGTTTCTGGTATTTCACTGCCCACTTTGGTTTTGAAGATTGCATTCGCCTCCTGGAGGGTAAGTTCGTCGCCAGCTATCGGGACTTGTCTGCCAGAAAAGTCTTGAGGGCGAAGGAACGCCTGGGCTGCAAACCAACCCACGTCCCTCACCGCGACGAGTTGCAGGGGCTTGTCTTGCACAGCTACCCTCCAGGAGGTCGCCGTGACCTTGGTACCCATTCCCGGCGTCAAGTTGTCCATGAATGCAACAGGACGAAGGATTGTCCAAGACATTTTGTCCTTTGCTTTGTCAACAAGGTGGTGCTCAATGCGATATTTGCCGATGAAGTGCTGGACTCTAGGAATATAGTTGTCGTAGGATGAATCACCGCCGCGGTCAATGGATGAGTAGACGAAATGCTTGACATTATTGGCGAGTGCTTCGTCAACCAAGGCTTTCCCTTGCCTTTCCTCCGATGCTGCAGAAGCCCCTTGGCCTATCGCAGTCTGAAGAGCATGGATTAGTATTTGCTAGGACTCAGATATACTCGTTTTGAACGCCATATGCACTCACCTGTACGCTGTAAACCCCCCAAATTTCGGCTTCAGGGCCGCCCAATAGTGTTTTCGCTGCTGCGAAAATAGCTGGCACATCATTGAGATCCCCTTGCACGATTTTGACTCCGCGAGATTCAAGCGCCTTGGCTGAAGCCGAACCGGGGTTGCGAGCGACTGCCAGGATGTTATGCGTCTTTGCGGCACCTGCTTCAAGGAGAGATGTGATTACAGCACCACCCTGCTTGCCAGTCGCGCCGGTGACAAGAATCGCCTTTTGCATTTGAGTGTCGGCGGACATGTTGTGTAGTCGGTGAGTGATTAGTTATTATGTGCGTATGGGCTTGCTCAATGAGTAATGAAGTTGTTTTGATTTCAGATGATGATGTTTAGATGTTGTTGTTCAGGTACTGGTGTGTTAGATTGAGTATGATTTTGAGAGATGATGAAGAACGACTGCGAAATGAAGCTTTAAGTAGAAGACAACTACTATTTCTCTCGGCTCTTCGCTGTTCGCGAGAACGACTGGGGTAGAAGGGCCATTTCCAAGCATGCTCTACTACTCGCAGTCTTACCGACATGCGATGGTATCATTCCAGATCAAAAGCAACAGTGTCCAGGATTATGATCAATGCCTTTCTGGAACCCTTTCGAACAGCAGCGGAGGTGTCGCGCGTCCTCTAAAGCCGAAAACGACTCGGCCGCGCCCCAGATGGTGGTCGGTCATCAGTGCTTATCAATCTACCAATCTTGCAGTCGCCTGATTGGGCGACTGGTGGCTGACAGCCACAAGGGATATGATCCTTCGACTTTTAATAGGGCTGCCGGTGTGACGCGGTACTTTTGGTGCATCAACTGCCCGGACATTACAAACATCTTAAAATAAATATCCTGTACGGCTATTGGCCCTCGGTACGCGCTCTGTGTTGGGAAGGGAGACATGCTTGGCATTCGTGATTATGCAACTCATCTTCTCCCGAGTAATCCTTGGATCGGTGCCAACGGACTCAGGCGCGATAAACGCCGAAGACTGCTAGTCTTCGTTTGCACCATCATCTTCGAATTCAATATTAGTCATGCTGGTGCAGCTTAGAAGTGGCTTGGTAACTACAGGGCTACACAGGAAGACCCTTGACAACGGCAATTTCCCTTAAACACTCGTCTATTTCCTTTTCTTTTTCTCCTATATCGCTAGTATCTACCGCTTTTTACCAATGGAAGGAAAACGATCTCGGTCTGACAAACTAGCGCGCCGGACGGCTCACTACATGAGACACTAGAATGATATCGCAAGTGATAGTCTACAATCCAAGTGGCTGCTTATAATATTATCACACACTTTTAAAAAATAAAAATATTTGGATCTTGAAAGTACTCAAATAGTTCCCCGCACGATGTATCAGGCTGGGGTATAAGTTGACAAGGTGGTTCGGCTTCAGAGAAACTGTGGTGAAATAGCACCTTACCAACCAGAATTGAAAGAGCATCCGGTTCTACGTAAGGCTACCCTCTAAGAGGTCCTATAATTTCTGTACTATACGACCTGTGTTATGTCATTTCTTTCTCGCAACTCATTTAAACCTTCGTCGTTGACTATCTTTCATACCTGGAAACTAGTTTGGAACGTTCAACTGCCAAGGAATGAACATGCCCGCCGCCTTCGTGTTTTCATGGAATTTTGATATGACGAGCGTCCGTATCTTTTCACCATAATGACAAGATATGTAACGGATCAACACGTAATATTCAGGTTCAACGTGAGTTAGACACGTGCCATTCAGCGCACATTTGTCTCTTTCCAAATGTCCTGAAAACTAGATGCACTCATTGTAACGTATTATGACGATCACGCAAACACCCATGCTTGAGATTACGCTTTATGGGAGCAGGCAACAGCTAAAACGAACACACAAATTTGGTAGATGCTTGTATGTACAGGGAATCATTTGTATGTCCAAGAATCGTAACGCTCCCAACTTAATCCCTTCCCCCTCAGATCATCCACTGGGTGAAACTAGCACGAAGATTGGCCGTTGCCGGTGAAGCTACCGGACTGGTACGCTCCGTTGGCATCATCGAGGCACTCAGCTAAGGCGCAGTTAGCGATTATGGCTCATGAAAAAACGCACGCTACTATTACTTACCAACAGTGACGAGCTTGAGGTTGTTCTGCTTGGCCCAGTTGATCAACCACGGCGTCAAGGTCTGCACGGTGCTAGCGTACGTCTCGTGCATGAGGGGAATGTGTCCGTTGCCGCCAGCACCGGCCTGCTGGAACTTTTGCTGGCTCTGTTGAGCACTCTGGCCGTTCCAGTCACCCGAGTCGACGTCGTTGGTGATGACCTTGTATCCCAGCGTCTTCATTGTGGGCAGCACAGAGCCGCCGGTGGCAAGGTAAGGAGGGCGCATGTAGGCGGGCTTTTTGCCAATGATGTTGACCAGCGCCTGCTCAAGCTTCTGCATCTCCGTTGTGAGCTGCGACTGCCCCAAGCTGCCAAAGTTCTGCGGATGCGTCCATGTGTGAGAGGCAATTTGATGGCCCGAGTCAAAGGCCTTCTTCACACCGGCCCTCTGGTTGTAGATACAGCCGTAGAGGGTGCCCGTGAAGAAGAAGGTAGCCTTGGCACCGCCGTTGTTGAGGATGTCGACCAGCTGCGAAGTGTACTGATAGGGACCATCGTCGTAAGCGAGGGCGAAGACGCCGGGCTTGGCGCACTTTTGGATCACGACGCCGGGGCTAGGTGCGCGCTTGATCAGCTCGATGGGAGATTCGATGGGAACTGCCACTGCGCTAGTAGCCAGCAGAAGGGCGGTGACGATGGTGTCCAAGAAATGCATGTTGGGCGACTTGACTGCGAAATAGCGCTGCAGGAAGATTTTAGAAGTGAAATATCGAGACACCAGGTCCTTGTGGATTGGTCGAAAACCGGCATGACCTGGCTTCGACCTCGTCTATATATATATATGTCTGTTTGACTTGAGCCTTAAACAGGCGACTGTGAGCCCACTTGGACCACTTCAATCTCGTCGATCCAAAAGGACTGGGGAAAGGCAGGATAAACTCCTTAGTGGAGATTTGGCGGCTCGAGCATGAGGTCTCGACCGGTCAACCTCCCTCATTCAGGCATTCGCCTCACAGAAAGGGGAAAATGTGGTTGTTGCAGGGGCTGAATTCTAAGGTGGCAGGCCGGCAGTGAGGGGGTTCAAGGGGGGGACACTGACATGGTCGGATGGACTCTCATCGGATCAAGTGCCATAGCAGAGCAATCTAAGTGAGCCGAGAAAGGAAGGCCATGGAAGCATTGATTGAACAAGTCTCATTTAGGCTCTTTTCCAGGCCACCAGTGCTCAATCTGGAACGGAGGGGATACGGTCAAAGGGAGGTTTTGGCGGGGCAGAGCAGGGTTTGCATGGGATTGCCTGCAACGAACAGGGGGCCAGATAGGGGTCTGGGGAGACGGCTGTATGATGCGATATGACGGCGCTGCCGGCTTAGTCCTACAAAGCCTGCTTTCTCCGCACACACATAGTAGTTCGCTGCTTGTTTGTCAATGATGTGTCGATGTCATCCCAAGTAGCTCAACCGGCATATCGGCAGTGGGTAGTCAGGGGAGATCTTCCGGAACCTGGGGTCGGCCAAGTCAGGTTCAAAAAGCCGCGTTGCCACATTATTTTCTTCAGGCTAAATTCAAAGCTTGAAGCAACGTGATGTGCTAAAGTAATAGTGCACTGCGGGGTACGGAAATCTACCCCTCGGCTCATCGACTTTGAAATGTATTTGTTGTAGGCTCATTGATACTTCATAACCGTACTGTGATGGCGCCTCAACATTTGATGTTTGTTTTCTTAAAGCGACAGTGGAATTGCTAACAGATCTTTCCCCAAGTCTATTTCCGATTTAATGTCTTGGTCGTTAACAGTCTGCAGTTTGCTTGCTAATGAGCTTCTTGATTCGTTCTAGACCTCAAGGGCTTAGCCAACCAGAATCCCACGCATTAGCATTGTTCCTCGGCGTGATTGGACCTGATCGGCGCCCTTAGGTTGTCAAACTGAGCCTCAAAAAAAACACAAAGTAAAAAAAATAGAAAGGTCAGTCTAGATTGTAGTCCGTAGCCAGAAATCTTGCCAACACCATCAAACTTCATCGCCGAACCCATTGCAATTCTTCTCCCTACCGCCAATACATTTCACCTTGTCAGTATGAACGTCGAATGCCATTGTGGCGCCGTAAAGTTCCCAACACCGGCGCCGGAACCCATCGACATATACTGCTGTCACTGCTCTGAATGCCGCAGACAGTCGGCGTCGGCCTTTGGCATATCCGCCATCTTCCCAGCAGATGGTCTTGTCCCTCTTTCGGCAGATCTCGAATCCAAGCTTCAAGTCTGGACACGTCCGACCAAGAGTGGTGGCCAGATGGACTGCTACTTCTGCCGGGTATGCGGGTCTCGCATCTTTCACCACGTCCGGGAGAGCGATGGGACTCGTAGGTCGACAGTTAGCATCAAGGGTGGATCAATCAAAGGGCTTAATTTTAAGAAAGGGAAGCACATTTGGACAAATAACGCGGTAATACCGGTTCCTGAAGGAGCTGAAAGTTGGCCCGAGTCACCGCCAGCGACTCCTCGCAAGGATGAAGCCATGGAGGAATGATGGACCACATTTAACTCTTATGTTTCATCGACGAGTCCCGCCGAAGGGTGAAATCTGGACTCACTTCAGGAAAACTTGCGATTCCAATACTTGAGCCACCTTGACAACCTAATACTTCCTGTAGCAATAACTGTATATTGGTTCAGTGATGCTAAATTTTCTATGTACGAGTGTCTGAAAAGATACAACAGAAGAAACTAGAAAATGTAATGTAACGGTGAGTCTTGATTGCATCTCTTGTAGTGTGCATGAATTGAGCCTTCTTCCACGGGCCGTGACTCTTCAAGACACCTATGAGGAAGTGCTGCGACGAGACTGAAAGCGCTGCCCGATGCTGCGCTTGCCGCTCATCATCTTCACACTTTCATCATAATCACTCGTACCGTTGTTGGGGTCGGCATCCTTGGCCTCGCAGTTTGATCCGGCATTGTATTTTCCATTGGGTCCGTCCACACCGGCGAATTTTCGCTTGTCGTTGGCATTGAGCATGTTGGTCGCGGCCTCGGGCAGCCAGCCGTTGATAAAGTCGCCGTGGGTGCAGTAAGAGTTGCCACACGCGAGCTCGAACGGCGGGGTTCCGTTCCAGCCTTCGGGAAGAACCTTGCGAAGGTCGTAGCGGATGGAGAAGCGCAGCTGCGGCATGCGCTTCATGCCCTCGGGGCACCGGTTGGCAGGCTTGAAGCCGTCCTTCCAGTTCTGGGTGCCCGAGTAGGCAGACTCAAGCGTCTGCTCGTTCACACAGTCGTGGAAGAGTAGGAGGGTCTGGAGGTGAGTTGAGCACGTCTTGGTCGGCCAGGCGGCGGCATCCTTCGTTTCACCCTCGTCACCCTCACAAAACCACTGGATGCCAGCCAGTTCTTCGACGTCGGCTTGGGATGTGGCTTGGGCGTTACCGGCGACGGTCTTGTAGTTTTGAGGGATAGCGACCTCGGCACTCTCGATAGCCACGTAGTAGGCGGAAAAACGGGAGAACGGAACCGGCGTCATGCCCTTGTCATCCTTGACGTAGAGAGTAGGAACCCCTAGCTTTTAGTCAGTCACCGCGATGAAAAGCAAGTCAAGTTGTGAAGGTCTGTAAGGGAAGCAGAGACTTACAATACGAAGAGAAATCGTTTGGGTTATCAGCTGTGGAGCATCCAGCCTGAAGCTCCTTGGATGTATTGGTGTTGAGAGTGACGGCATCGGAACCGAAGAAAGTATGCATGTGGCTCTTGTATTGACCGGGAATGACCACAGGATCAATGTTCTTGCGCATGAATGGCTGTGCCACAGCAATGGTGTACGCGTTGGCGATGCCAGCACCGGCAAGCAAAAGTGAAATAGCGGAATGCATTTTGATCAACTGTACACGGAGAAAAGTAGAAACGAATGAACAACTCAAAGGAGTTACAAGAAGGGAAACGAAAGAGAAGGGATGGTAGCCTCAACCAGCAGACAGTTTAGACGCTTTTACAGAAGAGGCTGCCGGCCTTCTTTAAATTGTTGACATACTAGTACCCAGCAACTGTTCGTCCCATACTCATTTACACCTTGAGGTCCTTCACCCTATAATTTTCTTAGGCCCTAAAGCGCGTAGAGCCTGTTGATCCTGGTAGGGCCCGCAGGGGTAAAGGCACCGTCTTGTGGAGGCCGATTAGCTGAAACGTGATGCTAATCCAGGGTTCCATCGCCTTAGCGAATGAGAAGGGACCGCGGCACGGTATTAGGTGTCGCAAGCCTCGGACTGTAATTTAGATTGAAACACCCTTAACAGGGAAGCCGGCTGCATACGCGTATAGTAGTCGTTGTCTGATAGCAGCGGCGGGCAGGCCCGCTGTCAGTTGATGTCAATGGAAAGAGACACAAACTGTTGAGCTCGGGTCGCGGTGGCGAAGAGAATGGTGAAAGCTATTCAGTGCAAGAGTTTCGGCTACTCACCAGTGCATGGGTCAATTTACTGGTGATAACGGCATCTGTCACTTTTTTGGAGGCTTGCCCATGATCCAAATCTTGCACCGTTTATTGATTCGATCACTTCCTTCCACTTAAATGCACTAGATTTCCTACGATCGTTGTTGCTTGAAGAGCAGATCAACATCGATTGAGATCGGTACAAGTGCAGCACCTCATAGGGAGACCAAGGAGTGAGCACAAGAACTGAAAGCGAGATTTCTTGACGGCACCCACATGGCCAAAAGAAAAACTGCATTGTGTGCTTTTCCTCAGTTGGATTTCCTAGGTCTTAATCCATTAAGATATCTCGGTATAGGCTAAATAGGCAAGGCCTCTACCAAGAGCTCATACATTCGAGACACCGAAGCAATGATTTATTTTCAATTTTGATTACGGCCTGGAACCGATCATCCGGCGGAGTCAAGCCGCGGCTAGTCTGCCGTGGCCCAGCCGGCAAATCTCTTCCGTGCGTTCCACAGATCTATGGATGGCGCAACACTGATTTATCTATACCTTTACCCCTGTTGTTTATGGAAAATGATCAGGCTTCCTGGGTAATTTCGATGACAACAAGTTCGATAGTCTCTTTATTTTATGAGAACGTCTTGCAGCATTCTCTCTGTTTTTCTTGTCAAGCCCAAATGACTGTAGAGCAGTTTCTAAAGGATTATCTATCTGCAACTTGACAGCTTTGTGCCATCAGTTGCAGCAAGGACTACCCTATGAGTTACCACGAATGACGTACATTACTATCCGCCATAATGTCCGAAGTTAAATTGAATTTCTGCGAAGCCAAAAGCACAGCATGATTTCTCAGGCCGGCCGCTTACGTGCTAAGGTAGTAAATATGCTACTGAAACTCAGTAAGATAAGCGCGGGACTGCAAGGCATCAATCAATTGGTATGTGATCTAAACGGAAATCAAGGCATTGAACTGCCGCCGGGTACCGTTATGATGGCACTAAATTTACTTTTCATAATACCAAAAACGGCTATTTCCAAATACGGCTATCGGCACCGTTTACCTCGTTCTTCGTGATTTTCAAGTGCAAGTCATATGTAGGTATTCCCCGAGAACCTTGTAGCATTGGGGAAGGTTCCACCATAGACGTAATCCAGCTTCTTGGTAGTAAAATGTAGCTTATATCAGGCTATATGGGACCAGGAATACGGTTGATCTGCGCCGCGGACATAAGTCTACTCCAAGAAGGCAACTTTCCCCGAGATGGTTTTCGCTTACATCTGCCAGTTGTTAGATCTAAGGAGGTTCTGGACTAATGATTTACATTGGTTCTTATGCTGCGAGAGTAGCCAGGTCGTAGAAACCACGTGATTTGACAAACCTTTCCGTCGCAGCTATTTCCGCTCATCAGAAGCTACCAACAAACCATTACAATAACAACCGGCAAGTGACGACTATTGTGAGCTGATGTTCTTCTGAGTTAATCCTTGCTCAATCGTCTCGCTCATCCTTTTTCACAGTTCACGAAATTGAGATCCTTTATCAAGATAAGATATTGTTTATTATGACTAAAGGAAAGTTGGTATTGATGTTCGTAGTAACAGCTGACAAGTTGTTCTGATCGAAGCTGGAAATGCCAAAGGGCGCTATTCAGTTGAATATTAAATCCCTAACGATTGTCGGCATCATGAATGCAGTGAACCTTTTGCTCGTTGTGTGCTTGTAGTTTTTGTAGTTTGTAATAAAACTCGCTGGCAACTGCAGTGAAGGTGGCATATTAGACTACTATCCGTTCTAAAAAGATAATATGGCGGTTAGAGTGAGAGAAAGTTACTTACAGTGAATATGCCGACAGAGTCAAAAGTTAAGAGATAGTGGTAAAGAGCATGTTCGAGATGCTCACGTGAAGTAGACTGTTTGATGGGCAGGTCGAATATCAATAAGACCCATTTGAGGAGCGAATGTCTGTGAATGAAGGATGATAAAAGGAAAGCGGGCTTGTCCAAGACAAAAGAGCGAAGTGTTGGTAGTGGAGGAAACCATCAAACCTGAGCGTACCGGAGACCATCGAAGCCTTTTATGCCCCCAGATGTTTAGCCGATTTAACCTTACATTGAAGCCGCTCTGCCCCTTTGAAACTGCAATTAGAGGCCTATACTTCTGGCGAAGGACCAGTCTGCAACGCTATAGGTTTACATGCTTTGAACTTTGACACTGATATATCGGATGAAACCGCACCCGTCTTCCGACGAGTCAGCTACCGGTAGCTGCGTTGCTTAGAAGTCCGGATTGATCTCCAGCGTGATCGACAGGTAAAAACAAAACAATGCAACACTTCTTGTACAGCCCTACCATGGTCCTCAGACTCTCATTGGGTAATGTGTAGTTTACGATTATAGAAATGGTAGCAGGTGATGAAGCAACGCTGCCTTGGCGGCTTTTCGGTTCACCATTTTAACTGTTCAATTCTCATTTTTGGCTCTCCTGTTGTTTTTCTGTTGATCAAACGAGTACATGTTCCCCGGCAACATTGCCTTCATCAGCTCGATATCACCATCACATATAACATGGCCGGAAAGAAACCATCCGTCGGCATAGAGAGGAGGTCCCATGACCAATAGTACAGATACAGTTAGCCACATTGATGGAAGTGCTATTTAACGGTCATTCTTTTGTGTGAATATGAGATCTCTCAACATGAAACCAAAGCGGGATTCAAGCAACAACACATTGCCGAGAATTTGAGAATCCTATCGTTATGTTTCGAATTGTTGTCGAGGTTCTATTTGCCAACCTCAATCCCCCCGAAAAAGAGGAGATAATAAGTGAGTGATCTGAAAGTTCTTTGTTGACTGCCATGGCAAAGGATCAAACATATTGCTCATAACCTTTTCTTCATGTACACTTTTGACATCTTGGGAAGATGCAAGTTGTTTGCGTGGCATCATTGGAAAAGTCTGAATTGACGTGCAATAAATTACGTGGTCTATCGACTTATCTCAGCCTGGATTTCACATTCCAAGGATCTTCTGGTGATAACAAGCTTCCGCAGCTCACAAATGCCATCTCCAAAGACAAATACTGCTGCGTGTTTGATGTGTAGAAGTTCATCAGTGTCTCGCCGCATCAGCACTAAGTACCAGGACCTGCCCGAATACAGTCCAGGGGATACAGCGCTAGGACGGCGGGGCTGAGCGGGGGAAGTTTGCCGCTTAGCGCATGCGACCATGCCTCTTTAACCCTGATGTTAAGCCAGTTAAATCACTGAGCGGATCAGATTTTCCCTCTTCTTACTCCGCTTCATCTCAACACCTCAAATCCGCCTACTCTTTGAGCATGGATGCGTCCTCCGGCCCGTCATCTTCCTTCTCAGCGGCGCATTACTTTCCGGCACGACGCCGGGTGTGGCAGGCATGCACAAATTGTCGGGCCCGTAAGACGCGGTGTGACGCTGCCAAGCCTAAGTGCAGCTTGTGCATGACACAGAACGTTGAATGCGTATATCGTGATTCGAATCAACCTCGCATCGAGCAAAATACACGCATCTTGCTAGAACGCATCCAGATGCTTGAAGATAGGTTGTTTGCTTCGCCAGTTTTCTCAACACAACCGCCTCAACAACCTCTCAACACACCATCACCCAATGAGTTGAGACAACCAACGACGCCGGGATCGGGGCCGCGCAGTCATCCAGATCCAAGTCAAGACGCAGGGGTGCTATATGAGCAGAGGGAAGCTGGCATAGCACCAGGCCATGAAGGCGATTCTCAGATACCCATTCCATTATCGCATACGGCGAATGCAAATCACGTTTTTGAGTGGCCAATTGTCCAGCAGTTGTTATCAGAGACTGAGCCAGTACTACCACGGCCCACGATACCTAAAGGGTTTCGCTCAACAGAGGCAACTGACATCTTCTTTCACAATACTCAAAATGCGAGCCAAGCAACTCCTCCCCCGGAATCCTGGAGACTGTTTCAAGATAGAAGTCTTCCAGTCTCGATCGATGCTGCCGATAGGTATCGTGAGGTGATACATGAGTATTTCGCTGAAGTCAACATCTTCTTTCCGATACTCTCGCTGGAGGATACACTGGCCACATTTGACGAAGTCGTAGCGAGCGAGAAAACCGCGGGGTCGGAACCCAATACTATTGCGCCGTCGAGATACTGTCTTCTTTTACTGGTTCTCTGCATCGGGTCCTTTGTTTCTACTGGAGAGTACCGCATATCCCTCGATGAGGCGGCAGGAAGAAATGGCAGTCAAAAGCATCAGTCCCTAGGTTCCGGATTCTTTACAGAGACTATAGGGTTTGACGAGAAACTCTGGCAAAAGGCACGCCTACTGCTCGGGTTCATCTCATCGGAAGCGACCCTAGAAGCGGCTCAGTGTACGATGCTGGCAAGTTTGTACATGGGCGCCAATGGCCGCGTTTCCGACTCGTTTCACTGGGCCCATGCCACGGCTGTTAAGTGCGAAGTGCTGGCACGGGGGTAAGTCGTTGTTCATATGTACAGAGTTAGCCTGCTGACGAACAAATGCAGAGCTGTGATAAACACTGATGGGACTGGCCATTTCTCGGATGCCTTCCGCCGGCTGTTCTGGGTCTCGCTGATATATGAAGGAGACTTTGTTTCCGAGATCTCCATCACTCTCCCATCTGGAATCACCAGATATGAAGATATTGTCCCATATCCAGCACCGGAAACACCAAAACATCGCGAAGAACACGCAGCAGCCTTTGCAGCAGCGGATACGAACCCCACAAGCCCCGAAGCCGCTGGGTTTTACCGGACCGAAGAACTAGTGGCATTTCAGATCAGCACCAATGCCGCCATCAGACGGTTTTTGAACCGTGTAAACAGCGTCGTCTACGATAGCAAGGATCAATTCCGAATGACTCGGGCAAACTACGCCGGCTGGTTGCTGCGCATAACAGAAGATTTGTGGTCGTACCACGGGGCTCTGTATCGGAACCTGCCGGACTTTTTGCTTACCAGCCAGCCGCGCAAAAGACCAGATCAGGAGAATGCGAGTTCCCCTATGACGCCTGGTATTATCAGAGTCGAGGAGCTCGGCAACAATCCATGGAATGTCCTGCGACTGAAAGGACGTTACTATGCTGGACAATACATCATTCACCGCCCGTTTATTGAGTACGTCCTTCTCAACATGGCCCACTTCGAGACCCATCCCTGCAAGGAGGCAATCCTCGACAGGTGCAGGCTGTGTCTGGAGGGATGTCGTGGCTTTATCAATGTCTTCGACATTGACCCGGCCAATAGTATAACATGTTTGTTTGCTAGCGGCATGGTGTAAGTTCATATCATGTTTCGATAGTTATTTTCACTATTCTAACACTCTCCAGTACATTTACTATGGTTATGATTCTCCGTGTCGCCACAATGTGCCAAGTATTTCAGGATGTTCTTCCAGGGGACATCGAACATGCAATATTTGTTGGAAGGAGGAATCTGCGACGGTTTAACATCAGCGTTAAAGAGTTTGAGTGGCACCTCAAGGTATTGGAGCAGATGGAAGCATCGTGTAAGAAAAGAATGGCAATGTGAGGAGGTGGAATAGTAATGAGGAAGCCGCGGACATCAATGGCATCGACTGCGTTATCTAAGACGACATGGCAGTTAATTTTGGGCACTAGAAAAATGATACCCTGATACTGATTCTACGATGACGTGAAATGCATTTAGACACAAATTGTTCAAAACGAGTCTATTAAATCCTGTGAACGCCAATTATGCATTACCCTCTCCGACCATTTACCATATTTACTATCATGAAGCAACGGCAATTGGAGTTCCGTTGGTCTGCGCGAGCTTCTTCGCCTTCTCCTCCGGCGACAGCTCAAACACTCCAACCCCCGACACTGTTTCCTTGGGCTTATCCCCATTTGTCTCAACCTCGGGCTGGATAACCTTTCCTTCTAGTCTCTTATCTTCAGGTGCCATGGGGGCGTAAAGCTGAAGCAACTCGTTTAGCCTCTCACGCTGGCAGCAGTTCTCGTACTTCCAGCTGGCCGCCAGCTCATCTAGTTCTTCGAACGTCTTGTCCTTGAAGTAGTCGGCCCACTCGGGGATCATGTACTCGGCCATGGTGATACCCCGAATACCGCGGAAAACGTGCATGTGCATGCGCCACTGCCACGGGTACTTCTTGTTGTACTGTGCCGGGACGTTGTCTTCGAACCACTTGTGCAGGGGTCCGAAAAGACCGGGTTGCAGATGCGCGTCATCATAAGCCCAGCTATCGACGGCGAGGTCCCGCTTCTTGCGGATGATGGGGCCAAGAAGTTTGAGCCAGGCAGAGTCTGGGGACAGATAAGTCATGCCCATGACGTTGACGTCCTTGTAGGCCCAAATGCTCCAAGCTGCAGAAGAATATTCAGTGGCTGACTTTGAGAAGGAAAATATTGATCTGACTTACCGATGCCCTCGGATGTATAGATGGCCATTTGCTTGTCGAGCATGTCGTACCGCTCGTTGTTATGGACCTTCCAGTCGGGGTTGTACTCCTCTCGCTCGTAGATGGGGCCGAATTCGCCTGTTGTAGACTAAGGTTAGAAGTCTTCTTTTGAGACGCCGCAGCTGTTCTACATACCATTCCAGATCGGTACGTTGTGCTCCTTCATGAAGGTAACCTTTCGATCATACATCTGACGAATGTACGCATCTTGTTCTTTCAAGCCCTGGTACCGACCAATACGGTTCGGGAAGCCAAATCCGCAGTAATCGTGGACGGCATACACCGAGTTGGGGAAAACCTTTGTGAAACCTGAAAAGTCCATGCTGAACGTGTTGCCCTCGAGGAAGAGGATGTGATCAGGGTCGATCTCGCGGATGGCAGGGACGATACGGTCGTAGAAGGACAGCAGACGTGTCCACTCAACGTCGGCCGGCTCGTTGAGTGGGTTGTATCCGGCAACCCATTGGTTGTTCTTGTAGCGCTTTGCAATAACCTGCCACAGGTTCACGACACGATCTTGGAAGTGCTTGTGGTCCCAGAATGCGGCATAACCGGTCGGGTTGTCGGAGTGCCAGTCCTGGTTCTGGCCGCCGGGGGCAGAATGAAGGTCGAGAATGGTGTAAATTCCGTACTTGGCACACTGGAAATACAAGAGTTAGATTCGTAATTGTATAGGGAAAGGATGGAAATAGGAATTTGGAGATTTACAATGTCAATCGCACGATCAAGGTGCTTGAAGCCCTCCTCCTTGATCACGAACGGGTTCATGTCATCCTCAAAGTGATGGTAGTTGAAGGAGAGTCGGACGCAATTGAAGCCAATCGACGAAAGGAATTGAGCGTCCTTCTCGGTGAAGAAATACTCAAGAAACTTGTCAAAGAAGAAGTCGTACTTTTCTTGGCCGAGAACTTTCAACAGGGCAGCTCGTATTTGATGCTCTCGTCCAGGAAATCCGTTCATGAAATTCTCCATAAGCATCCAGCCACCGAGGGCCGTCTGACGAGGAAGAAAGTCAACAATTTGTGCTGTTCGCAAGCTTGGAATGGGCCACCTACCCCGCGAAGGCGGACGTCTTTGTCCTCTGCATCGACAATGCGAGAACCCGATGTTCTCAAAAACCCGGTGGACATTTTGTGCGATGTTCGACTTCAACAGAAACAGAAATAACACCAAATGAAGAAGTTAAGGTAGGAGTCGAGGGATTCTGTCCGACTCAGAACAGTGGAATTGTTCAAGCTTCTAAATAGATGTCCTCACATGCCACAGATATACCGAGCTACGATCTATGCGCTGAGCTATCATTCAAGCTGCGGAGTCTCTGCATATGTCCCACTATCCCCATGACGTCTGGTGCCACTCTGGGATCTTCCCATGGCAACATTCGGAACAGCAGTCGTATATACGGACACTTTTAGTGACAAACAGTATGCAAAATACCCCGCGCCGAGCATCGGGGCAGGCTCAGACACATCCCCGATCACAAGTTCCGGCTCGGGGGAGTTCCCTTGGATGCCCCATGTTAGTTGCGGACGACTTCAACCGAAGGAAAAGGACGCTAGGGGGAAGGTTTCGGTTGCCCCGACAGACCCACTTAGATTCGGGGGAAGCATTTAGCTACCCCGACTAAATATGATTCGTCAGTCTCAACCTGAAAGGGGTTCTAGACAAACGAATGCAACTCGATCCCCCACATCGCCGACGCTACACAACTTGAACAAAGTCTAGGCACGTTTTATTGTCCTCTAGATCAACTCTTGTCCTCATCAACGGAAGCTCGCCGAGTCAAAAGTGGGTGACTTCACCCGCAACCACTAGTCGTTCGTTTTCCCCATGGAGTCTGGTCTCACATGAGCAACCATCATCTCATCATGCGTTTGAGTGTGGGGATTGAATTTCCATTTACCCCAGCCCCCGGATCACCATTACTGCTTCTCCGCATCCCATCATCCGACTTGTGATCCCTGCCTCACTACATCTCCTCGGCAGGCTCCCATAGCTTCGGGTCACTGGCCCTGACGAGTTGACAGGCAGGCTAGTTTCTGCGCCAATGGCAATACCACCCAATCGATCCCATCTCCCTTTGGTCCTACTTGACAACTCTGCAACTCCGTCACTTAACTCAGACCCCAACCCAACGAGCAAAAGCCGGGATTGGCACATGTAGTCAGGGTGTCTTGATTTGATCGTTCCACCTCCGTACTTGCAGCGGCAGGACACATATAAGGACTCGCGTGATCCCGATTATCTGGTTACGGGTATCAGCTCAGATCGTCCTCCCCACTCCTGAGTCAATCTTTCTGTTCCTCTCTCCGAGTCCTACCTGTCAACTTGTTTTGGGTACGCCGGTGCTTCTGGCTATCATGGACTTCCTTCGTCAACGTCTTCCTGCTCCAAGGCAGGACCAGGAGGCCCGCCGGGCTCGTAAGCAAGGCGGTCCCGCCGCAGCAAACGAATCTTACCAGCCTTCACGCATCGCGCAGCTTGCCCAAGAATCGCCGGCCTGGTATACCTCTGCTGCCCGCCGGAAGCTGTATTTCCTACTCTTTCCTGCCGCCGTTGTCTCCTACGCAACAAGTGGCTACGATGGCTCGATGATGAACTCCCTCCAGACGGTATCCTACTTTGACGATTTCTTCGACAACCCACGTGGCGCGGTTCTCGGCCTGATGAGCGCCATCATGGCGTTGGGTAGTATCTGCTCAACTCCCATTGCTCCATGGGTTGCAGATAGGTTCGGAAGAAGATGGGGTATCACGACTGGCAGCTTGATCATGATTGTTGGCGCTATCCTCCAGTGCGAAAGTACAGAGTTCGCCATGTTTGTTGTCAGCAGATTCGTGCTCGGCTTCGGTCTTTCTTTCGCCACTACCTCGGCTCCCAGTTTGGTGAGCGAGTTGTCGCATCCAAAGGATCGCGTAACTATCACGGCCATCTGTAACACTTGGTAAGTAGCCCGAAGGCGAGTGTTGATAGGTAATATCAGCTGACACGAAGCAATGACACAGTTGGTACATAGGTAGTATAGCGGCTGCCTGGATTACTTACGGCACTCGAACCATCCCAAGCACTTGGTCCTGGAGAATTCCTTCTCTACTTCAAATGGCGCCCAGTGTCGTTCAGCTTGCAGCAATCTGGTTTCTACCCGAATCTCCCCGATGGCTCATTTCCAAAGATCGCGACCACGAGGCTCTCAAGGCTCTTAAGCAATATCATGGTGAAGGCGAAGAGACTGAGTTGGTGAGACTCGAATACGAAGAGATCCGGGCTGCCATTGATAATGAGAAGAGTAAGCGACGAATAACCATTTTGAACAACCAATTAAATTGCTGACTGATGGTTTAGGACTTGGAGCTACCACTTGGAAGTCCATGGTACAAACCAAGGGTAATCGTTATCGCATGTTCCTAGTAATCTGTAAGACCTCGCCCGTAACTAAACGACTTGGACACTATTGACGCGTTTCTACAGGCATGGGCTTCTTTTCTCAATGGTCTGGCAATGGTTTGATTTCATACTGTAAGTGGTCAAGCTCTTGCATCGGAGCACGTAACAGCCAAGCTAACCAAGGCTAGATCTCTCGAGAATTATGGATACTGTGGGCATCAGGGACAAGAAAACGCAGGCTCTCGTCAACGGTCTTGTGAACATCTGGAACTTCGGCCTTGCGCTCACAACCGCCTTTTTCGTAGAACGAGTTGGCCGACGCCCCCTCTTCCGAATCTCTACCGTTGGTATGCTTATCGTCTTCATTGGTTGGACAATTGCATCCGCTCGCTTCGCAGAGACCAACGCCAGCTCTGCTGGTATAGCCGTCATGGCACTCATCTTCGTCTACCAAATCTTCTACTGCATCGCCTTCTCCCCTCTGCCAGTTGCATACTCCGTCGAGGTGCTACCCTTCTCCATTCGAGCCAAGGGTATGGCTACTTATGTCTTTGCAACAAAGGCCGCCGTTTTTGTTAACCAATACGTCAACCCCATCGGTATCCAAAACATAGGGTGGCGGTTTTACATCGTGTACGTTGCCATTCTGGCGGTCGAGAGTTGTGTTGCATATGGTTGGTTTTTGGAAACGAAGGGCAAAGCGTTGGAGGAGATTGCTGTTATATTCGATGGTGAACAGGCTAATGTGCGGATCGATAACGGAAAGGAGGATGGCCCCATGGATGTCGAGGAAAGCGAAAACGCCACTTCAAAGGTCTGAAGCATGGAATCTGCCTCACATAACAGCAGATATTCTGACCATCGTTCTGAAGTTTACGTCAACAATGTCAGTGTCATGAACCGCAATTACGAGCATTAATTACATAGTGGCACTATCTCAGGTCCAAAAGGGACCATCATGATCTAGTTGAGATTTCTCCATCTGGTATGATCAGTGGTGTATTGTGACGTTTCGTGATCATAATCCTTTTCTCACACATCATGCCCTCAGCCTTTGTTTGGAAACTTTCTGCCTATGAATTCATTCCCTTTTGTTCATGAAAGCCAAAATTTGATGATGCGATGATATGTAGTGGCCCTGATACCAAGAATCTTACTCCAAAACAGTAACCCAACTCATCATGTTAGTGTTGTACCGTGGGTATTCTGTACCCAGGTAACGCACCATTCATCGTAATATGTAAGGTAGAAATAACCGTGATACTGCTAGTCAGACCAAGGTTTCATACAGACTTGCCTCAGCGTATATGTTTGATGTCCGTTCATACGGAGCTGACGGCAGGTGGCTGCCTTTGTCGCAATTTGATATATAATCCTTTCTGGATCACGAACCAGCTGCAAGAGGATGAGGTTAAACTAAGGATATGTAATCAAAGGTAAATCCCACTTACTAGCACTTTTCCTCCAAAGGAGCCGTATAATCGGCTAATTCAAGCTCAAACTTCATGAATAAAGTCGGAATCAACTATCACAGAGTTAATTTTTCAACCTTTAGATACATTTGCTAGCATTTTATCACATACCTTAGACATTTCCATCCAGCTAATATCTGTGGCATGTCAGTAAGTATCCCGCTTGAAACTTGAAAGAATTGGTAGGACAAACTTCGTCCAATGCACATTCGTGCTCCGGATCCGAAAGCAAAGAAAAACCGATCTACGATTTTGTCAGTAGTCAAAACGAGAAATGAGTTCCTCTACACTTACGCATGTCTCCGTTGTTCTCCTTGAGCCATCTCTCTGGGCGAAAAGAGTGAACATCGTGCCCATAGACATCAGTATTACGATGCACCACCCAAGGGTTAACTCCTACTACGGACTACACGACCATATCGAATTAGTATTTCTTCTTGCAAGCTAATATGTCCGGCCCTGGTCGTTGAAGCACTCATTGGGAGGCACTCTGGAAGGACTTACTCCAGCTGGCATAAAATGCCCATCGACTTGATATCCCCCCTTAGGGACGACACGCGGCAGAGTCATGCCAACAGCTGGGTGTAGCCTCAAAGCTTCGTACATGACAGCTTGTAAGTATGGCATCTTTTCAGTTTCAGCAACCGTAACAGGGTCACTGAGTTTCCCTTGCTGCCAGAACTCGTTGATCTCTTCCAGGAGTAAACGCTTGCTCTCGGGGTTTTTCAATATGTGGTAAATGATTGCCCGAATTGAGATGGCGGTTGTGTCGCTCCCAGCAAAAATATTCGATGTAGCCATAGATACAATACTAGCATTGTCAAATTGGTCGGGTTTCTCGTGGTGGACTGACAGAAGCTTTCCTAGGATGTCCTGGTGATCTGAGCCCCTATCTTGCCGGGCAGTCACCTCGCGGGCTGCAAACTGCCGCAAACTGCCATGACGAGACGTAATACCGAGCCAGTTACCTATGACAGGAGATAGATAGTCATGAAGCCAGTATAACCAGGGAACCTGACCAATCCAGGCAGCCGATATAAGAGCATCTTCAATCTGTTTGAAAGAGCCGTCATCGGAACCGACGTCCATAAACCCGAAACGCTTTGAGAATGTAATTTCCCCAATAACATCTAGCGACTGTTAGAGTCTTCAAGCCACGATTTTTTAAAAAGACGATATAGTCATGTACAATCATACCGAAAGCGTATAGTTGAGCCCAGGTGCCCATATCTACCGTTTGTCCCACCATATACTTGAGCTTGTCGAATAGCACTACAATAGCATTGTCGACATAAGGCTCCAACTCTTTCAGTGTGGACATCGCATACGGCCTGCTAACTAGACGGCGTTGTGCTGCATGAATTGCCTCATTGCGTTCTGCGAAGAGATCAAATTTTCTTCTTCCTTGCCAAACGCTGTACCAGTCGGATTTTCGGAACTTGGACCCCGCACCTACATCTGTCATTAGCTTGACCGCCTATTCTTATTCATGGTATTGAGCTTGCCATAGATTGCCTTGATAGCTTCGAGGTCTGAGATGCTCCTGTCTTATTGTTAGAGAGTATTTTCTATCCGGATCGCCGTCATCCTTGTCATACACTTCGCTTGGTGCGATGCGCACTACCTTTCCATGAACCTCATGAAGATTTATCATAATCAAATGAAGGTCGCCTTTGTAAGAGTGCCATGTAAGCCATAAGCGTGTGATACTTGCCCAATATGGTCCAGGTATCCGGGCAAAAGGCGAAAGGTAGCGCTGATAGACGATCCATGAAAGAAGGAAAATTGCCGTTGCAATCTGGAAAGCCACCGACCAAGGGACCCAAGCTAGGCCAACCTGACCAACTACTTTGTTCATTTTCAGATTTTTTGCAACACGGCAGGAAAGTACTGAAATGCTATAGTCTTGAGGATAAAGTCTCACAGTCTTTTGTGTAAAGAGACTGAATTTTGATCTGTTCCAGAGACCTGCTATTTGACACCTCGGTTAGCCGCCGCTCACTAACCAAGCGTGGAGTCATGGTCGGATACCCCGGGCTGGGAGCCCATGAACGTACGCCAATACTCGAACGGAGTGCGGGGTTAAAACCAATTATGCTGTGTCCCGGTCGCATATCTCAACGTGCCTCCAACTACTCCCGGACGGCCACTCGGCAATTGAGAAGGAGGAGTTCCCAGCGGCCCCATTGTACCAGACGGCCCCACCATGTCCGGCGGCCCCGCCCCCGCCTCATCCAGTCTCTGGGAGTGACTGGTTGGCACCGTGGATGCGGGTATTCGGGTTGGTTCTACCACTTGCTGTGGTACCTCAGTATCCCTTGTAGCCGTACCACTGCCCGCAAGGGTTGTCGAGATGCCTTGCCCAAGATGGTATGTAATACAGTCACCTTATTGCACATTTTGCATGCCACGCTGAGATTCGTTGGCATCAGCCTGGAAGTCCGCTTGGGTAAGCAGGTAGTGGTCAGAAGCAGAATGAAGGCTGTTGATGTAGGCCATTCTTCCATATAGGTCATCGGAATCGAACCGTCCCTTTCGTTCTTGTAGTAAGCGAGGCCATCTCATTGGATTCTAGTCCCAGACTTAATTACTATCAAAAGGGCCATCATTCAATCTGTTTGTCAATTTCGTTAGTCATACACATACAAATATATTCAAGGTACTGTTAAACTTGGGTCTTGGGGTTTTTCACGTATTCCAAGAGATGCCCACTATTCTGTTATAACTCGTCTACAATCGCGTCATTGTTTACGTTGTTTCATAGGAAGGAGCAGTGCGCCTGAACAAAAACATCAGTTCTGATAGACTGAGAATACATGTTTTAAATATTGTCGGCCAGACCAAAACCCATGATTAGAAGTATTTTTATTATTCTAGACGTTGATCCGGACGATGTCGTGGAAGTCAACGAAGCTAGCCGGGTATCGTGTGCCGAACAGCGAAAGATGAGGGATCGAACAAAAACAGAGGACCAGCTGCATCAGTTGCCCGTGCATTGAGATAATAAGATATTTTGCGAAGAAAGAGCGGTTGATGTAGACAGATAGTATTTGTTCTCTTGCCCTTATTAAGACATCAGGATAGTGGACGCCGCTCCGTCCTGTGCGTAGAACAAAGGTGGCAGGGTCAAGTGCTCGTTATAACTGGCTAGCTAATGAGTACGAAGTCGATTGAACTTGAAACTTAACCATTTCACCAGAGCCCTGCCGGCAGCCTCTTTCTAATGATCTTAGCTGAAGCAAAAGCTTGCTATCAAGTAACAAGTGACTCTTCACTTCCATCATCAGCCGCTGATTCCGGACACATGCAGTCACCCCCCTTTTAATTAAGGTTGACTGATCATGCAGCGAGATCGGTAGAGCAGGCGTATTTTCCACCAACCAGAAAAAGTGTCCGGTCGTCAAGTCCCAGGTCGCCGATATCCATTGCTTTCAAATGAAGTTGCAGGGAGAGGTGAGGTAAATACCAGGCACTCCTCTCCTACCATAGTCAAACCTTCTTTTGCCCCAGCAAGCCGCGGGTTGGGGGCAGCGAGGGGCAGCTCTAGTATCAAGGCGCATTTTCAGATTTTAGACACTGCCGAAATGCTAACAGACCAACTACCGGGGGAAAGGGAAAGGGCTGTTGAGGAAATGTGGGAGCGATTAGTGACCTTAACTATGGCTCACTTAGAGTCAGGTGCGACAAGATCACCCGCCGCCTCAAACTGGCGAAGCAAAAATGGGCGGGCAGAACATTACGAGACAAGTACACGCATGCAAGTAGTTGTGTCCTATTGGCTTGGGATATACTTGGCTTTAAGAGCTATGCCTCCTTCCTGGAAAGGCCTAAAATGAAACATAAATACGAGGTGGCCCTGGTGGAGAGATCACTATGTAGAGAATTTTAACTTTTTTGATAAGTCTAAGAAACTTAGACTAAACAGGGCTGTGATAGTTTCCTCGTACAGATAAATAATTTGCCCATTGGTAGACTCTATCGATATCGCGCTTTCACACGATATAGTGTAACTCTTGTCAAGATGTATGGGGTATCTTAGGTAACTTGAAAAAGAAGAATTGTAGAAGAGATGAACACATTTCATTTTATAAGTGACTCCATTACCATTTGGAAAACGCTGGGGCCTGTGGAATGTCATGTAAGTTTAGCCAAAAAAAGTATGAAGGTGTAGGTTTTACTTTCAATTAATATGGGAACGCTAAATGGTCCGAAAGATGAAATTCAACGTCGCAATCTTTCTGAGAAGTGTCCGCGCCATAGTTGTCACTAATAAAGTCAAAGTCTGTAACGTGTCTTACTAAAATGAGCTCCGTGAGCACCGCCTGTCACGTGCCCCTATACGTGAGCATCTCTCAAGTAGCACATTTCCATCAGCCAGACAGTCAACACGAACACGATATTACGCAAGGCGGGCACTCTGATCTTAAAAATTGGGGTTGCCATGCTCGTAACGAACACTTTGCGAGCCAGTAAGATTGTAAATTGTAGATTCAGTCCCGTAGCCCTGAGCTTTTTCAAGCTTCCGAACAACTGCAAGTAACAAGCAAGCATCACCCTCAGACACCAAGCACGAGTCAATTCGAAAACCATCATGTCTAGGAATTTAAGTTCCAATACTCCCTTGTTGTAGATATGCGAAGTGGTTCGAAATTTAAAGTTCTCGGCCCATGAGTAAAGAGCCACTTTCAAGACTCCAATGGTCTAAAATTGTATTCATCCGGCGGCTAAGACTCACGAGGTTATCACAGAATATAAATAACACGCATCCCAGAGGCATAAAACTTGGGTTCTCTTCTGTTCTTGCGACACTCTCAAAACGTAAATCACCTCTGTTCGCAAGTCAATCATAGACAATGTTATCCGTTCGCTTCATCTCTCTCCTCTTCGCCAGCTTCTTGGTCACAGGCGCTGTGGCCGATGGAGGAAGTGGCATCGCCGGCTGTAAGTCAAACCGCCAAGTTGGAATAATTTGTAACTCGCTAAATGACTTCTAGCTCCCTGCTCTAAGCAAAGAGACTGTTGTGCTTGCGATGTAAACCAAGGACAGCAGTTAACTTGCAAGGGTAAGTTGGAATCTCTCCAATTCAAAATACCTAGTTGAATACTGAATGATATATTGCTTTTGTAGTTGCTCCCGGGCAAACTCGAGGAACTTGTCAGACCAATGGCTTCCCTTGCGCAGGTTCTTGTAACTAAATCACTTGCTCTCTGAAGTGGGAAACGATATTGATGTATCGGTCAAATACAATGCGACTCAATCATTGTTGTGGTCAATGCAGCACCATACCGTTTGTTCTGATAATCGAGGATATTGAGCCCACTTTGTTACGACTCCTACAAGAAAGGTCTCTTCCCAGGCAGATGTCAAAAATAATTAGCCGTATGCTCCATCATGTGTCAGACCGATTTGTGAAAGCCAAATTCTAAAAAACAGATTGATTGATTGAAAAAATAAAGACTAAGATACGGAAACTTCTGATAAGGACTGTGTATGCACTCGATCTGGCTTTATAACAATTCCCCTGGCTTAAATGCAGTAAGGAGAGCCATTGATAGGATTGAATGAGCAAGTCTCGCCCGCCTTACAAGCTCCGCCCCTCACCCATTTACCCTCGGTAGAGCACACATCCCAGCCCCAACCGCCATCAGATTGTAGAAAGCTACACTGATAGGTTCCGGGGGCACAGACGCGGCCGTCAGTCTTTGGCGTACAGTAAGGATATCCAGCAACAGGACTATATGTGCAAGTTTCGGAAGCAGCACAGTCGAGAGTGTGAACCCAACTGCCAGCCGAACTGCACGTTTCAATACTCCAGCCTTTGGAGGCGTCGTATTTGCACTGGTACTTCCCAGGGAAACACTGTTGTCCGGTATTGCTGGGTGGGACGGTGGGGGGTTTTGGGACGCAATATGGTGAACCGTTAATGGAATTGAAGATACAGATTTCGGTAGCAGCGCAATTTCCGCCGTTTACCCACTTCGAGGAGGTATCGCAAACATCCCAGCCCCAGGTGTTGTCTGTGTTCTGGCGACACTGATACTTGGCGGGAGTACAAACCGCGCCGGTGTTGACTGGGGGTGGCGGAGACGGGTCGCCAGTGCCGTTGGGAGCCCGCTTGATGTTTTCAATTTGAGGAAAGGCAAGGATCAAGGCAGGGAGAAAAGCAGCTGTGAGCATGAAAGAGTTCATGATGATGGAATTGATGTTGGTAACGATATTGTCAAAGGGAAGAAAATGACTTGAGCTGATGAGTGAGCTAGAAACTTTTGCAATGCTGTGGGTTGCTGGCTGAAGTGCTTGATTTGGCTGAATCAGAAATTCCCATGCACCAGGAGGTTGATGCCAGGTTTTATACTTAAATTGCTGTAACTTTAATGGTATATGTCTCTGGTATTCAACTCTGTGCAACAGTATGTTTGCAGTTATATCGGTGCGGAGGTTATAGCCACCACACAGTGACAAGATCACCAGCGATATAGTTAACAAGTTACTATTATTGGAAACTGAGGGGCGGTGTCCTAACGTCACACATGTGTATGTTAGCAGGCAGAAACGCCTTCAATCTTAATACGAGGGCTGCGATACGATAGATATGATTTTGTGGCGGCACAGAGGATGGTCAACACCGAATACTTAGAGGGGCACACTGATTCGTGGTTGGTCAAGCAGTCGTAATCATTGGTGTTAGACTAGGTCAGCCGCAGACTTGGGCTGAAGCGAGCAAGACATTTGCTAGGACGTCTGACCAACCCACTGCGACGTTCTCCAAGGATCGTTTTCACATACGTAATGTTTATTAAAGACACCGAAAACTAAAAATTGGCAAACCCAACTTTGGCCGTATGTATTGATCTCGAATCATAACGTGAAAACGAAGATTTTTGTGTATGGTTGAGCAAAATTCTGGCCCTCACAGGGCATGTTATGTGTTCGTACCACGACAATTTCTCGACTGTCTGATGATGTATAGATGTCCTTATCCGATACAATTGCTTGAATCGATGTAATTGTTCCAGACTCCGTGGTAGAACTCTCTTAAGGGGCCTAGGAGGTCTTCCACAACCTAAAGCGACACCAAGGAGCATCAACGGAAGTATACTGGCGTCTCCAAGGCTGGAAAATCATTTCGGAGTAATGACACCCCGTGGCTTTCTTATCCGCTTTTGCTGCATCAAAGTTAACACACCCCTCTGCAGTACTGAAAGACATGGAATTTGTCCAGTCACGACGCCGTTGTTCAAGCATATTTGCTGCAGACTGAAAGGCCCCCAAGAGGGAGTCCGATAGGTCAGGCATGGAAGCATCATTTAATGACATGCTGTTGGGACCAAATATGTGCCGCTCAGATTGAGTCATAGTCTGCAGTATGAGAGCTTGACTAGTGGTCCGAGGAATCATCATGTGGGGTTCAAGGACCTTGCAGAGTGTTATTCATGAGAGTATATAATACCACACTTTCGTACAACTGAGACTTTTTTCTCACCAACAGCCTCTTTTAACGGAACGCCGCGTCAGACCACGCATTCCAATGCTCAAAATTCAAAAAGTTCCACACCACGTTCGGATCAACCAGATTAGCATCGAAGTCGCCAGGGATAAGATTTTCGCCGAGCTCGTTCGGTCCGCGGTGGACGTTCATATCTTCGGTGATAAAAAGGGGTGCCGCTTGCATAGGCTGAGCTTCATCTTGAAGCTTGATCATCGACTCAGCCTCGGCTGGCAAGTTGACAGCTGTCTGTTTTTGGATTCCGGGATTCTCGGGTTTTGCTGCGACGTGAAGCAGCTCTGTAACTATTTCGGCACATCTGCGTGCCACTGCAAGCATTTTCATCGCTTTGAATATCTCGATGCTCATCTCCAGGTTCTCAATGACTTCTTCGGCTGGGAAGGGGGATATGTTTGAGATAAGGACATGAAGCAACACCATGCAGGCATCAAGTAGATACATGCAATTATACCACCTTGATATATATTAGTTAGTGATGGTTGAAACATTAGAGAAGTAGCTCATACCATGTTCTGAAGTAAGGCCGGTGAAGGTAGCTAGTATGCATGAATCTAATCGTTTCAGTCGCAGCCTTAACACAGGATGACACATGACGAGATAACGTCTTGCGATCTGATTCTGGAGTTTTGAGGATCAGGAATTGGCGGTGGAGTAGGATTCTAGCATTTAAGAAGCCTGGAGTACTCGTTAATTAGAGTCTTACAACCGCCGTTGTAGTGGAGGGTTGGCCATACGAAGTTTAAGCACAGTCTTTTGTTTCATGGCGAACTCGCTATCTTCCAAGGACGATGTATCAAATCGGAGTTCTCTCGGGAGGCCTGATTTCCAATCGTCGAGCTCTCGATCTAGATTCAGCGCTGTCTGAGAGAGTCGCTGCAAAGATGTGTGGCTATTATGGAGGCTGAGGTTGTCCGTCATCCACATGAGAATCTTGGCAAGATCGACCATGGGGTTGATAAGGCACGATGATGAGCTGACGAACCCCTAGTTGGATAATCAATACACATTTCAATGACAACTGAAGCAATTAACTTACAGCAGTTTTTGGGAATGGGATTGAGTAGGAGCCTGGTCCTCTCAGACCTGACTGTCGACCGGCAGAGAAGCACATTTCGCTAAACCATCAGCACATCATTCGGGATACAATATACTGTACGACTCACATCTCATGAGAATATAACGACCTGCATGACGTCAGAAAGTTATTCTACCAATAAGAGGGCGAGTGCCTTACCACCAAAGTAAACTTTCTTGACTTGTCTCAGACCGGATATTCGTGGGGATACCCATAGCGGATGCAGTTCGAATAGCCATTCCGCTGTACATGTAGCAACTATGAGGCTTGAGGGCATTCTGGCAGAACACCGACTAGAGCATATGAGTCGGAGATCATAGGAATTTGAAAACACGGTTTGACTCACCATGAGGAAGAGTGTCTGCGCCGTTTCAAGTGAACTTGACTCGCAAATGTCCTCCAGATAGAGCTTTACCTTCTCAAAGTACCGTCTAGCCAGCCGGATTGGTGGGTACGTGGTCTCGTTCTCCCCTGGCTGCTCTGTCCGATCCAGAAACTGCAGGGTGTGATCCTCCATGAGTAATGATGTCTCTCCCGCAGTGATAGCCCCAATAGCAAGAACAGAGTTGAACAGTGAGAGAAACCTGGCTCCCCGCCGCTGTTGAAAGGGCTCTTCAAATCCAGTCTTTTTTTGCCAGACCTCATCTTCACAACGCCTCACAAAAGTCGACTGCTCTAGGATCGGGTGGATATTGTGTAAATTCTGGAAGTAAAGCCGAACACATTCTCGCTCGACTTCTGACGCGAAAGACACATCTGCCGCGCTAAGGGTTTTCCCATTTCCGTACTGAATCGAGTCACGTCTTGTACTGTTTGACGGTGTTCCCTTTCCTGGAGTATGGCCGTGACGGTTGTCTGGCGATGTTGAGTAGTCTGAGCTATGAAGAAGGTTAACGACAGAGGTCTGGTTCAAACTCTTTCCTGGTGAGTTTTTGGTGTCCGTTGGACCGACATGCGGTTGCTTTTGGGTGCTCGTATTCGCCCTCAAGCGCAGTCTGGCAAGGAAATAGAATGTTCCGGTTGGTCCGTAGAACTCGGCTCCTTCGGTGTGATCATTTACTTGCCCCAGCCCATCTACCTCCTGCTCTGATGAAATTGACGATGCCCTCTCGCGCTCTGGCATAGGCTCCGGCATGATCTGCGGGTTCGCGCTCTCCACCTTCAGCGGCTCATCTAGACTAACCGGGGATGGGTGAAGTTGTTCCGGCAGTATCGGTTGACTTTGACGGCGTTGTTGGATACGGCCTGTCGGGTCAACCATTCTCTTACTGGGGCCACAATCAGAAAATGACGCGTACAGAATTTATCTTGTCATCACACGCGACATACACTTCTTCCGGTTTCTCCTTATACGAGCATGAAAACTCATGTCCTATACACACGTTAGGCTTACGTCTTGATTGTTCGTGGTTGATATTCCAGTTACTTACGGACACAATTCGAACACGGCGAGCTCCCATCACACTATCAAGAAACAGGTCAGCCTTTCCTTCCAGTCATGTCACCTTAGATCATTAATGAGGACTAGCCTTGACTTTACGGGCCCTGCATGTCCCACACGCGACCGGGGCACGAGGTTGTCGCTTTCTCTTAAGAGTGCCAGGCTCAGAGTTATTGGCGACGGGAGCGGGAAGGGTGGGGATTTCGGCCTCCATACTCTAAACTGATTTGACGTTAGATTCGCAAGTACGTTGCAATTAAGGGTCGACGAACGTATGTGTGAAGTGTGAACAAATGGGTAGAGTGGGAGGTGGGGGTTCGAACCACTCACGCATCCAGTTTGCCTTTCTGGAGACGCGTGGCTGCAGCACAACGGTGGCGGTTGTTCCATTACTATTCGGTGCTGTGACCTTGGAGTGAGGCCCATGCATGCAAATGGCCTAAGATGGTCTCAGAAGCGATTCGAGACGCGATTCTTGGTCAGAGTTAGTCTGGGTTGGGCCCCAAGCGCAACGGGCAAAGTTGCCGCTTTGACACTGCGATTGTTGCGCTGACGAATCGGATCGCTAGCTTCGGATATAGGACCTTTGACCAATAAGAGGTTGATCATCGGGTAACTGGCATCCACTTACGGCATCTTCGTCTTAGTGATCTCGGAATTCAGCCCAGATGATTAAAACAAAATGCCGCGGAGAAGAGGAGTTGTCCGTCATCCACACAAATATTTGTAGCTCAGCATTGAGGAGTAAAGCGGTTATTAGAAATCATTCTTTCAGTTGACTTAATTCCCTTTTTGAAATATCTGCCCATGTCGTTTTGACATCGAGACGTGAAAATGGAAAATGTTTCAGTAAATGTACCTGTTCTCATAGTAGGTGGAGGGCCTACGGGTCTGTTCACGGCCTATATGCTGTCCAAACACGGAGGTAGGTCGGCCTGATGTCCTGATATTCGCTGATGAGTTGCGACGAGCTGACAATATTCCAGTCAAGTCACTACTCATCGAGAAGTATTCTCAACGCCTGGCGGCACCCAAAGCACATGCCTTGTGCCCGAGAACCCTTGAATGTTGTAGGCAGTATGGCCTCGATACAAACATGTTGCGCAAGTTCGGCACCCCCCGCAACGACGCTTATTGGGTGAACTTCTTGACGAATCTGAGCGGTGAGAGGGTTGGGTTTCTGCCATATGAGAGGATGGACGTAGAGGTCTTGGAGAGCACACCAGAGGTAGGGATCGCCACATAGTTTGACTGATCGCTACTCACTTTTTTACAGATGATCCATAACATTCCCCAACCGGACTTTGAGAGGTTTGTAGCTGAGCAACTAGCGTTCGATGACAACGTTGAGCTTTGCAAAGGGGTGGCATTTATTTCTTCTACACAGGTATGTTTTACAGCCCCTTTGATTAGTTGCTTTTAATTTTTTCCCAATATTAACAAGTCTTAGAGAGGGGATAAGGTGGTCACATTGGTAGAAGAACGCGCTACAAGACAAAGATGGACTATTTTATCCAACTACGTGATTGGCTGCGACGGTGCAAAAAGTGAGGTTCGCAAGTCCCTCGGCATCGAAACAGAAGGCGAAGACGGATGTGAGTATTTCATAGCAAATATTCTCTGCTTATTGATTTTTGACGAATTGTTTTAGATGAGACGATGATGACCATTCATTTCAATGCCGATCTGCGACCCATAGTGAAAGGTCGAGAAGGCATGTTGCATTGGATTCTTGACCCGGCCTGTTCTGGTTTCATTATTGCATATGACCTCGGGGGTAACCAGGTGTTGATTAGCAACTTTAATGTGAGTTCCAAGCCTCGAGCTAGCATATAAGAATGTAATACTTATTATTCCAGTCAAACAAACATCCGGCCGACAAATGGAGCGAAGACCTCGCCCGTGCAACGGTCTCCGCCGCCATAGGCCAAGACATTCCATTCAAGATTCTCAGCTACAGGCCGTGGTTACTGAGTCGCAAAGTTGCAAAAAAGTATAGACGGGGAAATGTTTTCTTGTGAGGCACTCAAGATCGTCCTGATGATTGCATAGTCGTTAACATCTAACAGAGTGGGTGATGCCGCGCACTCGTTCCCGCCAACAGGTGGGCTCGGCTTGAATTCCGGACTGGCAGACGCACACAATCTTGTTTACAAGATAGCGGCTGTATTACAAGGATGGGCCAAGCCCTCTATTCTTGACACATACGAGGCGGAACGGCGTCAAATCGCACTTGTCGCATCATCTCAGAGCGTCAAGAATGGAAAGACAATCTTTTCGTTTCTGAAAGCTGTTGGCACCGCCGACATCGATGATAATGAGGAGGCTAGGCGAAACATGTTCAAAACCATACGCGACCCTACGAAGAAGGATCTTATCGCGAAAAATGTGGAGGCTCAAAGAGAACACTTTGACAACGTGAGTTTACTCTGATGAATGAGTAACGCATGAACAGCGGTTCAATAGAAGGAATGAAACTGACTTTAGCTAAATAGCTCGAAATACACATCGGCTACGTCTACGGCGACAAAGAACCACCAGCAAACGCCTCTCGCTACATACCAAAGTTCAGAACCGGGGCTCGGCTGCCACATGCCTGGGTTAAACCTCTTAGAGCGCACAACTGTCTCCCCCGGAAACCAATCGATACGTCGTACGTCAAGGAGATACCGAGTGATCAGCTATCCACTCGACAGTTCTCTATCCTCGATTTCGTGACTCCAGGAACTTTCTGCCTAATCGTTGGATCCCACTCACTATGGCAGCAACGGTTCGCCGAGTGCGAAAAAGCAGCCGTTGGCAGAGTTGGCCACCGTCTGTATTTATGGGCCGAGGGCAGCGATTTTGACTTTTGTAACGAGAAACATCGTAAACTGTTCCACAAGCAGGGGCGGTTAGCTCAAGGAGGAGCAGTTTTAGTGAGGCCGGACCAGCATTTGCTTGGGTCTTTATGGCCGGAGACTTCGGCCGAGGACATAATGAGTCTTATATTGGGACACTTGGATCATGAGACGTAGGAACGATTCACATGAACATGTTACGGAAGGACCAAACTCTTAATGAGCATTATAACGAGTTGCATCTCTGATCACGAATGTAAATGGCGACACGAAGTTTGAATTGCGAGATAGTAGTACAAACTCTTCGTCTCTGTGAAATTTTGATAAACCAGTTTTGCCTCGCCCATCATGTTCGTGTCTGGGCGTCAAGTAATACCCGGATATTCAACCAAGCTGTTGTAGGTATGGGTTCAGAAACCACATTGAGCCACTTGCCGTGCCATATTCTGTCTTTAGTAGCCAAGGTGGTTACCAAGGCCCTATCTCCAATTGCTTTTACCTCTATTTGCTGTATTTGAACACCACTCTCCGTGTGATCCATCCACACGCAGCGTAATAGGACATACCATCCACGTGGAAGCAACCTCCAAGAATGAGAGGTATGCTTCGTCATTCAGCTCCAAGTCAACAATTATAATATATTAAGAGAATGTCCAACAAACAATCTCGCATTAACCCGAAACTTCCCTTATGCCAAAATCCCTCTCTGCTTCAACCAGCTCTCACACAACTTGGGCCACTCCGAAACCGGCAATCCCACCGTGTCCAACGCAAACCCGTGGGGCGCGTCCGCGAAAACATGCAACTCGACAGGGCCCTCGGCAGCCTGGATACCCTGCGCCAAGCGATACGCATTAACGACGGGCACGATGGGGTCGTTTCCGGAGTACACGATGAAGCTCGGCGGCGCGGGGCTCCGGAGCTGCTGATCCGGGATGACGACGTCGTACAACTCCTGCTTCTCGGGAGGCTCGAGGGCGGCCTTGTTGGGGATGATGGTGTGGCCCTTTGCGTTGGTCGAAATGGGTCCGTACCCAAGGATGGCGAACTCCAGCTCCGGCACGGGCCCGCCGGCGGTCGATGACCAGGCGGACGGGTACTCCGCCAGGAGCGCCGCGCCGAGGTGTCCTCCGGAAGACAAGCCGCACACGCCGAGGGTCTTTCCGTCGGCGGACTTCTCCTTGATCAGACGAAGGGCTTGCCTGGCATCGTCTACCGGGGCGGAAGGGCTCGATTCGGCCGTGGGGAACCGGTGGACGAGGACGTAGGCTTCGAAGCCGAGGCCCGCCAGCCATCTCGCAACCTGTACGCCCTCACGTCCGACCATAAGCTGGACGTAGCCGCCGCCGCCGAGAATCACCACCGCCCGGCCGTTAGGGGTCGTCGTGGGCTTGTAGCCAAACAGCCATGGCCGCGTGACCTTTGTCGCTACTGCTTGGTCGATGGGGCCCGAAGGCTGCTCGAGATCGAAGGCGCCCGCGACGGGCTCGGAGTCCCAGAGGGGGAAGGCGATATCGGCGCCGAAGAGTTCTGTTGAGGACATTTTTGCTGGCTGTGTTTGTGATTTAGACGGATTTTGGGACTCTCGCAAGAAGAGGGGGACGTTGTTTGTTTTATCTAGCCTTCGGAGCATGTCATTTTGATTAAGTGGTTCTCGGTTTGCTTTGCACCGAGCTGCCGAGGGTTACGGGCTGAGTTGTTCTTCATTACAAGAGAAAGTAAGTTTGATCAACCGGAAAATGCTCTTTTTTACATAAAATAAACGCGACTAGCTGAACGAACGGCTTGTGTACAATGTCATACCAGACCAGAAGGCGGATCATCACACGGCTTTGGCTCATCAGTTGGCATCGTAGAATCCCCCACGCGCGGGGGCGGGGGCGGGGGCGGGGCATTCGGAGAACATTTCTTCACGCTACGAATACATGGCGGGGTAGGCAATTTCGTTGCGGAACTCAAAGTATGTAAATGTGAACCAGGAGGTCTACCGGCAGTATAATATGTACGTAGAAACATGGGAAGCAGGAATGCGTCGATATGTTGGCATCACCTCCGCCGAAAGCAAGCCTGCCTCATTTCAACCGCTCAGCTCAAGGCTCAAGAGTATAAGTGACACTGTTTCCAGGCACACGAGGATAGAACTCGAAAGTGAAGACAGTCGGCTTTCCACCGCTGATGACAGCCTGGACGGCGGCCTGGGTAATAACAACCTTGGCACCGTCATACCTCCATTGTCCGTCGTAGGTCTGTAGCAGTTAGCTTCACATTCATGCAAACGTGGCCGTATATGTCGGGAGAACAGCTATGAGTCGAGTTTCCCACTTACAATTCTCGCTTGTTGAAGAGGCCCGAGAACAGTCGTCCAGTCATCAAATAAGTAACTTCCGTCATTCTTCAGCGCCTTCACTGCGGCAGGCATCCTCAGACCCTTGTATTCGATGGGAATGTTCAGGTCGGCTCCCGCGACGGCCTTTGAGCTGCTGGCGGAAAGACGAGGCACGTCCCACTGGATAATCTCGATTTGCGAGGTCGCGCCCGCGGAGAATTCGAGTGTCAGATTGGCCTTGCTTCCGGGCGCCGCGGTGGCGGAAAGCCACTGGCTCAGGAAGCTCGCCTTGAGAGTGATGGCAGACGAAGACACGCTGTAGTCCTTGTCGGGAGAAAGCGCCGTTCCTGTGGTGGTCTTGACGCCCTTCAGGGTGTTCCCGTTAAACTGCCATGGCAGCGTCGTGTCCTTGGCGGACTCGCCGACTTTGTTCCAGACGAAAGCGGAGGAAGACTGGGTGGTTGCGCCGGCGTCGACGGTGCTCTCCGGGAGTGAGCTCTTGATTCCCTTGACCCCGCTGTTGAGGATACCGATGGAAGTCGGGTCCCGCCAGGTGCGAGCATTGCGATCAAGATGATCCAGGCCGTTATCCCAGATGATAATGGCGGTGTTGAGCTCCGTAGCGGTCCGAACAAGATGATCCGTCCACTTCCACCTCGCAGCAGGTTCGACATTCAACGGGCTGGCGTCAAACTCTCCGATAATCAAGGGGACGTCAGTAAAGTTACCCCTGACGACGCCCAAATCGGTCTTTTGAGACGCCTTATCCGCATCGCTTCCCCAGATCGTCTTTCCCCAAGCGGAAAAGATGAGATCGTAGGGGCTGTAGTAGTGGTACTGCAGAGCCCACGGGTTCTTGATGGAGGCCGGGGCCTTGAACCATTGGGTAGTTTTGTACCCGTCCATACTGCCGCCGACGAGGTTCACCACGCGGCGGGTGTTGAAGCCGCCACTGTCTGCAAGGGCCTTTAGGAATATGTCATTGAGGGTGTTGAGGTGGGCGCCGTGTTCCGCGGTGGTGGCGGGCGGCTCGTTGATGGGCTCGAGGGAAACGAGGGAAGATTTGCAAGCCAGCTTTTGCCCGATTTGCAGCCAAACAGCGTAAAACTTGTCATTGAGGGCCTTTTTGGCTTCGTCTGTGGTGGCCTTGGTGACGTCGGCCCAGTTCCAGGAGTCTGAAATAGTAATAGTTAGGATGTGCGGATGATGAAGGGAACGGGATGATAATACCGTGATGGACGTTGGTGAGAACGTAGAGACCTCGTGCAGTGGCCATGTCGACTACATCAGAGACACGCTGCAGCCAGGCAGGGTCAACGGTATAGTTCGGTGCACCGCTAGTAAAATGATCGCTGTATGTGACTGTTGTCTTATTAGTCTCACATTGTTCATCAATCAGAGTTGTGGACGTACCAGGAATGCGAACGCTCTTGAATCCCGCTGCTTTGACATCGTCAAATGTCTTCTCGACAACAGGCGGGTTGTTCCACGATCCCTCATTGGGAATCGCGTCGAGCGTGTTGCCCAGGTTCCATCCCGGGTTCATAGCCTTGACATAGTCGACGGCCGAGATGTCGGTGAAGGTGCCGGAGCAAGCCGTCGGGGCGGCGCTGGCGGAAGAAGACCTGGCAGTAGTTGTTAATATTCTCGAAGTAGTTGTAGGAGCTACTGGTGGGCGAGATGATGTTGTTGTCCGAAGCGTCGTCGGAGGGGCTGCTCCCTCGAGACACTGCGAGTACCCTAGATATTGTTTGAGCAAAGTGCGGGCGATGACTATGCCTACAAAGAAAAAAAAGACTTACAGTCGTTCTGCTTCTGACAAGTCCATCTCGCCACGCACGTCGTCGGCCCCGTCCAGCCGATACCGCCACATTGACCGTATGGCGTCTGCTGGGCCGAAGCCTCATGGAGCAGCGCAAAAAGCACGACGAAACCAATGTTGGACTTCATCTCGAGGATTGGTATGGACGAGAGCACTCAATGGAGAAGCAGTCACGAACAATGCCTCGCAGAGTCGAGGAAGACAACGTAGTTAATACTCAAGAGCACTCGCTTCATTTGAGCACATTTCCCTTTTCGGACACGGCACATCTGAACAACATGCATGCGATGCGATCGGAAGACAAAACTTACAAGGCTAGACCAACTGCCACTGCGCGCACGACGGCGCTTGGTGGAAAATCTCGTGAGAACATGGCCAACTTGGGCAAAGCGAAAACGAAGAGAGCGGAAGGTAGCTGGGGGGCTCAGCTGAGAATGATCAAAAGACGACACAACAGGAATAGAGAGAGAGATGGGCCTGCGAGATTGTCATGAGAGCAGGGGACGCCATTCTCTTTTGAGGACGGAGAGCCGCTCACGATGCCCCAGATTGGGAAATCGAGTGACACAAGGCAAAAGAAAGTGTGGTAATCGCGTAGGTAGATTGAGGAGTTCTGTTTTGCTCCGAAAAGGGCAATTCGGGCCTGGCTCCGTATCAAACCCCCCCCTCTTCGATCAGTACAACATGGCGCAAAAACAATTGCTCGGGAGGTGGGTCGGAGTCGTACTCTAATCCAAGTAAGCGGTGGTATTGAACGGAAGCGAGCCATTAGAGTTTGGTAGCATGTCGGCCCATGATCGTGGTTAAATGTTTCTGAGCAAGGAGGCGAAATTTCAGGAACTCTTTACAGAAAGCTTATTTTTGTAATGCGTACGTTGCTTAGGGGGGGATACAATGTTTTAGAACAATGTTCAATGTAGGAATGTAATGTGTGTTTATTGATTGTCTTCCGAGTCATGATCGGGTCTGCCCATCAACATCAGACAGACAGGACGATTAAATGAAATGAGCTTTTAAGTAACATGTCCACCCTGAAAGCCCCGTTGGTTCAGCATGCTCGGTCATTAAATGCTCTATCCTTCAGCAAATGCTGTGAAAAAGACGCGAATTGCGTCTCCGGCCAAATTTGCCGTGTTGGGTTGCGTTACCATGCCGCAGTTCCGACACGACGGAGATAGATGCTCTGGACGTTGCATATATGAAGGCTTGGTGGGCCTACATTGCAAGTCTTACAGGTCCGTCATCAAGCCAAGAGTCCAAATCCAGGATGATATAACCCCTCAACACTCCAAACGCCCCTTTGTAATCTCGAGCAATATGTAAGCATTGCCGAGAGTCCTATGGCGACACATTATCAAACGCATCGCGCGCCCATTCCTACAGAGGAACATAGTGCGACGCGTGGCGGGTTCACAGCCGAAAGTCGAATGCCATCGTTCGAGACAACTCAAGTCAGCCGGGTTCCCTCCGGTGCGATAGATATGCTCTCATAGGATTCATCGCGGGCGTGAAGCCCTAATCGCTGCATTCCTGCAGTTTCAATGTTCGTTCGCCCAGCTCTCTTCGAGGGCAGTCCATCATCGCTTCGGAGGCCCAGGTGGCGGAGGCGCATCTGTCGGCGTGCCACGAAATTGGTTCTTCAGCTCTTGGATAAAATAGTGACCGAAACCTCGTCCCTCAGGATCAGCTACCCCATCTCCAACGTTAGCCCCGCTGTTGCCATCAGATTCCTTGCTGTCGATGCATCACAACATACCCGACGCCTGGCCCTGGCGCAGTGGCTCATGGGGCAGTGGTCCATTCTGCTTCTCGTCGATATACCGATGGATTCGGCCGACGCCGCGATGGAATCCGGGGCTTCGGAGGATCTGCGAGCGGGTCTTTTGTTAGCAGGCTAGTCGCAATGACAAGCAAGAGGCGGAGCTCTCGGAGCTTGATGCGGCTGGGGAGGGGGGAGCGAACCTGTCGGATGATGACATCCTCAAAAGCGACAAGAGCGCGTAGCAGGATGTTCAAAGGAGGCGCCATGGTCGAAAGTATGTTACCTCGAAAGGCACAGTCAACCGGTTGAACGATATATCGAAGCTGAAGTGAATGATTAAGACCCCCCGGCGAGACCAACAAATTGGAAACATGCCGCGTTGGTGGCGACCGAATGTTCGGCAGTTCGGCCGTTTTGCCCCACATGATTTGTCATCAGCGAATCATACATTTCTGAAGCCCATTCAAAGTTTAGTAACCATATCGAGAGGTGCCTTTGATGAATTGGCGTAAAGAGTGTCTAAGTGATTCAGAAGATCTACTCTAAAAGACTCTCTGATAGCTGTGAATCTCCACATCCACAAATGCATGAACATGACTGTTGTTATGGTTCACTCCTTGCCAACTCGGCATGCACTATTAAGTCGTTTCCCATCAAGTAGCCCATCCCGGGTTTGGCGCCTGGAATAACCGGGGGGCTGATGGCGAAATATCGGAGTCTGCCACTCCGTTTTAGCGTGCCTTTGTGTTGCCTTATGCCACCCCTCAAGCTGGCGTTACAAGACTATTATCTCTGGGGTAGAAGATACTCCTTTGAAGGGCTGCCAATTCCGCTCAGTCGGAACACTCTTGTTTTGGAATAGCTCGATGCCTCAAATCACATGGGCGTGAAAAGGCAGAATCGTAGCAGCCTCCCTCATGGTCTTTTTTGCTCGACACACGGCCACGACATTCATTAGCTAACCCCATTCCGAGATGAGGTGCACTGTTATTATTAGCAGGCAGCAAGTGGTCACCCTCTGAGGCCTCTAAGGAAGGACTTGTCATCAGGTCCTTCAAGTGCGTGTTAGTCGCAATGAATACCTTGAAGGGACTGTCAATGTGGATCTCGTCGTCCACAATTCATTTTTTAGCTTGTCTTTGGCCAGAAACTTTATGGAGAGGATCCTCGATGTTTCAACCAGCCAACTGGTCCCATTCGCCCCAATTGAGAGGCAGTCCGATATCGAGATTTGCTTCAAGCGCATTGTCGACCGCTGGCAGGTTGAAGCTTGGGTCAAAATGGCCGAAAACGTCTAGATGCGGCATTGCGTCGACCACCGAAAAGTCGACCGTGTTTATTGATCGAAATTCCGAAGACGTCGACGGGGGCACCGTAACTTGAGCTGCTGTATCTTGTAGCGTTGCGGGAGCAGGCTCCTCAATTTGCCCGTTCGCGGATACGTCAACGTGGGAAGACTGTGGCACCACGGCCCCTTGCGCAAGAGAGGTGGCAGCTCGCTCCATCTCCCTAAGAATCCGTTCACCCAAACCAGCCACCACTTTAGCACTCCAGAAGACGTCCCCAAATCGTTTCATAAGCTCCGAGTTAGACTTGAAGGCGTTACGAGCTCGGGCACGGAACATTGGCAAGGCACTATGGCGCATCTTGCGGTACTCGACGCTCAGAGCAAGAGACAGTGCATAAGGCACAAGTGGTACGGGGCAGAGATGGTCGCGGCGGATGGCTGATGATATACGCTCAGCGGCGAGGGAGCGACGGGCGTTGGCGGAGGCGGGTGGGATGGTCTGCGCATAATTCGATGGACCGCCGGGTCTCGCTAGACGGCATGACAAAATGATGACGGCATGGTAAAATATCTCAATAGTGGCTGTATCGAGTCAATATTGCAAGGTTATAATGGCAGAAATAAGACATACCGAGTAGGGGAGTAGGAACTTGCAATGCCCCAGCTTCGAGGATCATGGGCTCGAGGACGGGAAGATCGATGAAAGGTTTCGTTTCTAATGACTGTGCAATGACACCTGGCCTGTATAGTTCAATGACTTTGTCTAACCATTGCACAACAGAAAGGAAGAGGCGGAAGCAAGGAGCCTGTCGACGGAAGCAGTCCTCGAGACCCGGTCCAATGTCCCGCTCATGGATGACAGACGGACGCCCATACGTTGCTGCGTTGATGCGATCGACGGCCCACACGGCACAAAATAAGGTATCCAACGTATCGTCACTGGTGTGGAACAGCTGCAAGCCGAGTGTTTGGCAATGATGCACTGCCCTGGCGCCTAGTTGCGCTGGCAAATCTGCCTCATCGGCCCCCGAAGGTTGGATATAGAGGGATAGCATGCACAGGGCGCGAATGTGAATCGTCCGGTCTGAAATCAAACTCGTCTCAAGAATGGTTCGCACGGAACCGGATAGGTGCTGGTGGAAATCTTGGTACGACAATTTTTTGTTTCCGTGGTTCGCAAGTCGAAGGTGGTTCTTCATGTCAGGATCAGACGCAGCAGCCAAAGAAACGACCTGTCGCATAACAATTGCCGAGGGTGAGTCGCCTTCCATCAAGACATACTCGGGGACAAGAGCAAAAATGGGGTGAATCTTTTCTCGATAGACCCTGTGGAGATGCTTAAAGTCTTTCTCGGGTGGCACGCAGGTGAGACAATTCTGCTGGACAAAAGGAAGCAGGACCTGGTCAATCATGGCCGCCGGGCGAGAAACCACGCTGCTCGAGGCTTGGCCGGAAGCCGTGTTGCCGGAAGAAAGCCAGACACCAACTTCGGCTTTGTGAGTTGGATTGGCTGCAGAATCCGAGTCTGCAGCCTCCGCAAACATTCCTTCTGGGTTAAGGTCGCCAACGAACCGTGTCTGGCCCCCATGAGGATCCGTCCTTCCATCAGAGTCTCGGCGAGAAGGAGACATGATCAGTACGCCATCGGGGCCAACTGACGTAGAGTTTCGAAGCTTTGTAGGCGATTTTGAGCCAGTAGCCACGTGCCTTTGAGTCCGTCAGTCAGTCTTGGATTTGAATCCACTACCAGATTGGGAAACAAACCCATCATTGACCGGCGATGAACCCCCGGCCCCATCTTGTCCATGCTCCAACTGCGGAGGTTCTGCGTGAACGCAGCGTTTCTGGCAATTTGGTCAGATAAAAATCTGGCTTTTTGAGGGTTTAGGCCTGCAAACCTTCTTTTTGCGACAAGAATCGCATGCTTGCTGGACCTGCTTGCGCTTTAGAGGCAGCCCAGAAGCGTCGGAACCCACGAATTTGACTCCTTTCGCTGAGTTGTTCATCGTCCCGTTTCCTTAGCGGCTCCAGGTGCAAGGTGTAAAGCAAACGCACAAAAACCCAGCATCATCACAACTGGGGTGTGTTTTGGCTTTGAAATGACATGAGAGTGGAAGACGGTGAGGGCGCATTGAAGTGGTTAGCGCAAAGACCCATTCATTTTGGGCAAGTGGGAAGATTGTGACTCGACAGAGTGGCTTAGTCATTCAACCCAATTTTCGGTGTATCGTCGGTCTAGTTCCCACTTTCCGCTGTAGGCAATGCTGGTCTGGCGTTGAAGTAGCCTGAAGAGATGCGCCTTCTTAGGGTGTAGTTTCTGTGCTGATTAAGCAAATACGTTGGCCTTCCACCTTTGCTAACTAACATATTGTGATGTTGAAGAAACACTCATGATTCACCTTGTCGTAGCTTGATTCGAAGTCTCTCATTGCAAAACAGACGTCTCAGTCTAGTTTACAAACGAATTCCAGAAAAACACACTAGAATACTCTAGAGATGAACATCCCCAAACGCCAACGCTATGCCGAACCCAAAGCCTTTCGTATCAATACTTTTGGAGCCTCAACTAGGCTAACAAACACCGAGCAGACAGTATACTTATTCAGCACGTCCGCCCAATCCGCTCTTGATGCCTTCTAGCACTACACCCCACCTGTTTCCTAGGCTCTTATCCTGAACGGCTTCGCTGTATCGGCCCGTAACGAGCTTGCGCATAAGGAGAGTGTCCTTTGCAACCCTGAGTTTCTTGCCCTCCTCTTGAGTAAGAAACTCTTCGAACCATGACTCCTCAACCGTGTCAAGTGGAAGGCCGATCAGCTCGGTTGCCCGGGCAGCGGTCTCTTGACTGGGAGCGGCACCCAGCACCGATGCAATCAACTGGCGGAAGAGCTGTCCTCTGACAGATTCGGAGTGTGTTCTTGAGTAGTAGAATGCCTCGGTAACACTCGTTCCCGCCATGGCGTTGAAAAGGAGTTCGAGCGCTTCGGGGGTCTTGAGAATTGGCTGCACCGTATGGAAGTAGGAGAGGGGTAGGGTGTAGTCGCCCTCGGGGGCATGTTGCACAAGCACAGTCATGATTTCGTCGGCAAAATCGGTAGTAAGTGAAGGGTGCGCGATGTACTCGAGTGCTTTCTGCGGCAAAATTGTCAGTACGATCCTTTGCGACACGAACAGACAGATGTACCTCGAATTGCTGGTGGTCCAGCAGCCACAGGCCCTTCATGAAGATCTGATAGCTCTTAGGTACGCCTGAAGCAATGGCAAACTTGGATGACGGCTGTGCTCTGCTCTGGTTCGTGTCAAAGTCGAGGAGGATATAGTAAAAGATGGAAAGGCGATGGTGCGTCGACATGGTAGCATCGCAGAGCTGCTGGTGAAGAGAACGAAGGGCGTTTTCGGTCTTGGGAGGGTAGGTCTTGGCTAAAGCAAAATGTCAGTCGTCGCATCATTAGACTCGTCGGACTTCGCCGTACCCTTTGTGAGACCGAGGGCCTTCAAGACACGATCTATGAAGAGGGCGCCATTAAAGCTTTTGCGAAAGGTCTCGACTTCTTGAATCGATTTGCGGTCGTACGGGAACTGTTGTGACCCGAAGACGTGGTCGAAATTCGTATAATCAAACATGGCCATTGTTTAATAGTGACTTTAAAGAATTGATACACCCGGCTGGTGATGCGACAAGTCGTTGGCAATAGGATCTTTGAGGACTAGAGCTGAGAAAGGCTTTGGATTCTTTTTTTTTGGAGGGGGATGGATGGTTTCGCTCAGCTTTACCCTTGCTTTGCTCTGCTTTGCTCTGCTTTGCTTTGCGCTTGGAGAGCTCAAGCCACATCAGCCACAGTCGCGCCTTTTCGCGTCTCCACACCCAATCGCAGGTGGGGAAGGCGGTGTGTCATCTGTGGCTTGTTTGTTTACAATCGGCCAAATCGGTGAACAATTCAAACAAATCAAAGTGGGGGAACCAAACATCACAATCACAATTCGCTTTCCCACCGCCGCACATCACCAACGAGGATTTTGTTTCCCAGCAAAGTTGCTGCGACTCCTCTATTGCTCTTTTTCCCCACTTTTGGTTTCTTGTCAAACTTTTTTTGATTGAGATACCCACGTCGTTATTCACCTTCTTTCATCTCTTGCTAGCTCTCGCAACACACAGACCGCAAATATGTCATCTCGGCCGCGCCGTGCGACGCGCCGACAGGCTATTGTTGACTCTTCTGACGATGAAGATGTCGCCAACACCACCGTCAAGGTTGAAAGCGAGGACGACTTTGAACCCGAACCTTCCAAAAGCCCAGTGCGACGACCAACCCGCGCGCGCAAGAGTGCTGCCGCGACAACTCCTGCTCCCGCAACCACAGCCCCGCGACGAAGAGGCAGACCAAAGAAGAATGTCGAATCTTCGATTGTTGAGGCGCCTTCTACTCTTGAATCTGTCAAGGCCGAGGAGCCCGAGCCTAGTTCCGTGATGGAAGAAGCTCCGTCGATGGTGGAGGAACCTGCCTCTACTATTGAGCCCACCGAGGTTTTCGACGCAAATCAGACTGCCGCAACGATCGAGCAGGAGAACACTCCCAGGAAACCTTCGCCCACACCCAAAAAGCAGAGGAGGAGCGTTGCCCCCAGAGCCTCCAAGTCCGCGACTCCCGAGTCTGCTGGGCCGAATGCCTCGGTCGCAGGCCTTAAGCCTTCTGCCTCACCACAACCTTCCCAGCGCGAGCCTTCCCAGCGCGAGCCTTCCCAGCGCCGCAGTGAGCCTTTGGCCGACATCACAGCCTCCAGCGTCAACGAGCAGCGGCCTTCTTCAGATGAGACTCAGGCTACCGTAAAGCCTATTCGCGCCATGGACACCGTTATGGAGAAGCCCATGGATATTGTCCTCAAGTCGCGCAACCTTGCTGTCCCCGTTGTTGAGGATACGACCCCCAAGCCGCGCCTTGTCATCACATACCTCATTCTGACAAACTTCAAGAGTTACGCCGGACGTCAGGAAGTTGGTCCCTTCCATGGGTCTTTCTCGTCCGTCGTCGGCCCGAACGGTTCTGGAAAGTCAAACGTTATTGACTCTCTCTTGTTCGTCTTTGGTTTCCGCGCAAGCAAGATGCGTCAGGGAAAGCTGTCTGCCCTCATTCACAACTCCGCGCAATACCCCAACCTAGATCACTGCGAGGTCTCCGTGCACTTCCGTGAGGTCATGGACCAGGTATGTAGGCCCTTGCATCAAGTTAAGCTCGTACTAATCAACTGTAGCCCGGTGGTGGCCACGAAGTCATTCCCGATTCCGATCTCATCATCTCCCGCAAGGCCTTCAAGAATAACTCAAGCTCATACTACATCAACGGCAAAACCTCAAACTTTACGTCGGTTACAACCCTCCTCCGTGAGCGCGGTATCGACCTCGACCACAAGCGTTTCCTGATTCTCCAGGGTGAGGTCGAATCCATTGCCCAGATGAAGCCGAAGGCTGCCAACGAACACGACGACGGTCTTCTGGAGTATCTCGAGGATATTATTGGCACCTCCAAGTACAAGACACCAATTGAAGAGGCTGCAGCTGAGGTTGAGGCACTCAACGAGACCTGCATGGAGAAGAGCGGTCGTGTCCAGCACGTCGAGAAGGAGAAGAACAGTCTTGAGGACAAGAAGAACAAGGCCCTCGCATTCATCCGGGACGAGAATGAGCTCGTCATCAAGCAGTCTGCACTCTACCAACTCTTCATCAGCGAGTGCAACGACAATGTTGCTGTCACGGAGGAAGCCATCAGTCAGATGCAGGCACAATTGGATGATGAGCTTGAGAAGCACCACGGAGGCGAAAAGATCATTAAAGAGCTGCAGAAGGCCTATTCTAAGGGTAGCAAAGAGTTTGAAGCCGAAGCAAAGAACACCGAGGCCCTGGTTAAGGAGATGGCCAAGTTCGAGCAAGAGCGTGTCAAGTTCGATGAGAAGAAGAAGTTTCTCAACGACAAACAGAAGAAGCTCGAAAAGACCATCACTAATGCTGAGAAGTCTGCTACCGAAGCCGATGATACCATTGCCGAATGCGCCGAAGACATTGAGGCTCGCGCCAAGGAGATTGCCTCTCTGGAGATCCGAGTCCAAGAAGAAGAGGCAGAACTCGCCAGTATCCGTGAGGGCCTCAAGGGCAAGACCCAAAAGTTCTCTGACCAAATCGCCGTCAAGCAGAAGTCACTGGAGCCCTGGAAGGAGAAGATCAACCAGAAGCAATCTGCCATCGCTGTTGCGGAGAGCGAAATGAACATTCTTGAAGAGAAGGCCAATGCTGGTGCCGTGGCCATCTCCGAAACAGAGGCAAAGATTGCGGCCATCGAAGATCGTAGAGCAGCAAAGGCTGAGGAGCTCAAGGAATGTCAAGCCGAAAAGGCCAAGTTGGAGCAAGAAGCCAAGGAGGTCGAACACGAGCTTGGCCGCTTCAACTCACACGAGGCCAAGATCCGCGCAAAGGTCTCCAACGCCAGACAAAAGGCCGATGAAGCTCGTTCCAGTTTGTCTAAGACGCAGACTCAGGGTAACGTTCTCACGGCCTTGATGCGCATGAGAGAGTCCGGCCGTATCGATGGCTTCCACGGAAGGCTTGGTAACCTGGGTGCAATCGACGAGAAGTACGACGTTGCCATCTCTACTGCCTGCGGTGCGCTCGACAACTTTGTCACCGACACCGTCGAGGCTGGTCAGCAGTGCATCGAGTACCTTCGCAAGACCAACCTAGGCCGTGGCAACTTCATGTGCTTGGACAAGTTGAGAGTGCGCGACATGAACCCTATTCAGACACCTGAAAATGCGCCTCGCCTATTCGACCTGGTCAATCCCAAGGAGGAGAAGTTCAGGCCTGCTTTCTACCACGCCCTTCAAGACACCCTCGTCGCCAAGGACCTTGCCCAAGCCAACAGAATTGCTTACGGCGCCAGGAGATGGCGTGTGGTTACTCTGGCTGGCGAGCTCATTGACAAGTCTGGTACCATGTCCGGTGGTGGTAACACCGTCAAGAAAGGCCTCATGTCTTCCAAGCTTGCCTCTGACACCACCAAGGAGCAGGTCGCCAAGCTCGAGGAGGACCGTGATGTGCTTGAAGAGAAGTACCAAGACTTCCAGGAGCAACAGAGGGAGCTCGAGACCAGGTTGCGCGACCTGAACGAGCAAATCCCCCAGCTTGACACCAAGATGCAAAAGATCAACCTCGAAATCGAGAGCGCGGCGAGAAACCTTGCCGACGCCCACCGTCGTATCAAGGAGCTGAGCAAGGAGCACCAGCCATCTGCCTCGGACAACAACCGCATCGCCGCTCTCCGCAAGGAGATTGCGAAGCTCAACAAGGAACTCGAAAAGCTCCACGACGAGACGTCTGGCGTCGAGGAAGAGATCAAGGCTCTCCAAGACAAGATCATGGAGGTTGGTGGTGAGAAGCTCCGTCTGCAAAGGGCCAACGTCGACGCCTTGAAGGAGGAGATCCAGTCCCAAAATGAGGAAACCACCAATGCTGAAGTCCGCAAGGTCAAGGCTGAGAAACAAAAGACGAAACTGGAGAAGGACCACGCCAAGGCAACAAAGGAGCTTGAGGCAGCCATCCAAGATCTGGAAAAGCTGGAGCACGAGATTGAAAACCAGGGTGAAAAGGCAGAGACACTCCAGAGTCAGGTTGATGAGGCCGAAGAGGGTTTGGCAGCGAAGAAGGAGGAGCTGTCATCTCTCAAGGCCGAGCTCGACGAGAAGACTACCGAGCTTAACGCAACTCGCGCTACTGAGATTGAAATGCGCAACAAGCTCGAGGAGAACACAAAGGCCCTGCAGGAAAACCAGAAGAGGCTCATGTACTGGAATGACAAGCTCTCCAAGCTTACGCTTCAGAACGTGGATGACCTGACTGGCACCTCCAACTCGACAGTCAAGCCTCCGCCTACTCCCATCAAGAAGGCCGCCGAGGATGATGAAGAAGAGGAAGACGACGACACAGTGGTCCGTGCTGAAGTCGATGAGTCTCTTCAGTCCGCCGTGGCTGAGGAGGCTGCTGAGGCCGAAGAAGCGGAGGAAGCAACTCAGCCTACGAGACAGCCCTCGGAGCTGCCAGTCTACACTCCCGATGAGCTAGCTGGCATGAGCAAGGAGAAGCTCAAGGGAGAGATTGCGGCCCTCGAGGAAAAGACCCAAAATGTCAACGTTGACCTGGGCGTCCTCTCCGAGTACCGTCGCCGTGTTGAAGAGCACGCGGTGAGATCATCAGATCTTCAAAATGCCGTTGGCCTACGTGACACTGCCAAGAAGCGCTGCGATGAGCTGCGTCGCCTGCGTCTCGAGGGCTTCATGGAGGGTTTCAGCACCATCTCCCTACGCTTGAAGGAGATGTACCAGATGATCACCATGGGTGGTAACGCTGAGCTTGAGCTCGTCGACTCTCTCGATCCCTTCAGCGAAGGCATTCTCTTCAGCGTCATGCCTCCCAAGAAGTCATGGAAGAACATCAGCAACTTGTCCGGTGGTGAGAAGACACTAAGCAGTCTGGCTCTGGTCTTTGCCTTGCATCACTATAAGCCGACACCCCTTTACGTCATGGACGAGATTGATGCTGCGTTGGACTTCAGAAACGTAAGTTTTGTCATGCCGTTAAGACTCCTGCAAAATTGCAAGAAGCTATGCTAACATTTCACCACCTCCAGGTTTCCATTGTCGCCAACTACATCAAGGAGCGTACAAAGAACGCCCAGTTCATTGTTATTTCGCTCCGAAACAACATGTTCGAGTTGGCTTCCCGTCTTGTCGGTGTTTACAAGGTGAACCACATGACGAAGAGTGTGACGATTGAGAACCAAGACTACATCGTTCGCACTCGGCAAATACCACCGGGAAGTCAGGCAACGCAGCAGACGGCGGCAGCGCGGTGAGAAAAAGGGGATGTGGCTTATGAATAATGGATGGCTCTTTGTGTTTTTTTGATTGATTGATATGTCTTTGTTTATTCCCCTGCCAGGTTTCGGGTGGTCTTTGTGTACCATGGTATTATGACTGTACGAGAGGCGCTGGGGTAGATTAATGGCTCACATGAAATGAGAGTGGAGGTCTTTTGACTTTTTTTATCTTGGTTGTTGAACGAAGAGTTCCTGATATTGTCTCACAATGCTCACATTTCGCTTGTGTCCCTGGGGAATGTGCCACGTCATGTTTCGTGGAGGTATTGTGTTGAACTATGGGTCACGCCAGGATGCTGATCCAATATTGTCGTGATCAACGGCTGAGTCAAGAATATTGATGTTGGCGAGTGACGGTGTTTCGAGAAACGTGGGGAAGCCTCACATGAGGTGATACCCTCGTTTCTTCTGGCCTGTTGGGCTGAAAACGAAGTGCAACTCCATACTATCTATCTATGCTCGTGATTGAACCCAAGAATGTCGAGGTGCTTTGGGGCTGCCAGTTTGGTACCTGCATGATCTCGACGACGGGGCCATGGTCTCGGGTGCGCGCATGCAGCTGGTGTGTGACGTTGGACTTGGTGTCTCTGTCTACTTGGTTTGACATTAGCAGGCACCGAGGTTTGTGGCGGATAGATCTACGGATCTCTCATCTCTAGCGGACGGTATTACCAGATAGATAAGTTCGCTCCTATCGTGGAGATCTTCACTTACGATAGGACGGTGAACCAATATTTGTTAGAACAGGTTGATGATGTCTTAAACGGTATGGTTTGGGGTTGAATGGAATGGATTATTTGCGACACAGCCTCGGCTTGATGAATAGTACTCTACAGTGACGGTCGCTCCGACTGTATAAAGATCTTAGTTGAAAACCACGATTGTTAGGTTTTCGTCATTTTGAGGCAGTGGTCAACAGAAGGCCAATACTTGGGCCACTTTTTCCATCACTCTTCTGTTTGCCAAGTTCCTTCACCATGCTCACCTATTCAGTTCTCCTTTTGACTGTTGGTCTGGCGATGGCCATTGCAGAAGGGTGTCACGGGGACAATCTGCTCCGTGCTATGGAACGGCACAACGCCAGCGCGTACTGTTCCTCGCTTTTGTATTCTATTTCTGCCACGACGACGATACAGTTGCCTGAGGGTGTGCCTACTGGCTCTGGACCTGGACCGGTTTCTTCTGCCGTAAGTAGTAGTTGTCCCGCCATGAGAACTTGCTGATGATAACAGTGTTCGTGTCTCCTTGGTGTCAATACTACTTCTCGCGGGAACTGCGACTCCAAAACAACCAAAGATTTTACAAGCCTTCCTAGTACAGAAGTGCTGGCAACTGATACTTCAGCTACTGCTGTATCGGACACGTTTGGCATACCTACTGCGACATTATCAGACATTCCTGGAGGATACTCCTTTTCTTTCTCATTCCCTGCTACCTCGGGCTCCAGCATACCGCCTACTTGTGGGCTATCAGGGATGACTACTACCGTTCAAGTCACAGAGACAAGCATTAGCACACTGTACATCACCAATTTACCAGTGTCAACAGCAGTTGAGGAAGACAGCGGGGGTCGGCCTGGGCCGCCAGGGACGACTACGCCTACCACAGCCAAGACTACAGAGGCATCAAGCTCGGTTTCTAATGACGCCGAATCCAGTGACGGAACCAGCCCGACTGATATGTCAAGTGGGAGTATGCCCTGGTGGGTTCCGACAACTACTGCGAACGGAAGCTCAATGGGTACGTCGGAGACTACTGTTGATGCCACAGCTGGGATCTCAACTTCCAGTAATGTCACGAGCGAGGTCATTTCAATCACCAGTACGCCTACTTTCACATCCCTTCTCCCGCCTCAAGGTAGACCTGGGGCGACGATTACCCTGGTTATCAACGGTAATATCACGACTATCACCGGCGAGTTGCCCGATGACCAGACAAAACCGACGTCTTCTTCTGCATCTCAAAGTGACGACTCTCAATGGACTTTGACTTGGATATCTGGTTCCACTGAGACTATGCCAACGCCAAGCCCAGCTCCAATACTAACTACTATCACAAGCGACATGGGCAATGGGATTACATCAACTTGGATAGTGACAGCTGACAGCCCGATCGCCTCGGCCCTTGAAACAAGCTCAGCTAGTTCAGCGTCCTCTTCTCGGACTTCAAGTGGTGATTCTTCTGGTAGTAGCCCTATTAGCGGGGATGTCTCGACGTCAACAGCCATCAGCGCCTCAACAGTCGTAGAGGCTACCGACAGCTCTATAACAACCTCATCTGTTATACCTTCAGAGACGGTCTCTTTGACTATTAGTGTAATCACAGGTGTCGTCGATGGTGTTGTTTCGACGTGGACTTTGAGTGGTGGTTCGACTTTGATCGCCTCACCTGCTAGTACGACTTCAGCCCCTAGTCCGGTCACTTCACAGACTCCCTCAAACGGATTTACGGTCATCACCAGTGCTGTTGGTGGCGGAATGGTATCCATTTGGACTATTTCTGGGGCTTCTACACTCACTGGATCTTCAAGTATTACCGCAGCCCCTTCCTCCGTACCCGTCGGAGCCGTCATCACCAGCGTTGTCAATGGCACAGTATCGACATGGACTGTCTCCGGTGGTTCAAGCCAAGCGATTTCCAACAGGAGCACACCAATCTTCACAAGCACTGCAGCTGGGGTCGTTACCATCACCAGTTTGATTGATGGTGTAGCTTTAACATGGACTGTGTCTCGCGGCACAACCCTCCAAGGCTCATCTGACAGCAGCGTAACAACAACTGCTAGAGTCAGCGTGATTACTAGTGTTATTAACGGCGAACTATCGACTTTGACCATGATAGACGGGTCTACTATCGTATCAAGCAGTACAGCAACGCCAATTCCTACTCCATCCAGTGGAATCGTTGTTTTTACTACCGTAATTAACGGTGCAACATCAGTATGGACCATCTCAGATGGCTTGACTCTTACTGGCGCTCCAAGCCCAACTCCCAATCCAACCATTAATTTCACTATCATCACTGGTATGATCAGTGGTTCGGCCTCGACATGGATGATTTCAGGAGGGATGACCCTTCCTGTACCTTCAGTCAGCACAACAGCGACCCCTACGCAAACCAATCAAGTCATAGTCATTACTAGCGTGATCAATGGTGAAGCTTCAACATGGACTGTTTCAAACGGTTCGACCCTCGATGGTAGCTTGAGTACCAAAACCTCTAATCAATCCGATGGGTTTACCACTAAAACAGACACCGGGGATGGTAATGGTGCTTCAACCCAGACGCAGACTGCCGGCGCCACCTCTGGCGGATCAATCAACAACACCGCTACTATTTCTACATCAACCAGTGCCTCAGCAACATCAACGGTTTACGCTTCCGCGTTTACTGACATCTCTGTCATAGCAGCGCAAAACGCGAGCACATGCCTTACCCTCCAAACACCAACGGAATCCCTCCACGAATCTCTTCTAGAGCACGAGAACAGCCCTCCATACATTGATGCCTTCTTCATGAACAAAACTGGAGACTTTGTCAAGTATCTCCGTCTTCGAGACAATGCCTCGAATCCCGTTCTCATCGACGTCTCGGACCCCTTGAGACTGTCAATCATTGACAAGGATGGAGACATACTTTCCATTGATGACCAAGGACTACATTTCACTTCCGCCAACTGCTCGCCAAAAATCGATATTATCATTCCTGGTTTTTTTGATCAGTTAAGCTCTTTGACGAACTCGACTTGTAGCAATCAGTCTAACGTTTCCGTCACTGGGGCGTGGGATATGATGGCACCAGGATCATTGAGGAAAAGGCTGAATGACACGTTCGAAGTTGTCCTTCGTCTTCGTGACCAATGCGGCAACGCCGTTCGCTCAGATTTGCCTGTTTCTGTAGCATTGGGTGGTACACAATGTCTCGCTACCCCTGGTGAAGGTGGTGAATTCATCGTGAACTGCGTGTTTCCTAGCAGTAAGGGTCCGACAATGGAATGCGAGACTTCCGTCCAGCAAACTCTTGATCGTCTTACCAATGGATCGTTCTCCGGCACATGCCCCTCTTTCGTGTCCGTTTGGAGCGTTTTACTCAGGGAATTGACGAATGTGGTCAACCTTGATCAGCTCCTCAAACCACTTGTCGAATCCGGATTGGATACCGACACTGACCCTGGCCGAGACATGCTTTCTGCTATTGGGAGATTTCTAAATCTTTACGACTTCTCCACATCCACCTTTAAAAACTCATCATCTGAAGGTGGATCAAAGTTTGGAGGTATGGTTGAGAGCTATGGTGTAGTAAACATCACCACAGACGTCTGCCGCTCCCTTACAACATCGAAAACTCTCAACCTGACATTCACCGCGGGAGACATGACATTACCCTCCGTTCTCACAGTATTATCAAGTATTCCATCCTCCACACAGAGGTACGAACACAATGTCACCGACCCCGCGGGATTAGCATGCTGTCCGAACCCAGGAAAATGTGTCATTGAAGGTGCTAGGAGATATTATCCCCCCGAAGCCTCGATTCAGGGATCAGACTGCCTCTGCGGCACGGCGTCAGATGGCCGAGGTATCGCCTTCCGAACTGGAAGGTGCCTTGGATACAATCAGTGCAATGCATCATCTCCCTGTGCTAGCGGCGCGGTTTGCTTAGTGAGTAACTGTTGCGGGTTTAGTGTTTGTGTCAATGGAACGGAGTGCTCTGCGCCAAAGTTAGGGAAGAGATGGATAAGCTTGTTTGATCATGAGGCCTCGGAAGGTCCACTTTGATGCCTACGACTGTGTGCCGCCTGTATTTTGCTTCTAGGGGTAGCGTCTCAATGTCTATTGTCTTGTTTGTTAGAAAGTACTTTTGTTTCCGTATCTAGTACTGTTCACGAGCATTCATTGTTATAAACTTATGGAAAGCTACATCTATTGGTCAACTTCATGTGTTGAACCGTTCAGCCTGAATATGAACAGCACTGGCACTCTTGTGCCAACATGAAGTCGGAAGTGGCATGATCCCACGGGAAGCCTCCGACTCACTACGCCTTATGGTGGTCTAGTAAAAAATCCTTATCGAAGGACATTAGTTTCATCAATTCTTTTCCCTCGGACGAGAAATTAAGGTGTGATTGGGGTGAATGATTTATACGGTTCTTAAAAGTCTTTTCTCTCATTTATCATTTCATGGGACCTTGCCTCTGGTATAATTTGATATGAATGATATCTTTGACGCCTCGGCCCTGTGTATGGATGTGCCTTCAAGTTGTTGTGTTTGGAAAAGGCAGGACGTTTTCCTAACTAGGAATCACTCATCTTCCTTGATTAGATCCGCACAGGAAATAGTTTGGTTAGCTCCATTACGTGAATGCAAAAATAGGTATGTTATTAACGCTTCCGGTTAACCCGATGCCGATAAACATGCCAACCAAGCGAATCTACCGCCTTATGATATCTTACTTCATCTGAGCTGCAGAAACAGGATGTAGCACCATGTTTCTCGACTTCAAGTAAGGAATTGTAGAGCCATAGTACTCAAAGTCGCCCGATAAGAGCATAGGAGGAGAGATCGTCACCTCAGACTGGCCACGCTCCACAACTGCCTCACGCCATGCCTGCACCACATCGTCCTCAAATGGATTGCAATTTTGCGTACTTTTCCAACTAATCTCAAAGGCATCATCATCTGCCTTTTTGTATTGAAAAATGCTGGAGGTTCCGTCTCCGCTGTTCCAGATTTCCATCAGCCGGAGCTTGGGCATCCGCTTGGCCGCCATGGCAGCAAGATAGATCAAGTCTCTAACGCCGCGTAGCCAAAGTGACATGTCCCATTCCTCGTTTATTTCTGCCTTGAGACTATCGGAGGTTAGTGTCAGTGACGTAAGCTCTATGTAACCGCCATTAAGCTGTTGTGGCTGGCCAGTACAAATTCGATCAAGAAATGCTTCTGCATTTATAACAAAACAGAGGGAAAGACACTTCAGGTGAAGGGTGCCCATAATGACAGCTTCGGTTAGTTTGTCTTTGGGAATCAGGTCAAATCTACTATTCCTTGTGCCCGACTCTTCAAAAACCGATAATGCTTTCAGCGAGGCTGGTAGATGTTGAGATAGAACTGGTTCCATGCCTAGAATTGGCCAATCATTAGTATGGCTAATACACATATCGTTAAACCAGCAAGGCATCATACTTACCTAAACACCAGTCACCCTCAGGCGAAACCAGACCATGGCGCCACCGTTCTATTCTAACGGTTTGTAACCGTGTCAGGCTGTTGAAGATAAGGGCCATAACCTCTGGGCGCAAGTTGCGGGTGCATGCTCTTCTAGTAACGAGTTCGGTTACAACCTCCAGTCTGGGAAGCGGCTTAGTATCGTCAAGCCTGAACCCTTTGCAAAACAGATCTCGTCTGGTTTTTGGATCCATTGCTCCTTCCATGTCTTTGGAGACGTAATATTTTCTTCCGTCCTCTTCATAGATTGAAACTGACCCAGTCTCCTGAAATTTTGAATACATGTCCAGATCATCTGTGGGCATCGCGCCAGTTGCACTTTCAGTCAGATGTTTATGTCCGGAATGCTCGAGAGTCAGACCCGGATTACCATCAAATTCTCCCACAGTCGCAAGTTTCCAGTCGGAAAAGGTCGTCCATAAATGCCATATTATGCTTGTATAAAATGCTTTGCTCCAGTTCTGGCTATCCAACCCCATATCTTGGCGTTGTTCGGGCGAAGGCTCCTCGAGTCTCAGCCAGACATGCTTGATCATGCACCTTCTCCTATAGGGTTGAGTGACTTTTCTAAAATCGACCAAGTCTTCATGCCTGATAATGAAGTACTTGAAAGTTATGGGCTCGAAAAACAGCTGCCAATGCTTACAGACGCTGGCGTAAGCGGCGATGCCCCGACATGAAGACGTGGGCTGACTGTGCGCTTCTGCAAGGCTCTGCAGGACCAGCAGCCGTAACTCTGGGGGAAGAGACGAAAAATTGGGTTTTCTTTCTGCCATGTCGCAGCTTTTCTGGTTATGTTCAGAGCCAGGAAGATGTTTGAAGAATAGAAGAGAAATCCAATAGGTACAGCGTTACGCGGAGAGATTCGGTTTGCAGATGTAGTGATGAATCCTTATGCATAAGCACCATTTGGCACACCGCCTAAATGAGGTGGTATCTCGCTGAATGTGCAAGAAGTGTGCCTGTACAAGGTCGTTCTCAGCAGCGCGTTAATAATTGGACGAAAGACCAAATACTTGGTTCTGACTGGCGGTATCCCCGCATTTGATGTATCATAAAATAAGCATAGCCAAGTGTGCTGTTAGTGCAAACTTCAGCCAATGGTGGAAAAGAAGGAGAAATTGAAGGGGAAAGGCAAATAACGAGAATATCGTTTCATACTAAGGCTACCATGCTGAGATATTTGTCTCCTCACAAATTAAGCGTCTGACTGTCTTACTACAACCCGATAGATATTGAACACAAAGATTCTGCAAGAGGTACAAGGTGACACTCTACTCTTTACCAAGCATTATTTCTTGAAGGTGCAATCATCATTATTTTCATTGCGTGAGGATCGACGCCCCTATCAAACATGCAAATATGTGCCGTTGAACCATATTCCCATCCAAGCCAAGCAAAATCCATAGTGTGCAAGCTTGTAATAAAACAAATCCCGTAAACCCAAGCCACGTATCCGACTGATAAGAGAGCTTATTTTTCGCCGCCATTTTCAGAAGTTTCCCAAGTTTTTAAATCTGCTTTGACCTCGCGAAAAATGCCCCCCCAATTGCCAATCTCGTTCTCCGTCCGCTTGCGTCGGCTGAATGCTGTCCTCCTAAAGCTGACGAACCACATCATGAACCAATATGTAGCTGCTGCCATCGACGCCACAGCAGCAACCCAAGACATGGCGATGAAAGGACCGCCCTGACGTATCTGGATTCCAAATGCATCGCCTTGCTTGTCAAGCATGTGTTTACCGCCGATGACGATACCCGTGGTGACAGCTGCAAAGAGAGGTAGAACCGTAGCCGCAATCATTGAAAATATCAGTGAAACAATGACGAGAACACGCCAGAACCCGACAATTATGATCGGTAGTGTGGCAAGCAGAGTTATGCCGGCACAAGCCGTGCCAATTGCCAGCAGGGCCATCATGGCCTTCGCACCGGTGGTAGCAAGTGAAACGACCTGGTCAATGGTGCCTCTCAGCGCTGATACGAGTGGAACTGAAACATTCGCAGTTGCAATTACGAAGGAAGAGGGGATGGAGTCCGTGATATTGCGTAGGCCTAGTTAGTGTTAGATGTTTTTTCCTCATGGCTCGTGGAGGAGTTACTTGCCTTTTCCCTTATCGTCGTAGCTCGAACATGATATGATAGAGGTCTTGGACTTGGGATCGTTCTCATTTGCGTAGTTGCCTTCGCACATTTTTGAAAGAAAAAGATTATAGGTATCCTTCACTCCCAAGGCCTGCGTCAGGTTACCCATCAACTGCCCCTCGAGATCCTCCACACCGTTCCCAACCGCGTTTGTCAAGTTTCCGAGGAGGCCGCCAAGTATACCGTTGAGGCCGCTTGTGATGCCTGTGGGATCGGACGGCTGAGGAAGACCTGGAATGGTGGGGGTTGGAAGTCCAGGAAGACCGGGCAAGCCCCCGTTACCATTACCATTTCCGTTTCCATTCGTATTATTTGCCGCCTCAATTTTGATCAGTTGCTGTCCGACTTTCGATGTGTTAAGCTATGAGGACTGTTAGCTAGTGACAATTGACGAACACTGCTATAATTAACTAACCGATAGCCAGTAGTTGGTGTTGCCACTACTGGTGCTGGAACCAGCAGTCAAGAGAACAATCGAAAGCGCAACAGCGACAGCTGATGCAATGATTGGGATGATAGCGGTTATTCGACCACCAATACCGACCATGTTGTCCGCTGGTCGAGTGGATTTACTAGAGATTAAAACGGTTGAGTAAAGTGTGTTTAGTACGGCATTAGACAAGAGCCTGTTCGTGTGATTGCATTCCGCGAAGCCTTCAGGTCACAGACACTTCAGCCTCGCGGGCTGGGTCAGGCTCCCTTAATATGCCTCTGACGGGCATCGAGAAACTTTCGATCGCGGGACCTGTCAGTACGTCATTTACCGTCCCGATTTCAACGCATTGGGATGAAACGCTGGGATGAAGGCTGTTGAACTATAACGGTCGCTCAACGGTCCCAGTCTACGCTGGAAGGCTTCGTTACTACGGGTCTAGATCTTTCCTGCAGTAGATTTTCTGCGTTGTCTGGGAGTTTCAGGGGTGCAGCCTGCCGCACCCGCGACAGTCTTACCGCAACGGGCATTTCATGAGAAACTAACGTCATGCCCACCTGCGCCGTGTGATGCATAACATCCAATCGGCTTACCAAAGGATGCTCCGACTGGGAATGCCTCGCTTTTCGTCGCAATATAACTGAGTTGTCCCAGCATTGTGGTGGGGTTCAACGATCGATATGTAGGGTTTGGCTAAGCTGCCAACATCGAAAGCCGTCGAATCACTTGCAGCGTGTTCGTACCCGTATTGATCGCGGAACACAGCCGATGGTAGTGATTTCCGCCCCTAATTGTAGATCTTTTCCTAAGGCCATCCGCATTGTCGCCTAATATTTGAGTATTTCAACGTCAGTCAAGCAGAAAGAAGCATTACTTTAAGTTTTCCAAGACACCCAGGGGCTCTCATTCGTGCGTTCTGGGAAATTTTGCCGAACGCATATTCAAGCAGTTTCCAGAAAACATGCCTGGAGAAAGGAAGCGGCCTAGTTTGAGCCTTGACCGCATGTTTGCCGGTGTGTTGATTTTCGTGCCATTATCGTCTGTATTAACTAACCTCATCATGACGGACCGAGCGTTAACGGCATTGATACCTGAGTCGTGTTAACATTGAACCTTCATCATCTCTGATACCAAATCGGCATTCTCAGCCGCTAGACGTTGTTTAAGCCTAGCCATATCGAAATGCTGTCGATCTCCGTTATCGCCACTGTGTCAGGCTTTGGTTACTGGTGTGGTATGACGATCAAAACCGTTTGGATTGATACGGAAACACAATTCGAATGACGAGTCTGGAAACATTGGAGTATTCCTGTGACGATAAAGAAAATAACTCGTAATATTTCCCTTGGTAAGAATGAGATCTCATGTCCTCCATCCCAAATGATCACAAAATGTGATCTCGATGCGGGGTAAAACAGCATCAAAAAAATGAGCACAGATAGTTCCTTTCTTCTGTCGTTCCAGACGGCGAACAGTCTAATTGTTATTAACGTCGCACACCCACTTCTCGCACACCCCCACATTTCGCACACCCATAAATCGCTCATGTAGAATTTTACCCTCTTCAACATTCTTTAATATCTTCACCACTTTTACAGCGATTATTATAATTCTTTGAATAGTTACTCTTATACGCTTAATGGGCCAGTATACGGAAACAGAAGTCAATCAAGCTCTCAATGCAGTTGCAAGTGGGCAGAGTGTCCGAAAGGCAGCTCATGATGCTGGAATTCCACCATCAACCCTCCAGTCTCGATTAAAGGGTTCACAGGCAAGAAATGTAGCTTTCTCTAGCTTCCAGAAGCTATCTCCAGCACAGGAAAGTCACTTAGCTGAATGGGTGCGTATCCAGGCGGCGTTAGGGCTGCCGCCAACACATCAACAACTCAAGGAATTTGCCCAGCGAATCCTAGACATCAGAGGCACTACCCAGCCACTTGGGAGAAACTGGATTCAGTTCTTTATTAAGAGAAATCCATCAATCAAGGTTCATAGAGCTAGAGCCATCGATTCTAAGCGTGTCAATGGGGCCTCAACTAATGTAATCAGGCAATGGTTTCAACAACTCGCCCTTCCAGAGATCAAGGCGATCAAACCACATCATCGCTATAACATGGATGAAACTGGTATCCTAGAAGGCAGAGGATCAAATGGCTTAGTACTGGGATCATCAGAAAGCTCATCAATGCGAAAAAAACAGCCTGGGTCTCGGGCTTGGACAACTATGCTTGAGTGTGTCTCTGCAACTGGTCAGGCGCTTCCTCCACTTGTTATTTATCGAGGGAAATCGGTTCAACAACAATGGTTTCCTCTTGATATCCATAAACGTGATATTTACAGTGGTTGGAAGTTCACAGCAACTGAGAATGGCTGGACTTCAGACTCTACAGCTGTGGAATGGCTTGAGAACATCTTTATCCCTCTGACTAAGCCTGATCATCCCTCTGAGCAGAGACTATTGATCCTAGACGGTCATGGCAGTCATGAAACAACAGAATTTATGTATCTCTGTTATAAACACAAGATATATCTCCTTTTCCTACCGCCACATACATCCCACGTTCTCCAACCTCTAGACCAAGCAGTCTTTGGGCCTCTCAAGGCGACCTATCGAAAAGAGCTTGGATACCTCATTCAACACAACGATTCTACAGTTGTAGGCAAACGGAACTTTCTTACCTGCTATGGAAAAGCACGCCAGATGGCATTTTCAAGCAAGAATATCAGAAGCGGCTGGAAAGCAACAGGACTATGGCCCATTTCGATAGCTCGACCGCTCATGAGCCCTCTACTGCTTGAGAATGCTTCCAAGCCCTCAAAGCCAGGCTATTCTACGCCTATGAGGGCCTCTGATGGTGGAAAAGACGAAAACTGGGCATCTGCTACATCCATAGTAGCCTGGTCAACGCCCAAGAAGACAGTTGATCTATATGATCAACTTAGCTTATTCAGCAAGTTGGATAAAGATCAGCAAACGCAGCGACTGTTGTTTCGGAAGGTTCAAAAGGGATTTGATGAAAAGGACTATCAATTGGCTACAGCAGAGAAGAAGATTGCAATGTTGGAAGCAGAAGTTGAGGCTGGAATGGTACGGAAGCGGCGTAAGGTCCAAATGAGCCCAAATTCGAAGTTTGCCAACATTGAGGCAATTCACAAAGCCCAAATTGAGGCTGGCGAAATTGAGGATAGCTCAGATGAATCTAGCGAGCCTGAATTACCTATTAAAACTGGCGATAGTATCACAGTTGCAGGAGACGAATCAGACTTATAGTTATGAAGTTGATGAATACCTCATGATGACCCAATTTATGGGTGTGCGAAATGTGGGGGTGTGCGAGAAGTGGGTGTGCGACGTTAGCGTTGGATACCCTCCTCTAGATGAAACCTTCACAAGCTGCTGAGGCATACCTGGTTTTCTGTGACTTACTGCTTGGCTTTAAACTTCTTTCTCTTTGGGGCTTGAAAATAAAGGGCCTTCCCAGTGAAGTACTGACTGACGTGGTCGTGAACAGCCGCCATGGCCTCCCAGTCCCAGATGATGATGATTTGTTACTATTGGGAAGAATGGATAGCCAATGTGGCAGTGGCAATTTGCCAGCTCTCAAAAGAGCCTATCACTTGGCAATCTGGAAACCCGAATACGGAATTTGATTACTGGAGGGTCGTTTATATGACAAGAAAAGGGGAGTTGGGAAAGGCGGGGGTCACCTTCATGCGTAAACAGGCCACTGACATACGTTCTGTAAGACAATACTACATGTAGTCAATGCAGGAGTACCTTATTTCGGCTGTGTGTTGTTAACATATAAAGATGAGCTCTCCTTAGCCGTAAGAAGTTTTTTTTTTTTTTTTTTTTTTCCATTGCTACAGCGTGTAAGATTGGTTACGGGTTAGGTGATGGCTTCAGCATAGCTGAGCTCCATCAAGTAATTCTGTTCAACGGACCAGGTCTATACACTCTCAGTACCCCACTACAATTATGTACCCAGATTACAAGCCCCTACCGCTGCCATTTGTGCAGATGCCGTCACTTGCTCTTTTTCTGTCAATAGCAATCTAATTACTTTGCCAAGAATTTCGTGTTCTTGTTCTCAAAAGGTTGTAATGAACAGCAAATACAGAGTTTCGGGATCTAGCATGGTGGATTTCAGTAGGCGAGAAAATGAGTAAATATTCTGCGAGAAGGAACTTGGGCCTTTGACAAACAGAAACATCAATAGCTCAGAAGCAGCCCCTCAGAACGAGCCTCAAAATCATATCTAGGTCACCCGATCTTATGAGCCAAAAGTTAGCGAACCATTGGGATATATCAGTGACACGGACTCTGCTAGAGACATACGACGGTTATTAACCTTATCAACGATGGTGAAACGGCTATGATGTTTTCGTTTCTTATGCTGGCGTTTTTGGGGGGCTGATATCGAGTTACCTGCGGTAAATGAGCATGTAAAGACGGCGGAGGGAACAACAATGAGGATAGTGGTTAAGGCAAAAGGTTTCCGTAGACTGCAGCTTGAACAGCTAACTTCCACAATAGATTTATGCGATAGCCTTTCGTCCTCTCTTTTTTGTCTGTGCCCTGGTATGATAGCTGTGTATTTTACCAAAAGCTACTACACACCTGTTTCATCCGTCAATTGTTGATTCACATCTGCTTGTTGGCAAACATCGATGACTTCAATTCTTTTCTATCGTTTTAAACGCGAGTAACCATAGTACTCTATTCTCTATGTGTGTGAGAAACTTGCAGAGTTCGAAACAGGGAGTTTCGTGTGAGCCAACTTCATCTTGCACAGGCCGTTGTAAAGGTCGTTCTTCTTACAACGACCGTGCCCTGGCTGGTGAAGCTTGAAATGATTTGAACAGCAACAAATATCGGCGGCGCTCTTCACATCAAGTTACCCATTCTTAAAGGTCAGATACTGATTCGTATCTTGGTCTTGTCTTGCGGGAATGCTGCCCTTGGTTGTCATCCTCCACGCTATCACTAACTCGCCCCTGCTCTTCAGGTCGCCGTCATCTGTTTGACGAGATTTTCTGTTCCTTTGTGTCTTCATATCCGCAGAATTGTGTTTGTGCATGGCAATTGGAATGATTGCTGGGCAAATTTTCATATTTTGCGGTAGGGGTGAACTTGTCAGAATCTGACGTTAGTATTATAGTTAGAGTGCATGATGCACAACTTTTGCTACTCTACCTTGGTGAACATTGGGGATTTCAAACATTATAACATCAAGCTCTCAATTGAACACAGGGACAAACTAAAATGGTGTTATAAATATAAACATGTCGTAGGCGGGAGGATAATACCTCAAGTTGAAGATTCCCTATTCATCCAGTTCGGGAATAACGGACTTGGTGCTCGGCTACTAGCGCCAGTCTCCTATCGCCCAAAGTGAGCGACTTTATCCGGACCTCACCGTTCTTCCCCTCTTTTCACCGTGCCAAGCCTCCGTACCAAGACATCGATTCATCAAAATCTATCACCGCCAAGCCTCCCGAGTCATGGCCTCCACATCTACCGCCCCGGCCCGTGCGGACGTGACTCTCCGTGTAGCTACGCTGCAGGATGTTGACGCGCTTGCGGCCATTGCCGACGCGGCGTTCCAGACAGATTCACATACTCAGCTCAAAGCTGTGTTCAACGGTGCTGCTTCATTCAAGGATGGCATGCGTGAAGGGCTAAAATCGTGGCTGGCGTCACCGAAAGTTGACCTGATTGTCGCCGAATCATGTGGAAACCCCGTCGGGTGGGTTGGATGGGCGCGACGAGGGTTTGCGGGGGATACCGACCTACCTCTGTCAGGTCCCGCCGAAGAACCGAAAGCAGTCACAGCACACGAGGCCGATCCGTTGAAGCCCAATACCGTAAAGGACCTTGAGCAGCTTACGAACGCGTCGATGCAGTATTGGGTCTGTCGACTCATGCCTGAAGGCTGCCGCTGTCGTATCGTTGTCAGCTGCGTTGTGCATCCGGATCATCAGGGGAGGGGTATAGGCTCGAGACTTATACGCTGGGGAACGGATAAGGTAGACCAAGAAGGGATATTCTGCTGGGTGCAGTCCTCAATGTCTGCCGTAGCCGCATACCAAAAGTATGGCTTTCGGGAGGTTGGTAGACTGGAAGCTAATCTGGACGTGTATGCTGAAGGAAAAGAGCCCGGGGAAGAGTTTGAAAAGATCACAGGCAGCCGGGAAACCTGGGGAAACTATGAGTGGGTGTATATGCGAAGGGAGGCCAAATCGTGAACAAGTTCTCACGACACCCCCCAATAAACTCTTCTCGATGGAACGTGATAAATACACATTCATAAATAGATGTATTACAGGCCAACAATTTTGCAGAGCGCCACAAGCCCCCATACCCCCGCCAATGGATTCAGCAAGTCCTGCACCTTCATCGAGTCCGAAATTGCTTCATTGAAATCATTCATCATCGGGACCTTGGGCTTTGTAACCCAAAACGATCGCATGTACCGGTGTCCATAGGTCAGGCCAGCGGCAAGGATGATGGGCCACCCGATGGTAAAGACTCCCACGCCTCGGGGTACTACGAGGGAGAAGGCTACACCGCTGATGGCGGAAACAAGGCACTGCTTAACATGTTAGTCGATTTTCCCCCATCCCTTAGAGAAACGAGCTTGAGTGATGAGACGAGTCTCGTGCGGAAGGACTCACGCCCACGAGGCCTGTACCAACGGTGTACCGGATCTCCCAGAGGTTCTTCTCGGCCGTTCTGCTCCATTCAGCAGCTTTCTTGGCTTTATCTTCGTATTTAAGAAGCCTTGGGATAGAGTCCGCCGAATGATAAAGACCATAGCCGCTGATCACAGCGATGAGGACGCCCAGGATGTTTGTGGGAAACGCCATTCTTGGACAAGGATATTCGATGATGAGATGATTGGCCGTGGTTGTTTGCCTTCGCTGCTAGAGCTTAAGGAGCGCCGCGATCTTTGCCGTTTTGGTTGTACTATTGTATTACTCACTGATGAAAATAATACGGATGCCGATTAAATATTTTGAGCTGTGGTTGTTTTTTAAAAGACAGGTTATGAGCGAGCACATGCAGTAGAATGTTTTCGGCCTGCTTGGCTGCCGCGGTAGTGACGTCATGGCGTAATATGTGATTTCAGCCCACCTTGGTCATTGAGCACTTAAATCCTCTGCTCAACACAATGGGATGGACAATGTAAAACGCGCTTTGTCATTTTCACTATTGCTTCGCACCGATATAAACTCTGATGGCTTCTGAATCGGGATACATGAGTTAATCAATGCCATCCCATAATGACGTAGACCTAGGCTTGTAAACGGAAGTAAAGTAAAGTAGGCAGTAATACAAAACGCCAGTCGTTGTATGGGCACTAGGATGCATCTTAGATCCTATTTACTTGATGGCCATCTCACTCCTTCAACGATAATTTGAAAGTATGGAGGGCGTAGGCATTGACGTAGGGCGAGTGGGACCCTAAATGGAAAGCTTTCAGCATCCTGAACAGAATCTTGACCAGTTCGGTGTCATGTTGTCCAGCCAATGACGTAAACACATCGAATTCCGTTTGAATGATTAGATGATTATAGCTTTACATTTCAACATTCGAAAATAAGTAGAATGAACGATACTAGACAAAATTCTAGGATAGGCTGCAAGGGTTAGTTCGAATGCCCTTGTTAGCAATTCTCTCGATGGAGACGGATAACAATATACTTTTCCCCAGATACCACAAGGTATTGAGTTTGAATTGTTGATATAGTAGCTTGCAGAGTCTATAATGAAATAAAACTGTGTCAATACGACTACAATGATAGTATGCACATTTTTCCTCATTGATTGAGGATGGACTCATACCAAGCTTACCGCGACCCGGACCAACTCAGTCTGATGTTGGTTAAATTCTTTAATACTCACAAACTTGAAGTCACATTTGAAAGCTGGTTCTAGATCAAGTCTTAAGATTGTATACCCTTCATTGGTAAGTACCTTAGTATCCTTGGTCAATCGTGTTCCGGGGGTCTCTGGCCGTATCCAAGTGGGCACTGCGGAAAATAAAAGATAATGAGGAGACGAGCATATCCCCGGTAGCGGTACGGATCTAGAGGGAAACCCCGCAATTTCCTCAGATCCATCAAGTTTCCACCTACCGCAGACATTAGGATCGTCGCAAAACCATTACAAGACACCCGTAATCTACCTGACCCTGGCATAGGTACTGAAAAAAGTCTTTCATCGATGCACAGAAGCCAAAACTTGGGTGAACAAAGATTGCAAAATAGTTGCACTCAAACGAACTTCAGATCCAAGAGTTCACGCAACCATGAACGTATTTGGGTTTACTTGTCTTCAGAAAGGCCGAATATGATTTCCGGTCACATGAGATAGCATAAACTGACGCCGGAAGCTTGGCAGAAAACTTAAGGCAAAGCATAGGTCTGCTGGCTTGAGACTGACAAGATGTCCATGAGGATATCAGAGGACAAAGGTTCATCTCAAGTTCTATGGTGAAAAGGATTCGTCGACATAGCAATTGAAGTATCGATGCATGCTGAACCTGAGCCTTGAATCAAGCAAAGGCATTGGGTGCAATACTCTGAATCAATTGCGGCTCGATTGTTTTTCTTTCCAAAATGCTTTGATTCTGTAACTTTCGGTCAATTTCAAGGCATATTCTCACGTGGACTTAAACTTCGCATTTGTCCCTCCTTTCTCGGTATTTCTGCTAGTGCTACGTTCAAGATTCTAGACAGCCAAAACCTTTCACCTCCCATCTTCCGAGCCATCCGGCGACATGATCACAGTTTCCGGGTGGGCCCCGGGTCGTTATCGGCCTTCACAGTCGGCTTTTCGGGACCTTAATTCTCTTCAGCATTTCGTGCCAACTTTAATGCCAAGAAGGTTAAGAGGCTTAGAAATTCTTCCATCTGAATTTAGGAAAACATTGAAAACCAAAGGAGACGGTCTCGGTCATTAATAAAGAAAAGAGTGAATAAAAGAGGGGCTCCCAAGGGATATGCAAATCAATGTCTTAGTAAACGAGGGCAAAAGCGACGTGTTCGGCTGCTTTTGTAAGGAGTGCCAGATCCTGACGTCTGACTCGTTGGCATTGAGCTGGCTTAACTCTATATAAATTGCATACGAGGTCATAATGGCTGCCGATCTGAAATTGGGTCCATATTTGTCCTTAACTTAGATCTCCTTAGTTGCTTGGCATACTATGTAGGAATCAGGGACACCTCCCAAGCAGTTTCCCCTTATGTTGCAATAAGCATATAAGTCACTGGGAGTACTTGTACCGCTCGACAATAGTTCGTCCGAACTTGAGTTTCACAACCAGTTATCACCACACTCACACCACCACAGACAGCCCATAATGTTCTCCTCCTTCATTCTGACGACTCTTCTCGCTGCAGGTAGCGCCCACGCTGCCGTCGCGCAAGGACAGTGGGGTGTTCGCGCCGACTTTTCGCGTAAGTAGAGATCTTGCCCCGTTAGCAAGCTTAGCACGGTGATGTAGAGCCATTCGCATCGATCGCATATCTAACGAGACCAACCCCAGGCTGCGACAGCACAACCCCACTAGAGGCCATCCTTGAAGGTGCAAAGAGCCAGTCCTCACCAGCAACCGGGATTACCGATTTCAGTATCCCATCACCCTTTGACGGCAGACTGGTTATAAAGGTTGCCGGCGCAGTGGGCTTGGGCTCCCCCTATCCACCGCAGCAGGTTGATGTCGACGTGTTTGCCCAGGCAACGGCCGGAGACCCCGGCGTCTGGGCCAACGCTACAGTGAAACCTGGGACTGGTCAACCTGCTTCAGTTGCGCAGATTTCTTGGAACACGCGACCCGACGTAACAGTTGAGCCTGCCGAGAATGAAGCGGTTTCAGTGGAGACAATCTTCAACGGAGGCAGTTTGATTGTTTACTATGTAAGTTTGATCCCGCATCAGCAAGCTCGGGTTTCTGTGCTAGAATATATACTGATGCTTGCGGAATCCAGTGCGGCGTTCCCGATACTATCGGTCCCATCGCATAGAGAATGCGGTGAGAAACGAGATGTTACTGGTTTCAGATGTCGTGTACTATCATAGGCAAGCCAAAATCAAAATGAAAATGATATCTATGTGTTTAGTCATTTGAGAACTAGTTTCATCCTGGTCAAGCCATACCTTGCTCGTCAGTATTGCAAAATGTTCAAACGTCGAATGTCCTCAGAGCCACAACATGATTTGTATTCATCAACAATCGGCATATATTTTTAAATACGAGTTTCCAGGATTTTGTTTCCGACACCTACTTTGTAACTAGTTTGGATCTGTAAAAGAAAAGAGGACATGGCTCAGCAGAAGCAATATTTGGCGGAATAAGGTGTGCTAAGTATATCAGGGCCGTCTTCAATTTCCCGCCTCCATTGCCTCACAGAATCCTCGCCACTGATGTTGGTTGACTAGAACATGGCTTTTCTAGTGTAGCCACGGCATTTCCTATCTTGGACCTCGATGTTACATAGCTTTGGATCCTCCAATACCTCTGCAGTCCATAGTACTCGGCCGGTTAGACAAGCCCTGACTGATGATTATTTGACCACTCATCCTCTCGCTACGCCTTCTGTCTGTTTCCGTGCCGCACTTGGTGGGATCACAACCAACAGGGCCCACCGTTTCTAAACTTTCTCATTCACGTGTGCTCAGGACTTGCATATGCCAAGGACTCTTGCAGCAGCTGAAAGAAAAAGGCAACGGATGCCTTCTCATTCAGCGAAAACATGGGAGAGGGGGCCGAATAAATTGGCAGTTGATCCATGCGCCACCTTTCTAGCTTTCTCATTCCACAGCGCAGTAACAACATGGCACCGACTAAGGAATTCGAGGGCGACGAGTTCTCAAATAATTTGTTCAGTGATTTGGCGCCGTTGCTCACACTATTTGGAGAACAGGTGACCAAGCAATTCCTCAGTATGAGCATGGGCTGGGCAGACAACATTCTCCTAGCCATGGGACCTCTAGGCACCATCACCATCATGGTCAGCGCGATACGCGTTGGTGGCGGGAAACGGATGAAAGCTCTTGTTGGTCGGCAAGTAGCTGTTTTTGCCTTGTAGACCTTGGCCAATGCGTAGCAGAGCACGGGAGAGTCGATCAATAGCCGAACAAGAGCTTCTCTCGTCAACTTCCGAGAATGTCTGTGAGTTATGGAGCGGCCGACAGGTCGTACGTTTGATTGGGGATTCAGGTAGTATGAAGGCTATGCTCATCGCACACGATGGAGAGGTTTTCGATCTTAAAAAAGCCTTCAACAAACGTTACATTGAAACTGACGTCGGTGTCATGGAAGCCTATCTCGATGAGACTCTCAAGTGGGAGTTAGAAACCATTTACAATGCCGCTCCGAACCTGGCCCTCAATGTAGGTAGCGGCACAGCATCATCGCAAGAATTACATGCTTGGGCAAGCCTAGGAATTCTTCTCCAACTGTTCGGAATAGCATTTCCGGGTATCACAACATACTATTGGAAATGGGATAAAGCTGGAAGCCCTATAGCTGGTTACGCATACATATGCTTCTGTACAGGCACAACTTTCTTGATAACAGGCATATTGTTATGTGGTCATGTAATTGAAGGGGTTACTAAGGAGCGGACATTCTCTCTCACAGAAATGGGAGCCCAGGAAGGGCTAAAGTTCTTTAGTCTTCAGCATAGACAAACTGTCGGCGATCAGCAATTCCCATCTTGCGTCATAATCCATTCTAAGGATGATAACAAACTCAGAACCTCGCGGTTAAGCAGCATGAGCTACCGGTACGTAGCAGAACACAACTTAAGGTATTGAAAGCTCAGATGATTATAGGAACTTAGTTACTGTTTCGACCATCATTACACTTGCCGGATATGTTGTTCAGTTTGTCGGTCTCCGTGCTCTTCATTGGTCAGCTACGATTATTCAGTTGAGCATTACCGTCATCCTTGCCGCGATTCGGGCCTGGGTAAGGAGAAGCCTTGCATCAGACCCAATGAATTCCTCGGCGGTACCGGGATATGAGCTGGCCTGGCTCACACTCTACGTCGTTTCCGACAGACGAAAAACCACTGGAACAAGTAAAAGCGCCATCGAACGTGGAAACCCCCAGAAATACGGCTATTCTAGAATCCGTGAAATGTTCCGTCAACATTTGCGTGGTGACATGAATATTCAACAGTTGAATATTGATAACACTGGGTTTCTCTGGGAAATCATTTCAGGTCAACGACAAGACGCCAATCTCACAGATAACGTCACCTACAATCAGCTGACTAGTCCCCTACGCGGGCCGTTGAAAGTCTCTCTAGAGGTTCAGCCTAAGAACCACGCTCCCCACGCGTATCACACAGGTGCAGACAAGCTAAATCCACTTCAAACCTATTTACTGATTAACTCGAGTACTGCTATCCGTATTGAGGGCGATAGCAGTGATGCTGCGCAAAGGTCGAAAGCTCTCTGTGCCGTAATTGAAAACAGTATGAATGCTTTGAGTGTTCAGGATACAATAACATGGAAGCAGGAGTTCGCACCAGTGCTTCTGGGTGACGGGGAGCAAACAGAAACCATAAACCTGTGCTGGGGGTTCAACGTAACGGATTGCCGAACCGGAGAATACCATTTGCATCGAACACGGGAACGTCTTTTTTCCCACCTAGAAAGACAAAGGATTCGCAGCTCAGGGATCCCCGGCGTCAACTCTTATCGTTGGAAGTTGACGCATCCCGAAGTATTCCAGGCGGCATTATCCTTATCGCTATACACAGACGCAACTCGGACTGCTTGTAGCCCATCACATGTGCAAGAGAATGATAGACCAACAACTTATGAAACGTTCGGCCGGGTAGTTGGGTACGGAAAACAAAGTCAATTGAAGAAGAAGTTAGCTCAGCTAAACGAATGGCTCGACCATACTTACTACTCATTTATTATGTTGATTTTCAAGACGAGAGCTTTGAGCGCCCAAGCATGGAAGAGTCGGAAAACTTTGGTGGATCGTATCTGGGAATGTTCCTCTCATCGACGGCGGCTGAGTGAGTGTCCCCGTTGAATTACATCAGGTCATTTAAACTAAACCAGGGTCTTAGCATCAACGCCAAAAATGCGTCTGCAGAGCGAGTACGAGATATTGTCATTGAAGGGCGTCCCGGGTCATCCAAGACCTTACAGTACGCCCAAGAGCTATTCTCTCTTTTTATTCTTGCGTTAGCATCGGCTATTGAGAAGATAAACGGCGATGGAATGGAAAGTAGGCGGAATATCGGTGGTATCAACCCAGTAAGAGAGCACCCTGTCTTCCGCCTGATTGCGGATGAGGCGGTGAAGGCAGGATTAGCGCAAGACACGCAGGAAGCATATACATTGATTATACCGGCCTTTGCCAACTATGACCTCCTTCCGACTGAGTCCAGAAATTCAGTCCAGGAATATTCATCAGTGGTGAGATTTCTATAGTCTATAGACTGGGCAGGGTAGAAAAGCCTTGATTAATGCTTACCTTGGTTAGCCACACACCCTCCTGCTACGCCTTCTGTCTGTTTCCGTGCCGCACTTGATGAGATCACAGCCAACAGCGGCCATAGATAAGATGCCAACCCCGTTAACGTACATGATAAGCGAGTGAGACAGACAAGCGAGTGAGACAGTAAACCGCGACCGTCGCACCTTGACGCGACCGGCACCTTTTCCTCTACAATAAATCATGGAATCAGCTAGTATTGAAAGAAGGTTACAAATTGCCCTTCAAGCAATGAGAAATGACCCAAAACTTAGTGCTCGGGCCGCAGGTGCACTCTATACAGTCAGTCACGCAACATTAAGCCGGCGACTAAAGGGAATAGTCTCACGACGCGACAGCATGCCTAATTCACGGAATTTATCAGATTTAGAAGAGAAGACAATAGTTGAGTATATTCTCGACCTAGATGCGCGATCATTTCCTCCCCGGCTGAGTGGTGTGGAAGAAATGGCCAATCGACTTCTCGCAGAGCGCGACGCGCCTCCAGTTGGGAAGCGCTGGGCTTCTAATTTCGTCAAGCGACAACCACAGCTTAGGACGCGTTTCTTTCGCAAGTATGACTATAAGAGAGCTCAATGCGAAGATCCAGAGGTGATTCGTGGCTGGTTTTCGCTTGTGAAGAATACAATTGCGAAGTATGGTATTGCTGATGCTGATATCTACAACTTTGATGAGACCGGCTTTATGATGGGCGTTATTGCTTCTGGAATGGTTGTTACAAGTGCTGAAAGGCGTTCAAATACGAAGATGACACAGCCTGGCAATAGGGAATGGGTTACAGTTATCCAGGCTATTAATTCCCAAGGGGAGAGCATCCCGCCATACATCATCGTTGCAGGCCAGTATCACCTCTCAAGCTGGTATACAGAAACCTCTCTTCCGGGCGATTGGGCTATTGCAACGTCTGAAAATAGATGGACAACAAACGAGAGAGGTATTGACTGGATCAGACACTTCGACATTTATACAAAACTACGTACGTCTGGGAAATATCGCCTCCTCGTTGTTGATGGTCATGAAAGTCACCACTCCGCAGCCTTCGAGCTCTTTTGTCAAGAAAACAACATTATTACACTGTGCATGCCGGCTCACTCGTCTCATCTACTTCAACCCTTAGATGTTGGTTGTTTTCAGCCGTTAAAGAATGCCTACGGTCGGCAAATTGAGAATAAGATGCGGCGAGGCACAACCCATATCTCGAAGGAAGATTTCTTTGCAGCATTTCACGAAGCTTTTAAGCAGTCTTTTACGAGGAAAAATATCCAGGGAGGTTTCCGAGGAGCTGGACTTGTCCCTTTGAATGCAGAAAGTGTTCTCTCAAAGCTGGATGTAAAGTTCCGAACGCCAACGCCTGAGGAGGGGGTCCCTCAGACACCAGACCCTTGGATCTCTAGGACGCCGAGCAACCCAAGCGAAGCAAGATCACAGTCTACTTTTATTAAGAGTCGAATCTCACGCCACCGAAGCAGCTCTCCAGCATCAATTTATAGTGCTGTGAGTAAGCTAGCCAGAGGGACAGAAGGACTAGGGCATCGGGTAGCATTACTAGAGTCAGAGGTTCAAATCCTTCGAGAGGAGAATGCAATATTAAGTCGGCGTCGAAGGGCTAAGAAAACACGTCTACAGAAAGGAGGAAGTCTTACTATATCTACTGGAGAGGATATACAGTCGCAAAGAGAGGCAGACACGCAACTACAAGAGGAAACGCGACGGAGTAGTGGTCGCAAAGTGAGGTCTGAGACGACTCATCGTCGGTGTGGCGTATGCGGGAATACAGGCCACAACGCGAGAACATGTCAATTTATTGAGGAAACATCCGAAGAACAGGAATCCGAGTAGTATTAATCAATCTAAGATTTCTTGTTATAGATTTCGATATTATTGTCGCGAAGGTCTGGTTTACTGTCTCACTCGCTTGTCTGTCTCACTCGCTTATCATGTACGTTAGTTTTATATGGAAATAGTGCCAAGTCCGTAGGTTAATATTAGGTAAACGATGTTAATTGCATTATTGAATGCCGCTTCATTTTCAGACGTCCATGTTGCGTCGACGAGGCCTGCTATTTGAGAGTGCTGGGCAGGATCTTCATAAAATCAGAAGCCACTCTGTCATCCAATGTGGGCGAAATTAAAAATGCGGTCAGGTAATTCTTGCTCAATCTGAACCAAATTTTAAATGACATTTTGTGAGCTTCAATGACCTTCTGAATTGTTATTGATGTTTGAGACACACTTTTTGATGCTCAACGCAGAATACCTCAAGGTATTGGGCCAATATTTTACCTTTTTTCCAATATGGGCCGTTTACTATTGTTGGTTGTGTTGAGATCAAAATAGCGGGAAAAAAAAAAAAAAACTCTGGCAAATCTCAGTTTGATAGTGAATAACATCGTGAACAACACAGATTCACCAAAGCCAAGAGATCACAAGGCCAAACTCGGGTCAAATTTTGAGGCTGCGCGAGTCAAATTCACCTTGTCACACAGCGGGTAAGCCATGCCTTCAGCCTCGTCCTACCAGAGCAGAGACTACTCACAATGTGAACTGGGTATGTGCACCGGTGATTATCGAACTTACTGTCTGACGACCGAAACCTAACTTAAATAAAACTTAAGAATACTAGAAGCGAGACAGAGCTTGATGTGAAATCTTAGCTGAAAATGTACACTGAGATTGCTACACTGCAGTACTAGGTGGATCACATGGTTCTCCTGAGCCTTGACGGGAAGAAGGAAGGGTTGCCCGTCTCCTCGCACACGGAGAACCGTTCAACGAGGAGATTTTATCTCCATCTGGAGCTTAAGCTGCGTTTGCCGGGTTATCCCATCGAATGCCCCGTGACGGCATTTTCGGCAAGTCAATCGGGGATCTCATGCCCATTGGTTTCAATAAATCATAAGCCGAGCTTTCCGATTTTTTTTCCTTTTCTCTAATTTCTAGGTATGTCGGAGATACCGGTAATCTCTGTTAAAACAGAAGCTTAATCAGAATACCTTGCAAATGAACATACATGGTTAGAACCTCGTAATGCTTATATATGTGTCGATTGAAGTAAGGTACCCGGGAAATGTGGCCAAGTTTCCCAGGCTTAGCAAGTATAGTGTCTTCTGGCATTCGATGGGATATGACGAATACGATTAGTGGCCAACAAGTGGATTATGAACGACACCGCCTCTGTGAAAGTCAAGATGTGCCTTACGAAAGTTTTGGTTCTCTTGGGCTCTCTGCTTTTTGCCCTCTCTTTAAGGCGTCTTCCTGGCGTGCCGCAACACTTTCTTGCCCAAATGCTGCCGCCTCGCCCAGCTGCTCACCCTAATGTGGCCGCATGTAATATTTCGATTCCTGCCAAAGCTGGGCTCAAGGCGAGCTGGCGAGTATAGCGAGCGGATGAGACGACCAAGGAATAAGTGTGTTGGTTCAAGCGCTAACAATTGATAGAATTCTCTTCAAAAGAAAAGGCAGTAACGGGATAAACAGGGATTACTACCACTTTGTAAAAAATTGATTGCGATCCAGGATAGCAAGTCACTTGGGTTTTGTTTTTTTGTGAGATTTGTAAAGACGTATAATTGCCTGGTATGAGCGACCTGACTGAATTGATCGCACTTGGGAAAATTAATAGGTATAAGAGCGGCACATACCTACGACAAGCGAGGTAATTAAGAGCGAGCAGGGAAATATGTACGCTACTTATGCCCCAAAGCTTGTTACAAGTATATTCAAACGACAGATCACTTATAAATAGTCCTCGCCTCGACTTGTCTCCCTTACGAGTTTTAACTGGAAATAAGACTTCGTGCTATGAGCGGGTCGGTACAGGCAATTGCGCCACAAAGCGTAAACTCGGCAATGTGGATGCCGCATCATTATCCCCTGCTCATAACTTTATATGTGCGCTACCGCTACACAGGGGCCAGTTGTTCCCCGGATTGTAGTACTATTACTGTATTTTGTATTGAAGGGGCTCAGGGAGATTTGGTCCTCTGGAAGTGTGGCTCGGTGCTGTGAACATATACAGACTACTCCCTCTGGAGCCATCTACAGATGTCTAATCAGGGCGATCTCGGCAACAGCAGCCGATCTGACTGCTGCCTTACTAAAGTACAGCCGACCCCTTTTCTAACCCACATTTCCCCCTCGTAACAGAAATACATAATGGTACGTTGTATACATCAGTATTTTCCGAGCCAGAATTACTGTAAAGTTTGTAACTCAAAGGTTCCCTGTACTGCCACGATACCTAGAAGATTGGCAAGAAGAGGATTATGATTAAATTATTCGGCTCGCTATGGAGAGACTCGGCTGACCTTTGAGAAGCAACAGCCACTTATGTGAATGTACTTTAGTCAGTCCGCATTCGAGGAGTGTGCTGCGGCAGTGTATGGAAATGACTTAAAAGGAATGGCATTGCTCTTCAAGCCATCTGCGTAACGCCACAATCGCCTCTTCGCTTGCGTATGAAAATACATCTCATCCACACTCGCTATCTTTAGGCTTAGCCCTTATTACATTCATTTTAGGTTCTCTGTGTTACTATTCTCCTGCTGCAGAAATGCTTCTGACAAGTCTGGTTTACTGGTTGCTGCTCGATCTTGTCGATGCTCAGCACCAACGATCCCTTACGACCAAGGGTAGGCAACATTCGAATTCCTCAATTCCATTCAAGGCAGAATCAACTTCTTTTCGGCCACAGACATCAAGTCAAGCTGTTCAAACTGCAAACCATACTTCTCGCTCTAAATTAAGGCCATCGAATTCATTGCCAATTTCATTGTCTTCCGGCTTGACTTCTCACAACATTAGGACAACTCTACACACTACAGCGCCTTCGACATACACATCAGCCACCAGCTCAACGGCCCCTCTTACCACCTCTGTCTCACATGGGGAAAAATTAGTCATTCCGCTGGTCGCCGCAGCGGCGGGTGTTGTAGTCGTGGGAGGCGTTGGTGGTGGCTTTGTCGCATTCGGAACAGGCCCCGCTGTCGCTGTAGGAGCCGGGACGACAGTAGAGCTTAACCCTGACAGTGGCTCTGACAACGGCGACGACCATCCCGACGAGCGAACTCTTTCCATGATACCTGTCAGCGCCACGGCAGAAAGCCAAGCCACCAGTGTCAAAGCCACAGCTACCATCAGCTCTTCAGCATCCAGCTCGTCAACATCGCAGCCTAGTCAAGCCCCGACAAGCTATATCATTTTTCCAAAGGAGGCAGTTGCCAATGATGCAACACAAAGGGCTGCCTTGGAAGCTTTCCTCAAGCCGTTCGCCCAACCAGGCACTTTCGAGATTCTTGCGGAACTATATGGCTTTAAAGTTGTTATATACGTCCTGGTCACGACTGAAGAGAATGCATCCAAAATCGCTAGCGACAAAAGGGTAGGTCCTTGTCAAAATTTCAAAAAAGAGTCTAGGTTTTTCTAACGGAGTTTATGGTAACAGATAGACCTCGTTGAACTAAATACCGATGCTTCGAAAGATTTTCCAAAGTCGTCAAACCCACCATCAAGTCCACCCCCAAGTGTCGTTCAAGAGGACTTCGGGGATGTCATCGTAGACAAGGCCGCCCAGAGTTTCCTGAGAATGATGTCAATGCCTCCAGGGCTTAGCGACTTGGGCGCCAAGCTTGACGAAATGCCGGGATACGCGTACCCTAAAGAGGCTGGCGAAGGGGTGACGGTTTACCTGATCGACAGCGGTGCTAACCCAGACCACGATGAGTTCAAAAATGCAAAGGGAACCAAACGTTGGATTTTTCCTACTAATGAAAAGAGAGAGACTGACGAGCAAGGTCATGGGTCATGTGTTCAATCGCTAATTAATGGGCCTGCCTTTGGAACCGCCAAGAAGGCCGATCTTGTCGTTGTCAAGGTTGGCGAAATTCCAAGGTTGAGTGTCGTTTTATCGTCTCTTCTCCTTATCCACAACGACGTCGTAGAGAAGAAGTTGCAAGGCAAAGCGGTCATAAATCTTTCATATGGCATTCAGTTACTCGTCCTAAAAAGCAACACCGCCGGTGTGCAACCGGGTTTTAAAGATCCAGACACAATCGATGCTTTTGAAACAGTCTTAAAACTGCTCATTGCCGAAGACGTTGTTCTTGTGACAACCTCTGGCAACCAGAGGGATCAACCCAATGGAGGCGAATTTGTTACTGGGTTCCCAGGTTATTTCGGGCGGGATATCGACATAATTACTGTTGGCGCAGTCGACGAGGCCGGCAAGCAAACAGAGTATTCTCAGGGCGTGCCCCGAGAACTTGACACCTCCGCTATCGGCCGCACTCTTTGCGCATACAACGTTGGCAACAAGGACGCCATAAATGAAGGCACATCGATGGCGGCGCCGTTGGTTAGCGGGATGGTTGCGGTGTTCCTCAGCCAGGCCGAGTACCGGGAGCGGCTACAAGTGCCTGGAAAGGTTGCTGCCAACGTTAAACAGTTGGTCCGCGAGCTTTCGTACAACCGCGGAGGCGGTGGGGACAGAGCGGTCGCTTGGAACGGCCTCGACGTTTTCTCATGTGGAACGGCCTCCAGGTCGCTCCGTGCTCGTGGCGAGTCCTGCGCCATCAACGCGACCACCTCGACATTTACAACTCTCACCTCCACGGCACCACCGGCCAAGATTACCACAACTGCTTTGGTTTCAACTTCGACTCACGCCAAGCCAAGCGTTAGCACCAGCATTCCCGCTACTCCAAAGGTCGAACCTGTGCCTTGTTACAATTTCAACGACAAGGCATACGGATACTGCTGTCCCGACGCAGACAATCCATGTGAACATGATCTTGGTAAATGTTACTTACCATTCACCGGAGAGGGCGTCGGTGGCGGCGACAACGGTATAGTGCCAACAGGAGCAAGATGCCCACCTCCAGAGGGTGCCCAAATATGCACTGGCGCTTGTAATCAGTGATCAGCGTTAGGACAATGCTTTTTTTTGACGGCGGGCGGCGAGATGGTTTTCATTTGAGCTTCGCCGGACCGACATAGCTGGTCGGACTTGACATTATGATCAATATCGGCGCCGATGGTAATCACAATTTGTAAACACCGGCCGTCTCCAGCAGCCCCTCACACGGTTAGACAAGAAGAATATACAGTTACCCAAAATATCGTGACTCTTGTCCGAAACCGCGCCCAGTTGCGAAACCCCGAACATGGCTATTACTGTGATACCAACAACTAACCTATCATTATTGCTCTTATCAGCCTGCCAAAGATTTCGTTAGCTGCCATGGAATTGTCATATTGCTTCAAGACGACTTTCTAGCTATCCAATTGATCGGTTATTAGATTGTGTTGTGACACAGTTCTATGCTCCGATTTCGAAAATGCCCTTTTCGCGGTTGGCGATGCTTTACCTATGAGCCTTACCCGTCCTTGGCGAGAACAGTGCCGTGTCAATCTGACGTCCCACCCATGTAGCCCCTGCGTGAGATGGGAAACTGGAAAGGTAAATAGGGATGTTCTAAAGTAATTCCGTACTTGATGTGATACGTTAGGAGACAATACAAGACTGAGCCGTGATCTTCCTGCCCGATTCGTCCACCTTGAACCAGAAACTGCAGGTTTACAAGTTTAGGTTTGATGTGACGAGAACTTTCAATGCCGTGTGCCGATTGACGTTGTGTAATTCCGTTGTGTTCTGGCGAAAATTACCCACCCAATTCTTACCGAGGGCGGGGTAAAGCCAATAACATCTATTTTTTTCAATAATGCCTGTGAATACTAACCTTATCAAAAGCTCAGATATCAGTCATTTTGGAGTACAAATGGATACTTCCTTGCCTGAGCAAAATGAGGATCATCCGCACGGGGTGGGATGGACACAAGAAGGCTTAGACTAGCACTCCCGAACAGCCGGTTGGATTTTTAGGTTTGAAGCACCGTCCGCGAATATTAATTGATCTGTCTTTAGGAGTTTAATTAATCTTGCAGGTAGGAAGTCCTTGCTTCGAGGCTTGTAGTAGCGAGTCTCATGTCCTTGCTGATACCTTTGGCAGTCCTGTTGAGCGTGGTAGCGCATTCGGGAGTACTGAGTCGATATATCCTAGCATCCCTGGTAATTTGGTATTGCTTGGTGCCTATAAGTCGTAGTTTTATTTCTTTATTAACGGCTAGAGAACCTCAGGAATTATCATGTGATGTTGGTGAACCGAGATCGGATACAAGAATCTCGGCATACGCTACGAGGCACGAAAATGTCTTGTCATTAAGCAATTCAAAGACATTTGATCCTAACCTCTTCTGTTAGTAATTTCCTATTAACATCAGGTTGGTCCCAAAACTGTCAGGCAAGAAAGTTGAGATGGTGTGCACTCGGCTGGGCATTACGCCGTTCGCGCTATCTGGAACAATTTCTGGCGTGACTCTTACGGCGCAACAACAGGGTAATAACCCTTCGTTCACTAGCATATGGTTTTCTGGTGCTAAATTGCTGGGAATAAATTCAAGCCACTCGTTGTCTTTGATGGGTATTGGTTGTGGTTGGCAATACGCCAACGCTCGTCGGGAGGCTGGCAAAATTTATCGCATGTAAAGTCTTCTCTGTGGAAGAAACTGCGTCCGCAGGTGTTTACGATAGCCCTTCGGGATGATATTTTTGGTCCCCGAGCTTTCCCGTGGTTAACGGTTAAACCGGCAATCTAGTAGCCTGAGCATGACTCAAAACTAACGGGCAATCCGAACCAGTAACTTACAGATTTGTTGGACGTGATATTGAACGTATAGAGTGTAGGCCGTCAATGAGTTTTAGAGGTCGACTAATACAGGCTTCATTGAATCTATCTATCTTCACCAATTCGCATTATGCATTGAGATAAAATACGGTGACCGAGATAAAGAGTGGCATGATGTCGAGTTAGTAACGATAGGCATGCAACTCAAGAAATCCGAACTTCCATCTCCATTCTGTAATCCAACTAATTACGAACAAATCCTACCGCCATAACAATCGTTGATGCTTCCTTAGTAATCCTAAACAAATAAGCATCAAACTCTACATGTGATTTCTATTGTTCAGTACATAAGGGCTCCGGCATTTCGGCCCAACACAATGCGTAGAGTTGTGCCGGTATACCCGTTCTAATCTAATAACTGAATGCCGGTATCCGATCGCCTGCGAGTTTACCATCCACACGGTACATGTAATGTTTCAATACAGTATAACAAGGGGTTGCGGATGTTATTGTATGGGTAAATGTATTGTAGTCACATACACCTGGCAAGATAGTAGCCTACTTGCGTTGCCTAAACAAACCGATGGGGTTTGCAAACGAGAGCCGATGGTAATACGTGAAGGGAGCCGTTTTTCTAAGGGAAGTAGTATGGTAAATTTAGCACCTGCAACGGTGCTGCGGATGGCTCAAACTTTTCAGCAAGCTTGGGAAGATTTCACTTCGAACATGGATCATGCAACTAAACCTGACTCCCCCGTGCTATCTCGTCACACAGTTTCTACAATAACCTAAATATGTTGGGTCTAGCTCTAGGATTATCTGGGTAGGCAGGTTTGGGAAGGGTCGTTTATTGTACGCAACAGTCTCAGACTCAGTGTCGTGCTAACAGAAAGATTTCGAGATTGATTTAAATGCAGGCAGGCACAGGGTTTGATAAAACATACCCGGTTGTATCATCAATGAAGGTTCCGGTGTTTCCGGGCTGTTAACATCATAAAAGCATTATATAAGTGGCCGTATGCCCTCAATTTTATTTTCCGTCTTGGTTGGATTATGCTACTTCTATTAAAGTCTCTTCTTCTATACTTTAGAAATTCCTGTATCAGCATTGTTAAACTAACACTATTCTGCTGTAACTTGCTTCATAAGTAGCAAATTAAGAAAAGAAAGGCATAACAAAATGCAGCTTAGGGTTGTGTTTTTGTTTATTTCTTTGATATCAGTGTATGCACCAGCCTGTAATTCCTATCCTGTCAGTAAAAATATCAGCTAATGCGTTAGAAACTCCTGCTTTTAGAGCCTCTGCCGATCTTTTCGTATTTTGTTGCGGCCAGGACGGCTCACAACACAATGGATTAACGAGAAGTTGTTGCGGCAAAAACAAGTTTGAGGGTGTAAGTGTACCCATAAAACCTGTTCAGAAAAGCTATGAAGATACGGGGTCCGACCCCCGTATCTTCACGTGTAATTCGCAAAGTGCTAGTAACCCGGAGAATATATCTGTTTGATCTCAAGACTAATTAAAATCTGTTTCGGCAGACTGGTTGCGTTATATTATCTGGACAGAGTAGGGCTGGTTTTGATAGCTGCTGTAGGGGCCAAAAGGGCATCAACTCCTGTCCTCAATAGAGACAGGTTGATCAGGCCCATTGCTCCAACCGGCACAATTAGGTAATATGCGGCGCAGCTATGTAATTCAGAACAGGGGATAATAAAAACGGATTTGTCATTACTTAAACCCATGCTTTGTGCTCATGAGAGTTGAGTAATTTGCACAAATGATCGTATATGTATGCTGTCTCGCCTAGTGCTCTTCTCCGTTGAGTACAAGCAATACAAGCAGAGTTATTCTTCCGTTTATCCACTGTGTGTTGTTTCCATGGAATAGAAGTATTATTCCTATCTTCTTTTTTCGAAGACGCGATCGACTGGCAACAGAGGAGCGGGGCGACGTTCGAGGCTGAAAGCCAGCCATCATCCATTTCACTCGTAAGGACTACACGCTCGGCGCTGAACTTGCCGGGCGGTACTAAGACTCGAGATGCGCTCCGTCGGGAAACATGGAGGCGGGCCTTGGCACGATCAACGTTGTATCTAATGCGGGCGAAACCAGAGGAACGAAACAGCCAATGCGACAAACACGAAAGCCGACAATGAAAGCCAGACTGACCCATGGAAAGACTGCAGGCTTCTAACTATGTAATCAAATAGCCCAGCGGGAAATTTCTTACAGAGGTCGGCCAACAGGGGCGCTCCTGCTACAAGAGGAAGGACCAGATGACCGCCGATGACCATCGAGCACTGGTCTTGGCCATGGGAAAGCAGATGAACGAGCTGCATGCATAGTTCCAGTTGATTTTCGATATATGGAAAACTCGATAAACTTCAACTAAATTGCGAACGGAAGAGGAGCTCTGATCAACGAAAGATAACCTGCAAGTGCTGAAGCAGCAAGTATAAGGCGACAACACGACGACGCACCAGAAGCACGGTGGGGGATCAGAAGGATGTTGTGGGTCAACGAAGAGGTCGAAGTTGAACAAGTACCCATACCATCTCCGGACATGACCGCACGCATTCTTCGACTCTCGTGTCGTCGAGTGCTGGTCGTGTCAGTGTACGTACTGGCAAGGGCAATAACACGAGGTACGATACACCAGGCTGCTTACGGATCGGGCCATCGGGCGACTGAGTCAAGCTTCGAAGTTGCGATGCCACAAACTAATGCCAATCAGTGCTGTTAATTTTAAAAAAGCTCCGTGGAAGATGATCAACAAATTGAGACCCGGCTACCACAAGTTCCCACCGAAGGAACAGCAGCTAACGATCCGGCTAACACTGGTACTGTGCGAGCCGATTGAGGCGCTGACACCGACGGCTAAGCCTGAGTACCCCTATTAAGCTATTGAAACTTGATTGCACAGCTCATCCTCTCTTCCTCGCAGCTCATACAACCTTCACACGTGCCCACATACACTGTTGGAACGCAGGTAATGATAGCGTGACTCAGCCAAATTGGCAGTCTACCAAAGCATTACTTGTCAAGCCACCCTGCCCATAGTATAGTCATCTATCGCCAAACATTTCATAAAGAAGGACATAGACCCCCGGCTTACCCACCGGAACCGGCAGTATACTTCCAACAGGTAGACTGCTCAGACGTTTTAACTTTTATGTTGCTCATCACTTAGCCATAAATACATGACGCGGTCTTCAACAGGTCCAGACCTGTGACTTATAAACTTTAAACCTACTCTACTACTGGTTTTGGGATAGAAAGACGAGTTCTCTTACGTCGACATTACTACATAATATTGTGTTTGCAACCAGTTGTTGTAGTAACTACAGATCAGACAAGAAGATTCACTCAGAATAGGGCAGAAAGCCGTCTCTGTTTTCTCAACGCACAAAACTTTATGGAGCAGTATCAGCCACAGGTGCAGCATTTGAACATCGCTTGCTAGGTATCTGTACCTGATGGTCTCCTGGTAACTCCTAGTTAGAACAATGTGGGACCCATAGTAGGGTATATCATCCACGCGACTCATGAGACAAATCGTGGGTGCAGTGCCACCAATCTCTCACCAAAGAGATACCCTTTACAGGCCCTAGTATCGAATCAGAATAATGGACTGCACTGTGTGTATTTGAATTGTGTTACGCATGTTGTAGCTAACTCTTATGTGGCCGGCGACCCATCGTCTGTGCGTTCTAGAATGACTTTGAAGATACTGCTCAGGTTTGAAGCGAACTTCTGCTCGCCCAGTCGGGCTATCGTCTCCGGTGGCTACAAGACCTGCAAATGTAGGATTCCTTGCGGGCCAGTCCCGCAGACACCCTCTACGCTTATAGGTACATGGATGAAAAAAATATGATTGCAAGTTGGGATTCGACCGCTTGACCAATACAGTAGAGGAGATTATACAGTACATCAGACCCACATGGGAACCGGGTTCATAACAACGCGGCATCACGGTAGGGTAAAACACTCAATGACATTAATCTATTGATGAATTATAGCGAGCATTGTTTTCTCTGTTGTGAGTATGGCTTGGAGTATAAAACGGAGGATTTGTCCGCGTTTTCTGAACAACCAGGTTCTCCAGTCACTTTTCTATATTAAATCTTGAGTAATGGTTCCAATTTCAGCTGCCGTCACATTGCTCGCTTACCTTGCTACTGTAGAGGCCTGTCATGGGTTTTTCCAGTGCAAGTATAGTGATGGAAGCCATTGTTGTGTAAGTGGAACACTTTGAGATTCATAAGAAGCCTGAACTAATTCAATAGGTGGTGTCTTCCGATTATGGCAGGGACAAATGCCCTTCCTATTGCAATGGCGGCACCGCGTGGCCTCCAGAGTGTGTTACCCCATTGACTGGCAAGGGGCGTAAGGCGTATGTTGTCATTTGATATTATGTAGGGAGTCAAAGGCTTACAGAGTATTTCCAAGTTGCCCCGGCTCGGGAGGCGGTGTTTGAACGCCAAAAACCGAAAATTTTCGCTTCACCCCAGCAAAAAAAGAAACTTGTAGTCCCAGTCATTCAAATCCAGGATCAGCGTGGTTGAGCTTGATATTAGCAAGTCCTTTTTACTCTATCTGCAAGGTTCAACTTCGTGGAGATGGCAGAAACAATCATCCTCAACCTTAGATAATACTGAAATGGCACTAGTAGAACTGAAGAGCACTTCAACACAATCGACAGTTCAATAAATATCGGTATTAATTATCTGTTAAAATCTGCTTGCTGAGACTGTTTCACTACGATTTCACCCGTTTTCACGTTTTCAAGTCTGCCTTTGATAATTACTGAAGTATCTAATCTGGATTCCACCTCTGGCAACTGTCTTTGGAAAGCGACAGATAACACAGGTTTAGTGCAACTTTGTGCTGATGTGCCCTGTAGGTGCAAGGGAGCCTAGTAGACGATTTGGTAAGATGCATAGATAGATTCGGTCGTCTTCTGCGGGCAAGAGTTTATGACCGAGTGAGCCTCGCTGCAAATGTCAAAGCCGGATCTGCCCTTTACATGCAGAACAATTTGGTTCATGTGAGACTGACACCCTCGGAATATTCCTCCGATGTCTTTGCTAGTCCGTTTTGCGATGAAAGATCGGCGCCAAGCAGAAGTCAAAGATGTCAGCAGCAACACTGAAGACGCAGGTTTGTGACCTGTCTGACCCACCTTAATGTTGATACTTAAAGACAAATGCGCAACCCGTGGTTTTTTTGGACTTACAGGTGCTTTAGATGGCGTTGAGAGCGCAAAGTTGCGCAGCAATGGGCTACATAGCTATGAGAACAACACATGTGATGTTGGAAGATGAAGGTCATCAGAGTCTTGTTATTCGACTGTGATTCGTCATCACTAACAGTAAAATCAGAACTAAAAATTGACAACTGTCTCAAGTCATATTTTTGTATTCATCATCTTCAATAAAGTCACTTACTGTTCTAATTGTCTCTCAGTCATAATTGGCAGAGTAAACTTTCCAACGAGTCAGAAACTTGCAGTCGAGACCTGCTGAACGATCTCACAGTCAAAGCAGATAAGGTTGACGCAAGGCACACATTCGGCATGGAATTTGAATAACGTAATGCAATGGCCTGCAACGTGAGAGGTGGAGAGCCCATTGCCTGTCCCTTCATTGCTCTTCTGACAGTGGAGGCTGGTGCTCGGGGCCTGACTGGATGCGCTGTAAGCCATATCCCTGATAGGGATCACGCCGCCCTGGCCCCGGCACTTAGCTTCACAAACGATAATGGAAAAGCTCGTCGACAAGATCTGTATGCCATTTTTCATTGTAATTTTTCAGCAGTGAGTAGGTGTTTCCTGCTTGTACCTAAGGGCTGTCTATTAAAGTTATGAAGAGGCGAGGACCTCCGCCCCAGAGCGAAGCCCTTTGCAGTCATCAAAAACAAGAAGATAATGATAAAACCTACTTATTTAGCCCTTGACAGCTACGAAACGCACAGGCTCCGTAGGGCTACATCTCACAGTTATAAAGGGCAGCATAAGTAAGGCTAACTAGTAAGTTCAAGTTAAAGGGGTAAGTATTTAGCACAACTGACCTAATAGACGTTTCAAAGAAATACCAATATGTCATAGCTCTTATCTGATCAAATTACGGCTTTCATTCCGAAGCGTGTCTACGCCCCTAAGTGTAATATGTTCCCAACAGTTTGTGATACATCCCTATCAATTTGCCATTGTGTACTCGTCTAAATGGCCGCACTCCTTGCGTCATCACTTGGAGGGACCTTTCTTAGGTTTTGGGTCTTTCTTGGGTTTTGGGTTTTTCTTGGGTCCTGGGTCTTTCATAGATTTCGGATCTTTCTTGACCTCAGAACCTGTTGGCGTTTGTGGCTCCTTCTTCTTTCCTGGTCCACGGATATCGACACATTGTTGAATAGTGGGGTCCCATCGGCAATAATAAGGCGCTGAGGCAACGCATGCAAAATAGCTGTTATACTGAGGCTCTTAGTACAAGGGTTTCGTGCTGTTAAGTCATATACGAAGTAGAAGAAACGTACCTGACCGCATGACCCGTGAGGCTCGGCACCTACAATCCCACCTCTTCCTTTACTAAAACATCCACCTCTTCGCTTAATAGTTGAATTTGTATCTTTCATCGCGAGCTCAAAACCCCGGGGGCATTTGCAGCCCCCGCTCTGCAAATCGCAGTGCTTTGGACCTGCACTGCCACGATCATGATGGCAGAATCCTTCCTGGTAGAAAACATCAGTTAGCTTTATTAAAGACTTGCAATCCGCTCTCTCTGACATATACACTTGCCACCAGCATCACATAGGCATGGTGTACACAGTGCCACGTTATTACAAAACCCAGGGTCGTCAGCAAGTACTTTGATTCCAATACCGCTGCTTGTCAGCGCAATGAGTAACGCCTGTAGGTAGAGCATTAAATTTGTAGGATATAGCCGCCCTCATAAAGAAGTAGAAGTGTTTATCGGTATTTCCGACTCAGGGGTAGAAGGATTGGTCGTGGACGACGTGATGCAGACTTCTCTTCTTATACTCTGTCATGTTGAGAAATCCATACTCTTGTCTGGCCATGCTGCCGCCTGGACCAACCTAAATCGTTGAGTCCAGAACGCCCAAAACTTAAGGCGGCTTAACGTGGAGGGATAGATACACATGCCAATCGAAGCCAGAGACAACTGTCAAGATACAAGACAAACTCCAAAAAGTCATGTAGCCTTCCATGTAAGTTGCATCGTAAGCCGTAACGTAAGCGGCAACGTAAGTCTTGATCTACTAGTTGGATGCAGGGTCTCTTCCGTCAGGAAAGACTCATTTTCCAAGGTACGAAAGCGCTTCCCGCTTCTAGTCTCTCGCGGCCACCTTCTTTTCATTGGTGGACCAGAAAAGACATTCAGTTTTTCATGTCCGATGGCAGATTCGGCAGGCTAACTAAACCCAATTGCATATATTTCTGACTTCATGACCTGGTTTCCCCGAAGTCTAGAATGCCTCCACTTTCTCCTTAATTCTCCGATTGTGCCCTCTCGCCGCGGATCTCCGCGGTTTAGTATATTGTTAACATGCCATCTTGAAGACCATCCTCCAAGACTTGACGTCTTACCCATGGTAGCGAAGGCAGTGCCTGCTGTATATAGTACAGGTTGTTACGTAACTAGAGTTACAATAGCTCGATTGGTTAGGCATTCTTGGCTTTTTTCGGTTACCTTGCGTCCAGACCGCTTGTTGCTATATAGCACAAAGCGTTGTATCGCTCGAATTCTCGCGTTTTTAGCATCTAGGTCTTCATTGGCTCCCGACGGGCTCCGGCCTCCAATGCGTATGAACGGGTAGAAAGTATCAAGCGATCACCACAAATCAAACCCACCAAATGAAGATACAATGAGGGCACCTCTTCCATAGTCAGGATACATAAATATTGGCGGTACCAAATATCTGCGCTATTTAGTTCGCTAGAAAAGTCTTGGCTGAATTCTTACATGCTAGTTCCCCTCATAGGTATGTACATGTTGCCTCCTCGCAGTCGATGGGATAAACACCAGCATTAACATCAGGGACAGCTATCAGAAGTAGAAGTCTGACTAAAGCACTTAACAGAAGTCTACCTAATTAAGAACTCAAAGTCCGTATGCGCTATGACGAGAATTACCACAGTCGTAAGCAGCGGATGCTTTATCCTAATATCTTTAGTTTATAATGTTAAAAGTCAAATTACAGAGGTGCCTGTCGATAGCATTGACTTTGAGCGGCAAGCTTCAAGAAACCCTGCTACTATGTCAATATCAAAAGTTCCGGAGAAAATACCTAAACTCTACTACTAAACTTTCCATATTCCCGGCGACTCTGACCCTAAACTTCTAGCCTCCGACGGCCTTCTTCATCTTGAAGTTATTTTAACTGAACTCTACTGTTGACGATAACCTAGTTTCGGCTAGTCGGATCTAGGAAGCTTTGTCCTTCAGCAACAAAAACAAAACACACACACACGTTGTTACGCCCGGCCCGGGGGCCAAGCCGGAAGGACAACTAAAGCTGGTTACACGTACATTTCTGACTTTATGCCCCGGTATACCTTACTCTTAATACAGTCCGTTGGGAGTTTGTGGGCAAAACCATTTCCATTACGTTATGTTTAACACACGTAGGCATTAATCGACATGCAAAGCGAAAAAGGACAAACTCTCATGATGTGACAGGGACGGTGGGCTTGAAATTTCGGGACAACCAGTAAATCATCAGTTATTTTCAACGCGCCCATCGTTCTAGTCATTTTTACTATTAATCACCTTTGGTTTCACACCGAAGCCTCACACTGAAGCCTCACACTGAAGCCTCACACTGAAGCCTCGCACAATAAAACGATGTAATCCATTCCGTAGGGATGAGAACCGCAGTGGGTAGATTTTATATGATCAAACCAGCTCTAGAATGACTCATTAATATTGTCATCGGCGGCAAACGAATGTTTTAATTCTAACTTCATGTTCCATTCCTTCCCTTGTTTGTCTTTCTGGTCTAGAGTATCGATTGCTTGTGCTTCAATGCCAGCAGAATCAGGCGCAAAAGGACTCAAAACATTTCCCAAAATGACCCCATCCCTCAACAGTGCAATACCGCAGCCGATCAAGCACGGCATACAAGTCTTCCATTATCGTTGTGAAGATGGTGATCTGTGATATTGTCAGGATAAGGCAGCCAACTCTGTAGCAACTAACATACTTAAGTAAACTAGATTCGAATGCTTGCCACCTGCACCGTTTCCACAATTGGCACGGAGTCCTACACCCTGATTCCCAGGGATGAGGACTTCGAGGCGAATATTATCACACGAACGCTCGAATCTCCCACTTGGAGCAAAAGTGTGATTGTCAACTTTCAGCTTCTGGGATCCCGTGTTCTTAAAGGGTAACACTACTTACCCTGGGCCATACACAATGGTGCCTCGCAAGTTCTGGAAGCAGTTCCCTAGGTCGATGTTGGTCCTGGAATAGCCCCCATCAACCCGCCTACAATCACAGGCGAAGTTGATAACATCTCGACCGGAGAAGCAATTTCGACAGCTTCCCGCGTATGAGGCAGCCGTTCCACTGACTAACAAAACAGGGAGGAGTAAATAGTCGAATCTCATTGTGTCGTCTGAGAATGTAGTGATACTGCTGGAGTGTGCAAAATTGTAAATCGGGTTCGCCCCATGGCCCTTTTTATGTTAAGCTTGTCCACTCAAACCAGAGGTTAGAACACAACTGGGTTTGATTCTCAAAGTACATGTTCGGTTGAAGCGGCTAGACTGTACAAGAAGGGTTCATCGGGCTCGCCGATGCTCCACGACGGACGATTCGCCAAAGAACGACTGAGATCGAATGATGGTTGTTACCGGATGGCTAGAGCCATATGCCTCAAGAGCCAAGGTGGATGATGTGGATGTATCGGTGGCAATTCTGGAAAGAATCAACCATGAGTTGGGACTTTGATAGAGTTTAGGGACTTCTGTTCATGTAGGCTCAAGACAATTGTCTTGACACCTTCCGCAAAAGACAGGTGAACCAGGATTAGCGAGACGTAAGTCAACAATACTTCTATGGCATTGGCGATGGTTTGGGAACTTTCGTTAAAATTTGACCCAAGACCATTGCCTCGAGAGCCCCACTAAACGACAAAAGAGCATCGCAAGAGTGCGGCTCAGCACATAGTCCACCTGATGTGAGCAGCAAGGTATGGACTACTGGGTAGTATCCGCTATCCGCCAGGAGCACTTGCTGGGAAGTGAATCTTTAAATTTGCATACAGAAAGTTAGTTCAATGTGTAGCCAGACTTTTCCCACCCTGGCTTGACGTTATTGAACGGGCTCATCAGTGCCTTGAGTGTAACCAGTAATATGGGTCACTTGTCCTAACGAAGGCAAGTCAAGATTGTTACCGCTCCGCTTAGCAAAACCAACAGCCAAGGATAGTTGTCAAGGAACAATGGCAAGGCCATAAATCACAGGAGCAGCATCGGATCAGGCATCATTCACCATGTTGGCTTAAGCGAGGAATTGTGTATGCCGTTTGGTGGGTTCCTAGACAAATTTTGTATTTAGAGCAACTGCCTAATAGAGTCCTAGTGGCCAACGTAAAAGTTTATCAGATGATGATACGTACTTTATATTCGACGAAAGTCCCAAACTTGTTCGGTACATCGGCAGGTTCCTTTATCCCCTCTCAAGTTTATTACTCATCTAAAACATTATTAATTTCAATTTCCTCATACAAAATATCTAGCTTCTGTAGCCGAGGAGATACATTCATGTCCAAGTAAATTTCCGTTGGTTTACAAATCCTAGATCCCCGACATACGCTAAGTCCACCAAACTACCTTTCCCTTGAGGCGTCGAGCATCTTACAAGCAACGAATATCTATTCCTGAATTCATAATAACTAGACCTAAGCCATTTACTTCTCATGCTCTGCAACAGTAGTTGTCCGTTTTGCGTCTTGCACGACTAACGCGGCTTCCAGCTTCCGGGCCATTCGCGCAAAGACTGCTGTCATAGCCTCAGTGATGAGTCCCCCAAATATCCCACTGTATGACCAGAAGATGCGACGAGTAGTACTGCTCCAGCCGATGGTAGCGCACGTAAATACCGTACTGATACCGAATCCCGTCACGGCGGCAGTGAAGAACAATCTCCTTTTGATTGGACCGATACATTGAAGTTGAATGGCGAAGTGTAACAGACAGACAAACATGACTAGCGAGAGAATGAAGGTGAAGAACAACATATCATTAGGGGTGGCAATTGTCTCATCTCCGTAGGCTAAAGCACCCAAAATGGCCCAAGATGCAAACGAAGCTGAGAAAAACCCCATAGCTACCCCTAGGTCGGCCGACATTATTGACCTCTAGGTAGTTGTATGTTTTGATGGCAGAAATGGTATAGAGTTGTGTTTTGTGGGTTTGTTGAGCCAAAAGGCGAGAATGCGGTTTGGTAGGAGGAGACTGTTGGATTAACACAGCAGGCATTAAGTCTAACAAAAAGCTCAATCGGTATGGAAGCCGAAGAGTCGAAAGACTTGGCTATATAAAAGGGGGTATTTAGGACGCCGAAAGTAAGAAAGGCTCAACTTCTCTTATGTGGGCCGTGATCAAGCTCCGCTTTTATAATTTCGTCACTTTCATGTACGCATCGAACTTGATTTAATGGAGTAAAAAAACTGTCATATGACTGAAATGTAATTTGCCCAGCTACACTTTATCTGAGTTGGAGTGAAGAGAGTAATGAAAAGCCATATCTGTTTTATGTCCTTGTCATTTCTCGTTCCATCAGCCAAGTAACAACAACTAAGTCATTGTGGGTCGGGCTAGTACTCTTTGATAGCCCGGCAGGGCACTAAGAGCCAACACGAGAGGCAAAGTCCTGGGCGCTACCACACAAGACATACGTCCTTCCGATTTCCCGTCTCCAAGCAAAAGCTGACCTTGGCTTCATAGATGGCCTGCCCAGACATTATGTGCCGTCTTGTTACATTTGAGAGGACAGGAAATGGATCCCCAACCGACCAAAGTTCCAAATTGTGACTTGTATGGCCAATTTGATTGGATAGATAACGAAGCAAATTTAGACTTGCTCTTCTCACGATACAATGTTGCACATTGTTCGGATCTTGATGCTAGCGAAATGGTCCAAAGAGTTATTGGCCCTTATCTCGAGATGTCAAAGTGACTTGTGGCTCTCAGTCGAAAGTGGCACCTATCTCACCTATCTCCAAAGAAGTGCAGCAGGTGAACATGCCTCACACCGCTGTACGGTGTGGATAACTCAGATAGACCTTGTTAGACAAATCAGTGTTGTGATGTCTTGGTTATTTGCTCTCGGAGTGTATCTAGACCAAATAGTCTATATAAAGCGGCCTGTTGCTCACGATCAGAGTTCAAACTCATCAGGCTCATCCCTACCAGCTCCTTGGTCTACCTCTTTATTCAGACATCTAAAAATTCCCCTCTTCACTGTTGCAATCATGGTTCTTTTCCGCAGCATATTCTTTGGGGCAACTCTGGTGATAGAGGCCCTGGCTACTCCCAGCAAATTTGTTCCTCGCTCTTTCAACAATGCAACCGACGTTGACCTTGGTTTCCTCGATAGTGTAGACAGCTTTTTCGAGCTCCTTGGAACCAACTCGAGCGACTGGGACAGGTTTGAAGATGCAGCTGAGGAAGTCTTTGACCCAAATGCCTTCAGCCCAAACCCAGACAATGTTCTCATGGCACGACAGATGGAGCAGTGTCTCAGCTTGACAGACTGGACCCAGCTCATCTGCGACAACATGCCCAACAATAAAGTCAAGTACGCTCTCGGGGCGGCGATTGCCATCTATTATGCTCCCATCGTCCTTGTCAACTGGCTGGAAAACTGCGGCAAACTCATCCATGGTCGCGACTACGTCTGGCAGTCCAGAAAGGCGAGTGAACTGGACAAGAGAGACGACATCGCGAGTGTTGTGGCCTCCAAGTGGAACGGTGCGGACCACCTATACTTCAAGGTGCCGCAGGTGTTCGACTCGCTCCAAACGCGCAGCGTCGACGAACTGGGCGTTGCAAGCGAGGCCACCTTGTACAACGAGTACTCGTTCGACACCGCCACAAGCACTATTCACTACCGCGCCTCCGGTGGTACCTTCCACGCGGAGATGCCGGAGGTGACACCCGAGAAGCGTTGGCTTGGGCCTCGTCAACTTTCCAGGGACTATGTCATCTTCCTTGAAGTGCACCGAGCTACCGCGGCCGGAACTACAGCCAGCTACCAGTGTATCGGCAAAACACTCAGGTACTTCGTCGATCGCAGCTCCGAGAGACACAGAAGCAGTTGCCAGCCGATGCACAACCGTGGCAGCTTCATGTCCAACGTCAACATTCACATCACACCCGGCAGCACGGGCCGCCGCCTTTTCGATTGCTGCTGATCGCCAAACTTCGGGGACTTCGATTTGGGATGCGGCAACCTCCTGTATGCTGGACTTGGGGCGGTACTACTTTTTGAATACCCCCGGATTGCCTACACATGGACATGATACCGAATGTTCGGGGGTTATGTATGGCATACTCACCATTGAACTTACAAGGTTTTTACGAGTTCTGGGAACCTGTCAAGATAACACCCAGATAAACAACAATCTACATCGTATTAGATCTTTATCAACTGGGTTTGCCTTTGATTATGTTTCTATATATAAAGCATAGTTTACGCTTCTTCGTAGATGCAAACCAACAGTGATATAACTACAGTTAATATGCGTGAAGCGTTTGCTGGGAATAGTATCATCCAGCAAGGTCATTAATGCCCTGGCATTCCCTATGTCATTAGAGGCTATTTTGAGGCCATTATCTTGCTTCTCATACGTGAAACTATCGAATACAATACAAAACAAGACACCGCTCATCTTTCACTAATATCTCGCTCCATAAGTTGGCGAGGTAAAAAGCCGTTCGTTTACTTCTAAGGCTGCTAGATGTTGATATCTATTGGGCCTTTTCATCAGCTAGACCTGCCTACGAACATACTGCTGAATACAAGCACTTTGAGACTGTGTAAGCTGTGCATTCCAGCACCAAATAATCCAGAGTCCGATCCATACTCCACAACATCGATCGATGCCAGTCTCGGCATGGAATCGCATGGCAGGGCAAGTCGCCGATAGTGAGACATCCAGTGCAAATGGGGTGTTTATAACATTGACTAACGAATATATTTCAGGGTTCTCTACCCATTCTCAAACCTCTATCTAAGAATTTCATAGTCCCGCGTGACCCCTTCGTGGGATAAGGCTGTTTGATCTAGCTGATTCTTGGTTGCTATTGAATGCTGACACACAAAACTCAAAGGCGTAGATACTCGGGGGTAAGAAGTTGATTACATGCTATATACGCTCCGTTTCCGCAACTGCGATATGACTAGTATCCCTTATGGAATTTCGTAGCTAGACCCGATACCCTGTAGCATGTTCTGAGGATTTCCAATCCACTCGCGTAGAGCCTGAGTATATCAGTTTAATACGGAGCCCTATTAGTGCTAAATGTTTACTACGACCTGCAATGAAATCTTGACTAGAAATAAAAGCGCCGGGGCTGTTATGCGTCTAGGTCCTAAGACTTATTAAATATTGACACTCTAAAATTAACGACTTGTTTTTAATCTTTACCGATATACCTATAAAATTAGGTAGCGGCTTTTTTAAGGTAGCTATAGGTTCCTAGGGGTACTTATATAAGTAGAAGAGACTAATAATCTATAACGTCTTATAATCGTTATAGATCTATCTATAGATACTGTCTATAGAATTAAGAGGTTAAAGTAGAAGAGGGAGATAATTCCTTAGGTTATTGTTACGTGGAGAGCGCACTAAGCGGAAAAAAAGACAAGATCTTGTGATGTGACAGGGACGGTAGGCTTGAAATTTCGGGACAACCAAGTTTCTTTAGCGAATCATCAGTTATTTTCAACGCGCCCATCGTTCTAGCTATTATTATTATCAGTTACCTTTAGTGTCACACTGAAGCCTCACACAATAAAACGATGTAATCAATCCCGTAGGGATGAGAACGGCAGTGAGTAGATTTTATATGATCAAACCAGCTCTAGAATGGCTCTGCCTGCTCATGCGCCGTCCTGACGCTCCCATCCATCCCAATTCAGTCAGAGGCGCACATTAAGCGCCCAGCCGTCAGCCGTTGAACGCCCTCGCCATGCAACAAACAAAAGCAGAGACTCGCGGTCCAGTCTTAGTCCAGCCAGTCAACTATCCTCCGAGTCTCAGGCCGCAATGCCAGCGCGCGCCAAAGCTGACCTAGCATCATGAGCTTCGATCTCCGTTCCGTACGGTGCTTGCGCTGTCGTATTCTATCTCGTCTTGGCACATAAAACACCTACCGGTTGGGCCGCAGGTCCTTGACGTAAAAGTCAAGTTTATCGGAGTGGTATACATGACCGGGCGGATTCCTTGCCCCAGTGTAGAGGTTGTCGATGGAGTGCTGGTGGAAGGTCTCGGATTTGGTGCATTGGAGGATGTGAGTCAGTCCCGGCGGGTTTGTAAGGCGGAAAATGCCGTATCTGTACATCGATTAGTTCCGTTCACGAATATATGATAGAAGAGGGGAGACGAACGATGGGTTGTGTCTCGGAGAGCAGACAATTGCAATGCTCTCCGGCATCATGACCTGGTACCCAGCCTGCGTGTGCAGGTCTCGCGAACTCATGAAGCAGGTCTGCGTGGGATGGGTGTGGATCCAACCAACCACCAACAGGTCCTCATTGATACAATAATCGAGCATCACGGACTCATTCTCCGTTTCGCAAGTATCAGGGGTGCACTTCTGTTCGGGAATCACAAGGCAACTTATGAAAAGCGCGTTATTAACCGGCCTGCCACACAAGATTCCGCACATCTCGAGGCCCTTGCGCGTGTTATCGGCCGCGATATCCAGAAACGCTTGCCTGAGCTGGCTTGGAAGGAATACGGGTCGAATAGGGTCGCCATTTTCGAGATATGCTGCGGGGCGGAAAGTAAGGCGTTCCTTTACAGCTGGGGCCGGCGCAATCTCTTCCTTTGCGGGGAGTTCGGGAACGTCTCTAGACACTGATGACGGGGACAACGGTGTCATGTACGAAGGCAAGGGCTCTTTGCCCGGTCGCATCGGCGGCGCTGCATCAAGCTCTTGGCGTAGTGTTGTAGAGTCTTCCTTCGGCGGACGCGGTGGTTGAGGCAGTTGCGGACTGTACATGCGCTGCGGCTCCAGCGGTGTAGCCTCCCATTCCACAGCCCGTGGCCTCGAGATAGCAGGGTAGTTGTATGAATAGCTTGGCGGCGGTGGTCTCGGCGGCGGCACAGGTCGTGTTGTGCTTCTGAAATCAGTTTCTTCATACCCTCCATCGGTACCATCGAGGCGCCTCCTCGTAGCTTCGATTTGTCTCCGAATCTCATCCTCTTCATTCGCAGGGTTTCCAAACTGCTCCCAGTCTTCCCAGCGGCCGCCTTTTCTGCGTTCCATCTCTTCTTCCTCGCTGACACCAGCCTGCCTCGTTGCCCTCCTTGCAGCATCTCTTCGCTTAAAGTCTCGCTGTGCCAGGGACACAGCTAATTCTTGGTGATCGGCGGCGTCGAGTATCTTCGCATTGCCACTCAGTGTCGGATCGCGGGCTGCGAATTCGTCATAACTCGAGGGTCTCTTCTCTGGTTCGGCGTCGGCCTTCTTCTTTGACGCATTCATCAACTGCCACTCGTTGTAGTCGCGGTCAATTTGCGGCTTGAGACTTTCCAAAAGACCGAAGACCTCTTCCTGCTGCCGCTTGAAGAGCGGCTTCGTGAGAGCCCTATTCTCGGGGAGTTTTGCATCTGGATGTGTCTTGAGGTGACTCAGGACGAGAACCGAGTGTCGCCATAGCATCTGATATGCTTTTCGTATGTCGCGATCGTGTAGCGCAAAGGTCGCCTTGATTTTGTCAGATCAGCGCTGTGCACATAAGCACCAACAGCAGGCTGTACAACAAACCTCTTGGAATAAGGTGTCGGCAGATCGTGCCCAGTATTTGAAGGGAATGGTCGTCCTAAACTCGAAGTCCTCCGCAGCATCCGTAATCTCTTTAATGCTCATGGGCCGCGCAGGCCGGGGGCTTGAGGGTCCGCTCATCCTGGTAGTATCTCGTCGAAGCGAAAGAAAGTCGGAAATGGTAGATTGGGAGGGTGTGGATGTTGCACTCGCAGGGAGCGGTGTGCGGGTTGCTCGAGACTCGAATCCGGATCGCAGATGGTGACTGTCACCGTTCAGGTAGTTGATTGCATTGTTGTACCTTGGGTTGGAGCCAGAAAGTGGCAGCCTTGAGGTAACAGATGCTCGACCATTCGGTCAAGAAGTCTGGAGGGTTTCGTCCCAGGAACCGTATGACGAAGCGCTAGACCAGCCACGGGTGGCTGAAGCACCCCGCCATCTTGGGGAACCGACAAGGTTCACATGATGGAGGGGTAAAGCTTGGACCCCTGTCTCGTCACGTGTACACGAGCATCACTCACGTGATCAAGTTGACGGCCTTTCTTATGTAATATCAAGAGCTGCAGGGGTGCCCAAGATCAACAAGGTGAGGCACCGGTGAACAAAAACAGTCTCAAGGTCAAGGTCAACCAACGGCGAACTTACAGCTGTCAGTTGGCGGGAGGATCCGGCCATGTCTCAGCTCCGCTTCTATCCGCAACGTCCATCAGCAGTCAATAGAACCATCGTTACCATCAACCCCAGAATTCAGTCATCTCCGAATTTCTCCTTTGGCAATCTTGACAGCTTACATTGGTTCTTGGCCCGTCTTGGTTGCCATGGCCGGAACGAATAATCTCCAATGATCAGCGTGCATTTGGGCATCAAAGCCCAAAAGAAAGAAGGACGTCATACTCGTCCGGCCGTATTTCCGTTCGATTTACGAGTCCTCTCGCCTCATCCATGCCATCCCCAACAAATAACCAGTTTCGGGAAATGTCGGAACGGCGCCCTGACTATGTAATTTTCGTAATACGCTTCTCTGTGTTTTTGCTACTACGTCCACGCTAGAACACAGTGCCCAGGCGGGCCGGCCAATCCGACTGTCCAACCTCCGTTCTTGATTCATTGCACTGATCCCTTTAAGGCCCGAGTCTGAGCGTGGCACCATGCTTGGGTGCTTCCACCGCCTGCTCGAATGAGTCGGACAGGGTCTGGTGCTCCTTTTCCGTTGCTGGTTGACGTGCAGATTGTCCAGCAAAGCACCCCCACGCCTCCGTTGGCCGCCGGTGAGCGAGGGTAGAGGGATCTCTCAGGCGGTCTGTCTGGAGACTACCTCGTTGCTTGGTTTTTCCACCACCCAGTGTCTCACAGTCGTCGCGTGGCGGTGCATAGTCGTCAGGTTATCAGCTATCGCATCTTGCCATCCCGTGAAATCTGACGGCGAGATGGCTTGATGTTGTTTTTTTTTTTTTTTTGCGGCCAGTGTGGAGGGCACCTAAGAAACCATTTTGCCAGCCTTTGCTTAGTGTCGTGCCTTGGATGGAGACGGGCATCATCCGCGAAACTGGGTACTACCGCATGAGTAGTCGTCAATTCCGGAAAATGGACCTGGCCATGTGGTTGTATTTGCGTGGGCGAATGACAGATTCAGGGATTGTTGTAATGGCGTCCCCCATGCTTGGGCCATCCTGGACCTGGAGGAAGCTCCTGGTGAGGCCATAAGGCTACCACACCAACTACATTAAAGGAGAAGTTTTCCTCTCTGTCTTTGTTGATATTGAGTTCCTCGGTATATTGTAATAGCAAACATTCTTCATCATCATCATCCATCGAACGTGTCCGGATATCCTACTCGGATACTAAAGCTTACCAGTAAACACCAAGCCTATCACCAACACTAAACTACACATCATCATGTCTTCCTCCATTTGCAGGAGTGAGTTTCTTTCATCCAATTTTGTAGAACAGAAATTAAACAAATATCAGGAAGCGTCGAAAAGACCATGTCGCATTTCACCCTAAGCATGGGTCAGGCGTCTGTTCAGAACAACGTAACCATGTGGACGACCCTCTCCCAATGCTACGACGAGATCGCAAAGACCTTTGCCCTCCAAGACCCGGAGAACATCATCGCCAACCCGGAAAGCATCTCTGCCGTCGTGCACGCCACCTTTGACCACGATGCTCACGGTCTTGTCGAGCAGCAATCGTCATCGATGATGCACTGCATCGACGACGTCACCAAGGCACACATGCTTGCTCAAGCCATCGCGGGCATGGTTGCCTTCTTCCGCAAGCTTGCCATCCACCATAAGCATCAGCCTGTCACAAACGCCTCCTTCGACAGGGACCTCCAGCGCTTCGCAGACTGCGAGCTGCGTTCGGCCATGATCCGCAAGATCGAGGACAGCCGCATCTTTGGACGATGCTACACCAAGAACCAAATCGCGGATCTCATCATGGACGCCGTGGATGGCAAGGTCGACGACGCCGAGTTTACATCAGAGGATGAGTACCAGAACGCCATCGGCTGGGCGACGGAGTTGCCTGCAAGGAATATGGGTTTGCCGTGGGGTTTCACCATCATGGCTCTGAACTGAGGAAGAGGAATGTAATGACCGTTTGATGACATGGATCGGGATCGCTTTGGGGGAAACCACCATCGGGAAAGGCGCATCAGCAAGGCGTTTCAAGGAAATCCGTGATCGGAGCATTGCTGGGTATAATTCATAGTCCTAGTAGTCTTTTTTTTTCTCTCGTTAATTGTATCACCACTCATGCCAGACCTGACTTCAAACTTCGTTGGCTATCCCTTCTTCGCCGCGGCCTGTGCGCTGGTTTGCAGCTGAATGATCTCGCCCTTCTTCTTCTCGAGCTTGCCCTGCAACTCGCTGATTTGGCCCTCGTGCCTCTCACTGGAAGCTGTGTTAGCGAAAACAACGGTCAGATGGTCTCGAGGGGGGCAATGATGCACGCACATCTCATTGGTGATGAAATCCAAACGGCCCTTGACTGTGCTCTCAGCCTCCACCTTATCCTGCTTCAGCAAAACAGGTCCGACGAGCTTGTAAATCTGTTCGCCATCCTTGAGCTTGTCGAACTCCTGCGAAACATGTCAGCTTTCCGGTTTTTGAGGACTGTTGTGTCAGGGCTCACTCACCTCCTTCACACCGAGGTTCTCCTGCTTCTGAGCTTCCAGTTTTTGACGCGCCTGGACAGTGGTCTGGAGTTCTGGTAAAAGTTTTTAGCATGAGTCCGTTATTCATATCATGAACGTGGTACAAACCTGTTTGAAGAGCAGTGTACTCTTCAGAGAGTTTCTGCAGCTTAGCCTGAATCTCAGCCATTATTGAGACTGTGAGGGGTTGGCAATGAGAAAAAAAATCCCGGTCTGGTAACTATTGGCCGGTTACGAAAGTCTCAGCAAGAAACTTGATTTTGCGTCGCAGTAAAATCAGTACTCAATAAGTTTGTACACTTTCAAATGTTCTCAAGTGCCAAAGCTCAAAGAAATGTTTGCTGTTTCGACATTCGTGGTGGTCTGAAGAAGATACCTGGTACTGCGCTCATCTTGGTGACAGTCTGGAGGAATACCGGGTACTTGCACCAGGACCCCACATTATGAATATCGGCGGTACGCGATCCAGAACAGAGCATCGCCAGGCAGCAGAGGTATGGACCCTCGTGTTAACTAAAAAGTCTTTTCAAGGTTTGAATCAGAAAGAAATTCATGGAAAATTTAGATCCTTTGAAACATTAACGCTATAAGTGATCATTGGTCAAACAAAGGCATCTGGAGTGACAAAGAATGCATAAGCAGAGGTCTCTCAGTAAGCCATGATGACTATGCATCTATAGCCACATATGTTTCTAAGCAGCGTAATGTCCCCACCCCCACCAGCCAACAAGGCACGTCCAGCGTCAGTGCCTGGCATCACGAACTGCCCAGGCAACGTCACAGAATCGCCCACAGCAGCCTTTCCAAGGTCCCCAACCAGTCAACCCTCACACCCGACAGTGCCAAGAACCGACGCAATCCCCCCGGGGCCGAATCGAGCTTTTTTCTCTGCCTAGGTATACACCTAGCCTTGCGACTCTCAACCCGAGGAAACGACCTGAAAGACAGTGGTTCTCACACGAGCTTCCCCGCTCTTTCATCCTTATCACGATCCTACTTTCGACCACTTCCTACGGCTACGACAGCAATCGACCAGACGCTTCAAAATCACCAAAATGTCGGGAATCACCGACTTCCTCGGCCGTGCCATCAGCACGGTCAAACAGGCCATCGACGCTGATAACGCCGCCGACTACGAGAAGGCCTTTCAACTATACACAAAGTCGCTCGAACTGTTCGTCCTCGCCGTCAAGTGGGAGAAGAACCCTAAATCCAAGGAGCTCATTCGCCAGAAGACGGCTGAGTACATGGACCGCGCCGAGAAGCTCAAAACATATTTAGCGGAAGCAGAACAGAAAAAGAGCGGCGGCGGCAACAAACCCGGAGCCATGGGCGTTAACGGCGGCGGCAAGGGCAAGGCGAACGCCGACGACGGCGACGAGGACAACAAGAAGCTGCGCAATGCACTCAGCGGTGCCATTCTCCAGGAGCGTCCCAATGTGCGGTGGGACGACGTCGCCGGTCTCGAAGGCGCTAAGGATACGCTCAAGGAAGCCGTCGTGCTGCCGATCAAGTTCCCCTCGCTTTTCCAGGGCAAGCGCCAGGCCTGGAAGGGTATCCTGTTATACGGCCCCCCGGGCACAGGTAAGAGTTATCTGGCCAAGGCTGTGGCAACAGAGGCGAACAGCACGTTCTTCAGCGTGAGCAGTTCGGACTTGGTGAGCAAGTGGATGGGAGAGAGTGAAAGGTAAGTGCCGGTTACTACGACTACCTGTCCAATTGTATTACTGACATACTGCTGCAACGAACAGACTCGTGAAAGCCCTCTTCAGCATGGCGAGAGAAAACAAGCCCTCGGTCCTCTTCATTGACGAAATCGACGCCCTGTGTGGACCTCGTGGCGAGGGCGAGTCCGAAGCCTCGAGACGTATCAAGACGGAACTGCTGGTCCAGATGGATGGTGTCGGTAACGACAGCAAGGGCATTCTCGTCTTGGGTGCGACCAATATCCCCTGGCAGCTCGATGCCGCCATTCGTCGACGTTTCCAACGCCGTGTCCACATCGGTTTACCCGACGCCAACGGCCGCGCGCGCATGTTCAAGCTCGCCATCGGCGACACGGAGACGAACCTGCAAGCCGACGACTACCGCGTGCTTGCCGAGATGTCGGAGGGTTTCTCCGGCAGTGATATCACCAACGTGGTACAGCAGGCGCTTATGGGGCCTGTGAGAAAGATTGTTCAAGCTACGCATTTCAAGCCGGTACGTCTCTTTGAGGTATCACTAGGGGCCACGAATGACGACTGCTAACATTTACGTAGGTTATGGTTGACGGCGTTAGAAAACTCACGCCGTGCTCCCCCGGCGACCCAGAGGCCAAGGAGATGACATACCACGACGTCGACTCGGAGGAGCTCATGGCCCCCATCATCGAACTCAAGGACTTCAAGCAAGCGCTCAGGGAGTCGCATCCTACTGTTTCTGAGGACGACGCAGCCAAGCAAATAGAGTGGACCAACGAGTTTGGCAGCGAGGGCGCATGAGCTGGGCTCTTCGCTTTGCAGGGAGCAGATGGTGAACCTCGTACACTTGACAAGGCTCCTTTGCCCTCCATGGAGCTTATAGGGGCGGTTACTTGAGCGGACAAAGACGTGACGAGGGATTGATTACGGACGACGGTGCAGTGTGGCGAGTTTGGGGAGGTCTTTGGGACTGTTTTATTAATTCTCTTTGAAGAACGAAAGACTGGAAAGAGAATCAGACTCGACTTGGAGGATGACGGGATTACAAGCGAATGTCGGGTCAAACTTCGAAGTTCAAGGGGGAGGATGGCGTCCTCTGGCGTTGCAAACGGCCGGCATTGGGTGGGGAAATATTTTTCAAACGCGTTTTATTGTTCTTTCTTCTGCATTGCAGGCTTTCCGAAGTAAAGCGTAAAAAAAGTGGCAGCAAGCAAAAGGCTTCCCTCTATTTTTATTCTCGAATTCTTTTTCCATTTTCAGTTTTGATGCTTGTATGTAAATTTCACGTATATTAATCGAGCTGCCATAATAAGAACATGTCGTCTCATTTCTGAGCTAGTATGTCTGAGTGATGGTTGTACAAGGGTGAGAAGGAGAGCCAAGTTCATCCGATGAAAACAGGGACACAAAAGTTACGATGGTTTTCTTGTGCTCTTTTTTTTTTTTTTTCCCAACTCCTCACGGAACCCAGGAGTTTGCCATCCGACTTTTTTCACTTGCAATCATCATTCACATGTAGTGGAAGAAACCTCGACAGAATTATAGGACATATCCAAAGTTATAGACACCTCGCAACCAAAAAGAATTGGCCCACGCAAAAGGTGGAACGCTTTTTTCGATTCTTTCCATATGGGTATGGGATGGTTTACATACACACGTAGACGGGAAAATTGCCATTGGGAAAACAATTTCTCTTTTTTTCGATGCAGCCCCCAAACACAACAAGAAAATTTAGAACTCCGCAGCCCATTTCATTTCCCCAATAACTCCCAGACAAGAAACCAAGACGAGTATTCGAAGAGAGACAAAAGACACAGCCAATGCCGTAGACCTATGTGTGCCGCCAACCGACATAAGTTACCTAGACACAGAGAGAGACATAGAGATCAGAAAAAGAGAAGAAGGATGCCATGTTTTGAAAACAAAGATATGTCGTCAGGACGAGACGCGACAAAGAGGGGTAGGGTGTGTAAAAGATGCACACACATACACACACATACACACACACACTAGGGGTATGGGGGGTTAGTGGGTATGCGTCGCGTTTTTACTCGTCCTTGGACTTCTTCTTCTTCTTCTTCTTTTCGCCGTCGGCCTTTTCGGGCTCGGCGCCGACCTCGGACTCGCGCTTGCGCTTCTTCTCCTTGTCCTTCTTGTCCTTCTTCTCCTTCTTGTCCTTGGACTTCTCCTTCTTGACCTCGGTGGCGACCGCGTCGACCATCTCCGCGTCGTCGAGGTCCAGGTCACCCTCGACCTGCTCAAGAACAGAAGCCTTTGGATTTTGTTAGTCATTGATCGTAAGCAAGTTTGAAGGGGAAGGGAGTGTGTGAAAAAATGAAACATACCATAACATCGGCGTTCTTAGCGGGCTTCTTGCCGGTGGCGTAGAACTCGAGACGGTCCTCGACCTGCTGGCGCAGAGCCTCACCGAACTTGGTGGTGGGGTTCTCAGTGTAGTTGTCGATACGGCTGGCAATCGAGCACTTGTTGGCGAGGTAACGCGAGATGCGGCCCTTGTTCTTCACGGAAGCCTTGCCGATGAAGCTGCTGTGGTAGATGAGACCGTACTTGGGCGTGTTGCTCTTGGTCTTGAGCGCGCGGAACAGCGCCTTCTCGGCACCCAGGATCTGGAGGGTGGAGGCGGGGTACTTGGACAGGTTGGTCAGGGAGCCAGCGTGGGAGATGAGACGGGCGGCAACGGGGGTGCCGATGAGGGTCTGCAGGTTGGGGGCGACAATGGACATCTTCTTGTCCAGGTAGTTGGCGGTCGCGCGGCGGGCCTCGGCCTGCTGGACGACGGCCTCAGCGAAGCCCTTGACAATCTCGAGATCGGCGGGGGTGATGGCCAAGCCCATGGAGACCTTGGCGGCGTCGATGATGGCCTGGGCCTTCTCACCGTCCTCCTCGACGAGGGCCGCGAGGTCGTGCAGCTTATCGTCGGTGAGAGTGGCCTTGTCGCCGATTGCGAGGACGAGCTTGGCGTAGGTCAGGTTGTCGGAGACAATCTTGACCAGCTCGGGGAAGTGCCAGCCGTACCACTCCCTCACGCGCATGAAGAACTGGTTGACACCCTTGTCCTGGAACTCGACCGTCGCGGAGGCCTGGATGACGTGGTTGTCGTTCTTGGTGGTGCTGAACTTGACCTTGGCGCGGGAGTAGGAGTGACCCAGACCCAGACCGGCAGCGGTGGAATCACCAGTCTGCAGGCCCTTGAGGAGGCGGTCGGCGTGCAGACGAATGCCGCGGAGGAGGTCGCCGGCGACCTCGGAGGTCTCGGAGGTTTCGCAGTCGACGCCGGGGAAGGTGGACTTGATGACGGACGCGAGGTTCTTCTCGGCCACGGCGAGGGTGATCTTGGACTTCTTGCCAGAAGTCTTGGGGAGGTTCAGCTCAAGGACGGACTTGAGGTGGTCGGACATGAGACCCTCAGAGATGTGGTTGATCTCGTCCAGCGCCTGCTTTCCGGTACTGTAGAATACATGTTAGCCTTGTCTTGTTCTCTTCGCTGTGCTTTTTTGTTTTTGTTCTTTCACAGCCTCCTCCACCGAGACGACGCGCGCCGCGGTGGGCGGTCCACTGGGAAAAAATCAAGAGGGATTCCGTACTCAAAGGGGGTGAAGTTAACGAGCTTGACCATCTTGCCGAAGCGGGCGAGGTCATTGATGGTCTCCTGAGCCTCCTTCTGGCGCAGACCAATGCTGTCGGGCTGGTGCTCGACGTGGAACACGCCGTAGCCCATGGGGGCCTCGTAGAGGAGGTAGTTGACGGCGGCCATTTTGACTTTTAATTGTTTTGTCCCGGTTCTTGTCTTAGATCAAAGAAGATCGCTGGCGTGTGGACCGACAATCAAGCCTCGCGCGGGAGTTGTGGGTTGGGCAGAGGCAGTTTCGAGGGTCTCAAGACAGTCGAAGTCGAGATTGTTCGGATTTTTTTTCTTCAATTTTTCCTCACCCCCACTGGTGTCAATTGGAAATTTTTCTGGAGCTCGGAAGCTGGTGCACGGGCCAACGCAAGTCGCTGTGGAAGTGGGAGGGTCACGTGAAGGTTTTCGGCCTCGCTTGGTGCCGGCTGCCGACGTGGGGTCAGTGGCTGGTGAGTGAGGCTGGTGGTCGTGGCTGGAGAGCTAGTGCAGTTCAGTAGTATCTTGGGTGACAAGCAAGAGGAACCATTTTGACGAGGCTTTTTTGCAAAAACCAACTCTACTATGAGAATGATCTTGTGAGAGTGATCGGAGAGATCTTTTTCCTCTTTGTTCCATCACATGTATCTGGTTTCTTCAACAATACCGGATGCCTGCTTGTGCCTGTCCACAACGAGACTTCATGTTGACGGTGTTACTGAGCCAAGTTCCCAGAGACCTTTAACTTTTCCAGATATATCACAATATTTTGAGATCTTGTAAATTTTGACTCCATTCTACATTGATTTTGAAAATTTTGGATCTTCAGACCCAGTTGTGGTGGAGATTTAAATTTCTCACGTATTTGATGTTCAGTTGTAAATATTATATTTGAAGTTGGTTTCAAGCATGAACTCTTGACTTTTCAAAATACAATCTGATAAATGGCCATGTTCATCTTATATTGACTACAGTAAACTCATATCAGTCCATCTATTTCATCCAACGCTTTTTTAATTGCCGAGCAAACAAGTTTCACTTCCTGACCAACACACTACCACTACGTAGGTCGTAGTAAGTAGGATGCAAGCCATTAGTCGTGCAGTCAGCGCGCCATCTTTTCACATGTTGGCCCCCAACCCACGTCAGCCATCCTGTACAGGGCGTGGTCCAAATATGGACGTAGTCCAGTCACCTGCTGTCACCAGAAAGGTTAATGCACTCCTCTCCGAACCTCCCGGTCTGCAATCCGGCCAAGCCTCACATGCTCATCCCAATGTCACCGCTTTGGCCGCCACGCCAACACCAACGCCAGCACCAACAACACACCACAATCACATTGCATAGTTGGGGAAACCGTGAAATTGTTTTAACGAATGACTTGTTCATGATCATTACACATTAGACATTATATAAGCATGCTATATGTACACGGTCTCTAGCTCGATAGCGCCAAAAGACTAGATTCTCCTCACGCACGTCTGCTTCTCTTCGCAGGCGCGGGCGCATTGCCGTTGACCTTGGCCACGCCGTTTGCGATGCCGTTTGCGACCTCGGCCACGGGCGCAGTGTCAATCTTGGACACCTCCTCGATTGTCTCCATCGGCTCGAACTCGGACTCTTCAGCCTCGGAGCGGTCGTCCTTCTCCTCGCCGTGCCAGACGTAGCGGTAGCCGATGCGGACGAGGAAGAACAGCCAGAAGAGGTTGAGAGATTGCAGCAGAGCGAGCAGACTGAAGGTTATGACGTTGGAGAGCAGGCACTTGTACTGCTGGGTCTCCCAGTTGAGCTCGTAGGGACCGACGGTGCGGAACTCGGTGAGGATGGACCAGAGGATCTTGAGGTTGATGAAGTGGCGCAGATAGATCCACGAGGCGAGGGAGAGGCAGTACCAGGGACCGGTGATGGGACTGTCGATGTAGTTGAGAGTCTTGGACATCTGCAGCATCTATTAGTATCTAGGCTCCTCGGGGAGGGTTACGCGCGGGAAGACTTGCAGCCATGAAGAAATCACTGATGTCGTGTGTCAAGTACACGGCGATACCCATGTAGGTGAAGTGAAAGCGGTAGCTGAGACCGATGAGGGCAAGAGTGACAATGTGATGGGCGACGAGCTCGTAGTAGTCCTTGCGCGGCTTCTCCATGCCGAGGAGCATGACGAGGGCCTGCTGGGCCCAGTAGGCGGCCTCGAAGAGGTAGTAGAACTTGACGACGGCCTCATGGGTCTTGTGGGGGAAGGACTCGTACATGCCGGTGGTGTTGAAGTACCAAACCGGAGTGCGGCTCATGACGTACAAGCCGGCGGGGCCGAGAATCGCAAAGTAGATGGCAGTGTATCCCTGCTCCATGAAGCGCAGCTGCTTGCCCCGGGAGCGGATGTTGTAGAACTTGGCCAGCGGACGGAGGAGCTCCTGCATGACGAACTCGCGGGTGAAGCTCAGGACGATTGAGTAGAAGAAGACAAAGGCAATGTCCCAAGGACCCTTTCCGTACTGCGCCGGGGAGTCATCATCGGCGGCCTGGGGCAGCTTGTAGGACAGGAAGATGAACTTGTGGACAATGTTGGATTCTGTGGGATTGACGGCGTAGGTTGACAGGAAAGCAAGGGCGAGGACGAGAGGAGTCGTCCATGTGTGCTTGATGGCGATGTGCTTGCAGCGGCGGAGGATTGCGCGAGCGCGACTGCGCTTGGAGAGCTTGTCGAGTTTGTCCTGCTTGGCTGCGGCGGACGAGGGCTGACCGTGACCTCGCAAGCTTGACTTTCTGCGACGTCGGACGACGTGCTGCTGGTCCTTGCCGGGAGTGGAAGCCGGAGAGGCTTGAAGAGGGAGCTGTTCGGCGGCAGTCATTGTGTCGCGTGCGTCTGCGGCGCGGGTTGGTTGTTTTTGGTGCCTGTCACTCTATGACGATGGTGTTTTGGAGGCCGTAAGGAGGCTGAGACCTTTGGACTTAGATGGTGAGTGTTGAGAAAAGAGGGAGAGTACCCAGTGTCGCTGTCTTTGTTTTTTGAATTTGTTGCAATTGACGACGAGACAAAGGTCAGTCAAAAAGCCTGCTGGTTGAGCATGAGACTTGCAAATGGAGGGACGAAGAGGAAAGGAAGGAAAAGAGCCGAGGGAAGCGATTCGGTCGGTGTCGTCGGGGGCTTTATTTTTTCTACTCTCACCAATTTCCCCCGTGGCTTGCACCGGAGGCGGAATTAGGGTGGGTAAGTACAATTTAAAGGCGGGACATGGGTTTAATTCTCACGGTGTCCAGGTTGTTAAGGGGGGGAAGATTCTGGGGATGTCATTAGCGACTGGGCGAATAGTAGCCCGTCAATGTCCTCGGGTGACCTCCTTGTCCGCGGTAAGCTGCTTTTTTCTGCTTGCTGTTCCGGCCCACCCGGTGGGAATCTCTGGAGGGCGGGAAGGATGAGTGTCTTTTTTTCTTCTTTTTTTTTTTTGTTGATTCTCTGTGTTGCTGGGGAGGATTGCAGACAATTTTTTTTTTCCTTTCCATTTCTCTTATTCTCTCCCCCTTTTGGTCATTGATTAAAGGGGGTGGGCACGATTTTGTGTTTTTTTTTTTTTTTAATTCTTTATTTTCATCATGTTTTATTTGTTGGCTGCCTGCTTAGCGCTGCAGCATCTGGATTTAATCACGATAAGGTCAAATGAATAAAGTAAATTGTCCGACCGGGCATTTGAAAAAGTGATATACATGATGATTGTTTTGTTGCAGATGATGTTTGAGTCTGGTGAAACAGTACATCTCACACTTCAAGTCTGTCTGGAGTCGGTAACTCAGTACTACTAGTGTATACACACTATTTAGAATGTCACTGCTAAGCAATCACGGTGACAAAACACTGATTGAAATTTGTCCGTATCATCCCAAGACCCTGATTGTTGGGTTTGCGATTCAGGGGTTATGTCGTCACTCCCGGCCCATAGAGTTTTTCGTCCCATGTCACCTTAGCCCAACGCGCTGTCACTGTCCCAGCGCCCCCGAAGTACACTATCTGTCCACCGCCTTTGTTCAAGTTACCGGACGACGGGGACAAACCAGCGCCCGTCCCCCTCCGAAACTCCCGAAGCCCAAACGGCCCCAAACCGAGTCAAGACCCATAATATTACTTAAGCGCGTATATCGGTACGTACTGGTGGATGTACCGCGTGAGGTATCGCCTACGCCACAGCGTGCAGCCCTGGTACATCTCACTTGCAGATCATCCGCCTGAGCCACGCGTACCCGCCTGACGCCAAGGGTGCTCGCTGTCCCGGTTTGCAGTGAGCAAGCTGGGAGGCAGCCTCAGCTGGGCTTTCCTACTTACTTATCGCACCTAGCATGGCCGTGAACACCTGTGGCTCACTGAGGGGCTGACGACGACCTCTGCGCCTCTTTCAGCTCTAAGCTCCAGTTGCAGTTTACAACGCAATGCAGCAGAGCACTCAACAGTACGTAGCAGTGGTGGCCAACGCAGCACCCAGAAGCTCTGTGGCAGCTTTTTCGGCACATGGTACCCGTCATGGCACTTTACGTACAGCTCACAGGGAGGGGGAGGGGCAGTGCCATTTGTCCACCGCGGGGCTCCCCAGGGGCTGCCTCTCTCTCGATGGAGCTGCATCACAGTCAATTCGTATAAACCGAACCTTGGCCAGATAGCTTCCCCGTCAGCAATAAGAACCATCGTATTCCATCAGCCGCTCGGGTCGACCCTTTCTTTTCATCCTTTGCTTCTTGGCATAAACCTCTTGCAACCTGACTCCCGCTGTATGTATTTACAGCGTCCGTTGATACTCGTCACATCGATAGCAGTTCTCCTAGTCACGCTCTTCTTCACGCAGAGCTACACCCACGTCTTTTCTCGCCTCCCACTCCCAATCTTCACATCACCCCCAACAAACATGGGCGGCGGTCCTGGTGAAGGCTTCCGTACGGTGGCATACTTTGTCAATTGGTATTTAAACCGCTCTGCTAATTTGGCTTTTCGAGCACATTGCTGACTGACTTGGCTAGGGCTATCTATGCTCGCAAGCATCGCCCGCAAGACCTCCCCGTCGAGAACCTCACCCACATTCTTTATGCCTTTGCCAACGTCCGCTCCGACTCAGGCGAGGTCCACTTGACCGACGGCTGGGCTGATACCGACATCCACTGGGAGGGCGACAGCTGGAACGACCCCGGCACGAACCTGTACGGATGCTTGAAGCAACTCAACCTCCTCAAGCGCCGCAACCGCAACTTGAAGGTACTGCTGTCTGTTGGAGGATGGACATACTCATCCAACTTCAAGAACCCCGCCAGCACTCCCGAGGGACGCGATACGTTCGCCCGGAGCTGCGTTGACCTCATTAAGAACATGGGCTTCGACGGTAAGCAGCCATCTGACGTCAGTCGCATGGAAGAGCTGCGTGAGAGCTAACACAATGATAGGTATCGACATTGATTGGGAATACCCACAATCCGAAGCCGAAGCAGCCGACTACGTGGCTCTCTTGCAGGCTGTGCGCGACGCAATGGATGCATACGCCTCGACGCTGCCCGAGTGGTACCACTTCGAGCTCACCGTCGCGTGCCCCGCTGGCGCGCAGAACTACCAGAAGCTTAACCTCCCCGCCATGGACGCCCTGCTTGACTTCTGGAACCTTATGGCGTACGACTACGCCGGCTCTTGGGACAGCTTGGCCGGCCATCAGGCGAACCTGCAGCCGTGCCACCAAAACCCACGAGCGACCCCCTTCAGCACCGCGGCCGCCCTCGCACACTACACCTCCCACGGCGTGTCGCCGGACAAGATTGTGCTGGGCATGCCGCTTTACGGCCGCGCCTTCGAGAACACCGACGGACCCGGCACGCCGTACTCCGGAGTCGGCGAGGGAAGCTGGGAGAACGGCGTCTTCGACTACAAGGTGCTGCCGCTGCCCGGTTCCCAGGAATACGTGGACGAGGCGACGGGCGCGAGCTACTCCTACGACCCCAACACGAGGAAGATGGTCACCTACGACAATGTGCATATGGCGCGGACAAAGGCCCAATACATCAGGCAGTGGGGTCTCGGCGGTGGCATGTGGTGGGAGAGCAGCGGCGATAAGCCCGGGCACGAGTCCCTTATCGGGAACGTCGTGGATGCGCTCGGCGGACCGCAGGAGCTAATGCACCGGGAGAACTGCGTGACGCACCCGGAGACCAAGTATGATAACTTGAGAAACGGATTCCCTGATGATGCATAGATAGGTTTAGAAAAGAATGGGACATTCACATTTCAACAGACATCAATGCGGATCTAGAACCAGTGATGGGAGAATGGTCATGAGTATCGTGAATTTTGCATCGTCATTGCCAGCCAGTGATGTGGTGGTATCTACATCAACGCCCCTTTTTGTGCGGCTTCCTGCCGACTAGAATGCTAACCCTGAACCAATCCTCCCAAACAGCCCTTTTTTATTCCATCGCACCCGCGAAACACTGGCACAGAATTTACTCCTTCTTGTCGAAGACGTAGGTAAGGTGGCAGCGGCCGCAGTACTGGCGGTCGTTCATGGCAGCCATGAAAACACCGGCACCGCACTGTGAAAGAGTTAGTAAATTGTTTTTGGTGTGCGAGAGTACAACAAGGGGGAAAACTCACGGTGTCGGAGGGGCACTCGCGGCGGAGACGCTCGATCTTGCCGTCGGAGTCGACCTTGTAGTACTTGAGGACGGCCAACTTGGTCTTCTTGCGCTTGTGCTTGATCTTCTTGGGGGTGGTGTAGACCTTCTTCTTGCGCTTCTTGGCACCACCACGCAGGCGGAGCACGAGGTGGAGGGTGCTCTCCTTCTGGATGTTGTAGTCGGAGAGGGTGCGGCCGTCCTCGAGCTGCTTGCCAGCGAAAATCAGGCGCTGCTGGTCGGGGGGGATGCCCTCCTTGTCCTGGATCTTGGACTTGACATTGTCGATGGTGTCGGAAGACTCCACCTCAAGGGTGATAGTCTTACCCGTGAGGGTCTTGACGAAGATCTGCATGATTGCCTACTTGTGTGAGGTTAGAAAACTGTACGACATTGGAACTTTGTTGAAGCAGAAATGCTGTCTGGCTTCCCTCCTCCCGTCCTGGCTGGGTCGAACTGGGCGTAGGAAAGAGAATGACTGGCTAGGCGATGTTTGCGACGACGAATTTCACAACGTCGCGCATTCACACGCTCCGCCGAAATTCTTCCCACATATAAACTGTAGCGCCGGAATTCGACGCTTTCGATTTCGCGATTGCGTCGAATTGGAAGCTTACAGCTTACAGGAAGCCGCGAGATAAAAGACGAAGCCAGAGACGGGAGGATTCGAGGCTCAAGGCCAGCAAAGAGGGAGCAGAAGCATCTTTAGACGTACCTCGACAATATGACTATTGCCTTCCTAAGCAAATCCTCAGATGAGTTTGAGTGGGATGGAGAAAATTAAAGGGAAGTGCGACCGGCCACGGGCGTTCATGGACGGGAAAACTGACTGCCGCGGGCCCTGGGTTTGCCTGTGGGGCGGGCTTTCGAGACCTGTGGCTTAAGCGAGTACACGTGATATCTGCAATATTTGATTGGTTGGAGAACATATGCAATTTTGCTTTGTGCGCTACGAAAAGCAGGTGCCACTGCTTCTCGCCGCGACTTCCCCGGTCCCTCTCGCGTAAAAGTTTTAGTGGGTTGTGCTGTAGCGGGTCAAGCAGCCCTGGACCAGCCCTCGTCGTTTCGCCCCCCCAAACGACCAATATTGCTGTCGTCAATCTGCGCGCACACTCCTATTGGAACTTTTACTCAGCAAGCCAGAAAAGCTCAAGTACGTCTGAGATTCCTCTGATTTTCTTTCCCTTCTCCTCTTCACGGATACTAACAACAGCAGACGTCGCCAAAATGGTCAAGAAGAGAAAGAACAAGTACGACGATGCCCCCTCCTATCCGCCTCGCTTGTCGTCGACTATCAATGGCATCTTGCAATAGTCATGATACCACTCGATGTCGACGTCGCCGGCGAGGCCTCTCCTAGCGAATGCGATTACTGACTTGAGTTCTCCTATAGCGGACGCAACAAGAAGGGCCGCGGCCACGTCAAGCCCATCCGCTGCAGCAACTGCTCGCGATGCACGCCCAAGGACAAGGCCATCAAGCGTTTCACCATCCGCAACATGGTCGAGTCTGCTGCTATCCGTATGTTGCTTTGCCACCGGCTTTGCAGGATCACCGACTAACACTGCCTAGGTGATATCTCTGACGCCTCCGTCTTCGCGGAGTACACCGTCCCCAAGATGTACCTGAAGCTGCAGTACTGTGTCTCTTGCGCCATTCACGGCAAGATTGTCCGGTACGTTCGTCCGCGGGAGCGACGACTGCGCGCCCTGGTCCCAGTGCCGGTGGCTAGCAGGCGCTTCAGAAGAACCTTGGCGTTACTCGAAGCTCCCAAGTCCCCTTCCTCTCTGTGGATACCCTCAGCATGCCTGCTGCAGGATCTGATGGGTGTTCCGGGGAGACTTTTCGTGAGAACATGTTGTACTGACATACCCCCCCAGTGTCCGTTCCGTCGACGGCCGCCGCAACCGTGCCCCCCCTCCCCGCGTCCGCTACAACAAGGACGGCAAGAAGATCGTCCCCACTGCTGCCAAGACCGCTTAAAGTGTTTGACGGATCATGGGGTGCCAGGCGTTTGTGACGATGAGCAGTGGATGAAAAAGTTGTCCTTTCAGGCATGGTTTGGGAACCGGATTGGGTCTTATGACGTGCATCTAGGAATATCGGGCCATGGCCCTAGGCTAGCAAAGGAAATGCTTCATGACACTGTCTTTGAGTCCCAAATTGTGCTGCGTTGTAAAGTGCCCTGAAACTGTGTCTACCTAGCTTCCCACTTTTGATTCTTTTTACGCCTCTCGTTCGACTTCGAACGCAACGAACCGCCAGTTCTTGTCCCACCACGCTGGCTTCTTTGCGCCTGCATTTCTATGGTGCCCTATGTCATCGCCAATCACCGTCCTGAGCTTCCACTGCGTGTTCGTCTCCTTTGAGATATCAGACCACATGCTTTCCCATGTCTGCAGGTTATGTCGTAAGCTCGGCTTGTTGAAATTGGCTGGCAGTTCTATTCCATCAGCGTGCCCAACCAGATGGCCGACAATGATAACCCCGGGTTTCTGCTTCAGCATCCGGATAACTCTTTTCAGCACAACCATTTGATCATTCCTATCCCACAGATGGAGACACTGACCCAAATGTGCCGTGTCGAACTGCCCTTCCATGGCATTCAACGTCTGGTTGTCCTCGGCGAGCATGTCGGCAATCACAAACCGTGTTTTGAGTGTGTCCTTGTCGCGAAACAACTCGTACCCGGCGTCGATGTATCCCTGCTCCAGCTCCACGGCCGTGATGTTCTGCGACGGCACCCCGTCATAAACGAGCTTGCGGAGATCCTGTCCGATACAGCACGCCACCTCCAAGTGCCTCCCATCCGGTTCCTGCAGCCGGGCAACCATCCGCGGGTAGATTGGTCGTTGCTTGAGGTTCAGGTCCAGGAAGCTAAAGTGGCCTACGCAAGGGTACGGGAAGACATCCCAGATTTTGTCGCGCTAATGTCTATGTCAGTGACGCTGCTTAAATGAGATGGCCTGCGGAAAGATGTGGGAAAAGTCGATAGAGGATCCTTACCATGGTCAAGACATGCTCTTTCACGTCCTCAGGCGCGATGTGCGCATAGTTCTCGAGTAGTTCTCTCGATTCGGTCGAGATCTCGCCTTCAAGGGTTGGCATATACCAGGGGGCTGCCTTGTTCTTATCCCCGATGACAATGTTATTGTCTACAGCCTGCATTGTGTTCTTTTCAGTCGTTTGTTCGTAGCGTTTATTGCGAGTTTACCCAACTCCGGCCTTCTCCCGCTCTTTACGAGCGCCATCGCCACTTCTTATGAAGACCTACTCAAACCTTTTTCGGCACCCCTCAAGCAACTTCGCGGTACCGAGCTCGGCCATTACATTAGATCGTATTGGTGCCATTCAAAATTGGACGAATCCGACCACAAAATACTTTTGGGGCGGCATAGTCTCGTTTCATCAACGGGCCTCGATTGCCTTGACAGGATGTTCTGCGGAACTCTGTCTGATGGTCCGATGTTTTTATACGCCGCATTTCTCTCAACATAACCAACCACGCCCTGAATTACCCCGTCTGAATGAGAATGAGGAGAGAAAACTTTGGAGATATCCCTGCCAGTAATATGAACGCCCACAAAACTCTACGATATTTCTACTCGTACACGTAGGCATGGTTTACGCGCCCTATCGCCCAGTGCGCCTTACCCTCAGCATTTCCAACACCCGTGCTAATCCCGCGGTACCGACACGTTATCATGGACGGGAGGCAGCGATTACCATGTCACGGGCAGCTTCGCAACTCCAACGTCCTTGTGGAGGGGAGTGTACTCCAACTCGGGGATGGGTACTGCAATCTTCAGATTGGGCAGCTTCTTGAAGAGTGTTGCTGTCCGGTTCTGTTAGCAATGTGCTCTCGTATACCACCAACTCTCTTGAAATCCGCAAAGAAAAAGGCGTTGGTAGAGTCTGGTAAGGGAGGAGGAAAAGCTTACCAAACACGAGCTCCATCTCAGTGCGCGCAAGTGGCTCAGCGACACACCTATGCGGACCAAAGCCGAAACCCAGAGCGTGGTTGGGGTCCGGGGTACGGTGCAAGTCGAAGACGTCAGGGTTGGGGAAGACATCCTCATCACGATTGCCGGATTGGTTTGCGGCGATGATACCTTCGCCTGCCTTGATAGTCTGTAACTTCCTGTCAGCACTCACTTCTCCCAGAAACATCCGATAGAGTAACTTGGGAAGGGGGAAAGCATACCTTGCCGCCCAAGACGATGTCCTCCTTCGCCACCCGCTTCATCGCCAGAGAGGAGCCGGTATGATACCTGCACAGCTCCTCGACGAATGCTTTGGCGAGGGAGGGGTCGGCCTTGAGTTCCTCCAGCTGGGAAGGGTTACGGATAAGCTCGATCACGCCCTGGTCTGTCAGTAAGGGGCATTTTGGTTACCTAGGAAAGGGGGACGTACGAGGGCAATCATGTTCACCATTGTAGCGTTACCCGCAACGAGAAGCAGGAACGAAATCTGCACGGCGTCTGACATTTCGATGTGGCCCGGCTTCAGTTGCTCTACGACGAGCTTGCTGATCAGGTCGTCCTTGGGCTCTTCGGAGCGCTTGTCGACCAGGTTGGCGAGGTAGTCGAGGAGTTCCCTTGTGATGGTCAGTACCGCTGATAACATGTTGATGGGGTATTGGAAATTGGCTTACTGGTTTGCAGCTTGTGCCTGAAGGGCTGTTCCACTTCCATTGGTGCGGATAGCGTTCTGCTGTGTGAGGTACTCGAGGTCCTCGAAGGGGACGCCGAGGATGGTGTAGATGATCTTAGCCAAAGTCAGCACACACAAGTCCAACTACTTCTATCCCTAGAAATTGTTGATGGGACCTACATAAGACGGAACGGGCAGGGCAAAGTTTTCAATCAGATCAACGGGCTCGTCGCACCCCTTCTGGATCATCTGGTCAAGGAGCTGATCGATAGTCTTTTGGATATACGGCTTCATGGTCTCAACGTGCTCCGTTATGAACAACGGCTCGACCATGCTCCGCTGCCTCATGTGCGCCGGAGGATCCATATCGACAAAGGTGGGCTTGTTTTTGGCGGCTGCCTTGCCGCCGGCGCTGAGCTCAGGGAAACCTGGCCTGTTGCGTTCCTGTTTTGTGTAAGCATCACGACTTCATCGATATTCACAGAGGATTGGCAGATTGAGGGTTCTGTAAGAATTACCTTGGAAAGACGAGTATCCGTTGCAACGGCACATACGTCCTTGTACTTTGTAACCAGCCATGCCTCCGAGCCATCAAAGAGCTTGACTCGGGAGACGGGGTCTGTGGCACGCAGACGAGCGTATTCAGCCGGCGGCTCGAGGCCAGAGGCACGCTTGAACGGGAATGAAGGGGCTTCGGTAGCCGTCATTATTCTAGCAATTGAGATTGATTGCTTGAGATGAGATGTGTTTCTGGGAAACCTTAACAGGCGGGAAGATGAAATCATGAGATTGAGACTTATTCTGATGGTGAGCTATAATACAAAACTCCTCTTGTTGAGACTACGCGTGCCATTTATATCATTCTGGACATATCGAAATCGACGTCACCCGAGTCTGGAACGACGAAGAAGCATACTCATGGGCCCCGGTTGTCGAAGGAGTACAAGGGTACATCTCATGATGCACATTGGCGCCCTTATTCCCCGTCGTGGTGGGCGTATGGCCTGATCGTGACAGACATCCCACAGCGTCCACATTGTAATGCAAACAACCCGGTTGGTTGGTATCGCTGACTACGTAGTACGAGGGGCTGCATTCGGGAATCATGCATCGAATTAAGGCGCGGCTTACAGGGGGGTAATTTTTGGCGCAAGGCCATGCGGCAGACATGAACCGGGAGGAGGCGGGGCGGGCCCGCGGAGTTGTTCATTTCTTCGGAACCAGTTTGGGACTCTTTTGGGGGTGCCCGTCAAGTCCCGATGTCAGCGGGCTAGTTATGCCAAATACGGCGGTTTTTGTTATATAAAAATCAGCGGATTGGTCACATGCTAGGACTGAACGTGTTTTTTTTCCCACGCTGTGCTTAGAATATCATCGTCTTTTCTTCATTTGCAGAAATGTGGATTGGATGGGGAATGCGGCTGCATTTCCAGATCTCCGGGTATTTGTCACTGTGAGCAACGTGGTTTTGCTGACTCTTGAATGATGTTATTGGATCGGTAAACAACTGGAATTGCTTCTTCTGCCTTGTTGTTACAAAAAAACCATCCCGTCGGGTAACCGGGGTTGGCCGGGATTTGAGGGTCGGGCTGCTCCGCGTAGGCGTCATCCTTTCAGTACAACAGACCGAAATGTCTAAGTTGTACGGTGTGAGAAACCTGACATACATATTTGGCAGTTGAGGGATTTGGGGAATGGTCATTTCTGTTCTAAACTTGGCCAGCCTTTGTTGTGCTGCTTCCTTCAAGACTTGCCGGCATTGTACCTTAGTCACTGTTTGCAGATTGCACCGGGGTAAGCTCAATTAAAGCCAGCGAATTTGGTATACCCCTCTGTCGCTGATTAATCTAATGGTATAGATTGGCCATGTGAGAATATAGATTTCTTAACCGATGTGTTCCTGTATGCATGCAATGGCCATAACACGAGACTCGATACTTTAGTCCGTTAGTTCAACCCCTGTCGGCCGTTTATACTATTCCTCACTTTCCTATTCGGGCAACTTCCTTGGCTGGTAAGGCTGTGCTATGTTAGTTCCAACTAAGCCCTCATCCGAAGATTGAACGATGGACTCACCAGTGGCTTTGGCGGGGCGTCAATCCAAGCTGCGATGCGGTATTGCTGGTTGTTGGTAGCCGTGAGACTCAAATCGTACTTTTGAGGCGACATGAATGCGAAGGCGAAATTCATTGGAAATCCAGGATTAAATGGAGAGGCCTCGTGTATAAGGTCAATGTCTGCTTTGGTGAGTTCAACGCCGACTGCCGCTGGCAAGGCTTCAACATGAGCAACGGCATTGACGCCAACGATGGGGAACACGTAGGGTGATTGATGAAAGAGGTACGCCAGAGCCTACAGACGGTCAGCGTTTAGAACCTGATTGGAAAGGAGCCTCGAACGTTCAACACTCACAATAGCTTGTAGAGTTGTGCCCTTCTGCTCGGCAATCTTCTCCATTGCATCGCATAACGCAATCGGCGGCTCTTGACCATGCGAAGATTTGCGCGCATCCGGATCTTCCTCTTTTTTCCGTCTCTCCTCTGCCGTCAAGAACTGCCCACCACCCAATGCTGCCCAAGGCACAATGGCCATGCCCTGGTCTTCGCACATGGGTATGATTTCGGCCTCCATGTCGCGGAGAGCTGCGTTCCACTGGCCTTGATAGACTGAGAAGGGCGTAAGGCCGTGGGCGCGAGCATCTTGGTTTGCTGTCAGTGACATACACCGGATTAGACACAATCATGGCAGGCTTACAGGCGTTGGCTTTCACAACAACCCAGGCGGGCGTGTTGCATACTCCCAAATAGAGCACTTCCTTCGCCATGACGTGTGCATGCAAACCCCTCATAACCTCCTCCACCGACGTCGCCCAATCCCACCAGTGAACATACAAGATGTCGATGTAATCCGTTCTCAACTTCTTCAGACTTTCCCTGACAGAAATGTGCATGCTCTTGGCGGAGTTTCCCGTAAAGTTGCTCTGTAAAGGTTCCTTGTCACGGTTATATGAACGGAACCCGGCGGTGTACTTCGTTGCAACGACCATTTGGTCGCGCACGCCTCGCGCTTCCATCCATTCCCCGATAAGCTTCTCCGAGTCTTCTGAGTTGTAAATGTTGGAGGTATCGATGAAGTTGCCACCGAGGTCGTAGTAAGTATCAAGGAGTTTGAAGGGGTCCTCATTCTTGCCGAAGAGAGTGCTCCAAGAGTGCCCGATGCCGATGCCGCCTAGGCAAATGGGAGACACCTTTACCGCTGCGTTAGGAGAAAGGATGCGGTGCCATCCTAAGGCTGTCTTTGGCTTTGGGGGGTATTCGAAGAAGGACATTGCAGATGATTGATAATGTGGCCTGGTTGCTTCGGGAACTTCATCTACATTGAGTGAGTCCAAGGCACGTTATATAGTATGTCACGGGCTTTCTAAACGAATATCGAATCTGCAATTGCCAATGTATGTCATGGCATTAATGCTGGCCTTGTCCAACTGGCCCCACATCTGCAACCTGATGACACCTGCAACTGGATGACACTCCACGTGTAACTGAACGACCCACCCGGAGATAACGATGGCTGTCATCTTGGACTGCTTCAAACGAATACCAAGCCGACAACTTGAGGCCAAGACATCTTCAACTGGTTTCATGCGAGAAGCTGTCAGGACGGCCAGTTTTGATATTTACGTCATTGAGCATTCAATTGGCTCTTATATCGGCAAGTAGCTCATCCACGATCCACCAGATCTAAGAATTGTTTATGTGCGCTTGTGATGTAATGAGTGTATATTGTGTATTCAGTAAAAGTCTTCTACTGGGTGGAAACCTCTAGAGAAGAAGTGAGGTGTGTCTTCCCGTGGGCAGCTATGTGTTATCTCCAGGTGTCAAGATCTTAGGCTATTGCCATGGCCATCATCAATGTATGGATGTTAGAAATTTCGCACTGATAAACTTCTTAGCCATCAACATATATGTAACCCAAGATAACTAATATCAAGCTCGGTTTGTTAAGTTTATATGTTTGCTAGCATTTCCCCTTTTCTGACCATATTTACTGTTCCATGACATTTCAGTTTTAATCAACAGACTTTGTTCACAAGCACAATTTAGGCTTTTGCAATTTCATCATACATACATTAATCGACTCCTCAAAATTTATCGCATCGTAAAGGATATACTCTTTAAAAGAAGTTATAGTACTAACTTAGTCACACAATTAGATTGCATGAAACGTAGCAAGCATGTATTGATGACTAGTCTTCGCAACTATTACAGCTCCCTACACCTCTTGCACCCGCAATCAAAACCCCAATTCCTCTTTAAAGTAAACATTCTCTTGTCTCTTGACAAGTTCCGCTCTTCTCCACCCAAATATGTAATGTTTATTTCTTCTCCCATTTCGATATCCTTTCCAGCCCTGAACTCCCACGCCCTGCCGTCCCTGACCTTCTCAATGTTCGGGCCACAAGAATGGTTGAAGTAACTGGCCGAGGGCCAGCAACCGTATCCGAAGAACTCGGATCCTTCATCCTCTAATGAACGGATACCGAATGAGTTGTGGCTGTCGCGTGAGGAGATGAGGAAGAGCGTCTCTGGCGTTGTCAGGGACAGCAGGGGCAAAGGAAGAATCGAAAGCAAATGCAGGTAGGTTCGGGTAAACGCGCGCAGGTCGTCAGTGCTGCGGTAAGGCGATGAGTGGATCGCCAACGAGAGCAAGTTCTCCCATCTCTGGGGACTGTTGTACCGAGCAATAATACCGCCAACGCAGAAGCTCATGACATCTGCCTGTATAGGCTGTTGAAGTGCTTTCAAGATGGCTTTGCGTTGTTGCTTCGTGACCAGTCCGATGTTCTTGCCGTTCTCTGTCAGACCCTGCTGCCCATTCTTGTCCTGGACGTTGCCGGCCAGTTCCGCCATTCTCGCTGTGCGTATCAGCTCCGCTTGTGCATGGGTGTCTTCCCACGCCTGGGTAATCTCCTTTGCATCCGGTCTTGGTAAGTCAATATCCACCATGTCATTGTCCTCTTTGCTTCTCTTCTTGACTAGTTTCTCTACCTCAGTCCAGGCCTGGACTCCTACTTCACCAGTCTCTTTCTGCCACTTTGCGCGACATTCACTTGAGCAGAATGCAAATCCCACGGCTTGGTCTCGAATGCTCAGGTCTCTGCCGTAATCGTAAGTAAAGCACTGGCCACAGACTTCACGCCTATACTCTCGGAGAAGAACCGAGAGCGTAAGATCGTCTGCACGCAATAGCAAAGTGTTCTTGTCGATGTGTTGGGTGGCGAAAACGGCGCGACCAGCCGTTGGAGTATCACGAATCTCAAAGAGCGAAGACGTAGGAGCTCCTGGAAGTACTGGCTTTGACTGATCGTCGTATGCTGCTGTCAGAGACGGAGCGGACGAGACCGAAGATGGCCTTGAAGCGCTCGATGCTGGATAGCTCGTCAGTGGAGTGGCGATGTCGCTGTCGTTGGGGTCCATGGTGAGTGATTGAGTTTTTTTTCGTGTAATTGATTTCTGTGTCAATATACTATTCGTAGTTTGTGTGATGAGACGTAGGTCAACTGTTGTTCAGAAGAGGAATTATCGAGTATCTGTGGTCAATCTTGGTTCCTTAGAACACACTGATGATGCAAATAGCACAATGCAAAGCGGTTGTCTTAGGTCAGCTTCGAATGTCACATATACTGCTTCCGGAAGTGAGTTTTTGAGTAAATGCCATGCTGTAGTAAATTCCTCAGAGGTATGGTATGCTGATTGAGGGGTGAGCAAAGAGATGAAAACAATGAGGTAGGTGGCGGGCGGAATGTTATTTAATATCGTTTGTGGGTCGGACCCTGAGATTGATGACAACTCCGGACTAGCGTGAAGCGATAACGATGTGCTAGTGGCAACGCATGCGGATATGAAAAAATTCTTCCATTATCGGCTTTATTAAGACCGTGTTCTAGAACACCGCATTTCTGTGTGACAATAATGTGGTAGGCGGTGAAGACACATCAAGCCCTGAGAGTTTCGTTATTTCACCCAAACTACCGACCAACTCTGTAGTCAAAATAGTTGAGGCTGAACACAACAGTAGCTGTCCACCTAACACATGTAGCGCAACGCTAATAATAAAGAGAAACGCTAACCAAGACAACAAGGTGAGCGATTGGATTTAGTTGGACTACGAGATATTCATAGTCTCTTTCGCTTTGGTTGTCGTGACTATTAAATGTCTTTGAAGAGATAACAATAGGGACATGCCCAAGTTTGTGGCTTGTACGGACGCAAAGTTCCAGTCTGTGTTGGCGCAAATGCAAAATGCGAAACAACCTCAAACTTGTTTACCCCAACGATGAAATAGAATACCAATTGTGCCAAGCAGTGCTAAATTTTCCTTGAGCAAGCTAGACACTATTTCTCATGAAGCAGGTGACAGGGCCGTATGGTCACTGATAGTGATCTTGAATTAAAACCTCAATCAAGTAAGTTTCTGACACGCAAAATATGATTCGCACTCCGAACCACGGTAGCACCCGATGGTATACCTAACATCAACAACGCATCACTTGCTAAGTACACAAAAAGACTAGTATGCCCAACACTGCTAGCTGCCAAGTTGTCGCATGACAAGTATCGATGTTGAACTACTTTGAGCACAGGATATTCTCCAGATAGACAGACTTGTTTAGACAAATTCCACACGTGTTAGTTAGCCAAACATAGCCCAGATAGGACCAATCAAGAAAGGTCGTTCTCAACGCTAACACATGCTTTCAAAAGCGCAGGTTCTCAACTTTTTTTTCTCGTCTAAAAAGTGTATTTCTTATCAAGCGTTTCTTTTATGCTTGTGAAGAGCCTCTGGAAGAGTGTTCAGGCACAGCTCGTTCATGCGATGTACCCTAAACTCGATAACCCTAACCTGATGACATATGACCTTTATGGGCTAGCATCAGCCTTTCCAGACCGCTACTTTTAGCATCTTCAATCAAACAACTAGTATTTTTGGTCAAAGGTATGCTAATAGCCCGGTTTTTGCTGCCGAACGCGTGAATTGAACTAAGAGCAGCTAGGGGGCAGCCTGCCTCCTTGGCAGGTACCCTTAAATTCTGATATCGTCCAACTGCCCTAATATTGGAAATTAGAAGTCAGTACAGAGTAATTCATGGGTGAAAGAATATCTACTGCTGCAATGCATTGCCTTGTGCAAGGAGTACCAATGTTCTCCCGGGTACACTCAGGGGTACTCTTACACTCGTTGTGTTGCGCCTGTCCTACTGCCTTGCCGGCAAGAACGGTAGCAATAACATAAAAGAAAGACAGACGCATTTTGGTTGAATAGACTGGGTAGAGAAACAGTGAGGAGCGAAGCGTTGAAGTTTGAGCGGTCCAGAGGTTCGGCTTTTACTCGAGTAGGGAGGGATAGGGATGGACGATTTATAACATTGTTGCTGGCACGAGAATGGTCCCACCCCGTCTATTAAGGTTCAATTATTTTTAAACCGCGCTCGTGCTTCTAAAGTCACAAGACTAGAAGCTCAACCACTTCCAACGTGGCCGGGTAACGGCTGTAACAAGCAGCCCGGCCAGGATATGACTTCTTATTCCTCTTTCGTCTTCCTTAAAGTGCTGAATTAATTACTTTATCAAACTCAAATGAATGCCCGCACCAGAAAAGGTTTTACTTGGGTCATGATCAACACCCACGCCAGTCGTTGTCGATCTTGAGGCGTACTGTGTATTCGGAAGGCTCCGAGGCTGACGACGGATTAGTCCGCATGTTCCTGGATTTGGGCCACACATTCAGCAGACTACCCAAAAAGCAATGTAGGTACATACACAGTACCTGTTTCCAATTGGTACTCTAGGTGATGGGGTCATTCATGTGCGAAGGGCCCGCTTTCGGACATTCTCGTAGTTCATCAAGCACTTGGCATGCTTTGACGCAAAGGTTATTCATATTGCTCTTGAATGTAAGTCTTCTTTCAAAGTGGATCCCAAGCCATAGTAGGGAGGCTTCTTGGCTAACAGCCTGAACGATGTGCTGTCTTGTCTAACAATCTGACGGTTACCGTAAAAATCAGATTCAGCTTCCGCGTTTAAGCTTCAAGAGTATTATTAGCCAAGTCACTACGGGATTGACTCACAGTGTGTAATCTAGTGTCTAAAGTACGAGTCTCATCAAAGGAGCCACTTTTCGCCTATTAAAAGCATGACTTATAGCGATGACAGGCGGTAAAACCTAATACCCTGAGGGCCCCCGTCTTTTCTTCCTCATCAGTTCCCTCTTCCTCTGGCTACTTACATCAGGCCATGATCAGCTTAAATTCCCTTGATAGGGCTCCTTGGCTGACTCGTTCCCATCATGACCAGATTCTGTAGATGATGGGTGAAGGCTTCGGCAACGACGCTGTTCTTGAAGTTGTGCCTCGCACTGCCCGATCCGATATTGGAGTCGGGCCGGTGTTCTATGTTCTTTCCTAATGACATGGAAAGGTTTGCAAGATCTAGCGTCTTCTGATAGAATGCGACTCCCACGAAGTGTTAGCAGAGAAACGGCGTCGAACATCTGATCATTATCGAACGCACAGTCCAGTCGACCATAACGAATGATTCGGATATATATAATTACATAGTATCTCAAAAAATTACTCACAAGTATAATACCTACGGATGTAATCAGACGTCGATGCATGTTTTCATAACTATAGATACACGGATGTGACGAACCAGTCTCACAGTAAGAATGCAAGAAAGGGTGTAAAAGATTAACTTGACTTGGACAAGGAAGGAATGTGTGAACACGCCTATTTACACGCCCATGGTGAGTAATATGAAGGGGTTACCTCAAACACATCCCGTTCGGTGCGTTTGATGAGCATTGATGTAGTTGCCACGACAGGAAAATGTAAAGTAATCAGTTTTTCACTTTTGCATATCGCAGCCGTAAACCTGTATTAGGAAATTTCGAGCCTCATGTGGACATTATACTATCCATATTCTATACTGGACAGTTAATACCTGAGAACAATCTATGAACCTAAGCATAGTCCGTTCATGCATAATACAAAGCCTAATCTAGAATCAGCAGTAAACTACCTACGGGAGATTAAGGTAGCCTCTCTTAATACTATAGAGCCCAAGCATATTGCCCAAGCCTAAGCCTGTTCCTAACCTTAATCAGCTGACGTAGCCAAGCCTAGAGCCCAGGCAAATCGAAGCAGAGCCTTAAACAGAAGTTGCTTGAGCCTAAGCTGGTCACTTAAGCGGAATTCATATTGGTTCGACACTGTTATTCTTTCTTTTCTCACAAACTAATGCGTATCGTTCATCAGGTTTTATTGTTCAGGCCACATGCACGATAAAAACCTTGGTTATGCCCATCATCGAACTTTGGACAAAAAGCACCCAATCAGACAAGAGGCGAAAAGCTTGTATCTTTACTCTGTTCTCGTTAGTGATCTCATGATGCTGCTGTAGATCAGTTCAAGTTGGTGCAGCGACTCTCAGCTGCATGGAATGATCCCGGCGGATTCGATTCCGGGCTATGACAAGGCTGAATGTCCGTAAACGCGTTCTTCATCTACCAAATCCAGGACATTTATCACCTTAATACATTGCGGAAGTCCTCTTCGTTGTGCTTCCGGACAGCCTTCGATAACTGTTGTTGCACGATGTCTGTTACCTTGATGAAGCAAGACGTTATCTACAGACTCGCCTAAATCTCCTTCAAGACATCCAAGTGTGGGTAGAATAATCAAGTAATGGTGCCCACCCGAAATACTACTTTACCCTGACTTGCTCAAAAGCCAAAGCTCAAGAAATCCTCTCCATTGAAACATCGCAGAGCAGTTCCAAAACTCATCCTAAGCCCCCAAAAGGTCGAGTCGCAGCCTTTCACAATAATCGTCAATACTGTAGGAGAATCTCAAAATAGATATAGATACAATCATTATTTAAACTCTGAGCTGACCATTCTGGAGGAAGTCAACTTAAGACGTCCCGATTGGAACTTTCCATTATCATACTTGAGGTTGTCTACACAAACTTTACCCCGGCATTTTTAGGGAATTGGGTAGTAACCTAGAACTCTTGTTCAAAGATGAGTTCGTAAATTCACGGGCTAGTCGAATGGTCTAGATGAATATCTTTAAGAATTTATACTAGACTGGTTCCAAGATAAGGGACTGGAAATTCTCAGCCAAACTACGAGCTCACTTTTCACTTTCGTTGTCATTACATTCCACAACCATCATAACAAATGCATTGAAATATGATTAAGAAGCTGTTCAATGCTAAGCATTGCTAGCTATATTATTTTTAAACTAGCCCGTAACGTACGGACGGGCTCGAGGAGCGACAGTTACCTCAAAACTGTGCTAAGCATACATGATAACGTAGCTCTCCTGAAATCTTGTCCTTGAAAGATACTTTTTACAGGCCATACAGTAGATTGTATGTTCAGAGTGCAGGCGGGAGGCTTAGTTAAGGAGACCGCAGATGAGGCCACCAAGGTTAAGCTGGTTGAGGACACCGCCGACGAGGCCGAGAACAGTGGGCAGCAGTCCCGACAAAACTTCCAGAAGCAGGTTGATAACGCCACCAAGGGCGGAGAAGACGATCTTGAGAAGGTCCTCGACCAAGACATTGAGAGTGGTGAGAAGGTGGCCGATAACAGTAAGGAGGACGAAAACAAGAGGTCCCAGAAGCTCGAAGATGCCTTCTCAGATGTTAGCAGAAGTTAATGAGAAAGAGAAATAATAACATACTGATGCTAAGAACCTTCAACACGTTCTTGAGTGTAAAGATGATTTCGAAAACAAGCTCCAGAACAAGACCAACAATCTTCTGCTTCTCCTCCTCAACAATCTCGACGGTGTTGGACAGAAGCTCAACGACCTCGCTGACGAGGGTGTTGATGAGGCTAACGATAATGGTGATCTCGCTCTTCACAAGCTTGATGATGCTCTCCTTCTTCTCCTGCGCGGCGCAGGGGCCACAGACACCGTCAACGGTAGAGTTGATCGTGGAAGTGTGCTTCTTGACCTCAATGATGGTAGTCTGAATCTTTTTGATGACGACCTGCTCAGCGCGCTTGTCAAGCTCGTCAAGGTCGACGTTGGAAATGTCCTTAGTGCTAGGGATTTTGTCGGTGATTTGGTTTGTGCTAGGGATTTTGTTGGTGATATCATTGGTGCTGGGGATTTTGTCGGTGATGTCGTTGGTGCTAGGGATGTTGCCGACTCCGGGGATGGCGGGTGCTGCCAAAGAAGTTGCAAAGAGGGAGGACACAGCCACCAGACCAAAGTTGAAGAACCTCATTTTTACGGTATTGTTGGAATATAATGAATGACTGTGATAGCTGGATATAAATTAAGGAATGACAAGAAGGTAGAGAGACCTGAAAAGAATGACTAGGTTGAGACTGTTGATGGCAGAAGGACGAAAGTTTGGGCTAGTTTGAATCTTTAAGTATTCAGAGGAATATTACTGATGAGGATATGACAACTGCCGCAGTACCCTAGATGAAGTTCACCGCAAGATCATTCCCTAGCTCAACTAATCTGGACGAATAATCTCCTGGAAGATTTCACAACGCTAGTTATCTGTGAAAGGCAAAGATCACACCCGAGCTTTCCTGTTCTGGATGCTTGACGTGATCAGTAAAATTTGACAGGAAAGAAGCCCAGGGGGTCACCCTGGCTAGGACTCGCACGTTCAAGCTAGGGGTTCTTCCGCATGTTCCGTGGGGAAAAGACCCACGTTAGGATGTTTGTTGCACATTGCTACTACTATGATACGTGGATTTTTCACCACGTATCGGCACAGTTCCATGTGACACCTATTCGAATATCGAAGAAAAAAACAATGATATCGCGTTGTGAACCGAGCTAGCAGCTGTACATTTGCCTGGAAGGTTAATGTATTGTGTAGTATTGTGTAAGTAAGGTGGTTGACGCTCGGAGAATTTGGATCTGCGGGCCCACAAACTTGATGGTGGGGTAGGGATGATCATCATCACAACCACGACTAATCCCGAACGAAATGGGGCTAGCCTTGGAAGGACTGAACAACACATGGCAACTGTAAAGAGACGAATGATTGACACACTCGTAACTCAGTGTGGTTAAGTCATGTCATATCATTACTTCAGCTGCCGGCATTGTGACCCATCAAACCCTTGCCGTGGTCATCGTTTTCAGTTTCATGAAGACTTGGCCAAAGAAACTTGTCAATCCTAATGTGAAAAGACGTCGACAACTTCCAGGGGGCTGTATCACCGCTGTTGAAAGTTTCGTGGAGACTCCACAGACTACGTCTTCGTGACAAGCTTCAGAGCCCCAGGCGCCATGTCATTAGCCTCTCTCCTTATCAAGCGGTCCTATTATGAGATCACACAAACAAAAAGCCAGGCACACAGCGACGAGGACAAAGCATGAGTTGCACCAAAATTCTGCCTGGGTTGTGTTTAAAGGTTTAGAAGATAGCCATTTTCAAACCGTGTTTCATGAACCATGAGGACTATCAAGGACAGGCTAGTCTTAGAGAACTGGCGAATTGAGCATTACTAAGAAGGCTTGATAGAAGGAATAAAGTTTATACGATAACACAAATCCTGAAAGATTGGGTGCTTGAAGCCTGAAAAAACCGTCTAACATTATGTGTGATCACCTACAACTGAGCGGGACCAGAGCCGTACCGGCAAAGAGACACTTCAAGCCCGCTAAGGTTTCGACCAGTAGATGAAATGGGCCTCCAAAGTGATGATCTTACTGTATGTGAATGGTTGTACATGCATCATACCTAGACTGTGACTGGTATCTTTGCCTAGGGTCTGGGGGTCGCTAGTGTCCCAGAATCAAGTAAGCTCGAAGGTAAGCGGTGTCTTTTCTGCCACAATTGTAGTGTATTTATCTTTTCAGAACCAACGGTACGAGTCAAGTCTGGGAAAAGGAGTAAAAGAAGTCAAAATGATCACTTTGTTGGAGACTCTGAACTTGAAATGCACCCACCCACTACAGCAGGCAGAGCTGTGGACTTAGTGATGTACGGCGACGTCAGCTATCGAGACGAAGAGATCGGCTTTGAAAAATGGGCGTCTGACTCACGAGAATCTGAAAGAACTGATACAAAAATTCAAGTTAACATGAAATTGAGGACTGACGGGGAAAGCCAAAGAACAGTATCGTGGCGTTGCCCGTACAGTAAGTGCTTTTTGGAGATGTATCATGCGATCTGGGCATTTTTGGCAGTGGTTTTCTGGAAGTATTAAGACCACCGCAGCTTGTCATCCTCCCCAAGTTCCTTGGAGGGGATTAGATTACCACAGACCGAGATGGGGACTTGCTGTACTTGGGCGTCTGTTCTTGAATATCTAACAATTATCTATGAAGAAGGGGTAGTCTATACTGCCGCCAATCTGACCTGCAAAGAATTCTTGAGCAAGCTTGATAACTCTGGCTTTGTAAACTCCTAAATTTTCCAATGAGAAAACTACTTGACTGGACTAATTTACTTCGGCAATATGAAAATTACCAGCTGGTCATGTAAAGCTGGCCTGGAGCCTCATGCTTCTTTGCCGCCTGCAATGCCGAAGTTCCATTAGACAAGGTTAACTCACCAAGCAGCAACAACTGAGATATGATTAGTTCTTTGGAACGTGGGGTCTAAACAAAAGCTCTCACGTACATCTGCGCTCTATGTTTCTGTAATCTGGAGACGCTACACCCCAATGGTTGCTGTTCTTAGTTCTGCCACGAGAGAATGAGAGAAGGAAGACGAAACCCCGCACGAGCCATTTTGCTTTTAATGCCGTCAAGTTCTATTGAAAGTCTCAACTTCGCAATTCTAAATGCTTTGTTCGCGGTGAGCGGACGATTGCCATCGCTTGGGTTCATAAAGACTACTGATTCCACGGGAAAAAAGCCTCCGGATGCTGTTAGACGACCTCCTGTGAAGAACATTTACATAATTGCTATCCGCCACAGACCCACGTAGACCCCAAAAGTTATTTGCCAAAAGTTTTACGGAGCTCCAGGGCAAGCCCGTGGAAAAAGGTTGGGAGTTTTAGACAGCCATTATCACAAGGTATCCCAGAAGCCGCTCTTGTTCCCTCTCTAAGTCTCGGGGCCCGAGGAGTTATGGTGGATGCGGCCAATGCATTCTAAAAGTGGGGTGAATCGTCGCTCGATGCCTTTCTTGAATCACACTTTAACAAGGTTGAATCTTCTGTCAAGGAGATTATACAAGGCTTGGTGTTACATCCAAAAAGAATGGGATTGTCTGTGTGAAGAAGCTGTCACCCGGGGAAAGTTTGAAGACTTTTCCGCGATCGGATCCAACATATTCCAATGACGGGCCGCCTCGGATCCCGGGCATAAAGTCCGTGACCTTATTAGAACGTCTCCATAGACGTTATTTCCGCGGACTCCTGAAAACATCGGATTTCCCATCATTCAGAGTCCTGGGCCACTTCGTTCGGTTACTATCTTGGGTTATGCTTTGAGCTTGGGTCATCGAAGCAGCCATATAGGTAATTCAATTTTGTTGTTAGAAGTCAAGAACAAACTGCCACAGGCAGGCCTTCTTTCATGCAGGCAATTTTGAAGGCTTAAGCATCGGGATCTTTTTCTGAGATACCTCGTCTGTCTTGAACGAAAACAATTCGGATAAGGGCAATCTAACTCACCGAAAAGTAGCAGAACGGACTTTGCTCCGGCCAAGTGGAACCATTTGCAACCATACATGGCGAATCGGAATCGAGAATTAATTCCACCAAGTATGAGAAACTCGCCACTTCTGTGCGCAAGTCACAGCTACTGCTGATCGATATGTCCGTAAGCAAAATTCTTCTCTTCCACATGCCGTCAAATGACGTCAAATCGGGATCCATAGTCAAAGCAAAGCTGTCCATGTCATGAGTGTATCAAGAGATCAGATGAGACCAGGCACACACCACCACTGCTATCAGATCTGGCGACCGTGTAGCCCCTCCTCATTTCTGTCTCTGTTCCTCTGCGTTTTGTTTCGTCAATGGATCTGTGGACTTTTTCATACCAGAAAAACAAAAGGTTTTCAGATTGCAACCTCGCATTGAAAGGACGAGTCATTCAGAAGACCATCATCTGAAAGCAGATCGACACACCCAACACCAAATGTAACATAGTCATCGCATAATATTGATATTTAGAGGTGGAATACATAAACGAAAGCAGTCTGATTGTCCTTGTTTCCGTCATCCATTATCTGCAGTTGGTTGTTGAACCTGTCACTCGTGTAGTTAATGCACCGAGAAAAGACAAATCGGTGACAAGTGGTGAATGAAAAGGTAAATCGAAAATCTTGCAATAATTCAAAAAGCTCGTGAACAGTCCGAACTTAGGTTATCATGGATATTCAGACTCTGGAGTCTGTTCATGGTCGTTGGAGATGGATGAGGCTCTGAGCTCGAATGTACGTGAAATGGGGGTCACCGCCACCCCCGCAAAGCACTCAGAATGAGGCTATTAAGGCTAGCTCATTTAGAACCCCACCCTCTGTTGCAGGTCCTCTGACCTCAAGAGGGTTTTGCTGCAACTTTGATACTCAGAATTTGCGGGGTGCCTCATCGATGCCTCCCGCTCAACCTAGCATTTCTCTTGCCTTGCTTGTTCTATCAGGAACGTGTACACGAAGTGCAGGTTCCACAGTAACCAATGGGTTGATTAGCAAGCACTTGAATCTCCATGTTATCCTTATGCCGCCAAGAGACGGCATGTGGGCTTTGGGTATTTTGCCCAGAGAATTACCTGTCAGAAATGTGACATTCTCCTCGCCTCCACCTCGCAAATCTCCAAGGTTGTTCTAGGATCATCCATTTTATATCCTATATACACAATTGGAGGAATGTCACACGATCGCCAGATACCGCTGATGCAAGTGTTGCCAACCGATACTTTCCACAGTTTCGTAAGCAAAAACTTCAACGACGCGTATACTCACCATTGAGATCGAATGCCATCGACGAAAATAAGTGCCTTTTTCTGAATCGTGTTTGCGGCTCTCTGAATGCGACGCTACGCGTGTTGAAATCTCCAGTGTCCAATGTGAGGCTTGGCACACCTGTCTGTCACGCGAAAACCTGCCCGAGCCCTGAAGATTCGTAGGTTCATCCTTGAAACCTATCATACTTGGCAGGGACAAGCGAGATGTCTCTTAGGGGTCTCGTCTGTTTATTTTACAAAAGTTGAAATATCCCTGGATTCCTCGTGGCGACGTTCCACTCGAACCGAATCTAGCATCCCTGCTGCGGCGGGGAAACGGTCAAGTTTCTAAGTGGGTGTTGTCTCCTACGATAATGTGAAGCAGTATGATGTCTGCATGGAATACTTCGCACGCGCGGGGCGTTGTGCCATTCGTCTGACCTACGGTGCCTTGAATCCCCATCAACGTTCTGCCTGTGTCGCAGCTGAACTCTTCGACAAACTGTCACTCAAAGAAGCGTTTTCAATGTTGTGAATTTATCGGGGCTCTGCTACGTCCAGGAAACATGTTGATGATGTCTCAGAAAGAGGAGAAAATGGAGCCCTCATTCTCAATAGCTTCATTCAGATGGTTTCGGGAATTGAGGTTGGTGTTGAACTGCGCCCCAACAGCCAAGCTATGTCAAGGTATGGCCAAGGTGTAGCCAAGATGGATAACAAAGCTTCCATCGACGGATGAAGCCAGATCGCTCGCCGGACCGGTGTGGGCGCATCGATCCCCATGCGTTCCATTTCTGCACCAGCCCTTTGAAAGATCTCGGCGGGTTGATGCAACGGCCCCGAGTGCCAAGTTCAGAAGCAGAGGCCACAACCCTTCTCGTATTTGTTACCGGAACATATCGATTCGCCGAGTCGAGAATGGCGGTAGGGTAAGCGACCAATGCTACGATGCAAGGAATCTCCCTCTCAGATGCCGAAACGTGGAGATGTTTCACGGCGGCCAAAGCACCACTTCCCGCAATCCCGCCATTGGTCCTTGAGAGAATGGCTAGAGATCGATTTACCGAAGGCGAGCCCCGCCAGACCGAAACATATCTCGAGATTCTGGACTTCTATGCCGTTGACGGCATCATGGATACAGCACAAAGATTGAAAGTGAAGCTGGCAGTGATGTTCAGGAAGGGCAGCTTCTAGAAAGCGGGATGCAACACTGTCCTATCTTCACAACTGCCGATGAAAGCTGGGATCAGTGCACTGCCCCCCCATAGCTATGCCACTGCTATCCGTTTAAGTGCGATATCAAACGTAGGGCTGTAAATCACACATCTACGGTATCAATGACCTTGATTTTGGAGATCGAAAGGGCCGAAATCGTTGTGACATGGCACAAAGCTTGGTAGCAAGCCGATCTGGCGCTTCTGCTGTATAATAGCGTGGACTTCTTCTTCGTTGTGGTGTTGACAAAACGGGTGATCTGAGACAGGACCGACAGCGTTTTGCGACTTAGAGTCGGTGTGCTTGCCCAATGAGGCTGATTGATTTCATCCCATGATTAGTTTGAACTTAGATCGCATTGCAGGGTTTACGGTTCTCATTTGAGAGAAGAGGGTGAGCTGCTCAAAACATTTTTGAACATTTGCAAGACAAATAGCGCCAGGTCTAGAGCAAGGCCAGTAGCTATCTAGAAGAAGAAAAAGCAAGATCACGTTAGGACCAAGCCAGGTAATGCTTATAGTGTACGATTTGGCATATGTTGGCTTTAACCATCCAGTCTCGGTGGTTACATTGCACGTGAAAAGTAGTCAGTGGCTTTTAGACTGACAGGCGTAAGAGTGACATTCTCCTGGGACCTGCATTCCGCCATATGAATCAAGCATCAACAACCATATGGCGTCAATGTACCCCAGGCACTCAAAAATAGTGGATAACATGCGGGTGGATGATAGCTCCGTCTCGGCCCGCCAAGCTGCATGCATATTCTGCATGGAGCCCGAACAGTGATATCGTGCGGGTCAGATGGGAGATTGGGTGACACAGGGTCAATTAATGTGAACAAGCGGATACACACCGGTCGCGTTTTTCGCGATTGCGAAAAGTGTGAAATAGTTCGGAAAGGAAGTTCCCAGTTGACGAAACGTCGTTGGGTATTGTATGATACTGTGGCACAGAATATGGGAAAGGTGGTGTCTTGTGTTGCAAAGAAAGGACAAAAAGATCGGCGCATCACACAGAAGACATCCGACGACGCCACGGGGGTGTGCAGTGGTTTATGCCCTTCTGACCCTCTTGAAAGACAGATGAGATGATTTGGAGCATTTTGTTTGCCTCATGAGCAGGGAGACGGCCTGGATTGAAACGGTGTATAGCACATTCAGTGAACAGGGCGCCTTTGAGCTGCCGTGATGCCCGACGGCATCCGACGGGAGGCGTTTAGTCTGCTAGGCACAGCTGGGGCCCGAGGGTTTACCACTTCCACATTGTCCGAGAATCCTGGAAGGTAGATGCTCAGCTGAACCCAGTCCACACTCAGACGCCTCCCTTCCAGGTCTGTTCTAAGACTGAGCTTCATTCCATAAAAGAGAAAGCCATCCTACCAAGTTTAGGCTCTGGTTGTGTCTGGTTTTGTGCGACGAAGTGCAGGCGAACGCCAAGACAAAAGAAAGAAGTAAGCTGGTCTTGAGATTCTTCTTTTGGACGCCTCGTCAGTATTTTCGCCCATCATGACAATCGAATTTCTTCGGAAACACAACTTCAAGGTGACCCATCACATTACCTCAAATCTGTTATGGGTCACCATGGTGTTCGGTATGAGCGTCTTCACCTTCGGGTATGAAGGCTCAACGCTCAATACCATTCAGGCAATGACACGTTAGTACTTCTCAAGAAAACCTGGGCTCTGTTTAAACCACCGGAAACTCACGTGCTAACGAAAATCTTCACAACAGCTTTCGAACAGAGGTTTGGAGATTACATCCCGGCCAAAAAAGCATATGGCTTTACTTCAAACAAGTTGGCTTATATGAATTCTTTCCCTCTCATCATCTACGCAGTTGGCGTGGTCATCGGGGCTCAGATCGGCGAGCGCTGGGGCCGACGGCTGGTCTTTATTCTCACCAACATTGTTTGTATGGCGGGCACCATCACCGTGTACACAGCAAAATCCTACGAACAACTCCTCGCCGGCCGCATGATAGTCAACTTTCATGTTGGAATGGAAGCCTTCCTTATACCGATGTTCCAAGCCGAAATAGCACCTGCAGCCGTTCGAGGATCACTCACAGCCATCTACGCCGTCAATGGAGTTTTTGCAGCGTTCATCGCTTCCATTATCACAAACTTCACAAGCCACATAAATAATGATAATTGCTGGAAGATACCTGTTGGTATCGGCCTGCTCTTCCCATCCTTTTCTTTGTTCTTTTGGATGTTAATCCCCGAGTCCCCAAGATGGCTTCTTCGAAAAGGACAATATCAAAAGGCTGTGGAGAACCTGGACTATCTATTCAGCGCAATGCCGGGTTACGACGCAGAGAAGGAAGCCAAGCTTCTTCAAGATGCACTCAACCAGAGCGACACAAAGGGGAGATGGAAAGACTTGATCAAAGGCAACAACTTGGTGAGTAATACGTAAGCCCCTCAACTACACCACAAGAAGCAATACTAACTAGCAAACTTTAAAGCGCCGAACGGTCAATGGCCTTGTTGCTGCCGCCTTGGGTGCGCTTTCGGGAGCTTCATTCTCTAACTTATATGGTACCATCTTTTTGAAGAGCTTGAAGGTTGTCGACCCCTTCTTGATGACAATGGTCAAGAGAGCGCTCCTGCTTGCAACTGCCATAACCTTTATGTTCATTATTGATCGGGTCGGCCGCCGGCGCCTATTTCTCCAAATGGGTTTTGTACAAACAGCAATTCTCATGGTCATGGGTGGCATGGGTACGATACTGCATCCGACATTAAACATCAACAAGGGTATCGTTGCACTGACGGTCATGTTCCCTATTTTCCATTTTGTGTCTTTCGGGGGCCCGTAAGCATTTCATTACATCCCCTGACAGTTTCGCCATGACTGACAAACTTAGGCTACAACTGACCAAGACCGAGATTCCACACATCACGCTAAGAGATAAATCTGTGATGCTCTTCTGGTTGACGGCAAACCTCTGCAACTTCATTGCGTCTTTTACTTTGCCGTACCTCCTACAAGAGCCAGCAAACTTAGGATCACGAGTTGGTCTCATTTACGGCTCAATATCAGCTTTGGGTCTGGTTTGGGGATTCTTTTGCATGCCAGAGATGGCACGGAAGTCTCTGGAAGAGATTGATGAGATGTTCGCAGCGGGCGTTCCAGCCTGGAAATCAAGACGTAAGCCCTCCAACCCCCGAAAGAATTTACCCATGAGTACAGTTGACTAATACCTTATAGACTGGAGAGGCGAGCAAGGTGCTAAGATTACTGATATTGAGAATCACGGTGTGATTAGTGACAGTTCTAGTGAACAAAGTGTTGAGAAACCTGAACTTGAGCCTGTGGTTCAAGAAAAGCCGTCGAAGGTTTGAGAAAACGAGCAGTGGACATAATTGCATAAGCATAAGGAGGTCATGTAGACCTAAACCATAATTTTAATATTTGATAGGTAATTCATAAGAAAGAATTTCATTCAAGCGTGCGCGTTTCTTCCCAAAGGATTTGTCACACAGTAGCAGAGTCGACGAAGAAAGACAATGACTTTTATAGATATCTTGTAAACCTATTCAAATACTCCCTTGAAAGTTTATGTTAATGGTCCCTGCAAGCTCACTTTGAGTCTGGAGGCGAAGTCAGCGGTAGTTTCTGCTTGCGGCTGCTCCCAGAACCGAAGCCTCGTTACACACCTTCGGCGCCTTAACCTTGAATTGGTTTCCCTACACCAGGCTGGCTGACTACAACCAAGTCCGCACGCATACCATCTAACCAGCCAAAAGCAAGCTCTATTTATCGCTGACATGTCAAGGTCAAGTGCAACAGATTTTCGAACATCCCAAGATTTCAACGGCGTCATGAGCACGGATTGAGATAGTTGACTTTTGGCGTGCTGGGGTCATCCTCAATGCCTTTCAATACTTTAATTAACCGCAACCAATCAAATTTGCAATGTGCTTCGAACTGATTCGAGGAAGCTGAGCATATTTTTCCATTGGTTGTTTTGATTGGCGATCGCTGCCAGATCACACCTCTTGGGAAACTTCACTTCATACCTGCACCCTCAAGTTCATTTTCCAAACTCTCAAAGTTCCGCCGGTGAAAACTGCAGTTTTCGGGTTTTCTTTGATCATAGCTGCTTCTCCTGTCCTCTCCCCCTCTCCTGAAAACAAGGCGAATTCAAGGGAGACAATTGTTCCGTTTTCTCGAAACAGCGTCTAATCTCGATTTTGTTTCCGGCAGTGAATCAGATGGAGGATGGTGTGCTCAGACGAAACAACCCTATCAGAGGGGCTTCCCACCGAGACCTGCGGTGCTTGACTTTCGTCCAAGCGCGCGGACCGCAGCAGTCAATCTTTCCAAACAGAAAGATTCACTGGCTTGAGAGCTGCATGTACCCGGCATCGCGCGGTAAAATATTTACTTGCATTTCGAAATGTCTTGTTATCTTTGATAGGCACTGTAGCGCGTAAAAACATGGATTAACCCGTCGATATCAAAGTTCAACAGCATTCCTGTCATCCAACCCCAGGGGCAATTCCACACTACGAGAGGACATTTGCCGTGATTGAAAGTTTGGCAAAACGACAACGAAGTCTTGATTCGGATTCAGGGACACTCCGACTCAAGAGACCCATAAAAGAAGCTCCATTCGTCAAGATCAGTCAAGGGATCAGCTCTGTGCCCCTGCATTAGCGTCCAGCTCAAATACCTCTGATCTGCCGCTCCGAGGTTTTGCTTATTGTCATGAGTCTGGTCATCTTCTCTCTTGTTCAACTACATACTTCTTGAATTCCATTTTGGTCGTGATTAGGATACCAGCATGAAGACTTCATCGTCTCAGACATTGGTCGTCCTTGGCTTGGCCGGGTTTGCAGCCGCGGCTGCGGTGCCTCAGACCTACGCTGTCGACAGGACCTATAGCCTCATGTCTGATCTTGGCACCAACTACACTGTTTTTGAGCACGCTGCCACGAACTCCAGGACGAGGTTCGTGACAGACTCGAAGATCTGCGAGACAACGCCAAATGTGAAGCAATACTCTGGTTACTTCGATGTTGGTAAGTCATGATATTCCTATCTTTCCGCGAATAGAATCTAACAATACCACAGGTACCGATCAGCATATGTTCTTCTGGTTTTTTGAAGCCCGAGATAAGCCAAAAGAAGCACCTGTGGCATTATGGTTGAACGGCGGCCCAGGCTGCAGCTCCATGATAGGCCTCTTCCAAGAGAACGGTCCTTGCACTTTCAACAGCGGAGGCGATGAACCAAAACTGAACCCGAATTCATGGAATAATTTTGCAAACATGGTAAGTCGCCTGATACTGATCTGCTATGGCTTTTTCCCGTCGGCACACAACTACAACACAACCGCGCTCGTCCCTTCTTGGCACTGCTAGTTTGATGCTGACCCTGCCCGCCCATTACAGCTCTATGTGGATCAGCCAATCGGAGTCGGTTTCAGTTATGGCACGAACGATGTTGATTCTACTGTCAAAGCGGCACCCAAAGTTTGGTCTTTGATGCAGTCATTCTACGCGCAATTTCCTGAGTACAAGAATCGCGAGTTCGGTTTGTTTACAGAGTCATATGGCGGTCATTATGGCCCAGAGTTTGTGGACCATTTCCAAAGCCAAAATGATAAGATCAGCAAAGGCGAGGTTAAAGGCGAGAAGATTAATGTCGTAGCCTTGGGTGTCAACAATGGCTGGATTGATGCTCGTGAGTCTATGAAAGTGGTACGTGTTGCTGAGATACTGACGGAGTTTCAGAGAACCAATTCCGCGACTATCTTGATTATGCTATTAACAACACTTACAACAAACTAATCGACCAAGCCAAGTACGATGAACTTGCTAAATCTTATGAGAAAGATTGCAAGCCTCTCCTCAACCAGTGTACCGCCCCTGAGGGGAACAACGAGGCTTGCCTGAATGCTGAGACTGCATGCTACAACGCAATTGAGGCACCGATCGAAGCTTCGAAGATGTTCAATGTGTACGATGTCAGAGCCAAAGATGACAAGTTTCCACCCAGCACTTACGTAAAGTACCTCAACAAGCCTGAAGTGATGAAGGCTATTGGTGTTATATCGTCGTACCAAGAATGCCCTCAGGCGCCTTACGACAAGTTTTCATCCACCGGAGATGGCAAGTCAACTGTGCCAAGATCTGAAACGGGATATCAACTAACAATTTTAATTTTAGCCCAACGGTCTTTCCTCAATACCCTGGACAATGTTACTAAATCGAACGTCACAGTGCTCGTCTGGGCCGGCGATGCTGGTAAGAAACATTTCTTAGTAGTTGATTGTATGACTTGGCTAATGTACTTTGCAGACTGGATTTGCAACTATGTGGGCAATTACAGAGCTGTTACTAGGATCGGTGGGCCTGAATTTGAGAATGCCGCGATGAAGGATTTTATGCTTGATGGAAAGAAGAAGGGAGAATACAAGACCGTGAAGAACCTGAGCTGGCTGAGGGTGTATGACGCGGGCCATGCGTTGATGGCATACCAGCCTGAGGTGGCTCTCGTTGCTTTCAAGCAGACGATGACCAGGCAGCCGATCAATTCTCAGTAAGTACTATAGCTATACATAATTGAAATAAATTTTAGTTCACAAACCCATGTGCCAAAATAAATAAGCATCGCATGCCCTGAAATTCCTCTCAGAACCAAGGTCGAACAACCGACCAAGGAGATTAAGACTCCGTTGTTGAGCCAACATGATGAAAGCAAACTGAGATAACTCGAAAGTCACCACCATAGTCGCGAATGAAAAGAAAAAACATAACTATTTAGGAGAGTCGAATTTATTTACCGCAGTTAACAGCTTATAATCACCACTCTGGATCATTTGGTGTTTGTACTTGGTTGAAATTCTCCATACAGATCCCGTCAAATCATTTGACAAGATTTGGACAATGAAACTCTCTTGGAATTCATGGTTTCCGTACAAGACCTCAAACGCTGTGATCTGGCAGTATGGACTTGGCAGCTTACAAAAACCGAAATGGTTTCAAACATAGAAGAAGACGTTGAACCTAGCGTTCGAGTCCTCAAAGCGGCAGCCGGGAATGACAAAGATATATTGTGACCCAACAGGACATGAGTACACAGGAAGCATTCGCCAGACAGCATTAGAAAGTTATGTTGGTGGCCACGAACTTATGATCAAGCAAACTTTTTATCTACTAAAAAGCGATGAGAATGGTCGCGTATCTTATTTGTCAAGGTCCTGGGCGGACTGGCAAAAATTATGACAAAATACAACTTTCACATCTGAACGAAGTGCTGTGATTCCTAAACCATGATTGACTAAGCCCCGTATGGCCAAGCTTGTTGGTGTTCCAAGGACTAGGTACCACAATCAAAAGAGTGAGTAAGTTAGTTCTAGTGGAAAGTCAGAGGAGGAAGATGTGCATGAAATGCACACTGCACTTAGTTGAAGATGTAATCTATGTAGAGCACATCCACATCTTTCATGTAGAACGAGACAAATGCCTGTGGTTCATTGCATAATGGATGCTGTACCTTGCGTGAGAAGGGACTTAGTGCTACATATTTACGAATTATCATTCATTATGCCATGTTTCTTATGTGTCATTCGTGTTATGATAAAGCTAGGAATTAAAGCATACTGTAGATTGTGTTTTGAGCCTTGGGCACGTACATACATGTATATAGCCGTTTTGATAGTTTGAAAAGGGCTTTTTGAATTGGTCATCAGCCCAAAGTTAAACCCAAGAAATTTCATGGTGAACATTATTTCAATGGTACGTTGTAATCCTTACACCTGCGGCCAAAAGTCGATCTGTTTCTGGATTGCGTCAGATTCATATGCCTCTCACACTACGTGACGTTCCTTCCCTTGTACTTGCATTCGAGCCATCGACCTGCTGACCATATTGTCTTGGCCACGAAACAAGATGTACTCTCGTCTATCATGTCTCGATGTCTTCTTACATGACGCAGCAGAATCCACCTTCCTGGTTTCTTGGAAGGCAACAAGAGTCGCTACAGCGACGGCCATGGTCACGAGTCGAAATAATGCTGTTTCTTCGGGAGATCACGTTTGGAAAAAGGATGATTCAACTTGAGGATGAATGATTTTATGATTTAGGGGGAGCTACACCGTATTCAGAGCCACACAGCCCCAGTGGTGTATCATTGTTGAGCCGTACCAGATGATAAGAACCTCAGTCAACGAAGCGGCGGACTGAGTATGACTTACACAAGACGTTTCAGCCTTCACTGGTGTATTTTTTTTATAAAGTGAAACTCCTGGATCTGAGTAGCTCTAAGTGATAGAATGTTTACATGTCAGTTGTGATAACCTCTAGCCAATTTCAGGTACTGCTGCCTGAGTAGGTAGATTTTCCCTCGAAAATGATAGGGATTAAACCTTCGTCGCTGGAATGAAATGCCTTGCACTCATGCGAATTCAAAAATGTTGGAGAACCCAAAGACATTTTCTGCGCAAACCCAGTTGTTGTGTTTGAACATGGTCGTGTGTCGTAATGCTGACCCCTGGTAGTGCTGTAGAAACCGAAGTGGAACCTGAGTCACTGTCTGGTTCTCAAACACACGGGAGCCTTCAACCGTACGCCACCGTGCCTGCCAACGAGCCATGAAACGACTGACAGTTATTAGAATGATTCAGGATTCACCTTGGTCTGAGAGAATCGAAGGATCGCGAACTCACCGGAAATGTATAAATACCAGCCCGCTCATCAGATGGAGAACGCTTTTAGAATATCACCATCAGATCAATCAACATACAGCATCGACGAGGTCAACGTTTCAATTTAACTAAGTGCTATATTTTAAATTCTTAATTATATATAAAAAAGAATCACGCCTCCAAATCATCATTTACGTCAACAATGGGTGGAATGGACGCTGCCGCTGCCGCACGCATCGCCAAGAGCAAAGACGTAAGTTTTCTCACTACCACACTCACTCTGACCTAGCATGAATGTTGTTTGCTTTGTATTATTTGATATGAGGCAAATCGAACGTTGCCTGTGTTTAATCCCTGCTCACATTTATGGTGCTCTACAGAAGGCCTTCGCCAAGCGTGCTGCAGATGCCGCCAAGAGAAACGCTGCCCAGGGCGGAAGCTCGTCTTCCAGCTCCGGCACCAAGTCCGGCGGCGGAAACTACTCAAACACGGATTCCAAGAGTGGTGGCTCTAATTCAGAAGCCTGGAGGAAGTTCTACGTTCCTTGAACCCATCACACAAGCAGCTCGTATGGCTGGTCCATACGGCATAGCAAAGGAATGCCTTACCAGTCGATCATCAAAGGCGACGGAGATTCCTTAAGAATAATTACAAAGGGATTATGAAATAAAAAAGTAAAATGACAGCTGATTTGTTCAGTCCAAATTAGTCATGAGTTTGGGGATTCCAACACGTCGTAGTGGTGCATCATCCATTGAACATCGCACAGAAGCCGACCGTAGTTTGCTCTCACGTCACTTGCCATAGTACTCGAAGCGTCAATATACGATGCTAGTATGATGTTTTTCTTATAAGCAATTCGCCGGAACTACTTTTCGCTTCGTCATTATACCTTTTGAGCTAAACATGTAATATATGTATTAGCCTATAATTAGAAAATAGAAAGACATAGGGTTCATGGCTCAAGATCGAAACATATATCCTCCGGACCCCACAGCTTCCACACGAGTTCAGGAAGGGCAGAGACAAGACACTAAAACGGCATGGGGCTGAGTTGATGAAACAGAAACCTCTCAAGCTGTATTGCGGCTGCGCATGTGTCACCACGACTTTAAGTCACGTCATGGGCGCCCCACGAAAGGAGATTAAAGCATCGGATTTTGGCCAAAGTCTAGTAAATACATACATAATGCCAGGTTCCTACCGCCTGAGAGCATGAACGTACTCTTGTGCCGCAAAAAGACATATACCGGCTTACATCAACATTCTAGGCGATCGCATAAAGACTACACAGCCAAAAAGATGGACGAACAGGGAATCGAACCCTGGACCACTCACATGCTAAGCGAGTATTATACCACTAAACCATTCGCCCATTTAATGATTTCGCCCGGACTTGAACCGGAGACCTTCAGTGTGTTAGACTGACGTGATAACCAACTACACCACGAAACCATTTGTTGTTGAAGGAAATGGACATGGAAGGGTTTATATTGCTCGAAAACGGAAACGGAGATTGTGTGGTGGGGATAGAGGGCTGTACCGAAGCGGACCCCGGATATAGTCAGCGTGCAGTGAAGCGGGCCGAGGTGCAGGGCGACTAGCATCCAACGACGGACTGCATTTGCACCCATATGGGGAATAGAGAAAACAACAATAGCGGTTGTTGAGATGGATATCTTTGGACTTGCTAGTGTTGAAAGCCATGACTTGGCCTATGGATACAAATCTCGTTTGAACTGACCGTCACCCAGCAAATCGTAATGACGAATGATGAACCGTTGCCATGAGAATCTCCTAGTTCTCATCCCGAGACCCTGGAACAGCCAATGATCGCGTCGTGAACTGTCCATTTCGCGATTCCCAGTTCCAAGGGTGCAGCGGTCGTGTCTCGCGTCTCTTGAAGACGGGTCGCGGTCCATATTGTAACAGGCTTCTATCCTCGTACATTTGTTTGGGGAAGCGCGACAGGAACGACAACGATTGGTTGCGGCGATTGTGGGCCGCGGGTCGGGCGGGCCCGGCATGGGCCCGACGGGGTACGCTAGTCCGCGATAGGGAATGTGTAAACAATGGTAGTGATAACAACTTTTGGGTTGTAGCTCGACAAACATTACACGTCTGGAACTACTGAGTGTTGCTGAAAACACGACAAGGCACACACACTGTTCTGTTCGTTTATAGGTAGAAGAAGCCAGAAAAAAATATCTCCGTTGTTAGCATTCTTCTTGCACGTCAGGCTTTGCCAGTAGAAGTCCTGGTCTTGCTAGTCTAGTCCTCCCCGACTCTTTTCCTACAGGCTAGCCAAGATGCATGACGATGACCTTCCCATAGCGCTTCGGCGCACGCGTCGGAGCGTAGGAGGAGCTGCGGCGGTTCAAAACACCTCAGTTGAAGCATTGCCGGCATCGACACCGCATAGGGCATCTAAACGAAAGGTCCGATTCTCCGACCCAGGCCTAGCAGCAACGCCACGAACAACATCTCGCACGGCGTCGTCCACGGGCCTGACACCCATGGTCCGTCGGGCGACTCTGAACCGCGGAACACCAACTAGTAGGGTCCGACGCCACTCCGCACCGGTACCTCGTACTCCGTCCGGCAGCGGCGCAGCCCCGTTTGAGGTCCCGTACTGCGGCGAGGTTCACTTTCTTCCTCTGCGCCAAGTCCTCGACGGTCGCGTACAACGCCGCATAAGGCGTAATGGGCTAAGCGAAGAGATGAACACCATCTCCAGTGAGAAACGCCGCCGCGCAAAGGACACCAAGGCTGAAATCGACAGACTCAAAGCGCAGCTCAAGGAAAGGGATGCCGAAATTTACGAGCTACAGAATGCGACCATTGTGCTTGACACGGATCGTATATGGGAGCTTGAGCGAGAAGTGGAATCTTTGAAAGAAGAACTCTCTAGCCGTGCAGGTGTGCGAGAGAGGACTTGCTACGAATGGACTTTGGCAGCCCGGGATCCGTTTGCGGATGATTTCATGGAGACCGACACCGTTGAGGCAGAATCTATTGCCGGCGAGAGGATAGTAGGCGATGAAACGGCTTTCGGAGATGCGACAATGGCGGATTTTGTATGCAGCACACCCTCGAGAGTCAGGTCATCGTTCCTTACGCCGCCCCTTACGAGTCCTGTTGCCGAGGCTCCGATGACCCCGTCTTCCCACAGGAGCACGAGAACCCTTAACCCATCTGCGCAAATCGGCGTTCAAACATCATTCCCTGATCTTGAGAAGGAATCATTGCAGCAGGAGCTCACATCTCTCCGTCTTGAAATGTCCAAACTTACCAGCACTCTCGAATCATACAACTCCCTGACGGCTCGTATCTCTGACCGTCTATCTTCATTCACCCCATCCAAGACCCCAGAAACCCCATCAGACCCGCTAGAAACCATCGAAGGGCAGGTCAACAATCTCTTGCAGACAGTCTCAGATCGTACGGCAGCGTTGCTGGACTTGAACAGCTCCCTAAGCGGCCTTGGGTTCTCTGGTTCCGACGCGAGCGAAATCATCACCTCGCTTGCTGCCTCTCTCCGCACGGCACGGTTGGAACTGGAGTATCTCACCCCAGGCGAGATCACCCTCCCTCTGTCCTCCCACGGTGCCGAAGTGTTAGATCTTCTTCTCACACGCCTCCGCGACCTTGCGAAGCGAGCCCGGGAAGACGAGGCTTCCATCGATGAGTACCACCAACTCGAGCTTTCCCTCCGCCAGCAGCTCGGCGCAAGGGTGGCGGCGATGGACGGCCTCAACGAAGAGCTCACCCGCGCCAAAGCACAGCTCCAGCAGAAGGATGCTACGGTAAAAGAGCTGGAAGTCAGCGTTGACAGACTCAAGGGTGCCGTGAACGGTTACATCCGTGACGTGATGGAGCTTGAATCCATTGTCAGCAGAACGGAGAGCGAGAACAGAGACGCAATGGCTACCAAGGATGCTCAAATTGAAGTCGGAAGACGGGTTTTGCGGAGCAAGGAAGACATGATCGCCCAATTAGAAGGCAAGCTCGCTGACTCCATTGTACAAACGAAATCCCTCCGCCGAAGACTCGATGAGAGCGAGGAAACCAGGACGAAAGAAGCTGCCTCCCTGAACCGCCGCAGTGGACAAGCTCTTGCACTTCGGGACGCACGAGTGGCTGAGTTAAGGGAAGAGATCGAGCGGGTCAATGAGAGCTTGAGGGCTGCACACGAGGGAATGAAGAACTTGAGGATCGAGAAGAAGGGGTTGGAGGGAAAGCTGGCGGAGGAGAGAGAGAGCGCGAAGAGGGTCATTGACCAAATGAAAGAAGAGCTCGAAAGGGTTGTTAGCATGAGTCGGGACTTCCTGGCGGAGCCGGTTGAGGAGGCGGGCTCTACAACGCCGAAAACAAGCCCTCCCAAAAGGAGGGCGATCGGCATCGAACCCTACACAGAGAGCATCCCTGAGTCGCCGCTTGCGGAGGGTACGGTGGTGCAGAAAGGATTGCTTTCGGGAGAGATGGCCAGAAGATCTTTTGGAAGGAAGAGGAGGAGATATGACAGTGGACTTGGTTTTCTGGATGAGGACGAGGTTGATGCATGAAGGGTAACAACTGACGTGAGTCGGGCGTAGGAGAATGGCGATTAGGCGCAGGTTCATTCGTTTGCCAATTCCATAGATGGCGCTTTTTTCTTTTGTTTAATCCGGTATAAGATATATGGAATGCCAAGGGGAAAAAAAAATATTTCCATTTTCAACCGCATCCGAGATCCATCCGGGGGAGTAAAATGCGGCCCCACATCTCCGGCCCCGGGCAGAATTCCCATACGCCAATGATAGGTAGACGAGTGAATTAAAATGCTTGGCTCTATATAATTGGGAAGCCAAATTCTTGGTCGCTTTTGGTAGAAGTCAGATAATATTGATCATATGTGTGAGTTTGATACCCCTGACATGTTCGCAGCCGCCTGTGCCACCGCATTCATCCCACCTCATGACCAGACCTCATCGCCGCATCATCCACAATCCAGTCGCAGCAACCACCCGAATCCGTCCTACACCAACCGCACTCCTCGACAGCAAGGTAATACATGAATACCAACCACCCCAGCCTCGACTCCTTCGTTTACATTTTTCATATCTACGCCTGTCTCTGCTCAATTTCCCAGAATTCCAAGCATCTCCATGTTGCCAGCCACACAAACCATTATGTTACCTCCAAACGAGACTTCCGTCGACGACGTTGAGCGCGGAAAGACACTGTCAATGTCTTCGTCAACCAACAGATTCTCTAGTACCTTTACATCTCCCGAGGCACCAAATACAACGTATTTCGCCAGCATACTCAAGAAAGAGCGACAGGGCACTCTGCCGGTTTATGAGCATGAGGAAAAACGCGCGAGCTTAATATCGAACAAGCCGCACTTTGATGTATTCAAGTACAGGCAAGACTTGGCAGCGAGCGCCGCGAAAAGGAGGAGAAAGTTCAACTTGATTGCTGCGGTGGTTGTTGCGTTTGCGTTGTTAGCCTGCGCTGGTACGTTGGCATTGATTCTAGCTTGTTCACGTCGACAATGAGGTTGACATTGCTTTTTGGGGGGTTGAAGGGGGCAGAAAATGAGCGTAATGAGGCAGCCGTGAGGGCCGACACGTGATGACATATTTTATACCGACAAACAGTTTTAGAAATTAAATGTTAATCGAGGCTAAGAGCGTTTTATAGTCACTTTCGGCAAAATCGTTCTGTACACACTTTACAAGCGTATCGAAGCTCTCGGTTGGGCTGCTTGGGCATACCTCAGCCTAGACACGTCAAATTATTATGTATGAGTTAATGGGTGTGAGAAGATGGATAGCGTTATCACCATCTGCTTCCGGGAAGATTGGAAAGGCAATTATATGTTGGTTCTACAAATCAATTTGGAACTAGGGAACGATTTGCGACTTAGAATCAGAACTCTAGGGCTGTATAAGGCAAACTGAAGCATCATTTGTTTGCTGTCGCGGGCTACGTTTTCCCAAGGAAACTACTAATTATGTTAAACTAGACGTACCCAGAGTCGCTGTTTAGTTTAAGGCAGAGCATAACATATCCACCTTTTGATGTCAGTAATACCACCATGACCGGCAGATGTTGAGCAAGTAGACCAGACGAGACCTCGCTCTTTGGCCCACACTCGTCAGAGTTTCGACCCATAAATATGTTTTCGGCCTTTGGAAACTTTAATGTAACGCTTGGAAAAGACATGATGCTATGTTCGCTGAAGTGAGAAAATAGCCAACGAAGCCTTGCTCGAAGACATTTTGGTCAAGTAGACATAGCCGGAACTCCTACAAGCCATCCTCCTCCTTGTAGTCAACCTTTGGCTGACAAGCGTTAGAGGATGGTGGTTGGAAACCACAGAAGAGAAAGAGGTCTTGGAGAATGACAATGCCTCCTGAAAATCGTTGGCTAATACAATTCAATGGCATTTCGTAAGCTTCGGCCCTGTCGAGCCGGAGGCTTACCTAGCGCGCTTCGACCGAGTCTGCAGCCTCCAAGGCAGGGTCTGTTCCTCAACCGGCCCCCTTGGTTGTCTGGCGTATGCGCTTTGCAAGCTCCTCTTGACACACATGGCAAACTATTACGCCGTCCCTGATTCTTATGTGGTCGGGCTGAACCCTGCAGGAACGCCTCCTACCTGCAACTTTAGTTAGTGGTATCCGAGCAGCTGGGTCGACGTCTGGACCCTTCCATTTGATGGATCACTCACTGATGAGATAGCCGTCAACACGTGGCACAGTCAGAGGAGGAAGCAGCCACACCAGAAATGGACTCCAGCCTGACACGTAGGCATAGCTAGCTAAATAACTTGAATCGTGGACCCCTTCGGAATATGGCGATATCTACCTTGAGGTTGGTTCTTAGGATATGGCTTTTCTATCGCCTACACCGCCACTAACTTGGTCATTTGCAAATAATCAGACCAACCACGCCAAACTTGCGCATCAAAAACAGTGTAGGAATACGTGTAAGTTGTAACTATCAGTGGCGCCAGAGCTTCTCGCTGGCAACTAGTTTCTCTTGAAGAAGAAAGCTCAGGCCAAAACTTACTACCCCTCCTCTCTCGTGCCAGTTTCACCTGTTCAGCTTACAGCTCAGAAGACTTCTCCAAAACCTGCCACCACACCATCTCAACGCCTGGCTACCGTGCCACGCTAATTTCTCACCCACACACTTTTTAAATGGGAAAGTCGGCAAGGACAACTTCGCCGAAATTGTCTTAGCTTGTAAGCCCATTCATCTCAGCCACATCAATTTCAGTGAACCGGCACCTTTTGCGTTAGCGTCAATTAGTGTGCAGTAGAGAGGCCTTGAGAGCACAGAGAATATGCCTGCTTCCTTACTCCCTGCCTCCTTGCATTGCGCTACTAAGTGTGACTGAGACCCTTTCCACACAGCTGGATCTTCGAAGCGTTGGCTTGAAAGCCGGCAATCCTTCAGAGCATTCCCCTTAAAGCTTGTAAAGTTGGTGATCAGATGCCATGCAGCTAGAGGCTACGTATTGACCCCGGATCATCCAGCTTACTGTGTTATGCCCTATTCGACACTAGCTTCAATTACTGGCACAGAGCCAGACTCAGCTCTCTCAATCCTACCTAGATTGACGCTTTCAAGTCTTGCGCCACTGAAAGGGCTGGAGCGGTCGGATACGTACAGGTTTGGGGTCAAGACAATGCCACTGGACAACACACTTGAGCAAAGTTCATATTGTCCTAAACTCTCATTGCCGCCGGATAACCGATCTCACAATAAGGGATTTTAGGCAATTGGGGCGTGTTACATCCCACCCTTCCGCTTTTGGTGTGTTGGCAAAAGAGGCTACAATTCCGTACTGCCGATTTCATATTAAATCGATCGCAGTCCCTCTCGCCACACTCGCTCCCTTCTTTATGTGTACTTAATCATCCTCGTTCATGAACTGTCGCGTTTGCAGGTGGTGCGAAAGACGATAGAAATGGCTACTGTCGACATCCTCATCATCGGCGCAGGACCAACTGGTCTTTGCGCCGCCAAGACACTTCTTCAACGGGATCCCTCGTGTGACATTTTGCTCGTCGATGGACGCGCCACAGTCGGCGGTGTTTGGTCCAAGGATCAAATTTACCCAAACCTGAAGACCAACAACTTCACCACAGCCATTGACTTTTCTGATTTCCCGATGGACTTGGAGCGCTTTGGATTGAAGCCGAAGCAACATGTCCCTGGTGCAGTCATGCACGAGTACCTCGTCTCGTATGCCAAACACTTTGGCGTATGGGATAAGATCCAGCTTAACACCAATGTCATCCGCATCACACGGCCCGAGGAGAACGGAAAGTGGTTTGCCGATGTAGAGGAGAATGGCGAGGCAAAGACAATCTCGTGTTACCGTCTTATCGTCGCGACGGGCGTGCTCACCGTCCCCCATATGCCCGACATCAAGGGGTCTGAAAGCTTCGGCGCGCCAATTATCCACTCCTCAGATCTGGGACCCAGGAAAGAGCTCTTTTCGTCCCCCGACGTGACGTCGATCGCAGTTTTGGGCGGGAGCAAGTCCGCGTACGATGCGGTCCATCTCGCTGCGTCAACGGGTCACAAGGTCCGCTGGGTGATCCGTCGGTCGGGGCGGGGCCCCGTGTGGGTCGCACCGGGATTCACGCAGCTTGGCCCGTTTAAGGTCTGGCGAGAGCGGCTGGTGACGAGACGCATTTGCGCGTTCATGTCGCCCTGCGTGTTCCCTGATCTGTCGGGTTTGGCATGGATTCGACAGTTCCTGCACGAGAATGCCCTCGGCAGAGTCATCTCCAAGACATTCTGGGCGCTGATCCGTCATGATACGATCAACGACTGTGGGTATCAGAACCATGAAAAGACCAAGATCCTACAGCCCGAGCAGAACCAGTTTTGGTGAGTACTTCCCATGATGAAAATGAGCAGAAATAGTAGCTGACTATGATTTTAAGGTACGGCACGGCTTCAGGCATTCTCAGTTTCGACGATGACTTTTTTGAGTATATTCGCAACGGTCAGGTGGAGATCTACCGTGAAGACTTAGACCACCTCTCTGATCACACTGTTCATCTTTCCGACGGCACATCTTTCCCCATTGATCTCATCGTTGCTTCCACCGGTTTCTCTGCTAAGCCAACCATCAACTTCGAGCCCGCTTCTCTGCATTTTGAACTTGGTGTCCCCACTACGGAGTTGGGCCCCGAGCAGGATGCGTTCTGGAACGAGGCGAATGCCAAAGCTGACCAGGCCATTGGTGATCGCTTCCCACGTCTGTTAGATGGTCCCTTCCTCAACCCTACTTCATCAAAGCCGAAGGCTTTTAACCCTGGTTCCTCGGTTGAGGTCTCGTATACCCCCTGGCGTCTATACCGTGGCATGGCACCTCCAGGTCTCTTAGCGAAAGATGACCGCTCACTCATTTTCCTCGGTGTTTTCAGCAACCTGGCTAACATTATGCGTCTGGAAGTCCAATGTCTTTGGGCCCTGGCTTACTTTGAGGGCAAGATTCCCATCGTCGACAGGAACATCCGAGCTGGCAAGATCCACGAGGAGACAGCGCTGATGCAGAGATGGGCCCAGCACCGCTCCCCCTACGGACATGGACGTTTCTATACCGATATTGTGTTTGACCAACTTCCGTACTGGGATATGTTACTTGGAGAGGTTGGCGTACAGACACAGAGGAAACCAAGCAAGTGGGCGGAACTGTGGGAGTCCTATACGCCTTTGGATTACCGTGGAATGGTAAAGGAATGGATCGACCAGAACCCACGCAAGTAAGTTGACTTGTAAAGTCTGCATAGTTGATACCCTGTATTGTAGCTTGGTTGTATATATATATATGATGATATGCTACATCGACTGGGAATTGCTCCCTTTGATGCGTTGCTCCTTGGTCTTACTTCAACGTGTACAATGATGATAGACTAAATTGTCCATTTGCGTCAGTAGCTTTGGGAAGAATGGTGTCTGGCGCTCAACTTTCAGCGACATTTCGGGTGGGGGATGCTCTCAGCAACTCATGAAAGGATCACAAGCATAGAAATATTCAAAATACCTGAAGTCTATCTTCTCGCTTAGTTGTATTATTCGAGTTCACTACTAACTATACGTTTGGAAGCTTTAAGAATCTCGGTAAAATTTATGATTACCACAGAGCATATATCTACCAGCAAGGAGAATACTACCGCCGCATTATTAAGTCGGGCTGAGTGAAAAGCGACCAGGCAAACTTCTTTTGCACCTATTAGATCTCCATTGATTGAAGTATTACATCTAACGACGGATTTTGAGGTTCTATATCGGTGAATGCAAGCTAATTTACTAGTCTAGAGTTCAGGACTATTATTTGCTGGATACTCATCTCCCAGCTCTCGACTATATTCCTGGCTGGTTAGCCCCAGGGGCTGTCTGGCTTTGCAAGATCAACCTCTTTCTCAAATCTAGTGACAACGCCATGGCTAAGCGTATGCATATTCAACGGCCATAGCATGCGCAGTTTGTCTTCTTTCCAAGGGAACAAAGACCTCTTCCGTCTCTCTGGTGTCAACTCTTGGCCTCCAAGCGCCTATTGACTTGCTCTCTTCTGCCCTCCTATGAAGAAATGTCTGCTGAACCGCCCTTGACCTGGAAGGTTTAACAAGGCTTTTTGATTGAGCTATAGAGGCCTCAGCGTTCGATGAATTCTTAGCGCCAAGAGATGTTGAATGGTTTTCGAGAGAGAACTGTTTCCGGCCGCACAAAATAGTATCACCAGAAGTAGAACTCTTTGAAGCAGCTGAATTATATCCCCCTCCAGGCAGGTTTTGAGGACCCGAGTCCTTCAACTGTGGTTTATCATTTTGAAAGCTGTCGAATGCAGTCGATACTGGAAGTGAGGTCGCGTGTGGCATATCTGGCGCATGAGTCTTGCGTGCCGCGATGCTCAAAGCATTATCAACGCCAAGCGATGCCGGAACTTTTCTGATACAATGATAATGACCATGCAATTCTGTATTCAGAGAAGTAGAGCTATTCGACGCAGGCGAACTAGATCCGTCTTCAGACTGTTCGTCAACGTTCAGTGATTCTTCTGACACTATAGGTACTTTCCGATTTGGAAAGTTCGTAAATGATGTGACTGTTGGAAGGGACATCTCAATTGCTACTTCTGGCTTTCTGATGATCTAAATTGCGCTGTTAGAAGGCTCATAAAATGGAACGACTCCCAAGTTCGACTTACATTGACTGACGATATTTGCAGACCCTCACTCGGCCCTGTTGGTCCATTTGGGCCCTTAGGCCGATTCGGACATCTTGGACCGCTTGGGCCGCCTGGCCCCTTTGGGTCTTTGAAATCCCCTGAGTCGTTGGGACGCCTTGGGCCATTTGGAAGGTTGGGGTCAGAAGGGTCGTGGCAAGATGGGGAGGAATCTCTGGAACTAGGAGGGGTAGCCTGTCGTGGATGGCTTCGAGGAACTCGGACGTTCTTCTTCAAAACCTGCTGTCCTAAGTTTAATATCGCTTTTTGTCCATTTCTCTGTGTCCTCATGTCGGATATGTGGTACGTGATTTGGCCTTGCAACATCTTTATAATTTCGAGCTGAGAGCTGACTACTGTCTTTTGGAACTCCCTGTCTCTGTCAGTATCTTTCTCAATCTCTCTAGGCTAACCGAAAAAAAGTGCTTCTAAAAGACGTTCTTGTTTTCGGCCGGACGTAGTTGCAGGCCGGTATGAGCTATGGAGACACTTACAGGTCTTTCTCCAGATCCTCAAGCCTCTTCCTGTTCCACCAGTTGATTGTTTGGCGTTCAAGCTCCAAACTCTCATAATGTGAAATTTCTATCAGCAGATGCAAGGTGTTTCTTATGCTATCCATTTGTGGAAGAAGTTTCAGAATTTCGGCACTACTGCGATACCATCGAAAGTATCTCACAGCTGTAAACCGACTTTGGAGCGATTCCTCGACTTGTCGTTCTAGCATTATCAATCTTTCGTCGATACCGATTTCTTGCTTAACAAGGCAATTAAGGATATCTTGGTTCGAAAAGTCCCTGAACGCTTGTGACCTGGGATACTTTTCGTGATGCCGTTGAAGACGCGAAGAAGCTGTTCGAATGGCCATTCCAAAGGTTAGGATCTGATTTTCGTAGTTTTTAATTTCGCGGTCCATGAGTCCTTCATCGCGTCGGTATTTGCGTAGTATTTTGGCGAACTTGAAGCTGTATTCGCCCAGCTGAATTAAAGCAGGAATAAACGCGATAATAGTCAAAGGTTCCGCCATTGTTGAGGGTTGGAAAATGGATCGTGGGGAACGTCAATGTTACCAGGGATTATCCACCACTTCAAGCGGCGGCGAGGTGAATCCGAACGTCACCAAGCAGCCTAAATCTCTTGTTTAGGCATCGAGGCAGACCTGTAGGCTCACATTCGCCAATGCGTTCCATCTACTCAGACAGGAAGCTCGAGGCGATGTATTCTTACGATTCGTCGAACCGCTTGGAAAGCTGTTGGTGTCTGCAGGCTAACGAACCACTGCCTCATAGCCACCAAGAGCTGGGTAAAGCTGCATCAATGCACAGCCACCACTGTTGAAAACTCCCTATGTTCTCTGTTTTCCTCCTTTGACTCAATTTGATGAATTTAGTCAGATGATTTAGTGTCTGATCATCTGCCTGGCTAACATTCGGTCAGTGGAGAGGGCTATCAGTAGAGGGGTGAGTAGTCTCGGTAAGAGGGTTTGAAACCGCATGCAACAGTTTTACACAGCAACCTGACACTGCAATTATAATACGCCATGCATACTGAAATACGCCAAATGTGAAACATATGCTGATTTGGCAATAGTGATAAATACTTATCTCATTTTCACAATGGATGCTTTCACATACGACCATACCCACTGGAAAACTCGGGATCCCGTCCGCTCTCCCATAGATAAGCCAGTGAGGGCCGGATTAGTAGTTGGGTCGGTGACGACCAGCGAATACCTGGTGTTGTATGTTTTTTCGTCTTTTGCATTTCTTTTACCTTTCGGTAGATGATTTGGTCAGTTCTGTCAAATCGAGGATGGGTTTGTACTGCTTACGCTGAATAGCGTGTGTACTCGATGGGTTCAAGCTGCGGGGCCATTGCAAATGATAGTAGACTCTGCCATGCCCTGAGCCATCCGACTTCTCTGAGATATGCATTATTGTGCTTGCAGCTGTGATCTTGGAGGGAGTCGATCTTTTCTGCCTTTCCGCGAAGACGAGAAAAGTGTCTACAGCCCAGTGTGCCGCTAATACAGACAGGTTCCTTTACTGGAGCGACATATGTGAGACCCCAGGAGAGAAGCGCTGGGCATCAGCCTATCAGAAACTGGCTACCCGGCTTCAGTTTAGGCAACTTTTAAAGTATGATAATTGCGCTCTTTGACTTGTGGATAATCTTCATTGCAATCGCTTGCAACTCTCATACGTGTCGGTATGATTACGCAACACCATATGAGGAATAGAGCACAGTAAACACAAAACACAGATTCGTGTCGTTCAAGAATATTGATTAAGGTACGTGGCAAATAGAGTGGTTAGATGAGTGGAAGTTTACCAAGAGCTTCCCGTCACAGCTTCACTTGATACACACTTTATTCAGCAAGCTGAAAGAGTGGTGTGCTCCTTGACAAGCCACGGCTTTTATGACCAGGTTCCATTTGCAGGCCCAAAATATCCTGCCTCTGGCATTTGCAACCAAGGTAACCCGAGGCCGTCGGCCGTGTTCTGCGTACATGCATCTGTTAGCTTGGAATCCAACACAGAAGGATAGCTGCTCAAATCACTTTGGGAGACGAACCTGCCAAACCGTATTTCCCCACCAGTCAGGAAAGCTAACGTTGGGACCTGGCAGTCAAGTTTGTTAGCTTATGAACCTTTTTCTCGACGGCTTGTTATGCCAACTCACCATATGTAACGGCAAAGAAAATGACAATGCCGCTAATTGCCAAGCCCGTGTCCAGAGCTGCGGCAAGGACATAGTTGTACTTGGTCCACCAGGCGTAGAACTTGCGGTAAATAATCTTGTTAAACACCAAGTTGACAATGTACCAAGAGGAGTAGTTGATACCAGTCGCAGGCGGCACGTTGTAAGTTCCAACGAAGATGAGCGGCCAGTTGACCTTGCGGACAAAGTCTGAATTGGTCTTCTTCCAGATGAAGTAGGTGATGGGCGGCAGGATGAGACCGATCCAGAAGAAGTGAAGAAGCCCAGAGTAGATGGCGCCCACGGAGTACAGACGCGCGGGGCCTACAAGGCCCCAGATGACGGAAGACGAAAAGACGGTGCGACCGTTGGGACAGGAGAAGCCGTTGGGCTGGTCTTGCTCGCAGATGCCGTCCACATTGCCCAACATCCAGAGCGTAACACCGGTCTGAGTAAGAGCTCCGAGAATGGTAGCAAGACCCTGAGCGAAGAAGAGCGTCCTGGGCGGGATCTTGAGGTAGTGGCCAAGCTTCATATCGGCTGCGAAGTACAGACCCTGGCCCACGACATCGGTGCTGAGAATCTTGAACAGGATATTGGCGATAGGCTTGCCCTGGAACATGTATCCTCCAATAAATTCGGACAAAACATTCAGCTGGTTGGCGTCGACGTTGGTGACGCCCTGGATCATACCACAGGGAACCATGTAGACGGCGGGAATGACGAAGCCGAGAATGATTCCCCACCACGGGAGGCCGGTGTCGTAGCCAACAGCAGTGCCGATGCTCATGCCGAAGACGGCGAGAAGTATGGCTGCCCACCACCACCATTGCACGGTCTTGTAAGACTGCATGAGACGCGCGTGAATGTCAAGCTTCAGTGTGCCCTTCATGGCGCGCTTGATTTCGTCCCAGTGGAAGAAGTAGACATGAGACAAAACACTGTTCATGGTCAGCACGAGCTAGTATGGGAAAGAAAACGAGTATTTATACGTACCTTGTGATGGAAGCAAAAGACAAGCCATACACGAACGCAAACGTAGCTGGCAGATAAGGAGGTGAGTAACTGGAATACTTTTGCTGATCGAACTCGTTGTTGGTCAGAACTTCCGTCACGTTGTACAACTGGCCATATCGATCGTACACGTCAGCCGTGCAGAAGGGCATATATGAGGTGAACCAGGTGTTGGTATAGTAGATGGCGGGTGTCACAACCCAAAAGAAAAGGGCGAAGCCAAAGAAAACGTTAAGAGCAGCCCAGTGGGGGCTCAGCAGCGGGTTCGTGTTGTACGCGACCATTGACCAGTCGAATGTCAGCGGGAAGAGGCCCATGCCAGTGACCATCCCAAAGACCTGATTAACTGCTAGGTTATTTGGAGCGATCCAGCAGATCCAGGTGAAGTAGCTCAGGCCGGTGAAGATCAGACCGGGGAACCAGTACCAGACGAAAGCGCATCCACCCACGACCATGAAGAAATTGATGCGGGTGATTCTCCATCCGTTCGCGATGGCGTTGGATTTCGAGTGCAGCGAGCTCAAGAGGGCAACGTTGCTGAGAACGCCCGGCCAGATCATGCTGGCGGGCTTGACGAGCCAGGGGATGGCGAGACCGGCGACGGCGTAGCCGCTGAGTTGGCAGCAGAGGACTACCAGCACGGAGAAGCCCGCGGGAATACGGAAGCCGTAGAGCCTGGCTGCTTGGATGAGGTTCGTCGCATCGGCCGAACCAAAGCCGAAGGAGACGTTGGACATGATTGTGACGAGGGCGTGCTCCTTGATGTTGAAATGGCGATCGGGATTGAATCGGCTGATTGGGAGAATCTTTGCGATGGCAACACCGCATGGAAATGCCAGCAGCTCTGCAACAAGGGACACGATGTGAACCCCGGGGTATCGGAGCGAGAAGAACTGGTTCACTCCGGCGCCAAGGAAGACGAAGACCTATCGCACCAAGTAAGCATCTTCCCCAAAGCCATTCCTTCAAAGAGCAGGACATACAATACCGAGAAACCAGGCGCGAAAGGTATTGACGGGAATCGCGGTGTCATCCGTCTCAGGCACTACTGCCCTCACCTGGGGGAATGGAGAGGTATCCTCGTCATAGTTGCCTTCGTCTACCTTCTCGAGGACATGCCCCATGTCGACCTCCAGCTCCACGAGGTGGCCATTTTCGAGCTCGAAGTCTTGACCATGGAGGTTGTGGGCCGTCTTGATCCCGAGAGAATCGAACGCAATCGACTTTTCGGGATCATCGTACGTGGGAGGCGTATGGCTGATGTCGGCCATCCTTACGATGACTTCTGAAAAGGCTCAACGACAGAGAATGACGACGGGACGGACAGGGAAGCCGGAGAATTAGGTGACAGCAGCCAAGAAGACCAAGAAAAGCCAAGCAGATAGCGCCCGGCGCGGCATCGTCGCCATTAATGAATGAAGAGCAGCACACGAGTCCGGAATCACTTTCCATCGGACGCGTACGTACGGCGCGGAGATGGAAGACAGCTCAGATCATACCCTTGTATGTTTATCTTTCCTATCAATTACCCCGTAAAACCTAAAGGCCGATGGATGGGGCGGGGCTTCTCTGGAAGTGCCGCCATGGAATTGTTTCCCAGTCTCTCCCGCGATATTGGAGGGAAGACCGGCAAACCGGCGTGTTTCTGACCAGGTTTAACTCTCCATCCTCTGCTATCATGCAGGTCATTCAGTGACATTGGCCAATTGAACATCTTGGCTTTATCTGCCGTTGCGGAGACCGTTGAGCTCGATAAGGAAGGCGACCGGGATCATTTGTCTTACGCTCCGGTCCGGCCTGTTGGATGATATCACGCTTCGGAAGACGGCAACTGGATGCAGCCACATCCCGAGGGCGTCGGTCTCTTCACGGATAAGATGGGCGGGGTGGCCTATTTTCCCCGCGGCCTTTGATTATTTGTTCTCTGGGATAAACAAGCATCACTCGTCGGTTCACGATGAAGGCGGTTGAGCTATGCCAGCCGATTTAATGATCTACGTCCTTCTGCAATGGTTGCTCTATGCCGTTAGAGCTGCAGCCTTCGATGAACAATTGCTTCGTCTAGAAAGCTTTAGTTCACGGCGTAATGGTAAAAGTGCCAGGAAATAATATCCTGGCGTCAAACCCGGGCCTTTCATCGCGTGCTTTGACGGTAAGCAACATTTTCTGGAATGTCATTGGTATGCCCCTCAACATGAGTCGAGGAATCAAAGTGACTGGTCGGTTGGGATCACCTGACTGCCTCACTAGGTACGTTTGCTCGGAAACTCTTCGCCATTGTACTTCGCAATAACTTTTCTGGTCGTTCAACGTGCCGCCCCTTTATTAGGCTATGCGGCATCATTTATTTGAGAGCTTGTGATTACTGACTGACGATATCAACCCAGACCATACAGAATGCCTTTAATGCAGTTTCGAAAGACTTCAGGATTCGATGCATTCTGGGTGATAGATGCACGTTTATTCCCGGCCTAGCAAAAGCGTAGAGAGCCGTGTCGTCTTCTGCACGACTGTGACGATAACTTCAAGGCTCGCCGAATACACCGACTGAGGTGTGTTTGTGTAATCCCTTTAATATGGACGCTGTAGACGTATAAGAAGGCGTGGTTCGACTCATTCCCTCCTTTTCTAAGTCAAGTCTTTTGCCTACTCTGTAGCCTAATTGTTACGTGTCTAGCTGGTAGCGTGAGAAATTTATTTACAAAGTAAAAAGATGCCTGGATCCGTGTTTGATCAGCAACTAGAACTAGTCGATGTTCAAGGTATCTACTACCGTATTTAAAATATCCAGCCGCCTGCAGTTGAAGATCCCTCGAAAAGAGCAACGACCCATGCTTCTTAAACGGCTTGCGAGTCAGAAATGGTCACATACGACCATACCCACTGAAGAACTAGAGATTCCGTCACCGGCCTCAGTATTCCGAACAGAGCAGACATGACATTGTTCCAGATTCGCATCATCGACGCGACTGTTATCAGCTAATGTCAGTTTTCAAGGGGCGCCGTGCGCCCAAATACCGTCCGGATCGAGTTCAGACCGGGGTGAGATGCTTATACCTAGGTATAAAACATAGGGGTGATGGGGGCCCGATGTTCTACACTAAAACGAACAGTGGCGTGAAACAGAACTGAAACCCACGGCCCCAGGTGCCCCAGAACCTACCGAGACGCTGGGACCTACCCGTCTTGGCTATAAGCATCGTTGGGCCCTTGGCACCCATAAACCTCTTCGTAATCGGGGGAAGAGAAAAAAAAAAACAGGATCCCGTCTCATGTGTATTTCCGTATTTTCTTTTTTGATGTTGTTTGATTGATCGAGGCCATGCTCTGCCAAGGCCAACCCCAGGTGGTGATCTCCTTGGCTGTCGCTCTTATTCTCGTCTGGAGTATTCGGCTTTTGTATACCCACGAAGGAATCTCGACGTTACTATACACATTCGAAGAACCCAGCCAGCAACATGTCGAGACGGTGTTCATCCAACAGGCCATGAGTGTCGAGTTTCCGGCCCCGATCGATTATAGACCCATCCAATCGACATGTGCCGGTACTGAATTCCGGCCTGGTTTGCTGTTCAGCTGTGAGGGACAACATGGCGGAATTGGTATGGTTCGGGACCAGATTCTCAAATGCGTCCGATATGCTATACACGGTGGAGGCGCTCTTGTCATTCCTTCGATGCAATTGCGAAATGCGAGCGATATTTCCGACATCGAGACCAATAATGAGATGCCCCTCGATTACTTGTTGGATCGCCAGACATTTGTTACACATTTGACAGAGGGATGCCCAGGGATGCGAGTTTACGAACGCGCAGAAGATTTCCCCCACTACCAGCAACTGGCAGGGCAGCCTTTAGATTTGGTGGGGGACCAATTCGAGCCAAACCATCCTCGTGAAGGCCTTGAGCATCCCCGCGAATGGCGGCGTTTCTTCGACGAATGGTTAAACCAGCAGTCTGTGCGAATCAGATCAGATGCCCCGGTTCATGTCAAGATCGGACAAGCCTTTCTTGAGTATCCGGTGCGCGACGACGGTCCGGCTTTTGTTCACGAATACGGCAAGATCCTATCTTTTAGAAACGATACCCGTGAGCTGGCGGCAAAAGTGCTTTTCAACCTTAAACAAAGGTTCGCGCTACCCATCGATCCGACGAAGGCTATCAATCCCGGTGCATATTTTGGCGCACATCTGAGGTTGGAAGATGATGCCATTGCCGCCTGGCAACCGGACGAGTGGCGCTTCTCCCGAAAGGACGACCAGTTCGAGGAGCAGTTCAAGTATATCGAGAACACAGGACTCAACGTCGTCTACGTCGCGTCCGGAAACCAGACTGTGGTAAAAATGTTCGCCGAGGCACTCGCCAAACGTCTCGCGGGAAACCCGAATACGGAGATGAGGAATGTCTCGGTAGTAACCAAGAACGACTTGCTCCAGGGTCCCGATCGGCAACTTCTTGATACCCTCACATTCGACCAGCACGCATTGATAGACTTCCTCATGTTGTTCAAAGCAAGCGCCTTCATGGGCGTCGCACACTCCAGCTTTCCGTGGACGGTGGCGCTGCGAAGGCACGAGTTCAGCAAGTACCCCACGTACGGTAATGAAGGCTCAGACCTATTGAAAGATGAATACAGCACTATTATGGGAATGGCGGCCGATTACCCCGAGGTTGAACCATTCGTGTACGGCTTATGGCCGTAGAGTTAGTTGGGGTCAGAAGAGCGTTACAAATCGATGGACTTACAGATGGAACAATAAACAGAAGGCGTCAGAACCGAAAACATGAGCAATCATCGGGTCATCAGGGCACAATAAGGCGCTTAAGGATTCAACAGGCTAATCATCATACAAGGAAGAACACATATACTCAGGCATATATCGCCAGATTCACGTTATAATAGAGCAGTGCTCCTATTCTCATCGACTATTAAAGAACCATGATCTTTATCATCAAATGAAGCTTTGTACTGTCACTGTAAAACCGGCTGATGAGCATTGAAAGTATGAAGTCTTGTGTTCCCATGTTGGCATAGATCCATCCCAAAATCGGTATGCTTTCCGTGGATTCGTTTCGCTAATGTAGTTGCGCCGCGGTAACAGGGTTTTATTCGACTGTCAGTTCAGTATCTTTTAAATGAACGTAACGTGCCAGTCAAATAGAAGAAATGCTTCTATCAATGCGTAAAGCGTGGAATGCAACGCAAGGACCGTTTACAATGAAGAAATGTGACCAACATGATCTTTTCTCAAGTCGAGACTCTCCTGCGGCAACGAGTTCCAGGATGTGATCACCGGGCATGTTAGCAACTTGGTATCCTGTTGATTATGTCTATTGTGTGTGTGATTTGATAATTCAATTCTTACCATGGCGAATCGCCTGATTGAGTTGCTAGTCTCCGACGACTAAATATAGGACGCCGCCTAAACCTAAGCTTTCACATCCGCTTTTGCTCTCTCCCAGGCGGCGTTGAGCATTTCCTCCACAGATGTAAACTTGATGTTTGGGAAACGGCGGTTCCAGTCTGGCTCAAGATCAATCAAACCTTTGTATATACCAAGCGCCCAGCCTGAGATGAACGGGACTACAAGCTTCTTGGTGTCCCCAGCTGATAAAGCCTCGTTGAACGTTGGTTGCCATGTTGCTTTCCACTCGCCGGCTTCAAGATCAGCAGCCTTGACGGTATGGACCTCGAAGCTTTTTCCTGTTTCAAGTCAGTATTTGCTGTAAATGAAGCCCATAAAACAACATGGCGAGCTCTTGTTGGCTGGGCACTGAGGCAGAGAGGAGAAAAATAGGAAAAAGCGAGGGTGCGTATGTGGGGACAAGAACTTACCGGTAACCTTCTCGCCTATCTTTACAAGATCCGACATTGTCACTTTCTCGCCTACTATCCCACCCTCCACCGGCCAAGGCTCGTCAGATTGTATAGCACGGGCAACAACCTTGCCTACATCGGCTGCAGCAGTGAAGCACATTGAGGCAGAACCATCCTCAACGACGACAGCACGAGCACCTAAAAGATCAAAGAGGAGAGCAAACGTGTTGGTGTGCTTGGAAGGTGGATACGGGTGGGCCAAGTAGTCCATCAGCAAGCCGGGCTGAAACAAGCCGTACTCCAGTACCTAAGGTAGAAATAAAATGGTAAGTTTCCCAACTTTGAGTTATCCTCATTCGTCCACTCACCGTAGTCTCCTTGTTTACTTCCTTCAAGTAATCCAAAACTTCGGCCTTGTGTTTATACATTTCAATCGAAGTGTACGTTTTCCTAAAAGTGTTAAATCCGGGGTTTAAAACGGAATGGGTTGATCTACTTACCCAGCCCACTCGCTAGGAGCAAACCTCCTCACTTTCGCAGCAATGCAGGCATCGATTAGTGCCTTCTGCGTCGCATTCCCGGGATCGCCCATTGGGTTAATGAATGCCAGCACGGTGTTGACGCCAGTCAGTAGTTTGACCAGTTGATCGTGATCCGTGTAATCGGTCACTTGAACACCTTGAGCTCCATTAGGGATGACGGCGGTGGATATCTCCTTGATAATATCGTGTCAGTGCGATGAAGGAAGATCATCATAATCCATTTTGTAACTTACTTTTCTTGTCCAGACTGATATCTTGTATATGCCATACTTGGCAAGCTCTTCAACGATGGAGTGGCCAACGCCTAGGAGTTGATTAGCTCAAGGCACGGCTGCTACATGAGGAATGCACAAAGTGGCCCTACTTCCCGCGCCGCCAACAATCACAATGTGCTGCTCCATGGTTGTATAGTATAAATGTCCGATAGTTTGTCTGAGGAACTTGGCACATACAGAATGCACGCTCTTAAATCAATAAAAGAGTTGCTTGCAAGTTGGTAACTCACTTTCGATTCCATTCCAGAGAAGGCGGAGATAGGATTAATCCCGCGTCAGTTTTGCATTTGTAAGCGCACGGTTCTCAGATGTGTAGGGAGTACGGACCCATTTGAACCAAAAGAAAAAAGGGGGAAAGAAACCAGACGAAATACCGCTAACTTGGTAGGGCCCTCAATTAATCAGGTCATCTTGTGGCAGTTCCCGTCATGGCTGGGGGGCAATCAAGAAACCACTAAATCACCCACGGACCGAAACGGATTGATGCGCTGGCTTTGTCACCTAGTCATGATGGCTCTTTATACTTGTTCAAATCCGTGGCTGCGCAACAGGGGCGTGATATGTTATCCGATTTCACAAGTACGGTTGCTCAGATGGGAAGCCGGCCCTCCAACATCAAAGTACGATGAATACCCTCCGGCGTGAAACCCAACATCAGCGTTAAAGGAAGCACCTATACGAAAAACGAATATCCTTGGGTTTTGTTCAAAGAAGTCAATACTGTCGGCCGATGAAAATCGGGACTCGGCCACTTACATCATCAACGTCCGTTTTGCAAATCATTTGATATTTGACTCAAGTCTATTATGCCCATCTTTCCGGACAAGGCTAACTTTGTTACAACTTCCTGCTTCATAATTCTGCGACAATCTTCTTCATAAAAGAATCGCTCTGCCTTAAACGAGCTCGAACTACCAGCTGTACAACAACTGATGGGCTGTTTGCTTCAGTACTGATTGGTAAGCTACCTTGGCCCTGATAAGATCCCCATCACGGCAGGTCCAAAGCCCTGTCTCCAAGGGATTCTCACTGATGAACTTTATCGGGAATTGTGTATCGAATCCTTCACATCCTCGACGTACCTGTTTGATCTAAAAGCTGTCATATGTATATTCAGAGCTTGGAAATTACCATTTAGGTCGTCGATCTGGCGTCCTCTGTCAGATAAAGTACATTTCTTGTTTCTGCAGAGGATACGCAAGCACAGTCTACTAATTTGTTCAGTGTTGTGTTCGGCGGCCACTTCTTCAGAGCTTCACTGGACCTGCGGGAGACTTCGTTCCGCTGAGCAGCATGACCATCTTAGCCAACAGCGACCTAAATCCGAGCTATTCTTTCGGTTGCAGCTTGCCAGAGCCCAAGAAGCCCCTGTGCCAATGATCCGCACTACGACGGGCCACAGATATGACATTGGGCTCCAAAACCGGGTCCATTATTCCAGCAGCCTTGGTACACCGGAGATAGAATTTTGCCCTAGGCATTCGTGAAGCCATTGGAGACAGATACAGTTATGCTGAGGTACCAAAAACATCATGCAAACAACTTTATCTTGTGGAGAACAAATGAAGACGTTGATTTTACGATGAAAGTCGTCCAAATACTGCCAGTGAAACGCAAAGTTACCGATACCATGTTCGCAACTTGCATGTAGCATCTTTGGTAGGCGAAAAAATAGATTTTTTAGATGACCAGGCCACTAAAACTTCAACTAGAGGCCTAATAACAATGTGTAGCAGGCGCGCTGATGCGCGGATCGTGACATGCGCCAGCACCATTGTCGAGAGACACTGATTCTGACCCACAACCACTCGATTCAGGACAGCCCTAAATTCCAATGGCAGCAAATTGGAAACAACAGGGCAACGGAGGGCAAGCTTAGGCTTTAGGGCGATCCATCGAATAGCAGGACATTTGTAAGCACCTTGACCTCCGCTGATGCCTTGGGAATGCTTTGACCCCATCAGAAACCGACGGAAACTTCCACAATCCAAGATCTGACAGCTTCATTGATGGACTGAAACCGAAAGCGAGGTAGTGGAGGATGGTTAATGTTATCCACTGAAATGGCTCATTTGACGCTAACCTTTAATAAACGTCCTGGATGCATAAAACCCGATTTCCGATGTGCACGTCCACGCAAGACTAACCTCATATAGTCACTTCCTGTCGTATAATTCAAGAATGATGGCACTATGATCTCAAGACTTGAGCCCGACCGGCTGGTAGCCAATGCATTTGGTCAAGATTTGATGTTCACAGGCCACTTGGTTATGTAAGGTGGTGTGAATGAGTTGATCTGCGGGCCGCCCTCTACATAGTAAATGCTTCACTCAGGGAAGAAGACCTGACCCCACTTTCATGCCATGTCAGCCATGGCGGAATTTACGGATTTAGGAGCTTCCAACCGGGACTCTAAACGCATCATGGCATGTCACTCGGGCGACATGGCTCCATTCCCACATGTCTCACCATAGTCCGTAGTAGTAGATTTACAAATACATAAAGAATATGCAGCTCGAATTGTTGGTTGAGTATCGTTGCAGCCTACTCTAGTATTCACGACTACCTTGGTTGATGCTACATATTGCTTAACCCAAATTTTGATATCGCAATGCCGGTGTTCGATCCTCCCCCAAAGTCTCTGCTCATGAGGCATCGCCAACTAGCACCAAATGCATCGGTACGTGTGTCGCCGCTGTGTCTCGGCACCATGACATTCGGAGACCAGCAACAAGAACGTTATGGAGAAATCACCAAACAAACAGCCTTCGATATCCTGGACAAGTTTTACGCCAGCGGCGGGAACTTTCTCGACACGGCAAATGCCTATCAGAATGGCCAATCCGAAGAATGGATTGGAGAATGGATGGCTGCACGTAAGAACCGAGATCAGATGGTAGTTGCCACCAAATACACCACAGCATATCGCAAAGCACACAAAGACGAAATCCAAAGCAATTATATCGGTAACGGGTCTAAGAGCATGAAGTTGTCACTAGAGGCATCCCTAAAGAAGCTTCAGACGACATATGTTGATGTTCTCTATGTTCACTGGTGGGACTACACAACGACAATCGAGGAGCTCATGCATAGCCTCAACGATCTTGTTGTGTCTGGGAAAGTGCTATATTTGGGAATAAGCGATTGTCCAGCATGGGTAGTAAGCTCCGCAAACCGGTACGCTCGCGATCACGGACTGCGGCCCTTCGTCGTCTACCAGGGCATGTGGAATGCCGCCATGCGCGATTTCGAACGCGACATTATTCCCATGTGTAAATCCGAAGGCATGGGTCTAGCGCCCTATGGTGTTCTCAACCAAGGACGATTCCAAACCAAGAAAGGTTTTGAGGAGCGCGAAAAACATAACCAGGGCCGCAACTTTATCCCTACGTCTGCGAGGGACAAGGAGGTATCAGCCATTTTGGAGGCTCTGGCCGACCGCAAGGGCTGCCAACTTGTGCAAGTTGCGCTGGCATATTGCCTGCAAAAGACTCCTTACGTGTTCCCGATTGTGGGTGGCCGCAAGGTCGAACACATTGAGGGTAACATTGACGGACTGTCGGTGGAACTGACCGCCGAGGAAGTTGAGGAGGTTGAAAGGGCGTATCCGTTCGATCATGGCTTCCCGCATACCTTTTTGAGCGGAACTCTATTCAAGGGAACGGATGAACTGGATCAACGTCAAGTGTCTGGGCCTGGTGATGTTGCTCTTACCAAGTTAGGCGGCACTTTTGATTGGGTGTCACAGCCACAAGCAATCCGGCCGAGTGATGGTATCAAGGACAAAAACTAGGCAGTTTAAAACAAGAAGGGTTGTACTACATATAGGCAAGAGGTCTAAATTCTGGCCGAGCGGCGGCTGTGGAGTCATACCTTTTGAATCCAACCCTACCTCATCGAGTAAGACAAGACAAAAGGTACATCATGCCTATATGCCCATACTTTCAACCCTTTACGACGTGAATGTACAATGATGTGTAAATAATTGCAAGACTTTCTTCACCGTTTGTACTGGCAAATGGGCAGCGTATAAAACTCTCTGTTGAAGAGGAGCGGGTGGGGTGAGGGTGTTTCACCAAGCAGGCGGTCTACGGTTGACAGCAAGAACACAACCACACCCAAAGCTCTGCTTGATAGGCTTCCGGACCAGTGAGGTATAGTATTTCTAGGGCTCACTTCGCCATACCCTTTCCATGGCATTCACTCTGACTATTGTATTTTCATCTCTCCCGATTATCCTATTTTGTGCTAGTCAGAAGCTCCTTTATACAACTTTCATTTAGAATTCCTCTCAAGTCAGCAAATGCCATCGGCAACTATACATCTTCTCGGCATGTTAGTTGCTTTTCTAGCGTACATGCTTCATTTACATTATATTAATTGTTTATATAGTTTTCTTACTACATTAGCCCTTGTGTGAGATTTCTCATGGACACTGGGGAGTCTCATCACGTTCCGTCATCTTCTATCGTCATACTTGAATTTGACCTGGCGCTTCAAGTTGAACACTAGGTTATGGCCTACAGCATTTCTACTTGCAATAATTCACCATTAAAACTTTCCTGGAGCTATTAACCCTTAAATTAGCGCAGCGTTAGCGCAGTTAAAAGGGTTATTAACATCTATCATCCTGACTGGTGCTTACTAAGGTACTGACACGACAGCACTCTTTGGGCCTTATTGACATTGACGCCTGGATCAACAGAGACAGGTGTGAGGTGCAACTTGTATGGAGATAATGCGAGCCATTTTAAGGTGTCTTCCTGCTTCCATGGCCGGGGGCGTGAAGTTTGAGGCTTTGCCATTTATGGGCAAAGAAAGGTGCGGCTCTGCTCGCTCTTTCACTGCAATTTTAACCCCCCCAAAGGGTTCAGCGCCAGTTTTGCGCCAATCAAAGCTCCAGAGGACCTCTCACACGCACTATCTGCGCTATCGTAGAGGCGCAAGATTGGGGTGATCACAAGTACCTACACGTTCTATGGCCTGATGCATAACTGACATACTAGTTGCTTCGACCATCCACTTCAGAAACAGTATTCTTAATCTTTTCCGTATGCTCTTCACAAATTTCGCCGAGCAGAAGTCTGTTGCTTCTGCTTTTCAGAACGTCGCCAAGATCATCAAATGCTCAGCAACATTTTCAAAGGTTTATGCGACCATCATGCTATTATGCTCCGGTCCTCCACCCACCTACCTAGTTGTGGTAAGGGTTACTGATGGCGATTCGTTGCAGAAATCACATGCGCTCTCTCAAGTCAGAATGTGTATTTACGCCGACACATTACATATCATGAAGGCGCGCTTCACTGCATCTTTAACCCCCCCAAAGGGTTCAATGTCACAGTACACCAATCAAAAGCCACAGGAGACCTTTTTACATTCACCCCCTTCATGATGTACCTTTGTTCCTCTCTTCACTGCATTTTTAACCTCCCCCAAAGGAGCTCCCTTTCTCGTATTTCTCCATTCAGAAATCCCGTCACTTTACCTCGCTCAGGTTATCCAATGCCATTGTCGTTTACTTTTTCTCTCTCTGTATGTTGGTCGCCTGTCTCACCACCATCGCCTGCGATCGTGATAAAAATTTGGCTTTTTCCTTCTTTAAAAATCCTGTCGCGAGCGATACTTATGAACATGAACAAATGGAGACACTGCATCAACCCCAGGTAGTTTCATAAGAAATCCCTACTCTCGCTTGAATTTTGCTTCAACGAAATGAACACAGAATTGGTTGAGCTTCGTCAACGTTTAACTTGAGCACTTCACACAACACCGAGATGAAGCGCGTCGCCGAAATGTAGGAATGCATTTAAAACTTGGTAAAAGTTTACTGCTTCGCAATACTATAATGCCCAGACTTGCTGTTTTGCGGCAGATAATCGAGCATCCCACCAAGCAAGAAAATGGTCATCTTCGCAATGATGGGATGCTCAATCGGTGAAATAGCAATTTTTTATTGGGTGGCTTTTTGGGAGCAAAGGTCGGTGAAGGGCGGTGTTGACCAATCCTGCTAACTTTCACTGCATTCTTAACCCTCCACGAAGGAGTCGACGTCCGTTATTATTAATTGTGCTGGGCCAATCAAAGCGCTTTGTATTCGTCATCCAGCCAACCATGCAAGGCAGCTATTTTCTTGAATCCAGGGGTATTTTATATCAAACGGTACTTTGTATATACCTGGTGCACCCTTATTCTAGAACACAAATACAAACTCCTCATTCTGCAGATCCGTAAGGTTATCAAAAGCCCTCGCGCCAACATCAACCTGCGCGTCTTCGCCGGGCGCAGCCATCTCATGGCCGTCGCTTCCGGCCGGCTGGCCCGCCTGCCTCATCCTCTCCGCCTCTTCAGCAGAAAACAGACTGGTATCGATGATGACGGCACTCTTGCCCATGGCCACGCGGCGCTTGCTGTGTGATTTGTTCAAGAAAGCGAGGTAGACACTCGCTAGAGCCACAAGGAGGATGATGACACAGTACAATGCCAGGTTGGAGCTCAGGCCACGGGAGTACTTGGGTGCCTCGGAGGGCTTGTACAGGAGAGGCCCGACGACGTTGCCGACTGACTGGCCGATGAAGAGGGTTGCCGAGGTACATTTCCGCTTGGTGTCGCCTGCGGTGTTGGCAGCGGACCATGAGTAAATGAGAGGGGCTGTGCGAGGAATCAGTCAAGTTATCAGCATAGAAAGGGGCGGAACATACAAATTCCAGGATAGACAGAGATGAGATAGTATCCTGCCAACCGCGCAGCGCGCTGCCCTGTAGTGTTTGGTAGGACCATCAACATGACGCAGCCGGCGATGGGAGGGACGCAGAGGGCAGCGATGACGGGGCCTTTCTTGTGGATCTTTGTTGCAACCCAGGAGCCGCCAACAGTGGCAATGAGCTGCACTGCACCAAAGGGGATGTTGAAGAGAATGGTCTGAAAAGAGTCGAAACCAAAGGACTTGACGATCAAGGGTCCAAAGGTAGAAATACCACCGGAAGGAATTCTAGGCTGTGTGAGAGATTGTACCAGAAATCGAGGGTAGGAGTGAATTACGAGATTGAAAAGATGAGAGCGAACCAGATCCAGGTCTTTGGGTCTCGCAAGCTCTCCCATAGATGATCCCACCGCCACTCACGCGACATGACTCCCTGCTGGTTCATGCGCAGACGCTCGACGGCAATGACCTTGTCGTGGTCGTTGAGGAACTTGGCTTCGACAGGCGAGTCGGGCATGTATAAAAACATGACGATAGAGAAAGCTACGGTGATGACACCGAAGAAGAGAAAGATGATCTTGTGTTTGCTGTTAGCTCTAATGATATATGTGTGTCGGATCGAGGGTTGTACCTGGTATTCTTTGAGTTTGGAGGAGATGTGGCCGAGTCCATAGGTGATGAGACTGCCAAACTATTCAAGTGAGCGGGATGCCAGCAATCTAGCGAGGTAGAACATACCATGTTGGTGAAGCCGTTCATGGCATACCAATAACTGATTCTCAGCGTCTGTTCACGTCGACGCCACCACATCTGGGTGATGGCGACGAACGAAGGAGCAACACTAGCCTCAAAGGCGCCGAGGAAGAATCGGGCCGTCAAAAGCCCGCCAAAGTTGTGAGCGGCAGCCATGCATGACAGAGTGACACCCCAGAAGGCTACCATGCAACTGGTGAACTTGCCGATGGGCAACTTTACCAACAGCCAAGCCAGAGGGAACTGCATGACCAGCTGGGCGAGATAGACAACGGAGCCCAGCCATGAGTACTGGTCTCCAACAAGGCCAGTATCCTCAATCAAGCCAAAGACGGAGGCGTAGGCGAGGGTAGACTTGTCGATGCCCTGGAGGAAGTAAACAAACAGCATCAAGGGCAGGATGACCATGTCGATCCTCCTCAGCACCCTCTTGTTATCATCCGCAGTGACGACGATGCGGTGCTCCGGCGAGGAGCCAGATTTGCCGAGCAGCTCAGCAGCGGCATCACGACGGTGATTGGCGTTAGCTGGCTGTACATGCTCAACCTGGTCAACGGGGGCTTTGTTCTGGTCGTCGTTGGTGGCGGCCATGTTGCCGGTATCGATATTTTCAGCTCTGATAGAACCAGAGTCGTCTCGATGCAACAAAGGCTCGAGTTCAGGACTGGGTCAAGTCAAGGAGGGAAAAAGCGGGAAGGAGAGCCTTGATAAGAAGGCCATTTTGAGGGCGGGTAGTACTTCTCCAGACGGTTCCCTCCATTGGACTCGGTCGCCGAGGCACAAGACAGGGGTCTTGCACTTAGCTACCGGCGGCTCTGTCTCTGGGCATCGGGACGGGATCTCGCCAAGAGCGTAGAGTTGCCAAGATGGGAGGCAGTTCGGCGAATGTCCGTGAGACCTAAGAGCATGAATGTCAGGGGTAGGTGGTCTCTGATTGGTTTAGTGTCAGGCTCAGAGAGGAATTGTCATCGGGAATACACGAGGCGAGCTCAGTGAAGAGCGGTCGATGAATGCCGTGCTGACGAGGGATTTCCTCGGGGAAATGCAAACCGGTAGATGGGTTTAACCAGGGGCAGTATATCAAATCACAGCAGGTTCCGAGTGCCGTACCGTTCCGTGATGGGTAGTGATGGGTTGTTAGTCGAATGACCGTAGGACGAAATGACAGGGAAGACAATCATTACGGGCAGAAGACCGAAGGAAAAGAAGTCTCTCTTTTGGCGCTTATTACCCCACCTAATGACGAGAGAAAGACGGGTGGCAGGTCTGAACTCCCCCAAACTATAGTGGAGAAGCTGGTGAGGTTTTCCCACTGAAAGCTTCCCCGTTCCCCAACAAATGTCTCCAGAGGTCTCCAGAGGATTGTGAGGGGGAATTGCGGGGGAAGCTCTTGACCTTAATAGCGATGTCACCCACTGAAAATTGGCAGAGAGAAGGGACGACGGTAGAAGTTTGTACCTCTAACAGAAAGAGCAGGTTTCGGCAACGGCAACGGCAACAGCAACAGCAACAACAACAAGAGGCAGCCACGATGTAAAAATATATGGTCCTGTCGTTCCTGCCTCTTTTTTAACAAAATGGAAATTATTGATCAAAAAAAACCTTTCCCCCCCACACTCCATGTGATGCGACGAGAATACGTACTATCGGGTTCGCCTTCCTCAACTTCCCGCATCCCCCTGCCCCTTCTTCCTATCATTCTATCGTCGGTTTATGCTGCTTCAGGAAATCTGCCGCCGTAGCAAAAGCTGACCATGACACACAAATTCACTCTCATAATCCACCATGGTTACCTCGCGCCTCCACCCACGAGTCAGAGAACCAAACAATTCACTTCCATCGCGTACTAGTATACGACACACTTGACTGGGATATGGTTTTCCCCGCATCCCTCCTCAACCTGGGGGGGATATGCGGAGGTGTCTCATCTCCAATTACACCCCGCCAAGTACCCACGATATCGGACTCTGATCCACCATTATTCTTACGAGACCAAGTGGAGGCAATTCCCTTCCCGACCCCAAACTGGTAAATGCCGTTACCCGACTTCACGATTCAGCAATTCTAACCCCCATCTCCATAGAAACTAGGTCCCATTTGGGCTTCAACCGACTACCCGCAACGCAGACATCGGCTGAGTCCCTCGAGAGATCCCTGCTTCCGTTATTATTCCCGGCCTCCGGTCCGGTGCCCCTCATTCACTTACAGCTACGCAATTGTCACTGCTGTCCTGCCCCTCGATAATAAAACCGTTGCCAAACACCAAAGCAATCATCGTCATTGCAATTGGAGAGTCCCTACCCTCGTCCAAGTCTCCAAAATGCTCCTCCAAAACGAAACAACACCAACAAAGTATGCGCCGCAAGAGGCAAAGGGCGTTGCCCTCGCCCCGGCCTCATTGCAGCTGCAATCATCCGACAAGGAGATCGAGCCATTCAACTTCACCTTTGAAGTCGTGCGTCCGACCGTTTTCCGCACCACTGTCACCTCCGCCTCCCGTCCTCTGCCTCCCTTCCCCAGTGCTCAGCGTCCGAGTCTAGATTCGTCTCCCAAAGATGTCCAGTCAGCATCTTCTGGTGACAAAAGTCGCTCCTTCACTACCTCGGCCGCCAAAGCTGTGGTAGAATGGTCCAACACTCCCATTCTCTCTCTCTACCTTGGCAAAGACGCCACTGGCAAGCCAATTCACCAGGACCTTCCGTTCCGCTCATATTCCGCCGACGGCGACGGCATTTCGCATTACTCAGTCTACAAGAAGGGCACTTTGCACGTCGGCCTGGGCGAGAAGGCCGCGCCCATGGACCTTAGTGGCCGCGGTTTCACCATCACCGCCTCTGATACCTTTGGCTACGATGCCTATCGCACTGATCCGCTGTACAAGCACATCCCACTGCTCATCAACATCGTCCCTGAGGGCGCTGTTGGTATTTTCTCCACCGCGCACTCGCGCTCGACCTGGTCCATCGGCTCCGAGCTCGATGGTATGTGGGGTGCTTACAAAGTGCACCGCCAGTCCCATGGCGGTCTTGAGGAGTACATCATCGTTGGCAAGACGGTGGCCGAGGTGGTGCACTCGTACGCCGAGCTCGTTGGCTTCCCCCTCCGCGTGCCGCGTTACATGATGGGCTACATCGGTGGCGGCATGAAGTACAGCATGGAGGACACGCCGAGGGCTCACGATGTCATTATGAACTTTATCAACAACTGCGAGAAGCACGACATCCCGTGTACCGCCTTCCAGATGAGCTCCGGATACACTGTTGCTGAGACAGAACCCAAGACGCGAAATGTCTTCACCTGGAACAGACACCGCTTCCCCGACCCCCGAGCGTTTACCCGCGAAGCACACAAGCATGGCGTTCGCCTGCTGGCGAACGTTAAGCCGTATGTGCTTGCGACTCACCCCGAGTACCAGAAGCTGAAGGAGACTGGCGCCTTCTTCAAAGACCCTGGCACCGGGCAAACTGCCGTCACCAGACTTTGGAGTGCTGGCGGCGGTGAAAGCGGGGAGGGAAGTCATCTTGACTTCACGAGCAACGCTGGATACCAGTGGTGGTATGATGGCGTGCTGGCCTTGAAGAAGGTCGGTATTGATGTCATGTGGAACGATAATAACGAATTTACCCTCCCCAGCGATCAGTGGCAGTGCGCTCTGGACAAGACGGACCTCGTCCCCATCCCAGAGGGACTTGACCGTAAGGACGTCGGCCTCTGGGGTCGCGCTATTCACACCGAGCTCATGGGTAAGGCGTCTCATGATGCTACCATTGAGGGCAAGCCTGAGGAACGCCCATTTGTTCTTACACGCAGTGCAACTGCCGGAACAATGAAGTACTGTGGCAGCTCATGGAGCGGTGACAATGTCACGGCCTGGGAATCAATGAAGGGTGGCAACTCTCTCGCCCTCAATGCCAGTTTCTCCCTCCTCCACGTAAGTCTCCGCATGAGCAGTATTCACTTAATACCAATCTTCTGCACCACTTCCATTTCAATACACTTACTAACGAACCTCTGCAGTGCTACGGTCACGATATCGGCGGCTTCGAAGGTCCCCAACCCACCCCCGAACACCTCGTCCGCTGGATTCAACTCGGTGTCCATTCCCCCCGTTTCACCATCAACTGCTTCAAGACGAGCGATGCAGATAACCTCATCGGTGGCGTTATTGAGCCCTGGATGTACCCGACTGCCACCCCCATCATCCGCGCTACCGTCAAGCGCCGCTACGAGCTCGTCCCCTACACCTACTCTCAAAATTTGCGCGCCCACCACACTGCAATTCCTCCGCAGCGCTGGACTGGCTGGGGCTACGAATCCGACCCGGAGGTCTGGGAAAAGGCCATCAAGGCGGGCGACACGCAGTACTGGTTCGGTGACGCGTTGGTCATCGGTGGTGTGTACGAGCCTGGTGCCGACTCGGCCCGCGTCTACCTGCCCAAGAAGAGCGATGGTAAGGACTTTGGTTTCTTGAACACCAACGCGCCATTTGAGCATTTTGAGTCTGGCAAGTGGCACACCGTGCTCTCGCCGTGGTACAACTCGATCCCGGTCATTGCCAAGATTGGTGCCGCTATCCCTGTAGGCAAGCCCCTGCCGACGACGTCTCGCGCTGAGGAGGACCCAGAGTTCCCCGGCCAGGCAAAGGACGACTGGCGTGGACTTGAGGTCTTCCCGCCGCCGGCGCTTCGGGGTGCTGCTGCTTCGGGCACCGTTGAGGAAGCCTCCAACGACGACATCAAGGGCGTCGTGTTTGAGGATGGCTGGTACGAGGACGACGGTATCAGCCGCGAGGTCCCGGCTGAGTACAAATTCACGGTCAAGTATGAGGTTGTGGATGGCGACCGAATCTCTGTGGAGGTGCGCGGAGTTGTTACTGAGGGCAGCAAAGACAATTGGAAGCCGCTGTGGGCTTCCAAGGGCATTGACGTTATTTTGCCTGTTGGCGAGGAGAGGACTGTCGTTGCAAAGGGAGGCGAGGCGACAGAGAAGTCCCTGGACGCTAAGGGCCGACGGGTATGGAACGTTCCCGTGGCCTGGGAATAGGTTTTTCGTGGAGGATGTTGTCATATAATGGTCATCAAGTGTGCATCACTTGTAAATGTGTTCATAGCAATTAGTCTGATGATTTATGATTTTCAAAAGTAGTTCCTTATTGCTTCGCTATGGTGTGCTTGGAGTGAAGTATAGCAATGACAAACTAGTGTATGAAAAATAAACACTACTTACTATTATTGATTCTGAGCACGTGTTGGTTCTGAACTTGTCCAATGTTATTACCAGCAGTTATCATGAAGACAGGGGAGAAATGGTAGTAGCTGCGCGTTTAGTGATGTTATCACTAACAACAGGCACAACTGGCGAAAGAAAACCCCCATTAGCGGAAGCCTGTTAACAACGCAGAGGGTCGCCAGATACAGGGGTGAAAGCGGGGTGACACCATTGCAAATGCGTCCCAGCCGTTACACAGTTTTAGAGGTATCTACAAATAGCAAGTTCAAGCTTACATTGCTACAGATGAAGATAACTCAATCAAAAAGACTGTAACGGGTCGGTAGCTCAGCTGCTATCGGGCTCAGCTCCAGTAGCTTCAGTAGTCCAGCCCTCGCTCCAATCATCTCACAGCTGGCGTCTTGCTTACCCCTCCATTATACATGTGTTTCTCACAAAAGTCCCTCTGGTTTCCACCCTTCGCTGACATTCTTGTTTTTCCCTCCTCGAAGATATCGACACTGTCCGCCTGCCCAGGTTGGGTTTTCGCCCTGTCCAGCAGACTAGCAACCGGTCCTTTGCAAACATGGACCCCCTTTCGCTGTCGCTGACCATGGTCGGTCTCCTACCGGTCATTGCGAGCGCCATTCGACAGACAAAATCACTCTACACAGATGTGACCCAAGCCAAAGAATTGATCAAGGAGCTGATGGACGAGTTGACGGCTTTACGGGGTAACCTCGTCTCGCTAAAGGGCCTTCTCGAGAGCGACGCAATAAATACCGAGGGCGTGAACTTTGACCAGTCCTCGGTCTTGGTGTCCTGCTCCAAAGCATGCAAGGTCAAACTGGAGTCACTGTGCGAGACGCTCGAACGGTACGCCAATAGCCGGACGAGACGACTGGCGTGGCCTCTCGCTCAGAAGGAATGCAAAGAGTCGCTCCGGATACTCCGCAACTTTGCCTTTTGGATCCAGCTGTCGTTGTCCGTGGAGGGCTGCCGCTTGTTATCGCGCAGCTCCGCTGACGTCTCGCAGACTTTGGCGCTTCAGTTCAGGGAGTTTGAGAAATTGCAGGAGGCCACGGCGGGATTGCAGAGGAGTGTCGAGGCGCAGACTCAGATGCTGAACGATTCCCGCCGGGAGCAGAAGCGACGCGAGGTCCTTGATTGGATTTCTCAGTTTGATCATGAGAAACGGCACTTGGAGGCCAAGGGTCCCCGCGTCGAGAATACCGGACGCTGGATTGTTGAGCATCCTTATTTTGAGAACTGGCGTGACAATCTGTCGTCACCTAATGTCCTCTGGTGTCATGGGCTTCCTGGCTCTGGAAAGACGGTTTTGACGTGAGTAGATTACATTTCCTGGAAGATGTTAGCCGATGGGAGCTAAGGACAGTCGAAAGGTCGGTTATGATTGATCATCTGTCGTCATTATCAGAACCTGAAGTATCCGTGTCGTACTTTTACTTGAAGTACCTCGACCAAGGGTCTCTGACGCTGTCTACCGTTTTGGCATCGTTGCTGAGGCAAGCGCTTCACGGAATGACGGATATACCAAAGTCGATCATGGAGCTTTTTCTCAGCCACCGCGAGGGTTCCAAAATCTCAAGTACGGCAGATCAACTGAGATTGCTCTTTGATGTGGCAGCAGGTCCACGAATTTTATATGTTGTACTTGATGCTCTCGATGAGTACGACCATACTCAGCGACGAGGTCTCCTCGAAGCGGTAAAAGAACTGAGACAGTGTCCGTCGATCAGGTTGTTACTCACGAGTCGGTCTCACATCCCAGACCTTGAAGCTTCGTTCAGCAAGTGCCCTCAGATTCTAGTCGAGGCCCATGACGGGGACTTAAAAGCTTACATGAAGCATTCGATTCTCGTGCAAAACCAATACGATATTATCGACGACGAGTTTGCAAATCAAATAATGAACCAATTCATTGCAAGAGCCAAGGGAACGTGAGTAAAAGGTTTCCCCGCTTGTACTGTCTTGATACTAACCTGTCGTCAAAGATTCCTGCCTGTTGTTCTACAATTAGGCACCGTTCTCAGAAAGAAAACACGAGGTCACATGGAAGATGCGATCGGTTCTATCTCGGACGACCTCGCAGTCGTGTTTGAAGAGACCATGGCACGGATCGACAGACTACACGAAGACTATCGCATACTGGCGAAGCGCGTTCTCGCTTGGCTGACGCACGCTAGATCCACCCTCACAGCAGCGGAACTAGGAGACGCGTTGTCTGTAGCAGATTCCGTCCAAAGGGGATGGACGTCGTGGACCACCAGATACAGACCTCTACCGAGGATGATGATCAACTGCTGTCAGGGCCTGGTCTTGTTGGAGCCAGTGACGAACCGCCTCAGTCTAGCACACTACACCGTCCAGGAGCACTTTGAAAAGCACACTGATAGGCTGTTCCCGTGGGCAAAAGTCGATTTCGCACGTACTTGCCTGTCGTACCTTTTGTACGACGACTTTGATTCTGGGCCGTGCAACGCCGATGAAGACATTTACGGCAGAGTCATCAAATACCCCTTCCTGGCGTACGCCGCTCAATACTGGGGAAACCACGTAGCTGACACCGAACAGGAGCCTGGAGTCGCAGATCTGCTGTCCAAGTTCCTGGGGCAGAGGATTTCCACCGCCGTCGCCTGGCAAGTTGTGCGATACGTCCAGGGGTACACAGAGATATATTGGAGGCCCGAGGAGTGTCTTAGTGCAACGCCCATTCACACTGCCAGTCGATATGGGCTCACCCACACGCTTAAAAGGCTCCTGCAGACCGACGACGTGAACAACATCAATCTTTGCACCGCTGAAGTAAAAACAACACCAGTGATTCTAGCTGCTTCTGAGCCCAATTTGGGAATCCTCAATCTCTTACTACGCAGCGGCGCCGATCCGTACATCAGCAATTGGTACGGCAACGCGCTCCATTGTGCCTGCGAGGCGGGGATGTCGGATAATATCCGACTGCTGGTCAACTTCGGCATGAAGACGAACGCCGAGCACGCACAACAGGGCCGTCCACCCATCTTCCGCACGGTGGACAATGACAGACTAGGTGCTCTGGAGACTCTGGTGGACCTCGTCGACGACGAAGAAGTCAACGCAGCCCCGGACCCGGACCCTCGGCTGCTGCAGTACTTCCTCCTCTGGGCAGTCGAATACGGCGCGCATCAAATCGTTGGCTGGATCTTGGGGAACGAACAACACCACCGCCGCGTTGCGTGGCTCCTGCGGTCCCATTACCTTGACTCCCTCCTGGAGAAGCTTAACCTAGACGCGGACACGCCGCTCCTAGGAGTCCCCGTTCTGCATCGGGCGATACTGGCCGGGGATGTCGAGATGGTTCGTCTGCTCGTCTCTTTTGGCGCAGATCCGTATGCTACGGCCTGGGAAGGCAAGACGGCGGTAGACTACGCGGCTGAGTCGATGGTCAGCGCTCTCACGGATGCGTTGGGCCTGGATTCCAACGATTTGAGTGTTGCGGTGGAGAGACTGCGAGTGTAGTGGCAGACTACGTCCTGAGATCCCACAGAGTCAGGGAGTGTCATTACAAGAACTGAACTCTGGCTTTATGTGGGATTTCACCATTCAGAGTCCTCTATTCCACTACTCTAGAATCCTAGAAGAACTGATCTTGGATTTAATAGTGTGTTGAACTGACTTAGACCAATACGGCTGTGCTCATTACTCAGTTAGCGTTCACTTACTTACCCACTATGCCCGCGAAGTGGGACAAGGTCAGCCCTTGACGCCAGATAGATCCACTCCTCTTATCGACTAATTAAACAGGCACGACATGAAAATTTTCTAGCCCGCCCCGAACGGACAACTCCCGACTACATGAGACCAAATGAGTGACCGGTCGTCAAGCAAACCAGCAGATGCCTTCATCTGCCCGGCTAGCTCAATCGGTAGAGCGTGAGACTCTTAATCTCAAGGTTGTGGGTTCGACCCCCACGTCGGGCTCAATTCCCGTCAGCGATTGACCTCTCTTTTTGTTTTTGGGGGGATGTTGTCGTAGTAGTTGGGGGAGACTGCTGGAGGGCTCACTATTGTTGTTAGGCACTTTGATGTGGTCAGGTTGCCTCTTTGAGGATGGTTGGAGGTCTTCTTGGACATGCCACAGATGGTATGCTGAATTTGTGACGAGGAAGTTCGCCTCAAGCATGGGTTGAGTTGAATGAGGCCAAGGCGATAGTTGGTAAGACAACTGCTCTTAGGCACTGGACCTTCCAATTAACCAGAATACATATACTCGAGAACACAGCCAGTCATTACGCCACTTGAAGTTAAGCATAAACGTGGAAAAACTCTTTTGGCATCTACACCAGGATTACTCTCAAGTCATCGCAAATTAGCTACACATTCCTCAACTTGACGTAGCAGTCGCCCGGGGTCGTAGCCAACGCTTCTATCCTGGTCGAGCTGTCCAGCTCCTTGCTCACCGTCTCGAGCTCAAACGCCCAAATGACATGGCACAGGACGATGCGCATCTCCATGTACGCCAGTCGCTTGCCGAAGCATGCTCGCGGGCCATACCCGAACGGCATGAAAGGTCCAGAAGTAGCGTCAAACACCTCCTTCTCCTCGCCGTCTTCGGTGGTCTTCTTCATCCACCGCTCGGGTTTGAACGCGTCAACGTCGGCCGGGTCCCATACATGCGCCCGGTGCGCCGCGTGCTTCGCCGTTTCTGTTGTACGCTTCGACTCGTCGACGGGGATCGCGGGGCGTAAGTACCCCGGCCCATTACCGATGAATAATACGACAGTGCCCTTTGGTACGTGGTGTCCCAGCACCTGCGTGTCGACCTTTGCCTCGCGACTCGTGATCGGGAGGGTCTCACAGCATCGCAAGATTTCTTCGACCACGGCGTCAAGGTAGGGGATCTGCGTCTTTAGGATCTCTGTTGCGGTAGGCGCGCGCCCGGATGCGGCGGCGGAAGGGAACGCCTCGCGCAGCGTAGCGCGGAGACGCTTCTGTGCTGGCTGGTTCCGTGCGATGAACTTGAGCCCCCATTGGAACGCCGAGGATGTCGTATCGTGGCCGGCAACGAGGTATCCGAGGAGCTGGGAACAAATCAGTTTCTGCATGGACGGGTACTCGGTCAACATCTACTGACCTCATCTCTGATTGTGGGCGAATAATAGTCAGGCTGCCTTCCCTCCTTCTCTGCCATGGCACGTTCTCTCAGAAGTATCTGGTCCATGGCGCATCGAGGCGGCTCCGACGCCTCCATCCTCTCCACGGCCTTGGCCAGCTCGCGCGTAGTCATCTCATCTTTGGATGCCATAGCCTTCTTCATCCAGTCCGTTCTCTTCAGGAACCAGCCGCGCAGCCGGGGAAGCGGCGACTTGAAAATCATGCCGACGCTGTCCGTCATTGCGTTGAAGACTTGGGCTTCCGTGTCCAGCGGGAGATTCTCGATTGTCGCCGGTTCGGTCTCGTCCTTGGCGGCGCTCTGGACGGGAAGGTTGGCAAGATGCGCGGTGTTCCGCATCGTCACCCCCAAAGACTCATCTCTATTGAATGCGACGGACAGAATGATATCAAGGGCCATGTTGTGGATGTCTCTGCCAGCCTCAAAGGGTCGTCCGTTGCTGATGCGCATCTTTTCCGTCCACAATTCGACGAGGCGCGCGCCCTTGTCGTAAATCTGCGGCGCCGAGACCTGATTCCTCGGTCAGCATCGCTTAGTTCTTTTGCCTTCAAATCTACCTCTCCAGTTGTCCTCACCTCGTGCAGGAAGGCGGGCGTCATCAGGTCCCGCACCAGCTCCCTGTTCTTCTTGAACCTGGGATCATCGTCCGCCATGCCGATGTGATGGTTAGGAATCACACAGCCAAAAATGCTTTGCAGCGCGCTGTTGCGCTTGAACTCCTTGAGCCTCCTGGTGCATATGTCGTTGGCCTCAACAGGGTCGGCGCAGATCAAGAGCGGGCTGGTAAACGGGAAGAATATTTGGCTCAAGGGGCTGTTGAAACTCAGGGCCGTTTCCGCGAACCAGGTGCGACGAGAGCGAGCGGCCCGGATCAAGGGCATGTCGCCGAGTACTCTGTTCGCGGATTCCTCATTGTACGGGATCCCCGGGAACGGCTTGGGGAGTGCGAGCCAGCGGAGGACGTAGATTAACGCAGCGCTCGCTGCCACCACCGCTGCGAAGGTCGACGGTCCCCACGAGAATTCATAGTTCAACATGGTGACGGCTTCTTCTGCTTTTGAGCGGCCACAGAGGGAACTCTGCAACAACGACGAACTCGGGGCGCGAGGTAATGGGTTTCCGGGTTTTATTAACTCGTCGGGACCCTGTACAATGCGTATCTTGCTTCTGTGGGCCTGGGTCGGATTCGGTTACAATCCTGGTCAACCGTTGTAAACGTTGACCCTTGTTGAGGGGAGGGATGGCTTACAACGGCAACGCAGCTACAAGCCGGGGGGTTGAGTAACACCAATCCAATAAGGGTACGAGCTGCCCTATGAGCCAGAAATCTGGGTCTATTATGTATTAAGATTCAACGCAGTCTGCAGGGGCCAATCACTACCTTTGGTAAATGTCTGCCTACGGGATATGTGCGTCAGATTTTAATGGGCATTTAGCGATGCCTACATGAAGGAATACGAACCTTGACTGTTTTTGATACCCTAGCATCTGCAAAAGCCCTTTAAACCCTCTGCCTGCTTCAGTGGTTTCAAGGTAGATGTGCGAGGTAGAAATTATGTTGGGAGAAGTGTAATAAAGCAGGCAAAACTCCTAGGGCAGATTCGACAACCTTCAATACCTTACAAATGTCATCAAAGGCATGTGAAGACTGCGGGGGTCCAGAGCTGAAGGAGCTGAGAATTGGGTGTCTTGGCCAGCCAGCACAAACTCGGAAAAGTGGCACCAGTGACCCCATTCCAAGACAAAAGCCATGTTTTCAGCCTTGGCAGAGCGTTGATATGCACATGTTGATACGTACAATTGCGAGGGAGATATGCAGTCGTTCTTATTGGACAGCGGCAATTGAGTCCAGTCACGGCGCGGCACAATGTATGTCGAGTTACTTGAGCGCACGAGCAAGCAAAGAAGCCAAGATGATCCTATCAGACATGCTTCAATGACAGGTTGCAAACTGCCTGTCAGCGAATCTGGTTCCGTCCATAGTTCGCACGGGCGGAAGGACCGGGACCAGTTAGATTGAAAGGTTACAATGGGCATGATTGATTAAAGTTGGGCTAGGAAAGGTTAATATGCTGGTATCACGTGCCGGTAAGCCGAGGAATGCAAGGTATGTTAAGAGGGCTATTTATATAAAGGCCGTTGATGTCTATGGACCAGAGGCAAGTTCCGTCACTTTCAAACTGCCTAAGCTTTTTACTTTGTGCCACACCGCCTCTGGCAGTTCTCTTTCATATCAAAAGTTTTGTGGATGATCTTGGACAGTTTATCTACTTAATCCAACCCCAACTTCATTGGTCCTAAAGGGCGTTTAGAACTCTTCGTATAGCCGGAATATCTTCTTGAAGCAGCTTCAAACGGCCGATTCTCTTAACCCACATTGGATCTTCCTCTAGGTTTTCCACCCTCAGGGTTCTATCCCTACCCCAGACAAGCATTTCACCCTCAGCTGCTTTTTGAGTGGATTTTCCCGTAATGAATCCGATATAGTGATCTTGAACACGGCCCACAAGCTCAAGATTACTCACCGTACGCCTTTCTGATTGGTCATCCACCGTTGAATCCGTAGCATCAGTTTCCTGCCTTGCGGAGAGTTCATCAGATGATTCTGGATACGCCATAAAAATGCCGTTATCAGCATCAACAAGGGCATTGTGGAACGGATCAAACAGATAGATTAGCTCCACGCAATGATGTGCGGCGCCTTTCTTTGGTCCGGGAAACGGGTTTCCAAATTGGATACTGTAGGGCTGTATGCTAGTGGCATCACCGAGGTCGGCTCGACGCTGCTTGCTGAGTGTGGTTTGCAGCATGTAGATGGGTAAGTCGAATTTGGCATCAGAGAGGAACCGCTCGTAATTCGCTCGTAAAACGCTCTGCTCAGATCCTTTGACGAGACCGTAGGCGTTCAGTATTTCATCCCCCCTCGCAGGAGTTCCGTAACTTTCGGCAAAGATGGTCTGTAACCTCTTCAGATCAACATCATTTTGGACGAAGCCAGCTTCCTGTATTGGTTTAATCGTTAGTCAAAGCTCTCAACAAAGAATACTGGAACATACCTCGACGTCACTTGCGCCTAACATAACCTCGACTGGATCGTATCCAACAGATTTAACGTCTTGTCCTTGATCAACATCAGGAAATGTCGCAGTTTGCATTGTCATAGTCAAGTCATCGGCAATTGGCCCCAACTTCATCTTCTTGCTTTTGGTGGTAAATTCAATCATGGCTTCCGTCGAGACTTTCCGTAGAAATTCCACTTTTTGCTGGCTGTTCTCGGTTTGGATACCCCAGTACTGGCACAGCTCGTCCCATGGTGCTTTCATGTCCTCCAGAGGCAGCGGCGACAGAGTAAACTGGGCACCGGATTGCAAGATAGTCCTCTTGAAAAGTGGCTCTGTAGCGTGAGAGTCGCTATCAAGAAGATGCACGTGTACCGCGAACGATCCTGACGAACTGCCGCCGAACGTGACTTGTTTCGGATCACCACCAAAGTGAGCAATGTTGCGGGCTACCCAAGCCAAGGCGACTTTCTGATCGTAAAGACCAAAGTTGAGACCCTTATTCTCATCATCGGTCTGGGTAGTCAGAATATCGGTCGATCCGAGGAACCCAAATACGCCATGCCGAAAGTTGGGCAGAACTGCAATAATGGGGGAGCCAATTTCCAGAGATCGGGATACTAGACGGACAGGGTCTGCTTAATTAGTTAGTAACTGGAATTATTTATGTTCTCCGACAGACCGTATTTCACCTACCATACAGCGGGTGACTACCCGACTCAGATCCTCCACCACCATGAATCCATACCAAAACAGGTAACTTGGCTGGCCCTTGTATCCCTATGCGAGACAACGCTGCAATGCTAGGTCGGACGATGATGAGGTTTAAACAATCGAATTCCGATTTTTCAAATTCCGGAATAGGTAAATAAGCCTGGAAATACGAGGTGCTGTTGCCCCTGCCGGCGAATGGCGATACAGGTCTATCAATATGCGTTTACAATTAGATCATCATAGCGTTTAGGGAGTACAATGGGAACCACTCTAATGTTTACTTACCCGTCCTTGGCCGCATCATACTCGTCCTGCGGAAGATGGGTGCGTAGTCTCGAATGCGTCCATCTTTGAGATACTTCTCCGTATGGGATGCCCCGAAACTCATCAACATCCTCGGACAGATATGACTTCTTGCCAATTACCGTCTGAACATAGCTAGGGGTGGTCTGGGTCGGTAGTCGAACGATGACATCTCTATCAACAGGCGGTGGTTGCAGCGGTTCGGCCATGTTGCCAGTGGCAATGACGCTATCGAAACAAAGCCGAATGGGCGTAATGACAAAAATACAAGAATGTCTAGTACGTAGAAGACGCTCTTTTCTTGGGTCTTTTTATAAAGACTCGTTGTTGGATGAAGAAAGAATCGCAACCAGGCAATGGCAGATGTCTTCTAAATGAACTCCTTTGAAAGTCTTATATGGACTTTCGTGGTCTACTAGCAGATCACTTCTACCTCACCGTGATTAGTTACTACAGTAGCTACTGCGGTTTTACAGACTCTCCACTTTAAAAGCGCGTAGTGCGATCTACAGGACACTGATAGCAAATTACGTTATGAGTAGAGAGCAGATGCATAGTGGATTGCATAAATCGGCGTGAGTCACACCGAGTTGTAGTGTCGTTACATGTCTGACGGAAAGAAGTATGCGCACATTAGCTATCCGATTTCGTGTGAGTCACGCCGAGTCCCCGTGCTCTCCGATAGGAAACGGTATGCTTTCCGTTGGGAATTCTAATCTTCTGTGCCTAGACTCACCTTACCCAACGGAAAACGACATGTTTCCTTCAATTAGCCAGTGTTCTTTCTACTTTGATCAATGAACTTTACGTCTTCCGTTTAATTGACTAGCAAATACTTTTGGGATCATTAACCATGTCGCTCTTATCTTTAGAGTTGAGGACTGACAGACACGGAGCGATCATATCATGGGACCTCCAGAACGTCGTCCTCATTTCCCCCAATTGAACAAATACTCCATATTTACTCGAGGCCCTGACGAGTTCTCGGAAATTATACAAGCTAAAACATATCAACGGCCCTTGAACTCTGACCTGCGGAATACACCCGAAAAGTCTAACTAATAACACAGGAAGTGTAAATATGGTCACTGATCTTTTCCAATCATATTTGACCTGCCGTATTCCACTAAACAAGTAGATGCGACCCAAGGAGTGACTAGCCAGCCGACTGCTGCTGGGGGGGTCTATCGGTTATTTATTCGGGTTGCGTGTTATACTTTACTGAACAAGCTCCAACTGAGACGACACTAAAACAGTCAAACTTGGTGCACTGGACGAGCGTCCAATCATTGGGCTCATACTACTGCATTTGGTCAGACGTTTGTCAAGTAAGGTAGTGGACATTCTTCCTTGCTTGATCCATCCGTTCGCCTAGACCTTGCCCCTGGTCTGATTCTCCAATGTAAACGTAAACTTTAGACGGCTTCTTCCGCAAAAGTAACCATTCGTCCTGTCTCCGAAAGGGAATTGAACAAATCAGACTTGTTGTAGTGAAAAAAGCCGCGTGAGATCCGATTCGGTATCGCTTAAGGTTTACCTCCAAAATTTAGTCTCGAGACAGGTACGGTTTCCGCATGGCAAGTTTATCAGCAAGAGAATGATCAATATATTATGAGCTCGTTGCCTTTCTTGACCCTAAGAGTTTCCTCATCTTTACGTCATATGGTTCCAAGGCTTCAGATGTAGACATCCCATCATGACTCTTTTTGGAAGGACCATCGCCGTCTTGTCGGGCCTAGTATTAACATTCGGGGTCGCGCACGGGTTTGTGGCAGATCTGTCACTTCTGGCCTTTTCCGGCACACCGGTTGGTCAAGTATTCAACCTCAACGGCCGTAAGTACATCAAGCCGTTACATAAAATGAAGACACGGATCATCAATCTAATCGGCAAGTGGAAATATATGTATCTAAACCCAAGGATCAACAAAGCAGCAATGCTTCAGCCGTCTCGAACAAACCAATAGTGGGCGTCCTTCAACTTACCGATGTTTTTGGTATCAAATCAGTGGAAAACCGATTGTCTGTATTCCAAATGAATCTGTAGTTACTTGAGCTAAATGACATTAAAGGCTCGCCGATAGCTTCGCCCGCGCCGGTTACATGACGGTCGCTCCTGATCTTTTTAACGGGAAGCCAAGATCGGAGGATCCAAAATCCGGCTTCAATGCAACTGAGTTCTTCGGCTCTCACGGACCAAGTGTCACCGACCCGATCGTCTCCGCTAGTCTCTCCTACATGCGGGAGCAGTTAGGCGTAAACAAAGTTGCCTCGGTGGGATATTGTTTCGGTGGTCGGTACGCCTTTCGCGCTTTGGGGCTTCCGAAGGACAAAGCTGTCAACGTGGCGTTCGCAGCTCATCCAACGCTACTTGGTGATGACGAAATCAAGGCCATAACGGGCCCTGCTAGCTTGGCAATAGCTGGTAAATTCTTTCTCCTCGTCAACGATAATTTTCAAGTCCCTGAGGCCTTCAGGGATGCTAACAATGCTAACAGAAAAGGACACCGGCATGTTGATTAAGCGGAGGGTCGAGATAGAGGCTGCTATGGCCAGTACTGGCCAGCCTTTCACCATGAACCTGTACGGCGGTGTTCCTCACGGGTTTGCAGTCCGTCCTAACCTCGATGTTCCTGTTGAAAAGGCTGGCAAAGAAGATGCATTTTTACAAGCTGTACGGTTTTTCGAAAATTGGCTTGGATCATGAGAGTATGATGGCAAATACCAACCCTATCATTTCGGTTGAAGAAGGCTTTGATGCAAATCTGATGCAGAGTAAAAATTGGTACATCGTTTATCGGAATGCCATATCATAATTGCTAGATGAAGGTCCTTAGTCGGTGAAACATGCTCAAGAATCTTGCCCTGGGGTAGCCATTTTCTTCGTAGGACCACTGGCAGGTTGTGCCACACTCCGTTGGCCAATCATGGGAGGGGCGTGACATTTCAACTTAAAATGTCTTCACTCGATTATGCGAATATCAACCTTTTTAATGCAAATCCGGTCTGACCTAAGCCATATTATGCGTTTAGAAAGAAAAAGTGGACAATCCATCGCAATTTTGATTTATATATGAAGAACCCTCTACCCATTGTTGAGGGAGCCCGAGATTTTGCATTGCACAATGCTTTCTTTCCATCGAGGAACTGGGCGCTTGTGTAGTCGACTCTATTTAGTACCCTCTTCATCATATCCTCGAATTATAGTGCATTCTCGCATTGCAGCTAGTTCTTCTCTCCCTTCCAAAGCAATTCTTTGCCAAACCTCGAGATTATTGCATACAATGAGCAGCAAGTCTGGCACCCTAAAAAAGGATGTTGTACAGCCAGGAACATTACCTTCACAGGCAAGCGAACATACCGGAAACCGCTCGTTAGAGATCAGTGCCAACGATGATGATGCCGATATCCGCTCCCGCTACCGTCCGTTTCTACTACCCTCAGAACTGAAAGCAGACGATTGGGTGTCGACACTTGAGCTAAGAACGGCAATTAAGATGGTTGACGACGAAATCCTTCAACAAGGCAAGCCTCGATTACGGATTCTCGTCTTGACGGGCAGCCTCCGTCAACGCTCCTACAGCCGGCTATTGGCATTTGAGGGTGCTCGCATCTTACATCGGCTGGGCTGTGATGTCCGCGTGTACGATCCCGCGGGCCTGCCGCTCAAAGACGACGTCAGCCACGATCATCCCAAGGTACAAGAGCTGCGGGAGCTGAGCCGCTGGAGCGATGGCCATTTTTGGGTCAGCCCTGAGCAGCACGGTGTCCTTACAGGCATCTTCAAGATGCAGATCGACTGGATCCCGCTGGCTACCGGGTCGATTCGCCCCACGCAGGGACGTACGCTCGCAGTAGCCCAGGTATCGGGCGGCTCACAGAGCTTTAACGCAGTCAACGCTCTGAGGATCTTGGGGCGCTGGATGCGCATGTTTGTGATACCGAACCAAAGTTCCGTGCCAATGGCATACAAACAATTTACGCCAGAAACCGAGGGTAGTCGAATGATGCCCAGCTCCAACAGAGATAGGCTGGTGGACTGCATGGAGGAACTAGTCAAATACACAATCGTTATGCGACCACACTTTGACTTGTTCGGAGATCGGTTTAGCGAACGCGAGGAAAAGAGAGCAAAGATATTGGCCGCGGCTCCACTGGAGTGATGGAAAGATGATGAAGGTACAGGAGGTTTTTACGGCTTGTGTATGAGCTAGTGGTATAAAAACGTGCCTCAAGACGACTGTGGCCAGTTTTAGCTAGAATTTCTTATGGTTGTCAACGACAATAGATTTACGCTGGAATATCGCTTGACGTAGTAATATACTAGCGATAACAAACTGTTGTGTGCGTGCTCCGCCTTCTCCCATCAATTTCTCTACATTTATGCTAGCCACTACAAACACTGACAGTTAGTTGAGGTTGTACGCGATAGTCTCATTCTCCAGCATACTCCAGTTTGACCTGAATGATTGTTAAATGCAATAACACGAGTAGGTATAATGGCTGGCTAGTTTGGGTGACAAAGGAAGCGACATATCGATTAATTCCCTTATTCGGCCTAACTACAGGATTAACACTCAGCTTGTCAAACTTATTCGGTAAAATCATACCTAATCGGGTAGTTATTCAGTGGCTCATTCGAGACAAAAGACATTGACTAGCTTAGATCCCAGAACAAACATCCTGCCTTTACTATCATGTGCCTCAACAAATGTCCTCCAAGTTGCTCATACCTGATGATGCTGCAGATCTACGCATGCGAAGGGGATCCCTCCGAGCGATTCTCTGTGTGTAAGGCCTTCCATAATCCAAACATGAAGTGACTAGCAACGATATATGACAGCCCGGCAAATACCTGAGCGTAAAGATAAACTCTTGGAGAGTTGATTTCACGCAAGGCGAGAGCAATGGGTTCGCCACCTACGATGTTCAATCAGTGCACTGCAAACCTTTTGTGATGTGATAAAACTTACATGCTGTAGGAACTATTGTAGTAGCCCAAGCAAGAGAAAGTACAGACTGTATATGCTTGGGACCTGCCACCTCCACTGCCAAGGGCCCGATTGTCTATCACGATGTCAGTTTACGGAACCTAATGCGGATATCATCTTCTAGGGATTTCAAAAAGGTTTCCCTTACCATCCAAAAGACGCCCAAAATTGCTCCACATAGAACTGCGAATGTAGCAGTCACTGCAAATGACCTAGCAGGTATCCATAGCGCGAAACAAATCATCCCGCACATGAAAGTGAGCGTACCGGCAGTCGCAATCCTGGAGAAACGATCACTCGCGATTCCAACTATTGGCCGGCCAAGAGCAGTCCCGAAATTGAGAAACCCGATAATGTCAGTCGCTTGCTGCTGGGATAGACCGACAGAAAGAGCAAAATCTGACAGTGAGAATAGTAACGTGACGTATCCGAACATATGTACGAAAGTCCATAAAAGAAGTAAGACAACCTCCTTCTTACGGAGTAGAGCAACATCAAACGCCAATTGAGTTGGTCTGATGTGCTTATTCCGATCTCCGAGAAAAAGAGTGGCGGCGAGGGTAGCAGTAAAGGCGACAAGGCCTGTTATACGTAGGGCCCAGTGAACGCCTAAGCTCTTGATGGTTGCAGCCGTACCCCAGGTAAACGCAGCACCCCCAGCACCTGAACCTGCAGAGCTTATGCCGTTGGCGATGCTTCTACGGCTAGAAAACCACTGAGAAAGGACCGCAGTGCTCGGTATTACGATCAAGTCAATTCCGAATCCAACGAGCGCCCCTTGAGTCAGGTAGAGGTGCCATGGTTGAGCGGAAATCGAGGCGATGGCATAACCGAGAGACTGTACGAGGCATTCCGGAATCATAACAGCATGGAGCCCGAGTTTGCGCGTAAGATGCGTGACAAGAGGAGCAACCAGCATAGCGCAACTGAAGTTGAGCCCGTCAATGAAGCCGAACTCGAGGGGTTTGGTATCCGGAAATCTGCGTGATAGCAGATACTCAGACAAATACACGCCAAAAGACTAGGTATTTTCATATTTCAGTAGGGCTATTCTATAAGCCTGGAATGAGACTCACTGAAGTGGCCCCCCAAGTAAAGGCATTCAAAACAAAACATGCGCCTGCTACTGTCCAGCCGTATCCTCCGTCTGGAGGGGGTGATTGCGCCACAGTTGGATGTTCCATTTTCTCCGGAAAGCTGGAGAACCGTTATAGTTCGCCTTTGGGTGTGTTTTGTGCACCACAAATCATGGAAATGAAACAGAATAAGACTAGAGGCCTTTGCCAGTCTCTTGGTACAGGTGGCGGGTCAACTTGTGCGCGAGACGGGTTTATATTTTATGTGTCCCCGGGCACCACTCAGTGGTGACATATCAAAATCTCACCCAACATAGACTAGTGTGATGGTCCTTGGGGGCTACCATTGGTAATGCATTGTGAGGCCTGCTCAGCATGAAACTCGCGGTCACTGGTAGCAAGTGATTGAAGACCGGAAACACGCATTCAAGTTCTTGTTTTTGCCGCCCCAATAGAGATATACGAGTGTGGTTCCTAGCTGATTCTGTTTTCATATCCTTAGTTGAAGTGCTTACCGAATGCTTTATTCATCAAATCAGGTAGCTGTGGCATCCCTCTTCCATCTCGGCCAAATATACGGAAAGGGACTCTGATATGAATCACCGCGTAACAGAACATTGCACGTTTAGAAGCATTGAGTTTCAAGCTGAATGAAGAGTGTGCTACTTCATGAAGAAACCGACAGCATCTCCTTTCTTTATTGTGTTGACGAGCTTTCAGTCTAGAATGCCAACAACTAAGTCTATTGCCTGTCCCTTTGTTGGCTGCCAATGGAAGCGGGGTCCCATCACTTGGGAGGAATGAGGTAATGACGTTAAGCCTAATTGGGAAATTCTCGAGGATGTCATTCTAATTTTACCCGATTGAGCAACCCCTCCATCTCTGCTCAACATCCCAGTCTTGAACTTTGTTCCTTCATCACATACTGCCTACCGGTTTAAAACCCGTGCCTAACATTCGATTATCGGGGATTCAAGATGGTGAGCAGGATTGAGAGACTGGCTGGGCCCAAGGCTATGATAAAGTGGTCGTCAAGACCTGCAGTTGATAAGACTGCACGAGTACGCGACAACCAGCGTCGTCACCGAGAGAGGGTCAAGTCTCACATTGAAGACTTGGAGTCAAGGCTCTCGGAGACGCAGATGCAGCTTGCCGAAGCATTGAGCAAAGTTGAACAACTTTCAGCTGAATTGGGTCGCGTTAGAGCTCAAGGCGGAAAGAATCTTCTGGTCGCTGGTCCGCCCACGGCTACAACTGGACTTGAAATATCCGACAGCGAACAAGCACCAGCTGCGACCTCATCATTAAAAGTTTCCCTTGCTTCAGATTCAAACTCCCACCCTTTTATCCAGTCGGCGCAATGTTTTGCTGCCCATTCGGACCTGCAGCAGGCATGCAAGAGCTCAACCACCCAAAAGAGCAAAACCCAACAGCAAGAGAAAGCAATCCACAACATTTCGGCCTTACATTATGAGGTTTCCCCCTCTGACTTCTCCAAGGCTATTGAAATTGGAACAAAAGAAAGTCATAACTATCCTGTGGCTAAGGCTGGGGAATCTACTATGCTCTGCCGGGATGCGTACAGCATTATACTCGAGCAAAACTACGGTGGTCTCGATGAGTCTGCCATGTTAACGAGGCTGCGACCTGGTTTTCGGAGATCTTCCACAGAGGGAAGCGGGTGTCGAGTTGAAAGCAGAATTCTCTGTGCTTGTCTTGATCATCTCAACCCTCTATGACAGCATCGAAAATCTCAGAATTTTACTAGTAAACACAAGCCTAGATAATTCACATGGCATTGCAAAGTATGTTAGGAGCTGTCTCACATCGAATCCTGTTCAGACGAGAATATCCTGCCAAGTGAGCTAGTCGTTGCACCAGTTGCAAATGCTAGCTCCGTGTTTGAGTCGAAGAAGTTTAAGCCTTGGGGGGGGGGGCATCTTTGGAAGTTGTTGTACTCTAGAACGAAGCTGCACCAATCCTGCAACTCACTCAGAACCTCAAATCCTACTCATATACGGTCCGTTGGTACAGAAGGTAGCCGACAAACTAGTCGAGTTTAGCCTCAAAGTAGCTTTCTTTTAAATCTTCGAAAATCAGGCCCAACTTCTGGCAAACTGCCCAGATACTTTGGAGTTTACAGACCGAAGTGATGGCCCCGAACCAGCTAAAGATTTTGCCGTCAACGCTAACATCCCAGCGAAGCGGGATTAACGGAGTAGTAGCGTTTGTGCAGACTCAATGGTGTGCCCTTCTGTGTAACTCTCGTTGGCAATATCAACGATCCAAGCCAACATATCATGTCTTCACTTTAAGGGTAGTGCACTATCACAAACTTCAGACAGACCTCGGCCCGTTCTAGATTGAGATTGTCATGACAGGGGTGCCACGTGGTACCCATGAGTTTTCTGGTCCAAGCACAATGCTGGTGGGGACAAGTCCGGATATGTTCCGAATCTAGCCCTTGATTTCCAGTCTCTGTCCAGCAGTATTTTCTGTCAATGCAAAGAATACAAGCGGGAATATCCCTGGTCGGTTACTACGGGATCTCGTTCTATTCAGGCGCATAGCCAAAGCTAAATTGGCAGTTGTAATTCTTGAGGATGTCTGGCGGGGATGGAGAGTGCTACCATTCGAGAATTCGGCTGCTCGGGTCAATTTAATTGTAGGTCAAATGAATCATGAACCGTCCCTGACAGGTAACCTTAATCAACATACAGTCTTTAAGCTTCAAGACCTTCAGAACCCTAAAAACTCTCTGTCCACGACATCACCACCCGCCAAGCGCTGATCGACCCGTCACCCCAAAGACCCACGATGGTCCGACGAACCGCCAAGACGGATTCCTCCAACAGCCCGTCTGGATTCCTTCGTAAGAAGTGACCGAACACTCACTGCCGGGAGCAGTAAAAAGGGGTAGCGGAGAAATACCAGAAGATACTTGTTACTGCCACAGCAAATGATCCAATATATCACCCATGGGCCCCGGATACGAAAAAGAAGCAAATGACAAACTTGAAACTCCACTGCACTACCAGGTCCACTGCTAAGGCGAGACTTTCCAGCTTGGCTTTTGTTGCGCAAGTCTGACAGATTCAATCTGTCCGTAGCGCCTTGGCGCGAATATACTCCCGACGTCGAAATCCAGTCTCATTCGGCCGCGAGGAGGGCACACATTCTCAGTTAGCCGCAACCGCGCACAATGGTCCTTTAATCTCGACACGGAGACACCCCCGGTCGTAATCCGCGTACTCGCCAAGTTCTAACCAATCACTACAACCAATTACTCCGGGTCTGAGTTCCCAATCGAGACCTCAACAGGCCTTGTTCTTCATTTCTATTCGTTTCCTTCGAGAACACTCGCTCCTCCACATAGCCGACATGAATTAGGAAATAGTCTGCACCAACAACGCCTGATGATGCTCTGTGGGGAAATACAATAACGAATTTGGAGGGGCGAGCCCCTTTCGCCTAGATGCGAAAGCGACAAGAAGAGGCTCTATGTTTCTAGTTCTTTATATTCCCAGCAGGGAGACTGCGTCTAGCCAAAGTTCTCTCGGCTTGTTCTCTCTCTGTCTCTGTCTGTCTCTCTTTCTTTGAGTCGGAAGTGTATCTCGGGAATCTGACTGGTTCATGTTCTGAGAAGCGCTTCTTTTCTCACTGCATCACCTTTTTGCATTTTCCCGTTGTCGTTCGCTACACCAAACAACACATTCATTTCAAAAGCATCGCTTTATACACACATTCTTTATTTTTACCACAACACCAAAACCAACTTACACAATGCCTTCCTTCACCTCCGCAAGCATTCTCGCCCTCGCGGCCTCCTCGGCCCTCGCCCTGACCCCGACGTCCGCCAAGTCTGATCTTGACGGATCCGTCTGGAAGGCCCTCGAGAACGCCCACCCGGTGCGCAACATCGGCCCTCAACTGCGCAACCGCCCTACCAAGCGCCAGTCCGGCTGGAACCCGCCCTCCGACCTCGTTGCCCCCCTCAAGGAGGTCTGGCAGCACTATGAGAAGACGTACGACGGCAGCGTCTTCAACAACAAGAACTGGGGCTGGGACCAGGTCATGGCCAACAACGGGTGAGTGATACTGTCGTAAGGTTTACATCCCGCGGACTCGACGAAGCGATGGAAACCCAGAACACCAAACAACAAGTGACTTGATATTCCGAGAGAACAAACCAACTAACACCAGTTCCACCGCAGCTCCCTCAACATCTGCGTCCGCTGGGACTCCACCGCCACCGTGACCGCCGCCCAGCGCACCAAGATCGCCTCGGCCTACAAGGCGCAGTACCAGAAGTGGTTCAAGTGGCTCTACGGCTTCGACGGGTTCCCGTACTCCAACGTCGACGTCAACATCGTCGCCTGGGCCACCAAGGACGCCTCCCTCCTCCAGGGCTCCACCGACGGCCTCGACGTCTACACCACCTACAAGGACGGCGACGGCGTCCCCGCCTGCGCCACCGAGTGCGAGCGCGCCGCCCACCTCGACGGCAACTTCAGCGGCTGCAAGAGCGGCCGCCACTTTGACCACTCCCTCTGGCTCACCGACGGCCTTCAGGGCGGTTTCGGCTACGACTGGGGCCAGCAGATTGGCCGCGAGTACATGATTAACAACCTCGACTCTGAGAACATTCACATTCTCCTGCACGAGATGGTTAGTTTGCACTCGAGTGATGGGGATCTCCGGGGGGGTTTACCTTTGCTGACATTTTGGTTTTCGCGGATAGGGACACACTTTTGGTCTTGATGATTGTAAGTTACAGATCTGATTACCTCCCTAGTAAGACACATACGCTAACAAGAATTCTACAGTCTACGGTAAGGAAGAACTCGCTCAAGCCCCTCCAGGGCGTCTTATGTACACCTGATACTAACCCACGTAGACTGGACCCCCACCGGCGAGTCCAAGTTCATCATGCTTGCCGGCGCCTCCATGGAAATCACCGACTTTGACGGCTGGATGTACCGCAACTGGTGGTACGAGCTCTCCAAGAACCGCAAGTGGACCAAGGCTTCCGTCTCCGGCGGTTCCGCCGCCCCCGCCGCCTCTGCCTCCGCCTCCGCCACCGCCGCGCCCTCCATCAAGGACGAGGAGGCCGAGGAGCCCGTCGCTACGCCCACCGCTGCCCCTGTCGCTACCTCCGCCCCCGCTGTCGAGGAACCCGTTGCCACTCCTCCCGCCGTCGAGGAGCCCGTCGCTTCCGTCCCTGCTGTCGAGGAGTCCGGGGCTACTCCCCCGGCCTCCGGTAACGCTGGCTCCGGTGCCACCGCCGGCAGGTGGGCCCAGTGCGGCGGAAACGGTTACACCGGTCCCACCGCCTGCGCGTCCGGCTCTACCTGCACCAAGCAGAACGAGTGGTACTCTCAGTGCCTGTAAACTTTGCCGCTTGTGACGTGTCTTCTTATCGCAGATGTAAGCGTGTCTAAAGGAAGGGGCCGTGGTCCGCTCTCGAGTAGTTGGATACGTGTAGTAGACAGCTTTTGCGCAGGCGGGCTGCTCTACACGTTATCCTTCTTCTCATTCTTCACCAGTATCTATTGTCTTAGGACGCTATATATTATCCTCCTGTATATAGGAAATAATCATACTTGATTCAATATAATTTGCTTTGCATGCGATGGAAATTACTCGCTCAGCTTTGATTTAACCCTACTTTTGGAGAAGACAGTGGGAGTGTTGCGTTATGAGGCTTGACTGGCTTGCCATGGGGGTAAGTATGACTTGCCATATAAGTGAAACGGTGAGGTGTGAAGCGTGGATACTCGTCGGTTAAGTCGTTAGAGCTAGAGGTGCAATTTGAAGAAAAGAAATTGTAACAACATAAAAGTGCTCAATATCAATACGCTTGTCGCTTTCGGTTTCCACGCGAGTCAGTTGTCCGGCACAACTAAGGCTACTTTTATCTATTTATGAAGCTTTGCTATGAACCTACCGGCAAACCCGAATCAAGTGCTCATGAACCTGAGAATTCTCAGAAAGTGAAAATAGCTAATCTACAAAGCACCTCGATCCAATCATCCAACCCTCCGCATCCCATCCATAAACCACCTCCAACTCAATCCTTAACCAGCCAAATGCACACAACAGGCTTACCACCAGGCTGACCCGTCCTCGTCGCGTCCCATCCGACGTCCGCAAGGGTCTTCTTCATCATATCCTTGTCATCACCAGCGAAACACAGGCCGTGGTACCACTTGCCGTTACCAGCCTGGACGATCTCGTAGCACTTGTTCTTCTTGGGGCTCGGGTTCGTCGCGCCGAAGCCGCGGAGCACCTCGGCGAGCGTCGTGTTGACGGGGACGTGGAAGGCGGAGAACTGTATGCGGGCGTTGGCAGGAAGCTGCCAGGGCGGCGTCGACGTGCGGAAGACGTGGATCTTTGTGTGTGCAGCCGGGAAGAAGTAATTGTAGCCCGGTTCGCAGCCTGTGCCGCCTGTCGAGTTGCTCAGGTGCGCTGCCGGGTTGCGCGGGTCGAGTGCCGGGAGCCCTTGTGCTGTGCGTGCGGCGTGGTAGGACTGTCCGCCAGGCTGGAGGGGGTAGGTCGTGTAGCCGCCCTGCGGCGGTACTTGCATGTTGGGCCAGGCGTACGCCGTTGAGCCCGGGTAGGGAACTGAGGGGGGTGGGTAAGAGTAGTATGGTGACGGGTAGTAAGCGACATTACCGTATCCCCCGTACATGTTGCCGGCCGTGGTCCAGCCGGGGTGGGGCATGTACGCTTCGCCGTAGCGTGGGAGTTGCATGCCTGTGTTGGGGCCCCAGGGCGGGCGGCGATGGTCCACATCCGGGCCGCTGAGTGGGTTAGACATGTTGATGAGAGGCAGAAAGCGAATTGATGAGATGTGGTTGACTAAAAGAGAGGTCGGCTTGGCTGCCAGATGTTGACCCAGTTACCAATTCGATGATCGTATTCTGTTGTCCAGTGGCCGGGGGGAGGGGTTGCAAACGGCGAAGCCCAAGGATGATGATGGTAGGGGTTGTTGTAAACTGTGTTTCTCGAGGTTGGGTTACTGGTGCTCGCAGCGAGGTTGAGGCTGTTGGAGAATGTTTCAATAAAATGTTCTTCAGAAGATGGACCTGAGAAAGCCTTAGCGGGTATGGCCAAAGCTGGATAGATATACCAGGCAATTTGTTTGCTAAAAGTGTGGTGAATGAAGATGCTTGCTGGTCAGTGACTCACCAAAGTCAGACGAGGGGACAGGCTGTGATTCTGTCGACTCGCGTCTAATGTCACGCTGGAAAGCAAAGATCTCTGTGCTCCAGATGGGGTTGTTGTGCTGGTCGTAGAATGTTCCCACAATGAGCCAGCCCCAGAAGGGAGGATTCCGCGAACAATGCCAATACTGGCCGATGATGAGTTTGGTAGCCGGGTAAGGCAGATGCTCTGGCTCGCCCTCGTCGGCGTTGGATTGTATGGAAGCCACTTTTGCTGTTGTCTGAAGAGATTGAAGAGAGCTGTACTATTATGTGGCTGGATGAGGGCTAATGTGAGAGGATTCGTTGAGGGCTTGGGGAGTACAAGAAACCGCCATTGTGGATGGATTTATATGAGATTTAATGTAGCGCTGAATCAGTGCATCAAGTGAATATTCATGACAAGTGTAACACCCATGACTGACGCTAATTGTTGTGACGAAGCCTGATTCATTGCTAGAGCCAAGATCAGATGGGACGATCAAGTTATTCCAGCACATGTGGTTGTCCACTACTGGAAGCCAACGACACAATTCAGAGTGCCTTAATCTGTCGACTAGCTTTACAAGCTTCAACCTTGTTTAGACTGCACAGATGTACTCCATGTATGAGGCAGCAAAAGTGATGTAGAGAAGTCTCTTTATTGTGCTACCCTTAATGTTATTCTAATACTGAAAGCGTTTGTGGCGCAGCAGATGGCTAGTGGCGTTGTGGCTAAGGAAATTGTCGTCTTTATGTAAGTAAGCACATGCCTCGGCCAGATACTCCAGGCGCCATGATTGGCCATGTGGGCCAAAAATGAGTCTGATCTCGCTCTGTTGAACTCCAATAAAAAGAAGTGTCTGGGCAGTTCGGTGGGTGTCATCCAATCTCTCTATCCAATGAGAAGCTTCTGTTGCATCAGCTCCAGTGCATGGGATGGGAGCTCTTATCCGTCTCTGTAACAGGCTCTTTGATTGGCAATTTCCGAAGCTAGAATGAGCAACCGTTTTCGTAAGGGCAGCGTAATTGGGGGCCCGCAGCTCGTGAATAAGGGTTACCAACAGGTCGCCATATCGTTGTGGTGCAGCGTGTGATGCTGCCAGTGTGCATGCGTGCAGCCAGCACAGTTAGTTGGTACCCCGCGCCCGCTTCCAAATACTCGGACGGCGAGCTTGGAGAGCTGATTCGACAGCTCAGTCGGTTGGTGGGGTATGTTGGCGATCGGCGCTTATGTCTAGCTCCATGTTCCCGGCATTTCCGTCTTGCTCTCAGTAAGCTTTGGCTGGAAAGCTGGGTCGACTTGTTGAAGCTCTGGCCTCACATCGGCTGGCGGGCCTTGGTCTCTGTTCAGTGACCACTGTTTCCGAAACCTGTTGTCGTGCTTGGTTTGGCATATGCATCACCTGTGATGGTGTCGTCGGAGGTGTGCTGGTCCTCCTCAATCCTCAACTTCGACATCCGACTCAACCACTCGTACGGCGCCTGCCTTCTTCAGCCCCTCTACCTCCCTCCGCACCATTTTCCTGCGCTCGACCTCCGTTACGAGCCCCTTAAGATAGACCTCAGCCTGCACTGTAGCACTGTATGACATGGCCGTCCAGCTCCACATGTTGCGTCGCTCCGCATCAGCCCCCGCGGCAAGCAATGTTCGCAGAACCAAGAGGTTCCCGTTGCCGCTCGCAAAATGCAGCGCCGTGTTGCCGTCCAGGTCTGCTCTCTGCACTGCCTCCTGTGCCCCTCCGGGAACGTAGGTGAGCAGAATCTGTAGTACTGTATCGTGGCCACCCCGGCTTGCCTCCATGATGGCGTCGCGCCAGCGGATGTCGCGGCGTAGGATGACCTGCGGCGTCCGTTCGCAGAGGAAGTGCACGACCTCAATATGGCCTGCAGCGGCGGCGAGCATCAGGGCTGTCTGGTGGTGTTCGTTGAGAGCGGGGTCCGGTGACTCGTGTCCATAGTCGAGGAGGACCTTGCAGATGGGGAGGTGGCCTAGCGAAGCGGCGAGGTGAAGATTCGAGTTGGAGAGACCCTCAGGCGAGGGATCTGGGTTATGAAGAAGTCCCGGGTGAGATCTCAAGATCCTTTTGACAAGTAGAGCATCGTTAGCCGTTATGGCACGGCGGACACGGAGAGAGGGCTCGATCCTGTTGATGTTGTGAGCGGTTAGCGGGGGTTACGTCACGACAGTGCTTCTTATCGAGAACCGAAAGTGCGTACATGATAACGACAGCTTCGGCTAGCTAGCGATCTAACAGATATTTCGGCGTGCAGTATTTTTGTTTGGCACCAAAAGCATCGCTAACACAAACAAAAAAAAGGGTAAAAGGAGTAGAAGTGGTGATGGTGTTTAGGAGAAGGGGGGAGAATTGGATTTGGAGAGTCTCCTGGAGGAAGGGGCGGACGTTCGGGGAGTTTGGACGAAATTGTTAATTAGGTTGGTGACAGACAGTTACTGAATTTAGCGGCAAGAGCCTGGAACATCCCCTGAAAGAAGCAGGGATGGGCAAGGGGGAACGGCAACGCAGGTCGTATTAGCGGGGGAAGGCGGGGCAGGTCCAGCGTCACTGCCTCCCGTCCTCGCCAGGCTCACCTTGTGCTCCTTTCAGGCAAGCGCCACGGGCCACACGGGGGTTCCCCTCTTAAGGTAGCAGTACTGCTTATGCACATATTCTATCGAGGGCTACAATTGGCTTTAGCGGTTTGATGAGCCATGACACGCAGTAAGTTTTCCAAGTTCAGTTATAATTAGATTATTAAACTTGTTTTTGGTCTGAATTACTCTTATTTTTTTCTTATCGCCAATCATGGACAATACGAGAAATTATTTCGCCAAGCTCAAGCCGACTGCACACCTCGACTAACCCTTTTTTACCACTGTTTAACAAGCAGCAATCTTCTAATTGAATATATTCTTCTATGAAATGTCATGTCGTCATATCGAGTCTAATCTATATCCTTCACAATCCCCGTCTAGAACAACACCTAAGACATGGTGGCATAAGGCGTTCCGAACGGCTGCAGCTCCGTTCCCTCAATGTCAATGTACCCATACTTGGAGTTGTCGCTGTTCTTGGCCATCTCCTGCGACCACTTCTCCATCGACTTCTCAAACACTTCCTTGTACTTCTCGTTGCTGACATCCAGAGGCTCCTTGTCCTGACCAACAAGACGCATCCTATTCAAATTGTTAGCATCGGTCTTGTATCTTAGTATCATGATGAAGGCTAAACTTACTGTGTGCCGGCCAGCATGTTGGTAAGGCCAAAGTTCTGCTCACCGAGCAGTGTCTGGATGGCACTTCTGGCCTCGCCGCCGATGAGCTTCTTGGGCAGATCGAATTCGTTGCAGACGGGTCGCGCCAGACCGATGCCGTGCACCGTCTTGAGCGCATTCACCATCGCTGCCGTCGTTCTTAGACCGCCAGTGACGTACGCACGGGTCTTGTTAAGCTGGGGAATGATCTGCTCCGCAAAGTCGAGGAAGAAAGCCTCGCGCTTCTTGGTCGACTCGCGCTTGTGCTCGAAACCGAGCTCCTGGTACGTGCCGCCCGACAGCTCAACAAAGTCGAACTTGTGCGCCTCCAACGCGGCACAAAGCTGCTTGCAGTCTTCAGTAGAAAAGCCGCCCTCCTGGAACTCAACGCTGTTGACCTTGATGCCGAGGCTGAAGGTCGGGTCAGGCACGCGCTGCCGGATGGCGTCCGCGATCTCGAAAATGAGCCGGGCCCGGTTGGTCAGCGATCCACCGTACTGGTCGGTGCGCTTGTTGGTGCTCGGTGCGAGGAACTGAGCGAGGAGGTAGCCGCTACGACATGTTAGTCTATGTTTACTAAATCAACAAATGCTTCGGGGAGAAAACGTACTGAGCACCGTGCAGCTGGATACCGTCGAAACCTGCCTTGTAGCAGTACTCGGCGGCGTGGGCGAAGCCGTTGATAACCTTCTCAAAGTCCTCCTTCTCCATCGGACGGGGCTTAGCGAACGTCATGCCCATGATGTCGCCCTCAAGCTGCACATCGCTGGCCGAAATGGGGTTGGGGTTGACGTTTTGAGTGACCTGACGACCCGGGTGACTGAGCTGCGCGTGAACCAAGCTGCCGTGCTTCTTAGACGCCTCGGCAACGGCCTTGAAACCTTCAAATCGCTCGCCCTCGAATGGCGCGTCGAGCGGGATAATGGGGTTGCCTGGGGCCTCGAGCTGGTTGTAGTCGATCATGACATTGCCCGTGAGGATGACACCGAAGCCGCCCTCGCCCCAACGACGGTAGACGTTGATCAACTCCGGTGTCGGCACACCGCGCTTCTCGAAAACCTTGGGGTCCCAAGTCGACAGACGCTCCGTCATGGCCGCCTTCATGAAGCGGTTCGGCGCCGTCTTGCCGCTGAATTCGAATTTGAGGGGCTGCGCGAGGGGTCTGGGGTCGACATCCTCGGCGGGGTATCTTGTTGGTGCCATCTTTGCTAAAGCTGTGAGTTCTAAAACTAAATCAGGAGGAACAAAAGTTTAATTGTTGATATGGCAAGAATTCCAAATGCAAGTAAAATTCAAACACTGATTCTTGTCACCTCCTTCAGAACAACGCCGGGCTGCGGGTTGCTTTTGTATTCACCGCCCATAACGTTACCAAGCCCAGCTTAACCAACTCCTCCGGCCAAGCGGAGCCCTTTGGAGGGTCCAAGATTTTTGAAAGACAATGCTTTGTAATGGTTCTGCCAATTCATACGCCACCATGATTGCATGGGAACGGACCCACGGGCAATAAACGCGGGCCGGCGTGTCAACCATCTTCCCATTGGGGACCCCATTCCACGGCCTGCGCAGCAGCTAAAGCCCGAAGGGCACAACTTCCGCACCCCCTCTTTTGCAACATTCTAGAAACAATCGCCGGAGCCATGCGGATTCAATTACCAAACGAATCGGTGATAGAGCCGGGGTGGAATCGTCTGCGTCATGGTGGGGAGCCCCTGTAATGGCCTTCCCAGCCTAGCGCCAGATGTTGACGTTGTTGTTACCCTCTCATTGGGGACGCATGAGCCGAACAAACCTCCCGTCAGATTTCTAATCCGACGACGGGGGTCCTGCCGGGCCATGTGGATTGTGTCGTCTAATATGCCGACCATGCACCTACGGCTGCTCTTTCGGATCGTGTCTTTCATGAGAAGCGGCAACACGCCCTAAGGCGCCAATTTTGAGGCGCTCATGAATATATGTTAAATCTGCCAGTCCCTGGTTGAATTCCAACCGCCGTTGACGACATCTCAAGGTTCTGGTTCCAGCGCTAGCGAATGAGATCACGCATGCGTCATTCCATTCCCCGGCTCATGACTCGGTACGGCCCGTCAATGATGATGCAGCCCGAAAATATTCGATTTGCGGGCAGAACTCCGCCTGCTTGGATTTGCCTCGGACGTCTGTGCTTCCTTGGCGAAATAAGCACCGGCTGACCCGAGGCTGAGTGTAGGGTGTCATTGTCTTTGGATTTCGTGTGCAGTGTTGAAATTTGTTGATCTCAGCACATTGTTTAGTTAGATGCAATTCTGTTGCCATCAATTTCGGTGTGGTGTTGGCGCACACAGTGCCGCATAGGTTGCCCTGCTTATAATTTGGTGTCGTACAGCAACTTCTTGTGCGCCATGATTGCTCACAACCAAGATCGGGGCTTCAACCTGACCAAGCAACGTGAAAGAAGCAAACAATCTAGGGCAAACACTACAACCATCACAGTCATCTCAAAGTCCAAGTAGCTTCAGAGCGAGAGCATCTTTCAGCGCTGCCTTTTCCCGCTACAGTTTGTGGTCGAGTGGGAAGATTGACCAGGTAGGAGTTTATTGGAGAATGAAGCTACCCAGCAACTCAATTCAAACAGCATTTAAATTAGATGCCCTTTGTAATAAACCACAAAGAGCGTCTTTCCAGTCGATTGCCATAAGTTAGGTACAATCGATCGTTCAACGTGACAGAGCCACAGTTCAAATAGAAGAAAGCCGTGGGTCAATCCGTATCCCTGTGACCCCTTGTCTCTTTCATTGTGTAGGCCATGTCCGAAACCTGCAGTCTCCTAAGTGTAATTAAAGTCCACCAGATGACCTTCTACAGCAGTGGCTGTGCAACCAGCTGTGCAAGTCGTGTAACCGCCAGGCTCTCCTCTGCAAGTTCCGCCACGAGCAAATGCACAATAAGTCTTGGATTGTAAAGGTTAGGTTGGCATTCAATAAAACAGGATTTTCTAGTCTCAAATATTCATGATTAATTGGCTTTCACTTGATCTTGAATGGCTCGCCGAGAGCTTGGATACATCGATATGTGAGTTTCTGACTCTAAACTTTTGGCTCCCGGGGTTGGCTCGCAGCAAGCCTGGTTAAGCTACAGCTTGTCTCTTCTCCGTGGGATTTTACGTGAACCAGACTTGCCGGGAGCTTCGGGTTTACCGCAAGGTCGTGTGGGAATGAGGAAACCGTTTTTGTGTGTCATTGAAGGATAGGGAAGCTAGTCTGCTAAGTAATACCCAAGCATGTGTCTCCTTCTCCGCAGCTTTACTTCCCTGTGACAAAAATACTTCGCGGTAGGTAATGCTCTTGCTGTTTCCTTCTTTGTGTACTATAGTGAGGAGATGAAGCTTGTAGCTTAGATGGTGGTGATTCCTTCATCCTTGGTCAAGATCAGCATGAGAGATACTTGAAAAATGTATCATCTGGTTGGTTGGGCAGTTATTTGTGGCTTCTTGAGTGGCCAGTTTACTTTGAAATGTACCTGCAGCTTGAAATGCACTCGGTGTAATAGATGTAGCGGACGGTTGCGAGCGCCGAGCGTTTTTTACTAACCTTGTCATGATGTTGTCAAGTTTCCTGTCTTCAGGGTCTTGATAGAGAAGACGAAGCAGTGTCCCCACCTGCCATCTTCCCAACTTCTTACGTTGTAATCTCGTTGTTCCTGTCAAGTCCTTAGAAACCATTTCAAGGGCATTCTGAAAAGCATTGTCAAATTGCTGCTACTATCACTTACCCTTGCCTATCAAATACCACGAACCATGTTTTTAGGTACGAGATTCTTCGGCACTTTGTTCTTGTTCACTAATATCTGCTTTGGAGTCACGTTATCAAAGCAGTCTGTTAACGCACCGATGGCCCCAGCCATCTCGGCTGAGATTTGGTCACGAGCCAGCCGGAGACACTGAACCGTAATGTGCTTGTCCGTCCACTTTCCTGATCTGGCCGTCTATTAAGCGACCTGGGCGCTCTAGGACGTGTCAGCCTCTTCTTCGCCAAACTTTGTCCAGCATTAGAATGCCGCCGCAGTCGTCAAGCACTTTGTTCCATCTTCAACCGCTTTGCAAGCTATTTTCTCTTGGCTGTAGGAGTTTGGTATCCTCAATCCACGGATCTTCAATCACCAAAGCCACCTGACCTTCTCAATCACTGTCAGAAAGGCAGAGTCATTGCTAACGACGAGATATTTCCTCTGGAAGAATCCGGCTGTCGCTAACGGAACCCCTTTCATCGCTGTAAAGGAATGCAGCCTCCCTGCGAAGTTAGACGACTATATAGATGTCATAGAGCCGACATTTCCTCAAGGTCTCTCTGCAAAGAGCCGACCGTTGTCGACAAGGTCAGATTTAGCCATCAATGACACGCCACTTAAAAGGAGCTCAATAGGGCTTTAGATTGCTTGTCTCAAATACGTCACCCCCAAATGCTTCAGATTGATCTACCATATCTCGGAAGGAGAGACTACAAGCCATCCAAATAACATATTCGACGTCTACCGAACATCTTGGAGAACTTGGCTGACAGAAGACTTTGACATGTTCTTCGTTCGATTAGAGCCACAACTCGTCGGGCGTTGTCCGGAAGTACAAGCCATCAGCGGGACTACTTTCAGATCGAGTTCAAAGATTTCCCTTTCAAAGCTGAACCTGCCTTAGATCTCGAATGCCCGATAGCACTTACTTATCTCTAGCCTGTCATAAAGATACCAGTGGATGATAATTTCGCACCACACTTAACGAATCACATGACAGCAGCTTCTGATGAGGTATACTGCGGAGCACTTGATCCCGTGTACCCTGTCTAGAACGAGAGTCCTTTAGACTGTGGCCTATTTACTGCGCCAAGTTTCATTTCTATGTCTTATGCCTGAAACGAGGGCAGCTTTCAGATCGTTATCTACAGAGACAGTGTCTCGAATATGGTATGTAGAGAAAGTGCATTACCAAGTCCCTCTGCAGTCCATAGACTAACATATTATAGGATAACTTTTCTAATTGTTCGCCCTTTTTCTTCAGAGCATCATGCCATCTCCATAGAATGGAGAGAATGCTAAGAGATAGAGTAATATATGCAACGAGTGCTGACGTGAACTAGCCAAAGCTAAGTCTTCAATGTCAGATGAGACTCTAGACGGATGCCATGTCGCACCATCAAACTATGGTTCATGATGGCAGTTAGTCGATTTTATCGACTTCTAAAGATGAATCCTTGTGTCGACCGTAACACAGGAACCAAAAGACGAGAATCACCAAAAACAAAAACATACAACACCAGGTATTCGCTGGTCGTCACCGACCCAACTCCTAATCCAGCCCTCACAGTCTTGCATTATGGATCGGAGGCGACCCGGGAGCGCGGCTTTGGGCAACCGAAACCTGCTGCCTCAGCGAAGGACCCATAACAGATAGGAAGAATAATCCGCCAAACCAAACCATATCAAACGGAAGCCTAACCGTTAGATATTAACCAAATTTCTATCTAAAGTTATACTTAGAGTTATATATAGTTATGAGGCTATAATAACCTTATTAGTTAATTAAAGGATATTTACCCTATCAAGCATAGTTAAATAATTTGCTATAACCTTAATAGCTTAGGAACTGCCTTGTGTTATGGCAGCCTTTCCTCCACGCTTGACGGCCACGCAGGGGGGTCCGGGGGTTGTGTCTCTCAGCTCCCATATTGAATGAACCCTCTTCACTCTACTTTTACATTTGGGCTATAGTAAACAGATAATATAGCGAAAGCCAAGTGGAAAGTAGCCCATCTCTCATGCCGTCTATCCGCTATCCTGGATAGATCAGACGGAGAAAAAAAAGCCATTTACTAAAGTCGGCAAAACCTCGTATTCACCTTCCCCTTAGCAGCACTCTTCCTCCCCACACCTCTGTCAGTGTTTCATAGCGAATGTTACATTGGCTCGTATACAAAACTCAAATTTTCATTACCTAATACTCGATAACAAAGCCGCCTGCTAGCTATTTCTACAAGCTAGGTCGTTGTAACATCTATTTCTTCCATACAATAGGTTAATCAATGTTGAAACAAGTATTGATAATAACAACAATAATAAAACACGAACGCAGTGGTTCTTCTTTCTGCAAATCGCGATGAGAAGCCTTAAAACTCTTCTAGGCTTTATCTGCATCGGTAGTCAAGCCAATTCTAAGAGACTATACTAGAACTCACTACCTAACTAGCTGTTACGAACTTACCAGTTGAGGTGCGGGCCAGCGTAGCAGTAGTACAGAACAGGGGACAATGAGAACGGACTGTTATTACTAAAGCTTTTGCTTATGCTACAGCAAATTTCCCTGACTTTATGCATGACATTGCACATATATAATTTTCGAATCTAGGTGCTGGATATCAATGTTCGAAAAGGAATAAAAGCGTATGTACAAAATATTCAAATCCAGAAAGGGGTGTAGAAACGGCAGTTGCGATCTCCCCACAAAGTAGGGCCTCGGCTAGAGCGATACTCCACATTTGGTATAGTCCCGTTCTATCAGGTATGATCAACCGCCCAGACTGTTACTGCCCGAGGCCACGGGGTAGAAAGAGATTAAGTCCGTAGTGTTAATACGAGGTAGTGAGCGGCTACTCCTGTGACACATCTTGGCCTCATGGGTCACGGCACCATCGACCTAAGCCTTTTGTAGATGAGGCAGGATAAACATGGATGGTTTTATGTTTTATGCGTAGTTAAAGTAGGCTGAGTAAATAAATCAGTAAGGACTCATGGCTACGTAAGAATTTGCAATAAATGTGATTTAAGAGACATCCTCCAACGTATCTTAACCCACTGACTGTTTTATTTCGTATTCTTAGTTGTCTTTCAACTTATCTTTTCCCACTTCTCGTCAAAACCCCTTTTTGTTTCTCTCTTCACTCGTTTCTCCCTCAGAATCCTTGCTAGGTTATCACCTACAGAGCAGACACATTCTGTTTAAACCGAGAGCGCGAATACTGATTTAACCGTTGCCTCCCTTCTCTCCTCGATCTTCACAAGGATCAAAGACCAAAATGAGGTTCGCACTGGCTCTTGTTGCTGCCGGCTTGGCCGCCGGAACAGACGCTCATCCCAGTCATCACCGTGGCGGCGCTACGGCGGCTCTTGACAAGCGCCGGATTGACCTTTCCAAGTACCGCATGGATCAAGTCTCAGCCTTTGTCAACGCAGAAACCGCCCATTCCTCGCCCATTGTACGCTCCCTGGTCAAGCGGGCTGATTACGTCCAGACCGCCATCGATGTCGTTAAGCGGGAGGCGCAGGGCGTCGAGTTCCGCGTCGTAGACGACCACTATGTCGGCTCAAATGGCGTTGCCCATGTCAACTTCAAGCAGATGGTCCATGGCCTCGATATTGATAACGCGAACTTCAACGTCAACATCGGCCCCAGTGGTGATGTCCTAAGCTACGCCAGCAGCTTCCATAAGGGAGCTCTACCATCCGAGTCGCCTTTCACGAAGCGTGCGTTCTCCAACCCCTACGATGCGCTTAACAGTTCTATCACCACCCTAGGCCTTCCCATCCAAGTTGGGCAGGTCTCCTCTCAGCCAAAGCTTAGTGCGGGCGCCCTCGAGACCTACACCCTCACCGGTGCAACGGGCTCTGTCGCCGACCCCGAGGTCCGCCTTGTTTACCTCGCCAAGGGTAACAACGATTTGAAGCTCACCTGGCGCGTCGAGACGAACACGGGTAACAACTGGTTGCGCTCCTACGTCGACGCCAGCAACACCAAAGACATCTACGGCGTCGTCGATTTCACCTCGGACTTTGCCAGCTACAACGTCCTGCCTTGGGGAGTAGCTGACCCTGCCGAGGGCGTCAGCCGCAATATCGAGAGTGATCCTTGGTTAATCAAGGCCTCGCCCTTTACCTGGCAGGGCGACGGCACCACAAATTACACAACGACGCGAGGAAATAACGTCGTCGTTGGTGCTAACCCCGATGGTTTAGCCGATGAGGACAACACGGCCTTCCTCGAACGCTTCCGACCAGAGTCGGCAGAGTTTGATTTTAACTTCCCCTACGACCCAGCAGCGGAAGATCCTAAGACGTACCTCAACGCTTCGATTGTTCAGGCCTTCTATACGATCAATCGTTATCACGACGTGCTCTATACCCTCGGCTTCAACGAAGCCGCTGGCAATTTCCAGACGAATAATAATGGCCGTGGTGGTCTCGACAACGACTCGGTCGTCGTCGACGTCCAGGACGGCGCCGGCTTTAACAATGCTAACTTCCAGACCCCCGCTGACGGCGAGATTCCTCGCATGCGCCTATTCCTCTTCGACCGCACTAATCCCATGCGTGACGCCGGGTTCGCTGCCGACATCGTCATACATGAGTACACTCACGGCGTCTCGGGCCGCCTGACAGGCGGACCTGCCATGATCGGGTGTCTCGGTAGCTTCGAGGCCGCTAGCATGAACGAGGGCTGGTCAGATTTCTTCGCCCTCGCCATCCTCACAAAGGCCAACGCAACGCGCGACACAGACATTGCTATCGGAAGCTGGTTGACCGGTGACTCGGCCAAGGGCATCCGCCTTTTCCCCTACTCGACGAGTCTCGAGCGCAACCCGCTTACTTGGGCTGCCATCATGGCTAAGGAGCGCCCCAGCACGAACGACGTCGGCTCCGTGTGGGCCAACACGCTCTACGAGATGATGTGGAATCTCATCGATAAGCATGGTGCCACGGCCGACGAAATCCCTGCCTTGGACGCCAAAGGAACACCCACGGCCGGCAAGTTCTTGGCTATGAAGATAGTCCTCGACGGTCTCGCCCTGCAAGGCTGCACGCCATCAACTTTTACCGCACGTGACTCAATTATTGACGCCGATAAGGTCCTTACCGGCGGTGATAATGAGTGCGAGATATGGCGTGCGTTTGCCCATCGTGGCCTGGGCGTCGACGCCGTTGAGGACCAGAGCCTCCCGGCCAGGGAAGGGAGATATCAAGATGGGTTTAAAATTCCTGCTCAATGCTGAAGCACCGCGGCTTTCCAATTGTAGGCAAAAACGTCCCGTTGGTAGTGGGCGCTTTCCAGTTTCCAGACCAGGCGGACAGGGTTACATTAGGGGCAAGATACCTATCTAAACTAAATACCAGTTGTTTTGCAAACAATAGAGGGGAAGAGCAGGGTTTAGAAATAATAAATTAGCAGTAAAGAGTTCTTAGAAAATAGACAGGTTAAATGGAGGGACTTCCAAGTTAGTAAAATGAAGTTAAGGTAGGTAGGTGAAAGACTCGAGAATATATAGGAAGTCTACACAACACCACTCTCGGCCACCGCCAACACTGTCACCAGCACCACTAGAGTGTCTAGCCCCGCACTTGACGCGCATCGCACTTTCTGACAAGAACTCCAGTGGGAGACATAGAGGCCCTAAGTGTAAAGGTTTAGGGAGCGGCTAAGGACCTGATCAGGGAAGGCTCAGGAATCATAGGTAGGTCTGGTCGTATTACTGTACTTCAGCTTGAAGGTCTCAAGCTGAACTGCTATCCTTACTCCTCTTGTAGAGAGGTGCACGCCACACTCGCCTTCCAGTAGCTGAGTGGTCGGCGCTGCTGACTAACTCCTTCAACTAAGAATATTATCTAGTTCTCTATTGATATTTATTCTCTCTCTCTCTATTCTCTGGGGGAGTGTATTTTTCTTTCTAAGATTTTTCTTTTCTCTCTATATCTATAGACCGCTGTCAAACGGCTATAGTCGTCGTTTATGTTTATGTTACGACCCGTTCGTTATGCCCAACAGTGGGTTAACAGACCCACCTAGGCTAGCGGCTATGCCGCCAGATATATGCAGGATATACGGAGGAATAATAGGTTACTTTCGAAACGGAAGAACTATCGTATAGGTTATGTAATAATGAGGAAGTAAGTACTTATACTAAGAATAGTAAGTATTTACGAGAAGTAGGGTAAGTGACACAGTTCTTCCTGCTAGCATGTGGCTACAGCAGGCAGAGATCGGAACCGTGATAAGAACAGAGATATGAATAGAATAGTTCGAAAGTCAAACAAACGGTCACAAGGCAACAAACAACGACAAATCGATAAGCGTAGGTATAAGCAGTTAGTTCTTCTATTGACTAAACCTACTGACTATGATGCTGTCGAGGGTGTCTCTTATACGGGTACGGCTAGCACGTTGAATGTCACGTGCCCCTGGTGACTGTTCCGTGGAACTATGACAGAGCGAAGGCTCGTCCTTGGTTTGGCGGAGAATCCTCAAAGTCATAGGAAGAGATTTGTGCGGATGGTTATTTAGAATTAGTCAGCCAGAAGTCATTGAGCATTACATTTTAGTAAAAGACGAGATTTAATGAGACAGACGTAGAGTTCTTTGACTAGATAATTTAGCAACTGACGTAATGGGGCGTCAAGCCATCGTGTCAAGGAGTTCCCTGCGCTGAATTACACTAATGACAAGACCGTGATTCCCGAAGGGAATTGTGCCGTCAGAACCATTGCATTATTACTAAGGATTTACTAAACTGATTCCTAACTAAGGCATACCGCTGCCCGACATCGCGGATTAACCCGACTGGCCAAGCGAAGCAAAATATTTCAGCCCTAACGGGCTTGTACGCTTTACTGAAGCACAAACACCTGGGATGTCACCAGGAAGCAAAAGAAATGCGCCGAGGGGGAATCGAACCCCCGGCTCCCCGACGCTGCTTGATGGCAACGGAGAATTTTACCACTAAACCATCGGCGCAAGTGATGATTCACGAATCCTTGTGGATACTTGGTTGCCGTAGTGGAGGCTGGAGCTACTCAAGAGCCCCAGAACTGCATATCCACCGGGCTAACATCACTGAAATTTGACATTGGGTAACCTCAAACAAGCTGGGTGTTAGGATTATAAGAAACATTTCATTTATTCGCTGATAGTAACTTGTATTGGTATAAGGATGGTCTATGTTGAATTTCAATTGCTACCTAGTCATAGGTCTAGGTCAGGGCACACACTGGACGTGATAAATCCACAGTAAACGCATCATTCGACTTGGTATGCAATAGGAGGTGCTATTTATTTCTCTAGTCTATTCCTTGAGAGTGTCATGATGGTGATGGTCTTGAAATAGCACCGTCTTTGCCGCCGCAGGCCTACACCTAAACGTATTAGCAATAGCCAGAGTGTCACAAATTGGGGATACCATAGATATTGAGATGGACTATGATATTATTCTTGGGTTATTATGCAGAAAAAGAAACATTCATCAGAAATATCTACTCGTAGTGAACACCGCACATGGATGAGAACTTAGCTTCATCTGGGTCGAGTTTCGGCACAAGATAGTTTTCAATTTTAGCAACCTCATGAACCTAAACAGCTTGGAGAGGAGCAATGACAGTCAAATATATAAAGACGTACACCAAGGCTTGAAGACGACGTGGTGAGTCGGCCAAAACATGAATCAACACACCCGTGATTGTTGCAGTAACCACTCCGCAGCCCAAGTCTTGTCCGTACGGCTGGACAGAGTCTTAATGCTAGCCCAACCGCGATTTCATGCTTTACGGGACAGTTGGACCTGCTTGACTTGATAGAAATCACTTGTACAGTAAACCTGTTGCCTTCACATTCATATCGTACCCTATTCTTCACTGTCATGTGTTTATAATGTGCCCTTTTCATCCCTATGATATCATCAACAATAACAAAGCTCTCCCACGATGCCTAAGATAATCCCCCTTAGTCACCCCGAACCCATGTTGCTTTGAGAAAGCCGCATCGGAAAATCTTACGCCATATTAACGAGACAGTAGTAGTGGGAATCCGAGTAGACGACCATTCTAAAAACTTGCATCCAGCTACAAATTATATCTAGAACATCTCAAGACTAATAATCCAAGGAAATGTATCACAGTCATCCCTGAGCTGTGGAGCTCATGGGCCCCGAGGGGTCCATGGAACTCCGAGGACGCCTTCACCGCAATGAAGACCCACTTTGATCACATTTAGTCAGGATTGGAAATGTCCCTTTCGCACTTCAAGTCCGAAAGCCGAGACGCGAGCCTCCATGCACCTTTACACGCCGGGTCAAACTTTTATAGTCGTCTCTCTCGTATTCCAGTATGCGGCTCTTCAGGGGCGGAGCGACCCGGACAAAGAGTCAAAGTTTGATCCGGGTACCCGCCGGGTACCCGGGATCAATGTGATGTTCAACGCTACATTTTAACTCTAAATCCCATCTCAGGGCCATCTCACCCTCCCACATGCAGGCTTCCACCACCCCCGTTCATACCGATTGACTTTTTGTATTCGTCCAATCAGCATTTTGCAGATACATCTCATCATGGCCTCCCTTTTCACTAGGGCCAGACTGGTCACCCTGTCCAAGTTCGTCGCCGGCACCGCCGTTGCCGTTCCCGCGGGCTTCCATCTGTGGACCCGCCAATGCGCGTTCGAAGAGTCCTTCTCGCCCGCCACTGATCCCATCTTCCAGCACCCAATCCTCAAGAAGGTGAACCCAAAGAACAACCCGGACTTCCATGACTGTTGCTTCCGTACCGTGCCATTCGATAAGATTCGCCCAGACCTGCTTGAAGATGCGCTGAACGGCGGATCGAAGCTCGTGGAGGCGTACTCGGCGGGCGTCTGGGGGCGATATGGTGAGTTGAGGACTTCTAGCGCCGTAGTTATGATACTAAGACTCAGCAGCGTTCACCATCCAGCGTAAACTCATGGAAAAGGCCAGGAAAATCGAGTCTAACGCGGGTGATATTTGGGATAAGGAGGGGCTGTTGAAGAGCACATACCCGATCGGTAAGGTCTTATCCAACCTACCCTCTACCTCATCGACTTACTGAACATCCTAGGCACAATCTTTGCTGATGACTTCGTCGTCGTCGACAAGAGCCCAAATACCATCATGCTCCGCGGCGGTCTGTCGCCCAGGGTAGCACCCGACGGCCCTCGCGAGATGGATACGTTTATCACGCTCACCACTGAGCTCGACCCCCAGACTCGAGTTGCCAAGTTCAAGCTCAAGTCCATGGTTCTCGACGGAGTAAGCGACGGCAAGGGGGTACCTCTTGGAGGGTTCGAGATCTTCCTGCATCAGCAATATGCCAAGTTCCTGGTGACGGCCGGCGTGGATCACTGCGTGGCATAAAAGCCCACCACTGAACGAGACTTCGAACCATCTCTCCTCATGACTGAATATGTATTAAATTCTGTATCATTACTGTATATTATACTAGAATGACCACGAGCGATCGTGGGAACAAAGAACGATCTTGTTCTATAATGGTATCATTGGGGGTTGGGTATCTGACACGCGAACGCTTTACCGAACATCGGCAATGAACTTGGGAACCACAAACTCCGCAGGCCCTCCGGTGAATGCCTCCGTTCCAAGCTGGTAGACTGCGAATGCAGTTAGTGCCTCGCTGGCCATCATTCCCGAAACAAGGACGCCACTTACCGAGCATGTACTGGTTATGCGCGGGGAACTGGTGCTGGTGAATCAGGTAATCGAAGAAGTGCTTCACATCCGCGTTGAAGTGCTGGATGGGCCCGTTGACCGGCAGGAAGCTGAACACCTTCATCTGGCCGCCGTGGTTATAGCCGAAATGGAGCTCCCACTGGTGCCCCGCAATCTCGATATGAGCAATGGGCGCCTTGGTCTCACTGATGGGCCACACGCCGCCCAGCTTCGCCAGCCTGTTTGCGCAGTTAGCCATTTCACCGATCCCCAACTTACTTTTTTATGGAAGGTTGTTCCAAAAAACTCACCAGATCATGACCTCGAACTCTCCGCTGCTGTTCGCATGCTCCCTATCCGGGTCCGTAAAGATGTCGAACGCGACGTTCGCCCGCACATCCCACGTGCTGTAGTGCCACTCTACCTCGGTAGGCAGAGAGGTGATCTCGCTAACCAGGCGGCGCTGGAACTGCCGGGCGCCGTAGACGTAGGACTTGACGTTGTGCTCGCCGCCCTGCCATTCCCAGTCCGTGGACCAAGCGATGCCGGGGATGCCGCATGCGCCGGGCGGGCACGGCCCGTCGTAGTGGGTGCGCTGTGAGCCGGAGGTCGCGCTGTCGCTGCCCCAGGTGTTGTTGTTGAGCTCGTAGCCGTCTACGGCATGATAACCCCACTTCTTGTCGATGGTGACAACGTGCTCGCGGCGTTCAGGCATGTTTGGCGGCGGTTGAGTTGGGCGAGGTTGTTGTTGGTCGTCCGAATCGTCGAACATGGAGGAGCATGAACAACCCATAATGTAAACCGAGTGTGGGGGGGTTAGTTGGAGTCGTTGGAGGTCGGAATACAAGATGGAACGAACTGCTGGTTGCTGCTAGTGCAGAATTGGGTTTAAACTTGGAGGATTAGGAAGGGATTTTGGGGGAAAAGGCCCCAATTCAAAGGTAGCTTGTCAGGGGTGGCCTCCTGGCAGTACTCGACTCAAGTACCCACTGCGTGCGTCAGCTCCGGTCGTACCAAGGCCATTAGGCTCTCTAAGCCGGTTGGCTGACGTCAAGTGTTGGATGGGTCGCGGTTTTTGGGGGCCAATGTAGAGAAAAAAGCAAATACGTGGGTTGTGAAAAGGAACCAGTTAAAAACTGTTCGAGCCAGATATTGGAAACCATTGAATTGAGGCGCAATTACCGGAGTATATGGTCCAATTTGGTTCTAAGGTAACAAAGATTTGGGGTCATTTTCAGATGACCAGCCTTGGGAACAACGTCAATGCTTGGCATTGAAAGAACAAAGCTCTGGGAGCGGGTATATATAAGTGTCAATGTTGAAGTTGAGTTCCTCTGCAGGCTAAAAGTCGAAATTGATGTCAACAATTGTCAGTTACATAAAAGACGTGAAGCTTCATAGCAGATGGAATTGTTTAGTTGAGTAGTGAACCAACACTCTATGAGGCTTAGTTGGCTACAGGTACATCTTCATAAGGGGAATTGGCCACTCAAGAACTGGCCAAGACTTTTTCTAACACACCAAAAACTCCGATAGAGAAGTATTTTTTTCTATAAATTCCGATCAGATAAAGGTACCGGAAATTATCAGAGCTACAAGAATGCAGTTAGGAAACGTGGGGGTTGATAGCGTACAGCCATGTATACCTGGCGTGAAGAGTGAAATATGGGTATAAAAATCGGGGAGTGTGGACCTGCAGCCAACCAGGCCTTCATGCCATAAAGGTGCGTAGCGGCAGATGGACTGTTGTTAGTTGATCAACTGGCCCTGAAGCCAAGGAACTTTCCAACCCAGCCTACAATTGTTCATATGCTCTTGACTGGATGTCGATGTTGAAACGATAAGATGACGAAACTTGGACGAGAATATTACATCTTAACGGGTATTTAGCAGCGATGTTGTGCGTAGGACGTACCAAAAGGTTGTTGAAAACGGTATGTCTAGCCCTGCAAGGACACTGAATGTGCCTTGACAACAGCGATGCATATGTTTTTTGGGTTCATCGCGGGTATTTAAAGAGTTTGAATATCCGCTCTCAGGCTCAAGTTAGGATGGACACTTGGAACGCCTCCCAGGACTCAATTTCTATCGGAAATTCGTATGGGCAGAGTTTCCCAAACTTGATAATTACTTTCAAAGTCAGATGACGAGACATGCCAAAACTCAGAGTCTATCAACAACCTGGCCGAGGCCTAGACTGAGTCTTTCAATTCAGACAGTGGAACAGCTGGAAAATTATGGTGTGGCAGCGCCGGTTGCACTGAAAGTTTACACAAGCGTTATTGCGGCGGCTACAGTTGACCCCAATGACTCGCTAATCAACGACCACCTCGGACTGTTGTGGCGTTCTGGAAGTGCACAATGGGACGAACAAGTTCAAATACGATGCTCTAGGCAGTCGATTGAGGCTTCTGAGGCTATTGAGTCATGTGTGACCGGCTAGAATTGTTGCCCAAGTGCAGATCACTCATTTACCGCCCTTGTGGTCATTAAATTGGACATTATTCTCTGCCGTCGGCAGCTAAGATGCAGTTCCCTCATCTAACAAGCTTTCGCTGCCTCGGCCCTCCTATTTCAGACACTGACGTTGCAAAACTGGGGATTGGCCTGGGGTAGCGACACTGATAACGAAAATTACCCCGAAAAGACTATCAATCTTGCAGGGCATGGTTCAGTGTTCCTAGTTCCCTGTTCATTACGACCTTTGTGAGGCATACTACCAGATCTCACCTTCAACCGGGTTCTTGGCGGTCATTCTTGGCACTCGGAAACCAACTCGATTGCTTGAGATAACTATTCACGGCATCTTAAGACTTGACCGCCGAGTAAAAGTCCTGATTTGACTTGCCGTCTTAGCCGGATGGTGTCGCATTCATTATCTTGTGATGCCGACAAAGTGATTATCATTTGCACGGACAGACTCATGGACAATTTCTAATGAGCAGATGGAGTCAGTCAGCATTTCACTCATCAAGTGTGATGAACGCAGCAATTAGCGTCAGTTGTTGAAGGACAACGTTCTGCAAGAGACCGCCGCTCAGAAGAGAGTAGCGTGAATGAACTGAATGCATCTCTAGGGCAGCCACCTTATGTCCACGCATTCCAGCAACTGTTGTCGTAATTGTGTGAGTTGATTTGAGGCTCAGTCGCAGCGCGGGGTTTGTCTTGCGGTCAAACTCTACCTCTACAATAAGGGTCATCCATCCATCCCACTTAACAACCTTCAAGTTTCCCATCCCCTCCTGCATACACGACAAAGTAACCGATTCTGTAACTCTGCACCAAAGCCCAGACCCATAACACTTGGACTCCATCAAGTCAAGTGGCTCCGGGTGTACCAAGAGTCCCGCCATCTTGGCAAACTCCCACCTTCCGACCCTCAGTAACGTCTCCGGGCCGGAACCCATGAGGAGGGGGGCACACTGGCGACCCCCAGAAACACAACTAACGCAGTAGCAGCAGCAGCAGCAGCAGCAGCAGCAGGTGGCTAAATGCATGCAGATTCACAGCCCCAACGACCCCAGGGTCCACGAGATATGAGCCGTCCGATCCAAACGCGACAAGCCACATCGAAAAAAAAACCACTACTACGTAGGACACATGACTGGGGGACCAAAGTAAAGAAAGAGAGCTGGTGACAGGGGGGCCTTGGCACCCAGCAATCAGGTACGGAAATCTCCGACTCGGCTCGTCACTCTCTTTTCCCTGGGCTGGTACCAGTCACCACACACGCCCCCCCTTATAGTAAAGAACAGCACAGGGAACCCCAATGCCAAGGGCGCCACCGAAGCCGAGTCGGTCGCCCGGCCCATTTTTCGTGCTACGTAGTAACGAAGGAGAGAATGCGTGCTGAGTTGTGCTATCTTTTTTTGCGTGGGACGAGCCTTGGCTGAGAAATGGCAGCGCTAATCTTCTGGGCGGGAGAAAGGAAAAAAAATAAAATAAATAAAAATATGGATGCCTGTCCAGGATTGGTGATGCTGGTGAATCGCCTTCATTCGCAGCACCACGATGGTCGCACGGGGAGAGAAAAGGAAAGAAAAAGGGCCCAGGCGCCCAGGCATGCCGGGCTTGTGGCTAGCATGGATGAGAGAAAGCCTGAACTGCCTGTCCTGTAACTTTGATGTCTTGTGAGGAGGTCTTGGAGAGAGAGAGATGGTTCGTACGAGTATGCGTAACACAAAACAATACCATGTACATTCACCTTCATTCCGGGATATTGCAAATCACAAAACAATTTGGACCGTGACCAGTCCTTTAGCGAGATTCACTGGTTGCTGGGCGCCAATATCTCGATGAGAGACAACTCTTGAACCTTACCACTCATCCGTATTCCCCAAGAAACACCAAGAGCCTTGTCTACATAGTAGGTAGTATGTAGTAGTGTCAATGAACATCGGCAGTGGCCACCCCTCCTCTTGTTAGGTGACGATGAGAGGCAAACTCGCACAAATCCGCCATTTGAGGCGTTGCGCATACCGCGGAGGGGTAGGCGTCTCTGGGGCCCTGTTGATCAGCACCGAGAAATACCAAAATGCCATTGTCACGCATGCTGAGCTCTGTAGCGCGCGAGTCGGTTGCCCGCGGCTGCTTGGCGCGCCAAGACGACTTAACGCAGATCCAGTCGGTGTCAGAATCGGCAGAGTTGAGCTGGCGATGATGACTGCAGTGGGTTCGGGAGGACCCTGACCTTGACCCTGAACCGACCGAACTGAAGGGGGGGTTACTCAGCACAATCACGCTGGCTAGAGTGAAGTGTGTGGGTGGCCTTTGCTTTTCTGATGGGAGACTCAAAAAGATACTATATGTAATGTAGTAGGGGATATGCATCTAGTGCCGCCACAGGCACATAGCATCATCGCCGTTCTTCTCGATCCGAGCATCGAACCGTTCCGTCATGTTCGCGGCGAACAGTACCATATCCATGTCTCGGTACTTGGTCGGCGGGCACATCGCGCTCTAATCGGACGGATGCAGGTTATGGAGTTTGCCGTTGCCAGTGGACGAGAAGAGAACATGCCACGGGCCGGAGCAAATGCTGGGGGAGGAGAAGAAGGAGAAGAAGAAGAAGAAGAAGAACTAGACCCTCCCAGGCCCTACGCCCGCTCACAAACGCAAAAGGATCACTGGAGTGTGTACCGGTATCCGCAAAGTCCAGGTAGGCGAAAAGGGCGCTGTTTGCACCTGGGCATGGCCCAAAAGTTCCCGCCCAGCAATGCAGTGATCCTCTTCTCTAAAGACGACCCCTGGCACGGCCTAAAAGCATTAGCAAATGGTAATTTCCTTTTTTCTTTCCCATCACCCATTTCCCCAAGACCACCCAAGAAATATGGACAAATTCAAATTCACTGCACGAAAAAAAAAGGGAATCGATCATCAAACTGCTGTAGAGGGAAGACGGCCGAGTGAGGTATGCCGAGCAAAAGCGGCGCCGCCGCCAATGTATGCCAATGCCCTCGCCAATGGAGCACTGGCCTCTGGGCATCACAGTTGGACACACAAGATCACGCAAGAGAGTAAGAGAAAGAGAGAAAGGGAAGGGCGGCTACATTATTAGCAAACGCGTCCGAGACAAAATTCCATGTCTTGTCCGCTGCGATGCTGCGCTGCAAAGAAAAAGGCCGCCCGCAAGCCGAAACGGCACCGCAGCGAGATTGTAACCCATTATGCATTTGCACCACCAAGAGGGCCTAGAGGGCTAGGCTCTCATTCCCTCCTTCACCGTTCACTCTCGGCGCCAGTCATCTGCAAGCCTAGCAGAGGCACGATGGGGTACCAATTGCTTGGGGAGAAAGAGAAAGCGAGACACACACACAGTTAGAGAGAGAGAGAGAGAGGAAGTTCTCCGTTTGGTGGTAGCCGACACGCCCGCAACCTGCTTGGCTACAACGCCCTTCTATTCCAACCCGTTACAAGGCTCCCCCCTCCCAAGGCCTGGCCCAGCGTTCCAGAGCCCTGCCATGGTTGTCTTGCGTATACGCCAGGCCATTCATGCTGAAGCTCTTAGCTTGGTCTTCAAGCGTTGGCAGTGGCACAGGCAGTGGCAGTGGCAGTGAGTGAGTGAGTGAGTGAGTGACAAGACACAACAACAACCACCCACCCCTTTTGCAGGACACGCCCAGCACAGCCAACAGCAGAGAGAGAGAGAGAGCAAGCCCCCAAACAGAGTTTCTGCTTGGCTCACGTTCTGAGAAGTAGTGTACCTTGGGTCCCCTCGCCAAAGACGCCCAGTGCTGCGCCAAGCCAAGCACAAATCGTAACTCTCCCCCCTCCCCCCTACAGGTCTAGGCGGGCCAAGGCGGCCTCTGTGGCCCTTTTGGAGTCAGTGAGCTGATAGCGCGACTTGGCGAGCAGCTTTTGAGACCTACCCAGAATTGTAAAATTCGCCCAGGGACTTGGCTTTGGCTGGTTTGCTCTCATATTTTTTTTTCCCTGGTCACTCTCACACTCTCTCTCACACTCTCTTTTGCTCCCTCCGATGGGGCACCCCCCCTTCTCTCTCACACACACACTCTCACACGCCCCTCCCATCCCTTCCGCTAAAGTTTTTTGGTTCTTTATTTTATGTTTCCTATTATTCCTCTTTCCTCTTGGTTTTCTCTTGGAAGCCGGGAGGATATGGTCAGGCGCAATCAGAGCACTTTGCTCGGCGTCTCTGGGCTTCCCTCACACCCTAGCTTCTGCTAAAAAGGCCGCTGAAGGCCACCACTCACCCGACGTCATGTGGGCTTTATTTTGACCCTCGCATCCCCCCTCCCCTTTTGGCCCTTTTGAGGTTTGAGAACCAGAGAAAGCTCAACAGTCGCCATATCAAGAGTCAAATTTCCACAGACACTCATGTTTTGACCGGCATTGAAGAGCATTAACCGGATTTGATCTTCCGGTGGGGAAAAAAAGAGAGAAAGAGAAAAACAGATAATAGACGGCATATCAAAAGAGACGGCAAGGAAGAAAGAAAGAATCCATTAGAAAAAAAGGGGATCAAATCGACAGCCAGGACAGAGGAGGAAAATCCAGAAAAGGAAAAGGAACGGGAAGAAAAAGCCAAACAGCCATGTCCCTCCACAACAGCGCATACAGCCATCAGGGCTATTCCGCGCCGCCATACAGCCAGGGTTATCACCACCCTCCAGGAGGCCAAATGTACACCACCGGCCAGAACAACACGCAAATATACTACACACCAAGCAACCCCCCCGACAGCCCGACGTCGACGCAGAACTCCCAGCAGCGGTATTGGTATGGCCGGCACGGCGACGACGGCCGGCGGTCCAGCGGCGCCGGCTGCTCGCCCGAGTCCGACAACTTCAACAGGAAACGTCGGCGGTGCACCTACATGTACTACGTCCTGCGGCAGCTCGCCATCATCGTGCCTCTGGTCGTCATCTTTTTGAACATCAACATTTATGTGTCGAGGAGGGGAAAGTACCTGAACGATTCGACGAGCCCCAGCGACCCTATTTTTTATGCCATGTGGTTATCGGTTCCATTGGTATGTTTTTCTAGTCTTTGATTTTTTTATATTTTTTTTATATTTAGTTTTGTTTTTTTGCTGTCTGTTTTTTTATTATATGTTTTATAATGAGTTGATCTATGAGATGACAAACTAACAAGCTACAATAGTCGGTTCTGATGATGACATGGTCAATCACGACCGTCGTCTTCCGCAAAAGGGCGCCGCACAGAGGTGGAATCCCGAAGCACTTCCACTTCGGTATGGAGCTGTGCTTCTCGCTCGGCGCAACCATCTGCTGGATTCTTCTCGTCGTTCAAATCGAGTCGAAAAAGTCAAACGGTTACTATGCGTATCCGTATATCCAGTACGAAGCCGCACTGGCGTTTCTGCTGGGTCTCATCATGTAAGTTCTCACTCACGCACGCACTCACTCACTCACTCACCCTCTCATCCTCACTCACCATCAACTGAATAATCACTAACGGGTACACAGGCTGTCCGAGTATGGACTCTTGGTACGCGCATGGTTCGAATTCAGCTACGACAAAGCGCGGCAGGAGCATGCGGCGGCCATGGTGCAGGTATAACCAAAAAATTCGGCCAACCTGATGGGGCGTGTAAGAACAAGATGTCGATTTTGACAGGGGCACGGCGTTGAAAGGGAGACACAAAAAACAAACAGCAGCGGATCGGATCAGGAAATGGTCGGACGAGAAAGATTGACGGCTGACCACCATATTTACTACCATGTTTTTTTCGGAGAAACAAACCACAATGAGATACCCACACAAAGCGTAAAGATACCATTAATCAAAGAATTTACCCATTTCCACATGAAAAATCTTTATCACGAAAAGACGCCTCGCTCATCCTCCCCACAAGAAGCTAGCTCACTTACAAAACTCGTGAAAGATGAATGTGACTTGCCCTAGTCACACCTCACTGAGATTGTACCTGCTGCGCCCGCCGCCGCTGACGGTAGCTCCGGATCCAGGGCGCGAGCAGCAATGCGCCGAATAAGAGGGGCGCGAGGAGCATCGCGACGGCGACGATGCCCATCAACCCTAACTTCCCCATCTCGGTCGGCGGGCGTAGGACAAACGGCGCCTCCGTGGCGGTGGCGGCGGCCGCCGCTTCGGTGGTGAGGCCGGACGGCACATCGCGACAGCTGGAAGCCCTGCACCAGACCGTCAGCGCGTCGCCGGAGTCGTCCCTGGCGTTGAACGCCAGGCTGCCGCTGCTGACTCTCGCAAAGGACGCCGTGACGGCGTAAGCCATGTTCTGTTGAGAGGGCGTCAGTGTTGTCGTCGTGGGCGGCTTGTTGGGCAGGGTCGGGCTGTAGACGAGCACGCGCTCAGTCGACAACCGCGCTTCGCAGTCGCCGCCGCCGTACATCTGGCTGTATTCCAATACGCTAATCACACAGGTTTAGACAGAAGGAAAAACATTTGGGGTCTCGAGCAGGGGCGTCGCATACTCTGGGCAGCAGAATAAGTTTACATAGGCTGTAGTCCAAGGAGTGGCCCTCGAGGCTATAGTGACAGAGCCATCGGTGCCTGTGAGCCATAACGTCTTGTAGACATAGTTCCAGTCCCTCGAGGAGACGAAGCTGTGGGCCGAAGTATAGCCCGAGGGGCATCCGTTCCAGTTCCAGGCGTATATGTTCGAACATGAAGAACGGTAATCAAATGTGCTTTTGGGGAGAATGCGGCAATCCGGCGGGGGTGTGATGCGTTCTGTATGAACGCTGGTTACCGTCGGGAACAATGGCATGTTTATTTTCCGCAACGCGATTCTGCGAATAACTTCGTGGAGCGTGAGATGAGTGAGCTGAGCAAAGGAGTGAGGTTGCGAGGTCGACAGAGCCTTGCCGACGCGGCTGGATATTATTATGATTTGGACGTGGCCCTGCTCACCTGGTAAATGGACTAACTACTCCGGGGGGGTTTAATCTGGTATCGCATCTGCAACCCCGCGGCGCAGCACGACTTTCTACAAAGGGTCCAACTGCAATGGATCATCTTGGCGTTGAATAGGGGGTTCCAGAATCTCGAATGGGTTGAGTGAGTCAAGATGGCTTAAATGAATCTTGATAAGACAGGCATTCAGTGAATTTTCAGTGAATATGAGAAACAACATATGAAATCTTTCATATGAGTCTTGAGTAAATTATGTAATCTCGGTGACCTCGGTGAGTGAGGTGAAGGAATTCCAGGTGAACCGGCTAAGCCTCGGTAAAGCCCCGCTTATATGAGCAGCTTCACCGTCGGATACCCGGATCCGGAAAGGCCGCCGAATCAAAAGCGGGTCTTCCACAGTCTCTCATTGGTTCAAAGTTCTTCTACTGGGTCTGATTTGCTCATGGGGCGTCTCAGGCGCGTCACACAGTTCCATTAGGGCCAATTCAAGGTGGGGCATCCGCGATTCCCGACCCGGCCGATGCCGTCTCTTCACCCAGTACACTACACACAGCACTCATCGCTGGCGTGCCACTCTGGAGGAGAGAGGGGGGAGCCCAGCCGATTTCGCTTTTCAATCTCCACCCCATCAGTCAACTTCTTCCGTCCCGCTTTCCAATCCTGCGGGTAGAGAGTAGAGTGAGAGACTAGAGTGAGAGAGAGAGTGAGGAGAAGCGAGCGAGATTAGCCTCATCAGCCTCACAAGTCTCCTCCTGCCTTGTCTCCTCCAGCAGCGGGATCCATCACCACCATGTCGACAAGGGCCATAAAGAAGAGCGCCTTCTCGTGCGAACCGTGCCGTAGGCGCAAGGTATGTTTTTAATTCCGCTTCATTACTCTCAGACCGCGTTTCCTTTGCCCTATCTGTTTTTTTTTCCCCTTTTGCATCTTTTAGGGCCAAAGGGGCCCCTTGAAGCCGCTTCCGCTTCCGAACACCCCCCAGGTACCCCTGCACCGACCACCGGCTATGACGGCGCAGGCGGAGGCTAAGGATGAGGCAGAAGGGCGCCTATCACTTGTTGATCCTTGAGCCGGAGAATATCTGCCTGTCTGTGCTATCTACCTGTCCGTCGTTGTAGCAGTTGCGGCGGCGACGGCGGCGCCGGTGATGCTGGTGGTGGTGGTTGTGGTGGTGGTTCGATACGCGGGGAGCGGGCTGTCGTGGGCCATTTCCCCGGCTACGGAGGACGGAGGCTGACCGGAATCGGCGCAGGTTAAATGTGGCGGAGAGCAGCCGACATGCAATAGATGCGCCGCACGCGCGGATGAGTGTGTGTATAAACTGTGAGACACGCCCATCCCACATCTTTCCCCATATCACCCGCATTACCGTCAGTGGGACTGACTTTGCCGCCCGCCCAGTAACCCGACGTTGTCGTACACGTCGCGCCTGGAGCAGCGTATCAAGGATCTAGAGGCGCAGCTCGCCGCCGCCAGGTCGCATGCTCCTGGGCCCGCGCAGCCGTCCAGGACGTCTTCGCCTAGCCTGGGCCCGTCGGCGGGTCAGTCGCCCATGACTGACCCCCATCATGTCGAGTCACAGGATGAGGAGTCCGTGAGTGAGAGTTTCAAGGGGTTGAAGGTGGATGACAAGGGCGCCATCACATATCACGGCTCTACGAGTTTCTTTCAGTTACCTGGTGATCGGCAGCTCGGGTCCAGAGACCAGACGTCGACGTCGGAGCAAGCTATTCAGAGACGCGAGAGGCTAGTTGCCAACGCCTGGCAGCAGAGGGCTCTCGAGAACATGTCCGAGATCCCGGTGGGTTATTATCAGTCGTCGAGACGCCGTCAGTCTCTTCAAAGCTGACATCTCTCTCCAGGAACCGTTTCAGTATCTGTTAAACGTCCATTGGTGCTGGATCCAGCCGCTCTTTAACTTCATCTACAGGCCTGCCTTCACCCGTGAGTTTGCTTGGCTTGCTCTTTTCCCGAACTTGAAAGTATACTGATCTTGGACAAGGTGATATGCAAACGATGGGCCCTTATTACTCCCATACCTTGATGAACGCAGTATTATCACACTCTATCAGATGGGGCAGGAGTGACCCTGCCACGAAAGAGAAGCTCGACGAGTTCTACGGCGGTGGCGCTCTCTTTGGCAAGCACGCTCGCAGCATGGTCTTCGAGGAGCTCAGCCAGGGCATCTGCTCGATCCCTACCGTCCAGACCTTGTTGCTTCTCAGCGCGCAAGAGTGCAGTGTTGGAAACAGCGCCCAGGCATGGACGTACAGCGGCCTTGCGTTTCGCATCATCGACCATCTGGGCATCTGCGTCGACGGACAGAGATATCCCGGTTCAGTACAGCTGACAGACGAAGACGTCGAAATCCGCCATCGTCTGTTCTGGAGCTGTTACTTCTGGGACAAGATGATCAGTCTGTACTTGGGCCGGTCGCCGTCGTTGCAGCAAACATCCGTTTCCCCACCGCAAATCATGTGTAGGTCAACAGCGCTGCCGGCTGGACGACTGACATGGCTAACACATTATGACAGTTGACGATTCGGCCGAAAACGAGTCTTGGACACCGTTCGGTGTTGTCCCCGAGGGCGGCTGGAAATACCCCCCTTCGCCTGCCCACTCGACGTCGTGCTTTATGCAAATGTGCCGGCTCTCAGTCATCTTCAACGAGATCCTTGTCCACATGTACGACCCTGTACGCCCCAACAGCCAAGCCGAGATACAGGACTGCCTAGCGAAGCAAGAGCCCGCGTTAAAGCAATGGTGGGATGAGTTGCCGCCGCATCTTAAAATGGAATCCACAGCCCTCCCCGCGCTGGCGCCGCCGTCCCACATCATCACGTTAAAGTAAAAAAACACCCCGACCCCTGGCACATGAGACCGAGCTGACTGTGGCTTAGCGCACTCTATCGGACATTCAAGATCCTCCTCTATAGACCGATGCTATCCCAGCGAGGCCGAGTTGGTGAGAACTTGCAGCCGGTGCAAACGTATCTTGTCGAGTGCGTGACGTCCGCGACCTCCATCATCGCCATTTTCGATCTCTTTTGCCGCTCCTTTGGCATCGGCCACTGTGTGTTGTCCTTGTCGTACAGCGTGTACATTGCTGCGTCCATCTTCCTCCTGCAGGTCCAGTCGAGCGTAGAAGATGCGCAGGCGCTGCGCCGGTTGGAGTACTGCGTGAGAATCCTTGCGTCCGTAAAGCGTATCAACCCGGGTGAGTAGAAGTGATGATAAAACCCATTTATGTCCGCTGTATCGCTAACCCCCCACCTTCAGTCATCAGCAGTGCCCTCAATCTCATCACCCGTGAACTCGTCAGCCTTGGCATCGACATCGGCGCTCTGGGTTTGGCCAAGGCGGACGGAACACCCCCGATGGCCACCTACGGCATCCCGCAGGCTCGACGCGTCGACATGCCTCCTACTTCCGCTCCGCCCGGACCGGAAGCCACCAGCTCACCCGAGCAGCTGTACAACTTCCCCTTTGTCGATACCCTCGGACCGGAGGCCTTCGCCATCGATCCGCAGGTCTTCCAGAACATGTCGTCTATAGAGCCGTTGAGCGTCCGAGTCGGCGCGATAGACGAATAACGCATCTCTGCGCCATACGTTTTCCGCGTCTCACACACGCTGTAAGTCGCCTTTAGAACCACCGACCCGGGTCGACTTGATGAGGCGGACGACTTGGTCGTACACCGTAAAAGTGATACCACTCGACAGCTGTGTGACCCAGTCAGCAAAAGCTACCCTTGCTTGGCGATGATGTCCGCCGTTCAACTCACCGTCAGTCGGACCAATCTGGGCGAAGTCCCTCTCCAAAACGCCAGCACACCGTCGTTTCGGACAAGGTGTGCTGCGCAGTCCAACATACTCTTGTATTTCGCGTCAACAGCCTGCATCCTCGTCTTGATGTTATCAAAGGGCATTGACGCGTATCTGTGAACATAACAATCAGCACATACGCCCCCGGCAAACGCAAAAAAGAAATACCGCAACACACACACACACACACACACACACACACACACACACACACACACACACACACACACACACACACACACACACACACACACACACTTACACTGTAAAAACACCACTGATCCCGCCTAGAATCAGCGTGCTACCCACGCTTCCGTCGAGACTGGGCCACCAAGCCGCGACTCTCTCCTGCAGCATCGCAAAAGTCGTGAAGCGAACTGCACTGTTGGTGCCTTGTTTGCACAGCACCGGCGTCAACCCGCTCCACAGCCCCCTCACGCCCTCCTCTCGGACGAGCACACCCACGGCTCCGACCAAACCGCGATTCGCGAATCGTCCGCCAGAGGAAGAAGCGTCATGGATCATCTTCGTCTTGATCGCCTCCCCCGGGGTAACGACGGCGATGCTCTCCGCGACGCCAGCACTAAGTCCGCTGACAACATTGACCCACGCCTTCCTCGGCCTTCCAGCCTTCGGATCCGTGTTAGTCAAGTCATCGAGCCTCGCGCGCGTAGTCTCGAAAGCGAGGAACCGAATTCCCGACTTTGCCGCATTGGAAGCCGCGAGGGCCTGCACGCCGGAGTAAACCCCCTTCACGCCGGAGCGGCGGATGGTCTCGCGGAGGATGGAGAGGGAGCTCGGCGGCGCATCGCCGGTTTTGGAGTGCAGTTGCCGGCGGGTCTTTACGAATTCCGCGGGATACTTTTATTATCAAATCATGTTAGTAGAAGAAAAGAAGGGGAAAAAAAATATCAAGCGTTGCGTGTCCGTAGAGATGAAAAAAAAATAAGCGCATATTTGTTTTACAGGAATCTGTGAATAACAAAACATGTGAAAGTTTGGGAGAGCGTGGTGGTGTGTTGTCGTGTTGCTATGTTAAGAAAGGACATGGATGGTGATGCTTGAGACTTACAGTGACGAGCGTTTCTGAAACCCCCGCAACACCACCCGCCAGAATCTTGGTCAGGACGTCTGAATGGTCCATTTTTGGGCTTTATTTCAGGGTTTTTCAAATGCTAAGCTGGACCGGTTTTGGATTCGTCGATCGTTTCTGGGCTGATGGTGGGAAAAAAAGGACGAACCTCGGTGTTCATCGGTAAAGCTAACCGTGCCCGTGGAGAAGACGAAAAAAAAAAAAAAAAAAAAAAAACGCTGTCACAGGTTTTTTTGAGGGTATTTTTTCTGGAGTGGCTCCAGGAAGCGTCATCAAAAGTAGACCACGTCGTTGGTGCCGACCATCCGCGGAAGTGATATATGCCATGTGAAGGAGAACCACAACATGACATCTCGCCGAGGAGAACACCAAGGCCGGAGTGTGACCGTTGGATGGACCGTTGACCGCTCCACTCGGGCATGTTCCGAGGAATTGGGGGATATCTCTTGGCTATGTTCTTCCCCCTTCCTTTTCTCGGTGTTCATTGCGTGATGGGACATTTTCGTTTCTTCTTCTTCGGACATTGTCCGTGATGTTCGTGTCAAGATCTTGGAATATGCGTGTGCGGGGGGGAGGTAGCTTGTCTCGGAGCTTTTCTTGACATCCGTCGCATGTCTTGCGTGGCTTTTACGGCGTTTGATTTCTGGCAAAGGCGGGCTGGCCCGCCCGGCGGCCGTGCTCCTCCACTACCCACTGAACAATCACCGCTTTTAGCTTCGCCGCGCCGGTCATCAGATCAACAGTCCATCCGACGGTCTAATTTCCCGGCCGTGGCCATCAGGTGTTCGGAAGTTGACCGAGGATGAGGAGATAGGGCCGGTGTCTGGTTGCCTGTGTGCGTCGTGCATGTGTAAGTTGAGAGGAGGGAGGGGAATCTGGATTTCTTGGAAAATCTGGGGGGGAAAACACTAGCGCGTAATATGCAAGATGCGTCTGGAGGTTACAATCGCTTGGAGACTGGGCTGGGCCTTTAGACCACACCCCTCCCGAATAGGTAGTTAGCAGAAACATGGGGCTTCATTTTAGAAGAGAGAGAGAGAGAGACATGAGCGTTGCGGATGTTTCGGGGTATCTTTGCCGTCGGACGACCGAAGTACCGCACCGGGGGTGGACTATTTTCTTCATATCTGGAGATGAAAGCTGCTGGGGTCCCATTTTGGGGGTGCTGCACGTGCTTGTGACAACGGAGAATGCGTGTGCTGGCGAGGGATCCATTGTAGATGTCACGGCCAGGGTCTGAAGGAAGACAAGCAGCTGGTAAAAAAAACGTTCGGAAAGGGTGTCCGATCCCGACTGAAGGGATCCCGATCTGGGGGAGATGGGTGATGGAGTCGTTGCGTGTTTTTGTTTTCCCCTCTATCTCTATTTCTTAGAGATCTGCAAACAAAGATTTGCGCTGGCAGGATAACTATAGAATGATCGTCACGAGTCGGGCCGGCAGGGACCCTTGAAGGGGTCAGAGATTTCGTAGTGTTGTTGCATTTTCAACGCATCTCGCTATAAGTCTCGCTAGTATTCTCGACAAGAGAGTAATGACTGGGCAGAGAAAGAGAAAAAACGGAAAAAAAAAACACAAAAAAGTCGGAAGATCGTGAGGTGGAGACAAACCTGCGCCGACGCCCGTGAGCGGATACTTGTATCCGGCTGGAGGGAACAGAATAAGTCAATTGTGGCCCCCGGTCTACCGGCACGGGGGATGGCCGAGGTTGAAATGACGGACAGAACCCGAGGTATCAAGGTATTGCATGTTTACTATGTAGAGAAGAAAACTCTATTGCCGCGGTTTGAAAGTCTGGCTGGCGGGGATGGAAGGGTGGAAGTTGACCGAATTTGGTGTTGCTGTCAGTGTAAGAGGTTGGTGCTTGGGTGTCGTTAAAGGATGAACGGAATGACCAAATGTGGAAGATGTTGTTGTCTAAGTTTGATTTATGCAATATGTGGCTGTGCCTGTGGCTGTGGCTGTTGAGTGAGTGAGGCTTTCCTACATAAGTTGCATGCAAACATAACTTACATAAGCTTTGGAGTTGCCCCTTTGGCTCAGTGGTAGAGCGTCTCACTCGTATCTTGACGACTTATGAGAAGGTCCACGGTTCAATCCCGTGAGGGGGCATTTGTTTTGTTTTTGGCACTTATTTGAACTTATCAATGCAAATTGATATATTTCCTGCAGTTTTAGATCATCAACTGACCGTTGGCGTGAGTTATGCGGGTTATTTTATGGCTAACATAGGTGAGGTTTAGCTTTTGCTAGTTACTAGTTACTACTACTATTAGCCCTAGCTAAGGTACTAACAAACGCCATCTTCCTCTTCTACTTAGTTAGAACCATAGTGCTCAAGTATTAACACTACTTTACTCCGCCAGAACTAAATAAGTAAGTATACGGTTCGTAAACAAATTCAGATGAATGATTATTATTAGTCTCGTTGTAAGCACATATCAAGTCACCGTTAGCACTTTGCCTGACCCAGCCTAGCAAGCCTTAAACCTAACAAACTGAGCCGCATCCTCGGCATACTTCTGTCCGTAATTCTCGTGCGCCTCCCAGCTGGTACCCTGGGAACAAGCGGGATCATCATTATTGCAGTAATCACGCAGTATGGCCGACCACCGGTTCAGCGACTCGAGCTGACTGCCCTCCCTCGGGAAGCCCTGTGCGCGTGTGATTATTTATCCTCGTTATGCGGGTGTGCGTCTTGAAACCTACCGACTGCATGCGGGCGCCAACGAGCAGGTTGTAAGTCTGGTTCGCAACGTGTCTCGGCGAGCCCCAGATGAGAGCCGCAGCAACTGTTATCATACATCAGTCGGGTCTCCACCTCGAGCATATACATTCATCCGGATAGTAGTTCAGGGGGGTGGATAAAGAAAAGAAAACGACAACGACAAAAACGTACTGTGATCACCGGGGAAGGTCTCCGGAGCGATTCCGTCGTTCGTCTCCTGCACACATTTCTGGCTCTTAAACTCTCCGCCGCCGCCGCCGAGCAAATCACCGACGACTTGTCCGCCCTGCGAGAAACCGGAGAGCACGATCTTGGAGTCCGGGCAACGGGTGGCGTAGTCGGTCACGGCTTTCAGCGTGTTGGCGACGCCGCCCTCCACGGAGTCGCAGTAGTCGTGGAACACGGCCTGGTACTCGACGTTGGCCCACGTGCAGTCCCAGTCCTTGCAGATGGCCTCGGCGATGGGCTGCTGCAGGCCTGGGTACGGCTCGTTGGTGCCGCGGATGAGGAGGACGTGGACCGCGCTGCAGGGCGTGAGGGGGCACAGGGTTTGAGAGGCGACGGCAGGGAGGAGACTAAGGAGGGAGGCGGTTGTGGGACGCATTTTGATAAGTGGTTGCCGCGAAGTACGGATATCGTCCGAGAGGTATCAAGGACGAGGGTGTGTGGGTGGTGTGGAATTGCAGTACTCAAGTGCGACGGACGAATTGTCTCAAAGACTAGAGGATACAATTGTCGGTCACCAATTGTCAACTTTCACCCGAGAACTAAAGCAGTCCTGCTTGTATTTATGCATTCCGTAAACACGACTCTTTCAACATCCAGCGGTTCAATATCCCCGGATTCGACGTCAGATGAACTGCTCTCCCCCGCAAACTTGGCCAGTCTCATGGGGCTCATGTGGAGTAACAATTAAAAGGCGGCTCTAAAGAACTGCCAAAAACAAGCTTGTTTTCCATCGTCCAAACCGCTGGTCGAGCTGGCCTATACCTTAGTTGTATTCCGGAGGCTATGATTTCCTCATTCGTCCACCGCTTGGAGGAGTTTGCCCAGAGTTCGGAACTCGGAACTCGGACGGACGTGGTGCAAAAGCTGGGGGACGTTGCACCGGCGTCCAGCTTTGCTCTGTCGGCAATTAAGATCGGCCAGTTGGAATCTGGGGATTGCTGCCTCTCTGTCATATATTCCCCATGGGACGAAATATGGGGCATATTACTGCGCGAAGCAGAATTGGCCGTGGAGTTTTGGATATGCACACACACATGGTAATTTTCATTTTCATTTTTTTTTTTTTTCCGTCTCTTAGGTTTCCACAGCCATATCTCTCCACACTGACATGGATATGGGGTCCCCGTAAAGAAATACGGTAAATCGAGCCAGGATCTTGGTATCAAATCTCATCTTATCATGCCAGGCGAGAATTTCTCTCGGGACAAGTTGCCTAACCGAAGTTGGCATCTTCTTCCGCCACAACTTTTTCCACGCAGTTGCAAACCTCGGTCAGTCATCACCTGCCCAATCCCGTTTTATTTCCCGCCTTTCTATCCACAAGATCCATCATGTCGGGAGGGTCTTCCACGAGAAACATACCACCAACTCTGTACCCGCTCATCCGGTTGCCTCGAATCACATACCCAAGATCCGTTGGTATCCGCCGGTCGAGGACACCGCTCAACTCTCTTGCCGCCTTTCATCCGGAGCGGGCGGATAGATATAACTCCCCATATCCGACATTTTCCCGTAAGCCTCCTTCACACCAGCGCAGCCTCATCTAGCAATTCCGCTTCCCCTCCTCCGCCGCCGCAGTCCCCGCCGAAAGCGCAGCCAGGTACTCCGGAGAGGACCATATATAGCATATTACGCGATAGCTTGTGTTGCAGAGACCGGGGCTTAGCGTCGCAACCATGACCGCATCTGAGGCGGGGGTGAGAAGCACGGCGAGTTGTCGGACTGCGAGTATGAGGGAGTTTGTTGCCCTCCAGGAAATGATGCTATCCAACAGGACATGTAAGTGGTTGGTTTGCGGTTGCGATTGGGTAATCTTTGATGAACTGGTCGAGCTGCGACATGTATTACCTGCCCAGCGCCCACTCCACGACTCCGGCTCTTGACTCAGGGTCTCCAACAACTCCCCTCCCAACCCTGTCTAAGCCTCCCATTTCCTATAAACATGGTCCCACTTATCAGAGGTGTTTGTTGCTCGCTGTTTGGGATGCGCAGGGGCGGTTGAGAGTGTGGGGGAACAATCCACTGTGACGGCCCCCAACGTCGTCTCCAGACCGGCGGTAACAGACACTAGTCGAATCACTGCTGGCATCTTTTTTTCTAAATGAAGGGCTTATTGCCTTGTGCTTGTTCTGACTTCTTGGTTGATGATTGCAATGGATTATATTAGACAAGGGTTTGGAGTCCCCGTATTGGTGACTTACATATACTAGGTATGCAGCAGGGGCGGTGGTCGTATTTCGGTGTCGAGAAGATCACCAACCCCGCATCTACTATGATAACATGTTTCATATAGTATATACGAGCGCATTCTCTTGATGTTGTGTATACACTCTGCGGATGATCAGAAGTGACGACACGTAAGTTGTGCTGGCTGAGCCAAAGACCGGTAAAGAAACTGCTATTTCGGGCGTCAGATGCATGCACTGCGGCAAATCTTAATGGTCCGTTGACAAGGCTTGGCGAAATAGAGTTATTGGTAGATGGGAGTTTAGTTACAACGTTTTTACTAGTTTTCCAACTACAGCCGGTAAACTCGAATTTTGCTTCCGTCTAGTAGTAACCATTATTCTTCGTTTCAACGTGTCTCAGACACTAAAGTAGGTCGACTGGGTAAACTCGATTGTTTGTGTATTTCGCGCATCATTAACATGTCCTTTTCTTTTCCTTCCCCCCTCTCTCTATTACCGGGTCCTACTTTGTACAATGAACCTGGCAGAGCTGTGGGACTTGCAGTTACCATGAGCTTGACTCTAGCGCCCAGGCCAATGGCGATTACGCAACTCAAACTCCAAGGTTCGGCTTTATGCCGAGATGGCAACGCCCGCAGCACACACCGTCCCAAACCCGCACCGACTGGCGTGATTTTTAGAGATGCTAGTCATTTTCGTGTGAGAGAATGGGTAAAGCATAGCTAGATTAGTTCTTTTTTTAAGTCATGGTGAAAAATTGGTGTTATGATCATTAGAATATTCTAATCTGTATCGTCATGAATCATTTGTCGTATACCGACGTAATTGTTGCTTTGCAATGAAAATCGTGAGAATACATGAATGCTGGCAGCGCTATGCTTAAATCGCTGAAAACAGTGAAAAGAGAAATAAGAGAAAGAGGAAAAAAAAAAATAGAGAAAGCTAATGAAGTCATCTTCTGCCGTGCCGGGTATCCCACAAGTCCTCCGCGTTCCCCCTGAATAACCTATCAACCAAAACATCGTCTTTGCCGCACCAGTCGAGCACCGTCTCCATCCACGGTCTGATATCGAGACCCTCGAACCTGGTATGCGGCCAGTCGGTTGCGAATATTACTCTGTCCTTGCCCCGAAGGTTAAGGACTTCTCGTGCAATAGGCTCCAAGTCGCTGTGGTCGGCTTTGGAGCTTAGCCGGTATGGCGCTGAAAGCTTCACATATGTGTTGTCTGCTTTGAGAAGCCTGGCTAAAGACTTGAAGCCCTTCATGTCGCATGGGTTATGAGACGGCATGTCTTTGACGCAGGGGTGGCCGAGGTGGTCTACACAGACGCGGACACCAAGAGTCGGCACGATAGGCTCTAGGAGCTCAATCATGGACATGGGCATGTATACTTGGATAACCCAGTCCAAGGGCTTGCAGTCTTCCGCGTATCTATGCAACAAGTCGTCGAGTTCCTCTGCGGTAAGAGACTTGCCAACCGACGACAAGTTGATACGGACGCCTCTTACACCGAGTCTATGCCACTCCCGAAGAGTACTCTGCGGCAAGCTACCGGGCTCGAAGGCTACTACGGCACGGCCGCGGCGGGGACCCAAAGCCCTCAGGGCATCGAGTAGGCAGGTGTTGTCGTTGCCATAGATGGAGGGCTGTACGAGGACGATATTGTCGATTCCCACGGAGGACTCGAAAGCGAGGGCGTGATCGAGCCGGTGCGTCTTGGGGCAGTATATCGCATCCTTTGCCAAGGGATATGCGGCCGGGTCGACGACGTGCATGTGTGAGTCCCATGCACCGCGGGGGATCCGCTCCGGGAGAGTCAACCTACGCCGAGACGTAGCTGTGAGGGCTCTTGGTATTACTCTATCACCTCTCGTCGACGTCGTAGCAGGACTGATAAAAGGCTGAAGGAGAGCCATGATGGTTCTGAGGTGGCAGTAGAGGTAGGAGTGTGCCTGGAGCATGCGTCTCTGTATCATGTTGAGGGCAGCAACTCTATGAGTAAGAGTTGAGAGGAGGGTCTTGAGACTAAAAGAAGAGGAGGAGGAGGAGGAGGAGTGATAGAGGCGAAGACCGGTCTCGCTGCCGATTTGGCGGATATGATGACAAGTCTCGAGGAACGAATGGGCGTTGGTGGAGGTTATGGTTGGCCGTCTGCGGGTAAGGCATGTAAGGGATGAATCCTTCTCCTCTCGAGTACAAGCTGGCGACTGCATCGAAGACAAGACGGGGTTTCGGTCATCCGAAACTGCCTGCAGGAGCAATAGCGGACCACGGTGACGGCGGCGGTGCGCCTGCACATATGGACGTCGGCCCATTGCGCTTGATGAGATTCTGCCGACTGTCCGGGTCGTTGAGTGGATCATTGAGTTGCAGCATCACTCAACCAGGAGGAGACTCTCCTCTAGGGCAGCCCGCACTTTTGGCGGCTCCAGCAGGTTATGCAGGAGGTAGTAGGAGCAATAGTGGAGGTGGTAGATGATGAGTCGTCAAGTAGAACGAGTAGGATTCTTGGTTATTTTTTCTTCATGAGAGTTTTTTTTCTGGTCCTCCCGGGCGGTGTCCTTCGGAGGATGTCCGATTTCCAAGGTACAAGACTCAGTAGCGGTTTTGCGTTGGTGTATTGGTGGTTTGGGGGTTTCTAACTACGGATACAACGACACTACGCATACATGACAATCACTGCTTTCAGATGCTCCTCATGGAACCTGTCCGACGGTATGCGGCGCCCGCAAGTAGAGGAATTATTTACTTCGGGTCATTGGACAGCGGTGGCAGCAACTTCACTACAGGCCTGAGAAGCGAGAAGCACCGTCACTCTTTTTTTTTTTTTTTTTTTTTTTTTTTTTTGCGCCGTCCACGAGTCAGGGCGCGGACCATAGTGTTGTGGGCAACAGTCCTGCCGGAAGTTGACCGAGCCAGGTGAGTAGTGAGTGTGAGAGACACCAGATGAGATTGAGCGAGTGAAAGTGAGAGAGACACACACAACCTTGAGAGGGAAGAGAAAAGGCTAGACCAGCCGGAAACGGGCCGGCGATACCGAAAGAGGTATCTCGCCACTGACTTGACGACGACGAAGTACTTGGACCCCTTCTACGGTTGTTAGTTGGGTGACTTTTGTTGGAGTGAGACAACAATGGCACTGGATGAACGCATCTCCCCGTGTGGAGATCCTTACTAAGAAAGACACAACCCTGGTTACTTTTGCCTCTCCCTCTTCAAAGCGTCTTTTCCCTCCCCTACAGAGCTCGTTCGGTCAACGTCCGATGTTTTTTTTTTACCCCCACTCTCTCTGTACAAGATCCTCCTTCGCGCGAGATCGACTGCCGAACGGAATCGTGGGGTTGGGCACTTTTGAACCAGGGCCCCAAAATCCGGAGAAGAAGAAAAGAGAGACACTTTAGTCTCGCTTGGTTGTGTTACCCCGTGGAGGGACTACCCCCTTCAACCCCGCGGTTTGAGCGACGACGCTCATCGAAAGGAGACGTCGACGACGCTCCAACTGCTGCATGAAAGTGACATACATGCAGAGAGAGAGTGAGTGAGTGAGAGCCGAAGTGGTGCGACTTGGCCAAAGTTGCGTGTCGGAAATAGGGGGCAAAGACCGAAAACTTTTTCCCACCCCATCTTAAACTTTCACACTCTTGGGAAAACTGCCAAACTCTAGCGCTCGTTCCTCCGCGTTCAAACTACCAACCTCTCTCTATCTCTCTCTCTCTTGTCAACCATCCCCGGAAAATGGTTGGCACGAACGCCTACTATCTGTTGACCATCATTGTTATCGCGTGCGGGTCTATCCCCAAGGGTAAGTTTCTGTTTTATCGTATTGCATTGGCACCCACGCGACCGTATCCTGTCATCTTCTCCACTCGAGAGAGAATAATGAAATAAGAAAAATACCCCATAAAGAAAACACACCATGAAGAAGAAGAAGCATCGCGCAGTTGCGCTGATGATGTCTACTCCCTAGGTTACGATGAAGGCGGTTTCAGCGCCTCTACAGGCCTGAATTCCTTTAAGCAAGACTTTGGCCTCGTCGCCAGTCTTTGGAAGGGCAACGAGTCTGGTCTGGCTGATCGCAAGGCCAACATCTCATCGTTTGGCGTTCTCGGCGCCGCCTTCGGTTCCATCATCGCCCTGGGCCTGAACGATAGACTCGGCCGACTGCGAACATGGCAGGTCTTCGTCGCCTTGTGGATGACGGGGGCGCTTATGCAGGTATTTTCATCCGGCATCCTTGGTCTGATGCTTTTCGCCCGTATTTGGGGCGGCTTGGGCGCCGGCGGCCTCACCGTCGTCGCGCCGTTGTATCTGTCCGAGATAGCGCCCGCAAAATCGCGTGGCATGGTTGTCAGCATATACATGGTCGTCTTGCTGTCGTTCCTAACTATCGGTAAGTTTCTTTTTTTTTCTTTCTTTTTTTTCTTGTCATTGTCATGAAAAAAGGTTTGGATCCTTGTCTGCGAACTTTATCCAACTGACCGATCCCCCCCTCGATTTGATAGGCTTCTTCATCAACTATGCCGCCAACGCGACGCTAGCCGCGACGAGGATGCAGTACCGCATCGTCATCGCCATTCCTCTTATCCCCGTCGGCCTCGCTTTCATCACCTCCTTCTTCCTCGCCGACACCCCGCGCTGGTTGGCGTCGCGAGATCGCGGCGAGGAGGCGCTCGCCGTGCTCGCCAAGCTGCGGTCCGCCGACCCCAACGACCCGGCCCTCGCGTACGAGTACGAAGAGATCCACGAGCAGCTCCGTAACAAGCAGCAGATCCTCGCCGACACCTCTACCTGGTCCATCTTCAAGGAGATCGCCACTATCCCCACCTACCGAAAGCGTTTCCTCCTCGGAGCCGTGATGCAGACCGTCGCGCAGTGGTCCGGTGGTAACGGCATCACGTACTACATCCCCGAGATCTTCCGGTACGCCGGTGTTGTCGGCGATAACACCTCGCTCATCACGAGTGGTGCGTACGGCGCTGTCAAATTGGTCTTCACCATGGTCTTCACCTGGGGTCTCGTCGATGTATTCGGTCGTCGACGATGTTTCATCGCCGGTCTGTTTCTGCAGTGCATCACGCACATATACATGGCCGTCTACATGGGCATCTGGATCGACGGAAGCAACAAAGCAGCCTCGGATGCCGCCATCACCTCCGTTTTCGTGTACGCCGTCGGCTGGTCCATCGGCCTGTGCACCGTACAGTATCTCTACGGCACCGAGATCTACCCGACGCGCATCCGCAGCGTCTGCTACGCGACCAACATGGCGCTGCACTGGTTCTTCCAGTTCGCCGTGGTGCGGGTGACGCCCAACATGTTTGTAAGCCTCGACATCTGGGGAGCTTACGTCTTTTGGGCGTGTATATGCGCATCCGGCTTGGTCTTGCTCGGTCTGTGGGCACCGGAGACCAAGGGCATCCCGATGGAGCGGATGGAAGAGCTGTTCAGCGGACGGTGGTGGATGGGCTGGAGGGCGAGCGTGGATCTGGATTCCAGCGAGACGAAGCCGTTTGGAAGAGGCGATTCGACAGGGAAGGATTCCAAAGACGGTCCGTTTACCCAAGAACCCAAGAGGGACGTTTGATCTTCTTTTTCCATTTTCGTTTACATTTGAGCGGCACTTTTCTGTTACGAATAGATTTCTTTTAATGGTTAAATTGCCATGATGACCCAATGGAGGCGCTTCCAGTCGCTAAACATGCCGTTATCCGTGATCACACTCGGCGCTATATACCGAGAGGGCCGAAGAGCGCATAGAAGCGGACCTCGTCAAGTGGAGATCCCTAGTTGAGGATGTATACTCCATACAGTTAAGTAGCCTGGATCGGGCTCTATGGTTGGTAGGGATGAATGGGATCATCTTAGTTGAAAAGCAGGCTATACTGTTTGGCTACTAGGGCGGTATACGCGGAATCATGTGCGGGTTTACGTGTTTTCCAGATATTGACATCATCCACCACGGAGAACCGGCTTGGTAAGCATTTTTTTTCCTCATCGGCTACTTGCAACATAGCTAAGCAAATGGCATGTTTTCATGTCATAATAGGTCTGAACTCCAGCACAATCCCCCTGCCTTACTTGCACTTATCTCCTCTAACAATGACGCTCCACCCATCTTTGTGGAATACCTGCCCGCGCATGTAATATTCATGATAAAACATGTAACCAAGCTTGCACTGCTTCTGAATCCGAAGGTAGTGGGCGCCGCTGGCAATGACGGAGAAATCTTCAAGTTCCTTTGGGCTGGTGTTCTGTACAAAGGGTTCTCTTGGTTAGCTGTTGACCACAACTGAAATTTTAACACTCGGAAGTAGAAAATGTCACCTACATCGTTACACCACCAGATAGCAGAGCCAAATGAGCAGCTCACTCGCCCGCAAGCTTGCGGTCCGGCGTGTGCCTTCGGCTTGCCAACTACCTTCCGCAGGTATTGTATTCCATCTTCGATTTGACCTGTGATAGCATGACCCCATGTATTGTTGCCACACGTGTAATTGGCCCCGACGAACTCGTTGTCCCCATGCAAAATGATGTGTTTTTCTGGGTCTGTTGTTATTTGAGATAGTCGAGCCATGCCGGAAAGACTACGATCAAAGCTTGAGTCGTAGTCAGGGTTGATTTGAAGAAGCTGTGCATGAACTTCCTGGATCGTGCCATTGAGTGGAACAGCTTTCTTGGTGCCTCCGGGGTAGGCTTGGACGTCCCATTCGGGAATAATCACACTGTACCCTGCAATAGGAGCCTCGAGGGCTGCCTAAGAGCGATTTATTAGGATATCGAGAACGTTAAGAAGGAAATGAAGGTGAACGTACCTGAGCCCCAGAGAGGAGGGTTGATAGGATGAATGTATCGAGACTGAGATGCATTTTGGTATGGAGGGCCGGCACTCGATCAAACTGAGAAGAAATGGACAAGATTGAAGGAAAGAATTTGCACGAAGAGTGAAATAACTGCAACACTTCAAAAGCTATCCCTTCAGATTTAAATGGTCAGAATAAATTTAAGTTACCACCAGCAGCGGCACTCGTGATATCGTTACCACAGGTGAAAGGAAGTTTATAACAAAAGCTAGCATTATCTAGATACGATGGCCTTGAGGAGAGGTCTTCTTCTGCGATTCCATCTTACAAGCCCAATTTGGTGAAATAAAACTGCCCAAATATCTATGAGCTCACTAAAACGGCTAAGGAACAATGAACACTGGGATTTCTGAGCCGTGTTGTTGACGGTTTACACCCGAAGCAGTTGAGACAATGACATGAAAATACGACCTCAAGGTACATCGGAGCCGAATTCACAAATGGTGGGGAGACTCGGCCGAGAGTCTCATCAACACAATGCGCAGCGGTCAAATTGGGGACAGGACAATAATTTGCAACTGGGTCAAGTTCGCTTATTGCTCAATCATAAATACGATGATGACCTTCTTAATTCATCCTAGCCATCTGGCAATCCCTCTACCCTTGCAGTGAACGTAATCACTGTTCCAACGAAGCCATTCCAGAAATTGAAAAAGACCCTGGTCATTTAGGTAAGCTGGTCAGGCATCGGACGAGTACATCAACCTGTAGGAAACGTCATCACTGTCAGCAGAATCTGAGACCCCCTCACCAGGCAACGTCGTCTCACACGCGTGCTCCTCGTCATTATTGTTGTCATCAATTGCGCCTACAACTCACCTTCAGAGCCTTTTAAGGTCAATTGATGGCCTTAGTTTTCGGGGTTGTGAGACTTTGCATGGTATGAGACTTCAACAAGATGGAGAAGCATAATCATTCTACCTTGAAGGCACCGCAACAAGCTCCTCGGCAGGGAGTCGGGAGGTGGCTGAAAGTAGGCAGCGCCATTTTTCTCCTCGGAGCCGCAAGTGTGTATTTCCACCAACAAAATATTACCGTCTGGAGGTGTCAGGGACAGAGTCAGCCGCACAGCTCGGTAGTTCATGCGGAATCACCCTTTGGCCGGTACCCTCTACCTAAAGACCCCTTTCGGTTCATCCCTTGCACCAACACTTCGCTTCCGCCAGCCCTAGACGACCACCGACCCGATGAGACATGGGCGGCACTGTTCGATGCCGATCCATCGCATTGGAGCTGGGGACACAAGACCGAGTCGACCAAAGGCGACGACGACCTATACTCGGGTCGCGGTATTTACCTATGCGGTTACCTCGATGTGCCTCTTGACTACACCAATAAATCGGACCCAAGAATTGCTCGTCTGGCTGTAACCAAATACCAAGTCTCTGGCCTTGCTCGCGTCGATGTACTTCCCCACGGACACAGAAATCCTCCTCCAGGAGCCAAAAGCAAACGCACAATCGTGATAGAGCCCGGCGGCCCAGGTGGCAGTGGATCAAGGTACACTTGGCAAGTCGCCGAGACCGTATCGAAACGATTCAGCGATGGCGAATTCGATGTCCTGGGATGGGACCCTCGAGGCGTCAACACTACCCACCCATCCGTCTCGTGCTTCCCTTACGATGTTGACCGAGACCATTGGTCGCTGCTGACCGGGCAATACATCGAGGTCTCGAATCCCAAGCGTCAGCTCCAGCTTGCCGATGCTATGAACAATGCAACTTTCAAGGCTTGCTGGGAGACTTATGGTGATATTGGCCGTTTCGTTAGCACCGCTTTCGTAGCACGCGATCTGGAGGAGATACGCAAGGCCATTGGCGAAGATGAGATGACTGGGTACTTCGTCAGCTACGGTACTGGCATTGGCCAAACATACGCCAACATGTTTCCCGATAGTGTTGGTCGGATGATTTTGGATGGCACCGAATACGTCCGCGATCACCGCCTGCTTGGCGGATTCGGGTGGACTGCCCTCGATAACGCTACTGACGCCTGGCACGATGGTTTCCTTGGCGAGTGTCTTAATGCTGGGCCGGAGTATTGTGCACTGGCTCGTTCAAAGAACGAAGAGCCCGTTTCTTTGAAGGATCTAGAGACACGCCTGAACTCATTGATCACATCTCTCATCGACCGGCCTATTGTGGGGTACAGGAAAGAAAGCGGTCCGTCGCTTGTGACGTACTCAGCTCTTGTCGCGGCTATTTACAGCTCGCTATACAACGCACGAAGTTGGCCGGCTCTGGCTCAAATGCTTTATGAATTGGAAGCAGGCAACTCGACGCTTGCGACGGCTTTCCTCGAGCAATCGATATGGCAGTATGACCCAACTCTCCCAGCCACGCCGAATAAGCGACCAGCTTCGGAAGAGCTCTCGTTCCTAGTCATATGTGCCGACGCTTACGATGCCCCCTTGCCTCCTGACGGCTTGGCTTGGTGGGAGTCTCTGTGGACTAACATGACTACGAAGTCCTGGGTCTCGGGCAATTCGCGCTTCTTCGACGTCTTTCCCTGCAGGCACTTCACCACTTACTGGCCGAAGCCCGCGGAGGTGTACCGTGGCGATCTGAATAACACACTGAAGAACCCGGTCTTGCTTATCGCAGAGACATACGACCCGGCAACGCCTCTACGAAATGGACGAAGGCTTCTCAAAGAAATGGGAAAGAACGCAAGACTCATCGCACATCATGGCTATGGTCACGCGTCGAAGGACACCTCGAACTGCACCGACTCCATCGGCAAAAAGTACATTCTTGAAGGAGTGTTACCAGATGAACCTGAGACTGCATGCTACGCGAATGAGAAGCCATACTTGTACGGTGTGAAGGATAAAAGCCTTCACGTGGCCAGTGAAGGATGGGACCCTGTGCAAGATTGGCTTGAGGCTCTTCGCTAGATGTCTTCCTCGGCGGATCTTGGCTGTCTTTTAGCTGATTGCCACTGAAACCTATCTGCTCAGAAGCATACTAATGATGGTAACGAAGCAGTCACTAGGGCAAACACGACAATCAAAAAAGGAGGGGGCGGCTGGTGTCGATTTTCGTTAATTTAGCTCCATTGCGCTTAGTGATGAACACAAGAAATACCATCATCATGGCTTCATTGTCTAAATATAGATGAGGTGATTTCATACGCCAGTTCCTATTTAAGTTTATAGGACAGCGCAGAGCTGGGTTTACAAAACAATATCGCATAGCTAGACTCCCGAGCGTTGCATCTCCATTAGCCATCATGTATGTAGTACATATGTGGAGAAGCAAAGAGTTTTAACACGCGCGCATATGTATGCATATGTATATATGTATACACTTGTGGGTATTCGTTAAAGAAGATCACGTTCTTAAAGATTTCAGGTATGACGACAGTTAAACCATGCCTTTGATGGTTGCACTACCAATTATACACTACGTAACTACTAGAGAATCCCTAGAAAGGACGCGAGTAGGTGAAGTCAAACTTTGCCTGGAGACCGGCGCGATCCCCCATGCTTTGAGCAATCGCCTGGTCACGCTTGTCACAGTATTCAGGAGCTGCAACACGGGCAAGGCCCAAGGCTCTCGCGCCTTTTACCAGAGTCGAAGTATGAGGCTGTTGTTTGTCCGCATATGCCTTGAAACTCTCAGTTAGTAGAGAAGTCGGAAGTGCGTGCTTGGCGTTGAAATCAGGAAGCTCCTTGGTCAGGTAGTAACAATCCTCACTGTTATCAGTTAGCCTAAGCACTCCGACGCTGGTATGTCTATATATATATTTTCATCGGCACCAGAACGTACCATGATTGGTTGGCGCCTTGTCCAAGATGCACACTGGTTGGATGCACAGCATCGCCGACCATGACACAGCGTCCGGAGTACCACTGCTCCGGACTGAGTTCAGGTCGGTCATAGAGGCCGTATTTGATGAGACGCTCAGCAGAGCCCACCATTTCTAGAACAACCGGATCCCACTCTTTGGCTCGCAACATTTTGAGTATTTTCTCCTTCTCAGCTGCTCTCTGTTCGTCGCTGAACAATCCCCAGGACGCTTCCTCAACAACGTCGCCAGGAAGCGTCAAGCCCCATGATGTCTTATCATGGGTACATGGGTAACTGATGACATGGCTTAGTTCTCCGTACCAGTTTCTCGCACCAGGGTTGTTCCGGAAGACTTCTGGCGTGGGGGAGATTCCAGCTGTCTGTCCAACTGGTCAGTTCAATAGACTCAGGTTGGAAAATGAGGTCATGCAAAGAGATGTTGCACATCTCAATGGCATGAAAGAGCGGAAAAGGATCAGTAGACTGGGTGTCCATACCTGCGTCAAACCCGTGAAAGAAGGCGATCCCTCTTCCATGCCACCACGAGCCAGAATGAGCCTTCTGGTCGCAGCGCGCAATCCATCGCAGCCAATAAGAAAACTACCAGTCTCTGATTTGCCTCCTTCAAAGAAAGCAGTGACTGAATCTTCGGTTTCTTCAATTGCTTCAAGTTTCCACCCCTCCCTTACCTCTACTCCACTCTCAATAGCCAGTTCTTGAAGCCAAGAAGTGATGAGTGTACGTTTGACACCTACAGCAGGTTGACCGTATCGTTTAGCAAATCCCGTAGGAATATCCGACCCGCCAATTGTTTCGCCGGAAGCTTTGTAGTCGCGTAATTCTAGAACAGGTGGGCCGTTCTGAAGGAGACGGTCAGGCAGAGAGCCAATAAGGCTGAGAACCTTTAGACCATTGGGACAGATCATCAAAGTAGCCCCAACGTCTCTAGGAGCCTCGGCTCTCTCAAAGATAATCGGCTCATAACCTTTTTGTTTCAAGAGACATGCCACGACGGGCCCAGAGATCCCACAGCCGACGACAAGGACCTTGGGAGAAGACATTCTGCTTGTTGTGCTCCAATAGATTGGAATAGAGAGCCCATAGAGTTCGATCAAAACAAGATGAATTAAAGCTGAAATCCTGGTGTCCTTTTTTGTCTTGATAAAGCTGCTATCCTTGGATACGACGTTAGACAAGGATGTGATGCATTCTCAGGTTGGATGCTCCCGTACCATCGGGATATGGAAGACAAGGTCACCTGACTCGTACCTTGACCAATACGCCCACCTCGTGAAACTGTTACAAACCTACTTATATGATTGCGCAGTGAGCAAGATAATAAGGTTTCGGAGACCCTTTTTTTCATTTGCATCGCTTCAATGCCAAAAGAAAGCGGTATTATACTTCTTCCTTGCAGCAGTCCGAACACGCTGATTAGCGTCTGTTAGGAGTCGAGACAGCTGTGGCTTCGTGCGTTACAGGGCCACCCGCGAAACTGAGGCGACTTTTTCCGGATGAATTTGCAGAATAGGCCGTTCTGTGGCATCTCGGAAGCGCCAGAAGATAGGATTCGAATCTTTCTGCTGCCAAGCACCGACCAACTTCCGGTCGAGCATGCTCATTTTGCCGAGCTCGAGCACGTGAACCTCGGGAAGCAGACCCGGAAAGCTTTGATGAAATTGAATAAGAATTCTTGAATTGGTATAGATGGCGCATTGATACATACTGTCAGCCATCGGGGAGACAAAATAGCCCGGTTTACCGCTTCATGACTCCGTCTTTGGACGTCTTCCGCGCGTCTAGCCAAGGCCAATGACTTATCCGACTACCATGGCCTTGCTGACCAAACAAACAAGCTTCGTCCCCGAAACCCGACCACCCCGTAACTCGTCAAGTCCCTTTTCAACATCGTCAAGCGTCTCGCCAATGACCCGGTATCGAAGCGGCATAACTACCCCGTCCTCAACAAGTTGCGCAGCCTCCTTTATCCAAGCTTCTGCAAAGTCCCGGTCCGCCGGCGTTGGCCCACATTTGTACGGGGCTACCCAGTCAACAGCTGATCCGAAAGCGCTCATTGCGAATATCCATGATGGTCGGACTGCTCGGCGCGAATGGCTAGCAATAGGAAAGCTGTCCAGGGCAATGTAACGGCCCCCCTGTTCCCCGAGGGAGCCATAACAGGTCTTCATCGAGTCTGCTGTGGTAATGCAGTCGGCTGCATATGCTAGTCTGTTTTTGGTGAGCTCCCGAATATCAGATGCACACGTTGATGATCTGTAGTCGAAAGCTACCTCAGCTCCAGCGGCCTTGACGAGATCAAAATTGTGCGGTGAGCAAGTGGTTATTGGAATGAAGCCAGAACTAAGAGTCTGTTAGGTCAACTCATTGGCTAAAATCCTGACATAAGACTTACTTTCTGGCAAGCTGAATCATAAACAAACCCGAAGCCGTGCTGCCTCCATATATCAAGACGCTTCTTTCCTTATCGGAAGGCCCATCTTTGAGCTTCATCATCTTGTAGAGTACCATGCCACCCGTTAGGAGCCCACAGGGAAGTGTTGCGGCCTCTTCGAAAGACATGTTGTCTGGAATGCGAAAGAGAAGGTGTTCACTCGCTATAACGTATTCTGCGAAAGCACCGGTGCCGTCGTTGGTATTGCTGTTGTAGCCGAATGCCACACCACAGACTCGATCTCCAGGTCTTATTGTACCTGATACGTCTGAACCTTTGGAGACAACAACGCCGGCGAAGTCAAGGCCAGCTATTGAGCCTTGAGGGATACCGGCGTCGACCATTTTGGCGTCTGATGGATTTAAGCCGACACATGCTGCTTTAACGAGAACATTCGTAGAACCTAGGGCTGGCAGTGGTACTGCGACTGGCTTTGCCGTTCCAGGTCCTTGGACAACCAAGGCCTTTCTTGTTTTCGAAGGTTGTGTCATGTCGTGTAACAATATGGATGATTGTGTTCTGACATTCCAGTGAGCGAGGTTGCAAATCTTGTACGTACAAGAAGTCAGAAAACTCGAGTTAAGCACGTAGGCGCTTTCTAAGAAAATGAGTCTGCAAAGCAACTAAACGACCCAGCTCATCGTTGTTCAAAGACTTGTAGGAATGTACTGAGTCAGTAACAGACTCATTGACTGACAGGGCTGACGGCTCTGATGGAGTTTGAGACGATGCCTTCGCAATGATGAGACGGCCTGTCTGTCACTGACTCGTGCGGTGATTTAATTCATCTTTATCCAGAGCAGAGCTAGAAATTCCCCATTCTGGAAGGTTTTCCCCCTTGGCTAAGAAACTCTCAAAGTTACATCTAGGCCGCCTCTAGCGGGTAAGGCTCATTGGAGTTGATTCTTCGAAGGACCGGCGATATTCTCACCTAGGTAGTCAATGCACACCAAATGAAACGACACGTGTATTTACAGAAAACCTACTTCCAATACTCATTTAAGGCTAAACCTAAAAATATAAACCACAGGCTGTAAGGTATGTTATCAGATGGCGGGCAATAACATGGATGGTATCGATGCGCTGGAACAACTACTACCTAGTTCGTCTTCCCTCCCCTGGCAAATGAGGCGGAGTGGGACGGGCGCGCAGGCTGGTTCCACCCGTATCGTGAGACTGGTAACCTAGTCAGCTAATTGTCTGAAATTGATGCGGACCGAATAAGAAGCCTGGTCAAGCAGAGACGCGGAATCTAAAGACCTTCAGGGATTACTTGATATTGTAAATCTGTCTCAAACATCGAGGTGCACCTGAGATATTCAACTCTTTCAACTTGTATTTTGTAAGCAACACCTATGATTATACGACGCCCGTGAACTGTATTCATCACAATATGTAAGTCTGACTTGGTACAATCTTACAACTTGGTCTGACTAGTCTACAGACCATCATGGAACCCATTGCCATTATAGGATTGGCAAACCGTTTTCCGGGAGGAGCCAGCACTCCTGCAAAGCTTTGGGAGGTTCTCAACAGTAGACGAGATCTCTCTAGGGAGCCAGACGCAGATCGACTCAATCTGCAAAAGTTCTACAATACAAACGGAGAGCATCATGGAAGCTCTAACGTCACCAAGTCTTATTTCCTGGAGGAAGACCCTCGCGTATTTGACACCACGTTCTTTAACATCAGCCCTTTAGAAGCGGAAGCCATGGATCCCCAGCAGCGGCTTCTTCTGGAAACAGTTTATGAGGCCACCGAATCGGCAGGACTGGCGCTGGAAAACTTCCAGGGCTCACGATGCTCGGTGTTTGTGGGCGTAATGACGGGTGACTATGAGACGATTCAGTATCGTGATACGGAAGCTTTATCACATTACACCGCATCTGGCACGTCCCGTGCCATTTTGGCTAACCGCATATCATACTTCTTCGACCTGGCTGGATCTTCCATTTGTCTCGATACAGCATGTTCATCGTCCCTCGTGGCGATGCACCTCGCCGTCCAAGATCTCCGGAGTGGAACGGCAGAAACTGCTATTGTCGCCGGCACAAATCTCATATTTGGTCCGGATATGTACATCAGCGAATCAAAACTGCGCATGCTTTCGCCAACGGGCAAATGCCAAATGTGGGATGCCTTGGCAGATGGATACGCTCGAGGAGAAGGCGTAGCTGCATTACTTCTCAAACCATTGAGCAAAGCTTTGAGGGACAATGATCCTATTCAAGCGGTGATTCGCCACTCGGGGGTGAATTCTGACGGCCGAACTCCAGGAATAACGATGCCGAGTGCGACGGCACAGGCGAAACTAACCACCGAGACCTACCGAGCCGCAGGATTAGATCCGTTGAAGCCGGAAGACCGCTGCCAATATTTTGAAGCGTGAGTGTTGATCTTATTTGTTTTCCTTCCCAAATTCTACAGACTTTTACTTACGCGATAGGAAGACATGGCACAGGAACTCAGGCTGGTGATCCGACGGAAGCCAGGGGAATTTTTGAAAGCTTTTTCTCCAAAGACACACCACTCACAGAGCAGAAACCTCTTCTTGTGGGTTCTATCAAAACTGTTATCGGTCATCTGGAAGGCTGCGCTGGATTGGCAGGCGTCATCAAAGTGCTGCTTGCGATGAAGCATGACACAATTCCCCCCAATTTGCATCTCAGGTCATTGAACCCTAAGATAAATCCTCTCAAGGATGTCTTGAAAGTTCCGACAAAACCAACGCCATGGCCGGCAACGGTTTTAGGACAGCCAAAACGAGCAAGTGTAAACAGCTTTGGCTTTGGAGGCACGAACGCTCATGTTATTCTGGAGTCATATGAAGCCCAGTACAACCCTGGTGAGCAGAAAGCTATCAGAAATTCTGATAAGCCTCTCACTACACCCATCGTCGTGAGCGCAAATTCACAAACATCGCTCCTGGAGAACATTAGGCGGTTGAGCCAGTACCTCCACGACCACCCCAAGATAGATCTCCAGAATGTGGCTTGGACTCTGTGGGCACGAAAAAGCGGTCTCGGTTTTCGCAAATCCTTTCACGCCACCTCTCGAGAGCAACTTCTAATCAGCATGGAGAAGGCGATTGCAGACTCTGCCGACGTACAGCCATCTTTAGGAGTTCCGATATCTGCTCTCGTATCGCCCTCTGAGGCACTTGGTGTCTTGGGAGTCTTTACTGGACAGGGTGCTCAGTGGCCTGGTATGGGCAAAGATTTGTTGATCCAAAGCCCCATCTTTAGGGGTGCTATCGAAGAATGCGACAAATCGTTGTCGATGTTACCGGACGCGCCTTCATGGTCGTTGAAGCAAGAGCTGCTTGCTGACGCATCTGCCAGCCGCATTTCTGAAGCAGAAATCGCTCAACCTGCAACTACTGCCATAGAAATTGGTCTTGCTCGAATGATCGAAGCTAGTGGTGTCAAGTTTAGTGCCGTGGTTGGACATTCGTCGGGAGAGATTGCCGCGCTTTTTGCTGCCGGGATTCTGTCCTTATCAGATGCTATTCGAATTGCCTTTTATAGAGGCCTTTATGCGAAACTCGCTGGAAAGGGCTCTATGATGGCAGTCGGAATCAGTAGCGAGGCTGCCATAGACTTCTGCGCTCAAGAGCGCTTTAGAGGAAGAATAGGCCTCGCTGCCAAAAATTCACCATCAAGCGTCACGCTTTCCGGCGATGTGGATGCGATTCAAGAAGCCAAGGAGGTATTTGACGACGACAAGGTCTTTGCACGAGTTTTGAAGACGGATAAGGCATATCATTCGACGCATATGGAGGCTTGCTCTGATGCCTACCTTCAAGCCATGCAAAAATGTAGCATCAAGGTCCAGAAACCTGGGAGTTGTATCTGGGTGTCGAGTGTCGATGGAAATGCAGACCGGTTCTGGGACAAGCAATTCGACGATCTAAGTGGCCCATACTGGATTGAGAACATGGTGAAGCCAGTTCTTTTTGCAGATGCAATTACGGCCGCTCTCACCAATGGCGGACCATTTGATGCAGCTGTCGAAGTTGGACCTCATCCTGCGCTAAAAGGCCCGGTTAATCAGACTGTAAGGCCACACCTGGGCAAGCAGCTTCCGTACTATGGAAGCATGAACCGGGGAGAAGATTGTGTCATCAGCTTCATGCAACTTGAGGGCTTCTTCTGGTCAAACTTCGGTGCCAAGTTTTTGGACTTCGACGGATACCAAAGATGTTGGCAGGAGAAAGTTCCCACCCCTATGATGATCAACGATCTGCCGGCATATGCGTGGGATCACGCAACGCCCATTTGGCGTGAAACGCGTCTTTCAAGAAACTATCGACTCCGTGACGCCGGCGGAAACGGTATCCTTCTTGGTCACCGCTGTTCTGATGATTCAGACTGGGAACCAAGATGGCGTAACTTCCTCAGCTTGAAGGAGTTACCTTGGCTGCGAGGGCACTCTTTCCAAGGAGAAGTTCTGTTTCCTTCCGCTGGATACGTGGCAATGATGCTAGAAGTGGCAACTTTCCTTGCTAAAGACAAGCCGATGTCTTTGATAGAAATCAAAAACCTGACGCTTGAACGACCACTAAAAGTAGAAGAAGGACCCAGGCCAGTAGAAATGTTGACGTCCGTCAAAGTAGTCAAGAGCGGCGATAACATTCTCTTGGCGGAATTTTCGTCTTATGTATGCTCTGATTCAACTACAGGCAAGGTAGACAGGACTTGCACTGGCACTATACTTGTGTCATTGGGCGAAGCAAACGATACCCAACTACCCTGTAGGGTCCGTCCTTTGGCATCAACAGTTCCCCAGGTTGACGTCGAACGGTTCTACAGTTCCGTAGCAGATACTCGACTTGAGTATGAGGACTTGTTCAAACGATTAAACTCGCTGCGCCGCGTTGATGGTGTTGCCACAGCGACAGCATCATGGTTCGCTGAAGAGATTGAGTATGGTGATTTATATCACCCCGCACTGATTGATGTTGCACTACAACCGGTAAGAAACTTACGCAATAATGATTTTGCCCAAGTCGGAACTAGAGTCTAGACCGACATTTTCTTTTACTCCTGCTAATCTAAGATAGGTTTTTGCTGCGTTCAATGCCCCAACCGCCGAACGGCTATGGACCGCGTATCTGCCTCAAAGCTTCGCCAAAATAACAGTCAACCCTCGAAGACGACTTACTCCGACAGCTGGCGGGCAAATAGAGGTTCTTATCGACGCTTTCACAAACGAAACTTCTGCAACAAAAATTAGCGGTGATGTTAGTATTTACTCTGCAGAGGATGATTATAGCCTGCCATTCCTCCAACTTGAGGGCATGACGCTAGCTGCTCTTGGAAGACCAGACGCTTCCAATGACCGTCTAATCTTCGCCGAAGCCAAATGGGAGGCAGATATTCTGAGTGGTTCCGAATTTGCGATTGACTATAACCCACCCCAGGATGTCGCCGTTGAGGAATCTGAGCGCGTTGCTTTGTTCTTCTGCGAAAAGCTCTTGAGTGAGGCGGTGAATGTCGGTATTGAGAACCTCAAGCCTCATGAGAAATTGATGGTTGAGCAGCTTACCACTCTCACCGATACTCTAAAGAAAGGGGCTTACCACAAATGGGCAAAAGACACGAGAGAGACGATCAATTCATTACTGGCAAAGAACAAGGAACAGGTCGACTTCGAGCTCATGCGTATTGTGGGAGATGAGGCTGGCAGCGTTTTCCGCAATGAAAAGCAAATGGTTCACGTCTTGTTCGCGGATGACAAATTAAGCCATTTTTACCGCGAAGGCCTTGGTTTACGAAATGCCCAGCGACAAGTCTCAGCATATATCGGCGCGATATCTCATCGGTACCCGAAAGCAAACATTCTCGAATTAGGGGCTGGTACTGGTGCTACGACATCCGCTGTTTTTGACACTATCGGCGACCACTTCGGTTCTTACACCTTCACAGATGTATCTTTGGCATTTTTCCCCGAGGCCCAAAAGAGATTCTCGGAACATGTGCACAAAATGATGTTTAAAAAATTGGACATCGGCCAGCCATTTGAGGACCAGGGCTTTGACAAGCCGTCTTACGATGTCATTATTGCTGCAAACGTTTTGCATGTATCTGATGATATCGAGGCCGTACTTCAACGTGTCAGGGCTCTCTTAAAGCCAGGAGGCTTTCTTGTTGTGACGGAGCCTACATCTGATCATTTGAGAATTCAAGTAATTATGGGAGGCCTCGAGGGATGGTGGCTTGCACGCGACAACTGCCGACGCTTCGGACCAGTAGCCACAATTGAGACCTGGGATGAGAAGCTTCGCAGTGTCGGGTTTACTGGCGTCGATCTGCTGAGCCACGATCAGAAAGACGAAGATCTGCATACCTTCACATCTTTTGTCAGTCAAGCCGCTGATTATCGAATTCATGCCCTCCGTGAACCGCTTGACAATGTTCACATGCTGCCAGACTCAACCAACTTCGTCATCATTGGAGGTTCAACATTTGCAACCTCGAAATTGGTCCGTTCTGTCCGGGATCGATTGTCGTCTTACGAAAACCATGTCGCTACTTTCTCAGATATTCGAAGCATTAGCTCATCCGATTTGCCGGCTAATCCCTTCGTGCTCTGTCTTGCCGAGTTGGATCAGCCAACCTTTAAAAACGGCGTTGACGAAGCTGTCCTTTCAAGCTTCAAAGATCTCTTCCAGAAGTCTAGAGGCATACTCATAATCACGAAAAATGCTTCTCTGTCGAATCCTTTTTCGAACATGCTAGTTGGGCTTTGTCGAGGTATACGGGCGGAGATGCCAACTCTTGGAAGCTGTCTCCAAGTTGTGGACCTAGAAGGCACTTCCAAGCCAGATGCTAGAGTATTTCTGCAGCATTTCCTTCGGCTCGTGTACACAGCGGTGCAAAATGACCAAGCTGATGATAAACTCTGGTCAATGGAGACAGAGTTGTCTCTGAAAGACAACCAACTCTTCATTCCTCGCATTCAAGAATATGCCGAGCCTAACGACCGTACCAATTCAACCAGAAGAAAGATCGTGAAGGAAGTTACGACTAGCACTCATATTGTTCAAGTCTGCCCTACTCAGGATGAACTCGAGCTGAAGGCCAGCTCCAGGGTTCTTTCAGAGCTACTGGGGCTCAAAACAATCGATGTTGAACTTTCTTCCTTAGAATCCATCAGCCTCCAGCCATATCAAGCACCTCAGTTCCTCTGCTTTGGTAGGCAACAGGATGGCACCCCAGTCATCGCGCTCTCCGAGGAAAACTCATCAGTGATACAAGTTCCAGACTCACAAGTCTATGCCACAAGCCTCGACGCTGGAAATCTCGGTGTTATGTTGGTCATGTTGAGTGCTCATGCTTGGCTTCGATCCGTCCCTCGCGACCATGCTATTTGGCTACATGATATTGATGAAATTCACGCCAGAGTCATGGAGACAGAGGCCAAGAAGAAAGGCATTCAGATCTTCTTCACTTCAAGCGATCCGACACACCATCAATATCTTCCATCGCGGGTACCGGCACGTACACTTAAGTCAATAATCCCACAGAAAACCGTGGCAATCATCTTCGGAATCTCAATCAACCTCAAACAGTGTACAGACCTATTATCCACAGCCTCCTCCTTTCTTTCGGTACATAGACTTCTCAGTGGATACTTTTATGAATGCCCAGCTACTCTATTAGGATCTGTAACACCTGAGATACTTGATGGCGCTTATAGATCTACGCTTGAGATATCCCGGTTTACGGACTTTAAAGGGACAATGCCACTTGTTCCTATCGAACGGCTGACTGAGAACAAAGGACACACATCTGCAACTATCATTGACTGGAGGTCAAGCAAGAGAACAAAGATCAAGGCGGATCTTCAGCCGGTCAAACCACAACAACTTTTCAGGTCTGACAAAACTTATTTTATGGTTGGTCTGACAGGAGATGTGGGAATTTCAATCTGTACATGGATGGTCAAGCACGGTGTCCGTCATGTGGTGCTGGCCAGCAGGCAGCCACAGGTTAGCCAGGCTTGGATTGACTCCATGGCGGGTCTGGGCGCCAAAATACTTGTCCTAGCCATGGACGTCACAAATGCTGATCGAATCGAAGAGGTTGTCGAGGAGATCTCCAAGACGATGCCTCCTATTGCTGGTGTTTGCAACGGTTCGATGGTTCTGTCCGACAAGCTGTTCATGCAGATGGACGTAAGCTCAATGCAAACCGCTCTCCGCCCGAAAATTGACGGCAGCATCAATCTGGACCGCGCCTTCTCGAATATTGAGCTAGACTTTTTCATCATGTTATCTTCTACCGGTAGTGTTATTGGAACGCCTGGCCAATCAAACTACCACATGGCGAATACCTTCATGGCTGGACTCGCCGCAGACCGGAGACGCAGAGGCTTAGCTGGATCTGTCATTGATGTTGGCATGATCTCGGATACTGGATATGTCACACGTCAAGATCCCATTGTCGCCAAAAAGCTGCGCAGTATGTGCGTTCTCGCTCTCTGTGAAGCGGAAGTCCACACCATGTTTATAGAAGGCATCCTTGCTGGCCGACCGGGTTTCTCATCACACAGTGAGCTCATTGCCGGGTTGGCAATCAGCGATAACGAAGCAGAGAGACCATTTTGGGCACCTGAACCACGTTTTGGATTTTACGTCAAGGACAAAAGGGATTCAGGAACGGATAGCAGTGGCCCTTCCATCCTGGAAGATCTTCGGGCAGCACTGGAATCTGCAAGAGACGAGAAGACTGTCCACAGAAAAGTCCTAGAGGCATTTTCTCAGAGGCTGGAGAGCCTGCTTCAGCTCCCTCAAGGAAGTGCTAAGATGGATCTTCCCCTTGTCAGTCTCGGTCTGGACTCTTTGCTTGCTATGGAAGTCCAGACATGGTTCCGAAAGGTCCTTGGCACTGAGGTATCTGTTTTGCAGATTCTGAGTGGTGCTTCTGGGGATTCCATCTGTCAGACGGCTTCAACGTCCATATTTGCCAACAAGAACACCGGCATTGAAAAGGATGACAAAAGCGTCGCGGTAAATCAACTGAATGTTCCTGTTCCCGAGATCGATGGAACATCTGCTCCCATTACACCGGACAACAGAACAACTCCAGTAACTCCAGAGGCATTACCATCAACTCCAATGACATCTGTCGGAAGTGAAAGCAGAGATGAACAGACAGAAAGCTATTTCAAAGAGAAAGGAAATCACCGCGTGGTGCATAGACGGGCGCAGATGTCATTTGCTCAAGCGCGCTTGTGGTTCTTGCAGGGATTCCTGGAGGATTCCACGACGTACAACGAGACATCCATGTATGAACTTCATGGTAATCTTGACATTGGTCGAATGAGGAATGCATTTCACCAGGTCACCTGGCACCACGAAATTTTGAGGACATACTTCTATACGGATTCGTCCACCGGGCTACCAATGCAAGCAGTAACCGCGACGTCGGTATGCCCCTTTCGTTTCGTCGACAATGCTTCTGAAGATACCGTAATGCAAGAGTACGAAGCTATGAAGTCAACTCAGTGGGATCTAGAGGAAGGTGTCTGCTTGGGACTTACTATTCTCCGCCACTCAAATCAGCATCATACCCTAATTCTCTCGAGCCATCATATAGCCATTGATGGTGTAACTTGGATCCTCCTTCTGAAAGATCTAGCCACTGCATATGAGGGAAAACGCCTCCCATCCATCCCGCAGTATGTCGACTTTTCAGTCAAACAAAGATCTAGAGTTGAAAACGGCAGCTGTTCCAAGGAAATCCAATTTTGGAAAGATGATCTTGCAGGACTGCCTGACGCATTGCCTCTTTTCCCAATGTCACATGCAAAGACACGAAAGGCGACTAACGAGTATGCAACAACTGTTGTAGACACTGTTCTGCCCAAAGAACTGATGTCTCGAATCAGAAAAGCAAGTAGTCAGCTGCACATCACGCCGTTTCATTTCCACTTTGCTGTGCTTACTGCCTTGGTGTCTCGACTATCACAAACCCGCGACGTCTGCATCGGAGTTGTTGATACAGGCAGATCCAGTACTGAGTTCGCGCAAACAGCAGGCTGCTTCATCAACATAGTGCCCGTAAGAGTTAACGTTGCGGAAACGGAAACCTTCAGCACACTCAGCAAAAAGTCCTCTTCCAAGATTCTATCCTGTCTTACCAACTCATCGATTCCCCTCGACGCATTGCTCGATGAGCTTCAAATACCTCGTACTGCTCGACATAGCCCAATTTTCCAGGTGATTATTAACTACCGACTTGGAATTCTTGGACTCGACTCGATTGGCGAAGCTGAGTTAAAGTATGCCAAGTCTCAAAGCTCAGGCAATCCGTACGACCTTGGCTTGAACATCACCGACACCCCAGAGGGAACCTGCATCATACACTTGGCTGTTCAAGATGCACTCTATTCTAAAGAAGCAGCTCAGTCAATCATGGGATATTACCAGAGGCTTTTAGACTCTGTGTGCGAAGCTCCTCATTCTGCCTTAGCCGACCTGTCTATGCATTGTCCAACTCAGACCTTCAAAAGTGTCTATACTGGTCAAGGACGCCGGGTAGAAGACGGAAACCCAAGCACAATTTCTCGAAAGATTGATCAAATTGTTGAAGCACATTCAAATCAGATTGCCCTTAAAGATGGCCAAGCTACTTACACATACCATGAGCTCATGCAAAAAGTCGACGACATAGCTTCATTCCTTCAAAACAAACGAGTTTCGGAAATAGATAGTCCTTTTTACTGTCTGCTATTTCAGCCCTCTGCAGACTACGTGTGCGCTTTCTTAGCTGTACTCAAAGTTGGAGGTGCCGTCGTCTCACTTGACGCGACAAATCACCGAGAAAGGCTCGCTAGGATTTGCAATGATTGCAATCCAGCAGGAATTCTCTATCAAAAATCAACAGAAGATCTAGCTTTGTGGCTAAGAAAGCCCCATTCCACCACTTTGGCCATCGATACTTCATCAATCCCAAAGGCCCTATCAGCGGTCACCAACATGTCCGTGCCAAACACACCAGGGGTTCTGTTTTACACAAGCGGCACGACAGGAGCACCAAAGGGAGCAGTTCTCACACAAAGCAATTACAAATACATAATTGCAGCATCGTCTCGTGGCCTAGGTGTGCGGACAGGACAAGAGGTGGTGCTCCAGCAGACAGGATTCAGCTTTGACTTGTGTCCGTTTGAGATTTTCATTGCTCTTTCCAACGCAGGCACGCTGGTCATGGCGTCAAAAGATCAAAGACGAGATCCTTCTGCCATTGTTGATCTTATTAACCGAGAACGGGTGACTTTTATGGCTGGCACCCCCATCGAATTCAAGCATATCTTCCAACATGCTCCCGATGGGCTCAAAAACTCTGAACACTTCCAAAAGGTAGTTGTTGGAGGCGAAATCTTCACACAACAGCTAGCTAGCCAGTTTAAGCGAACGATGCCTCCAGGTACCGACGTTTTCAATGTGTATGGACCATCGGAGACTTGCATTTTTGCAACGTTTGAGCGTGTACAATACTTGGAAGATGACTTGAAGGTTATACCAGTTGGACCAACCTTGGACAACGTCTCAGTCTATGTCCTTGATGAGAAGATGAATCCGGCACCCGACAGCTGTGCGGGCGAAGTTTACATCGGCGGCGCAGGTGTCAGTCAAGGATTCCTTCATCAGCCAGAGGCAACTTCAAAGGCTTTTCTTTCCGACCCTTTCGCATCTTCAGAAGATCTGGCCCGTGGATGGACGAAGATGTATCGCACTGGAGATTCCGGTTACTTGAAACCCGACGGTTCGCTAGTTGTGCTGGGACGCATCAAAGGCGACATGCAAGTAAAGATCAGAGGAATCCGTATCGAGCTTGAAGATATCGCAGCCAATATTATCAGTGCTGCCAACGGAAAAATTGCGGAAGCTGTTGTGACTGTCCGAGGAGAACATCAGACTTTGGTGGCTTTTGCTGTTCTCAAATCGGGAGATGACATCACGGACGTCGACGAATACCTTGAGAAACTCCCTGCAAGCCTTCCTCTCCCGGAGTACATGCGCCCATCTGTAATCATCCCGCTTGAGCAGCTTCCCATGACTCACAATGGGAAGCTGGACCGAGCTACGCTGGAGCAAATACCAATTCCTCCGAGAATGAAAGATCAAGAAAACGAAACGCAGACTCCTTTAGAGCAAGATCTTTGCCGAATTTGGGAAACGGTACTCCCAGATACCATAACAAAATCAACAAAAGTCCAGCCAAATTCCGACTTTTTCCGCCTTGGAGGAAACTCGTTGCTTTTGGTGAATCTGAGAAAAACTATCCAAAGGCAGTGGCAGGTTTCGGTGCCCCTTCTTCAACTTTTCGAAGCCAGCACATTACGTTCAATGGCGGCTATCATTCGGGGAGCAAAAGAATCTCAGGGTGGCAGCGTTGACTGGGAGTTTTGGGACAACGAAACCCGCTTTGAAAGCATCAAGGACACTGAGGGTTCCGAGTCATCTTTCACGCATAGAGTACCTGACACCAACAGGAGCGTCTTACTTACTGGCCCAAACAAGGGACTGGGCGCATACCTCCTAAGTCTCTTGATGGAAGACACGTCTGTTGCCAAAGTACACTGCGTGGCGATTCCCCAAGATCAGAAATCACAACTTCCGAAGAGTGATAAACTCATTGTGCACAATGGCAGCCTTAGTCAAACGGGCCTTGGACTAACATATGAAGAGCAGCAGTTGTTGGAAAAAGAGGTCGACTTGATCATCCATGCTGGGGCTGAAGGATCCTGTTTGAACAACTACGAATCCATCCGGGTGCAAAACGTCGATTCTACAAAGTTCCTTACACGCTTGGCTCTATCAAGAAGAGTTCCGTTCCACTATATCTCAAGTCCTCGAGTTATATTGTTCAGTGGCGAAAACTCTTATCCCGAGCGGTCCATCTCGGCGCACTATCCTCCGACAGCTTTGGGAAGGGAAGGATTTACCTCGACTAAATGGGCAAGTGAGCGCTTCCTGGAGAACTGCTCCAAGGCGACTGGCTTGCCTGTGTCTATCCACCGCGCCGGGTATCTCATGTCCGATGATGCGGACGAGATGGACGCCGTCAACATGATGCACAAATACTCCGCCATGCTCAAAGCTGTTCCATCCTTGGCGACATTTTCAGGGTTTTTGGACATGTGCGAGTTACCAACGGCGGCGGCAGCAATTGCTCACTCCTTTAAGGACGATGCTGTTGGTACTTCTTATGGAAGAACTAGGATACTGCATCATACTGAAAACAATGTGGTGCCAGTTCACGAGTTCCAGACTTATATGGAAAGACGGTTCGGGGAGCCTTTTAGGAGTTTGTCTATGGTGGAGTGGGTATCACAAGCAGAAGAAAGAGGGATGAGCCCCATTTTGGCTGCCTTCTTAGAAGCAGTGGTTGAAAGAGGAGACGAAGCAAGGTATCCTAGATTGTTACGTGAATAATTGTGAATCTCAGGTACAATAGAGTCCCCATATGCAGAGGGTAGTTGTCACACAGGAAGAGTCGATCAAAAGTAGTTAGTGGTTTTATTACTCTCTCTTTGCAATATCCTTATTTAGGTCTCGATAGATATGGATAACTGATGATTTTGACATATCAAATAGCTTCGGGGAAAAGCCTGGAGCAGGTTAGCTCAAGATCTAGCAAACAACCCGGTGTTGTTGGTTTTGAAGTTGGTCCGAATTGTCCCCATGACCTTGTTTATCGTGAAGGGACGAACCTCGATTCGAGCCCCATAAAATGCCAGTTCTGAACTAGTAAATGTTTCTCCTCGGATGGACTCGCACGACGGCTGGCTGAACAATCTGAAACATTTGCGGCCATTGTCCCATAGCATCGGGACATCTCAAACAACCCCACGAACCGCTCAAAATCATATTTAGTGGATCTAACACAAGTCGCCGCGGCGAAGCATTATGGTTAATGTTTGTTGAGCATCCCATGTTAGGCTGAATGCTTCATCAACACCATGAAGCAAAGGGCAACTCATCATCAGGAGCACAGCAGAAATGAGCCGCTAAAAAGTGTTGAAATTGCCTCCTGATCAGCTGGCGTAACCCTGCCAAGTCCAACAATAACCCGTTGTCGCCACCAACCTTTGAAAGTGCCTGAATCGCGTCAAAGTGACTGGAGCGAATGCGGCAAGCTAGCGGTTGCTGGACTAATGCATCGACTGGACCGGCCAAGCTAAGACAAAGATATTGCCCCCCACTGACAGAAAGGCAGCGCCACCGCCAGCCCAGCAGAAATTGTTTCTCTAGGTGATTCCCACCGAGGCCTTTGCGCCTTGCAGAAGAGTGTCTGGAACGTGCCCTGTCTGTGCGTTGTCAAAAGCAGCATTTCCGTATATGCACGCACGAGAGATTTGACATGTTCATCGTGGGTTTCATCGGGCAGAATCATCACCCGGAAACATTGAAACGAAAAGAACAACAGCATTTAGTTCACTTGCAACCGTAAGAGTCGAATGTATAGTTAAGAAGATGATTGGTGAGAGACGCGCAGTGCAGTTCTTTCGAACGCAGAAGTTGGCCACCAAGAATATGAACAAAGAAGCGGCCCATAATATGATTTGTGTGACCATTGACCAATGAGCTCCATATAATGACAATCTCCATATCACTAGGCCGTATGCCATCATCAACAGACTAGATTCGTCACAACAAGATCTCCAGATATGCCTTAAATATTCACACTGGAGGAGCCAGGCACCTAGGCTTGTAGCTAAAACGACATGAACTGGGACCCTTAGGAACAAGTAAGGCCGGTCAACCTTAAAATGTCGGAAGGAAAACCGGCCCTGACGTGCCCCGAGGCGCCTGTTTAGGTTAATCTAGAACCCGGATTGCAAAGAGGACCGGGACCTGTGGCCTAGTGTCGTGGCTTGCAACGATCAGCTTCCCGTTCCGTTCACCATTGCTGTGACCAATCCCAGTCACTCTCCACGAATTCAAATATATCAAGCCGCAGCAGGCCAGGGGGAACAAGGCGTCCAGTCCATCTGCCGTGGGAATAGTTGAGAGGCGGATGGTGGCACAGACATGAGTCAGGGCCACAAGAGGGCCACCATCACACCGTTGCATGGCGTGTTTGACTAAAACTCTATTAGCTTCGTGAAATGCCGTGTTTTTTTTTATTGCACCGCTTAGGCATTCCTCCCACACCCGGATACTAACCCCACGTGCGGCACGGCCTGCGAATGCTGTGCGGAGGAAAAGTCCCTACATGAAAGAGTCCCGATCGATGTCATCCCTGTGCTACCCATGTAAAGTTTCCCAGGATCCTCGATCTCTCTGTTTCAAAGCTTTCTGTCTTCCCCATTACCCCCCCCCCCCTCCCCCCCCCCCGCCTCCCCCTCTTTCTCTCCGTTTCCTCTTTCGCCGCGATTTTGGCACATTTCGCTGTCAGACGACCCTGACGATTATTTATCGAGGACCTCGAAACACCTTGTGGAGCCCAGCACGGCGTCCCGTCCCGTTCCCAGTTCTAATACCCACTCGGCGCGTTGGGTCGGCTCTTTCGGGTCGGCATACAGACAAGATCGATCTTGATGGGGTCAACATAACAAAGTCGTGGGAATCACGGAGCAGGATAGTTGGAGCAATGCCATCTTTGGGGGCGAGAGACCTGGTGGCCCGGGCCAGCATCAACCATGTGCCGCAACCTCAAGCCGGAAAGGTCGTCAGTATCATTGTCGCCTTGGTATCGGCATGCACTCTTGCCAGTCTTTTCGGTTAGTACTTTACGCGACGTGCCACAGCAATGTTGGCGCGGCTTATCGCATGGTAAAGCCATGATCCAACGAGCTCTCTAACACCAAATGCAGCTTTACGAATCACGACTGTAAAAGACTGGAGGATACTTCCATGGACTATGTGGCGTAAGGTTATCCATTAATCTTCGACTCTAGATATACTAACAGGCCTAAGTTGTTACCTTCATATACTTGTTCTCCTTCATATTCGTCTTTGGAACTTCGATCCTTCAGTTTGGATTCGGTACGGACCTCAACTACGAGACCTGCTCTGCAGCAACACTTTTTTGTTTGGGTGCCTATGTGGCTACAAAAGTAAGATCAATTTCGAGGCGTATCTAGGAATGTTACTGACATTTTGTGTGTAGCTGGTGGGTAGACATCGAAGGCTGAGAAGGCTTGATACGCGTTGAGATTGCGATTGCTAATAAACGGTTGCAGTTCATCTATCTATTTATGGTGGACCGGGCAGTAAGTCATCAACACTCATGAACCTTTGGTCTTAATCTGACAAGTGCAACAGCACATCATACGTCAAACATCAAAGCCGCGTCTAAAGTCAAAGCTTTATTTAGTAAACTCCTTCGGCATGCTCGGTATGACTTTAAGTCGACAAAAGTGATATAACGCTAACAGACACAAAGGAGTATTTGTCATTATCGTTATTATGAACTTTATCTTCCGCATCACCGATTTCGTTGATGGCATATGTGTTATCGGTTTGGGCCGAGGAGTGGTTCTTCCCCTTATTTCGTTCGACGCCGCTGTCAATGTACGTCACAATTCCAGCACTTCACATCTCAACTAACAAGAGCAGGTCTATCTTACTATCCTATTCCTCCTCCCTTTATTGAGTAAGTATTCTCTCTCTCCAATCGTCAACGCTTTGCTAATAATACGCTAGGTCTTCATTCCGTAAAATACAACTTCTGGAAGCCGTGGACGCTAGATTGGAGGAATCAACGAATCCCGCGAGCTCCCCCCAATGTCAGACTACGCAAACTTGTGGTTCGAACATTCATAGGTTCCTGCTGCACACTTCTTAGTAGTGTGACGTAAGCTGTTCTTTCTTGACCTCAGAAGAATTCCGCTAATGAAGTAATCAGCAACCTCACAGTACTGACTGCATTGAACGGAGAGGTTGCGTGGCTGTGCTTGCTCTGCTGCAACACAGATAGTAAGATGGTCCTTCCCTTACATATTCCCGATCGTTGGATTTAAACAACAGAGCTTGTTAACACTTGCCCCTGACAGTTTTCTTCTCAGCTCTTGTTATGAACTGGGTCACCTCACCCGGGCAAGAGTCAACCCTTCGAACCCTTACACGGCCATCACGTGGGGTGTCAACACTCCGACCCGATGACGATCAGACTTATCCACTAGACCCTGACGGCAACAGCACAGGAAAGGCTTGGGACCCAAGAAGAACACCTACATCAACCACCATCGGGTTACAGTCAACCGGGAGTCGCGGCGACAATGTTGAGGACGGAGTGGAACTTCATGAACAACAACCTAAAGGTCATGATGATCCAGAAGCATTAAATCACGAGATTCAAAGCAAACACAACAGTCTCGACAATCACCATGAAGCCGACGACCGAGAGAAGCCAGAGCTAAATTCTGAGTGCTCTGTAATAAGAAAGGAAGAGGGATCTGGGAATTCACAAATAACAACGATATGAGTCACGCAGGGGTTACTTACACTATATGGTCGTACGAAAGATACCAGACGAACAGCATATAACACCCACGGATTTGGACTTTGAACATTGGCATACAAGGAGTTAAGGATATCTGGGTGGGAACATTCTAATGAAAACTTTAATTGGCTTAAAGGGCGAACGCAAATTGATCGGCACAGCATTGCCTTCGAGCAACATGGCGTTGGTGGGCAGTGGCTAGCGATATAACAAACAGCGTGGCATCAACAGCTTGGTGACCGTCCTTGATTTCACATTTGGGAGTTGTTAGTGAAAAGTCTCGTTTACAAATCGGTGGCCGCGTTGTAGGGGTAAGCTGAAAACAGGACTTATGCCTAAGAAGGTATACGAAAGCCATTACGGATGAAACATGGACGCGCTTCTATACTTTACCCCATGAGCTTAGTTACATAGCGATTTCTGATGACGCAACATCTTCTCTTTCCAATAAACAGCACTTCATACAAAAGATCGTCGATACGAATGTCTCTTTAGATCATATGGTAATCAAACCTTAACATCTGCAGCTGACGAGCAAAGGTAATGATGAACACAACACCGCGCAACTAGCGTCCGACCCGCATATGCAATGCGTGTAAGCAGAGCCCTCAACCAGAATAATACGGGCCACAATGAAGAAGTATGCCCCCTTATCTATGACCACTCCCCGTGATCCAGCGACCCAGGAGTTTGATTATGTACACATGCAGTCAAAATCCAAGGCATCATTTTTGCTACTGGAGCGTTAGTATTTGCAAACGATTTTGATTCCTTCAAACGTCACAACTTACTAGATACAAGCGTTGACAGAGGACGCCACTCCGCACTAATATCTGTCAGTGAACTGCCAACAGTAAATAACGTGAATTCTGCTTACCCATTGGTCGCAGAAACCTATACACGCTTTGTACGCATTCGAGGTAGTCGGGCAATCTCTTGAGCCTACGCCGCCCTGTCCAATACGATCAGCCCTTGGTGAATGTAATTGCCGTCGTTCGACCTACAAGGGACTGGCCGCAACGAATCTCAGCCAAAGTGGTACGCAAGCAAAGCATAAGTCCAACCAGAGAGAAGATCTTCATTTTGTTGGTAGGGTAGAATGTGACCTAGAGAAACTGTAAAGAGTTGCGTGAAAAGAATGTTGCATGCATGAGCAATGTGAAAGGTGAGAGCAGTAGATACTTTATAGAGGACGACTCAACCCGAAGGGTAGATGTATTGATGTTCACGCATGCATGTGTATGGTATTCACTAGTCAATGTAGTTTGGCGATTTTGAAAGTGGCTAGCCGATATGGAAGGCGACCTAGCGAGACTGAAATGCCATGGCACTATATTGAAAACAATAAATCTCAAGTTTAGGCCTGTGCTACACATGCGTACCAGAAGATTCATGTCCGGGAAATATCGCTCAACTGGAACAAAATGTGTATTCCCCGTCAACTAAATTAGAAGATTACAAGTATCGTCTACCGGTTCTGAAAATATCTTGGCAACCTGTCTCGTAGTAATGATGCCAATTAACATGTCGGTAAATACTGGTGGATAAAACACGCTTCAAAGTTTTATAGAGTATATATAATGGCGCAATCTGTTGCAAGTGCGCATGCCCAGACGGCCCACCCTTCGCTCTCGATCTCGCTCTCGCTTCAAGTGTCCTAGCGTATTATGATGAGGACGGGTGATTCGTCTACATGTTAAAAAGCGTTGTGCCGGTGCATCATCCATTCAATCGCAACTTCTTCCCTTGGCTACTCATCTTTATATTTTAATTTATCCAGATGGAGTGTTGTCTTCAGAGGAAAACACTCTATCTTGCACCTCACCCATCCCAAAAAAACGTCAACAGTAGGGCCAAAGATGTTTTAGCTTTTTTGCCTGATTTGCAGGAGCAAAAGGGCAGCGGTATGTCTGATTGTACAATAACGATACCTTCAATCTTTAAAACCCAAACTTTTGAGAACAGTCCACGAAACTAGCGGTCTATAGCGGGCATAATGTGACGCTGCGCACTTAACGCACGGTCAGGCGGTAAATGTCACGCAGCCTCTAATAGTTATTGTATTCATGGGGCGTGGGCCTTTCGACAAGAAGCCAATCGCAATTTGAGAACACCTGTGAAGCTTCTGATAGAATCCCCATGCATAGCTACCCTGCATTTCAGTGTACAAGTGTTGTCATTCGCCATGTGCGCTGGGGGTGGACAATCACACCCTTTCCACTGTTTAACTGACTCCAGTCCGCGGAAGTAGTGGAGTTATCTGTGAATTACTACAAAAGGCTGCTGGAGCGTTACCAGCTGTTGCGGCTATTTTTTCCTCTTAAGAGACATAAAGGGGCCAAGGTGACTCCAGTCAATGCTAGCCTACACACTTTTGGCCGAGTGAAACGAAGGGAAGGGTGATTCCTCACGGCTACGACGTCACCCTTTGAGGATTGCGTAGGTATGACGAACAGGTCAGCGTTTGGATGAATATGAAGGTTCGTCTTCCTAGTCTGCCGGGGTATTCGTGATAGTATAGGACATTTGATTGGAGAAAAAATGTGTCCTCGGTGCCAGACAAGATACGCTTAAAGTATAATCCTGGAACGGCGCCAAACGATTCGTGGACGACAGCGAGCCGAACCAAAGAGGAGAAATCCGAATCAGTAATTGACGGAGGTTGTAGGTTCATGGCAACAGTATGAACCTCGAGGGAACTGCCGGAGTAAAATGGAAACAAATCAGTCTCATTGCGGTGACGAGTGTTTGTTCCGGCGCTGAGCGTGTTTGGAGTTACTTATTCAGGGTCTCGGTCGCTGCCTGATACACGATGACGGAAATAAGGAGATGAAAGAATATTATGACGAACAGTGGGAAATCATCAAACCTTATAAGTCAAGTAATCAAACTCAATCTGCAGCCTTGTCTCGAAAGCCATTGGGTCGGAATGAACTCCGAGTTGTTTGGGTGTTAGGGGTAGCTCTCCTTCGCTCGTTCTTTGGGGACCCTGAGTCACGTCGGATGCCTCGAACCCTTCTGATAGCAAGCCGGGGAATGCTTGAGCCAAGCATTCCTTGGGATTCACTCGTCGGACCAATTGGAGTCACAAGCTAAATCAACGAAAAGACTTATGATTGAGTGATACACGCATCGACAACCATTCTGATATATGTGTCACGTGTGGTTATTGTGTGTACCAAACATTTGGAGAGCACCTTTATTTTTGAAGAAATGCGGAAGGGCAAACAGCTAGATCTAATAGACGTTACAAGGACTTTCACTTATCCGCTGTCCCCGGTCTATTGCTGTGGTGGATTAAATTAATCTCGCATTCCTTCGTTGAGTGTAATCTATCCTTCGTAACACTGCACGGGAGCCTTCTGATATCAATGTTTTGGAGACATATTGTCTCATACATAGAATTGAATCTATAATGCATAAGTGGCTTCTCATAACCATCTACCTTAGGTAAATGAGTTGACAATATTTGTTGGTTAGCGTCACTAAACAAGATTGAATCGAAAGCAAGTCCCCGTAAAAGACGTTGTCATCCGTCAAGTAAGACAGGAACATGGGATTACGTGCGATTTTAGTTCGAACTCGGACAGATCATTGAAAAGAATCAGGTGCTGAGAATTAAGTATTGCAAAGTATTAAGCTATTATGATAGATGTCCCAAAACTCCAAACTATAACAATGTTCCATCTTTGTTCTACGAACCGAAGCGGCTCATAGCCCTCAACTTCGCGCCGTACAGCCACAGAAGAATTGGAGCCGGAATGCCTACAACAACAGCAATAACGGCTAGCACACTTCCGCCGATTCCGTAGCCCAGGTTTCCAAATAGAGCTGGCACGAACAACGGAAAGGCAAATGCACACATTGATCTCACAAAAGAACAAGCGGCGGAGGCAGATGCGCTGTGTAGCGGATATGAATCGGCAATGTATGCAGAAACACATTGGTAGGAGACCATACTGCTTCCAATAGTTATCGCGATACCAATCTGTCAGAGGGTTAGAAAACTTATTCACAAATACTCCGAGAGCCTTTGTCTTGTCGAGAACTTACATTCGGAATCAAAAAGTGCATCTTCATCTGGGCGGACCACGCAAACAACAAGATTCCAAAAGGCGAGAGGAGTGAGAATGGAATCATCAACGGGATGCGGAATTCAGGAAGTCCTGACTGGCCTTCCTCGATGCCATAACGGTGCTTGAGCCTTTGGTAGACGGCGTCCATGGCAGGAGCACAGATCAGGACTCCAATCAGGGACCCCGTTGCGATGGAGATGTAGTTCAGACTGGCCAGGCCCTTTTCGAAGCTGTAATGCTCTTCCCACAGTTGTGGAAAACTAGAGATGATGAGATACAGCATGCCAAAGTTGAAGGCTTGAAGTGCGGCCAGGCTCTGGATGATGGGTTGCGTAGCAAGCATGGCCCACGGCCGTACCAGGCTAATTCGAAGGATTTTGGAAAGACTGCGCTGCTCCTTCTCCCACTTCGTCTGGAAATCTGGGTTTCCGGTCTCTTTGCGGATTTTCCTGGCTTTGAGAAGAAGGAGGCGTGGGCCGTAGGTCTCTCGGAGGAAGAGGAACGCCACAAGCTGCACGCAAACGTTTAGGATAGCGACGGACCGGAAGGCCCAACGCCATGAGGTATACTGGGAGATGTAGCCGCCAGCTAGATATGGAAGAGTTAGTAAGCTGGAAACTGTATGAGAGATTCAAAGGGTAGATAGAGCCTTACCAATTGGTCCGAGAGCCAAGCCCAAGATCGGTGCAAATTGCATGAAGGCAATGCCTTTGCCTCGCTCTTCAGGCTTCCAGCAATCCGCCAACACTCCACTTCCCATCTGTAGTCACAAATTTAGCTCTTGTAGTTTGTGCTGTTGTGGAACGCATTACTCACTCCTATGGTAACGCTTCCGCCAATGCCGGCAAAGAAGCGGAACGCGATGATTTGTTCTTTTGACGTAGCAAACCCGCAGAGAGCCGTAAACAGGATGAAAATCAAGTTTCCAATCCTCACTATCCACGATCGGCCCCATACTTCTGAGCACGGGGATAGGACGAACGGCCCAATGGCATAGGTGAGTAGGAATATTGACAGAACCAACTGGAGCTGGACATCATTTTCGATGTGAAGTTCCTGGCCAATTGGTGCAAGAGCAGGGGCTGCCATGGAAGAAGAAAGTGGAGAGAGAAAGGCGAATGTCGAGATTATTATAGAAGTCTGATTTCTAGATTAGAACACTGCTTCACAATCCAAAGGGATGGTCTTGCTTACTGTCCATTTCCATTGTCTGCTCCAGTTCTTGGGGTTTTCTGGGTCATCAGGACCGTCCCAATCAACCTATAGTTTGAACAAATGAGAGTCTGCACAAGATCTCGTAGCCAAGGGACGAGCACGAACCAGGGTGGGATCGGATTTTAACTCTGATTGTGACGATTTAGAAGTCAACGATGCTTCCAAATCACAAATGGTCGAAGACCTGCTGCTAGTCTTCTCACATAATGTGACGACTGAATCTCGACCTTGCAGTCCAGAAGACTTTTGAGAATCAGCGTCGGCTGAGCGGAGGGGAAGCATATTGAGATTCTGTAGAAAGAGAAGCACCACTTGAAGAACTAGAGCAGTGGTTACTGACAATTGCATCTGATACCCCCGACTTCTCAGCTCTACTTATAACTTTTCACGAGGTTCAATCCCTTGGACTTCACGATTCTGCATTAACAGCTTGCATTGCTACAGCCCAAGACAGATGCAGTCTCATACTACGCTACTTGCAAAGCATCTTGAGGGGGCAGGGACGCCATGATTATTGCGTCGCATGCTCAGTTGCCGAATTCGGTGTTGTCTATGATCTATTATGCATTCCCTTTGGATGGGTTCAATGGGGATGCGCCAAGGAAGATTTAGAGCAGGGACTGACAGAGCCGTCAGGTACGTGGCGTATGTGGGAAAGCCACAAAGGATGCCTAGGATCTAGAATATAGACAGTCCCAGACCACTGGGACCATACTAAATCATACAGAGCCACTGAATTGGGCCACCGGCTACCCCAGAGCATCCGTTAAAGAGCGTTAAAAAGGTTTCACATCGCCAAGAAAAGAGCTGGCGTCTGAGGCAAAAGAATAGGTCCATCCAGGATTCGAACCTGGGCTTACGGAAGAGACTGATTATAAGGTCAGAATCCGACGTCCTAACCAACTAGACTAATAGACCAGTATCAATGATGTTTTGCTTGATGACAGCGGACGAGCAAGACTTGTTTATGTGGGATGAAGCATGGCGGGTTGGAGCCCTTGTTGTGGACACTTCCAGACCATGAAATGGAGCAGAGTGGATCAACAGACTCGGGTAGTTAGTCAGAAGAGCTTCCCGCTAATTAGAGGTTTGCGAAATGCGGTCTGGCTTGAAAAGCAGTAGTTCCCCGGACCGCATCCTCCGGCACTACAACGAAAACGATGTCACGCACGGACAATTTCTTTTGTTGTGTGATGGCTGAAATCCCCGTCGTAGATTGGTCAATAGCGAATTAAAGTTGAAATACAGTTTAAGGAGAGAAATTCTTTATTCCAAGTTTATGGTTGTTGCGATGCTTGTGGTGAATTGCGGCTCAGCCCCCGAGAGCCGCAATAACGTCCCACACCCACTTCTGGGCACCCCCCACATTTGGGCACCCCATTTACACCAAAAACGCCGTTTTTCGAAATTCTATATTAAACTAACTACTATACTTACTAAGAAAAGAAAATATATATAAACTATGTTAAGTATAATTATAGCCATCTAATTTTTTATAAAGGTTTAAATATAATAATAGTTATGATATAGAAGTTTAAAACTAAAAGCTTTAAAATGTTAGTAGATACTAGTAACTTACTAGTATTCCTTAACATTAGAAAAATATATTTTCGCTTATATATACTTATTTAAAAAATCTAGGAAATTAATATTTATACTTATTAAAAGTATATAATTATATCTAAAAGAGATTTAAAAGTATTACTTTAGTAAATATAGTATAATTAAGGGTTAAAATTCTATAATAGAAACTTTTCTTAAGGGAAATTTTAAAATATTATTCTAAGCTTAAAGAATTTTTTACTAAGTATAAGAATATATAAATCTACTATATCTTACTTAAAAATTCTAATCATATTAGTTAAATATCTCTACCTATTTTATATATTAAGATATAGGCTAGGTAAATTAGTATTATAAATGTTAAACCTTGAATTTATAATACTTATTATTAATAATACTAGTATATAGCTACTTAAGTATTATAATTAAGTCTTAATCTATTTAATATATATTTATTCTCTTTAATAAGTAAAGTATTTAGTTTAATATAGAATTTCGAAAAACGGCGTTTTTGGTGTAAATGGGGTGCCCAAATGTGGGGGGTGCCCAGAAGTGGGTGTGGGACGTTAGTATGGGGTTCCAAGTATGCAAAGCTTCGAACGCATCATGAGAATCGCATAAAAATTGGTTACAGCTGTTGTTACAGTTTTACAGCAATTATGAACCTACTGATTTAGCAACTCATAGATGAGATCAGGCATTCTCAACGCTCAAATACGATAGAAGGAATAGGATAAGCTGGATCTCAAAGCAAGCGCTACAGTAGTTTCGCTTGAGTTTTCTACTTTGGCACTACTTCAGCGCCCAAAGCCCCTGATAACTTTAGATGTAGTATAAAAGGGCACATTTGGATGCAAACAGGAACAAGCTTTGGCAAACTTGTCTAGTTTGCCTGGAACCGCAACCCCGGGTCCAAGGCTTCTTGCCTACCTGCTAATTACCTAGCTAGGCAACCGAAATACTGGTCGATGCAATTCGGATCGCGGGGAAACAAAGTGGAACACGTAGCGGCGTTGCCGTCAGTCCAGGTGAACGCTAGCTGCCGCCGTCGGCATTTGGTCAGTTGGGTCTAGCTGTACGCCACATAGATCGCGTAAACTGCACTATAACGGATACGGTCATGCGATCGATTGCCTATATGGGAAATAGGGCATCGCACAAAAGAACAAACATCATATCTAAATGTGTAAGAAGAAGCCTAACAGGAACAGCTCAACAAATATCGCTGGACAAGGTTAACATGGAGGGCCTAAGTACATCATAATTGTACGAACAGGGAACTGGACCCTTTGCCAGACTAGTTCCGGGGCTGGCTCTCTTCTGCCTCATTCACTAGCAATATCAAAAGGGAAGCAAAACTTTAACAAGAAGCCGGAAATGTTGAAGAATAGTCCCTAATTAAAGGCCTACTTTCATTTCAAGCGGTTCCAGCTCCTCAAATTGGCAAAAATGGACGATGAGGGAATCGAACCCTCGACCGCTCACATGCTAAGCGAGAATTATACCACTAAACCAATCGCCCATCTCATTGGTGGAAGCCATCGCAGCCCTCCGGCCTATGTCCCAACCACTGCTCTCGATCCAGAGGTTCTCTTTTTCGGTTCATTGCGGTGGCTTGTCTCTGTTGCCTCGGTATTAGTATAAGGTCTCTGTCACTGGTTCTACTGCATTCTGGCCGTACCTTTCCCCTTCAACCGCATGCTTTATCACGGAGGGACACCATCTGGTGACCGTGTCTCCGGACCGTCCACCTGCCCAGGTCTTACGTGTTCGTAAGAATCATATAGATGATGGCTTCCAGAAAAGCAAAAAAGGGCATACTACCTCAGTAAAGGGATAGCCCCTCTTCACACCTTGAATAGATTGGGGTCCCATTCGGGAGAATGCGAAACTGTGGGGTATGTTTCTCGGCTAGATGCTGATCCCCCTAGGATCCAAACAAACACTTGCTTCTTACGGCGTAAGAGGTAATTTCTTTAATCTTCCGAAGGCCTGGTGACTACGTCGTATAACCCGTCGATGTTTCGTAGCAAACCGGGGTTGGCGTCACATAGCTGTTCTTTACAGAGGCGCTTGCAATACTCCGTGGTGTCTTCCGTAGCCATTTTGCATCGCCTAGCCAGCCGCTGAACCAAAACACGGGCACTTGGCGGCTTGTCGGCTTCATTAATACGATGCAATATCCCGGTTGAATCCTCGCGCCGCAGTTTGCGCCTCCGTTGTTACCGCACCCCTTTCCTCCTTTCTTGCCCTATCCGAACTCCTGAGCTGATTCATATGGGCCTGTCAGAATCAGATATGTTGCTTGATGATCTTAGCCGTGATGGTGCCTGAATGACCCTCTATGCCGGGTCTATATGACCTACTGATGTATCTCCCTCTGCCGATGAGTTCTGAAAATCCCCTGACCTTTAATTTTTTTTTATTTTTTTGCGAAGAAGAATTTACGGCGGAAGAAAGAGTCCAGGTTCTTCCAGTGATGTATCTTAAAGTCTTGACTGTGCTGGCGCTGGTCGGCCTGACCTCAGCCCACAGCCACATCTCAAACTTTGTCATCAACGGCGCCTCATACAGCGGATTCAACGCAAAAGTCAAGACCAACCCCAAGCTTCTCGCAGCATGGAGCACAACAGTCAGCGACGACGGCTGGGTTAGCACCGAGAGTTACGGCGGGCCAAACATTGTCTGCCACCGCGAGGCAACCAATCCTCAAGGCCATGCGCCCATCGCAGCCGGCGACACAATCGGTTTTCAGTGGCAGGGCTGGCCAGAATCCCACCACGGCCCCGTAGTGACACATCTCGCATACTGCGGCGCTGGAAGAGGATCCTGCGAGAGTGCGGATAAGACAAAGTTGGATTTCTTCGCCATCGACCTAGTCGGGCTGATTGACCCAAGCAAGAATGCCACAGAGTACGCGACTGCAAGAGGCATCTGGGCAAGCGATATCCTCATCCAAAACAACGCAAGCTGGATAGTTCAGATCCCGCCAAAAATCGCACCGGGTTACTATGTGCTGCGGCACGAGATTATCGCGCTGCATTTCGCTAGGTATCCCGGCCAAGGGCCCCAGCATTATCCGCAATGCATCAACATCCAAGTCACCGGCGGTGGAAAGGACCTACCAGCCGGAACTCCAGCAATGGAGCTATACGAGGCCGCAGAGGAGGGCTTGATCTATGACATCTCGCAAAGCCCGCTTCCGCCGTACAAGATACCGGGGCCGACGATTTACAGCGGTGCAAAACCTTTCGCCGCGCAGACAGGGGCTAAGGCTTTGTCTTCAGCAACCGCGATACCGGGCATCCCAGAGACGACAGGAGAGAATGAAGCCAACACCGTCCGGGAGACTCCTGAATCGGTACCGGCAAAGACAAAGCGGAGGCTGGGTGCAAGGATATTGCCTAAGGCGCAACGGCCGGAGGCAACACCGCTGCCGACTGCGGGGCCGTGATGAATCGGGTGACAGTGATTGAGTAATTGTTATTATTGTCTTCAGTAGTCCGCATGAAAATCTGGATCTGTTTCTTTGGCTAGAAGCAAAAATTTTACAAGAATTTGCGATCGAATGGCTTAGTTCATTTCGGAAGCGGGTTAGCCGACAAATAGATGGCCAGAAAAGCTGTCGTAAGGCGTGAATGAGTGATAGTCTTGACAGAACGTTTGGGGCGTAAACGACAGCTCTATAACACATTTTACGGGGCGCCCCTAAAGCGCCGTTTAGGTGTTACGACCCGTTGGACATGGTCGCCAACACGACCCCGCCTGGATCCCGGCGGCTAACGCAGGGCATATGTAACCCAGCCGGACAGGTGTAACCAGGGATCCTCGGAACGGAAGAACTATGGACAAGTCACGTGGCCTCGGGGATAACGCGGGGTAAGGACAACCCGGGCTGGATATGTTGGATATGTCAGATATCCAACCGGAAAAACATCAACAACAGCGAGAACGAAATTTTTGAAAACAGCATCAAATTGATCAAACCACGCCCGCTCGCGCTCTCAGAGGTCACTTTGGGCATAATGTCATCCTCGGCATTGATTCTGCTCCCAAAGAGCCTGCTCGTGGCCGCGGGCGGGCTCTGACCACGAAAAATTCGAGAGCAAGCCACAAAGTATGACACGTCAATAGACAACACCATCGACACCACCGCGGTTGAGTCACGGGCTATCACGTGAGCACAACGACCAAGCCCAAACAAACATCAACACCACAGCCACCGATAGGTTATGGGTCGCCTATCACCCCCGACAAAGTTTGCAACGTCCCGCGACAACAACGACGACAAGCCCGACAGAACGGTATCACCTCCTGCATAGAGAAAGCACCAGACACCAGGCATGCTACGATCGATGCCACAAAATACTACAGTTTGCAGACAGATTGGTCCCCTGTCGCCCCCTCCGCGAAGAAGGATTGTCGCCCCTTCAACGTATGACAATGTCTGCGGAATCTGTGTACGAGCTCTCATACTTAGTAATCGGACGAATCGAAGCGGTTGGAGCATTGTGTTTTGCGGATTGAGTCCGACTCCAGGCGGTGGATGGAGGTGGTGGTCGAAAGATGGAAACATAGAGCCACATAGGAACCCAGCATGAGGCAACAAAAAGATTTACAGATTCAACTGAGATATAGCACATGCGAGTCTGAGAGGATGCGGACAAGATAAAGAGACGAAGCTGAGGGCTGGGGGGAGACTATAGGTATACAGAACCAGACATGGTGCCTAGCACCAACAGAACCGAAGTAGGAGGACGCGAAAGAAGGATTCTAGAAGGCAACACCAAGCGAGAGAGCAGGCAGGAGGACAACAATCTTCAACAGAGGGCATAAACACACAAGAATAGATAGCATAGTGGGAGCTTGGGGACAGCTGGTCCTGATCCAACAACAGGGCGAAGTGGGGCGTCGCGGTTTATCGTCGATGCTTCGGCTGTCTGCCAAACCCCGCTTTCCGGGCATAGCTGCTAGCATAAGAGCGGCTTCATAACCGTGTAGGAATCAATCAATCAATCAATCAATCAGATATCCAACCGATCCCCGGATATGTTGGATATGTCAAATATCCAACATAGCCAAGATAAGGAGGACCGTTCAGGACTTGTATATAGGATGGACTCGAGCCGGGCTCGAGGACAGACTTCCATAGCTCTTCAGCAATCAACTTTGTGATTACCCTAACCGGTACTTTCAGCTATACCTAAGTGACGACTACTCTACGACTCTTGTTGAGGCCTTGACTGATCACCAAGACCTTTGAAGATCTACGATTCAATCGACCAGACCCCAGAACGACTGTTACTGTTGTCAATCCCTGGCTTACTGTTAACACAAACCCACTGTCAGTTAGCTGGCCGTAACAGGTCGGTATAGTAGTTACTATTATTATTATTCTTATAGAGGAGGTAGCTATAGGGTTGGTTTGACTCTTCCTCTTATACTGTTAGCTATTATTGCTAGTCTCGTAATCTCTTCATAGAATTCGGGGTTTTTTATTAAAGCCTTTAGGTTGCGATATCTCTTAACGCCTTGTTTAAGTTCTTAAGGTAACTAGTAGTAGAATTCTTCCTTTTTAAAGGCTAATGCTATGTTTTTCGAGATTTTCTTGCTATCTATTTCGATATAGACGCTATTACTAATTAAATAGTCTTTAAAAAATCGTAGGATTAGGGGAGGTATATTTTAAAAGTCTTCTTCTAACTAGTTAGCAAAATCGGGAGAAACTTTGTGTTACGGCCAGCTAACTGACAGTGGGTTTGTGTTAACAGTAAGCCAGGGATTGAGAGTAGTAACAGTCGTTCCGTGGTCCTGGTCGAATAGATCGTAGATCTTCAAAGGTCTTGGTGATCAGTCAAGGCCTCAACAAGAGTCGTAGAGTAGTCGTCACTTAGGTATAGCTGAAAGTACCGGTTAGGGTAATCACAAAGTTGATTGCTGAAGAGCTATGGAAGTCTGACCTTGAGCCAGGCTCAGGTCATACTATATACAAGTCCTGAACAGTGTTTTTTGTCTACCTGGGGGTGATCACCTAGGTGCATGAGGTGATCGCGATCAGTTGGCAATGCCAACTGATCACTGAGCGTCCCGTCCTGTGCTCCACTGATCGTTTCCTTATCTTATCGTCACGTGACTTGTACCATAGTTCTTCCGTGCCGAGTGAGTTCCCGCTGTTCCCGTGATCCTGTAGTACAAATGTGTGTAAAAAACATCAACAACAGCGAGAACGAAATTTTTGAAAATCGGAGCAAAAACGGCCCCAAATACGCGTGCTCGCGGCCACAGAGCCCCCTTCGATGCAATGCCATCCTCGGCCTTGATTCTACGTCCCAAAGGGGCCCAAGATGGCCGCAGAGCACGCCCCGACTACAATGAAAAACTTGAGAGCAAGCCGCAAAATACGACATATCAATAGACAACACTGTTACCACCACCACAGGCGAGCCACAAGCCGCTACACGAAGCACTAAGACTGCGCCCAAACAATCAACTTCAACACAACAGCCGCCGACAGGTTTTGGGTCACCTGTCACCCCCGACAAAGTTTGCAACGTCCCACAACGACGAAGATGAGTCCGACAGAACAGTATCACCTTCCGCACGGAGAAAGCACCAGGCATTAGGCATGCTACGATCGATGCCACACAATACTACAGACCACAGACAGACTGGTCCCCTGTCGCCCCTTTTGCGAAGAAGGATTGGTGTCCCTTCAACGCGCGACAATGTCTGCGGAATCTGTGCGGGAGCTCTCATACCCAGTAATCGAACATATCGGAGTTAGTAAAGCATTATGCTTCGTAGAAGACCCTTGGGCCAATGTGGTGGAGGGCAATAGTGGTCAACAGGCAAGAAACAAGAGGCCACATAGGAACCCGGCAGGAGGCAACAAAGAATTTACAGATGCAACTGAGAAAACGGCACATACAAGTCCGGGAGGATACGGACAAAACAAAGAGACAAAGCTGAGCGCTGGGGGGAGACTGTAGGTACAAAGAACCAGATACGGTGCTACCAGCACCAACTGAACCGAAGCAGGAGGACGCAAAACAAGCATTCTAGAGAGCAACACAAAAGCGAGAAAGCAGACAGGAGAGCAACACACTTCTTCAACAGAGGGCACAAACACACAGAATAGAGAACATAGTGGGGAGCTTGGGGATAGCTGGCCCTGATGCAACTGTCAGATTGAGCGCGCTACGCGAGGCTTCGGCAACGCTCGGCAGAACACTATTTCCGAGCGCCGAGCCCCGGGTCAGGGGGTGGCATACCCCCTTCCCTACGCGCCCCTGAAGGGCCCTTAGACAGTTACACACATAACGGAATATACATCGTTCTGAACCCTCAATTCGACAATTAACAGTCTGATACGTGCTGCGTTTACGTTAAACGCCGCCAGCCATCTATTCTACGCATACGAAAGCCCTTTCTACGCGCCCAATTGAACCCCTATCGTCGAAATGTCCTCCTCAAGCGCGAAAATCACCCTGAATACCCCTGCCGACTGGATCCTATGGATCGACCAGCTGCAGTCGAAGGCCAAGTCCTACGACCTCTGGCGATATATCGATCCCCAGCGCCCAGGCGCCTTAAACACGGGACAAACGCGTCTCGAGCGGCGGATGGAGCGGCCGAAGCGCCCCGAAATATACGATCACCCCAAGACCGGCAAAGCCGAAGTGCTAAACGAAGACGCCGACTACGAAACGCGCGCACAAGCGCTGGAGGAGCTCTCGGCAGCCAATCTCGCCCTGTATAAGGAACGTCGGTCTGAATATATGGAGCGCTCCAAGACCCATGAAGCGTTCCTGAAAGGGATTCGCGTGCTCGAAGACTGGGTCCGAGATACAGTCAGCACCTCTCTCCTCAAGAGCTGCTGTACCGCGGACCGCGCACTGGACCGCTGGGTCTACGCGTTGAAGGAACGCGTAGGGATAACCACTCGTGAGAGACGCACCGCCGCGAGCGAAGCATATAAGAGAGCGCTCCAGATACCGGAGCGGAAGCGACTCGCAACGAAGAAAGAGCTGGAAGAGTGGCTTACGAAGTGGGAAGAATCAATCCACGAAGCAGCAGCGGCGGGCGTCCCGGGTACCGAGCTCCCCAGTATATGGTTCCCGGAATTCACCTACGCCGTGAGCCACAGCTACGCCGATACATGGATCTTCTCATACCAGACCGTCAAGGACGAACGCGTCGAAAGCGAGAAACTGAGCGTTGGAGAAGTCCTGTCAGACGCGCGGCGGTTCCTACAAACAACCTCTCAACACAACCCGAAGAAGCAGGCCGGACGCGGAGCGTTTGGTCCTACCACAGAAGCCACTTCAAGAAACGAAGAGGAAGGGGAACGAACTTCCCCCGCGCGCCTAACGGTACCAATGAGAAGCAGCCGGGGATCTCGAGGAAACACGCGCTCCAGAGGAGGAGCTCGCAGAGACCGGTCGCGGAAGAGAA